AATGCCAAAACTCCAGTGCGCCCGATGGCAATATAGCGTGCGACTGGGCAACTCTCTACGCCGGCCTTGCAGCGAGAGACCGTTCCAGTGGGGGAGGCAGCGGCAGCAGCCGCTGCTGGAGGACGACGCCCTCCTTCTGTGCCTTATTATCTTTTCGAATGCAAAACAATGCCTTTAAAAGTTTGGGTTCACAGCCAGCACCAGCAGCTGCCGCTACAACGGTAGCCGCAGCGCGCGCGACAGCTGGATGTCGACGGTGACGGTTGCTGCGCCGAAACGTCGTCTCACTTGGCCGCTTCTCTGCTGCTTTCCCTCGTCTTTTCTCTGAAATATCCGGTTTCATACACTAAAACGACGGGGCAGTGGATGGTTGGGTGCTTGTCTTCGTGAAAAGGTCCTGCATCAAGACTATTGTATCGCCCAGAGCGATAAGGCCTAGGGCGGCGGGGGAAGTATAGCCGCGTTCTGCGCAGTCCAGCAGCACCCTCTTAACGCTTTAAGAAGCCTCGCACGCTTTGAAAGGCTCAAATTCATGACCCCAAAAGGGCTGTCGCCAGCGAGCTTGTTGCTATGGTGACGTGGCGTCTGCAGGAGCAGCAGGACCGACAACAGCAGCAGCACATGCTACTCCCGCAGCGACAGCTGCTCGTGCAGCCTTCTAGCCAATATGAGCTCCCATCTTATGGGAGCTGCCCCCCTTTGTGTTTGCAGCAGCGGCAGCAGCCACCGCCACTGCTGCCAGCAGTCTCTTCAACTACGCCCATGCAAGCCGCACACGCCTTCGGCACTTCGCTGCGCAGACTGTCCTACAGATCGCCCTACTGCGAGCACGTCTTTGCGCATCCCCCCTTGGGTGTATGGCCAGACTGCAAAGGCGTCATGCTGTCGGAGGCGCAGCAGGGTGTGTCGTACTACAGTGCAGCCCAGGCAGCTTGCCGAGCTCAGGAGGGGGGGGCAACTGCTCCCCCTTCCCGACTCTCCCTGCCGTCGGAAGCAGTACAAGGCAAGCTTTCAGCTGAGGCAGCAACAGCAGCAGCATCGGCAGGAGCAGTAGCAGCAGCAGGAACAGAAGCGCCGCCTCCAGCGGGCTTCACAGACGACAGCACAGCCTATGCCTCTCCCAGTGAGGGTTCAGCTCCTTCCCCACGGCCTTCTTCTCAAGAAAGCGAGCCATGCGGCATCTCGCAAACGGCTGCAAGATCGTCTCAAGGGGAGGAGCAAGAAGATCCACGAGAGCAAGTAGTCTCCACAATCAAGAAGGTTCTGGGGGGACTTCCTGCGTCTGACATCCTGGAAATTCTGAAGTGGGCAGCTGGTAACCTCCCTCAAAACCTCAGTGACAGCAGACGCAGCAGCAGCAGCAGCAACGACGCTGGCCATGCGCCTCCTCAATCTCCTTCTCGCGCGGCAGAGGCAGAGGCCTCGTACACGATTACAGACGACCGACACCCCACACAGCCTCAAAGAGACTCCCCTCCCCAGCAGCAACAGCCTCTTGAAAGTCACACACGCGACGCAGGCTTCACGCAGTCCAGCAAGAAGAGCTTGGAGGGGCATTACCCTCTACAGGCGCAGCTGGTATTCTCTCCTGAGTGGTGGGAAGCGCAGTCTCAGCAGCAGTCTCAACAACTGCGACAAGTGCACCAAGACGTGCCTCTTAGGGTGACTCTGCCGCTTTCTGCGACATCCTTACTCTGGCCGAAAGCATCTTATGACAGCAGCTGCAGCAGCAGCAGCTTCTGTGACAGCTCGTACGGCGTCTTGCCGATTGGGGGCATGAAGAGCTGTGGGGCCTTACTCCCGACGGCATCACATTGCGCAGTTGGCGTGCCGTATGAGGAGAATTTGCAGCAACCTCGGCAGGAGGGCAGCAGACTTTTGCAGGAAGAAAGGCAGCAGCAGTACGTCGTGGACTCAGCGAGCTACCGCGAGGCACGACGCATGTCTCCTGGCATCCTCCCCAGCACAAGCCGCAAAAGCAGCGCATACGACATTGTCACTGACCCCACAGCCATGCGACTCCCCGTCACCCCCTACGATGTCGCCTCCCCCGTCAGAGTGGCTCGACTCAAGTGCTCCTCCAGCCACGCAGAGAGACAGCAACAACAGCATGAACCAGAGGATGTGCTGCTGCCGGCACAACCAGGAGATCGTGTGTTGAGGCCTCCCTTTTCGTGCTGCTGGCCATCACACACCGCTACCCCCACTGACGAGCAACAAACGCAGAGAGAGCGCTCCGTCGAATCCGTTTGCCCGTCGTCTCTCGGTGAGTCGAACCGCTTGATACACATATATATACATATGCATATATATATATATATATGTATATACGCATATATGTATACACACATTATGGTGTGAATTTGGCAGCTAGATATCTGCCATCCATGGCAGACATCGTGCTTCGCCATGGTGTTGGTGCAAGGGGACAATTTATGGGGCCGTGGCATTTGCCATGCGACGCAGCCGAAGAGGCCTCTTGCTGCAGCAAGAACTGCGTTCCGGTTGCCCTTCTGAAAGAGCTGCTGCACGAGGTGGACTCTATACGGCTCAGCGTGACGGCTGCCGCTGAATTCCAACAGCAGATTGTGCAGCAGCAGCAGCAGCAGCACCTTTTCCAACTGGAGCAGCAAAGACACCAGGCGACCAGCACGTGCCCCCACTGTAAAGACAAGGACTTCTACGCAAGTGCCGAGAACGCCACAAACTGTAATCCCATGCCGCGCAAACACCACCAGCAGCAACACGAGCAGAAACAGCCAAACGACCTGGAAATCGTGCCTGCTGTCGCATCCTTTGAAGCGCTCTTCAACGCTCTTCCCCCTTGTCACCATCCCTATCAGCCTCCAAACCCTGGTACTTTCGTGGCCCTCCCTACGGCGAGTTGCGGCTAGTTCCTCTCTACGCGCACTCCACCCCCGATCTGCCGATGTTGCTGCTGCCTCCCCTTTTGGCTGCCACTCTAGTGCACGGCCTTTCACTCTACCGTCACCACGCTACCCCTAAGCCTTTGCTCTGCTGCAGGAGCTCCCTCCTTCTGGCCTCAGCGGCTGCCTCTAGGGCAATGCAGCCTCCTCAGGAGGCCTCGCAGAAGGCCTTCCACTTCTGCTCCTAGCGATAAAACGCGGCGTGGCTCACAAGACACCGCCGACGAGCTGCAGCACCTGCAGAGGTGTGCATCCGGGAGCGTCGTCAGGATACACAGTGGTGCAGGGCAGCGAATGCGACAGGCTGCAGCTGCTGCAGTCTTAAGGCACGTACAGCAGCAAACAAGTGCAGCCGCAGCTGCCGTTGCAAAGGCTCAGGACCCCTAATGAACCCTCCGTTGCCAACACAGAGTGGGTGTGCAGCCCATTTGCCGCACATTTTGCTGTGTGTGTGGAGAGAGAGGGACAAACTTTCAAACTGCAGAAAAGGCCCTGCGCTGTCTCAGATGTCGCTGTGACACCAAAGGCGCATCCATCAGCAGCAGAGTAGTGCCCCTTTACGGGTATGATTGCAGCCACCCCCTCCCTAGGTTTTTGTGCGCGAAGCTGGGGAGGCAGCAGTGAGATTCGCTGTTTTTGTTGACAAACTTGACAAGACACCCAAAGGCATCACTTATTTTTGCATTCCTTTTAATGCCGAGCAAGTGTCACGCGATTGTCACAAGACAAGTCCCTTACTCACCTCTTGACTCTGGCACACAGCCCTTTCGCCTGGGCGGCTGCCACTGCGCTGCTTGCTGTTGCGTGTGCTGCTGCTGTTACTCCCCTTGGTGCTCTTCTTACGCATGCGCTTTTCTTCCTCGAGGCTGCCTGGCGTCTTCTGGCATCCCGTTTGCAGCAGAGGGACTACCCTTTCAGAATCTGGAGCAGCAGCAGAATCTGGCAAGGGAGATTGCTTCTGCTGCTGCTGCTGTTTTTTGCGCGGCTTTGCTGTCGGAGGTGTCGCGCCGTCCGGCGAGGCGCTCTTCTTCAGTTTCTTTTGCTTTCCCTGCTGCAGTTGCCGTTGTTGCTGCTGCCAGCGCAGCAGCAGCTTGGCGCTGATGACGGTGTCTATCACAAACGGACCAGCCTGCACTTCTGAGGCGGCGAGACCCCTTAGCGAATCAGGGAGGGAGGTAAACACTTCTTCGTGCAAACTGCTGCTCTTCCGCGCCCACATCTTGATGGGCAGCAGTTGGAGCAGCTCTCTGTTGTGGTATTGTGGCTGTGGTAGCAGCAGCCGCTGCAACAGGAGCAAAGGAGCAGCTAGCCAGGGAGAGTGCCAAGTCCAAGGGCTGCCGCTGTTGCTGTAGCGGACGAAATTGCCAATTTCTTTGCTTGCGCTGCTTGAAGCCATCGGTGTGGCGGCGGCAGTTTTCGAGGCAGGAGACGCTTCCCAGTATTTCCCCTGAAGGCTCTGTGCCGCCTCGGCATCTTCCTGCAAGGACTGCTGCGGCAAGAAATCTCTTGGAGTGGCGGCGAGGTGTTGCACGCCATAGAGTGCGCGCCAGAGGAAGGATGCCATGAGAACCGCATGTTCTGTGTGCCGCTGCTGCTGCTGCTGCTGCTGCCTCTGCAGCTCACAGCCAATGACTGCAGCAAGCTGCAACAGCAAAGGGGCGTCATAGAATCCCAAATGGTGGTAGCAGAGAGTCGTTGCTCCCAGCAAAGCGGACGTATTGAGGCTCTGCTGCTGCAGCAGCTGCTGCTGCTGCAGGTGTACGAACACCTGCTGCCTCACGAGGCGTCTGAGGGGGCCAAGCCAAGCCCCCATTCTTACGGTGCTGTGGAAGGCGAGCACAGCAGAAGCGGGAGTTGCTGCCGCTGCAGCTTGCAGCAGCAGCGGCAGCAGCCTCCGCAGCAGTTCAGCGTCGCATAAGCCGCTGATAGCGAGACAGTGCAAAACAGAAATGAGGTGTCTGGCTTGCTGTTGCCGCTTCTGTGGGGGCAGCTGCAGCATCTTCTCATGCAGACGGGAGGACTGCTCCATCAGACTGCTGCAGCAGCAAGCGAGCAGCAGATCGTCTCGCAGCTTCAGCCGCTGCAAAGCGAGCAGCAAGTAGGAGAGCTGGTGCAACGGCGCAGCGGCAAGCTGCCTGCTGCTGACGAGGTGAGCGGCTAGAGCAGCGACAGCGGCAGGATCGCAATAGCCAAGCATCGCCAAGTGATACAGCGTGCTGCAGCAGGCAGCAGCAGGCAGCAATGTCGCTTCAGAACGAATCAATGTGCATGCAGCAGCAAGCAGCGGAACGTCCACGTGTAAACAGTCGGAGAGGCAGCGGATAATCGCGGCTACATCGAGAAGCGTCTGCTGTCGCAGCTCCTGATGCAGTGGCTGCTGCTGTCGCACCAGCTCGCACTGCTCCTGTGGATGCTGCTCCTGTTGATGCTGCTCCTGCTGATGCTGCTCCTGCTGTTTTTCGACCAACGGCAGTACAATGCGGGGGAAATGCCTTTGTGGAAACATGTGTCGGTGGACAGTATTCTGCTGCTGCTGCTGCTGCTGCTGCTGGTGGAGGGCTTGCATTGTCTCTGTAATCCAGCTGCAGATCTGCTGCGCGAGACGAAAGTCTTGAAGGCAGCGAAAGCAGCTCACCAGCTTGAGGTACCATACGGCCTCATTCCACGTTAAAGGCGCTTGTGCTGCTGCTGCTGCTGCTTCTGCTGCGCATGTTGATGAGCTAACTCTCCCCCCTCCTGGGAAATCAGCGAGAGACACATTTTTCGGTTGAGATGCTGCTCCTGCCGCAGAGTTGTAGGCTGCCGCAGTCGCAGCAGCTTTGCCTCGCACATGCTGTTGCAGCAGGAGGAACAAAGCAGCAGCTGCCTGTTGCTGCGCGTCACAGCCTCCAGCAGCTGCTGCAGCAGCTTCTGTAGGCGGAAAACGTGTTGATCCTGCTGCGACAGCAGCAGCTGCTGCTGCTTCTTCATCTTCCCCTTCCCAATGCAGCGTGGTGGCATGTAGTGACGTTCGGAGATCCGCAAGAGCAGCAGCGTCCGACGCAGGTGCAAGAGTAGCTGCGACAGGGGGTTTGCGGTGTACGAACACCAGACTCAAGTAGCCGTGGCAAATCTTTGCAGCACTGCAGAAGTCGCCTTGCAGCAGCAGCGCATGCGCCTGCTGCTGCAGCAGCAGCCAAGTGCGGGTGCCACTGCAGGGGCGGCCGTAGCATCCGAGCAAGAAAGCGATTTCAGCAGCAACAAGTGCTCGTTTTTCACACTGTAGCAGGCGGGATGTAGCTTTATCCAGTTGAACAGGGAGTAGCTTGTGCAGATTGCACGAAGCGTCAGCTGCTGCTAGAGCTCCCTCCGATCCACTTTTTCCTGCTGTCGCTACAGCACCATCGGCCACACTTGTTCTTGTTGAAGCCGTTATTTTTGTTATTGTTGCTGTTGTTGTTGCTGTTGTACCTGTTGTTGTACCTGCTGTTGTTGTTGCTGCTGCTGCTGTAGCTGTTGTTGTACCTGCTGTTGCTGCTGTCGTCGCTGCTGCTGTAGCTTTTGTTGCAGAAGGATTCACGGACAGTGACGTATGGCCACCTGCAGGAACGAGCACAGGAGCATCTCCTTGACGCTGCTGTAGAGACAGTGCTGTTGTAGATCTCAGCAGCTGAAACACGAGGGTTTCAATTTCATGTACTGGAGCAGTTTGGCAGACGCGACGAAGGTCGTCTGTCAAGCGATCCACGGATTCATGCGGCTGCGTAGGTCTTTTTCTTTGAAGTTTGCTTGCGCTGCATGCGCTACTCTTCTGCTCGAGATTGATGAGCGAAGACGAGGAGGCGTGGTGAAGCGGACGATAAAAAGCATTGGGAGTGTGTTTCGTTAATGCAGCCCCTTCCGCGTGCAGGAAGGTCCTATGCAGCTGGCTAAGAAGCCTCCAGTACTTCATTGCTCCTTCTCCTGCTGTGGCTGCTGCTGCTGCTGCGCTCAGCAGCCCGAGGTGTCTGGTTCATAGTTTTTGCGGGAAGCATACTTCTGCATCGCTTCTGCCTCTGCAGGAACAGAATTTCATGAGTGTCGGGTTTATTGCAGCCACAGGAACTCCTTTCCGAGCAGTATCCGATCCGCTTTCCGGTGATTGGGGCCCTCCTTGGGGGCCCCCCCGGTCTGCAGCAGCAGCACTCTCAGTCAGGGAACGCGACTTCTTGCGCTCTCTCTATGCGTAAAGTTCCATATTTTTCGTGGAACACTCGTGAAAATCATTCCAGTTATAGCATGGATGCGGAAGAAGACGAGAAAATGCATGGCTTTTTATTTTCTCTCTCTTTTTGCACTGCGATTCATAGCAGCCACGCCAGAGCGCAAGAACCCGAAGCCGGGGCTGCCCGACGACGCTGCATGTCGATGGGGGCTTTTCCCTCTGAATAGATGCCCACGGGATGAGTGTTGAAGTGCATTACCAGCTTCAATAGCTATTTCTCCCCTTGGCAGTAGCAAAAAGACGAATCTCCTTCCTGCGGCAGGCAGTTGCAGCAGCACAATGTCAGCCCATCTTGGTCGTGTCTTGGGTGTGCAGTCACATGTCGTGCAGGGGCATGTGGGGGCAGATGCATTCACCTTCCCGTTGCAGGCTTTGGGACTAGACGTAGGGTGTATATACACTTGTCAGTTTGTCGATCTGTTCGTTCATGAGGGATCGCAACTCGAGCGGCAGCAGCTCTCCACCATCCTCAAGCACTTGAACGCCTCCTCCTTCCTGCCTCCCGCTGCCAACAGCGGAGAAGACACGGAGAGGGCCTACGAGCCACCCTTCAGGTACATTGTCTCCGGGTTCGTGGGGAAAGCAGATTTGCTAGACGTCACTGCGGACTGGCTAAGCCTCCTCAGAGCGGCGCTAGGCCCCCGCAAGGCCCCCCTCTACGTTTGCGATCCCGTGATGGGGGACTGCGGGAAGCTGTACGTACACCCCGGGTGTATAGACAGCTACATGCGCAAACTGCTGCCCTTGGCAGACGTTATTACCCCCAACCAATACGAAGCGGGCTGGCTGCTGGGTTCCTTGCAGCAACAGAAACAGCAACAGCAGCAAGATCCACAACAGCAGAAGGAAGCAGGCTGGCGCGAGTGTAGTTGCCCATCCCTCCCCATTGAAAACTGGGGTGCTCTCGTCACCGCCATCGACGCGCTGCATGCGGCAGGCCCCGAAGTGGTGATCATCACATCCGTCGAGTTTTCTGCTCCTGCGGCAGCGCAAGCCCTCAACATCCTTGCTGCCGCGGAAAAGCAGATCCAACAGCCGAATCAGCAACAGGGGGAGCACTTGTTTGTTGTTGCATCCCGTCAGCAGCGGCCAGAGCAGCGCTGTGCCCCCCCCGAAGGCAGCAGTACTGCTGCAGAGGGCTTAAAGGACGACGAAACACCGAAAGAACGCAGGGAAGTCCTCTACGCTCTAGCGATTCCAAAAGCAAAAGGCTACATCGGGGGGGCTGGTGATCTTTTCACTGCTCTCTTCACGGGGTTCTTCGTGAAGGAGCAGTTCCACCTTGGTCGGGCGCTCCAAAAGACTGTTGCTGCAGTGCAGGTATGTTGGCTCTTGCAGTTTTTTCTGAAAAAATACACGCCCTAGTTGGTGCTGGTGTGTGAAGCATCGGCCTGCTCTTGGCTTTGCTCCATGAAGTTTACCCCAGCTATCGCATAATTTGGAGTCTCCTTATTGCTGCAGCACACCTCGACGTCGAAGCGTGTTTATGCTCTCTTGCTGCTTCAGGCTGTCATTGCAGATACAACTTCTAGGTCGCCACGTCCTCAGACGGTTGATGCGGTGACGGCTCAGGCCTTCCTCTTAAATCCCCCCGCATGCTGCATTCGCAAGCCTATCCTGCTGCCACGTAATGGCAACGATAACTAGGGCGATAATCGATATAGGGGGGATGAGGGAGATCGTGACAAAGCGCGACTCGGGGATCCGTGTCTTCCAGGGGAGCACCCGCATTCGTAATGTCTTGCGGAAGCGGCCGCTCCCTTCCCTTCCCTTCAGTGTTATAGTGTCTGGACATCCCTTCCCATTACTTTGGCATTCAGTTCCTCGCGCTGCAAGCGCGTTCACCAGTAGCTAGCTGCAGCAGCAAGGACGCGTGGGAGGTGGTGACCTTAGCTGCGTCAATGTTAAGTGTCGCGACACGGGATCCTTTAGAGGCGTTCATACACAGAAGCACCAGAGGTCTCCCCCAGTAGAGCCTTTCGCTGTAGCGAATGCAGGTGCGGCAACTGCGTGCAAATGCAAGCGGCTACAAACCCAGATGCCTTACGTTTCATCACACACCTCCTCGAGCGCCACGCTGCGCCTGTTTGCATGAGAGCACGAAGTCCTCAGACACACCCCTGATTTTGTGCAATATGACTTGGGTAGAGGGCTTGGAACCTTCTCCTCTCCGTAGTCTTCTGCCATGCTCTGGCGCCGCTGCTCACAGCTGGCGCCTCTTTTTTCCGCTGTGGCGCCCGCGGTCCCAAGTGCTCGTGTTTCTTGAGAAACACCCCGATCCTAGGAGTCCAACAAGCAGAGAAGCGCATGGATGCAAATTCCCTGCATGCCTTCGAAGCTGCCTATACACCTCGCAGTCCGCTAGGGGCCCCTCGCCGGCGGGCGGCGGCATGGTCATGAACCTGGAGGGGGCGAGGAGTATATCCCTTGGTTTTTTTTTCAGGATATTTAATATGTTTTAGTTCTTAATAGCTGCCAGACACGGACGCAAGTGTATCCATCTTCTTCGGGGGGGGGGAGGGGCCCTCCAGCTGCAAGCGCTCGAGTACAACCCGCCTTTCCCCCGCGTTACACGGCCTTTGGGATTCCCCAGATCGCACCTTTATTTTGGAGATAAATGCATTTGACCGCCATTTACCCAGTGCAGAGGAGGCGAGACAGCAGGCAGCGGCAGCAGCAGACGGGCTCAACGCTGTTGACCCTTCCGGTGGTTCCAGTGTCTCGGCAGCGCCACCAGCGGCGCCCCCATCAATTTCGCGTGCGCTGATGATACTCGCTCTCTTGCTGGCTGTGGCTGTTGCCGCTACGCAAGACACAGACGCTGCCGCTGCTGCTCCTCCTCTGACGACAGTATCTGGGGATGCCACCTCCCGCGACCAAAGTGGCCCCACAACTTTGAAAGAAGAGCAGCAACACCAGGATCGACTCGAACAGGAGGCGCTTCTTCCCACGCGGCAGCGGCAGCTGGCTGGCGAGCTGCAGCAGCAGCGGCAGCTTCTCACTGCCTCCCGCCTCGGATCACTAACTGCAGGAAGAACGCCGTGTCTTGAGTACACAGGAACAACTCCTGCTGCTTCTCCTGACGCGGCTCCCCGGCGGCGTCTTGCAAGAGTCGCCAATGTAAGACGCTTTCGTGGGCTTTTGCAGGATAACAACCTCTCAAGCAGAAACTCTGAAAGACGAGTCTGAGGTTCAACCTGCTTTTCCTGTGATGCGGTGCAGGTCGCCTGCACCAACGGCGAGTACCTCGATGGCGTAGGCTATGAGGCTGCAACTGCCGCTGCTGCAAATGCATCCACCAAGGCTGTTCCTGCTGCAGCCCCCACGGAAGAAGTTTTGCTGCCTTGCGTTGCAGACTTATCGCCGTGTTGCTGCCGCCTTCGTGGGGGCAGCAACACGGCGATAAGTTTGCAGCACAGCGTTGAGTTTGCAGCACAGCGCTAAGTTTGCAGCACAGCGTTGAGTTTGCAGCACAGCGTTGAGTTTGCAGCACAGCGCTAAGTTCGCAGCACAGCGCTAAGTTCGCAGCACAGCGCTAAGTTTGCAACACAGCGTTGAGTTTGCAGCACAGCGCCAAGTTTGCAGCACAGCGTTGAGTTCGCAGCACAGCGCTAAGTTTGCAGCACAGCGTTGAGTTTGCAGCACAGCTGCATCCAGCTGCGTGAAATACCTCTCTGTATGGGGGTGTCGTGCTGCTGCCGCAGGATGGCATTTGCCAAAAGTGCCCTGCTGGTTCATATTCAACAGTTGGCTCAGTTGGATTTCTTTCGTGCATCCAGTGCCCTCCTGGTAGCTGGAGCAACGAGGGTGCACCTGTATGCGAGGCTTGCCCTCCCAGCATGAGTAAGTTTCTGCTTTGTCACCGCTGGCTGCTAGTTTCTGCTTTGTAACCGCTGGCTGCTAGTTTCTGCTTCGTCACCGCTGGCTGCTAGTTTCTGCTTCGTCACCGCTGGCGGCTAGTTTCTGCTTTGTCACCGCTGGCTGCTAGTTTCTGTTTTGTCACCGCTGGCTGCTAGTTTCTGTTTTGTCACCGCTGGCTGCTGCTGCTGCTCTACAGGCGCTGTGGCTGTACTCTCTGGCGGCAATTCTTTCATGCTGTTGATTGGTGTTGCTGTTGCTGCTGCAGCAACTGCATCCAGCGGATCAACGTCGGCTGACGACTGCTTCTGCCTATCAGGTAAGGCAAGGGCAGCTGCCTTTCCTTCAGGCTGCCAGTAAGGCACACGCTCAGGAATCAACGCATGCGCACCTAGGCAAACTCTTCTGTACATGTCTATATTATACATTTATTCATGTGAATTCCTGCAACTAGCCCAGCAGGTGTTGGCGCTAGCTTGCCTTAATAATAAGGGCCTTCTTTTGCGTGTTATAGCGTGCCTGCCCCCTTTGCGGCTTTGCCGTGCTGAAACTGCGAAGTGCCTAAGCTGCGTCTAGACTTTTCAAAGAGAGAGACAGAGACAGACAGACAGACAGAGACAGAGACAGACAGACAGAGACAGAGACAGATAGCGAGCTGTTAGGTTGCCGTAAATGGAGAGCGCTTCTGTAGGCGCACCGGATAAACAGTCTCTTAACAACTTGATTTGCCCATACGTGTTTTTAGAGAGAGTCTTCCTTACACGTATGAAGCTGTCTTGATCAGCTTTCACTGCATGCCTGCAGGCACGAAGCCTTCATCTTCCGATGCTTCATGTGTTCCCTGCGAAGAGCCGTTAGAGTGGTGTATTCGCACTTCTGCTGAGGAGGGTGGCTGGTGGTCATGGAAGTCTGTCTGCGGCGATTCTGCTGCAAAAGACAGCCGTGGCGAGCATCCCTTTTGTGAGGAAGTGGGGAAGGACAGCGCAAAGCTTGAATTTCGATATGCATGCAGCAGAGAAACATATTGCACGGGTACTCCAGAGGAGCCATGCGCGGATGGCACGGATGGCGTGTTTTGTGGCGACGTAAGTCTGTTGCCAGTACGGCAGCGGCTGTTTCCGTTGCTGAGATCACAGACGGAGCTAATGCTGTTTTGAGGGGTCCCCCTACCCCTTGCTGGTTCCTCCCCCCGTTTGCGGTGCAGCAGCAGAAAAAAACGGTTCGGCTGTCTGTACACTCCAGTGCTGCCGCCGTCACGACAGCTTCAGAAAGAGAGACGCATAAGTGGCTTTCTCTCCAGGTGTTTTTTGTTCGCAAATCCGCTGCCTTGTGTTTTTCGCAGTGTGCCTCTGGCTACAGTGATACGCTGCTCTTTCCTTTCTATCGCGGCTGTCTTGCTTGTGGCGCGCTCCAATACGGACTGCCTTGTGGCTTATTCATTTGTGTCTTTGTCTTGACGGGTGTTTCCCTTTGGTGGGTGAGGCGCGCTGTTCTCTTTGAAGATGCCTCGCAGCTTATTTCCACCCTCAGGAGTATCTCCTTTTTCTGGCAGCTCATGTCCAACCTCCCGTAAGCGTATACACGCAGCCTCGGGCCCTATACGTGTTGCCTTTCTTGAGACTGTTGCTGCGGCTTGTAGAAATCTTCAACAGCCCTCATATTCCCCTTCTTGACAGGCGCTTTCTGCGGCTTGCGGCTTAAACCCTGCCGATGGCAAGCGCTCTTCGTGTTTCTCCTGCCGCTGGTGTAGCTTTTGCTATTTCTTTCTCCTTTTTCTTTCTATCTCTCTCCAGTTCTCCCTTCATCTCTGTCTCTCTCTTCCCACGTATGCGCGCGTTTCTGCTGCTAATGGTCGTGGTGGTAGTGATGGTCCTGCAGCTGCTCGCACTGTGTGCTGGGATGCTCGCGAATAGGAGATAGGGATATTAATCATTGTGGTCGTGTTTGAAGCGATGCTGCTGTACGCGTTTGCAGCCCCCTCCTACACACCGTATCGTCGCAACAATGGCTTATCCTGGGTGCCTTCTCACTTGGATTTCCACTCCCACAGCTGGTGCAGTGCCTCGACGGAGTAAGGATCGCCGTGCAGTCGTGCACTGCACGTCCATCGCGGCTTTCCTCTATCGATAAGCTTACGGTTTATATAGATATATGTGTGCATGCATATAGATGTGTGGAAATACATGTGCAAATATGTGTGCGCATATACATAAATGTGCCTATACATAGGTGTGTATGTGTCTGTGTGTATGTGTCTGTGTGTATGTCTGTGTATGTGTTTTTGTGTGTGTATGTCTGTGTATGTGTCTGCATGTCTATGTGTATCTCTGTATGTCTGTGTATGTGTCTTTGTGTAGGTCTATCTGTGTATGTATGTATGTCTGTGTATGTGTGTATGTCTGTGTATGTATGCCTGTGTATGTGTTTTTGTGTGTGTATGTATGTCTGTGTATGTGTCTGTGTGTATGTGTCTGTGTGTATGTCTGTGTATGTCTCTGTGTGTATGTGTCTGTGTGTATGTCTCTGTGTGTATGTCTCTGTGTGTATGTGTCTGTGTGTATGTCTGTGTATGTCTCTGTGTGTATGTGTCTGTGTGTATGTCTGTGTATGTGTTTTTGTGTGTGTATGTCTGTGTATGTGTCTGCATGTCTATGTGTATGTCTGTATGTCTGTGTATGTGTCTGTGTGTATGTGTATGTGTCTGTGTGCATGTGTGTCTGTCTGTGTGCATATGTGTCTGTGTGTATGTCTGTGTATGTGTCTGTGTGTGGTCGACCCTCTTCAGTGTGTGGCGTGCCGCGCTTTGCACAGCTTTAGCTGCTGCCCATGGCTTTTGATATCCTTTTGCTTATTCTGTCTCGTGCCTGCTTTTTCTTACCGTTTCTTCTCCGCCGTCAGGTGTCTTTCCACTGCCCCACAGCTGCTCTTCTGCCCCTGCTCTTCAAAGCCTTCCCAAGTTTCTCAGAAAAAGCATTTTCTTCTTTTGCTGCTGCCTGCATGCGCTGTCAGAGAAACAGTTGGGCCTCTCTAGCAGAGAAGCAAGTGGTCGTTGCTGGATTTCTTCCTTTAGCCTTGCTACCCTTTGCCATCGTCTTAGGCCTTTTCTTGCATGCACTGCATCAGCGAGATGCGGCGAAGCACCAGGAAGAACTGGACAGGCAGAATATTGCGAACGACGCCTATAGGAACCCTCTGGAAAATACTCCTGAGATCGGTCTGTTTCTGCCTAGTTCATTGTTCCTCACGCCCCCTAGCCTCTCTGAGATCGCAGCTTCGAACTCCTGAGCTGTCAGGCAGTCGACTGCGCTTCCTCTACAGGGGGTCAAGGTTGAGGGAGACAGTAGGAGGGAGAAAGAGGGCGAGGAAAGACGGACGGTTCAGGGGAAAGCTTGAAGATCCTAGCAACTCAACACATTCCTAGGCGCGCAATCCGAGGCGTGTAGCGCCCTCCAGAAGATTTTCGTGAAGGCGTCTTAGTTAAGAAGCACACGCGGGGGGGTTATGGCCTTCTCCTTGTTTTTGTGTGTATATGTGTCAGTAAACACCATCGTGCGAGAGCGGCAGCGTCTGTTGGGCCCAAACGCTGGCAAACTCTTTGACTTGGCAGCTTCACGAACTTCAGAAGCAGCAGGAGATGCAGGAGCAGCGGCAGCGACAAGCACTGCTCCTGCTCCTGCATCTCCTGCACCAGCAGCAGCTCTTCTCCCACAAGAAGAAGCGGACGCACTCTCGGCGGAAGGCGCTGGCGGATCGACATCGCTAACTGCTCGTCTGAGGGGAGTGGCAGCGAGCAAAGCAGATAGTAGCACTGGCAAGTGGAAGAGGCATCTGCGCTTTCAGGACCAGGCAGAGCACAGTCTGGCAAAGCCTCTCCAGTTCGTGGAAACGCCTCTTCACGAGGCACTTCCTGCACCCCCTGCTGCTGCAGGGGGTGCTGATGTGGGAGCGGCAACCTTCGGCCGAGCTACGCAGCAGCAACATCCGGGGATTAAAGTAATTCAGCAAGCCCCTCAAGAAGTCTCTGTAGAGGAGGAACGCGAAACTGCCGTTTCAGTTCTTAGCGACGATGCAGACGTCGGACCACTTTTCACAGACGCAACACCGCATGGAGCGCAGTGGAAGAGACGATCCTGGATCCTCGGCTCGTGGATTGTGATGCATCACCTCCTTACTTTTTCTGTCTCCCAGTGCGTCGGCAGATGGAGTGCTGTGCTACTGCTGCTGCTGCAGCACTTGGCTGCGGTGTATAGGGAGGTTTCATGTACAAATATGTATATCTATGTATGTCTGTATATATGTATGCGTATATATGTGTGTATGTTTGTATTTATATATATATGTATGTATGTACGTGTTTGCATGTATATATGTATATGTATAGATACGTATGTATGTATATATGTATGTGTACATGTGTATGTATATGTGCTGTTGTAGCTGCCTCTGAGAGCTGCATTCTGCTGAGGCTGCAGCTCGCGTGTCAGTAGACAATAAGATCATTCAAGCTGCATGTACAGGCATGCATCTTGCTGCAGTGTCGTTTGTGCTGGCGATTGTCGTGCTGATGCATGTCTGCTACAACTACCTGCGGTGGTCAGCACACGCCAAGTCATTGACATCTGCGCTATATGTATATATGTGTATATATATGAATGTATATGTATATATATGAATGTACATGGATATATATGTATATATATATGCATATATGTATACGTGTCTCAGGACCTTGTTGTTCGGCTTGTGCTCGCGTGACGCCTCCCAGATGCAGCCGGTGTACAGCCACCTGCTCTCCAGCTCCAGCGTATCCTTATCCATGGCTAGCTGGTTTCCTGTAGGGCTAGGCATGCTTATTCTTTGGACCATCGTCGTGCCACTCATCGAGTTCTCGCTTTTATGTTGGGGTCGAAGAAATGGGAGGTCTCTTCTTGAGGAGTAAGACGCATGACAGATATGTATATGTTCATATATACATATATATTTGCATGTGTATATATATATAGATATATGTGTATGTCTATGCGCATACACCTATATGCATATACAGTGCAGGAACGTTGAGATTTATAGCTAGATATCCTAGTTTCTTCAGCAAATGGTTCCCACCTGCCTTCTCCCTCGCCCCTCCCCTCTCCATTTCCACGTTGGTGGTATTTTTCTTCGAGTTCTTTCTAAAGGCGCGTTCTTTATCTGCACCGCATAACTGCCGCCAGCCTATTGTTATTCCCCTGACACGCGCTTCCCGTGTGTATCAAATATCCCTCTGTGGGATGGCCTCTACCCTATGGACTGCGTCAGAGAGGCGCTCTTTCGCATGCCCTCTGTACCCGCTGTCTCTCCGTGCAGCAGCTGCAGAAGCAGAACTGCACACGCAGGTGGATGTGGGGGTGTCTATGCATACAGCGCCATGTGCAGTTGCTGTTGCTGCATGTAGATATATATATATGTATGTATGCGCTTGTGTTTCTGTAATACCGCAGGCACCCTTTAACGGCGGGGTGGCTTGTGTCAGGCTTCAATAGAAGGTATTTCTGGTGGTATTTGTTTCAGCAAATGTGTGTGCACCTTATCCAAATCTCGATTTCCGTATCAACAACAACTTCCTTCACTATGGCAAATCGCGAAGGGCCGTCAGGTTTCTTCGCCAAGGCACTTGTGCCACAACTCACTTCCATCACGCAGACAATCGCCACCATCAACGTCATATTGGCCTATGCTGCCCTCCATCTCAGGTGCGTCCTCTGCATCCAAAAATCGGAAAGCTCGCTACCGTTTTGGCGAATCTGCTAGCGTACAGAACAGAGAGAGAGAGGTAGGGAGGTAGGGACAGAGAAGCAGATAGAGATAGAGGTAGAGAAAGAGAGATAGAGAGGGAAACGGAGAAACATAGAGAAAAAGATACAGGAAGACGGTGAAAGAAAGACGAATCTAAACAGACACACATATACGCATACACAGAGAGAGAGAAAGAGAGGTTTAAGCGCAGCATTGACGCTGCCAAGCGTTTTGACTGTTTCGGTAATCGACTCTTTGAGAGCGTGGCTAGCCACACTGATGACGAGCCATGATGGGCGGATTATGTGTTTTGTCCTGGTAGCTGTTGCTTGTTGGAAAAGCAGCTGCGCCGTGTTAACAGCCATGTCTGCACTACACATGCGTAGACACCTGAGACTGCCCTCGTGAGAGGCCGTGTGATGACGTTCTTGTGGATTCTACTGCGTCTGCAGTCTGCCGATATACATAAAGGAAAGACACATGATGGCGTCTCGAGCAACCGGGTGTGGATCGTCTGTCTTGATGCTGCTATGCGTTGCTGCTGCGTCTTGCATTTCACCTCCCATGGGCTTGTGATGGATGGTGCACGAGGAGTGCTGCGCAAATTCGATTTGTAGTATAACAGTGGGTGTTGACGTATCTTTATCTTCAGTCTTTGCGGACGATGATGGTTTGCAGATGCTCCCTGGCGGTCTCCCTGATCGCTTTTTGCGTGGCTTTTTACAACGGTGCCTTCCCCGAAGAATCATGGAGCTCGGTGCGTTCGCTCGTTCTGAATTTTCAGCCTTTTGCCCTTATAAAAGGCACCGTAAAGCAGCTGCTTCATTGGCTGCATGCTTCGTGCTCGAAAAAAGCAGTATTTTTTTGGATTTGTTTGCGTCTATACGGTCTTGGCATGCGGTTGCTTGCTGCAGGCGCTAGGATGGATCGCCGTCGTGGCAAGGATCGTTCTCACCTTGCTGCATTTCATCGCAGTGCTCATCACAACAGGGTCAGTGCCAGTGTGTTCAACTTGTGCGTCTCCTGAGGACGCTGCGGATTTCCTCTTGCGCTGCTGTTAATTTTTGAGGCCGCTGTCTATACACATACACAAACATAAACACATATACATCCATACATACACTTTCATAAACACGCATACATGAACACACATCCATACACATACATAAGCACATACACATACATATACATAAACACGCATACATACATACATAAACACCCATACACGCATAAACACACATACATACATGAACACACATACATATACATACATGAACACACATGCATACATGAACACACATACATACATGAACACACATGCATACATGAACACACATACATACATGAACACACATACGTACACATACATAAACACACATACATACATGAACACACATACATACACATACATAAACACACATACATACATGAACACATATACATACATATATAACCGCGCGTCGTAATAGGCAGGAGTGTGTGCATGCACGCTGCGAATTTTAGTTGAGCGTTGTTCCCTATTTTAGCGCCTTTTTAATTCATGAATGCTCAAGGCCGAGGGTCCCTTAACCTCCCTTTCCCCCCCTCAAACCCAACTCCTCACTTTTATCCCCGCTTCTGCAACCCCTTAATTTAAGCCTTCCGAGTCTCCCTCTGAGGGCATTACAAAAGCGGTAGCAGGGGAGGCCTTCTTTCAGCCGCTGCTGAAGCGTGTTTCTCGGATTTGTAGAATATGGTTGCTGTCACAGCATCATTCGGAAGCTGCGTCATCGATTCAAAGTCGTCCGACAGGTGGGAGATGTCTTCCGGTCTGCAAGGGGTCGCTTAGAGGCGATACGAACTCAGGAGCAAGACGAGACTCTGGAAAAAGAGTATAAGAGAGAGAGACTAAAGTGTGTAGAAGTGTCAAAGCACGTGGTCTGCTGCCGTAGCTAAGATCTGAGAAGCACCTGCGGGTTGCTTGTGTATTCGTAGCTGGACAGGAAAGACGTCTAAGGGGGAAATTTTTTTTGCAAAAAAGCTCGCATTTCTTACGCCTTTCCCCATCTGAGTCTCCCTCTGTTCCTACTGCTCTTGCTGCTGCTTCTGGTGCTGTGTCTACTGCCCTCGCTGCCTGCTGCTTCTGGTGCTGTGTCTACTGCCTTCGCTGCCTGCTGCTGTTCTAGTATTTCTACGGCTCTGGCTTCTCGTATTTCTACGGCTCTGCGCCTGCTTCGAATGCAGCATCTTATACGTGTGCTGCTTCTTCTTCACATGCACTCATCTTCTGCTGAAGCTTCTTTCGGCTGCGCCTGCCTCTCTCGTTGCAGACTTCTGGAAGCTGAGCGTGAGGGAAAAGGCGATACTTTTCATCGCCACTGGCGATTGGGCCTGCGCAATCCTCGCATAGGCATTCATCGTCTTGCCGCGCTGGTGTGCAAGGGGGAGGGAGAAGAAGAGGAATCTGCACAGCTGCTTACACGGCTCATGTTGCTCCCTATCCCCAGGGGGGAAGTCAAAGACACGCTGCTCCAGACGGTGAAGCAAGTCGAGAGCACTCCGAGAGTCCGTGAAGTGCAGCACGTCTCCTCAGTCGGATGCTTAGATGATTACACGCATCCCTCTCGAGCGCAATCAACATCCCTCTCGAGCGCAATCAACATCCCTCTCGAGCTTTCAGAAGCGTGTAGCGTGTAGGCGGCATGAAAGGAGTGGCTATTTTCGCTTCAAAACTCTCCCGAGGCAGGAGTCTTCTGCGCTTGGTATTTTTCTAGGCAGCTCAGGGGAATGTGTGGCCTTTGTGGGGTTCTGCCAATGCGCTTAGGCCTTAGCGGCGCTGCTGCATTTAACGCTCATGGAAACATTCCCGTCGATGGGCAGAGTTGAGGCGTTCACAATCCTAAGGGAACACGGATTTGACCCGAACGAGGTGTCGCTACACAGCGCAGACTTTGGCACTTGGGAAAGGCTGCTAAGAAACGAGGCACAGCATTCTCTGCTGATCGCCTGTCTGAGAGCGGCGCTGGCGGGGAGACCACCATGCAGCCTGCGGCAGCTTTCTGCTGCATGCGCTAATGTCTGCACTTGCATGCATCTGTTTGCGGGGTTTATGGGGAGTACTTCTGTGCCTGCGCGTTGCGCCGTCGGTTCCCCGTTGAGCTTCCTGTCAACTGCCAAAATCGGCTATTTGTTGCTCGCTGCTTGCGGCAAGATTCTTTTGACACAGGATCTGTGTGCTTGCGTGGGCTGTCATCGATCGCAGATAGCGCCGGCTTGCAAGGGCCTACTCCGGTATAAACGAGAGCTGATCAAACGGTATCAGCGCATGCCAATTACCGAACTTCTCGAAATCTACACGATGGGGTGGCGTATGGGGCTTTTGCGATACCCTTGCCTTCAAGATCCCTCTCTATGCCTCGTTAGCACCAAGCCAACAAAGGATGCTGAGATTAGAGCAGCTGCCGAGAAGGCAAAGACACCGAGTCTCGATCCCAGGCACCCCTCAGATGAAGACTTGAGAGCCGTTCTTATTCAGGCAAGCCATGAAAACACCTTCCGACTGTTTTCCTCCCCTCTCCCCCCCGCCTATACATATATGTTACATGAATATATATTCCATGAATGTCTACATACACAGTGCGAGCAGGCTGCGCAGGGGGCCCTGTGCTTGCTGTCGTGCTGTCTGGATTGCGCCATTCGTAAAAATTTTAAGTCGCCTTTGCAGTTGTGCCGGCTGTAAACATCTTTTCCTCTTCAAGCATTGCGTCTGCATGACGAAGCTTTGGGGGGCCTCTACCGTTTGTTGTGCCGTAGGAGGCCGTTCGTATAGTGTTGCACTGCGGTTTGTTGGATATCTCGGACTATGTCATTGAGGGTGAGATGCCACGCGACTCCTTGAGCACCTCGGCAGCGTGCGAGTGGCTTGGGCAGCTTCTTCCGCAATTATGGTTGGTGTAAACACTGCCCTGTGCCTCTGTACATCGGTCTCTACTGGCTCTACTACGGAGCCGCGTCTTCTCTGTGTTTGTCCCCCACTCACAAGTGCCCCCCATCGTTCTAAGCTCTTTAGCATTTCTCCCACCCCTCTTAGTTCATGCTATTTGCGTATCAAACATAAGAAGCCGTCTGAGGGCTTAAAATCCCCTTCAAATGCGCGTGCTGCACTGCCCTCTGCTGTCCTTTCTGCTCTCTCCGCATCTTGCCTGTACACTTACAAGGAAGCGGTCTCATCTCTCGTTATTGATGGGCATGACGCAGCTAATGCAGCTGCCTCTTTATGCCTCGTTTTTTCTCGCTGCTTGCTGCCCCCTCCGCAGTCCTTCCCTTCTCTGCAGTCTTGCTGACCTCTTGTAACACCGCATTTGCCTGTATCCCCCGCCGTGCCGGCCTGCCCGTTCCCACTCGCTCTGCACCCCATGCATGCGCTCTCTCCCCAAACTGTGCACGTGGGTGTCTTCATGAATCCGCCTGCTGCTTGCTGCGAGACGCTTGACATGGTGCCGCTGCAGTGGCCAGAGAACTACCGCGCGACCGCTTCCTCGCATTCGGCTTGGATGCCGAGGGGAGACTCATAGAAGTACGCCGCAGCCGTAGCAAAGATGCTCTCGCGCAGTGTATGTACAGGGCCTTCAGCGCTTTTGTATGCTCGGCGTGAGCTTGCAAGCTTGCGCTTATCCATTGCCACACGATGCTGCTCTGCGTGCGAGTCAGGGATACGATGAAGAAAAAGAAAAAGGAAAACGCGAGCTCACAGAAAAACTCAAAGGCATACTTCGTAAGATACCATCGTTTCTTTTGCACGTGTTTTTGTATGTATGTATGCATGTGTGTGTGTGTATGTATGTGTGTATGTATGTATGTCATTCGTTCTCTCTCTCTCTACCGCTCTCCCTCCGTCTCTCATGTCCCTCGCTTTTCTCAAGGAGTCAAGGGGCTTTGGCTCCCTTGTTTATTGCAGGAAAGTCTGCATGCATTTTCGGGGGTGGGGGGATGCGGGGAGAGAGAGAAGAAGGAGGAATGAGAGACGCGTTCGGGCTCTCAGCCTTTATGCATGCATGTACACAGAGGGCTGCTCACCTGCATTCGATGTTCACCAGTGCATGCATATTTATTTTATGTGCGAAACATCTCAAATCGCACCTTCCCTGCTGCTGGTACCTGCGCTTCTTCATCGCGATGGACAGAGAAACACCTCTCTGTCTTGGTACCCCCACATGTGTAGTTGTATGTATACACAAATATAAATATTCACATACATATAGTTACATGCAAGTCGGTGGTTATATGTGTGCATGCATGCGTGTCGCTCGCTCTATCTGTCTCGCGCGTGCGCGCGCTCTGTGGAGTCTAAGTAGCGCAGTAGATGGACGCCGGTGTACATACACTCCGTATCTGAACAAAAGACATACGTAGCTCTCTATCGTTAAAGGCTTTGATTTCCCCATCGATTTCCCAACTCTCCATCCCGATTACACTCACGCAACACGCACACATCCTGACGCAAATTGGTAGCGATTCGTTTTCCGAATACCTGTCTCACGTTTTGCAAAGCCGCGGGTGTCTGTACGTACGAATGCATGGGCATACTGATTGAGAGCTCTCTTGAGAATACGTTCAAGGGCACAAGAAGCACTAAGGCGGCTTGGCTATCAGCTCTCTAGCAACAATTAGCCAGGCAGGCCTTTAGTTTTGTACACTGTGCGCTTGTGTGTCTCCTCCTCTAAAACCTCCTTTTTGCGTCGATTCTTTCCTTTTTCACGTTCATGTTTTTGAGCTCGTCTTTTTTACGGTGCTGAGCTGAGTGTATCTGCGTCCGCAGCGTGAACCGCTGCGTTCGCTTCTGTGCTCCGTGCAGTGGCTAGCCATCTAGCTACAGCCGTGCTGTGCTAGTTTCCTTGGTTATCGCAGGCACAGCTGGAGTGCCTGCACCTGCGCCCGCACAGCCTGCGGCGGGGTTTGCTGCTGGGATAGAGCTTTTTGACTTTGCAGCTGCAGAGCCTACTGCTGTGCTGCGCAAAAGGCGCATAGAGCGAGCGCTTGAGCTGCAGAAGAACTTCATGAGCATCTTTCCCTCCGCGCTGCCCGTTTTCAACCCAATAACAGGAGAGGAAGTTCACACTTTAGATCCGCAGCTGTTATCTTTGCAGCAGGAGCAGCAGCAAAGAGCGGACAGACTCCGAGACAGCCTCGCGGCATTCCATATCTTGAAGCTGGAGATACTTGGACTCCGCGTGCAGGCACTTCAAAGACATGTTCTCGTGATTGGTAAATACGCAAGATACAAAACTGCACATGCTCGCCTTCTCTCACAACAGCAGCAGCTCCTGATGCATGCATCCACTTCCGCCAGCAGGAGGCGATGTCTGACTGAAGCGACATTCGAATACCTTCTACTTCAGAGGCCTCTACCATCGCATCGACTTATTATTTGCAATTCAGGGCACTCTCTAGCCGCGTCTTACGAACGGCGAAGGCATACAACTGGCCTTCCTATTGAATTAGCTTGAATTTTCTAGACTGAAAGCTTCTTGTCGATTGAAGTATGTGCATGTAGGTGTAGGTGTATGAATATCTGTGTATGTATGTGAAGGTGTATGAATGTCTGTGTATGTATGTGGAGTTGTGTATCTCTGTGGAGGTGTCAGTGCATTTGTGTGTGTGTGTGTGTGTGTGTGAAATTTGTGTATAATATGTGTATCGCTGTGCGCATGTGCATGCCTTTCTCTATAGGAGCTCCAAGAGCTACAGTCGGTGCTGACGGCGATCTAACAGGCTTAGATTTCTCGTCTCACTTAAATTGCAGCTTAGTGTTGCGTCCCGCGTTATCCCTCCGTGCAGTCTGCACGGTAGAGGCTTTGGTGGCACTGCCGCTCCCATCCGTCTGTCGGTATCATGCGCTATGTGCAGACAGCAGCGGCAACGTCCTCTTGTGCATCATGCAGTGGCAAGTTCCCTTCAAGCAGCGGGAGGGGGAGGAGGGGGAAGAAAACGAGCCTGTCTATGTGGTTGACCTGGGTATCCTCATGCCATCGGAAGCCAAGACAGGGGAAGTTAGTAGCGACGACGGCAATAGCAGTGACAGCAGCAGTGACAGCAGCAGTGAAAGCAGCAGTGGAAGCAGCAGCAACACGAAGCGGAAAGGGAAGAAACAAAACAAACAGGAGTGGGAAATCGTTCATACGAACGGTTTTATTTCCTGTTTGGCGGCAAAAGGAGCAGAAAAGGAAAAGCAGTTGCTACGTGCGGCTGTCCATACACCCGGATTCCATCTGGTGCATGCAGTGCGCCGTCATGATGGAATTACCTTTTTTTTCAACGGCGTTCAAGTAGGCTTTATTTACAAGGATATTGATGCCACTTTTACGGATATCGTCACCATTGGCAACAGCCTCCACGGTGGTCAGCCTTTAGGCACTGTTTCCGATGTGAAGGTACGTGTTTGCTCCACAGGTGTATCTACAAGGTAGCCTCTCTAAACCCCTTTTGGCAGCCAACGCAGTTCAACTTCAGACGCATCCCTAACGCGCAGTTTGCTGCTTTCGAATCTCCCAATCCAGTCGCGGCATCTAAAGTGCCCTTTCCCACACCCTTATCCGATATGCAATGTGTGTGCTGCGGCCTTCTTCCCTAGGTGCTGGCAACGGCTCTCGATTCATCCTCCGCTGCCGTTCGGTATTATGAGGTGTTGGGGAGGACAGCCTCGAAGAGTCTCGGGGATGGCTTTGCCGCGGCTCTGGAGGCGGCTGCTGGCATTTCTTCAGCAGCCTCCCCCGATGAAAAGATTGAACTTCATCAGATATTGAACTTGAGTTTTGTGGTTGCCGATCCACGCAAGCAAACGCGGGTGCTTGCTGTGTGCGCGCCTGAAGTGTATACTGCCGCCACCTACTACCTGCGGCTCTCCACGGGAGAACTCACGCGGTGTCCAGACACCGGAGCTCACGGGCTCAAGTATGTTCCTGGGTACTTTCCGTCCACTGCGGCTGCTGTTGCGGGCAGCACACGCAACGACAGCCTGCTGGTGCTGCAGCCGCAGCTGCTTCTCCGGAGAGAGCTTTCTGCATCCACAGGATACACACTGGCCGTCTGGATACGCACCCCGCTCCCCGCGACGGGGTCTCTGCACGCCCTCTTCGCGGGTGACGTTGAAATGCATGTTTGCGCGGCAGTCGATGGAGGCTCTGTAGGAGCTTTGCTGCTGCCACCAGCCTTTCACGAAGGCGTCGACAGAGTCGCCGCGGTAGCTGCGGCGACCTCCGCCTTGAGAAAAGGGGCGGATGCAGCAGAAGCAGCAGCAGCAGCAGCAGCAGCGCTCAATGCAGATGACCAGTGGTCTGTCTTCTCAGACGGCCTCGCCAAGGAATTTCACCCCTCAGGCTTGGATCTCTCTCAGGAAGCGGATGGCTGGCATCTGCTGCATGTAGTTGCTGCAGCAAAAGAACTCACAAAAGCGCCGCCAGCCGCAACAGCAGAGGCATCAAGGAACGATTCTGGCATCATGGCGTTCTACCTGGATGGTTCCCCTAGAGGCCTCATCCCGAGGGTCTGCTGGGCGCCTGTCAAATACCTCGGAAATAATTTCAGCGGCAGAAACGCCTTCGGCAGCTTTGCACACTTCAGAGCATACGCCAAACCCTTCACCCCCCAGCAAGTCTACTTTGATTACACAGGTAGGCCTCCTGTGGCAGAGGGAAGCCTGGTTTGCCGAGTATTCGAAAAGCGTGCTTTCTAATTGCTAGAAGAAGTTTCACGAGCTCTCAAGCGGGAGCAAAGGGGGGTGGGACGGAATGGAGGCCTCTTACGCTCACGGATCCTCCCCGTGACAGACACACACAACCCCTCACCTGCGGGAGCCTGCCTCCCTGCTGCAAACTTTTGTCACCCCATCCTCCATCCCTCTCCCCCTCTGTATGTCTGTTTGTCTGTATCTACCTTCCAACGCCCATACATACCTACATCCCTACATGTTGTGCATATCTGGAAATCGCCTTGATGGATGGCTGCGTGTGTATCTGTGTATGTGTATCTGTGTATGTGTATCTGTATCTGTGTATGTGTATGTGTGTGTGTATCTGTGTATGTGTATCTGTGTATGTGTATCTGTGTATGTGTATGTGTATGTGCGTGTGTATCTGTGTATGTGTATCTGTGTATGTGTATCTGTGTATGTGTATCTGTGTATGTGTATCTGTGTATCTGTGTATGTGTATGTGTATCTGTGTATGTATATGTGCGTGTGTATCTGTATATGTGTATCTGTGTATCTGTGTATGTGTATCTGTGTATGTGTATCTGTGTATGTGTATCTGTGTATCTGTGTATCTGTGTATGTGCGTGTGTATCTGTGTGAACATGTACAGCGTACCCCCTCCAGTATGTGTTGACTGCCGAGAAATCTTCCTACGCAGGTCCCCGGCTGGAGGGGGCAGGTGGTGGTCGCAGACGGCGCGGAAAGAGACAGGATTCGAAGAGCAGCAGCAGCAGCAGCATCAGCAGCAGCAGCAGCAGCAGCAGCAGCAGCAGCAGCACTGTGAGCACGAGCAGCAGCGGAGAGGACTTGGTGTTAGTGCCTCGTGAGCCTGAGGAAGGCAAAGCCAAGCAGCCTCAGGTGCTCCTCCAGGTGTCTTCGGATGGCGAATACATCGACTTAGAACCGGCTACAATAGCTAAGCGTCACCGACTGGTAGCGTTCGAGCTCGATGACTTTGTGGAAAGCCCCGACGGCCGTCTGACTGCATGCGATACGCTGGCAAGCTATCACGCTGGGGATGCCACAGACGCCGAAAGCGGCCATGAAGACATGGAGGGAAGCCTCCATGTCGTGCCGCCACTAAGGCTCTCGTCTTCAGGATTCTCGATCGCTTGCTGGGTCCGACTGCCCGTAAAACGCACAGGCACTTTCCACGCGCTTGCTGGAGATGGTCGCGGAAACGCCTTCGCAGCTATAGACGAGAAGGGCACCACTTTAGGTACATCATTTGTACTTCTTAAAAGGAACACTTCCTTGCCGATCCCTTCTCCCCCGTGCACTGTAGAAAGAGAACGCACTCCCCCTCTTTGGCTGCTGCCCTTTTCGTTCCCTCCCTGCTGTGCATCTCCGTCTGTCCAAACCGTGGCACTTAGCGCGATATGTTTTGGGTGACTTGCGTCTCGTGGCAGCGGTAGCTGCTGCGCTGCGTAGGTAGGCGAGCCCGTCCCTGTGTGCCATTAGGCTCCTTATGCGTGCGCATTTCACGCCTTGAAGGGTATGCTGTCTCACACGCCTTCAATATCATAGCATGTGTCTTCGTGTTCGCTGTCGGTAGAATCAATGTGAGAAGGCAACCAGGGCTCTCAGCCACCGGCACGTATTTCTATCTACACAGATCGACGGTGTCAACTGCCACGTTTTACAAGTGCGCGTATCTGAGTGCCCTCTGTGCGATGCCAGGTGTGATATCTGAACCCCGCGTCCGAGTAGCGAAGAGGGTATGCCGACCCTCTGCTCCTGGCTTTGCTCCCTTCATACCTTCCGCCGCCTTGGTTCACAAAAAAGAGAGAGGCTGGCATCACCTCGTGGCCGTAGGGGATGGGCAGATCACCTTCTTCTACGTGAACGGCAGACACCTCGGAGCAGCCCCCGCCTGCTGCAGGGGGCCGATTGCAGTCATTGGGAACGCGAATCTGAAACAATACAGAAAGCCACAGACCAGAAGGGGCCCTCCAAGCAAGGGCAGCAGCAGCGAGGACGAAGGCAACAGCGGGCAGTGCAAGATGCCATTTGGGGCGTTCTACAACTTTCAGGTGTACAGACACCCCATGTTTCCCAAACAGGTCGAGGCCCTGTATCAGGAGCAACGAAAACTCCACAGGCTCAAACATTTGACGAGCTGAGTACCATTGTGGAACGCCGCAGCGCGTAGAGGAAAGGGGTAGCCGGTCTGTTGGATGTTTGATGATGTCTCATGAGTTACTTCCTGTCATGGTGCGCATCCCTTCATGAGGCGCCCCCGGGCCAGTCGGTACGGTACCCTGAGTGCATGAAGGAAGCCTTAGGGGCCCCTCAATGTGTTTGGTGCACCTCCTCTAAGGTCTCCTCATGCTAACACGTTGCACTGTGACAGTATGAAGCTCCCTAGCGCATGCGCCAAGAGGCGCATATGAACCCGCGCGCCGAAGGGCTACAGGATGGTTGGTGGCGCGTGCCGTTACTTAGGGCCCCCCGCGTGTTACAAAGTCGCCTGCCGTTTTGCTTTTTTCGTGCAATGGGGGCCTCGATAGAAGCCTCCAGACTGAAAGGATGACAGGTACCTGGAGGGGGGCCTAGCTACGCCTCACGGCTTCCTCGGGGAAGCAACGCAACCGATTGCGGGCTACCCCCGTCTGGCTGCGCGCTACATAGCAAGGCATCGGTAACTCTAAATGCAGCAGAGCGAAGAAAAGCAATAGTGATAGTGGTCGCGGCAGTTTCAGCTGGGACGGCATTCAGAGCAGTTCTAGCGAGGCCGATGCCTTACTTCTAGGGGCATGCCACATAGCCTCTTGCTGCTTGTTGCTGCCTAAATTAAGGTGCCTCCCGCCGTGGGTTGCCACTTATGAGCGATTGCTGAGGATAGCCCCTTAAAGCGTTCCCTCAGAGAACACCCCTCAGAGGCCCCTTGCGAGGAGGAAGGCTCGTCAATGCGCACCTGTATCTCTCCGGCGGCAGCTCTTGCTGCTGGGAGGTCCCCGCGGTGTAGCGACCCTTCAACCCACGAAGACAGCGCGTTGAGCAGCTTAACCAGGCCATACGCAACCGCAGTAGGCAGCAAAACAAACCGCAGCACCAGTAGCGGAAGCAGGCAGGGGGGAGAGCGGTGCAAAGCAGCATACATTGGCGTGCGATACTCCAACTGCCCAGTTCCTCCCCCTGCGGCCAGGATCTTGGGAGCTTCTAGAGCATGCACCTGCTGTAAAGCGTCCATGAGCAAGGGCAACAGCGCCGCCGAGCAAACCACAAGTACCACGTGAGCCTTTTCCCCCCCCCCGGGAAGCCTCGGCTGCTGCGCGGGGTGAGCGGCCTCCCGTGCCTCAGCAGAAGGCTGTGGCAGCTCCGAGGGGGGCCCCCCAGGAGGGCGCCTTTCCCTCGCTTCGACGTCTCGGATGGCGTTCCACAAACTCGCGGCAGCACAAGAGGCCCTCTCCTCTAGCAGCACCTGATAGCCAGAAGGAAACAGCTCCTTCTGTTGCTTCGCCCACTGCAGGGCCCCCCATCCGCGCGAAGAAGTGCATGCAGCGGGAAGGGGATCAACGGCCACGGGATCTGGGGGCCCCCACGCCCACCGGTTGGATAGGGCCCCCAAGACGCATGCCCGGAGGGCACGCAACTGCGTCGGTTGCAGCAACAAGCACTCATGAAGCCTCCTGGCTGTTGTCACTCTGTCTCTGTCTATCGGGTAAATCGCCGATAAGGGGTTCCCTTCGATCTCAGCATCCCCCGTGTCCTCTCCAGCGGGCTGCTCCCAGGGGCCCTTTTTGCTTCGTCCTCCCGGGGTGCCCAGAAAGGGGGGCCCCCCCTCAGGAGCAGCAGCCAGGGGGCTGGAGACTGAGCTCGGGGGGGCCCCCGCAGCCGCCACGACAGGCAACAGCGCTGCATGCAGCAAACCTGAACATCCCGCAGCACGAACGCTCCTCAGATCGACCTTCTTACGCACACCAGAGGGGGGACCCACCATGTAAGCTGCGACGACTCCCATACGCGCAAACGCACGACGCCGCATGCTGGTCCTGCGACAGGTGCGAGGGGAGGAACTGGAATCTCGGGAGGCGTCTAGTAGGTGTTCACGAGCCTGAGGAAATCGTGCGCGCGGTCGAGAGCAGATGTCGTCTCTCTTTGGGGGTTAGGGGCTGTTTCAGGAGTCTAGTGCTTCCTACCGCCGTCGAATGAAGTAAGGAGCGAGAAGCTCCCCGCCAGACGGCGTTGCTGCTTGCGCAGTTCAACTTGCAGAGGGGCCCCTGAGGCAGCGGCCGAGGCAGCGGCTGCAGCCGCTGCAGCCGACAGTTCTCGGAGTCTGCTGCTGCAGCACTCTAGACACAAAAGCTGCGGCCGAAGCAGCGTCACAAGAGAGGCCGCCTCCCAAGCGCTCGCGCATCCAGAGGGGGTGCCCACGAGCTCATCTGGCGCCTCCGCCGTTGGGAAGTCTCTTACGGAGGGATCATCGATACACTTGAGGTATTGCGCGACGGGGTAAAAGTAGAGAGTCCATTGGCGCAGTTCGAGACGCCGGATGTACGGGGGCAGCTCATCGGGAGTCACGTTGAAAGAAGCCTCCGGTGAAGCTGACTGGCCCTGCGTCGTGGGATCCTGTTGAGTCGAGGAGGCAGCACCTACTCGGGTGCTGTATGACACCCTGGCAAGCTGCCGCAGCTGCGACTGCTGCTGCCGCTGCTGCGTGAGGCTGCCTGAGCACGGGAAGGCGCCTGGCCAGCAGAGGGTCGCTCTTTCGGGAAACACAACCCCCCCGAGGTGTACCGTCGCTGAACAGAAGCCGAAAGACTGCGGACTTCGCAGAGCCTTCGGACGCCATCCAGCGCATATATGTCGCATTGTTTCAGAGGCTGCAGGCTGCGGCCTATGGTGCTGGGTGGGAAGCGGAGATCCGAGTCAGTTTCTGCCCTCCCTGTGTACGAGGGGGAGAGGGTGCCCCAGATCACATGGCGTGTGCTTCACGACCGCATTTTCTTCTCGACCAGCAAAAAGCTAGACATTTCTCAGGAGTCCAACATGGGCGTAACAGATTTAAGGTTCAGGGCTTGGGAGCACTAGCAACCTTCCACCCGACGAATGTTCAGTTTTACCGGAGCGCAAGTTGCACCTCATAGAGGGCTGCTACAGGACGTCGGCTGCGGCACTGACTCGAAAACCAAGAATCCACGAAGGCAGTGTCGAAAATGATGTCAGGCGTACCGTAATTGCATTTGGGGGGTATTATTGAGGGTGATCACAATAAAGAGTTCAAATACGGTGTAGGTTCAAACAGGAGGGCGGCCCTTCAGGCCGATAGTTCAGTTGGATAGAATGCCCGGCTACGGACCGGGTGGTCGTGGGTTCGAATCCTGCTCGGCCTAACTTTTTCGGCTTTGTTGCATTCATTTCTGGAATGCAGCATCTGCAAGGCACAATGCAGCCTATATTTTTTGCTGCATTTTGGGAATTTAGGATGGGCAGAGCGCAATCCCGCTTCGATGGCGCCGCTTCTGGGGGCTGAGCAGTTGCAGGGGTTCCACCGCTGCATGCAGGAACAGCCGTAGCATAAAGAGAGGCTAAAACGAAGCTTTCTCCTCCGGCATTAGGCATTTAGAACTCTTTGGAGGCCACTCACACAGAAGGATAGTGCCACAGGCCACAGGATGTCATTAAGCATACTATATATTGTCACGCGTAAAACACATACAGAGAACCTAAAGCTGCCTCTCTCCAACGCTCCCGACAAGTACGCGGAGCAGGATTCGAACCCACGCGACCGTCCGGTCCGTAGCGGGGCATATGCGTGTGGGGCCCCACACTAGCGCGAGCACCATTGCGCAATGGGAGCTTCCTCAGCCAGTGCTGCGTGGGTGTACCACACGAACGTCCCTCTCAGTAGGTGAGGTGCAGCAGCCGGCTCTACGTGTGGGGCCTCCCGCATAGAATTCGCAGCCAACAACTCTGTGTCTTTGTACCTCCGTGCGGCGCGTACAGACTGGGGAAGTAGAGAGTCTGACGTTCGCCTGTGTCTTGCTAGCACCCTGAACTTCGGTGTTCAGACACCGCACACATCCACCAATGCCCAAAGTGAGGACTCCCTCTGCCTCCTTAAGGCACTGCTCAGAGAGAGAATACGAAGAGGCAACCACGGCGTCCACGCCTTTATACCCAAAGAAGTGAAACGTGTTACCCACTCCCAAACTACACACAACCTACACACTCGAAGCCAAGAAACTAGGCCGAGCAGGATTCGAACCCACGACCACCCGGTCCGTAGCCGGGCATTCTATCCAACTGAACTATCGGCCTGCTGCCGGGGGCCCCTACTTGCATTTGCACTACTACTCCCTACCCTAGGAAAAATAAACTCCTACTTAAAACACAAGCGTACTGCGCCGGCAACGGCTAGCCAGAACTCTCCCCTCCCACAAGGCGAAACGTTTGTACTGCCAAGGGCCTTATAAAAGCAGGGTCACTCCCTGCTATCCCGCCTGATTTCGCTGTAAGTGCTCTAGTCGCTGCAGGATTAGCTGCTGCTGCTGCTGCAGCACGTCTTCCTGATCCCCAGTGTACTGCAGAACAAGGGCATCCTCCTGAGCGCCCTCTGCCCGCTCACGCTGCGGTACTGCACTGCCTTCGCAGTTGGAAGTCCATGCGACTTCCACGCTGTACATACACACGCAAGAAGGACCGACGCATGCGGCATGCACCGAGATCTATCTGAAGTAGACAGCAGCACGTCACCCCCAGCGAGAACAGCGGACAGTCAGAAATACACCTGGGAAAGGGCAGCGCAAAACCATCACCCGACAAATGATAACAGCGGCGAACAGCAGCCACAAGTCTTGAAAGTACTTGTAAAAGGCTCTTGCTGCAGGCGTCATGAGGTGGACAGACACCGGACCTAGGCAGGCCACAAACCACTCGCTGCTGCTGGTGCTGGTACGTGCCCTGTTACGCCTCGTGCTGCCTGTGCTGCAGCTGCAGCTATCCGACACGAGGGGTATCTCTAGGGAGGCTATCAGCGAGCGAAGCAGCCGAGATACCCGCCTAAAGAAACGCGAAAACATATACGCCACAGCAGCAGCGTGCCAGATCGCACTATCCCCCGCCCCCCTTCCTTCCCCTCCAGACCTCCTCTGTCACACGTTTTCTGCATCTGCAGGAAGCACACCGTCTCTCACGCACCAGCAGGAAAAGCCTCGAAAGCCTACAAAGTGTATCAACAACAGCAGCAACAGAAGCAGCAGCAGCAGAAGCAGCAGAAGCAGCAGCAACAGCACAACCAAACCACCCCACCAGACCTGCAGTGGGCTGCAGTACTGCAGGTCCCGATCAAGGCAACAACCCCCAAGTCTCGCCGGCTGTGAGCCTCTAAATTCAAATACACAATGTCGATTACTCCCTCCTGTAATGGCGGCAACGCAGCAAAAAGCATAGCAGCGCAGTAACAACAAACGACGACAACTCGGGCATGCGCCTGCACAGGAGAAAAAGAGGCTGAATCTCATGAACGCATGCAAAGATACTTGCACCATCCTGCACACCGGCACTCAGACCTGAGTTAGGAGGCTTTTCAGATCCCTCAATGCTGGATATTGCCCTTTGCAAAACTCCAGATCCCTGAAGCACGCAGCAACAACGCGTAGACAGACAGTGAGACTGAGATAGAGAGAGAGAGAGAGAGAGAGAGAGAGAGAGAGAGAGAAAGAGAGAGAGAAAGAAAGAGAAAAGAGACACAGAGAGAGAGAGACAGACAGAAAGACAGATAAAGAGAGACAGACAGTGAGACAGACAGAGAGAGACAGACAGTGAGACAGAGAGAGAGAGAGGAAGAGAGAGAGAAAGAAAGAAAGAAAGAGAGAAAGAGAAGAGACAGGCAGATAGATAAAGAGAGACAGGCAGATAGATAAAGAGAGACAGACAGTGAGACAGAGAGAGAGAGGAAGAGAGAAAGAAAGAGAGAGTGAAAGAGACAGAAAGAGAGATAAAGACAGACAGATAGATAAAGACAGACAGATAAAGAGAGACACTCGAAGAAAGGCGCTGCTGCCCGAGGGTGGCAGCTTTCCCTTCCAGCATGTGGATTTCCTGCAGCTACCGCATAGGCTGCTTAGAGCCGTCTACCGGCGTTGCTGCACGATGTGTGGCGACTGTTGAAGGCGGCTGCTGCCTCGCATGGGTGCAGGAGACATACACGGGAGGAGCAGAGGAGGCTGCAGCTGCAGCAACTTTTGTTTGCCCATCGGCTTCAGAAGTACCGCCCCCAACAGGCCAGCTGAACCCCTTCGGTGGCTTGTAGACTGGATTGAAATAAGCTCTCCAATCTTCTTCGAGCGCACTTGCAGCGCCACCCCACTCTTCCTCTTCGGCTCCTTCGGGGTCAGTCGCAGTCGCAGCAGCAGCTGCTGCTGCTGCCTGCTTTCCAAGGAGGTACTGTTCGGCGCGCTGCAGCAGCAACTCTCGATTGTCTCGATAGAATCGCTGCGCAGGCGTCAGCAAGGCGTCGTCTGCCTCTGCATCAGAGCCTAAAGGCCTTCCATCTCCGTTGCTTGCGCCTCCTGCACCTGTCGCAGCAGCTGCGCTAATGTGAGGCGGCAGCAAATCCTCGAAGGACTGCTGCAGTGCCCCTCTTATCCCCCCTTCCCCCGCCGCAGCAGCTGCAACACAGTCTAACAGCTCCCTCTGCCGCTGGGAAAAGGCGGCAGCTGCTGTCGAGGCTTCCTCCGCAGCCAGTGCCTCGAGCTGCTCCTGAGATGCCACAATCTCTGCAGATGCATGCAGCGCCTGGAAGGGAGGAGGGGCAGTGGAGCCGCCCCAGCTGTCTCCGCCGCTGCTGCTTCTCGCTGTGCTGGAAGAGCTGTCTCCTCCGAAGCCAAGCGACGGCAGGGGGCTTTGTGCCTCAACCGTCTCGATGGTCTCTCCATCGCGACAGTCGAGGAAGCTGTCTGACGCGGTGCTGTCTTCATCGTAAAAAGGCATGCGAGCGCTGCTGTGTCCGCTGTTGCAAGGACTGCTGTTCGTCGCGACTGCACTCCATTCAACAGAAGAAGCGCGAGTGGATGCCCTCTCCGAGATAAATGTGCTCTCTGCGTTGCTGCCGCGGCTGCTGTCTTGCCCTTTGACCTTCTCAGCAGCCTCAAGCTCAGCTAACACCCTGTGGAGTGGCTTGGGGTCTCTTAAGACGGAAAAGCAGCGCGTCTTCCCTCTGCCGCTCCAGCATGCATGATGCGGAGAACTGTGCAAAAAGGGGTCGCTGGAGAGGCTGCAGAGGCTCCTCGAGTTCGGCGGTGCCTGTGCTGTTGCTGCTGCTGCTGCTGCTGCTGCTTCAAGTCGCGGTGAAGGCGCACACACACGTGGGGCCCCGTAGGAAACTGGAGGGCATGATGCCCGTGCTGCAGCAGCAAGAGCAACACGCGAAGCTATGGCCACGTTGCCAGGCATTCTATGAATTCAGCATTCAGCACCATTGGTCTATGTGCGATGAATCTTCATGAGCGTCCCCATTAAAAGGACACAACGCAATGCAACAGCTCGGCTTTCCCCCCTCGTACTGCAGCATTTCTTCGTTGCGACTGCTCTTCTGCAACCCCAGTGATACATAAAAGTACACAACTTTGCCGCCTCAGATCCGGTGCGCCGAGTATTCCTCAGCCTTCCACCGTGAAACGTATATTATGCGCGTTGGATTTACTCTAAGTAGCGTAGCATAGGGCCTCTTGCCACCAGCCACCTTCATGCATGCATGCCTACATGCATGCATGCATACAGCACGCCAAGGGAGCAGCGACCTGATCGGAGAAAGAGAAAATGGGAGCTACCCCCTACCTGGCGAGAACAGTGGCTAGGATTTTCTCTGCAATATCCGAAGAACTGCGTATTCAACAGGAGAGGATCCGCTAGACCGCCACATGCCTCCCCCTGCACCAGGGGCAGAGGAGCCTTGCCCATGAACGAGCGTTGGCTGCTGCTGCCCCGACGGGTGTCGCCGCTCTGCATGTAGCTTGAGGCGTGAAAATATATACAAATTCATGACGGTTCGCGGCTCGCGACTCTCCTACACGCCCGTCAACGCGCTGTCTGTAGCACCAGCGCCCTTCCGGAGAGCAGGCATTTGTTGCGCTTGCTTCGGCTGCCCCTCTGCGTTCCTCGCCGTCGAAGCAAAAGATGCTGAACCTCCCTCTGCGCAACACCGCCTTCTGGAGGGGTCCCTCGGGTCCAACGGTGGGAACTACAGGAGCAGCAGCTGCAGGCAGCGGGGGAGGGGGGGGGACGACTGCAGCCTCACGGCTACTGCCTGCTTCCTCCACAGCAGTACGACCCCGCGTGCAGCAACTCAGACACGAAGTAATCTCCGTTTCTGACTCCCGCACATTCCTTTGCAGCGCCTGCTCGCTTCCTATGGCACAGAGATTTAGGGCGGTACGAAAACTCGCATCTCCAAAACCCCTCTTTTAGGCCTTTTTTTCTCCCAGAAGCGCACTTTTCCCGCATAGCAAAGCACCCCCTTCTCCTCAAGCACCTTCCCGTGTATCGCGCCTTCTTCTCGCCATGGCTGCGCAGAAGCTCCGCGTGGCTGCACATGCCTTTTGTATGCGTGGTGATCCGCAGCTCCCTTGTCTTCACTTGACCTGCGGTGCATGTGTTGAGCTGATGCTCGCTTCTAGGCAGTGCCTAGTGTAAGTACACTCACACACACTTTCACACTCACATACACTGTCACACTCACATACACTTTGACACTACCATACATATACACACTCACATACACTTTCACACTCACATACACTTTGACACTACCATACATATACACACTCACATACACTTTCACACTCACATACACTTTCACACTACCATACACTTTCACACTCACATGCACTTTGACACTACCATACATATACACACTCACATACATATACACACTCACAAACATACACACATATACGTTCACACTAACATGACATACATACACGCTTCCCACGACCCTTCCAGACTGCTGCCTCCGCTTCAGTTGCTGCTCTTGCCGTTGTCTTAAGCTGCAAGGGACGCCTCAAGCGGCTTCTGCTGCTGCATGTGCGCGTATGGCTGCGGCTGCCTGTCCTGTTGCGTGCATCACAGCGCTAGCACTAGTTCAGACATACTACAGAGGAGTCGGATGGCTCCTGCGTAAAGTGTGGGTGCTCCTGCTGCCGCTGTTTCTGCAGGTGCAAGGAGTCCATCCAGGAGTCAGAAGAGCTAGGCGAGGGTGTCACTGTTTACCCTTGCAGAATCTGCAAGTTCGCTTGCTGCTTTCTCTCCGAAAAGGCATTGCAATACCACCAGCGACAGCATGGCTTGGAGAAGCAGCTGGCATTCCTCGACGCGGCTGCTGCTGCTGGCGCTGCCTCCACAGGAGCACCTACGGATGCTGAAGGCCTTATTGCTGCTTTGCATGCGGAGGGAGAGGTGGTTCTCTCACAGGAACCACAACACATCGCGCCTCCTCCTGCAGCAGATCCGCAACTTCAACACGGCCCCCCCCAGCTGCAGCCTATCCAGCAGCAAATGCGTCCTCACGCGTGGCAACAGCAACAACACGCAGTGCAGCTACAGCCCATGCAACACGCTTGGCAGCAGTCACCCCAACAGGAGGCTCCACAGCAGGAACTACACTACCCCGTCAGCTCGCAGCCTCATTTGCAGCACCAGCAGCAGCAGTGGATGCAGCCGCTGCAGCATTTACAGCACCCGCAGCAGCAGCAGCACCAGCAAGCCTTAGCGACCCCACCCTCGGAAGAATCGCCAGCAGCTGTATCCACACCTGATGTCAAAGAGGCACCTGTTGCCGCCCCTGTAGGCCCCTCTTTATCAGCTGTTGCCTCGCAGTCATCAGCATCAGTCGCAGGAGGGGATGCCGCTGTTGCAGTAGTACGAACGCCTTTGCACTTGCAGGCGACCCTTGGACAGCAACAGCAGAAACAGCAGCAGCAGCAGCATTTACAATCTCAGCAGCAGCAGGAAGAAGAAGAGGATAACTTAGATGACTTTCTGTAGTTTCATTATTGTCCCCTTGGAGCGCGTCTGGCTGGGCTGGGTCTCTTTTTCATCGTTTCTTGGCAGGCCTCATGCAAAAGACGTGTTACACACTGGACTAGGCTGTATATATATCCCTCTATCCCCTATGTATCTAGGCTTTGTAGTGGGAAAAAGGCGCACCAAGGCACGAGTAGCAGATGAGGGGCAGAAAGATAATACGCTCAAAAGCATAACGGACGAGGTACATCTGTATATACATACACACATGAGAACGCATGTCTCGGTAGAGAAGGAGAAGCGTTAGAGGCAAGGCGATGGAAAGCCATGGAGACAGACGCACGAAAGGAGACAGCAGGACGAGACGGCCGCCCCTTACAGTTGCCTTTTAGGTTGTTGCTTAAACATGCTGATTGAGCTGTATACGGCAGCAGGAGCTGCTGCTTCTCTAAATGTAGTGTGTAGTACGCAACGTTGTCGTTTGGCTAGTGGGAATACTTTGAGGTCGACACTCAACACGCAAAGCATGAAAGCGCGATGGGGGTGGGTGGCTGTCTAGGGGCAACAGCATGCACAGCGTGTCTATGGGCATTTCGAAACTGCCAGCAAGCGCTACTAAGCGTTTTTAGAGCACCGATCGCACAAAAGGCATCACTGGAAGCAGCTGGACTCCCTCTCTACAACGCAAGATTCTTCGCGAGAGGCGCCTCAGCGCCAGCTGCTATCGCGCAGCTTTCCAGCTGTCGCTGCTCTTGCTGCTGCTTGACTAGGCGGAGACGCTGCTGCACCTCCTCTGAAGAAAGGGCAGGCAATGGATCCGGCAGGTGAGCCGGAAGGGGGGGGTTGGAGCGTAGGTTCCTGAAACGCAGACAAACACGAACGCGAGCTCACTACTGCTACTACGCACGTGCTGCTTCTTCGACTGCGCATGGCACGCCTGGCTGCATCATGTGCTGCCTTTTTTCAAATCGCCGCGTAGTGGCACGTCATTCACCAGGAAGCCTGGCTGATGTCGAGGAAAAGAACGCCACACCGATGCACGAGGTATAGCGACACCGACGACGGGGTGTAACGACACCAAGGGTGCTCATAACAGCACGCACCGCAAAAACGCAATCTTCTGCGGCTTTCCTTCGAGTAATGCCCAGTCAAACCACTGCACGCGCCGGATATCCCACCCCAATTCGCTCAGCACCCTAATGGCAGCAACACACAAGCAGCAGCAGCAAGTCAGAACAACTCCAGACAGCCTAAGTTTTAGGGTCAGGCAGTCCCTATTGCAGCGTTCTGCACATGCACGTGTCCAGCTCAGGAGGGCTGACACGCAGCACCACCAACCAAAGGGGAGGCAGAAAAGCCGACAAGAACACGACTTCTACAAACACTGCAGGCACCATCCGGCAGCAGCGTGATGCCCAACACATCCACGGCAACAGAAGCAGACCTGTGCTGCAGTTTGACTGCCTCAGTGTAGTGAGTCGTTCCCGTATAAAAGGCTGCAGGCCCATCAACGAAGATGCACCGCCTCCGATCTCCTGCCTCTCCGATATCCACCCAGAAACATCCCCAACTGACAACGATAGTGCAAGCAAGCCCCAAAAACACATGCATGCATATATACAAATACATACATATATATATATAGTCCGAATTCGAAACCTTTAGGGATGATACCACCCGAGAAGGCCGCACTACATGCAGCAGGCAGCACCAGAAGAAAGAGCCTCCACTACAGGCAGAATCGTCCTCTGTGGTCGGGGTAGCAACGACAGCAACCCCCTTCTCCCCCCTCGTTAGAAATTCACTGCCAGGGATGCCGTCTGTTTGCGCTTGCATGCTCCTTTCGGCTTGCGCCTCTTCGCGCCTCTCCCAGTGCGTAGGTGCTGCTGTAGCCGCTACATCTGCTACAGCTGCTACGGCTGCAGCACTTTCGCGACTTCCACTCTCCCTAATGGACTTACTGGAACGTGTTGCGGTGAGGCGTATTCAAGGCGGCCAGGCAGTCCGAGACCTCCCAGTGAAAAGCGGAAGGGCGACGTATTGGGTGGGGAATGCGGCGCAAGCTGCAGGTGCAACAGCGGAAGTAGCGACACTGGCTGCAGAGGCGGGACGGAGGGAGCAGAGAAGAAGAACTAAAAGAGAAGGAAGGCGTGTGCAGCGGCTGCAGGGAGAGGATCGTCGCCAGTGGCTCTGGCAGGGATGCATGCAGCCAGGCAGCAAGGAAGGACAAGCACGGAAGCGCCATCACGAGCACCCCGAGAAGCGAGAGACTAACTTCCCCCCTCAGCCCCACAGATCCTGCCCACCCCCAGCAAACTCCAAACCCTACGCTCCTTGCGCTGAAAACGCTCACCTGAGCCGCGCGTAAAACTGCCGAACTCTGCGCGGAAGTGCTGCCCAGATCTGCGGCTGAAGTACACGCAGGGCGACAGCCGTCTGCAAGGCCTTTTCCAGATGCGGAGGACGACAGCTGATAAATACTCTGCACAAAACGCGCGCGCAGAGCAACTCCAGCAGCCGCCGCGAGTCTACTGGGGAGCCTTCTCAGAGGTGTTGTGACGATGCGCATGAAAGATGATGAACACACATTTCACGAAGCAACACCCGCGAGAAGCACATGGAGGATTTCGTGGAGGCGGCACTCTAAGGGGCATCTACCAGAGGATCGGCCGGAGTATACGCCTTCAGATTCGCGAGGAGCGCTGTGTCTGATGATGCTGACACCCCCCCGTGTGCGCCGAAATAAACACACAGAGAAGCACGCGTGATGATGGGATAGACAGCCGATCCCAGTGCGGAGGTCCATGAGGTCAGTTCCTCACTTTGAGAATCTCTCCATGACGAGCATCTGGAGGGGTTGCGTGTACATCCCAAGAACGGCAAGGGGATGCATGCAGCCCCGAAACTGCAGCGCGGGAGCGTCTCTCAAGACCGGTAGCAATGCGTCGCTGAGCCGTTCCCTGAGGGAAGGAGGGGAAACACCCTGAAGGGAGACAACAAGAAAGGAAGCGAAGCGGCTGCACATGCTTTGGGGGTGAATCTCCTGCTGTGAGAAACGTCAAGGAAGCAATACACACACACGCATGCGTGTGTGTGTGTGTATATATATATTGCGCCCACGCGACACTTGCCTCATGCGGCAGCCGCAGGACTCCAGGTGTACGTACAGGCCAAGAAGGTATAGCATGCAGCGTACAGCGAGGCGAAGAAGCTGGCTACAGTACTGGCAGGAGAGTGACCACCAAACAGCGCGCGATCGCAAGGGCTGCAAAAGCCTTGAACGGGGATCTCAAAAGGCGAAATCAACACGAGGAGGCAATATTCGGAGGGGCATAATTGCCATAGGCTCCTCAGTAGTGAGACGCACCAACTTTGCAAGGCTAACAGCAACTTTGATGAGATCACCAGGCCTCATCATGGAAGCCTTGAGCACCGCCTCCTCCCCAACCTGCAGATGAGCAACAATCACACAGCATTTGAGGAAACTCAACAGTTGTCACGCGAGAGCGCCTCTCTGCGGTAAGGCAGCCCGAGTGGGGCCTGCTAACCGATTGCATGCAAGTAAGCGCCTCAACAGTAGAACCCTTTCATTCAAGATGGCAAGAGTTGGGAGCTCCAGCAGCGTCCCCGCAGACTCGGCGATACGCTTGCTTAACCGTTTGCCATGCATCGAGAGAGCTGCACGGCGTTCAGCCTGCCTATGTCCGGCTGTATGGCGATTCAACAGCAAAACATCTTCCCTAAGGAAACTTACGGCCTGACGCTATCCTGTGTGTGTGTATGGGTAGGTGGGTATGTGTATGGGTAGGTGGGTATGTGTCTGTGTGCGTATGTGTCTGTGTGTGTATGTGTCTGAGTGTGTATGTGTCTGTGTGTGTATGTGTCTGAGTGTGTATGTGTTTGTGTGTGTATGTGTCTGTGTGTGTATGTGTCTGTGTGCGTATGTGCCTGTGTGCGTATGTGTCTGTGTGTGTATGTGTCTGTGTGCGTATGTGTCTGTGCGTGTATGTGTCTGTGTGCGTATGTGTCTGTGTGGGTGTCAATAAATATATACATATATATATACACATATATATATATACACATATATATATATATATATATATATATATATCCTCCAAAACCACCGCGCGCCTTCTTGAATGCTTACTTGAGTAAGCGCAGACACATCCCTCAAAGCCACTCGGCTAAGCGCCCAAGGGACTGTCATTAGTGCATGTGAACCAAAGTCTTCGAGCGAGGCCGTTGCGTAACGGAGCAACGAGGCATAGAGGGGGGGATGCAGAAAGCGAGCTTTTCCGAACCTTATTCAACAACACACACCAAGGGGAGACGCAATCTCGGTGCAAGGCACCCATCCCCCACAACGCCGCAGAGGCAGCAGCATTCTCAAGCCGCGAAGATGCACAACAACAACGGGATGAGGGGCAAACGACAACAAGCGGACGAGCAAGCAAAGCATTAGCACGCACCAAAAGCAGACACACACACACACACATATATATATATATATATATATATACATATATATATATATATATATACACACACACACACACACACACACAACGCCGCAGAGGCAGCAGCATTCTCAATCGTGCAGCACACCCACGGAATGTGCCAGGAGAAGGCATGCGACAACGCTCCACCGAGCAACCGAAAAATCAAGGGCAGCAAAGGAGAAGCAGTCGAGCATTTCTTTCGATGCACACACACACAGCCGTGTCAAGACAAGCTACGCAGTTGGCACCCCTCCCTCAGTCAAGATGCTCCCTCCCTTGCTTTCCTTCACGCTGCCCCTCTTGCGCATCCGACTGGCTCTATGCAAAGACATCACCGAGATGCTGACACTCAGCTTCCCGTCCTACCCGTAAAAAAGATACCCCAATTGGTAAGGTGTGCAGCTATCCGCCACGTCTTGTGCCCTTCGAGCAAAGCCAAACCTACGTAGGGCAGAGACACGCGCGCGCAAAGCTCTCTCAGTTCTTGAAATTTCCCCTTAATCCGTCATTTTTTATGATGCCAAATGCTGACACACCGCTTCTCCGGACTGTGGAAGACGCTGCTCTACTCTTGTCGACATAATACGAGCGCAACTAAGCCCTCGTCACACACTCAACTCCCCCCTCCCTCTCTCTACACCTTGGCAAGCCTCTGCACGGCTCCCACGCTACCCACACATACCATAGAGCGGCGTCGTGCTTGCGCAACGTCGCAGCCTTCTGCACAGCCGCACTCAAATACGCGGGATTCATTTCTGCTGCATCCGCATGCAGAGACACCCGCTGGGGAAGCCAGTACTGCCGCACGCTGAGACAACCACATACACACATATGCACATGCACGTGTGTGCATCCCGAGACACACCCCTATCAGAGCGTAGCCACAAACAAAGGGGCACTAGCCGGGCAGTCGGATGCTCCCACATAGACAGACTAGCTCCCTCAAACAAAGGAAGCCTCCTTTTCTACGCTGCACACGTAGAGGTGGTCGTCGAAACGCCCCCGCATGCGCTCGTGCAAAGGCGACAGCCAGGAGGCACTTGGCGCGGCTAGCAACGCACAGCGGCGTAGCCGAAAAGCACCAGCTCCCATTAAATAGGTATATACACCTATTTCTACGCAGCAAAGGGCTTACCGGTGCTGTGCCCAACTGCGAAATCTCTTGTGCATGCGACGGCCTTTGTACCGCAGTCGTGCCTCGGCAGCGATGGCAGACTTGAGGAGCCGCTCGCGCGGCTTCAAGAGCGGCATTTCGCGCGAATAGTTTGAAAACAGAGATATTTATAACGCGTCTCCTTGCGATCCCACTTAGAGGCCGTTCTACGAGCCTCCAGGCCCCCCTCCCCCCGCGCTGCGCCTTACAGCAAGCACGAAAGGCGTGTGCAGGAGGTGGGAAAGAAAGCTACGCGTAGAAACACTTTGAGTGATGACACGACTGCAGCTCGTGCAGGCTGGTAGCATGCCTCTAACCGGCGAAACGCCGCTGGACGTACACAGGACGATAGAGTTCCTGCCCAGCGGAAGCACCCTAACGCACAGCCAACACCCCCAGGGGGCTTGCAAATGCCTCTAAAGTAGTAAAAAGGAGCCTTCTTGCGTTTCGCGGCAACGCGCAGCCCTCATAAGGTCGCTGGGATTGCCGTGCCGCCTTCCTGCTGCTGCCGTCCTGCTGCAGCAGGAAGGCGGCAGCAGCCGCCGCTATACAGGACTAGCTGCCGCTGTGTAGACAGAGTGAGAGAGAGAGAGAAGGCATAAAAAGAAATAAGGAGCCACAAGGCCCCAGCGCGGAGGAATACAATCCTCCGATGTACCAATTAGGGTACTAAAGTGTAAGGCTACGAGTTTAGAGCAATGAGGCTGTAAACACCCTCGATTTGGAAGTGCTAATCCTCGCGCTGCTGGAGGTAAAATCTCCCTTGTTGTTGTGGCGCGTTTCCCAAAACACGAAGCCTGATTTCCATATTTTGAAAGAATTCTATTACTTTGAACGGAAGGAGTGCAGTTCTCCGCTATACCTAAGCTTCTCAACCTTCAAGGGCATGCATGCCATGCATGCATCCAGCGTACTCGTGGGGCTGCGGCGCACGGTCTGCACGAAACAGATCTGCTGTAACGCATGTTGTACACTGGAAAACACATTTTTGCTGTGTCTCCAGCATTGTGCTTCTGCAGGCACACATCAACAACGCCTACCCGGCTCGCTCCCAGCAAGCATCGCCGCAGACGAAGCGCTGCTGCTAGGGGCGTTCATGGCACTTCTCTATCGAAATACACACACGTTCGATGCTGATGTCGAGCTGCATAGCTTTTCCGAGGCTGTTCCGACTGCAGCATCCCCCTATGCCGCGTTTCCGGCCAATTAGCAGCAATGAGTGGGGAGAGGTTCTTCGTAAAATTTGATTTTTTTTAGAAGCCAACTGAAAGAAGCCGGGGCGAGGCTCAGCCTCGAACTGATGTGGTTAAGGGCCGCGCTATGGTGCATGCCTGATCGCGTCTCAGAAGGTAAGTAGATGCACTCACGCTTCATGCCTAGTATTCAAACGTTGTGCCTGCATGTCGTCGTATCGCTTCCTCTAAGGTCCCCGCGGTAGGGAGAGACACTTAACTCGACACCCAGTGTAAATTTGGCGGTGAGGGGAGAAAAATAGACAACTCCTAGGGTGCGGATTGCCGCGCCCTCTGAGCACTTTTAACATTCACAGCTAGTTGCACACAGCACCTAGCGGACGCGTACATATTAGTGCGCCTTCTTGTGCTGAGCCAAAACGACTCTACAACAATCAAGAAGGCGTATGAAAGAAAACACCAATCCGTCATGCTCTACCAATTCTTTCTTTCGTGTGTCTAGTGTAGTTGAAGGTGCCTGAGTGTAGCTTAACCGACTACGATGTTCCTCTCAGTTTCAAAGCACACGTGCATATAAATCCTACCTGTTTGTCGGAAGCAACTGCTCGCTAAAACAGCTGAAGAGTTCTTGCACTATCATTACTCCCCAGGCACGCCGAAACCCGAAAACAGTGCTTTCTCGAAATGCAAGTGTGTATCTCGGTAGCTTAGGTGAAAATGACTGGAGGAGATTCACACACTAACCAATACCGAAAGAGGGAACAAATCAACTCGACTCTGGAGGCGCACAGGCTCGCTGTCATGAGAGCGAAAATTCGTGTGTGTCTCCTGCTACGTGAAAAAGGACGACCAGTAAAATGTGTGAAGGGAAATAAAATATGCGCTGCTTCGGTGCTGCCTCCATGCCTCATAGCGTAGCATCTGCATGCAACGACGCCCTGAGCGTGCAACATAGTTGAAAGCAAGGCCCAACGGGGGAATAGGTATGTATGTAAGTACAACATACCTGGGACTGGCTGCGCATATATCTGAGTGTAGAGAATACCATCAAAACAGTAGCTAGCGAGTCCCCAGGTGATAGTCATAGAAGGAGGTAGGGATTCAGGTTGAGCATGCGCTGGGAAAGAAAAATCTCCGAGGAGCGCCAGGGACAGCTTCTTTGGCGACTAGCGTTGTCAGCCCAGCAGAGCCGCAAATTCTTGTCTGGGCAACGGAGCTCTCAACGGCTCCTCTGTACACCAAGAAGGCTGGCATTCGCCACCCCAGCTCACTAAAAGCTCTTATTTACAGTTTCGTCGGTGCCCATTGATAGCCAGGGTCCATCACTGCTACGGCCACCTGTGGATCATCCACTGCCACACAGGTCACTTGCTTGCGCGGCACGGTTTGCGAGTATACTGAGGAGTGTCGAACCATTTCCAGAAAGCGAATATCGGTGATTTCTGGCAAGTGTGACATTTTGGCCAATCACTAGATTCAATAAGAGCATTGATTTTCAAGCGAATGCCAACCATCTTAGCCACCTGACTGCAAATGTCTTCGTCTAAGCATTTTCGAATGCACATCGTAGAGCCTGCCATTCCGCCAGGATCGAATTTTTATGCCTGGAATCCACATATAGCTACCGTCCATCACAGTTCCGCACTTGTCTTCCATCAGCTCTGTGCATGTAGCGGCATGCACTAGTCACCTGTTCTCTAGGTCCATCTGCTGCTAGGAGTACCTGCTTTCCGCGCATCATCCGGTGCAAGACAGAAATGGAGAGGCCTTCTCAAAGGATACCAGGGATTTGGGAGAGCAACGGTTATACGAATGGATTGTCACATAAAAGATCTACTCAGTACAAGCAATAAGCTCCAGCCAAACAATTGGTTTTATAATCAGAGTAGCTGATTTTGCAGAACATTGCAATTGCTTCTCTTTTTCTCCCCATTTGCCTCACGGCCGTTCGCAGTGGTCACATAATAATCATAGTGTAAGCGGGTCAGAAAGGCCCGCTAGAATGCACTAGCAAATCTAGTACCCTTACCCGTTATGATACTTCTGAAGAATAAATGTAGCTTTCAGATGTTTGAAAATAACACGTGAGTGACACCCGTGCTAGAGCTGGAGCACGTGATAGATAAGTGAATTTGCTTTATCTGTAGACAACGACGTCGATACTATTCTGACCAGTGCATCTGGCAGACCTACAATGACGTTTTACTGTCGAACCAACCTGAATCTTCGAAGAAATCGGACGACCTTGCAAAATATCTGTTCAGGAAAATTTGGCCGTTTCAGCTGCCGAGAATCCGGGCATCACAATGCATACTTCTCCGCTGTGGGACTCTTCTCAGGCCACCAGACAGACCGTAAGAGCTTCTTTACTGTAGTATGAATCCCACCATGGACGAAGAAACATGATTATATGCTTTGGGGGGATCGACACTGTAAACTGAAGTTGGTATGTACAGTTGACGGAACCTCCACTGTGTTGAGCCACTGCACGCCGCCATCAGTGCGGTAGTGCTTCATCTGGCTGCCGATTTGTATCTCGGCAGCATTGGGGGATAAATTTGTGTCAACGGCATGAGATCACCCAATTTTACTGGATCCGTGAATCAGCATAGACAAGAGCGGTCGAGCCGCACAACTGTGAATTGATGGCGGCTCGCAAGTTCACGATAGTGTCAATGTTAGCGATGCCTTATTCCGTTTCACCGGACATTCGTGCCGCGGTAGAATTCAAAGCCAGCAAACGACTCTAGACATACCAAAGATCTGAAAATCTTAGTAAGGTGCATAAGGTCAACCTGGACAGCCGTATGCTACCTATCTCAATAATGCAAGCACTTTTTGATGCCCTACCAGGCCGCATAAAATTTTTTTTCCTGGCCGGATATCGCTGCTTGCTGTAGCAATGAGACTAAAGCCCGATATGCCAAAACTATTAGAGGCAAATAACAGTCACCATTGCGCCGTTGGCATCGATATTTAGGAAGCAATGGCATTCATATTCGGCCAGCACAAGCACCGGAGAAGGCGTGGAGCTGCTGAGCGGCCCAAACACCTCTGGCCCGGTCATAAACTGGGTCGTTTTTCGGGTATATGAGTCAATAAAGCATTAATCCGAACAAATACATAAATGAAATTTCGGTTCTAAGATTCAACCGTGCAAAAATTCGTAATGTCTGTGTGAGTGCATAAAGGGAAAGGCCAGGCCTTTCTTCGCATTTCGCCAGATCAGGTCTAATTCCTCCAGCTGATTCCGGGACTGCAAGTATTCTCATGTGCAATGAGCCCTGACGTGCCTGTGCGTACCACTGCTTCTCTTGCAGCAGCTGAAGCGCATGCTGTAGGCACTCTAGATGTTCTTGAACGTTTCAGGCTTGTAGCAAGACGTCGTCCACTTAGACAAACTTACACTGCTCCTTGATAGGCTCATAATATCCCTTAGTAAGTGGCCGTTGTAGTTTAAGTAAAGGACTCACAAGTTTAAACGTCATACGGGTATGCTTGAGTTTGCGGATGCGAGTGCGGAAAGCCGTTTGTGTCTGTCATCAGGGTGCTTGGGGAATTCAAAGAAAGCTTTTGTGATTTCAGATGCCAAGAAGTCTTAACACGTGCGGTTTGTCGAATATGCGGCATCAGGAACGTCTGGTCCACATTATTCCTGGTCAGGGGATAAAAGCGAACGCACATGCGCCACCTCCCTTTTGTTGGCACCAACACCGGCACGTCCCAAAGCGCTTGCCAGTTCCTGCAACTTTTCTCGAAGTATCACCGGTATATTGCTTCACCTCTTCTTCATAGTGTAGAAGAATCGGCAGCGCGGAAACCAGCGTGCGCTAAGGACAGGACTAGCTTACCATGGTGTGCTGGATGACCAGCAGGAAGGCAGCCTCAAAGCAGAACGCCATTAACTAGCATGCCCACGAGCCCCTCCTTATTACTTATTCATTCTTTATGCTCCTCGGCCAAACGGTCGGTAGAACTCTTTACCAAAGAACCAGATACGGAGTAACTAAGACGGGCTGCATGCTTACAACTGCCTTCTCTCACTGCGCTAATGTGCCGCCCACATAGAGAGTCAGCCTGGCCCTGTTGAGGCATCGACTCTACCGCGCTTGCACGGATGAAGTGATCATTGCTCGGCAGACCAAGACTTACTCTTTCCCTGTGCTTCTTGACACACTAACCTTCACAGCGTGCGGCTGCGGCCGCATGTGGGCCATTCATTAGGTCCCCCATTCACAGTATCTTGTCGTGTTCCACGGTAAACCGTAAACCCTGAAACCCTAGACCGCAAACTCCACATGTAAGTCATATATCATGCAGATAGGACCGAAACTTGATATCGCCTTCTGCTTCACCAGTCTCGTCTTCTGAAAGCTTGCTGTTGAGCAGATCACGGCATGCAGAGACGAGTCAGCGCGCGCATTGCGGCTTGCACTGCAGCAATTCTTGCAGGTCAACGATTTCTTCTACGTGAATCAACCCATCATCTGCAAGCTTTTCTATGTGAAAAAACCTCCCCATGCATCCCTCGTTCCTTTTCTTTCATGGGTCCCCAAGCGTGGCACATCTTCACTAGGCCGATGAAATGTTCGAGTACTCGTCCAACCTTACGGCCGTCATACGTCTTGGGTTGGCATGAGCTCATCGACGCATCCATAATCATTTGTTCGGCAGACAGATCGTGCCTTTTTATCAACTTGCACACCGGCCTTTGTCACCTCAAAAGGCTTGGAGTCACCTTTTACGTCTATCGCCAAAGAGTGTTTTCCCGGGCTGTTGCCCAAGAAAATTAATTAAATATTAAAAAACCCAAGTGAAGGCAGACAACTTTTGTAAACTTTCGAATGCGTAGGCCATCTTCCAGCTTTTGCATAGCAGTAAAAGGTCATTCTATTGGCTGTTTACACAATATACCTTCAGAGTCCTCGTTTATAGGCTCTCGGCTGTTCGGACTCGGCAGTATCGCACTCCTCATCAGGTACCCTATACAGCGCATGTTTTCCTTTCCACAAATGCGCTTCTTGTTTCCAGCTAAGCTAGACTTCGGCACGCTTAATAATTAGTCATCTTTTGGGAAATAATGGGTAAGCGTTGATTATTATTCACTGTCTGTTGATGCATTGCACTTTTTGCGAGGTAGCGGTAGCTCAATAGGATGAAACCAAGCTATGTGTGCGTGCGCCGAAGACGCTGGTATGTGCACTCGCTGTGAATGAATGCTCTGAATACAGTGTTACAGCTCAGTAATACGCATCCCAACTCCGTCCCTCTCCTCTAATGCCAGAGCCCTATGGTTCCAGGGTCATAAATGACATGGAGAGTTTTTTTAGAAAGCCCTCAACGACATTTTTATAAGCTTGGCATTGAGCTTAGAGAGCGAAATTTTCTTACAGAAACCTTGGATGAAGTGTCAAACTGCCGTCACCTTGCACCCTTATTGTTCTTCCGAGTGCCGCTGTTTTGCATCCAAGAAATAAAGAGATATCCTGCTCTGCTGCATGAACAGCTAGCTTGTTAGCCCCACATCATGCAATGTTTGACGTTCGTAGACTTCATGTAAAATGACTGGAGAACACTGGTCATACATAGTGAGCTATACACTCACTGCTGCAAAGGTGCGAGATTTCTAGACATTGGCATAAGAAAACACATGATCTTCCAGTGGCTTGTGAAAATCTGAATTGCAAACCGGACGACACCTTATATCCTGCAGGAAGCTGGACAGAGGAGTAACCACAATAACCACTTTGCTGTTACTTGTAGAGTAGTTGGCCTTCTTAGCCTGCACCGTCATACACCAACTTTTTGGTATGATGTCATTTAAATACGGTTATTTAGGGCAGCCACCGTCCTAAGATTAATCCAACACTGACCCCACGTGGAGAGGCCAAGTCTATGGCACGGAGCCATGCAGTATGAGTGCAAACGGAAGGTTTTATGCAGGTGTAGTGGTCCTTGCAATTCGCTTTACGTAAGTACCGGTCACCTCCGAGGTTACGCTTCTCAGGTGTCAGCCTGAGCGTCTTATCTCCAGCTTATACAGTCAACAGGTCATACGCGATCTCGACGGTGGTGCCATTGGCCAACCATGCCGTCCGGAGAAGGCAGTCTGGTGTCTGCTCGCTAAGGAAGCAAGGGGATTAGTGCTCAGGCCTCTTGCCTTCAACTGTTCCTTTTCTTCTTCTTTTCTGCTTAGGCTTTAACATACTTTCACAGGGGACTATCTTTCAGAGAAAAAGTATTGCCAGCATTCCTGGAAGTCCGAATTAAGCCTTTTTCCTCAAGTGTAGAGCGCACCAGGGCTGACGTTCATACCTTTTTTGTTTCTCACCCCATATCTTCGTGGAATGCTATACGTGCACATTCGCGATTTCTGGATTGAACAGCATGAGAACACCACTGTGCTTGCTAATACACGGAAAAGAGCAGCTCCTGAAACTGCAATTTCTTTGGGCAGCAGGGTGCTAGCTCTACAACGGGTCAGCGCCATGCGCGCTTAGATTTTCCCATGATTACTTTATTCAAGGCTTCTGCCGATCGCATACAATTATATCATCTTGTGATTCGTGAGTCTCCGAGCGGGCGCAGCGACGACAGCCACGCCAGTGACACTTTTTTTGTAGGAATGCATAATAAACTGCACAAGCCACGAATAAAAGAAGAAATGGCATGTAGCGTGTCCACCGAAGTGGATGCTGCACCGTTTCGCTGCCCTGCAGGTGATCTAGGAGCTCACTGCCGCAGTGTCTAAGCATCTTATAAGAAGGAAAGCCGCGAGATGCAGGAGTTTCGTGCCCTACAAAAGCGTCAGCACTGCGAAAAGTCAGTGTCGCTGCTGCCATTTTGCAGCAGAAGGCACAGCAGCACCTGTTGCCGGTGCGCCCTTTGATAGCGCCATCTCTTACAGCCCGTGCAGGACTGCAGAAACAGCAAGTAGTCAAAGATTGAAACCTGGATAGTAACATGTGCTGTCATTGCTGCTGCGGTTCTGCAGCATTAGTGCGCGTTGTGTAGCGCTGCGGGAAGGTCATTAAAAATCCACCAGGCAGTCGGATAATATCCCTGGCTCCACGGTGTCTTGATATTTTGTGTTCACTCTCTGGTGCATCAGAACTACGCTCAGGGTCTTTATCATCTCTCGCTAATCTGGCTGCGTAAATTTCTACTGGAGAACGCAAAAATGGGAAGAGCATGGGGTCCTCGTAACACATCGTTAGCTGGGTCAGACAAGCAGTGAGCGCCGTTTCACACTTTAGGATTTTGTCAGATAGGCTGAAGGGGAGAAACCCTAGCTTCCGCTGAAGCAGATCTATCTCGGGGGGGATCCAACCTCCCTCGGGACCAACCGCGAGAAGAACGCTGTGTCGCTGAAATTCGACTTGCTTTCCGTTGAGTTCTGCAGACGGGGGGTTTTCAGCGAATGGCCGCATCTGCACACACGAAAGCGAGCGGGGGGGCGGGGGGAAAGGCATGACAGCATGCGTGGCGTGAGGCAGCCGGACTGCCCGATTAATAAAGCAGCACGAGCAGCAAACGCGGAGACAGCAGTATATATATATTCATATTTACGTAGCAGCGACAGGATCACGCGCGCGTACGAGGAGACTTGGGAGGGTGGGCTCTGTGTGTGGATGTGCGACAAGGCGCAGCGTGGGCAGCACATAAGTAGATCCTGCGTCTGCGTTTTTGACAGCACTGGGTGCTTCTGAAAATGCGTCGGGAATATGTGTTGCAGCTGGTCCTTTTGCTTCTAAGTCATCCGCCTCACGGATCGCGGCCAAAAAGCCGTCCCATGAAGCAAAGGCATGCAGCTCTGGAGGACGTGTAATCATGCCCTGCTCCAAACCTACAGGCGCGGGCACATTTGCACAAATTGTATTTTTTTGAGAAGGTTGGAGGGAGAGGGAGAGGTGTCAGTTGTTGTCAGGCTTCCTGATACAGCGTCCAGGATGTCACCTGCTTGAACGTGCACTGCTAATGTCCCCATTCTTCGGCAGTGCCAGTGCTAAGAGGAGATGAAGCGAGACAAATGCGCAGAAAAATACCACGGGAGCGAGAAAACGAGGGAGCGACAATGCGGCTGCAAATAGAGTTCTACAGCGCAAGCGCCGAGAGCACAACAACTAGGGACGTTTAAAATGAGGTGCCTGGACGCACAAAGCACCCAGTCTAAAATCTTCTTCACCTAAACGAAAGTGCTCGTGGATATTCTCGGCAGACAGGCGAGAGGACGAGAGAAATCCCTTCTCAGTCCGAGCAGCGCAAATCAGGAAGATGCGGTGGATGCCCACGACAGCGCAGAGCTGCAGCAGACAAGCCGGCTAAGTAAGGTGTTTACTCACGGCTGTTAGATACAGATACATATATATAGATAGATATTATGTACAGCAAAGACAGACGCAATAAACATTAAGCTGACGTTAACTGAGGGAGTTCGGCAGCAGTATCTGCAGATAACCCTAAAAATGACAAAGCTGCCATGGAAATGAACCTGCAAGAGGCGCTCGAGCACTTTTGGACGAGGTACAGCAAGAAGCAGTTCAATCTCCAAATGTTTATAGGGCTGCTTCATGGGCATCCTGAGACAGCATCTCACGTCCAACACGGGAGCACTTTCAAAAAATGCATGCATGCACACGCAAGGACGAGAAACAGATCTGAACTCGTGGGAGAGGATATGGGATCTGCGCAGCAAGAAGCTGCGCCATACAGCCTCTGCAAACAAAGTGGCGACGTTCTTCTTAAGCTACAACAAAATGAACGAGGCCTTTGCAGCATGCAGATCACTAGGATGCGCAAAAGCACACTCTCGTGAAAGCACTGCATGAGGAGTCGGAAGCACCCATCCTAAGGCCGTCGTGGCAATAAAAAGAAAGCATGCAAGACACTTACAGATCGATTCTTTCGAGGAGCTTGATTATGGTCTGATCGCTTTCACAGGCAACCACCTCCGCCTCCCCCACACCCGCCATTGTGACTCCAACTCGCAAATGCGTGCCAGTCTGAGTTCACAAGGAATGACGGCCAATCATGGGAGACCTTCGTCGAAGCGAGCCAAGCGCGTTCTGATGTAGTGCATCAGGCAAGTCTAGAGCCTACCTCCTTCATATGTTCATGGCCCCCCAAGTATATGGACCTCGACAACTGAAATTTCGCCACTAACGGACCGGCAGCGCTATGTGTGTAAACAGGGGCAGGAAATGGGGGTAGCAGTGGGGGAGACCACGAAAGCAGCATGCAAATTCTGGCAAATTGCGGGCACGCGGGAAAGTGCCAGAGGCAAATCTGCTACATACTTGTACAGAGGCAGCTACCGAAAAGGATGGCTAGTGCGGTGGAGATGCTTGGATGTGTTTGTGTGTGTATGTGTGTGTGTGTGTCTGTCTGTCTGTGTCAACTGAGCTACCACAGATTTTTAAATGGCACCAAGGGGTACTGAAAGGTCAATTTAGACACAGAAATGAACATTGCTTCGGATGGACCGACACCCGGGGTGTGTATGGGGACGTACGGTGACTTTGAGGATGCGCTGGCAGTGGCCATGAGCCCGTCCTTGAAGCACGGCATAGACACCATCTTGCTTGAATTGGAGGTCTTCTTTGTTCAGCAGAATTAAATTCATTGGGATTCCAGAATTTGTGTCAGCGAGGAACAAGAAGTCTCTTCAGAGTATGCGTGCGCAGTGCGTCAAGGGGCCTTTCTGGGGGCAGACGGTTTTTTCCTGGTTCTTGAGAGGAGAACTGCTAGTGTGGGCGAGTTGGCGGCGGCAGTAAAAATAAAGGGCAATACCGATTTCATATGTGCGTGGTCGAGGGTAATGGACAGATTCTGTCCTACTTAGCACCGGTCTGAAAGGAGGTGCTGACGGCGAGCAGTGAGTGACCACCGCGTGGCTGCATTGAGGAGATGCCTATTTCCTCCAGACTTCCACATAAAGTAGAGGCTGCTTCATGTGTACTTTAGGTTTTTGAACCCCCGATTTGCTCGTCCAGCCAGAAGGCGGTCCTTCACGCGCTCCCTCGTACCCACGAGGCCCCTCAGTCCCTTGATTAGGGCTGTTGTGCACCCTATCTGAAGAACGCGAGGGGACTTGGTGTGTTTGCTGGCTCCACGGCATTACGGAGGCAATCCTGCGCATTACACTTCCAAGGAAGTGCCACCGTGCCGGGGTTCTGCCGACGTTTGCGGTGCTGAGCCTTTGCATGGTGACGCAAGGACTGCACACAAGGAAATAACCCTGTGCCGGTAACATTCCTAGCAGTAACCTCCGTGCGCCTGAATTCGCGGATTATCATGGACAGTCACAATTTGGCAAAGCTACTTCGAATTCTGCGGTCGTCGTCGGTGGCAGGCACCTCCCTCTGCAGCCCTCGCCCAACTGCGAGACTCGCATCTGGCAAAGCTATCAAAATGCTGATCATGGCACCGACAATTCGTCTGCACACTTGAACCGATCCTGCTGAACGGGTGGCATGTCCTGCCTCGCGACTCTGTTTCTTGCAGTTTGTGACAACGTGCAGCCTGTTGCAGAGCACGCATGGCAGGAGTTCTGTAGCGGGCTAAGCTACACTGTGACACGTTCTACGAAAGCAGCCATATTTAGCTGATGATAGTTTGCAAAGACATGAATTCTTAGTTTGTCGAGCCCAGTATTCCACGTACTGCAGAGTAGTGTGAGCGCGATCCAAGAACAGTTCATCTGTGTGCATGCACGCTCAAGAGGCCATGTGCAACTAGTCATTAATGCTCGAGTACTTCAAGGGTGCAACAACGCGCACCCTACCTGCCCCTCTTCGTCATAGCGGATCCCTCAGGGCCGCGGTTAGGGAAAGGCAGAAACACTTCCAGGAGAAACACGCAATATTTATATTAATTTGATGTGGAGTTGTAAGTGTCTACCCTCAGAGACCTTAGATGGAATAACTCCGGCCCTCCAAGCTGTTTGTCGCTAAAGCCACTGACTTTTTCTCCTTCCTCGCCCTCTTCGATTCTACTGCTACGCCGCTCACTGCATGGCTGCCGTGTCTATGGTTTGACGACACCTCTAGGTCTCCTATTCGATGTTTCGAAGGGTGTGCCTGTGTGTCGCCAGGGTGGTATCCCTGCATATGAGAACACCTACATGCATCTTTTGCTTGCTAAACACATACCGCGCCATACGCCTAGACCCCAAAGATTCGATGCGAAGCCCCTCGTATTTCTGCATCAATACTAACGCGATGTCTAGTGAAAAAGTCCAGAGTTTCTCTTTGGTATGCGTATCTACCCCGTAGATGCCATAAAGTCCTCGGGAAGAAGTTTCATGCACACGCACAAGTGAAGAGCTTTGCATAGCAAATACGCGTTAACCTACCCTGTAGGAACATGCTGTCGCTGCTGTTGCGCATGCTGCAAGCATCTGCAGCAAGGCAGGAGGAGGGAAAGCCCTCCGCCATCTCCTCTGCACCGACTCCGCAGTTGCCGGCATAGGCGGACGCCAGACCCTGTACCTCTCTGTTAGGATCTGCAGCAGTTGTTTGAATACCTTTTTCTGCCGTTGCTGTGGATGACAGTACGAGTCTAATGGTCACTGATGTCAGATAAAGAGGACCTGTCCGTTCACGCGTATATTGTTGCTCAGCGAGAAGACGCCTGATCCTGCCTCCCTGCGGCCCACTGGCTCCTCAATTTGCAGTGACACTCGACTGGAGAAGGCGGAAGGCCGGGGTGAGCGGGACGGGGGAAGGCGAGGGGGGAAGGGGGAAAATCCTCCTTACTCTCGCGAGGCTTTTATTGTCTTGACCTGTGCTGTCCGATGCTGCTCCTGCAGATACCCCGACTGAACGTCATCCCGTCGAGTGGTGCTGCCGCTATGTCGCCCATCTGGATGCCCTGTGGATGCCTCCTCGCTGTAGCACTGGGGAGGCCGCAAGTCTAGACACACGCGGCTGTCTTTGGGCGTGAGCTCTTGAGCTGCTGCAGCTGCTGCTGATGAGGAGGACTCTTCCACCATTTGCTCTGCCGCTGCTGCCGCGGCAGCAGCGGCAGCGGCATACCGAATGCTGCGCTTGAGCTGTAGCGCCGTAACGGACACCGAGGGCGGAGGGTCTACATAGAGGCAGCGTTTTCGCGATATAGAAAACAGAAATATATGCAAGAGAGCGCAGCACAACAAAATCCCAGAGAGTACGAAGACGGCTTTCGATGGTTCTGAGAGGCAGAACACCTTGTACACGTAGCCCGATCCGCCTTGGCCATTGGGCACGTCGAAGAAGAAGACACAGAGCTGCACTATGAAGTACAAAAGGAACAGGATAAGGGTGAAGCCCATGTGCCTCAAGGGACAGGGGATTCGAGAGAGGAGAGACGCATGCAGGAGCGTTAAAAAGACCAGCACCGCGTGTTTCCACACAGTCACCCATGAGCCCGGGAACGCGACGTCCTCCGCCTTAAAGAGCGAAAAGTAGACCGCAAAGACGCCCAAGGAGGCCACAAGTTGCAAGTTATGAATTATCCACGTCAGCTTTACGAACCAAGGAATTTCCGAAATTGTTGTTCCTGCGATTTTTCGTGCTATTCCGTTTACGTCCGTCGAGAGGTCCACTGCGCAACGACTGCCTGTCCGACAGGTAGGATCGCTATCTGCTGCGCTCGAGTGGCAAGCTGTGACAGCTTGTGAGGGTGCTGCGTTCATGATGGCTGGCTGGGCTGGACTCGCAGGATAGCTCCTTATGGACTTCTTGGCCTTCAAGCAGCACATTGAGTCGCAGCCCTCCTTAGCTACGCTATCCTGAACCAGCTTGCCCATATTGCTGGGATTCGGAGCGAGCAAGATCCCCTCCACGCAGTAGCGGCTATCGGCCATTAGATCCCTGTATCCTGGAAGCACAAGACAGACAGCGCGAGTGTCTCGTGGCGGCTGCTTCTGCCTAAGGAGCTGCTGACGTTGCTGCACGAGCCAGGGGAGCAACGCGGATTTGTTGGAGCTGTAGGTTGGTCGGGGATGGCGGCCGTCGACAGCGACAAACTCCAAGGCAGAAAATCCGAGGCTGCAGCTGCTGTTTTCTCGAGAGGCGCTGAATCGCTCTGTGTGCTTCTGTGGCTGCTGCCTCGGGTACACTCGTGGAGGTTCATCAACGGGATTCATGAGAAGTTCGCTCTGCGGCTGCAGTCCCTGATGGTGCTGTTGCTGGTCGTCTTCTTGCGTAGCAACGTGTTGAAGCGGAGCGGCAAAGCTCTTGCATGCGGTAATTGAAGTGATCGTCAGAGAGAGAAACCCAGCGGCCACCAACAGACTATTCCAGTTCGTGAAATAGAGCATCTGCGCCTTGCCCACTTCCGCATACCCCTGGATAGAGGCGAAGCACTCCAGCACGAGGACGCAACAGCAAAACAAGAACCGGAGAATGGTCAGGAGCAGGGGATCTATCACATTGGGAAAATACGAAGAAACAAATACTTGCCTCCAGTCTCGCTGATGCAGGTCAATCCTCCAAAATCGCCGCAGTTGCTTCAACTCATAAACCAAATGCTCTCTGTAAGGAGGCACTCTAATGGCCATTGGTATATTCTTTAGGTCGGGCATATTTACGCCAACAATTCCATGAGCCGCAGTGGCTTCAGGCGGACCCTCCGGGCTGACGGGGAGATCTCCACAAAGGGATGACACTTCCGAAGCTTCTGCAGCCATGGAAATTTCTGCAGCCGCTGCCCTGGCGACAGCACTAATAACTGCCTCTGTAGCAGCTGAGTCGTTGCCATACGCATGGGGGTTCTCAACGCGGATGGAGCAGTAGGACGGCTGCTGCTGCGACTTTTGCTGTACCTGTTGTTCATGCCGATGCATGAGCTGCAGCGTGGGGCTGAATTCCTGGTGCCGCCTCTTCAACTGCTGCTCATGGTGGTAATCTGCCTGCTGAGGGTGCTGCGCTGGAACAGAGCTGATGTACAACGACCCTATTTTCGCTGATTCTGAGCGGCCAGACTCTGCCGCTGCACCTGCTGCAGCGTCGGCTGCAGCAGCCGCCGCTGCTTGGGCATTTTTTGCATGCACATGCGCGCATAGGCCCAATGTTACGAGGTAGCAACCGTTACCATCGGTATCCGTGTTGCTGATGCGACCATAAGGGGAAGCGGCAGCCTGCCCCTCATCTTCCCGAGGAAGCATCATAGAGGGTGACGAAAAAACCCCTTTTAGGGGACTCGTTTCGCAAGTCTTCACAGAGGCCATTCAGTGGACCAGCGATCACTGTTCTGCGAGCCAAGCAGCTCCTACTGTCACCGCCAGGCTACCAAGTAACGTGCTGTGAAAAATTGCCCGATTTCAGTACACAGTCTGGAATTTCCAAGATACACCTGCATTATTTCAATGGATAGTGCCAGATATGAGGCTGAACATACAGAGAGCCCCCGAGTGGACTGCTGCCCTTCTCAGGTACGAAGATAGCTGCTTAAAGAGCTACAGACTATTAAACAGACAAATCAGAGTGCGAAAAGAGTGAGGAACCGATCATTCTTCTGCGGGAAAGTGGTGCTCTTAGGCACTCTCCCCATTGTGACCCTGACTCCCTAAAGCTGGCGCCCTGAGAGCACAGCGTGTTCACGGTCAAGGGTGGAACTGTGTTCGCGGCGTTGCGAGCTATGTACTCAATACTCCGACTATAGAGATTTTCTTGTGCGATTAGGATTTTAATGCACTTTTCACGAGGGTCATTTGTTGTTTCTATTCAGTTTCCGTAGACTGAAAAAAGAGATTCCGTCCCCGAGTGGCTCATACGCAAAACCCTTCCTTCTTGCAAAAAATCATACTGTAGATAAATAGAAACATTCTAAAGGAGATATTCGTAATCTTCTACTAAAGAGTGCTCCTCAGAGTAACAACGAAGGCCCGCATTTCAGTGTTACTCACGTTCCCACGGTTCTCCGTCGTTGTCATTCAAAGAAGCACGCATGTTCTCAGGGGGCAGCAAGCCAACAGTTATATTTAAACGTGACAGTTTTAACGCCTCTTTGTGCTATTGATCAAGTTGAATAAGGGATTCTGAAGTTTGCTTGAGATGCTAGGATCAACATATACGCTGTTCGATCTCCTTGCATAACGCTTAAACAGGCGACACGGGCAGAGGTCACAAAAAGATGGCACACGGTTCTTTTAAAATACCATGTGCACGGTCGAATTCTGTTCTTTGACGAATTTGGGCTTACGCCGTCAACAACACGTGCAATTCCAAGATTACGCCCCGGAAAAGTGCTGGCACAACATCCAAGAAGGAGCGCTGGTGCTTCTCACGTCTAGGTCAGTCCCTGGTATTCTAAACATTCGTTTTGTATGTGGGAATACGCATTGTTGGTATTCCCTGCACTGAACGCTGTGCCGCTAGGGTTTACCGCCGGGAAAATTGCAAGGCACACAAAGCAACTCTGTGGCACAGGTTTGGCGTCCATTCTATTGTGCGCTGCGGGATTTGAAAGCTGCCATTAAATGAGTTTTATCGGACGCTTCTTAACATTGATTAGCGAATGCTACACATGCACGCAGGAGAACTGTTGTTGCGCGAAAGAATCCATTTGAGTTCTAGAGGCAAACCCGGATAGCAGAAGGTTGCGCATTATCATGCAGGATGTGCTGACAAAAATATGCATCCCTATGATATTTCATGTGGATTGTTTAGATATAAAGGTCTCGTAGACAAAAACAAGGAACTTCCTCCTGCTCGGGATGAGAGAAACAGCAATGACCTTAGTTTGTAACTGGTGGCTCAACCCTTTTATCGCTCCTTTTCATTGCAGGAACTTCAGGCGTGCGTTATGCTGCTTGTTTGCACCTATAGACACTAAAGCTCGTGCGTGTGACCAGCGCAGCAGGCTCAGCAAGGCACGTTTCGCTGCACTAGCAATGATTAAGAATTTGGAAATGATCGACTTTCTAATTTGGCTCGCCTGTTCGCCGATTATTGTTGCTGCAGAGTAGGCAGTTCAATACGGTCAGAGCCAGTGGCGGGTGCCCGTGATGCAGCTGCTATCTGCATTTAGCTGTAAACGGTGGTGATTGCTCAGAGGGTACAGCACCGCGTAGCCTACACGTGCCTCTCCAGTCACATCAGGAAACGAGGGGAAGGAGAAAGAAAAAGCCCTTCCGGAAACACTATTCCTTTCGCTTTTTTTAAACAGGGATTGAGGGCTAGAGGTGTCGCCTTTGAGAGACCCCAAGCAGAGCGCTACCTCTCGGAATGCAGGAACGACAACGATGGAAGCCCATTCACGACTGAAGCACGCTCCTACCATATGGGTTTAATTAGTAGCCAGCTAGCCATACAACAGCGCATCATGCATACTCGTTATCTCCAAGCAAAAACACGCGTTCGCCGAGTCGCTCTGTGAGGTCCATCACTACAATCTCTTGGCACGCTTGTGGGGCCAATCCTGTGGCGTCTGCTTTATGCTTGACTGGGTTGAAGAGACCATAGGACTTCTTCCGAGAAGCAACTATTACGGCTGCTCACGATGCACTGCTCTTACGCGCCTCCCTTAAGCTCAGGGTCGTCTCAAGGCATACCAGAATCATCTACGCATTCAGCAGCGGTAACGACCGCAGTTGCGAGCACCGAAAGAAAAGACCAACTTCAGCAGCAGTGAGCTACTCAAAGGCCTCTAACGCTTGAACACTGTTGAATAATGACTCGTAAGAAAGTAGCCTCCTACGGCCTCGATTTGTGAGCACGCAATGCGATGCACGCACCACTTTTCTATAGCCCTAAGACATGTGAGATGCCCCTGCGAAGTTCATAGTCCCACTTCCTCCAACACATCCGTCCTGCGGTGTGGGGGAATCATTCTGTCTTGCGCTCTTTGAGTGCAGCGACGCGTTGCTGTGCAAAATGCCGCCGACCTGCATCACGCGCGAGGATCACCATGCACACGACATGCACAGGTACATGGATTTACCACACACCACACTACACTCCGCAGAAAAGACTTCAACCGCACATTTCATATATATATAGGGTCATCCAAATGCTCGAATTATGGAAAATGACGCCCAACCCAATTCGACTGCAGTTCCATCGACTCTGTCCCCTTCTCCGGCACCACACGAATTGCGATTACCCCTTTTTTCCACAGTGCGATGTAGACATGCACGCTTCTTCTCAAAAACTTTTAGCCCATACGATAAACAAGCCGTCCCCTGAAGGTGTGACGTGTGTGAGTTCGTGAAACGCACCCAAAAACTTTAGGAACTCATCGAGGATGACGATGGGGAAAGACCACAGCAGCACGTACACCCAGTCCATTGCGGTGAGTTCAACGACGCCGAAGACACGGTTCTACAGCAGCACAACGCAGTGTGTGACACATAAATGCCCATGAAGAGGCCAGCCCTCAGAGGGAAGAGCCAGACTGAATGGGGAGGGGGTGAGAGCGAGGGGGGGAAGGGTAGGCAAGGACAGATGTTGCGCGCGAAAGCTGCACTGCTGTGCGCGGCTGCTGCTGCTTCAGGCCGCCCACTCACCAGAAAGGGAACGTAAAGAATTACGCAGTGGACGAGAAGTGATGATGCAGTAGCCAGGAGCAAGTATGGGTTCGCCTGCATATATGCATGCATTCAAGACATCCACCACAAACCATAGTTTTTGTGCAACGCACGCGGGGTACACGATTAGGCCACGCGCGGCGCAGCAAGCAGCAGTTATCCGTTACACACTAAATCATCCTTGTTTTTGATGTTGCACTGAGCTGAATTATGAGATGCCGAATGCATTCTCGCGATGGCAGCATAGCCTCATAACTGCAAGCATTCTCCATCCCACCCCAACTACTCGTGAGCACTGCAAGCAACCCCTCCACACTTTGCACATCGACGCGCCGCTTACCCAGGGAGGCATGCGAAACAGAGAATGGTTCTCTGAGAGGGCGTTGAAGGCATTGAACATTTCGATAACGACCAACACCGTCAAACTCAAGGTGCTCGCCTAAAGCGGAAGCACAAGAATCAGAAACCTCTCCCGACGAAGATACACCAGCTAGCACCACCAGGGCCGCACACTCATAGAAAAAGCCGAATCTCTACAGCACAGAGGCTTCAAGGCTGGGAACTTCAGCAAAGAACGGAGCAAGAACGGATCTTCGCGTATTTTAATGGTCCGCAACGGAATGACAGGGTGGGATTGGGGGTGGTGGAAAGGGGGCATGAATATCTGCAACAAACCTTCGCCTTTCCAAGCGTGAAGTAGGAGCAGGGTTCGTTATCAGCCATCCCATAAACAGGGAGAGGGTTGAAGTCCTTCCAAGAAGAGCACCGACCCCACGCCATTAGCTGAGGCAGGGTGATGAGGGTGTGTGCTTCTGCTGGATCCGTTCCGAAGACATACCACCACACGAAAATGCCGACTGTGGCGAAGCCTACATAAATTCCAACCATCAGATATCGAAGAAAGATCCAGGTGCTGATCAGGCGATCATCGCGGTGTCTGGGGGGCCGCTTCATGACGTCGTCATCTGCGGGATTGAAGCCTGGAGGTCGAAAAGGAGGCAGAAAAGGAGACAGCAGAAAAAAGCGGGCATGAATGACACCCCTCGCTAATGGAATAACACGATAGACGAAAAAATGCAAGAGGAGGGCGGCCGAAATCATAGGTCGTGCATGCGCTTACCCAAGGCAGTGGCAGGAGGTCCATCCGTCACGAGGTTCACCCACAAAAGCTGCACGGGAGTAAGGCCTTCAGGAACTCCGAGAGCGGCAGTCATAAAAATGGAAGCGACTTCTCCAATGTTGCTGCTGATTAGGTAACGGATAAACGCCTGAAGCCAAGAAACACCAAGAGGCGCACAGGTGGCCTCAGCATGAAGCATTCCCACCCTCCAACCCCCGTACATACACCTCGGGGGAATCCACGAGGAAGAAACAGAGATTGGCATCCAACAAAACGCCCATATATATATATGCGTGCCTGCCTCTGCGCCTATGTAGAAATGCGCATATGCGCCGATAAACTTGAATATAGAGACTCCCAAGGAATGGAAGACAGGGACGCTAACTTTACAAAAGGCCATTTTCAGAAAGTAGAGCACGTCAGACACCTCGAATCATGACGCAAAAAGCATAAATCCTGGGTGGCCAAGGCCCTACCCCAAGGGCGTTGAGCAGCTCGTCGCTGGTGCCACCAGCTACGAGCTGCAAGCTCCACTCGAGACAGACAGACATCCATGCAACACGCTTAAATGCGATGCCTCCAAGAAGGCGCAGACAGGACAGACAGAAAACGTGTACAAACCTTCATGTTGTTGTAGATGGATCTGCCCTCCTCGACTGCCGCTACAATCGTGCTAAAGTTGTCGTCTGCCAAGACCATGTCGGAAGCTTCCTTAGCCACCTCCGTGCCAGCTATCCCCATAGCCACACCAATATCTGCCTGTTTCAGAGCTGGCGCATCATTCACACCGTCGCCAGTCATCGCCGTTGTTTCCCCTAGCTCCTTCAGCAGCTTTACGATGAGCTGTTTGTGTTTCGGCTCCGTCCGCGAGAAGATTGCACCACTCGCTGTCGCAAAAATAAACACACACACCACCTTGACATGTCGTGTGCACTTGAAACTCACCCCTTCGTGATCATCATAGCCCTGCAACCCCCAATAAGTGGTAGACTGCTGACTGACTACAGACGAGCTTATATACATATATATATATATATCTATATATACATATAGATATAGATATATATAGATATATATATATATATCTATAGATATAGATATACATATAGGGGCTTACGGTGTGAAAGGACTTGCATCTTCTGGGCGGGTGTCAGATTCTCGAACTCCTTCCCCGTGTACGAAGGAAAAGTCTTATCACAGCCTTCTCGAATATGCACCAGGTCAGCGACAGCCTCCGCCGTGTCTTTGTTGTCTCCCGTGATCATTACCACACGGATGCCAGCGTCTGAAAGCACATCAGCAGGCAGCAGCCTCCCAGGGGTCCCCTCCATATGGGGTGTATGTACAAACGCCATATATACAGCCCCAGCAGCAGTACCAGCAGGAGCAGTTTCAGTGGCCCCCCTTCCATGAATTTTCTGCAGAAAACAGATACATTTAGCAAAAAACTAAAGTCACCCCAAGCCTCCCAGAAGACGCCTGCACACTGCATGCATTACACCAGCGGGAGGAGTGTGTGCAGCGACGCTGCTCCACAATTTCCGACACCAGCACCGCAGCCTCTGTGCGATGCTGGTGTCGTGGCAATCGCAACACCCCCATGACTCCTCCTTTCCTTCTTCCTCCTCCTCCACTCTTCCAAAGCCTTCCAGATGTCACGATGATGAAGACAAGGAAAGGAGGTGAACTAGAGGAGAGGAAGAGAAGCGGAGAAAGAGGAGAAGACCCCCAGAATGCATCCATTGCCCCTTACCCCTGCACTGAAGAATGGAAGTGCCGACTTCTGGCCTCGGCGGATCGAACAAACCCACAACGCCAAGCAAGCAGAGGTTGCTCTCAAGAGATGCATAGCTCGACTGGTCATCGAGCAGCGCGCGAGCAGCAGCATGCTGCTCTGTATTCTCGCCATACATCGCTAGGGGCCCCGTGTCTGTACGGACAGCCAACGCGAGAGTGCGAAGCGCTCCACGTGCCATGCCCGCAACGTCAGCGAGGATGTTGGCATGCGCAGCAACGTTTAGAGGCACTATGTTGCCGTTCGGAAGCATCATCGTATCGCATCTGCGAAGAATTATACACGCATGGAGTGGAGAAGCCCTTGCAGCAGCATGCTCTTCGCAGAGACAGCCACAGCCACAAAAAACCAAAGGGCCCATACAGAGAGGACTGCACGCGCTCGACTCACTGCCCCCTACAGAAAGCAAAGCAAAACAAAGCCGCAACAAAATGCCACAAATAAACTTGATAAAAATCACGCAGCAGCAGCAGCTCCTGGAGCCGACCTTGTAAGCAAACTCTCCGGGGCACCCTTGACGAAGAGGTGGTTCGTGCCTGTCTGCACGTTCCGTGATAAGACACTCATGCTCTTCCTATCGCGACTGAACTCCAGCGTGGCCAGATCCTTATACTCGCCTTTCCAGTAATCGCTGTTAAAAATCGCGCACGGACAGACAGACACACAGACAGATAGACACACAGACAGATAGACATACATACATACATATACACATATACATACACATATACATACATAGATATACACATACATACACGTATACACATATACATATATACATGTACACACATACATACATGTATACACATATACATAATAATACACATACGCATATACATACACATACGCATATACATACACATACATATACACATACATGTACCCATACATATGCGCAACGCACTCCGCTTCAACGACCGCCAGCACCCCACAGCACGCAGAAAAAGAATTGAATTTCCCGTTGCAGGCCCCAACACTACGCTGCCCATGCCGCGCTGGAATACGCAAGAAGATCATTTGAAACTGCTCACGCACCAGAAGGGTGTAGGACAGGCAAAGCTGCGCTGCTCAAGCTTGCCGTTGGCGCTACGCTGCGCCTCCGAGAAAAGCCCAAGTTTTTCTACAAGAACAAGAAGTGCCGCTTCCGTAGGCTCCCCCATCCGTTCGTAGTGACGGCCTTCATGAGCCTCGGGAAGAAGATTGAGGTGTGCCTCATTGCAGGTGCATGCGCAGCGGCAAAGCCACGACAGCACTGCCTGGTGCTCTGCGAGGCATTGCGAGCCCTTCCCCTTGGAGCCAGTCTCTCTCGAGACACACCCATTCGCGGAAAATCCTGTTCCATCTACCCTAAATACGTCTACCTGAGAGTGGAAGGCACAGCCCAACACCACGCATCGGCGCGCATGCAGTCAAGGGAGGCCCTCTTCGCATGCAGTCAAGGCAGCAGCTAGTAGCACTAATTCAGAAACACTACCGGCTCAACACATTTGCAACGAATCTGCAACACATCTGCAACACATCTGCAACGAATCTGCAACGAATCTGCAACGAATCTGCATGAACGAGCAACAGCCGCAGAAAGAGCCGTCTGCTCACCTCGGTTGCATTGCTGCCAACGACGCAAAAGCGAACGCATGTCATTTCATTCGTCGTAAGCGTGCCTGTCTTGTCAGAACAGATAACTGTCGTACATCCGAGGGTCTCTACACTCTGCAGCCTGCGCACAATCGCGTTCTTCTTCGCCATCTTTCGAGTGCCAAGCGCAAGACAAGTCGTAATCACTGCCGGAAGGCCCTCTGGGATAGCAGCAACTGCCAATGCCACGGCAATCTTGAAATAATAGATGCAGCCTCGCAAGGCACTCCCGTGAACCGCGTCACTGAAATGCTGAGCGCCCAACACCAACACATGCCAACACACCGACGCCTCAAACGTATGTGCGGGGAAAATCTTTACAGCATAGACGCGTCCGCGAAAATAAAAAACAAACGCACACAGATATACAGACATGCACAAATCAATACGTGCACAACACATCCGCGGAAAAAACAAACACACAGACACACAGACGCATACAAACAGATCAATACATGCACAACGCGTCCGCGAAAAAAAACACACAGACACACAGACACATACAAACAGATCAAAACATGCACAACACATCCGCGGAAAAAACAAACACAGACGCAAACAAACAGATAAATACATGCACAACGCGTCCGCGAAAAAAAACAAACATATACACAGACGCATACAAACAGATCAGTACATGCACAACGCGTCCGCGAAAAAAAAACAAACACACAGACACATACAAACAGATCGATACATGCATAACACATCCGCGAAAAAAACAAACACACACACAGACGCATACAAACAGATCAATACATGCACACCGCGTCCGCGTAAAAAAACACTCAGACACAGACAGATCAATACATGCACAACGCATGCCCCCACAAGGAAGGCCTTTTGTGCTAACGGCTGGCTGCAACAGAAAGACGACTCGCGAAGCTACCCGACAAGATGGACGGCGCAGTCAAGAGCACGACAGCCCAGCCCCACAACCACTCTCTGCAACCCCTTTTCCTGCAGACCTTTCCACACGGCTAAGCTGCTCTCTGCGTCGCATCCGTGCATCACATTCCCAATCGGTAGACTCGCATACGTACCCCGATATTGATGAGCCACACAATGATGCACACAGCGCAGATCACTTTGCTGAGCGCCTCCCCAAATTCATCGAGCTTCTGCTGCAGAGGACTCTGCGCTTCATCGGCTTCCCCCGCCTCATGCACTGCAGCCTGGATTAAGCCTATCTGCGTTTCCATCCCTGTTCTCACGACTACCGCCAGCGCTCTCCCGCGAGCCACTGTTGTACTGCTGAAACAAATGCAACGCTGAGATTGAATCTCGCAGTCATGCAGAGACGCAGGCAAGGCCTCGGCATCCTGCGAAGCGACACACACACAGACAGCCCCAAAGCCAGACACAGCCTCAGCAGTCGCACAGCACCCTGTGAAGAAAAGCGACAGAGCAGAGACGCTAGCAGAACAAGGGGTGGCAGGAAGCCTTGGCCTGAACATGTGGAGTATCCACAGGAATCGCTGCTGTCTGTACACTCCCCCGTTGCTCCCCGTACTTCTTCCCTCCCTCACGTTTCCCCTCCAACCCTCTCACGCGCTGCTTCATTATGTAACACAGAAAGCATGAGGAGCTTGCAAGACGGCAACAGATATACAGCATCCCAAGAAACCACCCTTGCCTCCCCCCCAACACGTCCACAGACACTAGAAAACACCCACTGATAATTATCTCGATGCATTCATATATCGATGTATTCATTCATATATCGATGTATTCATACATATCTCTATGCATACATATCTAGATGCATTCATTCATATCTCGATGCATTCATGTATTGATGTATTCATATCGCGATGTTTTATATACAGCTTTAAAATATGAATACATAGACAGACGTAGATGCATTTGTACTGAAAAACCCGGAAGTAAGCATAAATATATGGAGTCAAGATCGTGAGCACTACACTGGATGGCACTTGGCCGCAGCAACATGAAGCCCACCGCGGAAAAGTATCCCAGAGAGCAGCAATTAGGACGGGAGAGACGGCGAGAAAATGCATGTGTAGCGTGAAGGTAGGATTACGGGAAAACGAACACGAAGGGGGGAGCCGCGAAAGCCCTTACCTTGAGGACAGCAATACTCTCCCCAGTAAGCTGGCTTTGCTCGACTCTGAAGGAAGCGGTCTTCAGTTCAACTACACGACAATCTGCCGGAACCTTATCTCCGCATCTGAGATCCACGAGATCGCCAGGCACCAATGTTGTAGCAGATACACAGCGCCAAGTGCCAGACCGACAAACACGTGCTAGCTGTGGCTGCAACTGCTTTAAAGCCACCAGGGCCTTTTCTGCATTCGACTCCTGCAAATTTCAGACATATACACATAGAGGCACACATACACATAAACACACACCCATGCATATACACACAGGTTCACACATACCTCTGTACACAAATATATATATACGCATACACACATAAACACAAACACACATATACATATACACACATATACACACAGAAACCATAAAACGGCGCGTTTGTATGCGCTTTTGCTACAGACGTTGCGAAAAACTCCCCCCGCCTGCCCCCCCTTGCCCCCCCAAAAGGTGACGAGTTCGCATGGGAAACAGCTTGCGTGGTGTTGCAAAGGAAACTGCAGCAACGGAGCTGCAAAAAAGTAGACCCCTTACCTGCCAGACGCCTACAGCCGCATTGAGGATGAGAATGATCAGAATCACGACAGGTTCAACGTATGCTGCGAGACCCCCCTCTCCCCCATCCACCAGCGCTAAAATGAAACTGACGACTGCAGCCGCTAGCAAGATCCTGCAACGCAGAGAAGCAGGCAGCACCGCACCAAGCACATGCATGGATGTGAAAATTTTCCCTTAAAGCTCCAAAAGCCACTGCACACACAGAGGCCTCTAATCCACAAAGTCTCCCTCGTGGTCTAGCACAGCCACGCGGGGTAATATGCGTTGTTTGAAGAGACGATCGCATGCAAAACGGCTGGCACCGTGCCAAAGAGGCTCCTTGGAGAAGCAATAACGGGAAGCCGATCCACATGCAGAGACAGAAATACACGACGCATGCGCTGAATGCGCGGGACGGAATTTTGTAACGTTAAAGGCGAAGGACGACAGTGCAGGGTGAAGGCGCTTAGGATGCATCTTGAAGACGCGAAGAAGCACAGAAATCGATAAAGCCCGTAAGGAAGGCACTCCGTAAGCGATAAGGCACCTGACAAGGAGGTCTTGAAACTGCTCAAGAATGAGTTGTAGAAGGCTCTTTCCCTCCTCATGCTTCAATTCGTTAGGCCCAAAGTGCTCGAGGCGTTCAGCTGCGACCTCGCTGGAAAGACCAACATCCAAACTGGTCTGGTGGTAATTCAACACCTGGGTACAACAGAGTCGAGGCAATCACATCACATGCAAGAGTTTTCCGTGACGACTGGCGCCGCTCTTGCTATAACCGCCTGCTGCCGCTATTATTGCTGCTTCTGCCGCTATTATTGCTGCTACTGCCGCTATTATTGCTCCCGTTTCTGTATTTATCCCCGTCGCTTGCCTCCTTGACTGTCGCGACGTGGGGTGCATCCTGCAGCGATGAAAGGGGGCCCTTAGAAGGGCCTGGAGAAGCCATTATCCGAAAGCACGGACGAGGAAGTCTCCAAGATCGAAAGTACCACACGGAAATACAGCTGAAGATAGCACTCCGTCTGCGCCTCTTGCAAGCTGCTACCAACCCTCTCCTTACCAAAGGGCCGGATGATTCTGGTAGGTATTTCTGTTTTCTACAAGTACCAACAACTCTGCTGTAGGGACCCTACGCCGGCTGCTGCAGCGGCTCTCCAGCCCCTTTGGGAAGCAGAAAAAGTGTAGCGGCGATGTCTCCTACGGATTCAGAGAAAGAGAGAGACAGAGAGCTGAAAAGAAGGCGTACTTCAACGATGAGATGACTCCCCTCTCTGCTACTGCTGTTGCAACCAGTGCAGGGCCATGTGCCGTTGTGATATCTTTGCTGCCGCGCTGTTGCTGCTTAGCCACCAGCTGCCAGTCACGTGCACACACAAAAGAAGCCAACAGACAAAAACTGATAAAAATGCTGCAAAAAGGGATGAAGACGGGGAGAAAACCAGGAGAACGACGCCACTCCTGCCCAGAGGCAGACTATTGGTACGGAAAGCAACAACTCTGCTGCCGAAGCTGCTGCTGCAGAGACACAAAACAACTCGGTAAACCGTTGACTGTTCAACAGTTTCTCACTTAAACACCACAGAACTAGAGCAGGACATGCAAATAGAGCATTGGGAGGCTTCACGCAGCAGCCGCAACAACAGCAGCAGCAGCAGCAGCCCTTACAGCAGTCGCGTTCACATTACAATCAGGATGGGAAGCACGAGCAGCAGAGCGGTTAAGGGTTCCACTACTTCACTATTTGCCCGCAGTTTCTAATTTACCAGTGCTTCTTTTGATCACACTTGTGCGCTTTCAGATAAGTCCCAAGAGTGAGACACGAAGACATAGTTTTAGCCAGGAGCGCATGTCCTGCAGCAGCTGCGGGTTGTTACATGTGCCGCGCATGTGTGAAGAATCGTAGGCTTCCCTGCTCCTACCACTACCCACCTACGTTATTTGCCACCAGTACCGGAACGATCTCGGTCGACTGTTGACAATGCTTGCAGTCGCTCAAAGAAAACGCAACTCTTGGAGCTCCTGCTCTTTACAGCGTCGCACAAAAAATAGAAACTTCATTACGCAGGCACATAGGGTACACTTTGGGAGTTCCTGGTATACAAACTCTAGGTTTTTTAACCCTTGTCTGTGTGGTGTTCAGCCCGTCAATCTAGCTGTACGTATGTTCTGTTTGTTGCAGAATATGCCTAGCTACTTCCTGGCACACTGTTGCGTGCCAGCGCACTAGGCTGCTACGCGCTACGCTTTCAGGTTGCAGAGACGCTGTCATGCACCACATGAGTGCTTCTTATGTTTCCTCTCGTGCCGGGACCTTATGAGGTGAGGGCGGCAGGGAGAGGCGAAGTACTTGCAGCAGGCTAAGCTACACTTAAATACTCGCTACTACGCTAGTTATACTAAGCTAAGAATTGGCAAGGAAGTAACTAGTAGGTTTGCCCATTTAAACGCCCTATTTACTGCAGAGGATTGTTAGGCAAGTGACAAGGGAATTCAAAGAAAGCGTCTGCGAAGTCAGACGCCAAGAAGACTTCTAACTTGCATCTTGTCGAGCGTGAGCATAAGAAACGTCTGGTCCACAGGACTCTTGGTCGAGTGGTTAAAGTGAACACACATGCGCCACCTCCAGTCCTTGTGTGAGCACCAACACCGGCATCCGCCACAAAATGCTTGCCAGTTCCTGCACCTTTTCTTAAATTACCACCCTTAAATTACTCTATATTCTCTTCATACTGGCAGAAACTAGCAGGGACCGAGAATGAAATTAGCTTTATATAGTGCACTGGATGACCAAGGGGGGGTCAGCCTCATGGCAGTACATCATTATTTAGCACTCACGCGAGCTCCTCTTTATTACCTGCTAATTGTTTGTGCTCCTCGTCCAAACCATCGGCAGCACTCTTACCAAGAACCCATATGCCGTCGCTAAGACAAGCTGCATGCTTAGAACGACCTTATTTACTGCACTGCTAAGCCGCCAACAAAAAGACTCTGCCTGACCGTGTTGAGGTACCGACTCTACCACGCTTGCCCAATTGAGGTGACCGTTGCTGAGCAGACCAAGAGTCACTTTTTCCTAGTGCTTCTTGACGCACTAACCTTCACAGCACGCAGCTGTGGCCGCATGTGCGCCTTTTATTGGGTCATCTATTAATACACAGTATCTGGTCGTGATCTACGGTAAGCCCTACACCCAAAGCCCTAAAACCTACCCCTAAAGCCTTAAACCTCGAACCCCACAAGGAAATCACACATCATGCTGAAAGAACCCAGTTTTGATACGAAATAGCATGTAGCTACAGTAGCCCTACCAACCCTTGCGCCTTGCCGCTCGCAAGCAAACATGAGCCGTGGCGATTGCGCCAATGAGTGAGCAGGCAGACTGCTCTTCTGCGTCGTCTCCCCGGATAACAGATCCGACTCGCTTGGCGATTCGTGAAGATCATCATGATCGTGCATCGACACAGAATCGACCGACGGATGGTCTCCAATTGCCTCCACATTCTCTGCAGCCCTCTGCACTGCGCTGCAGTTTACGAAAGGGGCTATCCTTCTCTTCGATGCGGCTTCCTTGCCCGCCAAGTAGCTTACTTCCACTGGGCCCACAGTCGCGTTGTTCACGTTCTTTGGCCTGGAGCATGTGCTTGCAATTCCAAAGTGTGTGACCCAATCCCCCGTGGTAGAAGCAGATGCAGTATTGGGAGTCCATCTAGGGGTGCTTCGAAAGGCGGTCTTCCTTTCTTTTCCCGTTTGCTTTGGACTGTAGGCTAGGGCCGGTTGACACAACCCCGACGACCACAGGTTCTAGATACCAACTTGGCTCTCCTTTCACAGCCATCGGCGCAAGAGTCGCGCTCACTGGCTTCTGACAGCTCAAGTACTACATCGTTCGCCGAAGCCTTGCCGGTTGGCGCATTTTTGTCGCTTAGTGTCTGCTCTTGGTGATACGAACTGGCTTGACACTTTTGGGGGACCTGAGATTAACGACTAGGACTGGAGCTGCTCGTCTACGTTGTGTTTTTTGCGAGCCAAAGTTTCATATTTTCGAGGTGTTTGCGAGTTACTAGGCTTTCTGCTTTATCATTCCTCATCTTATAAAAGCTTGCTGTTGAGCTGATCTCGGCCTGAAGCCACCAGTCAGGACGCGCATAAGGGCTTGCAGTGCAGCAATCCTCACCGACAAACGATCTCTTCTACGTAAATTGACTTTTAATCAAAATGCGTTTAAGTTCAAGAATCACCCCCAAATACCCCTCGTACCCTGTTATTTGTGGGGTACAAAGGGTAGTCCATCTTCTCTAGGCTGTTGAACTCTTCGAATACTTGGCCATCCTTGCGGGCGTCATACGTTGTGTGCAGGCATTAATTCATCGACGCACGAATACATCCCTGATCGGCTGACAAATCATGCCTTTCTACCAGCTTTGGGCCTAGGGCGTTCACATAAGCTTGCATTCCAGCTTCCGTATTTCCAACAGGTGTAGTGCCACCGTGAGAGCCGCTCTGGCTATTATTCGAAAGAGGGATTTCTAGAAACAATTAAAACGAGCATTCTTCAATCTAGTGCAAAAAAATTCAAACACCTAGTAACACAATCACGAATGCTTCACTTCCTGGCTTTGGTCAGCACATCACCACCGCGTGTGGGTCTGGTACAGATCCCACCTAAAGAAGCCATGAGGATCAGCGAAGCGTGGTGATATGCCCTTCCGTTCAAACACATATTCACAGAGTCACCCTCTGAGTACTACAATTAGTGATGGGCATAAGGAACATGCTTTGCCGCACCTAGTCCTTGTGTACATATTGTGTCGGAGTTGCTCGTGCCTCTGAAGTAGTGGCGCTTCCTGGTCTTCACAGCGAGCAAAATTTCTTGACCTCGACAGCCTCACACGGCTCTCCACCCTGGAAAAAAAAACTTCTGTGATACATTGGGTAGAGCCTTTTCACTTACCGCACCCTGCAGGTTGCACTTACTGCCCCGCCAAAGGCTGCCTCTCCACCGCACCACCCCAGAGATCCAGGGAAAACTTCGATATATCCGACCTTTTTGACCCGCACATCCCTCTGATGCTTCACCTTTTGAGCGATATTCAGGCATTCTTTGGGCAGACTCAAGTTTGTTGCGCTTCACACCTTCCAGAGGAGGAGGCTGTATTGGCTGTTTTTAACCCACATAGTGCAAACACGTAGGGTTCTTTCTATTGAATCTTCTCGCAGATTCGACTTATATCAATACACATCTGGCAAACGAAATGTCTTCGTGGCAGGAACGACTAACATTGTTCGCCCCTAACCAGATCATTGTGGACGTAAGCTGGAGAGTAATTCGCGGCACAGCTCACCTACCACTCTCAGGGATGTCCTAATACTGGAGCGCTCCCAGCAAGCTCATAGGTCTACTTGACATACGCATATTTCCAACTGCCAAAACATGCAAGCATCTTTCTGATCGAATTTGTTATTGGGTGACCCGTTAGTGGCTCTGTTCTCCACAAGCATGGGAACACATGATGTGTAGCTAGCTGTGAATGTTCGGATCGCTGGGTGCATGAAGGTATGAGCACTTGCTTCAGTGCGTGCCTCTCCCCACAAGTCGAGCCCTTGAGGGCAGCGGGTAAGAGAACACACAGTTCTTTGGGGAATCAATCAGTAACTTTCTGACAACTCTATGGGAGTGCGGGAAACAGCGTCTCCTCACGGGGAGACGTAAGATGGAAGTTCCAGGCCCAAGCGAAGCGGATCTACATGCATCATGAAGCCCTGGCTACGAACACTGCTGAGACAGGGTCCAAACCCTAATACACAGCCAAGCTCTCTTAAATTGAAAAGTTCAGTGGGAAGAGCACGAGCTACGGTGATCAGCGCCCTGAGAAGGCTCCCATAATGTGCTCTAGGGAAAGGAGAAGCATGCAGCTCACCCGCGGCTCTGCATGGCTGTGGTGTCACGACGAAATAAGCTAGTGTACATGGTGGAAAGAACTTAATAGAGCCGTCGTCAGGACTAAAGAGAGATTCTTGTTCAGAGGGAGTGCTACCAATGCAGGGTTCTTTGTGCTTCCCGTTCTTGGGGCCCACCGTGAGGCATGCGTCCAGCAATTCTTTGACGAAGTCCACTGGCGTTACGTCCTGAGGGGATAACAATGGCCGTATTGCTGCCCTTTTTTGTATTTTGTATTTACAGCCGAGTTGGACAGAGAAGTATTAGGGACGGATGGAGTTTGAGCCCGAAGGCTACAGGAGTCTTTGAGGTCGGATCCAGGGGGGCCCTGGAGTTTCTGCCCGGTTTGGAGTAACTGCAAAATCTGCACAATAAGAATCCTTCTGCGGCTCTTTAGCTTGTGGTTTCCTCTTCATGGAATAACAGGCTTTTCAGATTCTGCTGTGGCTTGGGTTTACCCCTCTGTGCGTTTTCCACTGATTCGCAAAGATGCAGAACGACGAGATTATTTGGAATGTGATCAACAAGCACTTTTGCTCGTTCAAGAAAAAAACGGACAAAGAGGATATGTGCAGAAACGAGTACAACGTGACAGGCAAATGCAACCGCGTCAGCTGCCCCTTAGCCAATAGCAACTACGGAACGGTTATGGAGAAGCAGGGGAAGTTGTATCTGTGCCTGAAGACTGTGGAACGAGCTCACCTCCCCAGCCGTTTGTGGGAGCGCATTAAGCTCTCTCGCAACATCCCAGACGCCAAGAAAACTATCGAACTTCATATGAGAAACGTGTACCCTGAACATCAAATCGACCGTTGCAAGAGAAGAGCCATCAAGCTTAAGAACATGATCGACAGGATGAGGCGATTGGAACTTAAACCCAAGTGAGGAAGCAGTATCAGCATTGGCAGCGGGTGAACTGTGTCACAAACAAACAATACTTCGCCACTCTGCCACTCATGAAAAGGCTTGCAGTAGGGGGAGCGATAAACTCTTTTGTGCGAGGCTACGGCTCGACGCTTGTGATCAGGGAGAAACTAGAGGGAGTGAAGAAGAAGACGGAGAGGAGAGAAGCAACCAGGGAAAAGAAGGCTTTGAGTGCTGCGCATATCGAAGATGTCATAGAAGACGAGCTCCTCAAACGGCTCCATCAGGTCAGCTTAGATGAAAGGCAGCGTTTTAAGGAACACAGATGACACTACGAACGCTTTCTTGTACACGTAGATATCAGATAAGCATGTCATATGAATAATAAATGGACCAGCTTCTCATAAGGTGAAGAGTGAATGGATTAGCACCTTATAATGTGTGTGACAACGAATGTTATATGTCTTGTAAGCTTGGTGTTTTCCTTATGCACTCTCTATAAGAAGCAGCCCAATCCAATATCCGTAATTTTGAGGTGTAGTGTTTCAACTAGTAGCCACTTTGGATGCATTCAAGACTCCCTGAACGTTTCAGGGTGTATACGGGGATCTTTACGAGGAGCATCGGCTGCCTGAAGATTCACAAGCGCTTCAACAGTCGCAGGAAAGACCAGAGGTTACGGAGGAAATGGCTGCCGAAAGCGGTAGGGCAAATATATATGCTTTTCTATGTGTAGGGATATATATTCTAGACAGAACGGCGTACTGGCGCTGCATGCACATGTGCTCATTCAGAGAGGGGTACAGCTAGAAACACAGATGCATCGCGTTTGAATATGCACAGCTGCATGTCGAATTTGCAAGATGGTATTTGTTGTGCATGCATTCCTAATACGCAGCAGGCGCATCCATAGATGTGGTACATGAACACTGCCCACATCGTATCCCAGCGCCCTCGCATCTAGCCGTTTTCTGCTTCTTAACTTGGAAGCTTAAAACCCCTAGGTTTCCACTTCGTAGATTTCGATGTGTTGCGATGGTGTTATAAACTTGCCTCCCCTTAGGTGCAATTCGGTTTGAGGAGGCAGGAGGGTCGGAGGAGGATGCCTCCATTGCTTCTTCGGACTTTGGCTCTGACTCGGACTTGGAAAGCGACACGGGTAGTGAAGAATTTTCCTTTTCAGATTCTGATTCAGACATGGATTCGCCTGATGCAGAGAAGGAAAAAGAAAGGAGCGCGCTGAAGGAAGAAACGGATGACTTGGTCGATGTAGAAGATTTCGAAGAAATAGTAAAGGCTCATAAAAAAAGGCCAACAATGGACAGAGAAGGAACCGTTCCCGTTGCGACTCTGCGCAGACAGGCCACGAAACGTGAGAATGAAATGGAGGAGCATCGTTTCTTGTATATAGTAGAATCCCGCTTGTGGCGTGTTTGGTACTACAGATTCAAAGAAGCAACAGAAGAAGCTGTGAAATTGTTATTTGTTCGAGCTCTAAGGGAAAGCTCGAATGGCTCTACAGCTTGGTGCTGACGAATGGGTGGGAGCAGCGCAGCGGTGGGTGTGTGCGTGAAGGTCACGTGTGTTTATCTGTCTGTTTTTTTTTCAGGACGGAACACGCGCACGCACATTCAATATGAGCCAGAAGCCCTGGCGGAGGATGCATAGCAATAAAAGTTGTCAGTTGGAGGATGCATAGCAATAAAAGTTGTCAGTTGGAGCATGCATGACAATCATCCAGTAGGCAGGATAAGGGGTTGATTCGTTTCCCTGGTGCGGCCGTGGCCAGCCGAACCGGATCTTTGGCGATTATTCTCCATCAGATCCGGGATTTTTTTAGAACATTTGAGTTTATGCTGCACAAAAGGGTGGGGACTGCAGGCTGTTTGAATCTACACCCCGCACACCTACGCGGGGTTCGTTCGAGCAGTCAGTTGCACTGTGTATCTGGCAACGCGCTCCCACGTGGAAATTCTGGTAGAGCTCCAGACAGGTGCTTTCCACAGGCGGGTGGGCTGCTCTTGTTGGTGAATTGCCGTCTTTGGCCTGAATTAGTTAAACGAGGTAATTGTGGTTATTTTACACAAAAACAGACGGCCGGCTCCTTCGAAATATCTAAGAAGCCACCATGTTTCTGCTCACCGGTACCAAGGAGTGGCCCTTTGGAAAATCGCATTCTGCTTATTTCGGGGGTCTAGCCACCAGGATGCGTATGCGTCGTCCTGGCGTGTGTAGCTCTATACCTTGTGCGGAACAGTTGTAGCTAACAGACGGACGAGGCAGCAAAGCTGCTTAAGTCAGTCTTGTGCTGGCCCCAACCCTGAGAATTCAAGTGCCCTTCTCATAGGTGACGACGCCACTACTTCAAGCACGCGCTACAGGGAAAAAGCACAACACTGCTAGGGTTCCTACACCCCCAACCCTACATATTCGGTTGTTTTAGCTAAGCACACTGGAGAGAAAACGACGCACGTATTAAGCCAACATGAGGCAGCGACACCTCCTGACGCCTTAATCCGTAGAAATATACCTATACAACGTATTTTGCATGCGCGTCCCCGTTCACGGCACGAGGCTGGATCCGGTGCAGCAGCTGCTGCTGATGCGTCTGCGCACCAGAGCAGCCCAAAACGGCATGCTTAATGATGAGTAGGGATCTAATTGCTGCTGTCTCCCTGCTGCTGGTATTGCAGCGAAGGGGCCTGAATGGGGGCGTACTGCCGGTACATGGGGGCGCAGAGCTGCTGCTGCTGCTGCTGCTGCCAGCGCTGCAGCTGCAGCTGTAGCTGCCAAGCAGCCATGTCCGTTGGTATGGGTGCAAATTGCTGTTGAAGCAGCTGTTGCTGCAGCAGCTGCTGCTGCTGAGACTCCAAGAAGTGAGGCTGGAATGCAGGCACCACCACGGAGGAGGGCGTATGTTGCAGATGTCGCCCCAAGGATCCCCAGTAGCCAGAGGATCGTGCGAAGTATACGTGAAAGGTTTCTAGCTTCTTGGTGCTCCACCAGCGTCCGCAAAACATGATGATTGAGGCCCACCAAGAGGCCAGAGCCAGCATGAGCCATCCCGAGGCAATCAGAGCGCTGTTTTCTACTCCCGCTGAGCTGTACGCAGCGGAGGCGAGGGTTAGAGCCGCATCGTAACTACCATGGAGGATGCCAGGGAGAAGGGCGCTTTGGAGCAGCAGACGGAACGTGAAAGGGTTAATCTTGTCAACAGTCCACAGATCTTCTATGGGCGTACTTCTGCCCTCATTGCTGCTGCCGCTACCCGTCGAGACGTGCACTGCGTGCGCCTCCCCCACTGTCTGTACACCGTGACCCTCTAAATACTCCACCTCGCCGTGTTCTGCTGGAGCAGAGGCAGTCCTCCATGGCGCTCTTGCTGTGGCAGCAGCATTCGCAGCGGCAGCAGCAAGGAAGCAGGCTGCGATGCCCGTATTCGCTGCGTGGGAGGGGATGGCCGTAAAGGCTCTGTGAGAGTCACCAAAAGCGCAGCAGGCAAGTAAAGACGGGCTGCCTGCTCCAGGCTCAAGCCTTCCAAAGGCACACAACCGAACAAGGGCTAAGAAAGCTAACGGCTAGAGGTGCATGCATGCATGCACCGCCAGCCCGGGTACTCTCGTGAGGCAGATACAACAAGGATTGAACAAAGAAGAGGCCGCTTTGCCTCAGGGGAGCAGCAACCAGCCAAAGGGGCATGCAGCAACTCTGAAGGACGACTCTCACCGAACCCATGCTGTGGCCATCGCCATATCCAGATCAGATTTTGTCGCAAATACGTAACTCAGGTTTTCGATCGTTGCGAACCTGCGCATGTACAACCGAGCAGCACCCCCTTTTGAGGTGTCTGTACACTCTATTAATAGCGCCCTTTTCTGACAGCAGCCCTCACCAAAGTCTTTCTCGCCCTGCACCCTCCGTTTCAAATAGGCCTCCGCAGCCGCGATTCGCATTAACGCCTACCCCAGAGCAGCGCAGCAACCGCCAACAACCATCGAAAGGGGGTGGTGCACGTAGTTATAGCCAGAACTCCTCTCTTTCTCCGCTCGAGCATGCAGGGCACTCATGAAACCCGAAGACTCAGGAGGCACTGCCCCTTGGGGAGTCCAAGCGGACCCCCAGTCTTCAGTCGCAGGCATTCGGGAGGGGCGCAGCATCAGCACTGTCGCAGCTTTTGAAAACTCCTCCGCAAAGCCGATGCACAGAACCATGTCTGCAAAAAGGCAACCTTACCCACCCATGGAATGGGCATGCGCCGTAGGGGCTCTGCAGACTGAGATCTGCCACAATCCCTCCGAAGCATGCTAACCCTCGTGAAACATTCAATCTAAGCTCAAAGAATTGAACCGTCTCATGCGCGACTTCGAACAGGGTCTAATAATACGCTTACAGAGGAAGACGAAGGCAACACATAGAAAAAGCGTTCCCTCTGACTGCGCATCGCCTTTCAGAACGCTCTTGGCCGTCGATATGTTCCTCGCGCTCGGAATCACCCCAAAAATATACGAAATGAGGTGTCTTGACACCCCGTGGCTGCTGATACCGCATTCCATGCTTTCCATTTCAAAGACGCTCCTCAACAAGGCGCTGTACAGGCTGTTCACATGGGCCTCTTCGGGCAGTCTTGGAGCTTGCAAAGCTGCATTCTCCTCCAAAGGCTGACGGTGTAACACCTCCTGAACCTGCCTCGCTGGAAGTAGCGCTGCGGAGTCGAAGCCTGCAGTGCCGGCAGCAGCAAAGGGGGCTCTCTTGCTGGGAGGTGGCGTGCAGCTACGGAGCTCTCTGCCGAATGCTAACGCCGAAACTAATTCCAGTCCCACTGCTAGCAACACGCTGAAGACAGCACCAAGGGCCATCTGCTCCAGCGCCACGCACCACTTGAGCCTATGACGGCCTGCAAGCCATTGCAGCCTACGAAGAGGCACACAACCAGTACACCCCGTTGCAGGCATTTGGAGTGCCGTATACACCTGAAGCGCACTGGGTAATACGCCTCATTGGCTGCCCGTAAAGGGCGCGTGGCTACTGTATGTACATATATATAGGAAGGAGAGGGAAGGCTTAATGGCCCGAAAGAGCGTCAGGTTGCCATGGAAACGGGAGCTGCACTGTACTTACAGGCAGAGTAGCGTCAGCCCTGGTGTAAGAGCCGCAATGAGAAGCTCTAGCCCCGGAGAGCCTCTCATATGAACGGCGCCTACGATCTGAAGCACGAGGAGGATGAGGAGAGAAGAGCACACAAATAGCTTCCGCAAAGTCGGTAAGCATCTCCATCGGCCGGTAACCCTACTGGGTACCCCTCCAATCGTTCCAGGGAGATTCATTGTGGCGACTCCTGCCTCTGCGTTTCTTCTGATCCTTTTTTCAAGGCTCTGATAATGTGTAACAAGGGAGGAGGGAGAAGGGAGGCCGGCGGGTGCTGGCCCCCGATGGACGGTGGGGATCTCTGCAATGCAGCGCCTCCCTAAGACTCTGCACGCCCACTATAGAAGAAAACTCTAAGTCAGCCCAATTTAGGAAGAGGTGGCCTGCAAAAAGGTTCTGGACGGGATACTTGCATAAGAGTACGCAGAGACCGCAAAAAGAGTAGTGCAGATAAAAGAAACTGCGAAGTTCCGACAAGTTGGGAGGGCTAGGGCCCCCAAGTTCATGATACGCCGATTCTTACGTGATTTGAGGTGAGTGAACGGCGGGAGAGACAGAAATTAAAGGAGAAGATTAGCGTCCGAAGCCGGCGTGCCCTCGCTAGCGGCAGTGGCGAAGTGCTGGTGTACATACACCGCGCCGCAAGCAAGAAGGGGGCACGTCTTTAAGCTATAAAAACACAAAAATGGACAAAAGAAGTCCAAATTTTACAAATGTTTCCTTCCCCCCGAAAGGGATAATGGTGGAAGGGACACAAACGCATGCAGCTACCTTGGAGAGTCGTGGGCGGTGAGCAAGGCAGAGAATTGCCGATTTCCGCACATCTAATGAATTGCAGCGGGCTTGAGGAGCTGAAAAATAAGCTTACGCGTTTGCTAGCAATTTTCTCAGTGTCCCGCCACTCCTTAATGCTCACAGAGGCGAGGACCGGCTGCCTGCCGTTGTCGTCAGCACCCCCCTACTTGGATTCAGGAGTACTAGAGGAAGGAAAGTACTGGATTAATATGCGTGACTTGTGCGAACAACACAGATAAATGCTAAACAAGCAACCGTACTTACATATGTGCCGAGACTTGGATGAATTGTTGCTCTTTCATCCTTTTCAAAAAAGAGGCAACAGGGTCTGATTTGCACATTGCTCTGTGTTTTATGCGTTGACTTTATGCAATCCTACTAGCCAATGACGGTTTGGGCGGTGAGCAACGGGAGTGCCAACTGGGTGGTCCACCAGGCTGGCAGAGGCCCGTGGCGGTGTCGTAGAAAAAACTGGGAGCCACCGATGTACTTGAGACTGCGGAGAGGTATGGGGCTGAGGCAGTGGGATTGGAGTTACTTAAAGCAATGGCACTGAGGAATACACCTAAGATATATGGATTCTCCGTGGCCAGGGGCACAAGCACGGCGGCCTCTTGTCTGCAGGCAGAGCGTTCATTGGAGGGAGGCATACGGCTGAGGTATGCCTGAATTACCGTCAAACGCACTCGCATGAGGGCTAGCTCCAGAAAAATTGGCTTCGAAATATTGGCCTTGAATCCCTTTTAAAGGGTAAGCTTTACCGTGCGCTTTGGATGTGTGGTTCAATGTCGCGTTCCTCGTGCGCAAAGGAGCTGCGAAAGAGCAAAGGCCAGAAGGCCCCAAGGCGCCGCAGTAGCAGCCCCTCATCTAGCTCCTTGCTTGCCACCCAAAACTATATAGGGTCTGGGAAGATAATAAGTATCAGCGCTTTGCTTCTACTAGGGAGAGGTTTTCCTAGAACGTATCGTAGGGCTTTCACGTGTGCGCGTCTCCTGATGGGGACGGCCTTGAGGCAGTGGACACGTGTATACGGGGGTCTAGAGAAGGTCTTTGGAGAAAAGGAAAGTTGACGGGTTTCTTTCACATATATGTATATACATACAGCACTGCTTTGGTGGCTTGTAGGGAAGGACAGAGCAAAAATCCTTCTGCGTTCCCCTTTGGGCGGCCTGTTGAAGGCGAAATAACAGCGAAAAGTGGCTACAAAACCATTATCAATCCTCAGGCACCGGGATGCGTCTTGAGCCTTACTTTTGAGGCCCCTGTGCGCCCCGGGTTCCGGCCTGGTCACTTTTGCATCTTGCGTGTATGCAAGCCATGATTTGTCCTAAGCCATCAGTTTGCCAGGCATTGCGTGCAATGCATCCATGTCGCACTGGATGCATTGCGTGCAATGCATCCATGTTGCACTGGATGCATAGCAAGGACTCGTGAGTCCCCCCTCGAAAGCTCTCTCGCGAAGCTCCCCCTCCATCCCCCTTCTCCCCCCACATTCCCCCAACTTTCTCCCCGCTCCACCTCGGTGCTGGTGAGCCGCACACGCTTGTTTATACGCATGCAAGAGGAGCTTGCATGTGCCGCTTGTGTGGAACGTCTATCCGGCCGACACCACTGTTTTTACTGCTCCAAAGCGGAAATCGGTGTTCATCTGTATACGAAAGCGAAGTCCCCTCCTAACTGGTAAAAGCGTAGGCGGTGGTCGCAATGCGCCGCCTAGCAAACATAATCCAGTTGGGAAAGTCTAAAGTGATTTGGGAAGTCTAAGACCACTGACACGGGTAGTCCGGCAGTATGGGCATCAAATACACGCTAAAGGACAAAACCACGCTGCAAAGGTCTAACTCTGTATAAACATAACCAGAACTAAGCCCTCCAAATCAACGCACTAAGCCTAAACTTCATGCTCCGGCGTTGAGCCTCTAGGAGAGTGTGGCCTCGACGCTGAACCCATTGGAGCGAAAGCCCCCAAATTCTCCTGGTGAGGCACAGCAGAGAAGCAGGCATGAGGTCTAATGAGGATGAGGCAAGGCCTGAACCGGGATAGCCTGAACTGCTGCTCGTCTAGGATTTGCAGCAGCTTCTCCTTATCCTCTTCCAGAACCAAACCCTTCGACGCGGTGTCTTTCACCAGCTGCGAAAGAAGCGCAGTGTGGAGGAGCGAGGGAAGGCAATGGGGTTCTCTAAGCGAAAGAAGAGGATCGGCAGACAGACAGGCTGGTTGCAACTACTGCGGTGCAGGGTGAAAAAGAACGCCAGCACTTGACTTGCGGGAAGTACACGGCACACCAGTGCTGCTCAAGAGGGGCAGAAAGGGTCAAAGGCAGCAAGAACAGGGAGCAGAGGATGAGAGGCAATAAAGAGACACAAATAATCGATCTGCGAAGCCTCTGCCGTAGCTAGCGCAAGATGGCTCCTTAGAAAGTGGCAGCGTTCAGGCACAGCAGCGCACACGCCCAGTGCACCCCTCAGGTGTATGTGCACGTAGGGCCGTGTGCAAATAATGATTTGCAATTTGCTTCGCACCTTCATCTTGAGGTTTAGGAGCAGCGTGGCTGCAACTTTGCAAACAGCAAAGCGGAAGCTGTCCGGATAACAGTCTCTAATGTACAATACAAACCGCTTGGCGGAGAGGATCTGCTGTTTATAGTTCGACCTGCGCGCGCCGCAAAGTACCCACAGCACGCACTGCCCCTATTCAAACTCCTGACGGCTCATGCAGCTCCAGTTCGGGGAACGCTGAGACTTTCCAAAAGCAGCCAGTCATGCAACAGCTCCATCCAGTGGCTTGAAGCCTCGTAATTCCGCCTGGTTCCCTTAGCACCAAACGCTCTGCTACAGCCAAAGCCACCCCCCTACCCCCCTCCTTCCCCCTTCAGTCTCTTACAAAAGTCCCTTGCCCATCAGAAGCTCCATATTCCGTCCTCCCTTGTCAAGCAGCTCCTCGTGAACGTCAACAAAGGCGAGAAGCTGCTCCAGATCAGACTGGCAGGCACCCGAATTCAACAGCGACCTCAAAAAAGCAGAGGGGATGTTCCTCCAGAAACAGCAATACACACTGCGCTGGTACTGCAAGCAATGCAGACGAGACTGCAACACACTCCACTCGTATTCGAAACCTGTCAAATTCTGCGAGCCACACGCATACACACGGGCCGCTCAACGCAGATAAAGGAGGATCCGCCGTTGCATGTGGGGTAGAGACATGAACGGCTGATTCTGTAGCTCTATTGAAGGCAAGAGAGCAACTTTGACTCACTGAGGTGCCCTTGTATGGATTAACGGATTTATATGTGGATATTAGGCGCACATGCGTGAGCACATATGTGCGTAGATCTATGTATGTGTGTATATATGCAATAAACATATACATATATTTATATATATTTATATATATATATATATATATATATATATATATATATATATATGGCACGCTCGTTTAAGAAGGCGGGGGCCTCTGCACTGCACACGGTGTCTGAAGCGTAAATACCTCTTAAAACTTCCAGTTACACACCCCCAGCAGAATGCAGTCGTTCAGATTTAAAATGAGTGTTTCCTTACTGCTCTTTTGGGTTTAGGGTGGTGTTCGTGACCCCCCTCTTGCAGCGCGTTTGCCCACGCACGGATCGGATTCTGACGAACCTTCCCAACCGCGAAATCGTTGCTAAGGTCGAGGCTGGTATTCAGGGAAAGGAGAGCACTGCCTCCGATGCACTGCTTGTGGTACAGCCGGTGATACATTTCTCTGCATGCATTGAATATCATCAAATAGAGCTCGCCCTCCCGTTCTTTTCGCAGAACTTTGCGGCGGCTGCAAGTTGCCTCTCCGCTGTCGTGTGCGCGCGGCGACATTGGCAGCTGCAGAAAACACCCACAATTACACTGCATCTCGACTCTTTTGCTGTGTATGAACACCCACACCCCCGCGGATCCACCGAGGCAACCCTTGCCACAAGGCGTCCCTCCGTCTTCTTCACAGACGGGGGCGAAGAGTGCGCGAAAAGTCTCTCTACATGTCCTGAGAGACCTCCGTCTTGGCAGTGGGGTTGGCGCATGTCATGCGCGTAGATCCATTGATTGCAAGCAATGCGAAAAGACAGAGGGAGCCTCCCCCCCTCCCCCCCATATGCGATAGGATGCCTGTAGTAATGGGGGTCGTAGGAGAAGCGAGAAAAGGGGGCGGTAGGCGCTACATGCCTCCGCAAGAAAGAGACATAATTTAAAAAGCGAACGAACTATCCAATCCTTTTGCGCAACACTGACCTCGAAGTAACTTTCTGAACTCGCCAAGGAGAAGCTCGTTCGCACACGTTGAATGGCAAGAGGTCCTCCAGCAGCCTCCTGTTCTTTCATGCTGCGGAGATGCCCTTCATCCATAGGATCTGCTGTTGCAGGAGCTGGACCTGTGCCTAGCCTCCTAAAAAGACGCGTTTGCCCCTCAAGAACCGACGCGAGAGGCACTGCGGCAGGTACGATGCGATAATTTTTACCCTCCATGGGAGTTGCATGCGTGGGGGGACTGCCAGCGGAGGAGACAAAAGATCGGCGGGAGCCGCACGATCCTCCACCCCCTAGTTCGAAGTCGGGGGCACCCAGATTGGTGCGGTGCTTATTCGCAGGCTGCTTGCCAGACAGCAAGCGAAAAAGCTGAGGACGTACAGTAGCAAGGCACGCACATACACATAGATTCACACACATATATACCTATACATGACACACACATATATATATATACTGTGACACGTGTCTATATATATACGCATGCATGGTGTGCGAGTGCGGCTCTGTCCCTAAAGAGAGAGGACGCAGAGCGCATCATGAAGACTCTTGAAAGAGGCATTTTTCGCAAACGTTTTCAAATGCAGAAGCTCGAAAAAGTGTCCGTGTGAGGGGATTTCAGTCGACAGTTTGCCCGTGAACCTGCGTGTGGAAATGCTGCTTGGTATGCGTCACGACTGGACGGGAGGAGGGAGCAACTGAACGGGGAGGGGAGAAACGGCCTTCGAAGAAAGGAGGAAAAAAAGCTGTCTGCTCGTTTCTGCGCACTCTGCGTTTGTGCCTGCGTGGGCCTTGACTTCTGTCGGGGAGATTGTTGAAGATGAGGGTGGCGTCGGTGTCGAATCTTGGAGCTCCCGCCGGCTCTCTGGGAGAGTTTCCGTCCACGATCATCGGCCCCCCGTTGAGGCTGATGTTGAAACACGGGGAGGCAGGCGCGAGGAAAGAGGCTCCTCCCCCCCCTCCTGCCCCCTCCGGAAGAAGCGACACAGACCTGTTGCCTCTGAACGCACCAACTCCCGTCTTGCTCTTCGAAAGCCCAGGTGTATCGACACCCTGGCGTCTGCCCCTTTCCTCCTGCTTGCTGCCGAGACTGTTGAGGCCAACAGTGCGGCTGCGTCTGAAGTCAGTTCCCGAAGACGTCAAGCGGGAGACAGGAGTTGCGTCTACATGCAGAGGAGCCATGACGCGTTTGAGCGTAGTGAGGGCCCTCTCCACCATGCCTCCTCCGCCCCCCCTTTCCTTCTTCTTCTCGTTCGAGTGCTCGCCTGGAGCGGTTCCCCCCCCTCGACACGTGAGGGTGTACAGCGGTGCCTGTGTCATCGGATCTTTGCCCTGCAGAGTCACTTCCAGAACGTCGACGTTCGTGCCACCTTCGCTGCCGCCATCGCTGCACGGCTCGGAGGGGGCGAGCAGAACGGAGACTTCGCGATCTGCGGGGGCTGTCGTCGTGGCGTGCTCTATGAGCCGCAAATTAAACTTCGGATCAAAACCCCTCGACTCCGACGGCTTCAGGCCTTGCCCAAGCGCTGCCAGACTGTGTGCCTGTCGCTCCTGCATGCGCGCAGACACACAGACATGCACACACGCACACGCCGCCTTGCCGCCGTACAGGGCGGATCGCCAGACAGACTGCAGGCAGGGAACCTTAATACGAACACAGAGCGAGAGACGTACGGCCGAAGACACAGAGATGCAAACACACGTTACGGCCGACATGCAGCAGCGCAGAAGGCAGCTGAAAAAAACGCCACCACCTAGAAGCAGGAGGACCTCCAGCGGCGAGGCAGAAAGGGAGGTGGAAATGGAGGGGGAAGAAAGGGCAGAAATGGAGGGGGGAAGAAAGGGCAGAAATGGAGGGGGGGAAAGGCAGAAATAAAGGGGGGAAGAAAGCAGAAATGGAGGAGAAAAAGGTAGAAATGGAGGGGAAAAAAGGCAGAAATGGAGGGGGAAAAGGCAGAAATGGAGGGGGAAAAAGGGAGAAATGGAGGGGGGAAGAAAGCAGAAATGGAGGGGGAAGAAAGGGCAGAAATGGAGGAAGGGAAAGGCAGAAATGGAGGGGGAAAAAGGCAGAAATGCAGGGGAAAAAGGCAGAAATGGAGGGGAAAAGGCAGAAATGGAGGGGAAAAAGGCAGAAATGGAGGGCAAAAGGGCACAAATGGAGAATAAAAGGCAGAAGCGGAGAATAAAAGGCAGAAATGGAGGGGTAAAAAGGTAGAAATGCAGAAGTAAAAGGTAGAAATGCAGAGAAACAAAGGCAGAAATGCAGAAGTAAAAGGTAGAAATGGAGAGAAACAAAGGCAGAAGTGGAGAAAAAAGCAGATATGAGGAAAAAGGTTGGATTTTCTACCGACTAAACAGAGGAACCCGCCACTAGGACATGTATCCGCAAATGCGCGTTTAGAGAGTGTAGTGAAGCGCAACAAGGGGGCGAGTGCTCCTGACTTGTTCGGCTTCTGTGCGTTTGCGGAGGCACCCCCTCTCTCGCTCTCTGGAGGGCTGCGCATCAGGAGAGGCAAGTACAGAGGAAACCACGGAGGGTGTGACTTCTGCATCGCCATACGCTTGATCGTGGCTTCCTTCAGCTCCCCCAGTCTTGTCCTCTGCGACTATCCCCTGCTGAGAAGCCTCAGGAAGTTGCGATACGAGGTGCACGCTGCCTGGAGCAGCTTTGGTGGAAACTGCAATTTTCTGCACAGCGGTGATAGGTGAAGGACCCCTCACACCTCCCGAGACGAGCGATCCTCCTCCCACGGCTGCTCCCCCTCCAGTGGAAGCGTCTAGAACCCCCCGCTTCATCATGTCGGAAGTGCACGTGTCAGTGATGACGTCTCTGAGCGAGACACCAGGTTGAGGCGAAGCAAGCAGCATCGAGACACCACTCGGCGCAGGCAGGGGACTGCGCGAGCCTCCTCTGCATAAAGCCGCCTCATAGCTGACACTGCTGTCGAAATCTCGAGCATCCTTTTCGCCTTCTTGCTGCTTTCCGCTGGGCGTCTGAGTGGCTTCCTCCTCTCCCTCCTCCTCGTCCGCTCCGTCCTCCTCTTCCTTGTCTTCTTCTTCTTCAGGCACGACCCACGAGTATATCGCTGCCTCGTGGAGACACATGAAGGCTTGCGTTATGTCGGGATTCTTTATGTCCAAATTTCCCAACCTATCAACTTTCCGCCACCCAAGACGCGGCACCACACGATCTGCATGTGTCAATACGTCCGTCCCTGAGACGCATACAACATACACATACATAGACACATAGAGACATACATAGAGACATAGAGACAAATAGACACATAGAGACAAATAGAGACAAATAGAGACAAATAGAGACAAATAGACACATACATACATACACACATACACATACACACACAGCCACATACACACAGACACAACAGCCAGCACACCCACGCCATCTCCCCGCCTTCTCCACCAAGTGCCTTTCCCCCCGATCCCTCTGTAGTCTTCTACGCATGCATAAATACCCGTGGCTAAAACAACACATTCCCAGGAGGCCTACTTTCCTTTCCCCCCCCCCCCCTGCCCTCCTCCCTTCTCTCTCCCCCTCCATCCCTCCTTTCCCCTCTTTTTGCATCCCCAGAGACTGTGCAAAATACTATCACTTAGAGTGCATGCACACCCTTGAATAGCCAATGATTCTCAAGGGCCTTCCGATCCTCCAAGTACTGGTGATCTATCATGCGCATGACAGCCTCTAAATAAACGCGCCGAAACGGCTTGGGGGGATAGGGATTCAGCAGTCGGTAGAGCAGCTCAAACGTAATCCCATTGATCAGCAGAATGAGAAACACGCTTCCACTAATAAAGAAGGAAAGCGTATTTGTCAGCTCCGCATCCAAGTCACCATCACGCTCGATCCGAAGTCCTAACGCCAAGACAATGCCGCCGCGCAAACCACCCCATACCAACAACACTGCCTGAAACGCACAAACAAAATATTTGAATGAATATTTATGAATGCATATATATACACACATACAAAAACACATACAAAAACACATACAGAAACACATTCAGAAACACATACAGAAACACATACAGAAACACATACAAAAACACATACAGAAACACGTACAGAAATGCTCACAAACACCCACATACACATACACACACTATACAGAAACACAGAAATACACCCACATACACATACACATACACCCACATACACATACATACATGCACATACATACAGAAACACAAATATATACATACACAACTGCTACCCCTACTAAAAAGTATATATCTCCATAAGGAGAAAGCGCGAAAACGCAATTCTACACGCATACACACACGGATCAAAAAACCACTTGCGGAGGCTAAGGAATGCATGCATGCACAAGAAGAAGCTCGTCGTGGACGCATATCCAAGCAGAAGCGCATTAAAAGGAAGCGGCAACTGCGTGTGGTGCACCCTGACGGCTGTTTCCTATGTGCATGCATTTCTGCCGCTTGCTTTCCCCTCAAACGTAGCACGACTGCGAAGCCTCGGGAGTGTGCCAGTCCAGAAACAGCCTCAAGCGACGCGATTGCCTACTTCTTTCCAAGAGAGGCCATAGCCAGTGCGTCTCAGAATTGGAACGAAAAAGATAATCATGAAAATCCTCGCGGCGTTGAGGTACAAGTAGGTAACCAGCAGATGCAACCAATACGTAAGCCCGTCGTCTCGCGTGAAAACAGAACTCATCATCCCGTAGGTCACTATGCCTGAAACTATGAAAATCGTGCAATTTGCCATCAAGGCTAAAGCTGCAAAAAGCGAACCCGCAGACAGACACACTATACATACATATACATCCATCCATCCATCCATCCATATATACATATACATGCATATACATGCATACATATACATGCATACATATACACACATACATACACACATACATATACACACATACATATACATACATATATACATACACACGTACATAGATCGCAACACGGAGGGTCAGGAAAGACAGCCAAAAAACTCCGCAACAGACGGTGTGGCTGAGCAGCAGACAGATGAGGGGCCTCAAGCAGGCAGCACCTCGCGAAGTTGCTCAAGACTGCTAATTGTTACTAATGCATGCAGCACCGCTAAAGCAGCCCGTGCACATGTGCATGCGCACACGCATGTGTATGCACATATGCACACATACACCTGTACCCCCACACGAACACGCATGCATACGTACATATACAAACGCACGGAAGGCAAGTTCGCCTCACAACAGCACAAATCCCGCACATAGGCAACTTGGGCAGTGGCCGCCTTTATCGAGCACATGGCTAGTTGCCTTTTTCACCCGACGCTGCGTCTGTTGAGAGGGGGTATACATACACATGTGCATCCGTCTCTTTTTGTTGCATCACGCACCTGCCACGAACGTGTGATGCTTGGTCTGAGCATCCCTGTCCAGTGCAATGTGCCCGTATGCCTTTATGAAGAGGCCGTAGCAAACAGCAGTCAGCGGGCCTGAGAGTGAGAAGACGGCTTCGGCTAAGAAGTAGGAGACGTAGCAGAAGGTGATGTATGCGAGACACTGCATGAGTGGGTGACGCCGGAAGAAGAGCAGCCAGGCATATGCAACAAGCCCCACGGCAATGCCAAATGCGGGGCCTAGAAAAAGCAGCTTTACGAACATGATGAAGGTGGAAAAAGGAGTCTCTGCAACTCCCTGGAGGAGGAAGAAGAAAAATTGAAACAGCAGGACGGCGCTGCCATCGTTAATTAACGATTCCCCTGAAAAAAAAGGCGCAACGGCAGATAGACACGAGACACAGCGTTCAGAAGACACGAGACGCGGCATTTTGGAAGGGAGGAGGCCTCCCCTGTCCGTCAATTTGTGGGCGCATGCATGGATCACGCATCATCATCACGAAGCCGCTTCTAGTGCGTTTGGCGAGCTGAGAAGAGACGCCCTCTCGCGATTCCTCTGTTTGCAGGCCGGAGAACGGGGGAGAAGGATAGAGCCTCCGGCTAAATGTTTGCCTCTCTGTCTCTCTGGCTAGCTAGCTAGCTAGCTAGCCGTCCTCGCTTAGGCCCATGGTGGATTTCGAGGGCGTCGGTCAAAACACCGTAAAATGGAATTCGACGGAGATTGATGGATAGATAGATATAAACAGATGCATATAAATAGATACATAGATACATATATATATATATATGAAGACAGCGGCCATCTCGTCATGGCCTCCCCTCCTCCCCGTCTGCTTCGTTGCATGCGCCCCTCCTTTTTCGTGCTCTCGCACACAGACTCTTTTTCTCCCTTCTCCATCATCCGTGACGCCGTGCACACGCGGGCATGCTAATGCACGTTTGCAGCCAGAAATGAAGCGCCTTACCGTCGAACATGGTGCAAAGCTTGTCAGATGCATTGACTGCATTTAGGACTGAGAGCACAGCAACAGGGTCTGTCGACGATAGCGTGGCGGCGAGAAGAAAGGCTGCTGTCCATGCTCGATCTGCCCATTGGTTGCCAATGAACGTGTAGTAGAAGAGCACACCCAGAATTCCAACCTGTAGAGCGACTCCTAAGACAGCCAGCGTTAGGCCCCCAGCCAAGAACTTCTTGAATTTGTGCCAGTTGATATTCTGTGTTGCTTCGTACAGCAGGATCGGCATCATGACATAGTACACGATGGAGCTGTCTATGAATCGCATCTCTAGGATGGCCGTTTGGAGGATATTGTGCCCACGAATCGGAGCTTGAAATGAGGCCCCTGGGGTCGCTGCCGATCCCCCCGGCTTCTCCCAAGGCTGCTGCGGCAGGAGTGCCGGAATAGAGGCAACTCCGTATGCTGCCATGCCGAACACGAACCAGACAATAGAGACTGGCGGTGGATACACGGGGATCTTCGAGACCAGCCACTGGAGGAAGATGGCAAAGAAGAAGAGGAAAGAAAAGAAGGCGAGAGACGGCGCTATCGGGATGGAACCGGTGGGTGTCTCGATCTGCTCATCTTCGGACAGACGCCGCACGGAAGGCTCTCCAGCTGAATAGTGGGGGGCTGATGAGGCGAGGCCACTCGGCCCGAAGATGCGGGACTGCTTGACATCAGCAGAGTGCAGAGCAGATGCTGCATTGCCAAGAGGCAAAGATCCCTCGAAGTGGGATGCGCCTCCGCGGTCCGTGGAACGGAAGATTCCAAAGGCAGGCGCAGATGATACGAGAGCGCCTACGTTTGAATGCCGCCATATGGCGCACAGAGCCGCCAGCACACAGAGTGCAAAAACGGGATACAAAGAATGCGTTGGGGGATGTTCAGGGCGGCGTTTTGGGGTGTGCCCTTCGCTGGAAGCCGAGGCCGTCCTAGATGACGGAGAGGCGTCGCAGAGACAGCGTCGAGTGGTCGCTAAGAAGCCACTGCTGCCGTGATCGAGAAAAGAGGAGAGGGCAGCGAAGGTCCTCTCCTCCAGGGTCCCCTGCATTTCCCTAGACCGGAGGATAGAGAGGACTAATACTTGAAACTCTGGATACACAAATGAGTCGAAAAGGTTCTATACAGATTCCAAATGAGTCCGCGGTTTTTCAGAGGGCTGTCGCGAGCCTGAGCCGTAGGTACACTGCAGACACGTCGGACCTCCTGGATCCAGAAATGCGAGCGTTCGGGCATAAATTACCCGTCATGTGGTTTAAAATAGAATAGAGTGGCGAGAACACAGGAAAAAACGGTCCTAGGCCAATCAAATAGGCTACTTGAACGCAGATGCCACCCCATGACGGCTTAAGGATAGCTGCAAAGCTACATCGCAGACTTGCGCTCCGTTTTTCAAGCAGATCAAGAGGGTTCAGAGCCAAATAGCTACCCTAGAAGACTGCTCTTTGAAAGCTGTCAAAGAAGGTGCGGCACTGTGGCGGTGTAGATACACCTTGTGGGGCATGCAGGAGCGGCCTGGTCTGCCGGGGTGTTGCGGTCCGCAGACTTCCGTCAGTCGTTCTTCTATGGAGAAAGCGCTTCTTCGCCCTTAATTCGTCCCAGTGACTCCTTCGCAGCTTAAATAGTGCTGCCCTTTTTCTTTAGGGTCATGGCAGCGCTGTTGCGTTGCTGGTTTCAACGTCTGTGGAACGGTGAGAGTGCTTCTCGTGGGTAGGCACCGCATAAAGCGGATATACCTGCCCGTGCACGCGAAATTCGCGTGCGGCGTGGGTATTCTTGTGGCTTAGCCGCTCTTTCGACAGCAAGGGACGGTATTTTGCGGTGTATTTTGCTGTCCACCTAGTAGTAGAGCGACGGCACGCCGGACTCGCACGCTTGCAGTGGTCAATGGAAAGCTGATGTATTCCGAATATCATTGTTTTGACGTATTTGCCGTTATCAGCAGCTGAGGAACAGAAAACAGAAGCGATGAGTTCGCTGCCCTGCGTGCGTTCGTCCAGCTTTCTTAAGAGTTCTGCATAGAGGAAGTTTCAGTTGCACGCACAACATCTGCACATTGGGGTGTAAGCACGACGAAGGGGTCGGCAGGCACTCTTGCCTCAAGCCAGCGGAGATAGGTGCCCCTGCTATGCGCCGTTTGCCAAGTGATTGGACGAAAATGTAGACTGGGGAGTTAGCATTACTGTTGAAGCGCGCATCCTGCAGAGAAGGAGGGCTTGTACGTGATCGAGCCAAAGAATCCAACATCGGCGTGGTTTAATGCTCTCGCTAAAGTCTCTGTGGGGATACACTAAGTTTATACCCAGTAGAAGCCTGATAAGAAGCTCTACTGCGTTTCTGAAAGAGCTTTCTCCTTCTTTTCCTGCACCTAGTAGAGTGTACCGCTCTGAGGAGAGAGGAAGAGTGTAGTTGGTTGCACAGGCCTGCACCCCGTATGTCCTCCGACCACTTGTGGCTAGTTGCACATTTCAATTACCGCACAGGTACTCAACGTTGCATGTTATTTTGTCGGGCTCGTACTTCTCTAGAAGGAAGGGGTTATACGAAAGGCAAGCCAATTAGTCAATTCTTCGTTAGCTAAATCCAGCTGGAGCTGGGGGAAGTGTTTATGTGTGGCTGGACCCGTCGTCTTGGAAGGGGCAAGCAGAGGCTTCTTGCGCTCTATCCCGCCGATCCAGAGAGCGGCAAAGTGTACCTATTGGGGAATGTCTGCACAGCATCGTCGGCCTGGGATTCGTGCAAAAGTTCAAAAACATTGTTGAGTGTATTAGGGCTGCATACACTGCATGGAGCCCTGAGTCTCTCCTCCCGTAAGGCACTTCTATCGCGCTCTCTTCTGACGCTGCCCCTATACGAATCTGCATGCGTGCTTGCTCCTGTCCTGCCCCCATATAATTTCCCTGCGGGCCGAAGAGTACGGCAACAAAAACACTGCGCGAGCAGGCTAATCCACACCGTCTGCTCAAAATAGGGTGCCCCTTCTGACTCTAAGGAGGGCTGAGAGTCTCCAGTCCAACTGATGAAGCCCTTCAGTAAAGGGTCACCCTTTCGGAAAGCCCGCAGGCTAATGGTTATTGCCATTAATTGATATGTATGGGGCTTTTTGGAGTAGGGAGAGCCCTCAGTGCCTCCTTTCTGTTAGCGCTTTCTTTTACCAGGGAACAAGGTTGCTGTGATCAGCGACACCCTTCCACATTCTATCATCGCCTCTGATGGTGTAGGTGTCATAAGTTTTGTTTGGATTGAACTGCGGGCACAGCAAATTGACAGCACGCAAACAGAGAGCGCGAGAAAATGACGTACGATGCAGTGATAGTCCCGGCAGGTGGTGCATGCATACATACCCCTTACACCTGGCTGCCCCCCTAGGAAGCAGTTCACCACGAGAAAAAGGAGGCACTGCAGCGGCTAGATCTATCTACCACGGCTTTTCACGCAATTTTTCGCTGTCTACGAAGTGCAGCAGCAGCCCTGTACCCGCATGCAGACTGCGAGCATCCCACACCAACACTCTGGCAACCATGCCTCTGATGGACAGAAAGTCGCTCCTCTAAATTTTTTCAGCAAAGTGTACAGCGCGCGTACAACTTCCCATCGCGAGGCCGGAAAGATGTGCTTGTTGCGCTCAAACCACTTCTTGTCTACAATTTTTCCCGCATGCGAGTCTTCCTTCTCCGTCCGAACGTCATTAAAGACGCGAACGTCATCGTGCGCGTCAAAGTGGAAAAGGGGTCCTGACTTTCCCCGAGCCTTGCTCTTGATCAACTCGAAGAAGGTAACGTTCTGCAGGCACGCACGAGTCGACGTTTAGACCGACTCAGCAGACGCGCATGCTTGCGGCAACGGCAAAATGCATGCATCGCAGAGGAAGGGGAGCAGACTGCCGGGTTGCAGACACACAAACACACGGTGTCAAGCTCTCTGCGGGAAGGATGCGAAGACACTTCGAAAAGCAATGTGCGTGATGACATGGTGGAAGGACAGAGGCACACGGCCGCCCCCGTGAAGAAGGTTCATCAAGAACCGATTCGGCAAACGAAAAGCGACAGCTCTTATGCAACAAACAGGTCCACGAAGTGAGATGAGAAGCAAAGCATTCGACTCGGAGCTTGCATATCAAACAAGTCCCCCTAGAGCACATGTGGCTTCATCCCTGCTGCTGTTGCTCTGCGGCGCGACACAGGACGGCCCTTGTCACTGCCTCAGCACCTCGCTTCTCTCCCTTTCTCTTTCCAACCCTCCTGCTCCTCTGCCCCCTTCCCCAGTGTCTTGCTGCGGCCTTACATGCGGCAGAATGAGGTCCTCCTTGACGTACATCAAATTCTCCGTAGCTACAGAGCGCAACTCAACAAATTCACGCTCCAGCTCACGCTTCGCCGTTGCCAAAAATTCCCCAACTGTCGAGCCGCGCAGCACCTGAATGCGACGGCGGTGCCCCGTTCCGTCCCAATAGGAATATGTCACGCACAGAGGCATGCCTGCAGAAAGACAGAAAAAGCGTATTCGAGGATGTGCATGCAGTCCTGCATATCGCAGGATAAACATCCCGGAATCCACATGCATGCACTGAGACTGCCAACTCCAAATCGCAAAGTCGCAGCAGCGCGGGACTGCTAGGTGCGGCCAGTGGCTCTGTGGAGGGGTGCGCATCCACGAAGAGTGCCCGTGCAAAGCAACTAAAACAAAGAGCAACGCAAGCCAAGCAACGACCACAGACATGGAAAAAATTGACAGCACTCAGATAGAGCACCGCACGTACAAGACAACTGGACTTGGCCACACTTAGGAAACAGAGGCAGCAAAAAACGTGTTTTTGTGGCATTTTACTTGACACCCAAAGCCCCAACAGCCCTCTAGGGCCACGTGCGCAGCGAATACAGTGCGCGCGCATGCAAATGGATATACATGTCTACAAATGTACAGTGTAAAATGTATCTCTGTACAGTATGTAACACACTGTATATCATGTAGATATACAAGAAATACACATGTACGTCTATTCGTACATACATATATAGATGTATATGCAGTATGTTCTATGTACAGAGAGCTTTCTGTGTGGGGAAAAGGCCCTGTGTGCATACACTGGAATTTCACACACGCACATGGTGGAATTTTTGTGCATACATATGGCATGGGTGTATATGGACAGGCCTATCTGCGACCTCACGTTTTTCGCGTTCTTCCTTTTGTCTGTATTCTTCGATCAACTGTTGTCGTTCTGCAGCCAGCTGGGCGTCCCTCTCCTTGTCCTTAAGATGCAAAGCGCCTCATGAGAAACACGGAAGGAGGTGGGAGTGAGGAGATGCGTGTGCAAGGCACCCTTGCTTTCGGCACGGTGTCAAAGCGCGACTCAAAGAAGAGGGTCTGGGGAGGCGTAGAGACGGACTTAGATCTTGCCTTTTCAGGCAGCAGCAGACACTGCTGCAGACTTACGGGGAGGTAACTTGTGTCAACGCTTGGATCCTTGCCGATTCGCTTTCTTATTTTGAAGACAGTCCCTCCAGCAGGATCAGCGGGAGAGGGAGAAGACGCACTACGACGGGCTGCATCTGCACGGACGGAGGGAGCACAGGCCTTTTTTTGAAGGCAAGATCCGTGCATGCAAAAATACACCTGAAATCCCACGTAGCCACACATCATCCTACAAGGCCAAAAGCGAGGCGTGACAGAAAAATACGCATGCCCATTGCACGCCCCTACGGAGATCCTCCCGCTTCCCTCCTCCCCCCGCCTTCTCCCCTCTGAGTTTAGGCGCTGGCTAGCTGGCTAGCTAGAATGCATCTTCCCATCAAGAGCGCCGAATACCTGATAGGCCTGCAGTATGTGCTTCCGTGGGGGAGTGTTGCACAGCTTCCTCATTTTTTTTGACGTTCGCTCGCAACGCACAAGCCGCATCCGAAGACGGCGTCTCCGCAGCAGCCTCCGTCTTTACCCCCTCTCCCCTGCAGCCTCCTCTCTGGGAGGCAGTTTCCAATTTTGCAGGAAAGCTCTTGACGCGTTCGTTGCTCTCTTCCTCCGCAACAAGGCCCTCCCCCCCCGTTTCAGCTGCACTGTCGCCTCCCTCATCTTCTGGATCGGCGGGTTCTAGAACCTCTTCGACTTGCTCGTCGCAAAAGGACAGCTTGCTCTTCGCCAGGCGAAATTCGAATTTGCGCTTCTCCTGAAACTTCCTGAGCCATTACACACGCGCATCGCCGAATCCCACTCTTGCAAGAATGCTGCTGCAGCCGCACTCAGCAGGCGGGGAGGTGGCCAGGTGCAGGGGAGGCGAAAAAGAGAGGCCGAGGAAGGAGGCTAAAACAAAAGGAGGCAAATCGTATGCGCGTCATGAATATATCACGCATGGGGAGAAAATCTTTCCGGCGGGAAGGGGCGGCATGCACACGCATGCGCACACGTCGCATTTGCTACATTTGCGGGGAAAGAAGAAAGACCGGAGGAGGAAGCGAGGGGGGAGGAGAGGGGGTCGATTGGAAATACAGGCGAAGGCGGAATATAAAGAGAACCCGCCTGGATACAAAGGCAGGCACTCAGGGTGTTTCAGACAGAACTAGAAGGGAAAGAGTAGGAAGAGAGGTGCGCAGAAGGCGAGAAGGAGTGGCCCCTAGACAGAGCGCCCAAAAGAGAATCAGTCATAGAGGAAGGCACACGCACCAACACAAATACAGATACAAATACGAAGAGAAGGGGAAACCTTCAATAACAAAGATACTTTCTGAGCTCAAAGTCTGCCATCAATATATTCGAAGGCGGCTCGACGTACTGTGTAAAGAGCGCCTTCGCCTCGTATTTGATCTGCTCCTCTAGCTTCGCCCTTCGCACTTTAAAGTCCTCAGCGCTGACTAGACCGACGGTCTCCTTCTTGAACTGCTCTTCCAATCTGTCTGCCGCTGAGCCTCCCCAATTGATATTCTTCCGTTTTGTGCCTTTGGTTTCTAGCTTCTCCTTCGCCTCCTGCAGGTGCTGCTGCATCTTTTGGCGCTGCTGCAGCAACCGAATCGCCCTTCCCCCCTCACTCGCGTGAATGGTCTGCAGCACCGCATTGCCGCCCTCTCCCACAATCCTGAAATCCATCTTGGGTAGGGTTGGGTAGCCGTTTACGGCTTCCTTGGTCCCCCGATTTCTCGCAGCAGTCTCGAAACTTCCGAGGCGAAGGTGCCCCGACAGAAACCGCAGAAAGTGCGGAATAAAGAAAAAAACGCCGCTAGGATGCAGAAAAGTAAGTGGAAAGAGAACAAGGGGAACTGTGGCACGAGAGGCGGTAATTTACTCCCGGTGGGTGGGCAGTCTGGGCTGTCTGTACAGGGCCGCGAAGGGCCGAAAACAACAATTCATGTGCAAGAGGGACACAAATACAGGCTTATGCGTCATAAAAGAGAGATCAACGTCACTTTCACTCCCTTCGAACAAGAGAGCACCCGGTTCCTCGGGAAGGCGAGAAGGAAGGGCGAAGCAACAGCAGTCGCTTGTGCTGTTGCTTCGCCTCCACTTTCCAGCGATTGGAACGAAACGAAGCCAGATATTATCCCTATTTCTCATCGGTTAGTCCTTCGTAGTGCAGCACGGGTCCGTAATATGAGTTTCTAGGGCTGCAGCGGGTGGTGCCAGCTGCCGTAGGACTCCTGCGCATGCAGCTAGCACGCAAAATTGCCAGCGCAGCCTACGGACGGGAGGAAGGGGCGCTCCTCCGCGAGACACAGGACGACTGGCTATGATTGCTGCTGTTGTGTGAGCTGCTGCGCTGGAAAGTAAGTAGGCCGTTTGCTTAAGAGAGGCTGCAGTGTGGACATGGTGGAAAGATCTGAATGTTCGGTGTCGGGGCTGTTAATTTAAGCCATAGAAGAAAGCGCACAGCGATGAGAATTTAGGCCAAAGGACGTCTTCGGAGCGCTGTAGGGCCCTTTTAATTTAACTCTTGAAAGAATCCTTGTCGGCGTGGGCTACCCGTGCATCTTAGCCCATCGATGCACTCCATGGTGTCTTTGCATCTCCTGTGGGGCCTCCCACTCAAAAGCTTGTAGAAACGATCATCCCATCCTAAATCGAACGCTGCTCGGCCGCTGCCGTACAGGCGAGGAAGCCCTCTTGCCTCGATTCCATATAGTGCTGGCGTCCCTTGGCACCTTCTCTCCACTGGCCTTATCTAGTGTACTGCAAGCCGCAGCGACAGGCGGGGATTCAGTTATCCAGGCTGCACTTCGGCAGTTTCTGCAAGGTCAGTCATGTGGGATCAATACTTGCCTAGGCAGTGATTGATTGGCTTGGTTGTTCGTAAACGCAGCTTCTTTTGTCATAGGGTTAGTGAGAACTCGAAACTCTATGGAAGAGCTCTGCATGCCCGTCCGAATTATTATCTTTATGTGTGTACAGACGCATAGTCCTAGTGTTTAGATCGCGCAACAATGTGCATCCTTGCTGGCCCTCTCCTACTCGTATTCGGGGCCGAGGGGGCAAGCAGAAGGGTGTATTCTTTGCAGGGGGTACTTGATTTCTTTCACATGCTTTTTGCATAGCGCTCGTGGGGGCTAGGAGGCACCCCTCACGGATAATGTAAGCGCAGCCGTGCACTAGAGGCCTTCCTGAGTCAGTCGGTAAATCTGAGAGCTGAAAGGCTGAGCGTGTCTTGAGGCGGGCTTCTAAGTCACCCGAAATCGGTTGACTCTGGAAGCCTGAAGACACGAGTTGGCTCGCTCTCTTCAGTCGCCTGGACCCCAAGGAACTAAGAGAGTGGCCTCTACGGGATGCCCATACTGCCCTCTGGCTTCTCCTTGGGATCCCAAGGATAGGCGTAAAAGCCTAAATTGACGGTCTTATTGGAAGGTTTCATATTCTGACAATACGCAAAAAAAATTGTGACGGCGGAGCTTTTTACATACCACAGCTGGCTTTGGCAGACCATACCCACGAGCAGCAGCACTAAGGCGCAGTCCTCGGCGGTGCGATTCCAAACGAAAGCCGCAATGAGAGGACTGCGGCAAGCGAGAGCATCCCGTTCCCACCAATCCACTTGCTGACTTGAGTGATAGGATGTGTATGTATGTATGTATGTATGTGCCTGTGTGTGTATGTGTGTGTGTCCACTTTGGGTATAGGCGCGTTTAAAAATGCAACATTTTTGGCTGTGCAGCAGATGCCGAGTTGCAGCACTGCTTGTACGTGTGTGGACAATGCGTTGATAATGAGGTGGGGAAGGGGCAGAGGGGCAGCTTCAGAGCAACGAATCTAATGAAAGGCATGGGCGCATGCGAAGAAGCCTCAGAAAGGTGCTAGCACTTTCATTCTCTCTCCATTGCGTGCCTGGCGGACGGCGCTGTTTGTGGGGGCAAGGGGGGAGGAGGATCGGGAAAAAGAATGTTCGGAGGAAGCAGTGTTGTGCGTGAAATGTATATCGCGTGTGAACGGATATTTCGTATATCGGGTGCCGGTGCTGGTTAGTAGTGTCCGGTCATGGATGAATCACTTTCTTCCTTTAGAAAGGTCCCCCAGCACCAAGCGTGTGGCAAGGATTTACTGCTGCCAGGGTTTGCAAAGATTTTCTCGCCGTTAGAGCGTAGCGGCTTTATTTTGAGGAACTACATTTAGGAGGAATTTGTTTTATGTCTTCTACATAGACGACTAGGTCTGTGGTAAGCACAAGCAGCACGTGGGGTACAGGCGGCGAGCGACGAGGAATTTCGTTTTACGGGCTGGACGCTTTCACTAAGCTGTTGCGAGAGCACCATTGGCGAGTTGCTAAATCAAACAAACACACCAAACAAAGGGTGAAAATATCGGCTGGGCAGAGGAAAAAATGTAAAAGAGGCAAACAAAGAACACGGATGGGGGCGGGCGGGCGAAAAGGCAAAGGTGAAGAGACACCGACATAACTTGACAGAAACGAAACGAGAGACGCAAACAAAGCATCAGTATATGCATATATATATACACACACACAAATAGGCAAGGCAGTTCACATATAGGCAAGGAGGCACGCACATGTAGAATTTTTTGGCCAAATGCAGAAAGAATGATGCACGAAGACAATGCAGGAAGGAAAGAGGGAAACGAAGCGGGATACAAGGAGCAAAGGTTAGACTACCATTTCCGTGTTCCCCGCCACGTTTACAAAAGAGCTGCACATATTTATTCCTCAATATGTGCAGCTCTTTCCTTCCGCCGAATCATCCCCTTTGCTGTCAAATTGCTGTGAGACGTTTTTTCCTGCATCTTTACCTCTGCCATCTTGTTGAGAACGCCGTCAGGGCCTCGTAGTGCAGACGTCATGGCGATCGCCTCCCCAATGCGCTACGGCAAGCAGAATTCAAAAAAGCAAATACACACAGAGGCACCTAGACGCATGTATGCTTTTTCACACGGCTGCATGCTCCTCCCGCATGCATCACCATTCTGCAAGCAAGCTATGATGGCTTTGTTGCTCGCTTCCATGTGTGTTTGTGAGTTTTTCCCTTGACAATCGGGCTTGCTAGGTGGCACGCTCGCTAGTTGCTGGACTGCTCCTCTAGACGCTGCCTGCCGTGGCAACGTCCAGCCAGGCTCCACATCCTACGCCTCAGCTGAAACGTGTGCTTTTCAACATTTCGGCGAGGTTGATGGGTGACGGCCTAACATCTATGGGGGATGGCAGGAATCGTGGTTTGACTTTGTGGCGTTCGGTAATGCTGTTAGCCGAATTCCTTGAACTTTAAATGCAGTACACCGTCATGAAATTTTGTTGAAATCTTGAGAGCAATTACCTGTGCTAGCTCTTCGCCTTTGCGGTGCTCCTCTGCGGCCTTTTTGACCTCCGTTAGCGAATACTCCCAGTTCGCGAAGCCCTCGATTTGAAGCCGACCCTAAAAGCAGCCTCGCCAAAAGTGTTTCAAGCCATGCATGCGCAGTAACAGCAACCGCTAGGGCACCCCCTGTCCTCTAAACCCTCGCCATGCACGTGCGTGCACCGTGGATGCCATGCACATGCATGCACGTGTATACCCAGATGTTTTTCATGAAACGCGCATCCGTAGGCAGACGCCCAGCCCCTCCATCCAAGGGTTTCTCTTTGTAAGTCTCAATATTTCAATAGCAGTGTGCACAGGAGAGTATACACTGGTCGCAAAGAGCAGCGCGATATGCACGCTGTTGGTGTGCAGCTGTCTGCGTGGGAGAGTTTTTTGATCGCCACACAAGGCCCCTAGGTGCGAGGCAAGCAAGCCGTTTTTACCATCCTAACACAGTACACTGGACTCTCAGATGAAACTTTTTCCCCAGAAGGGCCTTTTTGCCTTTTCTGCACTAAACTTGAAAGGATGCAATGTGGAGTAAGTGGATCAACAACAGAAGCCACCACCAAGAGCGTGGCGTTACCACGCCACCCCGCACGCTGTCGGATTACGAATATCTCGAATTTTCATGCATGCAGTCAGCTTTCTTGGGCAGGGTAAGCCTCCAATGTGGAATGCGCGCACCTCTTCATTCGCAGTTTTCGGCTCTTTGCATTCGCAGACCGCATCGTTCATGGTATTGTCAGGGATGACAAGGAGGTGTCTGTACACCCAAAAACTGTTCGTTTCTACAATGCCCATCCCGCACAACTGGCTGTCTCGGAAGTTGATCCGCTGCTCTCCCGATGCGCCGCCTTTAGCCCGCGGATAACTCGTGGACGCGCACAAGGCATTCTTGACAGACACGAAATGTGCCTTGCAAGGTCGATCATTGCTGTGGTTGTTCAAATAGGGGCTGAAATGCAAGCATCAGACCAGACAGCAGCACACGGGGGAGGCCCTATGAATTCTATTACAGCCCGTGCAGGCAGCTGCACAGCTTAGGCCTAAGCCTTCAGGAGAGCCTTACAGTTGCTCGCGCCAGTGGGAAACTGCTGTCTCCGGTACACAGCAAGTCATTCCCTCCGAGGCGCAGATGACGGAGGGTCTCCCCGCGCCAGGGGGAGGCGGCAAGTTTCTCTTGTTTCCCACGAAGAGAGGGGCCCTAAGGCCGAAGTATTGAACTCCTCGACTGCGAAAAAATCCAGACTGCTGCAGCTGCTGACCAACTAGCAGCATCTCTTGCAGCGGCACCGCGCTCATGACGGTCTCCCCCGTTTTGAGCAGGGAATGCGCCGCCATCAACATCGCTGCTGCAGTCCCTACCACATTGTCTCCCGGGGGAAACTGCTGAGTCAGAACCTGCTGCTGTTGCTGCTGCTGCTGAGGCAGAAACTGCTGCTGCTGTTGCGGAGAGGCTGGGAGTCTCTCTCCCAGAGATTCCTGCTGCTGAGGCACCTCCTGTATTGGGTAATACTTGGAATATTGCATCACTTGGCTTTCCGAAGGGGCGTAGTGCTGAGAACTTTCGGTGCTTGCTACGCCAGCCAAACGGCTGGGTAGTATTGCGGCAGGAAGAGCAGGGGTGTTTGGGTTGTGAGTGAAGTATCCGATGGGGGATGTTGCACTTGTCGCCGAAGGATTCTTCCCGGAGAGATCCATGCTGGCGTACAGCTGAGAGGAGGGGAAGGGAGAAGATGCGGCCTGTTGCTGCGTCTCGTCAAGGATAGAGGTTGCAAAGGTGTTCTCAGGAAGTATAGAGTCTATCAACGATGACTGCTGCGGATGCTGCCCAAAGGCGAGCGACTGATCACTGAAAAGCAGCTCTTGAGGGGAGTTGAATGCTGCTGCTTCTCCCATAGAAATTTGCGCTTCCTGCTGGTAGGGCTGCTGCGGGGGGCGGCCCCCTCGGTGTACGTACAGCTTCTGCAGATGCCCAATTGGCTGCTGATTGTCTGGGGCTTGCAGCTGCTGCATCCCCTGCGCGGGCTGCTTGTACGGCTGCAGTTCACTTTGCTGCTCCTCTCGACTTCGCGGCTGAGGTAGCTGCTGGTGTTCATACAGCAGCTGCTGCCGACTTGTAAGATCGGCCTCCTGCTGCTGCTGCTCCTGCTGCTGCTGTAGAGACGCTGTCGTTCCCTGACCTTCAATCGTTTCCCTTCGCAACGCCTCTGCCACTACTGCGCGGGGATCGAGCAATGATGCTGGAGATTCTGCTGTCAGCATGAGGGTTGCTGCAGCGCCGGTGACTTCTGTGGATGCACTTGCGTCTGTCTGCGCTGTTTCTGTTGAGCGCTTGCCAGGTTTCCAAGGGCGTGATGAATCCGCCTCTAAGATCCCTGCTGGCACATTTGGAGGCGTTGACGCGGAAGGCAGTAGGGGACTCACCTCGGGGAGGCTTCCTGGCAGCAGGGGGAAAAGATTTAGAGCACTTAAAGTTGCCTCTAAGGGGGACGAAGGGAGCCACATGCCATGGGCAGTTGCATTCACAGCCGCGGCAGTTCCTTCAGGATTGGACGAAGGGCCTCCCGAGAGACGTGCCGGTGTCTGCGTTTGCTGAGGAAGTGCTCCTGAAGCAGAAGGCAGCAGCTCCAAAGACAAGGGATCTTGAGCGGTTTGCGGAGATGATGTCTGGTGAAAGGCAGAGGCTGTTCCTTCAGTAGACAGCTGAGACGAGGACAGGGGATACTGCGGAGAGACTTCTCGAGGCATCGGCGAGAAGTTTGGCGGAAATGAGGGTGAGGCGTAGAGTCTCGAGAGCTGCGGAGGGCTTGGAGAGGGAGCCGCTGAAGCCTTCGACGAGCTCTCGTCGGAGTCATCTTGGGAGAAAGGCTGTCTCCCAGAAGGCGAGGGTGGAGCCTCAAAGGCTTGCCCTACGGCTCCTTGTCTGCCTCTTGCAAAGGCCTCCTCGAGTTTCGTGGGCGGCTGAGACTGACGGGCGGCTTCGTAGAGCAGCAGCTGCGTCTCTGCTGCCGCGGACGGAGACACGAGGACCCCCAAGGCTGCTTCCGCGAGATCTTGGGAGCTTGTCAGTATGTCTGCTGCCGGCGACTCCGGTGCATTTCCGCCGACCGACGCAGCTGCGTCAGTCGACGGGGGAATTGGGCAGTTTGACACGGTCGAAAGAAATCCAGCGGCCTTCTCTGTAGCCTGCAGAGCACTGAATCTGTAGCAAAGGCCAGTGGAGGCATTGTAGGAAATATAGCGGCACGGCTGCGGAACCACGCGCATCTTTTCGACGGCTCCGTCATCGCCCCCTGCGGCAGCAGCTGCTGCTGCAGCGGCCAGCTGCTGCGACGCTCGGCAAGCCGCCTGACATGCGCTTACAGTGCTCCTTCTGTCCATGGCGGAAGGCAGGCCTGACACCTTAACGCCCTGTATCAGACAGGAGGGAGCGCTCACCAGGCCTGCAAGCAGCTGCTGCATCTCGGAGCCGACAGAAATCAAGCGCGCGACGCCTGAAGAAGGTCGCTCGGCGTTGTCTGTTTCTACTATGGAAGCCGCAGAAACGCCCCCAGAGACACTTCCCATGCCAGATTGGTGGGACCTCCGACTGTCTGCGCTCCCCCTTCTCAACGCCATGCGAAGCTTTGCGCGATCTCTCAGAGAAGAGAGAGGCTTTTGGAGATCACGCAAAGGGGGATCGGCGTCGGCAAGCCTACGAGGGTGTGGCCTCAAGGAAGCACCTGCACTCCCAAACAACCCAGCTGCCCGTGGCGGATTTTCTGGTTGCTGCTGTTGCGTTTGTTGCTGTTCATTTTGTTGCTCTTCTTTTTTTTTTTCTTCTTTTTGTTGCTGTTGTTCTTGTTGCTGTTGTTGCAGTCGGAGTTCCTTGGCGGTGCGCTCAAATGCGTCGAGAGCTTCCACCCAGGAATCATTCGGGTGTGTCATTCTGTAATATATCAATTCGTTGGCCATACGGTTGGCTTGTTCGGAAGTGATATAGGTTGCCTCCACCGCTGCATGCAGCGCCTGCATGATATCCTGGGCAGAGAGTACAGCTGGGGTGATAATGGTGGCGTTCCCTCTCTCCAAGAGGCGCTGCAAATCATTTAGATCTGGGATCAAATTGTTCGAGAAGAGTTGAGGGACTGAAGAGGAAGCAAGGCTCCCCATATTTGACAAAAAAGGTGTAGGGGGGAGGGCTCCTGCAATGTAGGTGGTTGCTGAGGGCTGCCAAATGCGTAGAAAAGGGGTAACTGAGGGCATCTCGAGCAGTTTTTCGGTAGCCGTTGTTACGGCTGCTACAGCTGTTGTTGCTGCTGCTGCTGCTGGCAGGGCCGTGTATACTTCGAGATCATTGCCTAGGAAGACAGCCGGAGGGTAGGCGGCGGAATCCGCTTGAGTTTGATCGGAATAATAGGTGATCGCGCTAGAGAGAGGAAGCCTGTAGATGTGCTGGGCTCGCAAAGCAGGTGCCTGCACACCCAGGTGGCGCGGAACGGCCTGAGTCGACTCCAAGGGGTGCTCTTTTCCAAAAGAGGCAGGGGGGCTGGCCTCGGTGGAGGGAAAGTCTTTCTGGGCAGTCAGTGAAGACTGAGAAAGAGGGCCAAAGGCCTTTTCTGAAAGCTCAGCGTGAACGCCCTGCGGATAAAGGAGCGCTAAGACGCAGGGGAGTGAAAGGACAAGCGACAGCGCCATGAAGACAACGGTCGTAGGTGGTACACCCACACCGACAGGATCTGGAGTTTGGAGTCAAGAAATGGGATTGTGCTTCATATGTTGACACAATATGGGGCCGAACGAACCCGGATATTTGGCGTAATGATGTGGGTGGGGTTTTTGCCCCTAGAAACGACCACAGCCGAAGTTGTGCTGCCGTGTCTGCGAGGCCCTGCAGGTTCACGGTATCCAAAAGTGGCAAAAAAGCATGCTTGGCTTCGAATAATGAAGGAAATAATAAAAACACGCGATTATGCCGAGGAAGAAAGCACGGGGTGGCAGGGCACAATGGTCTGGGGGCGGTCACTTCTCGTCAAGGTAGGGGTACGCGCGACATTCCCTCGCGAAGCTCAATATTTTCTTGATAAACGCCACTTGAATAACCTTTATTAATGTTTCCCATTCAGCGCTCTACCTGAAGTCATTTCGACTGGTACCACACAAAGGTGTTTTTCTCGTGCAAGTGGGCGCTAGGAAGTGACCTCCTGAGGCAAACTTGCTTCAGCAGAGCTCTTTGAAACTGAACTTGAGCACCATCGACTTCCTTAATGTTGTGGCCGAAGTATATATATAACTGTAGCTCATAAATTTTTTGTCTAGCACCGGTCAAACAGGTTCTGGCGGATTCCCGAAACTGTGTTCCCACCGCTCGACACCATAAGGGTATATATTTTTAGCAGTATTTCCCAGGCACACACGCATAGCGTCGTCTAGGAATGCTCAAAAGAGGCTTAGAAAAATTACACTGAGGCTCTACTGGTCTGTTTTTGATGAGGCAGCATAAGCAAGCCTGAAGGCGTATCAAATTCAGCGCTGCGCAGAGCAGGTTTCAGCATTGCACACACCGACAGGAGAAATGGCAAGAGCAAACCCACGCTTCTGGGACGATTCTGTCTGAGCTTGCGTCACACTTCACCAGCACGCAGTTGCATAGAGACAGCTTTACAAACAGGCGCCAACCGTTACTGAATACGAGAAGACAATAATGGCTTTGCAAAGAACCTTATCAGGAACAAGCAGTACAGTGCAAGCAACAAGTTGGGTATGATTAAAGTGGCACGACCGCAGTGAAAAATTTATTTGTTGAGCGTACCGTTTGCCATGCAATTCGAGTAATCTAGATTCTTCATAGGCGTCTGTGTAAAATGTTCTGCATGTGTGATTTTAAAGGCGTAAAAATACCATGTGGTTAGGTAGCTCACGAAGGATCTTAGTGCCACTTAGTTGGTTCTGTGCCTCCTGACAAGGTTTCACGTGCGTAGCATTGGTTGTAGCAAGCCACCGATGGCTTCGGATCACGTTTCTGTACAAGCAGTTGCCTGGCACTGAATACCTGTACGATATTTTCTGCCATATGACATTGCATGAAGAAGCACGCTCGGCGTTTGGTGGATGTTGCAGCCACGATTGGCAAGGGACTTTTCATATAAGACAGTATGCATTGTATGAAAACCCATCCGTAGGTACAGATAGGGGTCTGAAGGCATGCATGATCCTTGAATCATTAGTAATTCTTCAAGCCATGAAATGAGCCGGGACCATTTCCAATATTTGGCTTATCGTATGTTTCTGAGGGTCACAGCTTCCCAGTGCAGCTTTGTTTTATTTGACCAGTATGGATTTGTGCGGCTGAGCATTGCCAAGCATGTCTCGCAGGTTTTAGGGCTAAAAAAAAGTTTCTAATCGCTCTAGAAAAGTGGGAGGCTGAAGCGGAAAAGGTAAACGCTCTCCTGGCTGCGCTTCATAAGGTTGATGTAGGGAGACAATTTTCTCCAGCCTCAATACAACTTATTAGAAAACTGTCAAGGATTATGAAAAAGAGCCTTCATTTTCCCCTGATGTGGCTCCTACAAAATTCTGACGTAAATTGGTAGGGGCAGCTAGGCGCGCACAGCTGCACCCTGTAAGCACTTGACGCATTCACACCCAGTTGTACATAGCATCTGGCGCACACACAACTTTGACTCCCGCTGTATTCAGATAACAAAACTCCGTAGTAACCGAGATGCACGAACAGCCAAACCAAATTATCGTTATACAACTAGCTTTTGACTAAATACCAGTGGTGTACTAGAAAATGCCGAAGAGTGCCCTGGCGCGTCAAGCTCCTGCTAGAGCTGGGCAGTGGTCACTAGCAGCCTCACAAATACTGAATATTGGTCCGAAATTGGATATGCTGTTACTGTGAGCTTTGCATGCTGGTTACTAAGGCGGTCCTGGGAGGGTAGATGTGGATGTTTGCCAAGCCGAGGTGTCGGAGAAGTCTGAAGTGCGTTTGGATACGTAACACATTTTTAAGAGGGCGTGAAGGCTGATCACTGCCGTAAATTGCCCTAATCCACACATTTTGGGAGTGAGGAGAATATGAGTCACGCTCGAGGAGGGAATGGCTGCCACTACTGAAACGGCTTTCTACGAGACTGAAGCAGGCGCAAGGTGTGTAGCAGCACTTTGTGTCCAGAGTCGGGCAGAAGCTAGCAGGGGAAGTCAGCCATGAAGGAGGTGCGTAGGCACATATATATGGACGGGTAGCAAGGAGCTTGCGTACCGCGTGAGTGCTCATGTTGCAGTTCCCTGATGTAGCTACAGACGCCCCCGCAAAGAGCGACCCAATTTCGAACTCCTGATGCAAAGTTATGCAGCATCGGTAACCGTATAAAAAGAGGTTTCCCGGGGGTGCAGACTCTGCAACATCCATAGTCCCCTATATACAAAGGAGCAGCCACCCACAGCGGCCGCAAAAGGGCAGCTGCTGCTGCAGGTTCTCGTAGTGCAGTACACTTGTGCGTTGAAAGCGCACATGTGAAGCCGCGGCAGCCTCCTCCACAGAGGGAGGGGGCTGGCTCGTGTTCACGCTTTGTGGTCGAGCTACAGGCGGTCGTCATGATAGAGGAACTGCGTGTCTCGGGAGCCTGCAGGAGTGGTAGCGTCTGAGTGCAGCCGACCCAGACAGGCAACACACACGGACGCACTGACGAACTGACTGCAACACGGCAGTGCGTGGGAGCGTCGAAAACACGCAACGCATGCGGAGGGGAACGACCAGAGTTCAGAAGAAACAGAGGGCCCAAAAGAGGAGCAAAAACAAAGGTCCGGAAAAGGCGGCGAGTGAAACGAGAGGAAACTCGCACTGGGGTGTACATGCACGTAGAAACATACACAGAAGGGAGGGAGGGGGCCGGAAAAGACTGTAGTTAGGGGAGGGGTGTGTGTGCTGACGGACGAAGAAGGTCATCCTGAGGGGCCTTCTTGGTAGACGCGGAGAGGAGCATCGAAAGGACAGCAAGCGCAAGCTTCAAGACGGAAAGGCTGGGGTGCCAGTCAGAGCCCAAGAGATTCAGACAGATGTCTCCGTTGCTGTAGACGTGAGGATGGACAGGAACTGCAACGGCAGTGCAATCGCGGCAGACAGACAAACAGGAAGGCAAGCGTCAGGAACCCCACGCAGCAGCCAAGTGCACAAAACACATAGGCACAAAGCGCAAGGCGGCGATGAGGGGGAGCTGCACAGGGGGCGCTAAAATAACACACGACAGACGAGGGAGGTGTTTCCTTACAGAAAACGAGATGGACGGACAGAGAGAGTGATAAAGAATGCACCACGCCCTGCTAGGCCCAGGAGGAGGCGCTGGTACAAAAGTTCAAATGGGGAGTGGTAGATGCAGCAACGAGAAGTACATGGGGAAATCCGCCTTACTTGGCTTTATGAAGAAGACCGAAGGAGGTCTGAGGGGATAGTCAACAGGCAAGGAGAGGCGTAGCCGCAAAGTATCGCCGTGATACAAACTGTCTCGGGGGGGATGCAACAAGACGATCCACTCCCGAATGTTCGTAGGGTGGACATACACCGAAATCTGCGGCCGCAGCCCATCAGCCAGTTGCTGCTTTAGCAACTGCTGCAGCTGGGCCAATTCCTACGGCAGCAACAATAATCCGCATGCATCATTTCCAAACAAGCACTTTGCTGGTGCAAACAGGGAGACACAGCGTACCAGAGTAGCCCGCAAACAGCCACGAAGATGCAATTCAGCTTCAAGACGCGCGCTCCACCATTTTCCCCCCCATTTACCCCCGCAAAACGCCTCACAAAAATCTGTCTGTATCTAGATCGCTCTGTATCTACCGCTGTGCAGCTACATACGAATGTAGTGGCAAACGGGCAAGAAGAAGACTCCATAACAACGCGAGGTGCAGCAGCTGACAGGGGAAGATATACAGACACAGACGCATGTATACACACAGGCATGCGCTCGCATGGACGAAATTACCCTCCAATGCGAATCGAATGACGTAAGCGGATATAACAAGACCCGAAAAAGATGATCGAAGCCGATCCGGTGTTGAAGCTCGGCACAAAAACGATGAGACACCGCAAATTCAAAACACAGGGCGTACCGTTTGCACTCTGAAATCCGCATGTCCTGCAGGAACTCTTCGTCTGAGGTGTTTCTCTACCGATGCCAAGCTCTCTCTTAGCGAATCTTGCAGTGCTTTACGCTCCAGTGCCTCGGCTGCCGCATCCTCTTCATCAGGCTGCTCCTGCATATACACCTGCTGCTGCGCTTCCGGACGCAGTGGCTCGTCATGGACTTTGGGATGCCCCTCTTTACTGCTCAGGTGTTTTTGCTGTTCCTGCTCTGAATTCTGTTGCTCCTGTATTGAATTCTGTTGTTTCTGCTCTGAATTCAGTTGCTCCTGTATTGAATTCTGTTGTTTCTGCTCTGAATTCAGTTGCTCCTGTATTGAATTATGTTGCTCGTGTATTGAATTCTGTTGCTCCTGCTCTGTATGGCCACCGCGAAGTGCCAGCAGCACGGGTGCAGCGGCGGGAGCCGTCGGGGAAAGGCTTTGTCGGGGTGTTGCTGCTAGAGCAGACAGAGGGGGCAGCAACGCAGCAGCAGTGGGGGAAACTGAGAGTCCGCAGTGTGAAGGGTGTAGGCAGTAGCCGCGCGCTGCACCACGGGGAGGAGCTGCCGCTGCGCCGAGCAAAAACAACAAAGGCAGAGCTGGAAAGGCCATTATGCGGCTCCTTCCTCGTTGATGCGGCCTTTCTTTTGACTTTGATAAACCCCCTGCTGGTGATCGTGCTGCTGCAGTTGCCGCCGCTCATGCGGCGGCGCTGATGGACGGCCGGCGAGGCCGCTGGAAAGTTCAGGTTTGTTGGTATGCGAGCGCCACGTGGTCATGATCCTGACGCTGCTGACGGCACAGCAGCAGCGGAAGCGAGGCGCAATACTATTGGAGGATGTTCTAAACGGGCAGGAAGACAAGCAGTACCCGCTCCAGACACCTGCTGTTGGACGCGGAGCTGCGCACAGTCGCATGCGGCAGCTGCAGCAACAGGAGCGGCTGCAGGAAGTAGGACCAGTGAAATACTGGAATACGCCGGCTGCATGCATCCGGTAGACTTTTGATTTGTAGCTTTCTTTCCGGGCTTTACAGGCCAGAACCGTTGGACCTGCTACAGTTGCAGTCGCAGCGGCGGCAGTAGCGGAATATTTGCAGCTGCAACTGCAGCGGATCGTGGGAATCTCGCGCGCTGCTGGCTCTAGGCATATATATACATATATAGCCACCACCCCAGCATCAAAAGCATCCCAAAAGACTACTTGATCATAAAGGCGTTGGAATCCTTGCTGCTGTATGAGTGGGTTGGTCAACAGCCGCATTTGTTTGCAGGAGAGCTAGTAGCGACTGCCACTGTCTTGAGTCGAGAGCTTCTGCCGATGCAAAACCACGCATTCTATCCTCCCTAGACTAAAGATCTTCTGCAAAATTCGCTGCAGAAAGGGCAGCGAGAGCAACGCTCTCTCTCGCTGCTGCCGCGCGAGCGCGCGCGGCAGGTGTTTCTGCTGCTGCGGGCAGCCAGTGGCGCTGAATGTGATGATTGGATTTTCCCCCTACGATCGACTCTATTTTATTTCCGCAGCAACGCGTGTGCAGGCAGCGCCATTCCTTCCTGCATAGCTCCTCCCCCTCCCTGTTTGCACGAGCTGCAAGAAAATAGTGAACTTGCAGAACCTGCCGAAGGCGAGAACCGCAGCCGCCTCCTGCAGCACCACCAGCAGCAGCAGCAGGAGGGGTTCCCGCCGCGATTCTTGGCTACAGGGCGAGCGAAGCGCTGCAGCGGAGAGAGATCTCAAAGATGGACCGACGCCTTCCCGCGGCTGCCGAAGCATCCGTCGTAGTGGTGGCGACTGCCGCGTCTGCGCATGTGCGCTCTTCAGGGGAAGCTGCTGCATCGCCCTCCACAGCGGCTGCAGCAGCACTCGCGGAGTCAGCAGCCGCCACGCAGCAGCTCGAAAAGTTGCATCTGACTGTGGACTCTTCAAGATCCGCAGCGCCGGCTGATGCAACTGCCGTTACTCGCAGGGAAGCCCTGCATGCAGCCGCCGCGGAAGCCACCAGAGGCTTCTCGTCAGCGGCAGTTGCCTCCGCTGCGAATGCTGCCTCGGAGGCGGAGGAGGACACGCGTGAGCAGTCTGTCGATACAGACGCTGGTGCTGCGGAGCTGGAAGCAGCGGCGCGAGCAGCAGTCAGTCTCGTTGCCGAAGAGCAAGGACGGCGTACTGCGCAGCTCAAGTCAAGCAGCACGAGTGGCAGCAGCAGTCACAGCAGCCACACTGGCACCAGCAGGACCAACAGCCGTAGCAGCAGCGGCGTGTTCAAGTGCACTCGCATGCCTGCTACTCCAGCAGGAGCAGCGCCTGCCGCAGGGTACACTTGTAGTGACGCAGAAGCAAGCAGCGCGAACAGCGGAAGCACAGGCGTTGGAGCCAGCAGCAGCAGCGGCTTGCGAAGGAGCAGCAGCAACCTTAACCGCAGCTACAGCCGCAGCAGCAGCAGCACCGTGATGCAGCTTCATGGCCTTTTGAGCAGCAGCCCTTCCCTCGCCGCATGCAGCCGTATGGCTAACAGCAGCAGCTCGAATAGCGGCAGCTCCACTGAAGGCAACAGCGGCAGCAGCACGCGCAAAGGCGGAGAAGGATCGCTGCTGCGCCTTTTCCAGTCCGAGTTTTTCGACGCACACTTCCATTTATATTACCTCTTCAACAGAAAGGAACAAGGCGTCCATCAGTATCTCGTGAACCTTCTCTACACGAAGCGAGATATCAATGAAATCAACTTCTACCTTCCACAGCTATGCCAACTCGCACTTACGAGGTGTGCTTTTTCTGCACATTTTGCATTGGCCTCGTCCCCTGCCTCTCTGTCTGCCCTCTTCTTCTTTAGGAACGTTTCTTTCGCCGCTTTTTCTCCCCCTCTTCTCCCCACTCCCGCTAGATGCTGCCTCCCCCCATCACCCTCCTCCTCCTGCGCCGTCCTCTGTTTCTGCACTTCTTTTCTTGTGGCTTCTTCACGCTCACACGTACCTCGCACCGCTGCGACACCTCCTTCCTTAACGCGAGGCTGTAGAAATCGCCTCTCGCTCCTCTCGGGAAAGGCGTGTAGGTACACCCGAAGAAGCAGAGGCGACAGAGGAGCGAGCGCAGTGTGCTTCGCACGCCTTGCGCATTCCCTGGGCAAGGCAGCTGCTGCTCTTTTGCGGTTGCCGCATGCGCTGCATGCAGATTCAACTCTTCTCCGCTGTCTCGGTTCCTGCTAGACGTGTGCAGCACGCACATCCATTTCGCTTTGAGGGCTGCCTGGCTCTTCCAAAGCTTCGTCGAAGATAAGATATCTGGTGCGGGAAGGCGGGGAGTCTGCGGCTCAGATAGGGAGAGCTTTGGGTAGAGACGGGGACAGAAGGGAGGTATTGGAGGTGTGCTGTTGGTTCGTTGGAAAGAAGAATAGATAGCGGCAGGAGAGGGGGGAGGGGGCTCTTCCTCCCTTCTGCTAATGCTGCCATAGCCGCAGACGTGATGCTACCTGCGACTAGGGCAGCTCTAGCAGCACGAGGATTTTCAACCCTCCTATGTGTGCTGCTGCTTCTCTCTGGCGCGCGCAGGTCTGGAGGAGGCGGCACAGAAGATGACACAGGAAGTCGAAATGGCTCTCGTTAACAGCAAGCCTCTTGCACATGCGGTGTATGCACACCCCAGCAGTGAGAGGAGCAGCACGGCCAGCTGCATGACCAGCAGCAGCGCCAGCAGCCTTTGCGCGGCGCTTGATCGGATGCATCGGAAGCACGAGCAGCTGATGCACAAGCACAAGCAGCATTGCCAACAACAGCAGCAAGAGCAGCAGCAGCAACAACACAAGCAACAGCAGCAGCAACACAAGCAACAGCAGCAACAACAGGCGCCGCAGCGCCACACAGATCTGTTCAAAAGGCACACCCTGCTGCATCTGTTGTGGCAGCAGCAACAGCAGCAGCAAATCACGCCGCAGCAGCTTCAAAGGCTGTCTAGGGCAGTGTGTGCTGCAGATGCTGCACCAGCAGTAAGCACATCTGAAACTCTGAAGCATCCAGATGTCGCAACGCCGGAAGAAGATGCAGCAACAACTACGGCAGGAACAACAGCGGCCCCTAAGCAGCAGCAGCATGAAGAAGAGAAAAACGCAGACCATCAGCATTCTCAAGAAGGAGAGCAGCAACAGCAGCAGCAGCAACAGCAGCTGGTGTCGCTGCCTGCAGTGCTGCCGACAACGGAGCAATACCCCCTCTTACCCCCTCGTTTGCCATCCGTGTTCAGTCACAACACAGGGCTTGTTTCTGTACCAGGTGCAAGAGTACGTGTTTTGCTTTCTGCTAGAGACTTGTTTGCACTGCTACCCCGAATGGCTGCCGATATCACACCCCAGTATGTGTGTGTCATCGAGATGCTCTCGACAGCTGCTCCTCCCATGCCTCTCTCTTGCCTTCGAGCACCTCCCTGTACTGACGGCGCAAGGCTTCCCCTGTGTGCTGGCTGCTGCTCCTGCAGGCGAAACTGCCCTCCGTGTATGCGAAGCTTGGAAATCCCCTCTCGCTCACAACGCTTTCTCCCCCCAACCTGTGCTGCGGCACTTGCAACCGTGCAAGCAGCAGCACTGGCAGCGGAAAGGGTTGCACAGACAGCTGCGTGGCCGTCGAACTGCACCAATTCGTCATGAAACAGAGGCGCTGCGATTACTTCAATGGACTCAACCACTTTGTGTCGCTTCTCATCGATGCCAGCAACATCCTGGCAGCGGAACCAGACCGAAGCATAAGGTCAGCTGCTGCTGGTGATCGGGGGTGTGCTGTTGCAATTGGCGCTGCTGTTGTTGTTGTTATTGTTGGCATTATTGTTTCTATTGGTGCTGCTTCTGCTACGCGCGGCATATGCCGATGGCGATGTTCAGAACTGTTGCTGCACGGGGCACATCCAAAGATGCGCGCATTGCTGTAGCAAAGGTGCTGCAGCACCGAAGGATGCCGTCTGCAACTCGCCCTTTTTGGCAAGTGCTGCAGCACGGTGTCTGCAAAACTTTACGCTGTCTCTGTGTACACCTGCGAAGACCTAATTGCGCATGCGCGCTCTCATGGGTGCCCCATTTTGGTGCAACTGTTTATGTATGCATGCATGCATGTGTGTGTTTATGTATGTATGTATGTATGTATGTGTGTATGTATGTATGTGTTCCTGTATTTGTATGCATGTATGTGTCTATGCATGTGTGTATGTGTTCCTGTAGTTGTATGCATGTATGTGTCTATGCATGTATGTATGTGTTCCTGTATTTGTATGTATGTATGTGTCTATGCTTGTGTGTATGTATATGTATGTTTGTATGTATGTGTATGTTTGTGTGTCTTTTTACAAGGCCATCTCTGTTGTACGGCCTGTGCGAGAATTTGAATTCCTGGCTGCTGGCAAGGCGGCTGTTTGTCGCTGCGAATGGAGGAGACTTTTCTCTAGCTGGTTTGACTGTACCGTTGGAGCAAATAGGGGCGGAGCCAATGCACAACAGCAGCAGCTATGGCATGACGCCTCGCCATTCTGCCGGTAGCGGTCACAGATTGTTGCACAGCAGCAGCTTCCCCGCTGCAGCAGCTGCCCCCCCGCCACTTCCAGCGGTGCAGCTGTTGCGCATTGAGAGTCGAGACAGCCGAACCCTCAGCTCGAAAAAGCGAGCGCCTTACCTCCTCATAATTGAAGTCTGCAATCTGGACGAGGTGCCTTCCCCACTTGTACCGTAGTTCTTGCAGAGTCATAATACTGCTACTTCCTCTTTTTGCTGTGTGCTTTTTATATTGCTGCTTCTTCCCGCCGCTCGGCTGTCAGCGACGCTGCTCGCAGGGTGTCTACCTAGACGGGCTCTCTCTGGGTGCACGTGTCGCGCTTGTGGACTCTTTTTTTCTCCTCCTCCATCAAGCTGCTCCTCATGGAGGTGTATGTGGAGGGTCTCTGTGTTTGTTGTGTATGTGGTGAGGGGCTGCTGCTGCTGCTCTTGTTGCTCTTGCGCGGCGTGATCGCTACAGGATCTGGATCAGTTTTCTGACGACCCCGAGGTCCAAAAGGAGGAAGTGAAGTCGAAGCCTCTCTTTGTGTATCAGTGCATTTTGAAGGAGCTGAAGGTGAGCGAGAGGAGGTGCCTTATATTTATCTATTCATAAGGAAGGGTTCCAGCTGAAACCCCAGTGGGGGAAGGCAGGTAGTGGGGAAAACTCGAGGTGTGGAGGGGCCGGCAGAAAAAGCGCAGACGTCCGCGCAGCGATGCACAGGCGTAGAAAAGTGAGAGCCAAAAAAGCAACGCGATGCAAATAAAAATGACGGAGATGCAGAGGCAGAAGGGCCTTGCACGAACAGCCATCAATATGGCCCCCCTTTGCGTAATGCAACTTGGGAATACAGTGTAGGAAGGTGCATGTGACACGTCGTACGGAGTGCGTTCATGTATATATATTATATATGGGTATATATAGAGAGACTTATGGGTATACTGAGCTATTTCGTTCATGATTTTTCCTTTTTTCGCTGTGCGTAGCAAAGGAAGATGCTGCCCCCGAAGGCACCGGCAGGCGAAGACCCTGTGACAGCCATCCGCCGCGTTTTGGGAATGTTGCCTCAATCACCGACACCATGTGTCGCATCTTTGGAGGCTGACACCCCCAACCGAGCAGCAAAGGCCGCTTGTTCGCCAACAGCCGAGACGCACATGCGTCTACAGCAGCCTGGGGAAGACGATACCGCACCGTGGCGACCCCAATCTCCCTCTTCTGAAACAGCATCAGCACCGAATATGGCAGCAGTGTCTGGAGGCACAGAAACTGCAGCGGCCGGAGGTGCAGCCTTGCGACTGTCAGAGAATCACTTTGTCAAACAGGAATCCCGCAGGGCCCCCGGTGGGGGCCCCCCAGCGCATACAGCCAAGTGCAACAGTCTCTGGGTAATCCCTCGACTTCCTCAACCCTCTCATCTATATATATATATACATGTATATATATACATGTATATATATCTGTATATACATGTGTATATATGCATATATATGTTTATATATATATATTTTTATATGTGTATATATCTATGATTGTCCTCTAGCTAGTTTGATCGAGTGCCTCTCCTGTAACTCCCCGTCCCGCCTCCCGCGTCTTTATCCAGTGTCTTAGCCGTCCGTCCTCTCTTTGTTTAGAGGCCTCAGCGTCCGTTAGTTTCTGACATAGAGACTTCTTTAGTGCCTCTTTGTGCGTATTGCGTCTCCGGGATCCGCTTCTCCCGAAAAACACACGCGTGTAGTGGATAGACATCGGACTTTTCGTGTGCCCTGCTCTCTTTTTCTGCCTCTTGACAAAAGCCCCCCGCGGTCTGCACTGTTTCGCCCGAGCGGCTGTGGTGTTCGCGAAGTCTCGTCCCCTCCGTTTTCTTCTCACTCCAGTAGAACAGGACGGGGGTCTGTACACCTGAACGCGCGCAGCGCAGCGCAGCGCCACCACCTCCTGCTGTGCTTGCGCCGCTGATGCAGGGGGAACTCTGGGTAGCGCGGCGTGAGCGTCTGAGGCGTAAAAGCCCTTATGGCAAGCTCCGCTCCTGGGATATCAAGTGTACGTACACCGGGTTCATTGGGTTTTTGCACTGCGGTCCTCCGCATTGCCCCACGCAGAGACCCCTCCACCGGTATAGCTGCACTCTTCGGTTGCTCTGTGTACTGGGGTCGTCTGCTGTTCTCAGCAGACACCTGAAATCGCATCTAGGGCCTTAGCCATTCCCCATGATGCGGCCTCTATACGAGGAAATCACAATGATACTACTGCATGCAGAAAATGCCTAGCATCTCGGAAGTGCTTTTTCCGTGTTTCTGTTCATGTGATCCGTCTCACTCCCCCCCTCTCAGGCATTCTGGTGAAGGGCGGTGATGACTTACGGCAGGAGCTGCTGGCGTCGCAGCTGGTGCGACAGTTCAAGGCAATCTTTGAGGAAGCCCGATTGCCTCTCTGGCTGAGACCGTACGAGATTCTCGTCACTGGATCCAACTCTGGTACGATTTTTTGGAAGGCTTATCGAGGCATTCACGGTTGCTCTGTCTTGTTTCGTTGTCTTATGGGTCTTCGTTGCTTTAAATGTACATTCGGATCAAAAATCTGCTTCCTTCTGATCATTTGCCGTCCTAGACCGCGCGTCTTTTGCCGCTGAATTCATCGTTTAGGCATCATGGAATGCATTCCAGACACCTGCTCCGTCGACCTCCTCAAAAAGAAACACGGAGTTGACTCGATCGCAACGGTCTTTGACACGCTATTTTCAGACAATCCGTTTGAGGCCAAAAAGGTTAGTGCTCGAATGTTTAAACAGCAAGCCTCCACTCATCAGCAGTCCCGAAAATCTGAGGCGGTCTGTAAAATGAACGTTCGTGCTAGTTCTGCAGACACCAACAACTAGCCATGTATATTTGCCAGAGTGGGGGAGATCCCATATACCTTGCCAAAGGCACTGAGCCATTTCTCCATTTTCACCAATAACAGAAAACAAACACGCCTACCTCCAACCAAAATGGAACATGTCGATAGGTGCTACTGCTCGACGTACTGATACTTTGGTGCCTGATGGTAATGCAAGTACCGTGCAAGGGCAGGGGTTCACTAGGCCGGAAGGGGTGGCCGCCAAGCCATCCAGATACACATTCATATACACTTGAAAGCTAATCGATACATGAGTCTGTTTGTCCTATTTGCAATTCATTTTGCCTTATGCGTGCGTTAACGGTGGGAGGGGGCCTGTATTTTGTCAAAACTCGCGTAGGCGTGAGGCAGTAGGGGCCCCTGCATCGTTCGGCCATATCGGAGATATTTCATAGCCTTTTAGTTGCGCCTCTATGTGTTTGTGTTGCAACAGAACTTCATAGAGAGTCATGCGGCTTACTCCCTGGTGTCCTACTTGCTTCAAGTAAAAGACAGGCACAACGGCAACCTCCTGTTAGATGCGGAAGGGCATGTCATTCACATTGGTGAGGCCCCTAGGAACAAAATTTCAAAACCGCTTCATTTATGGATCTGTCTTCAAGCACTCAGATTGAGACGTACAATGATTCGAGCTGACATGCACACGGTAATATATGTACATATACTTAGAGCGGGAGGTTAAAAGATCGGCAAATGGTCCTTCGTCTGTGGGTGGCATCCTTTGACATCTATGCAGACTACGGATTCTTGCTTTCCAATTCCCCTGGAAATATTAATTTCGAGACCGCACCCTTTAAGCTCACACAGGCAAGTGTTTGCTTCGCGCGCATCTGTGCCAGCACGATAGTGTTCGAAAGTGTATTTGCAGGTCTACAGTTGTACATGACACCCTGTTTGCACGATTCAACAAATACTGGCTACCTTTCTTTTGTTTCGCTGTATTCATACTTTGTAATGCACATACGCACATGCCCATGAAGCCGTCATCTGAGGAGTGTTTGGCCTTTGGACTGCAAGTTTGTTGCTTACTACGCATATATGCATATGTTGCACAGTCTGTGCTTTGTAGTCTTTGCATGCTCCTAGTCAAGGGCAACCCCGTAGCTTGTTGGTTTCACGCATATGTACTTTTATGTTTGCCAATCTCTGAAGTGTTCTCTTTGCTGCTGTAGGTTGTCTCCTTGTTGTTCAGGAGTTTTTGGACGTCATGGATGGGGAGACTTCAGATAATTACGAGTATTTCCGCACTCTGATCATTCGCGGCTTTCTTGAGGCCCGAAAGCACGCAGATAGGATCATCCTTATGGTGGAAATGATGCTTTCAGGCAAGCTTCCTTTTCATAAATTGAATCGATTGTCTGCTCTAACGCGTACGCTCCTTCACAACCATAAGCCCCAGGACATGCCTTCTTTTGCAAGAGAATTATTGCGCCATCAGTTTCATCACAATCACTATGCAGAATCATGAGTGCTTCGCCGATATGCAGCAACGAAAATGCCGTGCTTTTCGGGGGGCCCGGAGTACACCCTGAGCGCCCTCAAGGAGAGGTTTATGCTAGGGCTCGCTGAGGATGCTGTGAGCCCATTACCGAAAACTCATAAAATTATTATATATTGAGGCTTAAGACGACAACATGCTGCCAGAAGAATGCTTCATAATCTCTTGTTGAGCTGCTGCATTGCTGTGGCTTTGCTGCTTCCTCGTATTTTATGCTCTCCAGGTTCACGTTTTAGTCGCCATTCACTGCTTACGAGCTCCTACTTTGTTTTGCGTTGTTCGATTACGATGTGCTTGTTCAGTGTATCGAGAGGGTGGTGGAGTTAATTGATATCTCGGTTAACAATTTCCGCACCGTCCAGTACGACAATTTCCAGCGGATAACAAATGGAATCATGTGATGTTCATGCATTCCATTGTGTCTGCAAGCCAAAAACTGACCTTAGTATGAATTCTCTATACTCTACTTTCGGCTCGCGTTGTATGTTCACGAATAAGGTGAATAATTTGCAACTAATGCGTGACCAGCGCCGACGATCATGCGGTTTGTGTATAACTGCATGTGATCCCGTGTTCGCACTTCGAAACGGCAAAGCCCTGCACTTCAAGCTTCATGATCTACGCTCTTATTATTTCTGTTTTTTTAGATCAGATCCTGTGCTCAGAGTATCATGCATTCATTTGTCCAACGAAGTGTCTTGATTGTTGCCGCTGCCGCGACTTGCACGAGTTCTCGCCTCGCTTCTCCACTGTCCTCTTTCCATCTTCTGCTGCATCTTGTCTGGGCGCATCGTATGTAGTGCTAGCAGAACATTGGAGAATATCTCCAATGCATCTGCGTGATTATCTGCTCCTCTCCTGTACGTTGTATCAAACGAAAAAGAAGCAACTAACGCGTATTTAAGCTACTCATGCCTCTTCCTAGATGAATATATAATCAGTAATTAACTAGTCACGCTTACTTATGTCTATGCAATTCACTTTTTTCGGAATACTTAAGTAGGTTCGTAAAGCTTGGAGTGTCGAACTACATGTTTCTTGCCCACGCCCCCGTGCGCATATTTGGGCGTAGAGAGAATTTAGGGCTGCTTGACTCACCAGACACCACGTAGAGACAATTACTCGGAAGACTAAGCTTTGGTAAGAGTCGGTCGGATACGCTGATGCGTCTCAGCTAGAGTTCTTCCATATCCTACTTTCCACACCTTGTGGGTAGAGGACTTCGGCGGTCCGTCTACGCAAATGACACAAAAATCCCAATTAAGGATATTTATGGCGTCGGCGCACAGCTTTTTGCTGCTCAATAGCAATCTACCATTTACTGCCAGCAGAGCATGCATGCCGATTCAGACACACCACTTGAGGGATATGTTCTGCTCAGCGTCCGTCCACGTGCCGACTGTCAGCCCGTTCTTTCACCGGTTGCAGCAAAATAGCAAATAGGCGAAAGCAGCAATATTCGATTCTATCAAATTTGTCCTTGTTGCTGCATTTGGTGATGCTGCCGACAGGTGAGGCTGTGAGGGCCCATGGGGCTGTCGGGGGTTCCACGGTTCCACCTTGCCATATACGGTAAACAAATATTAGACAACTTTCTGTTTTTCCAACGCTAAAGCCATCAAAGGTTCTTCATTTCTTAGACATGCACCGGTCTAAACGTAACCCATTTTTTGAAAGGCCCACTGAGCCTGAAGAGGAACGATTGCTGCTTGTTTTCCCTTGGTCCTGAGTAGGCTCGCGTCTTGCAACGGGAGGGCTTTGCGTTTTTCTCTGACACTAACGACAGGCACCTTCAATCTGCCGCTGACAGGGAGGCCAAAGCCACGCATCCTTCACACTGGTCCACAGCGACTGGTAACGGCAGGAAGAACAGCAAGAGCTTAGCTAAAGTGACAGCAATATGACATTGGCAGCATCAGTAGAGCCGCCTATACGCGACCAGTCCTTCCGCCCTCCCCCAGCATGCTTTGGCCTGGGGCAGCTTACGCGGCACAATGTATTGATGCTCAAAGAGCTAAACCTCGCCACAATTCCCGTGGTATATGGAGAGGAGTACTATGACTATCTCATCGTCCACCCGACCTTCTGCAGACTTGGTAAACCGTGAGGCCCTACCGCTGGGCCCCTAAGAAGTGGAGGGCGTGTTTTCAAAGCTCTGGTGTATTGTTTTCTAAGGTTCATGCGTTTAAACTCTCTTGAAGTGGCTGCCGAATGTGACTTCTTTCGGCGTTTTCTCAGCCTACCTTGGGGATGTTATGGTGGGGGGCATCACTTGTCGCGTCGAAACCAATCCAGATGGCGTAAAGCAGCTGTACATCATGACACTCTCTGTGCTCAAGCCATACCGCCGTCACGGCATCGGTGAGCTACCACGAATCGATAGCTTGACCCTTCCTTTCAATTATCATATTTCCAGCTGCTTAGATTCACAGAATAACGCTCTGCAATGCGCCCTGCAAGGAGCTAGGAACCACGAGTCGAAAGATTGTTGTGGCAGGCACCACATGTTCGTATCTTTCTTCCCGCTATGTTTTAGGTGTTCATTGCTTTGTCCCTTTTGTACCTTCAGCAACTCAACTGCTCGGGTATATTTTGGAGCTGGCATCTTCCCGTGGTGACATTGAAGTCGCGAGCCTCCACGTGTGGGAAGCCAATACCGAAGCGAGACGTTTTTATGAGAAAAGAGGATTTAAATCTGTGAGCAGAGAAGAAAATCATTATCCAGACATGGAGCCCCCCCATGCGGTGTACATGCAGTGCCAGTTGCCCTGGGCCTTCAAGGGGGCCGTCCCTCTTGTTATGCCAGATTTCGACGCCACAAAACACAATCTGTCGCAGTTCAAGCAGCCAGACCATAAATAACATGTGAACATCAGGCGTGCCGTTATGCCTACCGAATGCATGGGGCAGGTGCTATATGCTGCTCCTCATTTTATGGCTAGACAGAAAGATGGATAAAACGAAGATGACTTTTGCATTGCTTACACAAGAATACGTGTACGGAGAATATTGAATGCAAATTCATTCTTTTTCTTTCTCTATTCAAGTCTCTTTTCAGAAGGGCGTAGGATAGAGTGTACACTGGTTTCTACAGCGAAACAAACTCTTTTTTGGCGGCACACTCAGTGTGCTGTGCTAGTCCTAATTACCGTCCTCTGCACCCTCGCATTTGAGATAGTGGCAATGCCGCAAGAGCATTGACACACCGTTGGTGGGGCACATGCATTGACGCCATGGTGAGGCTTGCGAATTAGGGGACAGTTACGCAGTTGAACCGTTCCATCGGAATCAGGCAAATACTTCCCGCCATGAACTCCTGAGGGTCGGAACTATTTGCTCCGTGCACATGGACAACATGTACAAAACGGGTGGTGACTTTCTATCATTGCGTTGCATGGCAACTCACGGTTGAGGAAAGCCTTTTGTTGCCCCTTCTGATCGCAGCAGTGAAAGCCTAATACTTTTTTAGCTAGTATAGTTTAATTTCACATTGGAGCTGAATCCCTGCTCTTGACGATGGGCATCTGGCATAGCAGCATCTGAGCTGTGCATGCTAAGGCCTTTAACAGAGCCACGCGAACCACGAAAGCCGGGTTAAATTCAATCTTATTGTCCGTTTCTTTTGCGTAACAAAACGTGTATTGACAACTTACTGCTTTATTCTTGTCCAAGCTTCAACTCACATCCATTTTAAAACGGATATTAGATAGAAGCACCAGTTATCCTGTGCCGCGACTCGTCAAGGGATCGCACCAGATGCTGTGAAGTGGTAATGGCAGAGAAGGGGGCTCTTCTTCCGTTAACGCTTTTTCCTTTTTTTCTTCTGTTTGAACAAATTTCATTTTCTTTCAGTGAAAGCTAATAAAAGTACGTAGGAGTCCGTTTTCCAAGGGGGACCGCGCCCTCGCCCGGTCTTCCAATACGTTGTGCTTCCCTTTCTTTGAATGAACCGTTCCCTGCTGCGTGAACTATGCCTGCTACAGCCTATGAAACAAAGCCGACAGCGGAAGAAGGGGACAGAGGAAGATAGATTTGGCCCTCCCTTACCATGCAATGACTGTTGGTGTTGGTTCTGATGGATGTGCACGTGACCAGTCGGTCGCGCCGTTCCACTGGATCGTTGGGGTGCAGTCTTCCGGTTAAAGCAAATTGTTGAGCACGAGTATTTTTCTGTGCTCTCTGCTTCAGCGGTTTTTTGCAAGCATCTGTGTTCTTCGCTCTCTCCTGTCAGCCGAAGTTCATCGGCTCGTTTGCAAAAAAAAAAAATCCCTTGCAGCACCTCCAGGATTCCTTTATTTCTCAGCAGCTTTATTGCCCTTCGATTGGAAAAGAAGGCAATAAGATGGAAGCCAGTATCAAAAGCAGCAGCAGCAGTAGTAGTGCTGGTGCCAGTTGCAGTAGTCAATGCGTTGTATTGCTGGCTATTGCACGCATTCAAGACAAAGCCATTCTTGGTTACTTTTCTGCAAGGATACCCACAAAGCAACAGAATACATACGCCTCATATTTTGAAAAAGGAATCGACAGAGTCAAGCCCGTGGGCTCTGCCCGCTCCCAGCTCGACTTTTCAGACGCCCTGCTCTTTCTACAGGTTGACGGGTCTGCTGCGGTGGTGTTTGGAGCTGTTGTAACCGACAAGACATATTCTAGTCGCATAGCATACCAGATGTTGGCGGTAAGAAAACACGAGGTCACATATTGGAGCACCTGAAGCGCCTTTACTGTAAAGAATATTTAGAATAGAAAGGCACGTACATGCAGACGGTGGCAATGTGCATGAAGATGCAGATACGGGTATCTCCCATCGGCAAGTTGCAAATGACCAGCGTGTTGTGTGGTGCTACATTTGTTGAAAACACATTTGTTCGCCAAGTCATTTGTCGCTTCCCCGCCTGTTCCTGATTGTTACGTGTATGATGGCCTCAATTGTATCCGCCTTCGCTTGATCCTACTTAGGAATTCCAAAGTTCCCTCTTGATGGTTGTCAGCCAGGAGAAGATTGTGAGCGCTGCACCCAAGTCTCTGGAGCGTTTGTTTAAGCGCCAAGCGCGGGAAATCATCTCAAAATACGAAGACGTCGCTTCCTTAGACCCCACCACTCAGGTTATAAAGAAGGTGGAGAGTGTGAAGGTAGTGGTTGATCAAAGCATTAAAAAGGTGCTGCAGAATCAAGGCAACCTAGAGGACCTGGTTAGCCGCACACACAATCTAGCTAGCTCCGCAAAGCAATTCAACAAGGACGCCACCGCGGTGAAGGACGCTACGTGGAGACAGAAGATGGGTCTCACCCTCGTCTTGGGATTCCTTCTTGCCGGAATACTAGCCTACATAATTTATGCCCTTGTGGATATGATGATGTAGCTCCGCCCTTCTAGCTAGTTAGCTAGTTTGCTAGTTGGTCTGTTGCGGTGGAAATTTTCAAAGTGAGGTTCAAGGGTCAGTACAATCAAACGAAGATTATCGGCCACTACAATGGCCTAGAAGCAATAGTAATGAGTGTGTTATTATTGTGGCTTCTTGGGGCAGGGAGGGATGGACTGGTGTGCATTGTGTGCACATCGCGTGGACGCAGACATACCACCTGTCCATGGCTTCTTTTATGCAGTTTCAGCTACGCTAATTCGTATGTGAGACGTTTTTTACTGTTTGGTGATGTGAACTCGCCGTTAGTGAATCATCCCCATTGCAGCAATGCTGGGTTGTTACGTGCGAGCCACCGTTTTTTCTAAAAACTAGTGCGGCCACTTTTCAAATTCGGAGGTTTCAGGCTGTCCGCATGGATTCTAGTCTATCTGCTCTCCAGCATTTATGTTTTAATACGATGTATCGAATCTTAATGCCCCATGCTCTCTGGATGGCTCTTGTGATAAGAACCACGACGGCATGTACTGTGGATAGGGCCTGTCAACTGCTACTGCATCGTTCATATCACTTAGCGGAGCAAGACCCCATTAATTTATTTCTCTATTTGAAACTGAAAGGGCAGCAGCACCAAGAACAGAAGTTCAGCTGTTATGTATTCTTCCGTTCAATGCGCATGTCTCTGTTGTGAAATGACAGTCACAGTTCTACGAAGACTACAACTTTGCAATAGACGCAAAATTGAACTTAGATTTTGCACTGATCACCTATTTCCCAAAAATATTGCAGGGAATAACATTGCTTGCCTATGTCGGATTGACCACGCGAGCATAGCGAGGTGGAAGGCCTAAATGAGCAAGACACATATTAAACAATCAAGCGCCTGCTCTAAATTGGTTGTCATCAATGAGTTAAATTAGTCAAATTGCCCTCGGTGCAGCTCCTCGTGTTGTAAGGACCCGCATGTACGTGGTTTGTGTTTGGATAATCTGTTGAGGCTCTGCTGTCCCCTGCTCGCCTTCTTTGTAAAATAGCGATTTTCTGCTTACAACACACTTTTATTTGGGCAAGGTATAATAACGATCGTTCCTAGAGAAAAGCCATGTAGCCGCACTCTGTAGTCAACAGGTCCTTGGCAGAATGAAGTTTAATTTACAGCTCCACGAACCTTGGGGGGTAATTAACTTCGGGATGACAAATGGATCCTTATGAAGCTCCGATGTGACTCAGATAAAACAATTATTTTCCACGTGGATTATTTGTACAGGCATGAGAGCACACACATGTCCTATATGTGTGTTTGTTTCTCGTTGAACAGTTATACACAAGCCCAATTCACTATTTCTAGCACGCAGAATGTACTTTTCAATGCAGCCTTAAATAGTTGGAACAATTGCAAGAAGAGACATCCATAAGTTCTTGCGTTTACGGCTTCTGTCCCGTGACTCCTCACACAACAGATTCCTTCCAAGGTCCCTAGCCATTTTTGCCAGCTCAACACAAAAAACATTGACGCTGCATCATGGAAAAGCGGTGAAGAGTAATCATGACAGAAGAACTTTCTTTAGTTTGCCTCTCTTTTCCTTGCCTCCGTCTGTCTTGCCTCTTTTGTCCTTTTCCAAGCTGTTACTGCCTTTTTATATCGTTACGTACGGCTCTTCAGCGATAAGCCAAAGCCCTCTTTGCCCACTTTCCCCATGAAGATTGCCTGCTCCATATGTTTGCTCGTAAAGGCAATGGACCGCTTGGGCACTAACGCAATACAATCCAAATCCACATACGGGTATGTGAAGTCAAACTTGTCGTAGCGCACTATCTGCAGACAGAACAAGCCATAAACGAACAAGCAAAGGAATTTCGGCTTGGATTTAGTCCTTCAATGTGTTGGCATAGTTAAATTCTAATGAATGCGCATTCGCATGGCTCCTTCGTCATTTTCATATTTTATACACACATGCTCGTATGTGAGCACATGTGGACACATAATAGTGCGTGTATGCATATACACACCCATATATGTTTGGCTGTGAGCACTGAAACTCATCAACTCGTCCTCAATAAGATGTGCAGATACACAGTCCCACCAGTGTACCTAAATTTGCACAGTATCACACGAGAATGAACCTACGCCTCTCGCGTACTAAACACTCTAACCGTTTATTCTGTCTATCATCATGCATATAACAATGACAGTTCACACAGATCTATGCATGTACCCTTCAAAAGTGTTGCTTCTCGTGCACCAACTCAAGGAGGATGTGAAAGCGTACCTCATTTCCGTGCAGTCCAACTAAGATCATTTCTTTGAGCTCGAAATCCTCAGCAGCGGGTAGTAGTGTAAGGTCACCCTTGAAGTCACGAACCAATTTGAAGAAGCTGCAAATGCCTGAATAGTAGTCCTTCTTCACCTATGCAGACATATTAACCCCGAGAAGGAAACGAGCTGATGGATGTAACAATAGGTGTAACTGAATGTCTAATATTCACAGTGAGTAGTGAATACGTTTGAATAACTGCCTATTTCATTCTGCGGTCCATCGGTTGTTCCACCCTGCTAGTATTTAAAATTCCGAGAGCTAATGTAATTCTGCTATGTGAAGTGTCCAATAGGATTGCTTCCTCCCGCCGTCATAGCTTCAAATTCAGCAAATAAACGTACATCTCTTGAAGCGCTTTTTTCACCCTCGAGGACCACCCGTTCCTTTTTATTGTACTTGAATTGCGGCACTTTTACGCGAGGACTTAAAATGGCAGCAGCTTCAAGCATATAAACCGGACTCCACGTTGCAATCCATTTTGACTGTGGAACTCACAACGAACATAGACGTCACCTCAGCATGATCACTTACACTAGCATACTGACCTCCACTATTTATTCCGCTTGGTAGGTGACCACCGAGCGGATCTTTCAGCTACAGAGGAGCATGGCGGCTTCCGCAGTTCAAAAAAATAGCCACACTGAGGAAGTCAACTGTGCACTAAGGCATAAATGCCCTCATTTAAGGTACAAAGAAGAGGCCTGTGCCATCTTGTCATAAGCACTACACTGTTCAGTTGCAGTAAGGAAGGTGACCATCTTGTGGCGGCTCACCAGGTTCTGGTCATACGCTAAGTAGCAACCCGCGTGGTCCTGGCTAACGGTTGTGCTTCTTCTCCTTTTCGAAGGATCTGGGGGTGCCGCGAAAAGATCCGTGCTGATAGCCGCCAAGTCTGGTGTTTTTGTCCCTAGCGGTTCTAAGCCTTCTGTTGCTGGTACTGCCTCATGCGAATCCTTGTCAAGCATTCCAGCACCCTTAACCTCGTCCTGAGCTGTTTCTTCGTGTTTCCGAACGAAAATATCCATCTTGAGATATCGATACTAAGATTCTGAGTTCTTTCCGAGACTAAGCGGAGGAGGAAGCAGAGGGCACAGCTGCCACACCCTACAGTAATCCGAGGGGTAAAAAACGCTAGAGAGTGTGTTACTTAGCGAAGAATGATATAAAGAAGAAAGCAAATACTTGTGAAGTAACGTCTCAAAGTAGGCGGTCAAGAGCTGCTGCGGGGATCGATGCACGCAACAAATTGCTTCTACTCGGTTTCCTTCGCGTATGCTGCTCCAATAAAAACAGTTACCTAGGCTTATATCTAAATGATAAAGCTTTTCAGGATGATGGGCGAGTCATGTGGTCTCCTATTCGAGAGGAAGATAGCACGTGACTAGCTGAGAACTGTGCCAGCTTGAACTTTAGTTGTGCCGTGTACAGGCTATGACAGGCGTGCACTCCGATAGCCATTCCCATTACTCTATACTACTTTTTAAAGAACATTAGCTGACCTTCAACTTACTTTTAGGGTTGCCCGGCACGTAAGCAATTGATCTGCCTTCCTGCATTTCTTTTGCTCTAAGAAGTCATGGAATCCAAAAAAGAATCCCATGACTTTCTAGGAAACTCATGAAGTATTATCAGTGGATACGTACGCTCCATTTTAACCGCAGTGGAAGAAATTCAGGTGCGCCCTTGTCACCCGCAGCACACTGTACGGCGATGGCCCAACGTTGGATCACCTGTGTAGCGAGCCAAGCTGCATTCAATTCAGTATGACTAAAGCAGTGGGAGAAGCCATCGACTTTGTTAAGTATTGGCTACTCGACTTGGCTCATACTCCAGTGCCTGCAGTGTAGGGCTAGCTCCACCTAGATACCAATGAACGCAATGAGTCTGTGCACCACGCCTTCATATGCAACCAGATATGGATGCTCGGAGTACTCAAAGGGTATTAAACCGCACACCTCAGCTGTACTCATTTTACTAATGCAGGAATTGGGTGGGGTCAGGACAAGGAAACTTCGAAGGAGCTGTTTAACACAGCGATTTGCAACGCTGCTCTTGGTTCTGACACGATTCTGGGACAAAGGGTCACTTGCAGCTATCCTCCAGTGGACGCTACCCATTGGCTTGTACAAGGGTTATATCCGTTTTTAGAAGGCCATAGAACAGTATTGCCTTCACTAGGCTACAGCGTACGGCTAGCAGTTGTAAGCCCATAAAATTCCTCAAAACCCTGACCCTCAGTCTCAGGTGCACCCTACGCCCACTCCATTCTACGTAGTGGACCGATGAAGCATGTATGCCTAGTATGGGAGCAGGGTACAGAGCTGAGCCCCAAGCGCTTTAGCATTTTTGCGTAGCTCCAGCTTACCAGTTATTCAACAGCACTCCTGGGGGTAGCTCACTTCTTTGCCTGCTCCATCAGCTAGACTATGCAAGACGCGAATTCTGGCGCAAAGCCAGTAACTGGATCATATGTTTAGCTCTGGTGAACCTGTTGACCCTGTATATCAGCTGCAGACGTTTCGAACAAAGCTCTGGGCTCTCACCAACAGAAGAGAGCGTGGATAGAGTGGAGTGAGCGCAAAGCGTGCTAATTTATTGGCCCTTCCAGACTCGATTATTAAACCTAATAGCTCATACCTTTTCTCAAGAGGACCCAAGCGTTGAGTTGAGACTGGGTATTGTTGCCACGATATACATTCACCCTTTCTCCATGAACGAGCCGCTTTCCCCACTACGCTGTGTGTAGGGCTCCTGTGATTCTCAAATCTGCATTTCTACTCTCCCATCTGCAAACAGCTTCTTTGAAGGCGCCTCATAGTGCTGAAGGTCATCGAAAGAGTCTCTGTTCCACCTTCTTCTGCATGTTGACGCGTGTAAACAACATACCGCAGGCTGCTTACGGAAAATTATGAATCATCATTGGTATGCATACTGAACTAACTCGCACTTCTGGCGGTGCAACCCCGCATTTTTGTGTGAGTGTTCATTATGATGACCTCTGCCTAGACGGTCTAGGCAGAGCATGGAGCATCTATAGACCTCGCCAGAACAGTATACCTCCCGGATGCCAAAGCATATATCAGCAACTGGTCCACCGTGGTCGTAAATGTAAAACGGAAAGCCACGCTTAAAAATACTGCATCAAAACACGTGCCAATCTTGCGTAAGCTGTTTCTGGACGTTTACAGTTAACATTGTTGTCGACTCCAATAACATGCATTCATATCATGACCTTCAGGTAAAACAAACATATTTCCAGTACTCGTTCGGCTCCACTTTAACATTCCGTCAGACCCTATCCCTCGCCAACACTACTGCGTGCCCATAGCTGTATAGAGAAGCGATGCGCTACATTTAAAAACTAGCAATTAGGAAATCTTCAATTCAAAGGCTTCCAAACGTCGCGTAAAAAGTTTCCCGTGCTTCCTCCCGTCCCTGCGGTTCAAGCTCTTTTAGCGAGCGAATTTTTCGTTCATGCAGGAGTTGTTCTGCCGAATCATAAGACACTTCATAAGCCTTCCCGGCATTTTGCACTTATAGGAAATCACATTGTGGTACATACGTCTCCCTAAAGTGACTTAGGCGGACCCCTACGGCCCTTCCCGTGTGTGCTTTTCCATGTAAGCCCATCTGCTACTCAGGTTAGAGGGAACAATCTAATTTGACTGAAGCCTGTGTCAATGCCCGTTTGTTGTACTCTCCGTCTTCCTGGTCAGGGGGAGCCTCTGTTGAGATGGAGGTCCGTGCTGCACCCCTCATCGCTTAGATGGGGGATGCAGCTGCTCCGAGGGTCCTCAGGTTTTTCTTTCTCCACATGGCTTTTAGTTACATGCAAAGGTATTTCAAAGCTAGAAGCACAATTTTGCTCTCCCATGGTTCGCTTTTAAACATTTCCTTTTTCCAAGAGAACGGTCTATGCGAGCATTGCTGAAGACATCGTCTCTGGCCATGAAACAAACCTTCAGTAGTCTTTGTACCGGCGCAGTAATAGGCTCCATGCCAGCCTTCAGTTTTTTGATGGTGATGGAACCCTTGCTAAAACCATACAGCACTCCCTTACAGCGTAATCTGCTGTATGTGTCCGTCACATCACCTTAACCGTTTTTGTTACCTGCTTGCCTTTTTCTTTTGCTATGCACTTGGGTGCGTCCATTACATGATGCTTTCAGTGCTCTGCATAGCCGCCTTTTTCAGAGTATTGATCACTGTTCCAAACCCCTTTTAATGCTTAGAAGTAGCCCATCAAAGTGTCCCTCCTGCCTACTGAGAGAGGTTTTTCTTCCCCTCCCTCGTGCATGATTGTGGCAGCTCTCCATGTTAGAATGGAAGGAATACACATGCGCACAATGACCACTGCGCCTCTCTCTGCAGCCAGTCATTTTTGAGCATTCAATAATTTAAGGAGCATGAAAAGCTAAAACCGGACAAAAAAGGGACATCTACTGACTCACTACCCGGGTGTGTTGAAAAAATACATTCTGACGCTCCGTGCGCATTGTAGGCCATCAACTCAGCAGAATACACACCAATCCAATGTTTTGTATTTTTTGGCTTATCATCTTGAGCGCATCGAAAAGAGGCCTGGCGGTTGCGGCTTGGGCAGTGCCGTGATTTGTACACAGCAGCTTTTGCAAGTATTAGCGGCATGGATATTTTGCGCTTCCATGCCCTCTCCATTGGCCAGGTCCACAATATTATTTATAAGCTTACCCATATCCAGGAGATGATATCATGCCAGTCTGTCCATTTAGTGCTATGGATTCACGGGAGGTTCTGGCTTGGTGCCCTAGTAGAAATAGTTCGAATGCAACGTGAGAAGGTTGAGTGATAACTCCCACACTGTCCCCTGCACTGGCATTCTGGTATTTTGTCGAAAAAGCGTTTTTCACCTTGCACGAATGAAATCTTGTGTTCCATCGCACGTACAGGAGTTCAGGATTAATAAATTTGGCAATCACTACTTTCAGGAGCGACGCCAGAGTGTTTGCAAGTAAGCAGCGTTGCTTTTATGAATGTGGCCGTCGTTCCAAGCCTCCTCGTAGCGTCAAATTTACGTGAAGCTGGCATGACTCAAAAGGCTTTCTGAGGACAGCGCAGTTCATTAGCTTTGGCACAAAGTCGCAGGAGCTAAGGAGCCGCAGCGAAGTGCGCTGTAAGAAGCTTATGGCTAAATGGTTTTATTAGTTGCCCGCACTCGTTTGCAATGTTTCTTCCTTTTCAATTTGAGAGTTTATAAGGAGACGGGCATCGGAAAAAAACGACTTTTTCCCTTGCAATGGGAAATTTAATATTGCCACAGCATGTGTCCATTGTACAGCAGGCAGGAACCCATCAGTGATTTAAAGCAAGAATGGACCAGCAGTGCTGCTTCCTACAGGCAACCATGATGCTCACATGCTTTCTTTCTATTCCTTGAGTACACCGCAAAAATACATGTGCATCCGGATTATATAGCTCTTCCCGACCCTGTAAAAGCGCTTGGCAGAATGGAAGCTTCATCCGGGTTATCGTGAATGACACCTTGCCTGCGCACACGGTGAGCAGGTTCACCAGTTGGCGCTACCGGTTCTCCTGCTTATTTGTGCTCGCGTAAGTAGCATTCTGTTCATTCCAAGTCGCTTGGTTCATACCTTGCATTGCGTGCATCGACAAAAAGGCGAGCTAGCGGGAGGAAACCCTACCAAAAGTGCGTCTTTCAGTCTGCTACCACTAGACAGCCGCTTAAAGCTTCCCTTGGTTTCCTATCAACCTAGGCCACCAAAAAAATTTTTAAATGGACCCGCACACCATTCACGGGAGAGCTGATGATTTGGGAGGGGTCCAGCAGACGTCGACACCCTTTCCTTTGTGCATTGGGGAAGCGCCGTTCTGTTCTTATTGTTGTTACCTGGTGCTGAGTGCTGATACGAAGTCTCAGGGTCTGGAAGAGCAAACAGCATCAGGCATGTTTTTGGACAGATCGCATTTCTCTTGAAACATCGGACTCAAAACTTGTCGATGGACCCCCTACATACGAAGCAGCCAGCGCTTTGCATCGCTATGGAGGATTGCCCAGTCCGAAGGGCGCTATCAATTCTGGACTTTTTCGTTAGCTTGGGTAGCCTTTTTTGCTCAAAGTAATATCTATAAGGCACCCTTCTAGGCGGCCCGTTCCTAAAACGCCAGCATATGTGTAGCTCTTCTTTTTCGCTTAGACTCTATGGGTTAGATAGAGCATGTAGTTCTGCTTGGTGGGAAGGGAAAGAGATGGGTAGCGCAACGCTTCAGCGCGGGGCTTTCTATCTTCTACCCCAGAAAACTCAGGAGCAGGATATGGATACTCCGAGACACGTTTCTACTTCGGCTAAAGTATCGGGTAGCTAACAAACAGGCATGGGTAGCCCGTGCGCTTGCTTGCACTACTCCAAGCTAGACGGGGCATAACGCCTTCAGCGGTTTAGCGGATTTGTAGCATCTCACGAAGCATTTGGCGGAGGCAGACGCTGTGCATCCTTCGTCGTATTCCAGAATGAACGCTAAATACGAGAAAAAAGTATGTTCTTGGCGAAGTGGTGCGTCATTGCTGCTGTCGCTGCTGCTGAAAGTGTCATCGATCCTTCGTACCCCAGTTTCCCCTAAGTCTCTGGACGCAGTGGCTCGCTCTGGAGCATGCAAACCCTGATTCGTTTGTCTGGTTTGCTTGAGGGAGATGCGCAGAATGGCAGAGACACAGAGAAAGCGTAACCTCAGCGATCTCGCTCACGTTAAAAGAAAGGCAGTCCCGTTTCTTTCCACTCGTTCTGGATTCCCAGAAGTTCAACAAGCTGCATGCACGGATGCTGCTGCTGCTGCTTGTGCTTGTGCTCTCCCTCTTCCTGAGTATGCCCCTGTAGTTCGGAGAGCTGAATCCAAGGAGTGGTAATGAGGAGATCAACTGCGGCATCGATCTGCTGTTGCTGCAGCGCGAAAGGCCTTGCACTACGCGGTGAAGATTCTTCTGTCGTTGGATGCAGCAGCAGCAAAAACGAGTATAGCTGCTCAGCGGCGATTGCTCTAAGCTTTGGAAATCTGAGAAGATGCAAGACATGAGCAGCACTTCGAAACACTACGGCAGCAGCGACCAGCCCACAGCGAACCCCCCTTGAAAGACTCCCGTGCTTGCTGTCGGAGCCAAAAAATGTTTTTTCGCCGATTGAAGTGCAAACCTCGCGATGTAGCTGTGCTGCTCGCCGTATTAAGACTCACGGGTGCACCAAGAAATATACGGCCAGACAAGCAGCGATACGCTGTGCCTTCACAGCCGCTGCCGCGTCTGGATCTTGGGGAGGCCCTATTGAGGAAGGCTTGCAGGCTGCGAGAGAGACTGCGAGAATGCATGTGCGACGCAACAGATCGAAGTCTCGAGTGCCTCTAGCGCCGCTTCGGCCTCTTGGCACGTTCACTAGCCGCTGCAGAGGAGGAATAAGCCGAGGCACTGCGGCAGCCACACCCATACACAACACGCAAACGATACGCTTTCCGCGCCCTTTCAGATCAAGACTTGAATTCTAGAGGCTTTCTCCTTGCGCGGATCAAAGCCACTGAAAGTTCCTGAATCTTTCGCAGGAGATGCCCCACGAATAATTCGAGTGGGTGGCTCTTGGAAATACACGAGAAGTCTCTTCGAGACGCACTGTCTTGGATGGAGAGAAGGCTGTTTTGCAGCAGCACCGAGCATGCCGTAGGCGCAGCCTCTCTTAGCTTTCGCTGGAACTCGGCATGCCCTGCATTTGTGGTGTTTGGTGCTATCGTTGTTGTTGCTGCTGTTGCTGGTGGCGATGATGATGATAATAATGATGATGATAATAATGATGATGATAATAATGATGATGATAATAATGATGATAATGATGGCGATGCGCCGCTGGAGAGCCCCAGACGGGGGCCTGAAGACGCTATGAGGATGTCTACAAGAGCACCTCCAATGGCGAACTCTGCTCCTGCATGCAAACGATGTTCCCTCTGAATCTTCTGAACCTGAACTTCCTCCATGCTATCCTGAACCTCTTGATGTGCTGCTCTCAGGGCTGCCGCAATCAAGGCGGCGTACGTTTCTGCATCGTCTTGTGAAACTGCGAAGGCCTGTGGACGCTGCTCCTCCGGTTGCTGCTCTTGCATGCGTCTGACCAGCAGCAGCGCAGTGAGGATTCCGCCTTGCACACTCGCAGCTGTGCTGCCTAGAGATGCCCCTACGCCTAGAGAACAGCCGGATGCCGCCGCAGCAGCAAAAGGCCTCAGCAGCAGCAGCGGCGTGAGGTGTCTGTACACCTCGAACGCGTCGCAGAACACCTGCAGGCGGAGTGCAATTGCCGCTTTGTGAGTTCTATGCAGTGCAGCAGTGCCCCCCTCCGCAAAGGATCGCTCAAAATGATTTTCGAACGTGGGGATTGCCTCCTTGCTGACGTGCTGCTCTCCTACGGGGGGAAGCGCAGACAGTTGCTGAAGGGCAAAGGGCTCTACTGTCTGCGCCTCCTGCTGCAGCTGCTGCTGTCTGAGAAGTAGCAAGCCGAAGGCGTGCTGCAAGAGGGGCATCGCCACAGGCACGAAGGGATACAGCAGCGAAGGCGTGGGAACGTCTTCCTTGCTGTCGAACCTTCCGCCACAGCAGCAGCGCGGCTTGCAGCTGCTGGGTAGACCAGCGGCTTCTGCAAGCGTGGGGACCTCAATGGAGGGCAGGGCCGTCATTTCGTAAGCCACCTCATATAAAACACGATGCCATATCCATGACGCCTAGTAGTAGTACATCCACATTGCAACATGCCACAGCAGCAGCCCCCATAAGGCGTTCTTTCTCTCATCTGCGTGGGTATGTGTGTGGATGTATGTGCATATATGTGTGTTATGTATGTATGTGCATATGTGTGTGTACGTGCATATGTATATATATATGTATACATATATATATGTGTGTGCGAGAAAACTATGGCTGGTGCATCCAGGAGCGCATCGAATGCAGCTGCATCTTTTTTTCTCCCTTTTCATGCTAGGCCACCTCGTCATTCGCTTTCGAGAGCTCCTACCGGCCATGCGAAAGTGCCGAGAGCGAAAACAGGTTGGCTGCTCGTGCCTGCCCTCCCCGTGCAAGCAGCCAGCACGTGCAACCTCTGAGCATGCGCTGTTTAAGCGGTTTAAAAGTTATTACGGCGGAGGGGAGGGGGATAGGGAAGGGGGGAAGTAGAAGTGGCGCACAGGGTGGAGTTGGAAGGCGAAGACTTACTTGAATGCGCTGCACTGGCATTGCTGCTGTACGGGGGAGTGGCGCTAGCAGCCGACTAAGGAGGAAAGTCGCTCTGCTGCGAGTTCGCGTAAGTGCCTCAAAAGAAAGACACAGCAGCAACTGCAGCAGGAGCTGCCGCTGCTGCAGATCCGGCCATGCCGTAGACAGCCTCCTCTGTTGCGTGTGCTTGCGAAGCTGCCTTTCAGGTTGCCTTTGAAGCGTGTCGTGGCTGCGACTTTTCTCGCAGCCACAGCAGCAGAAGGGGAAGTCCTCAAGAATCAGCGCGGCAACTTCAGCCGCCACCTCTCGGATCCAGCTTCCCACATCTCCCCTTTGATCCACAGAAAAATCGGCTGCGCAGCTGTACAGACACCTCGTGACGGCTGCCCAGTCAACTGCTGCCGCTGCTGCTGCAAATGCCGCGCTGCTGCTTCCAGCCTTCGCGGCATCCGCAGCATCGCCATAATGAGGATCTTTTTCAGCTGCCTGCATGCGTGGCGACACTGACTCGATGAGAAAGGCTAAAGCAATCAACGCATGTCTTCGAGAGTGAGGATCGCTCAACGCAGGGCAGCCAAGCGGAGACACAGCAGTGGCCTCCCTTAGCAACACTGGCAACAAGTGTGGGAGCTGCTTTTCATGATGTTGCTGTTGCTTCTCATAATGATGCTGTTGCAGTTGCTGTTGCTTCTCATGATGATGCTGTTGCTGTTGCTGTTGCTTCTCATGATGATGCTGTTGCTGTTGCTGTTGCTTCTCATGATGATGCAGTTGCTGTTGCTTCTCATGATGATGCTGTTGCTGTTGCTTCTCATGATGATGCTGTTGCTCGTAATGCTGTTGCTGTTGCTCGTCGCGATGCTGCTCATTGTGCTGTTGCTCGTCGTGATGTTGCTCGTCGTGATGCTGCTCATTGTGCTGTTGCTCATTGTGCTGTTGCTCGTCGCGATGTTGCTGTTGCTCGTCGTGCTTCTGCTGCAGCAGCGCGAGTCGGTACACCTCGGAAGGCAGAGCTGCAAGGGCCAGGAGGCAGCCACTCCGCGCAGCAACATGCTGCTGCGGTTCTTCGAGCAACTGCAGCAGCTTCGGAAGCACTTGCTGGTGTGCTTGTTCGGGTTGCATGCGATGACGCAGCAAGGCGCGAATGCCTTCCGCAGCTGCCAGTTGAACGGCGGGGGAAAACGACTTGAGACTTTCGTAGCAACTGTCTAGATACCTGCTGCACGTTGCACGGCGGAATCCCCACGAACTGCTGACAGCTGAGATGCAGCAAGGCAGCAAGCGAACAAAACACACACAAGGGAAGGCATAAAAGGCGAATCGATGCGAAAAAGCGAATGCTGCCAGAGCTGTGTGTTCTGCTTTAAACCAGTTCAGCAGCATTACACGTCTCGCTTCCCCCCTCCCCCCTACTCCTCTTTCCCCGATCGCATTCCAACCCCTTTTTCTTTTCTTTCTTTTTCTTTTCTTTTCTTTTCTTTCTTTTTCTTTTCTTTCTTTTTCTTCCCTTTTCTTCCCTTCCCTGCCAGCGCGTCCCCTTACCCTCCAGGTGCTTCCCTATAGCACTAGCGCTGTCTGTTGCCATCGGCAAATGCAGCTGCGGCTGTACCTATAGAGGCAATGAAGGCGCAAGAGGCTTCTCGCAGAAGATCGCCACCTCTCCTCCTGTATGGCCTCTGCTGCTCAAACGTGACAATGCTGTTTCGCACTTGAGTCTGCAGAGCACCGTCGACGATTCCTGCTGCTGCTTGTGCTGAATCTGCAGTTTGTCGGACTGCCGATGCTGCCTCTCCTGCACTTGCCATTGCCGCAGATTTCGCCTCCCCCCCGCCATCGACATCCGCTGCTCTTAAAGATCTCACAAGAGACGTCAGCAGCAGCAAAGCTCCGTGCAGCTCTTCTAAGGGTGCAGTCGCTTTCTGAAGCCTCTGAAGCTGCTGTGGCAACAGAACCTGCAACACAGAGCCACAGCAGCACGAAGTACACACACAAACAAACCGCCGCGTGCAAGCATGCTTGCATGCATGCAAGCATGCATGCATGCCTGGCCTCAAATCGCCGCCTTCTTTGTGCGGCAAATAATTCAAAACTGCCTTTCTGGAAGGCGATGTACAGGCACTGAGTTTTAAAGACCCTATTCTGTCTGTGTGATCTTGATCGAAACCTCACAGTTACAGCGTAGGGAGCGGCATGCGGTGCAATGCGCGCAACTGCAGCAGCAGCGAGCTTTCGAATTTGAGGATCGGGGTGTCTGTACACTCGACAGCACAGATATTCCAGCAAAATGATGGACAGCGGTAATTCCCGTTGCTGTTGCTGTTGCTGTTGCTCCTGTGTCTGCTGTTGCTGTTGCTGTTGCTGTTGCTCCAGTGTCTGCTGCGGCTCTAGCGCAGCAACGGCAGGAGCTGCAGTTACGAAACTGCTGCGTTTGCTGCCGATGGTGAAGTAGTCAGCAATGGTGATGATGCTGAGCCCTTGCTGCAGGGAACCTTGTCGACCTTCGATCTCTTGGAAAGCAGCGGCAGCCGCACGTCTCACACTCACAGAGCTGTCGAAAAGCAGTGCTAGCAGCAAGTGTCTGCCGAGAGTGCGACGCAGAGACAGAGGCGCAGCCTTCGCGGGGTAGCAGCGCGCGAAAGCCCATGCTCCATAGCAGGCAGCGTCTCGAATGCAGCTCCCCGAGAGACTGATGCTGCTGCTGCAGCCGCTGCTTCGACCCGCGTAGAGCACACAGCGGCACAGCAGATGCAGAGCCTGCTGCAGCTGCCGTTGCTGGACGGCTCCAAGACGCAGGAGCTCGGCTACTGCGAGGCAAGTGCCGCTCAAGAGGCGTTCCCCAGCTGCCGTTGATCTCACCTCAGGGACTGACATCTGCACCCACAGTTCGTTTGCATCCGCTATGACTGCTGAGCCGCTTGCAGCATACAGTGGCACAGGCTGCGTGCCTTGCGGGAAGGGTGCCATGACAGCGCAGCACACCTGCATCGCAAATCCGAAATTTCGTAGTTGCATAAAAATGTGGCACTCAGAAGAATGGAAATGGATCCTTCGCAATGTCAGCCCCTCAAGGAGGGTGCCGCTGTTACGATGCGTAACTTTATTTAAAGATCCGCTTTTACATGCCCCTTTCTAAGCAACCCAGTTTGATAGAGCTGCGTTCAGCTTTGCTATCTCGAATGTGCCTTAAACGCGAAGCGAAAAGCGAATCTGCCCTCAGAGCCTTCTCAGATCGCGTGCGGCTGTGCTGCTGCTGCTGCTCTCCATCCTAGTTTCTGCGGCTCGCTAACCTGCTCTGCGAAATCCTTGGGGAGAGAGAGACAAACTTTGCCTATGCCTTTCGCGGCAGCCCATCGGACGCGGCTGTCTGCATCGGCAAGCCTCAGAAGGAAGAGGGAGATGGTGTTTTCGACAGCGTCAGCTATGTCATCGGGAAGGCAATCCCCCTCTTCTGCCGCTTGCTCTTGCGGCGGCTGCTGGGGGGTTTCTTGCGGCTGCTCTGGTTGTTGCTGCTGCAGCAGCAGCTCTAGCGATCGCGCATTCACGCAATAACGCCACGCGATCCGCCGAGGAGGCAGCTGCAGAACTGCGAGGAGAGACGCGCAGGAGACTTGATGCTTTCTATACAACGCGGAAGCGTCCAGCTGCTGCTGAGCAGCATCGCTCTGCAGCACAAGCCGCTGCAGCCGAGACAGCAGACGACCTCCGACATCCTCTGCGCGCAGAGACTTTAGAATTTTCTGCAATGCCGCCATCGCTGCGAACAGGCACAATTCGCCTCACACACACGCAGAAACCTTAGACACACAAAGACAGAGAGAGAGAGAGAAAAAAAGAGAAACAGGAAAAAAAGAGAAAGAGATGATCCACCTACGCTACCCTTCGCGCCGCCCTTTCTAAAGCCTCTACTAAGGAAGAAGACAAGGAGAAGAAGAATAAAAGGAGAAAAAAATAAGAAGAGTTTTTAAAGGCACCATTTGTCTGCTCTGCGCCAAAGAGACTGGTCTCGCGTTCTTGCTGCGAGTGCTCTTGCTTGAAGTCTTGTTGCTGCTGTGGAGTGCGCAGCAATGTTTTCTCGCAATACTTCAGGAAGGTTCTCAGGAGAAGCTGCTGCTGATCATGGATATCTGGACGAACAAAGAGCGACTGCAGCAGCAAAGCGGCAGCATCTCCCGCCTTGGAGCTGCGGCTCAGACTGACGATTGCGAGCTGCAGCAAGCGCAGACTTAACGGTGCATCCGCTGAGCCTGCAATTTCCAGCTGCCTCTCTTCCTCCTGCTGTTCAGACTCCTCCTGCTGCTGCTTATGCGCCTGCCCTGTGGCTGCTTGCCGATCGGAAGTATCGTTCGAGTCTAAAGAATGCAAGTTGAAGGGAGCCAGTGCCAGGAGCGAGATCCACGCAAACAACGCATATACTGAGCTCCACAGAGGCAAGCTGGCACACACAGTACTAACAACGACAAGCGCTTCCTCATCTGCAGACTGTACAGCAGCTGCTGCAGCCTGAGGAACAGCTTGAGTATCATCATCATCTTGAGGAGGAGAAACAGCTTCAGCATCATCATCATCTTGAGGAGGAGAAACAGCTTCAGCATCATCATCAGCTGGAGGAGGAGAAACAGCTTCAGCATCATCATCAGCTGGAGGAGGAGAAACAGCTTCAGCATCATCATCATCTTGAGGAGGAGAAACAGCTTCAGCATCATCATCAGCTTGAGGAGGAGAAACAGCTTCAGCATCATCATCAGCTGGAGGAGGAGAAACAGCTTCAGCATCATCATCAGCTTGAGCATACGCATGAGCATCACGCTGCTCAAGCTGCTCTCTGTCTTGCTGCTCTTGTTGCTGAAGTGCTGCAAGAGCAGAATAAACCTGCTCCAGAAGCTCAGGCTCCTGCGGCAGTAATGCTCGAACTGCCTTGACACCCCTCACTTTGCAGAAAACATAGATAAGGTGTAGCAGCACTCGCAGGCAGCAGCTTGCCGTCGATGCTGCCCATCCAGACTCGCTGCCGCTGGAGCTTTGCTGCTGCTGTTGCTCTCGCTGAATCTGCGAGGTAAGCAGAGGCAAGTGATGTCTGACTGGTACTATGAGCACTTCAACGAGCTGAGGGAGATGCGAGTCTAACAGTTGCGGTTGCTGCTGGTATGGCGTCAGTGTATATACAACATCAGCTGCAGTGCTGCAGAATTGGTCCAGCCACTGCCGTACGTTCGACGCAGTTAATGCTTCCAAGTCTGCTTTTCTTTCAGCCCTTGTTGTCGGAATGCGTGAGGATGCCTTTTCTGACACACCGCTGCAGTCGTTCTGGGGAGTGCCTTCGACGGGGAGAGAGGCAGCAACAGCAGCAGCAGCAGCTGCTGCTGCTGCTTGTGCGTCTGCTGCACCGCAGGCATCATCTGTTGCCACTGCTGCTGCCTGCTGCATGCGCGCAGCGAGGAAGCGCAGCTGCTGCAGCGTGGTGTCAGCCTCTCTGAAGAAGAGTGCCTCGCAACGAACTGCGGCGTCATGGGCCGCTACAGCTGCAGCCTCCTGCAGCAGCAGCTGCTGCTGTTGCTGCTGCTGCTGAGCCTCCAGAGATCGGTGGCAGTCTTGGTAGTCCTGTGAGGGCTGGAATATCCAGCGAGAAGCCGACGCTCGTAAGCGATCCATGACTCCCTCCACAACACACACGCACGGCTAACGACAGCGCAGGTGTTGCATTCAAAGGGTCGTGCACGGCCGAATGAAGACGCAGTGCTGCCGATGCAGATGTGCGTGTGTGTGTATATGAGTGGTTGGGGAGGGGAGGGGCCTCTAAAATGGAATTCAGGTGGGCACCCCCCAAGGTGTCCGTGAACTGCTGGTCAGAGGGAGGGGGGTGGTGATTCTGGGGGATCTGATGAGCCACACTGCCAAACGAGCGCCTCTGCACTGAATTCGGCTGCCTTTTACGGCTAAAATACATTTATCAAGGGATCAGATCCAAAGATTCGCGCTTTCCTTCAAAGGAGGTGGGAGTTTGAACCCCTGTTGCCGACAACCCTTCACCCTGGGATCCACGAGGTTAAGCGCCCAGACAAACCCTTCTTAAGGTGCTTTTCGATTAAAACAAATCATTGCTCCCCTTTAGTAGGAGGACCTCCAGCCAAAAGCACCTCTTAAGGCGTCCAGGCACGTTCAAGGGAGTCTGTGCCGCCGTCGCTGGTGCTGCCGACTGACTGGTGTCCGAGGTGTACATACACCGCCACTGCCAGGCCACAGAAACTCCGAAGAAGCAAAACCGAAAAGTAGATCCGCTTAACAGGTATTCTTCCTGTTGTTACACACATTTTGATACTTTTCATTTCCTTCATGCCTAGAGAAGCCTGCCACCACCACCCCACGGTGGCTCCTCCAGGAGGCTGCACATTGCACCGCAGCACCAGCCGAAAGGGTGAGAAGGGGGCCTTCACTACTGTTTTTGTGGGAACCCTCAGTTTGATGCGACGGCGAACGCTCGGAGATATCCACACGGTTAACGTGGTGGTGGATCTCAGAGCTTTCCTTCACCCCAGCCGCCGACCACTGCCTACCTTCGGCCTTCCCATGGCGTAAAGGAAGCCTCAAGAGTGCGCATGACTTGGCGCACACGCAGAGGCAACACGCTGCTCCCTCGAAGCGCACCCCTGCTTCTTCTGGCTCGGGGGACGAAGAGGAAGATCCCTAGCGCCAGAAGTCTGCCAGCGTTAAAGTGCACCGCAGGTTGTGTGCCACACCGTTGGCGTCTCGATCGTTATCCTCGGCAGGAGACGATGGGGGAGGAAGAGGCCTCGATGGGCTCCTTGAAGGCGGGTGCTGCACTCTCCGAGCAAGACGCCCTCTGCAGGGAGAGGTTCCCTTCGAGTGGACTGCTGTACCTTCGCCTTAGACTTCTCCGCCGTCAATTGCGCCTCCCGAGAGCACCAGTGGAGTCGCGGATGACGCAGCTCGAGAAGGAGGTGCTGCAAGCCAGCGCATCCTCGAAAGCGACTGCGACTCCCTCTCTCGATGCTTGCCTTGCGTTCCTACAGGAGAAGGGTGGCAAGGCAGCGCAAGCCTTCAGTCCTGAAGGCTTGTCAGCTCTAGAACGGAGTGGGAGATACTCGGCGATCTTGCACTGCCCGTACGAGCTGTGGCAAGGCGAAGCCAGAGGTGAGCTGCTGCAAAAACATGGCGTTGAGGAGGCATCCCGCAAGAGCGCCTCCCATGGAGGTTTCTTGCTTCCTCCCCCCTTCCTTCTTCTTCTTCTTCTCTCTCTTTCTCTTTCTCTCTCTCTCTCTTTCTCTCTCTCGCTCTCTCTTCCTTCACATATATATATATGTTATATCATACCTATTCGCCGCAGCTTTGACGCCGCTTTGAAAAAAAACGCCCGTGGGCGTGCTGACTCTCTTTCTTCGAGTTTTTGTCTTCTCTCTTTGCTCAACACTGTTTTAGATGCCGCTTCTTGTGATGCCGCCGCTTACTTCGACTGGGGATCTCTTCTTGCAAGCCTTGGTTCCCCCCTGCCGTCCTACATGCAGCCACCCCAACCGGCAGACGCGAAGCTTTTGCCTTCCTTCACGCGCGTGCCTGACAGCGTTCAGGCGGCGTTGGGCATAACCAAGCGGCAACAGACGCTCTCCCCTCCCCGCAGCTCGCCACATCTCCAGAGATACACACGTGAGTGCTTCCGACACACCTCTCCAGGAGGCATGCGCAGACAGGCCGAGCTGGCTAGCTAGCTGGGGTGTAAATCCAGCTTGTCGAGACGAAGGCGCAACATGCACTGCCTTCGTCTTGGCGTTTTCTCAGCCGTTCTAGACGAACTCGGATTTCCACTCAGTCCCCTGTATCTGTGGAGTGCTGCACGGGAAAAAGCCAACATAAGCTGCAGCAATACCAACACCAGCAGCAATACCAACAGTAGCAGCAATACCAACACCAGCAGCAATACCAACAGTAGCGGCAATACCAACACCAGCAGCAATACCAACAGTAGCAGCAATACCAACACCAGCAGCCCACTAGAGCGCTCCTGCAGGCAAGACTTCATTATCGCCTTGCGAGGGAGGGGTGTGTTAGGGGCGTGGGGTTGTAATATCGCTGCGGATGCAATCGTCATGAGACGTCACCCCGAGACTAAGCGCCTTCAGGCAAGCCTTGACGTTTTAGAATTTTTCGCTCTGGGGTAGCTGGTATTTCAGAGCCAAAACGGCAGCTTTAACTGTTTCCTTGTTACTGCACCTCCCCAGACACGCCGATCCAGCGAGCGCTCAGACCCCTTAAAGCAGCGTCTGCATCCTGGTGCCTGGCATGCATATCCCTCTGCCAGCCATAGCAGAAAGCCGTGCATGCATGCATGTGCTTCGACGCTCCGTGCATGCATGCATGTGCTTCGACGCTCCGTGCATGCATGCATGCGCTTCGACGCTCCGTGCATGCATGCATGTGCTTCGACGCTCCGTGCATGCATGCATGCACCTTGACGCTCCGTGCATGCATGCACCTTGAAGCTCCATGCATGCATGTGCTTCGACGCTCCGTGCATGCATGCATGCGCCTTTGCAGGTAGCTCTAGTAAGGCGTGCAGATGGAACGGACGCGTATGCGCTGCCTGGTGGCTTTGTAGAGGAAGGAGAGCTGGAGAATTTGTCTCAGTGTGCTGCGCGGGAGTTTCTGGAAGAGGCAGCGGCATACTCCCTGAGTACCTCTTCGCCAGCAGCAGGAGCAGAAGACGCTGCGGATGGCGAAGACGAGGCAGCAGAGTCGGCAGCCTCCCGCAGCGGCAGGCTCGATGCTGCGGAGGAGACAAATGTGCATCGCTCCATTGAGGCTTTGAAGAGCTTGTTCGGAAATTTTCGCGTCTTCAAAGACGGCAACCTCGAGTTCACTTCCCCTCCCGCCAAGAAGCCGCCCCTCTGCGTATATGCCGGTCTTGTAGATGACGAGAGGAATACTGCGAACGCGTGGATGGAGACGGCTGCCTTTCTATGGGTTCTCGACGAAGCACAGAGCGAAAATATATTTCTGCAGGCTGGCAGCGATGCCGCTGAGGGATCGGGTAAGTTCCCGCACGTGCGTCATGCTGCAGTTTCTCAGGCGCGATGTCTTCAGAGGCTTTCTTCTGCGTTTTCTGCAGCGGAAGGCAGCGGCAAGCTTTGCTTCCTTGCACGGCGTGTGCTGACAGCAGCCGTGCACAGGCAGAGGGGGTGGCAGCGAGGCTTGCGATGGACGTTTGCCAGACTCTGCACTTGGCTGTGTGCTCGCTGTGGGGTGAAAATGCGCAGCTGCCTTCTACGATCTGGAGGAGGACAGCGAACTCGCCAAACGCGGCGTGAAGCCTCTGGAAAACCTCTTCGGATCTCATTCGGCGATGCTACGCCATGCCCTTCGCTTCTTGTAGAGCCAGAGGCGCTGCAGGAGACGTTTCTCGGTGGCTAGCTGGGTAGCCGCGCACTGGCTAGTTGAGCCCGACGACGAGCTGAGCCTTTTTGGCTCGTCTCGAATCTGCGTAAAATCGTTTCCTGGTTTGTCTGCTGCAGCCTGCGCAGACAGACTCTCGGAAGGCCAGGATGTCGCGCGGCTGCTGCCTCCTGCATGCGCCTTCATGTGCAGCAGCCGCAGCAGCAGAACTGCGGCTGAGAAGCACACACACATACATGCACACATACATATACATATATGTATATGTACATATATCTAGCACATCGCAGCACCCATGAAACGCGAAGGACCCCTACGCTCTTCAGGATTTGAGCGGTTCGGCCCTTGCTTGTTTGGAGCTTCCTTTCCCTCCCCCGCGTTTGGAAAAAAATAAGTCTCCGAAGATCACAGTAGTGCATTCGGTTCTTCGGCATCTGCAGGCCACTTCGAGCACACTGCACTTGAGAGGGTGTGGCAGCACCCTTGCTGTGACTGAGCACCCTGCAGCCTACGCCTCCCCGCAGACATGTAGATCGTTCAGTTCAAGACGCCAGTACATATTGGCAAAGCACCGTCACCCAGTGTTGCTTTATTCATATACGCCGAGTACGGCGTGGAACGAGGTTCATATCTACAGACACCCATACAAATACACATACACACATTAAGATATTCATATACACATCGAAATGCACATACACACACATTAGAATACCCATTTACACATCAAAATGCACATACACACACATTAAAATATCGATATACACATTAAGATATTCATATACACATCGAAATGCACATACACACACATTAGAATACCCATTTACACATCAAAATGCACATACACACATTAAAATATCGATGTACACATTAGAATGCACGTACACACATTCACATTTCCATGCACTCATACATATATATATATATATATATGTATGCGTACAATCACAGATACATACATGCTCATACACTGTAAATTTCCTGCTGGGGCCCTATAAAATTCTGTCCTGCTCAGCATGAGAGCAGGTCTCCCCGTAGCTTGCAGCGCCTCCTCCCGATTGGACGGAGGAGGCGGATGCGCAATTGGGAAGGCCGATTGCTCGCTTGCACTGCCTAGCCGAATAGATGCAGAATTGGAAACGGGTATGCGCGTGATTTTGAAGTATGAAGGGGCTAAGAAAACGGCCCAGCCGCCCGCGTCCTCTCTGAGTGCTATGTGATATGGCATCTGTCATCCTAAGCCAAGAGACATGAATCGCCCATCAAGAAGGCGCGAGTTGAAAGAGGGTTTGTCGGCTGGCTTTTACCACCAGCGTGCAAGCAATTCAGCGTGAGCTGGGAAGGTGAGGCCGCTCTGTCTAAAAGTCTTTCGCTTCCGAGGTGGCGCGACAGGTCGATCTGACATCTCTACGGGTTACACGTCACAGCCTAGAGCCTAGCCCCTGTAAATTTCTACGAGGTGTGCTGCGCTAAAAAAAACTAAATATATACCCCCAAAGCAATTGGTTTTAGCCCTTGATGGCGAGGCTTAAGGCCTGCTGCGTTTGTAGCTAAGACGGGGGTGCGATCAAGCATTCCCGAATAATTAGTGTCTATTTAACTGTGACTTGAATGGGCAAAGCGTCCGCAAAAAAATTAAGCCGACAAATTTTTTTCATGATCAGTCCGCCGGTTCCGCACCCCCCGCGAGGTGTCTGTACACCTGGTGCCCTTTGGTTTCGTCCAGGAGGAGTGCGTATTGCAGCAGCATCTTCTTTGCCGCTGCTGACAGCTGCTGGCAAAGAGGCCCCCTGTTGGTGCTATGACACTGGTCGCTGCTGTTGCGAATACCTTGCAAAAGCGGCAGAATCCCAAGCAGCACCGAGTAAGTTTCTCCTTCTGCAGGAGGTGTGGTACCGACACTCATGCAAATCTCGTCTTCTAGCAGCTGCACCGTCTCTACAGCTGCGCCCTTGTGTTCGGGTGTGAGAGACGCCGCCGTGACAGCACCCGATGAAGGCGAATTCAACCGCTGATACTGATTATTCTGCTGCTGCTGCTGCTGCTGCCGAATTCGATCCTTGAATCGGCGTATCAGCTTTCTCGCCAAGAGGCACGCAGCGGCTACAACAACGTGTTCCTGGCCCTCTGCCGCCAGTGCCCCCGCAGCGGCATCTGCAATGAGAGCTGTAGCTACTGCAGCTTCCGCTGCATTTGAACGGAGCAGCATCAGCATTAGAGGCAGGTGCTCCCACAACGTAGGGTTGGGGAACGAGAAGGCAAGTGCCTGCATGAGGCGCTGCTCCTCTAAGAAGCAGCTTTGCCTTTGCCGCCAGTACTCCTTGATGCCCAGCGCAACGTATTCTGCGGTGCATGCCTGCGGAGGCGACTGCTGCTGTTGCTGCAGCTTCTGCTGCTGTTGCAACAGCTGCTGCTGGCGTTTTTCCTCCGCTGCTGCCGCTGCATGGTGGCTGCAAAACCCCAAGGAGGCAACCACCCGTCTGAGGTTGAATTCCTCGTCAGCAGCTTTGCCCGAAAGAAAAAGCGAAGCTGCCAAGCACGATGAAATCGCAGAAGGATCGATGTGGAAGAAGGAGGGGAAGCTCGACTGAAAGGCTACCACTGCGGCAGCAGCCGTTGACGGCGCCGCCCCTACATCTGCTGCAGCACGAGAGAGCAGCAAACCGAGTTGCAATCGCGCCTTATCCCATGCGGCAGTACATACACCCCGAGGATACAGCAACGGAGGCGGGGGTGGAGGTAAGGGGGCGATAAATTCCTCCTCATTGTCTCTCTGCAATCGCCCCTCTTGGACCGGCAAAAAGGGGCCGTACTGAAAAACTCCGTTGTTGTCTGTCATTTCCGCCGGTTAGCGCGTGTTGTGTATGTTTGTGGTCTGCGCGGCAGAAGAACACTGCGAATGCTCAAATCCTCCTTCATGAAGGCGCACTCGAAGCAGCCAATGGGGTCAGCCCTGCCACTACCACTGCAGCCGCCTCCGTTGCAACGAGTGCTTCCGATCCTCCTGCCGGTGCTGCCTGTTCATGTGCTGATCAACGAACTGATGCTGTAGCCGTTGCTGACGCTATCGGTGCCCCTCCTGCTGCTGTGTTGGCGCTCTTCTTAAGCCTCTGGCCGCCTCCTTGCCGCTAACAGCCACTTCCATGAACACCTTTCAGGAGTATCCCCTAAAGAAACCGGTAAAACGCCCGGCAAAAGCGTGCGTTCAGGGTTTCTGGCGTCGATGGGCAGGCAACGAGCTGGAAGCGACTGGGAACAACAACGAGCACGTAGGGCTGCAAAATGACGTTCAGAATTTCCTTGGTGTGAGTATTTTCAGCAATATATAGTTGTCTTGCAGCGAATATAGCGTAGAAAGCCTATCTTTTTAAGCAGCGCTTTCTGCAGAGTTTACCCGTACGTCTTGGAGGGGGTTGGGCATGCAGCCGGTAGCGCTGCAGTACACCGACCTGATCTCCCTTCATCTGCTTCCATTCAGAAGCCATGCCTTCTCTGAACTTTAGTAACAACTCTCTCCAAAGACTCTTGAGTCTTTAAAAGACTCCTCATCATGACGGAGGGCGCCCCTTTATGCGTGTTTTCCATGGGGTGGTCCGTGAGCGTTTCTCGATGAATTCACAGAACCATGTCACACTTGAACTGTTACCAACCTGGCGTGTCCTCGAATTGAGCCGATTAAGGCCTGCTGTATGGTTGGTGTATTCAAGGATCGTTTCCCATGCGCCCAGTATACGAATGAAAGGCCGATTTACTCCTGAACTGTTTCACTAGATCAAGTGGCGTGTTCGCAACAGGTAGTAGGATTTTCTTCCCTGCCTTAGCTCCATATATACCTTTGCTGCGGAGCGTAGCGATATTCTCGGGATTAATAGCGATATCTTTTGCTTGTTCGCTTACTAGCTATTGTCAATTTCAATGCTCCCCGAAAGGTCTCTGTAGGGAGACAGTTAGCGCCAGGCTCAATGCTAGTTTGACAAAAGCTATTAAAAGTCTCTCGAAGGAGATCTGCCTTCTTCTGCCTCCGCCTTTTTTGCTTCCTGGTATGAGGGGAGAGGGATTTTCCAAGGTGTGCCTTGCTGCACCATCTCAGCACTCCAAACAATCGTAAACAATAGCATGTATAGTATCTTACGCAGGCGCACATAGCACTGTATCTTCTTGTATCGAATCAGCGCAAGACTGCAATCAGTAAGGTATAGGAAAGGAAAGCCAACTACTCAGATCTCGGCTAATTCTTAATGAGTATATAACACCAGAGAGTGTCACTGTACAGTGCCTTAGCCCGCTACATTGATATGTAAACACCAGGCTATGCTACACTTAATTTATTGCATGCGCTTGCGCTCGTACAGCGGGGCGATAATTCAATGTCATATGCAGTGATCTGCAGCAGCAATCGAACCAACGAGACAGTTGTTCGACGGCTACCACTATTCACCTTTGCAGCCTACAAAGATAAGCACGCTGGGGATACATTCGCCAACAGTCTTACTAAGGAACTCAATAAACAGCCCAACAGTGCAACAGGGGGCGTGCAACGGTTATGCCACATCCTGAAGTAAGAGTATTGGGGGAGAATAGCTTCGGGGGGCAGCGCAATCAAGGCATGCAGAGCATTTAAGCCTGTTTGTGGCTGTTCGAACCGTTTAGACACCCTTTAACGAGTGATTGTTACGGAGTAAAAGTGCCTGATGAACATTTTGAGAGCCAGCTGGTTTTGCCCTTTCCCCTCCAGCTTCGACTCAGGTACCTTTTGAAGGCACTGCAGGAGGGAGGGAGCAGGGGGAGGGGAACGCGGAGATGAACAGCTTTTTTGGTGCATATTTGCGCTCTTCTTTCAGTTTAGGCAGGAGACATATGGAGGAACACTCAAGTCGGGCCAAGAAATGTGCAACGGTGAACTGCGTAACTGTCGGACTGTACCAAACGAGTCTTTGAGTGCGTGCTGTCTCCACTTCACCAGACCGACTGTCTTCCAGCTACCCTCTCAGTCCTGCAGCCTCCGGACGAAGAATAACCTTTCGCAGCTCTTAGACACGCTGTTCATACCCTCAAGTAGGTTGCACGCTATCAGGGGCCTCAGTGTGAGGATTCATGAGACATGGTCCCTCAAGCTGCTTCAGCACTTCCTCTGAGCTCGTATTTGTAAGTGACCTATATCGTCCTTGGATCAGGTAGAGAAACGGCCGTAATTTCTTCTTTTCTCTCTGTAGAAGCGGCCGCTGGACACTTTTCCCTTGAGTTCGATCTGCCAGAACACTAACAAGCTAATTTCATCTGGTTCGCAAGAGCAGAGGTGACAAGCTGCAGCTATCGGGAGATCATCGAAAGCAATGGCCGATGGGTGCCCTTCAGTTTCCTTCCTCCTGCTAAGCCTGACAAGTGACCAGAATCTCATGGCGCGAAAGCCGTAGATGTAGCAACTCGAAGGCGATTTCCAGTGTTCCGACGCCCAGCTCTCTTCTTTCGAAAAAAGTGATATTGCATCCAGCGAAGGCATGCAGACGGCGATGTCAGGGGGCAGCCTCGGTGAACTGACCATCAGCGCGCAGAGTCTATCTCCAATACGCCTAAAGCGCCCGGATGTTGGCGTCTAAAAGCAGCGAGATCGGATAACTCAACGGACCCCAATCTGTAACAAGGCCTGGGGTTCTCCGCCTCACACGCCTTTACGGCCCAAAGGTCCCCGAGGCAGGCAGAAAATCGTGTGCCTCTACAAAGGATCTGCGCCTGTCCGTGCAAGAACTGCTTGCTCGCTGTAGTAATCTCGCGCAGGAACCCTTGAGATGCTTTATTATGAGTGACACTCCCAGAGAAAATCGTAGCATTCCTGGCTTCCTCGCAGCCTTTGCCGTCTATGCTCTATGCATACTGCCGCAGTCCCCATAAACACGATCGATTTGGGGTGTCACTACTCCACGTGGCGGATGGCGTCCCATATTCAGTTTAGAGTGGCGAGCCCTCGCTGGTGAACAAATAGGCGCTGCCCATTACTACGCTAGACTCAAGGGAAGCTGCAAGCTCTCTGTCTTCCCATGACACATCATATATTGTTGCATCTAAACGGTTCTAGCTTTACCGTGAACATGCGCAGGGTGCAGACCCCACACACCCCAGAATCAGAAGTATGTCGAATCTCGGCCCCAAAGAAGCACTCAAATGCGATTCGCGGGGTACGCCTTGGGTGTTCGATCTCGGTGGTTTTTTAGTCGCCAACATCTGGCAGCTGCTTCAGGCGTAGTGGGGTTAGACTCGGTGCCTGTGGTGGCAGGTAGTAGAACGCACTTTGCAACAGCAAGGAAGGGAGACTTGGCATGCAGAAGTAGAACATAGCCAGTCAGCCGCTGTCGCGTGGGAAATTTGCAACCGTCACCCCCCTTGAGCCCAAGTGACAAAATGGCTTAACGCTTGAGCGGTGTCGGTACCGTCCTCTCTCTCATTACGTAGCCGTGCATCCTACTGAGAGGAAGTCAAGTGCTAGGGGGCAGCGCAAAACGGAGATCCGTTCCTAACCTTCAAGCTACCATCTGCTAATACTCTGCACTTTGCCTGCCCCTGACTGCCCCTTTTCGGTGCTCTCACTGCTGCGATGCCCGGCCAGCCTGCTGTACGTCCACCATCAATGGGCGAAGTTTTGAATTCTCGAAGTCTCCTCAAGGAGCACGTGCTGTGTTGCTGTAGGCATGTGAAAGTTTATCGCTTTCTTTGCTTCCACTGAGTCTTTTGGACGCCTCCCGTGAGCTCTTTGCACGTCAGAACACGAACCATGAGGCAAACTCTCTAAATTACCGCTTCGTTCCTATGTTTTCGCTACTTCACCTCGCTATTTCTCCGCCTCTACACAGCCACCCCTCCACCCCATTTTTATTGTTGGGAACTGCAACTCGCAGCTGCTCTAATCATTCGCCGCCTTTCCATGCACCCTAGCAATGCCGTGAACACGCTGAAGTACAGACGCTGAGCTAAGTGATCGTGAGGTGCGAAGCTCGGCTCTGGCTTTTCATTAAACGAATCTTTCTGAGATTGTTTGTCGTACAGCCTCCTTGATCTCGCGGCACGTGCGTGTGTAGGGGAGTGGTTCGCTCGCCTGCAAGAACAACCAACTCTTTAGGACTCAAAAGACTAATTAGTCGCTCGGCATTTCCCAGCCCCCAAAGTATCTGCCCCTTCCCTTCCTTCCAGAGCCGAACTCCAAGTGCCTCTCGAACCAGCAATTTCAACGACAGCAGCCTTGATTAGGCTGCGGAGTTCAAGCTTTGCTCCGCGTCCACGAGCGAGGAGGGGGAAACAGAGAAGATGCTGCAGCCTTAGCTGACGACATGCGGTGTATCGACAGCTACGCTCTGCGCGCCTCTACGAAAAAGCGGTGGAAAAGTGAACTACTAAGGCATCCGTAAAGAGACACAATTTTTTGAGAAAATGATGGGCAGAGCTCTACCCGACTACTTCTCTTCTTCCAAAACCTCTGAACTCCAAAGGGGGGTTGTGCCCCCTGCAGGTGCGCTCCCACACGATCCACCTGCAGACTGAGCGGCAAACCTTTCAAACCGTTTCACGTCTCGTGGCCTTTTCCTTGCACCAATAGAGACGAGATCGTCCAACTCGAAAGTCTGGGCTCCATGCCGCATCGGGCATCCCAAGGGTAAAAAGGCAAAGAGCGTGACAAAAATGCGTACAGAGTTTGATAGTGAAGTGAAACTCGGAAGCGAACTAGAATGCAACGGCAGCATGTGTGGACGCTGCACCTACTGCTGCATGATACAACTCATGCAGCAGCTGGTGCTAGAGTTGCTTCACTGATCGATGTCGAGGTCCTCCTCTGAGATATCGGTTTGCATTTTCTTTTGCAGGCCATGTTCCTTGAGTTCTGCTTCATGTTTCTGCATGGTCTCATGAAGCAGACGCTTGATGGTCTTGTTGATTTCTCTTTTCTCCATAGCTTCTTTAGGGAGCTTCTTCCTCAGTTTCCGCTTTCGCTGTTTGAGTGCGGCGACCTGCTGCTTCATGGCCTTCCATTCCGCAGCCTGGCGCTACAAAACCAAAGGTCAGCAGATCCGCACAGAAAAGGGCAAAACAACTGCATGCCGGGCGGAGGCGGTAGGTTTGCCAGATTGGCATAACGATGAGATTCAGAAGGAGCGCGATGAGAAAAATTGCTACACGCAGCAGCGAGCACTTATTCGCGAAGAGATAGAGACAAGCATCGGGGTTTGAATAACACAAGCATCGGGGCTAAATAAGACAAGCATCGGAGTTCAAATAACACGCGGAGAGAGAGAGAGGGGCCAGCTGGCGCACCTTGAAAATACTGTGGCTCGAGTCGTTGTCTGCCTCCGTTTCAACTTCCTGCATACAGCACGCAAAGCATCGAAAACGTATGCTCTGCAACTGGGGTGTATTGCATCTCTGAAGCCACGAAGCGCAGAAACTGGAACTCATGAGAAGGCGCAAAGGAGCCTTCGCCCTATCCGAAGCTCGTAATCCTAGGTTCTAGATCCCCTGATCTCCTTGAAAATAGTGTATATTTTCACCTGAGATTTTGCCTGAAGTTTGCCCTTCTGTGGTGCATCCTCGTCCATGGCGTTCGCCTTGAGGTGCCCCTGTCGTCCCTTGCGCTTTCGCGCCTTCGACGCCTTCCCCATCTTCTCTGCTGTCCATACCCCAGTCCTAAGCTCTTGAAGCGGAAAAAAACATTAAACCGCTGAAAATGTGCGCTCTAGAGGCGGCAGCACCAAAAGAAGACAATGAAAGGCTGCCTCGGGGAGCCAGAAGAAGCCCACAGCCCCCAGCAGAATCTTCAGTTCCGTGCAAAACACTGCGCCTTCGCCTCCTTCTCTAAGGAGACGCTGTTGCGTATTCGCCCTTTCCATGTCAGAAAGAAGTCATCTCTTTAGAACCCCCATGCCCAAAAGTTTTTAAAAGAGCTCTTAATTCTGCCAGTTACCGACGGCAGCACCAGCAGGGCCCACCAGCGTTTCTGCATATATGCATGTACATACACCGACTGCCTCGCTATCTCACGTTGTTTATGGCCTTCTAGCCGTAGAGCCTAACTCGCGCGCACGAGTCTCCCCCCTCCTCCCCATTCGTAGCAGCCCAAAACTAGTGCCACGCAACCAATAAATTGACAGCTTAAGGAGGAGAGCAGTCGCGCGCGTCCATCCTCACATCATCCTTGAGAACTGTTTCTTCGCAGCCTGGAGTGTCGCCTGGAACTAACCCCTCCAGGGCGTTGTTTTGCGTTCTGAAGCAAGCATGCACCCCTCTAAGTGTGGCTGCACCTTGCCCAGCTGAGCAGCAGCTAGCCGAAATGCCATTTAGTGACACCAGTCTCAAGTCCGACAGCATTTTTTGATAGTTTGCGTAATGAATTATGACGGCTTTAGGCTCAGGCTACCCCTTCTGTACGTAAAGTGCACATAGCGTTGACTCGCTATTCCGCATGTTGGTTGCATCCTCAGAACTACCGTAGACGCTCTGTTTTGCGAGTATTCTACCAGCGTGCGGCGACTCTTCTGCCGAGACACTCCAACTGCTGCTTCCTACGAGCGACACGTTTGACGCCCACATTGCAGGGGTTGAAGTTACACTCTTAACCCTAATAGGCAGGTAGGCTCTCATTCAGGTGTCTCTACGACCATGGGGGCACCTTCAGCCCCAGCCTCCGCACTCTGTGCGCACAAAGAACACATCACCACAAGGCCAAACACTAAGAACCTCAACCTGCAAGCTTTCTTACGCGCGAGGGGTAAAACATTCCATCTGGAGGCGTCAACGTGTCAGCACCGTGCGAAGCAGAACCCCCTCTTCTCGATACCCCCAAACGCACCGACAGACGATCGACAAGAGTCTGCAGCTCCTCCCCAGTCAGCTCTGAAGCGCAAACTCAAGACATCAAATTCCTCACGGTATAGGCCCTTCCAGCTCGCGCTCTCTGCAGCGTGCAGCTAGAATACAGACACTTTCAGAGGCTCACCCCGCCAAGGCTGTCCGCAGCCGACAATACCAACGCACAGGCAATCAGCCGTCAGCCTGCAGGCACCCCAGTAGCAATACAAAAAGCCCTTAAAAGGCACGAGACGCGAGACACTCGTTGCATGCTCGCACGCGGCTGCACAGACCCCTCGAGCGACACTTGTGGCCTGCCAGTAAACCCCTTTTGTGACGAAAAAAAAAACAGCAGTAGCAGCAGCGCACTCCGTATCGGCAGCCATGGAAGCCTTCAACGCCTTTGCGCCATGGAGAAGCAGCTCCTCCACAGTTGCTGCGACACACACAAGGCACAAAGCGCAAGCCCTCAAAGCTTAAAGCTTCGGTGGCCTTCAGCCATCGGAAATAGGTGCAGTAGGCACGCACACACACACATGCATGCATGCAAGAACGCACACACACACATGCATGCATGCATGCACTCAAACACACACACACACATGCATGCACTCACACACACACACATACACACACACACATGCATGCATGCATGCACTCAAACACACACACACACATGCATGCACTCACACACACACACATACACACACACACAAGCATGCATGCACTCCCTCACATACACACACACGCACACATGCATGCATGCAAGAACGCACACACAGATGCATGCGTGCATGCACTCAAACACACACACACACACATGCATGCACTCCCTCACATACACACACACACATGCATGCATGCACTCCCTCACATACACACACACGCACATGCACACACATGCATGCACTCAAACACACACACAGATGCATGCGTGCATGCCTACTTCCCAGGATCGCTCCTTAAGCCTCTGCATCGCTATTGGTCCCCTGCAGGAAAGCACTTAGGCCTTAAGAAGCTTGTTCATGGGCACGTGAGGGTGTGTTGGGCATACCGTTGCTAAAGGTTTCGAAGTGTCTTTCGAGATACGTCTTGGAGGCCTGTGATCGTGCTCCAAAAGCGATTGCCTGCGCGAGACGCAGTCTGACACTGGATTAGGTAGGCTTTAGATTCTTGGCTTTGTTGCTGCTGCGTGTGCATACAGTGCGAAGGGTATTTACGGAGTCGCAAAAACTGATATTACACCCGCGAGGTGTTCCCCCCAAGGGCGCGTATATGAAGTGGCCTCTCTTGGCTTGCGGGGTGTATATACACATACATATATGTACATATACATATATATACACATATATACATATATACATATATATACACATATATACATATATATACACATATATGTACATATATGTACTTATATATATGCATGTGTATGTGTCGGTGGGCATGTCATGAGATGGACGCACGTTGTATTCGTAATAATTGCCGGATGGGCAGTTCTCAAAAAGGCGGGGGCCAGAGGAGTCGCATGCAGCGATGAGCAGACCGACCCCATAGGGTCTTTTTCCGCTGCGCTGCGTGTTGTTTTGGCATTCTGCATGCAGAGAAGGGCAGAGGCGAAGGAAGCCTGCATGTGTGCCTTGGCGGATGTGTATTTGAAGCGCGTCGAGCTACAGTTGAAGCCTTCCCACGAGACTCGGGAGCTCGACAGGGGTTGCGCGTGCAAGCGTATACACCAGGAACGAGAGACTGCATGGATCTGTCAAGAAGAGAAGAGACGGATCGAGGAATGTCTTAGGTGGACTCCTGCTGAAAGGATCAAACTTTGCGACACTCTTCTTACTGTCTGCAACGAGGAGAGCGAGTCTGGCCGCAGGCTTCTCTGTGTCGTACGTGAACTTGTGCTGGAGACAGGCGTTCCTCATTATCTCACACAGCACCTCTGCAGCGAACAAACGACTCCAGCAGAGCCCTCTTCTCGCCACGAGCTCTGTGTGCTGACTGCAGCGTTCTTTTTTGTGGGAGAAGAGGGGGCAGAAGCCGTTCTTCTCTTCGAGCTGCCTCGCTTTCGTGGGGGAGGAAGAGGGCAGCGAGGAAGCCTTATTTACGCGGGGCGGTATGGAGAAGAGGCCTCATCGCTCCCGTGCTCGAAGGGCAAAAATACTTGAGCGTCGGGAGGAGCAAACTTACTGGCATCGGCAGTAATTCCCGAGATGGCAACGCCTATGTGGTCGTCGATGCAAAATAACTTTTGCTGGTGCCCTGCCAGTTTTGAAGGGCTTTTTTTCAAGGAGCATAAAACCTGCACGCATGCGACGCTGTCTGAACACTGCAGCCAATAAGACGCCTCCACTTCTGCGCGTGCAATGGGGAACGACTCTCGCAGTTGTCTGTGTGTCTGTCTGCATGCGTGTTGCATCGATGCACGCATGCATGCATCGCATCGGGGGGTTCTGCCGCTCTACCTCCCCCGTTTACGCCTACAGCGACGCAACTCTCCCCTCCCCGCCAGCTTCGCCCCATCCTTCGGAAGCGGACTGCACAGCCGACTAAGAGCACGTGGCAGCGACGATGCATGCACTCCAATGAGGCGCTGGTTTCATGTCAACGGCCACTCACCACATGCGAGTTCGATCTAAGCCCGACGCAACAGGTGCCTTGAGTGACTGCCTGTTTCGCGTATTCAACTTGGAAAACACGACCCTGGGGAGACCATGTGATACAGTCCGTGTCGTACAGATTTCGATACATTCTGGCTGCTGATGTTAATGCGAATTGTTGCTGAACTCCCAGCGTATGGCAACGACGGCGAGCTGTTTGCTGCTGCGGAGAGGCAGGCAGAGCCCACGGGTTGGCAGAAGAAGAAGGGGTATACAGTGCGGCTCAGGCGTGAAGCGACTCGCAGCAAAGGGCCCCTCTACGCGCTGTGGCGTCGCTGTTGTGGCTGCAGTTGATTACTGAGGCGTGTTGCATGTACGTGTACATGTGCATGTATGCGTGTGCCTGTGCGTGTGTGTGCGTGTGTCTTTCCGTCTGTTTGCCCGTGTGCGGCTCCTGCTGCTGTCTAGTGGCAGCGAGAAGGAAGAACTCGCAGTGCTGCTGAAGGATGCGCCGCCATAAAGAACTCTTGTCAGGGGTGTCTGCCAAGCTGCTGTCTTCAACTCGGCAGCGCGGCAAGTGGTTGTGGAGGGGGCCGTCCAGACACTCGAAGAGTTAGGGTGCAGATACTGTTTTTGTAGCGCGTTTGAAACAAAAAGTAGGCAGGAATGCAGAAGTGATGCTACAGTGGGGCTTTTTGAGCTAAGGAGGCTGCTGCTGCTGCCGCTGCCTCCTCCTCATAGCAGCCGCAGCAGCAGCAGCAGTATGCGCTGTTGCAGCGCCTCCTCGCGTGTCTGAAGCGAGCTGCAGCAGCCTCACACGCAGCCGGCAGAAAGGAAATTTAGCATTTATTTCTATTTATTAGAGCCGTTGGCTTTCTCTCATCGTCTCATTTGTCGCAGCCTTCGTGGCAATAGATGAAGAACTCCCGCGGTAAGGGGCCTAGAGAGGCGTGAAACTTGCTGCTCGAAGCGGATTTGCGGCTGCCTTCAGTTGCACCTTTCGGGGCGATTTTCCTCGCTGAAAAGGGACTCTATGAGTCGGCTTTGCTGCTGCTGCTGTCGCTGGGTGTCACTGCAGCAGCAACAGCAGCAGCAACAGCAGCGGCAGCAGCAGCAGGAGCAACGCTTGCAGCCATGGCCGCCCTGCACGACGCACTGCAGCCGCGAAGATTTCGCCCTTTGTAGAGGGAGAACTTGTTGCAGCTGCAGGCTCGTAGCGAGAGAGAGCCAGCAGTCTTGGCGGCTGTACAGACACACCGCCGCCCCTGCAGCAGGAGCTGGCGAGGCTGCACGCAGCCCTTTTCGCCGCTGGCTGTGAGCAGCGACAAGCGGCGTCAGCAAGCGGCAAGCAAGCACCTGCCTTCCTTCGAAAATGGGTGTCTTCAGATCGGAGGTGAGAGGGGAAGAAGGAGGAGGTCAGGAGGAGGGAGGCTTCTTGTGCGAAAGGGTTGCGTTCAAGACGGATTTTAGGGGTCAATGAAGAAGTTGTCTGCAGTCTGATGGCAATCCGTCGGAATCGTGTTTGAGATCTTATTCATCGTGTGTTTGGAAGAGGACTTAGGTGGCGATTTACGAGCTTTCAGCCGTTGCCGCAGGATGTGCAGATATGAGGAGGGGGCAGGGGAAGTGATGGGAGCTGCACAATTGGCGTTAGAGTGTTTTTTTGCAAATCGGGAAGAAGGAAATGGCGTTTATTCTGTGCTGTGGCTGCAGCCGATGAGACACGGTACTTTGGTGTTACCTCAAGAAGGGGCCAAAGACTTCATAACTGCCATCGGCAGCAAAGTGCAAGTTCAGATTCAAGATGTAAGGGTTGTCTGGGTTTAAAGCAAATCCCCTTTTCGACACCTCTTTCTCTCTCTGTGTGTCTGTGTATCTTTCTGTATTTCTGTCTGTCTGTCTGTGTGTGTGTCTTTCTGTCTGTGTGTGTGTGTCTGTCTGTCTGTCTGTCTGTGTGTTTTTCTGTCTGTCTTTCTGTCTGTCTGTCTCTCCCTCACTCCCTCTCTCTCTATCTCTTTCTCTATCTCTCTCTCTCTATCTCTCTCTATGTATCTCTATCTCCCTCTCTTCCTCTCTCTCTCCCTCTCTCTCTCTCTCACTCCCTCACACTCTCTTTCTCTCTCTCTAGAAGAACAACAACGCCTGCACCTCTGAAGCTGCAGACACACGCATGCTAGTAGCTGTAACATAGCAAGGCAAGCTTCTCGTGGCAGGCTGTGCTGCAACAGCAGCGTTGCAGCACAGCCTGACAGCACTTTTGGGATGGCCACTGCATGCGGATGGCGATGGTTTGCATGCAGATGAATGGAAACAGTCTGTCTCGCGCATACCGCCGTCAGCTGCAGCGCCTAGAGGAGCTTGAAAGAATGCTTCGCTATCTAGTTCAGCAGATAGAGAGCATTGCGGAAGTTCGTCTTTGTGACTTAGCAACCGATTTAGACAGAGCAGCAGATGCTGCTGCAGCTGCTGTCGTAGCGGCTGCTGCCGCCTCTGCAGACGCTCCAGACGTGGAGGCTACAGGCGGAGTCGCTTCTGTTGCACCAGATGCTGCTGTGGCAACAAAGCCCCAAGTTTACATGCTGGATCGCGTGGAAGACATGTTGAACAAGGTGTATGGCCAGTTTCTCCGGTTTGCTCAGAACAACAAGGATCTGCAACGCGAGAAGAGTGCCGCCGTAAAAAAGCGCAGACTTTCGTGGATCGATGGCTGTTTCTTTTCCTGCCTCTGTTGCTGGCTGCTGTCTTGACGGACGCCTCTGTCCTATGTTGCATGCATGCGCGGCAAGGAGTCTGTCCTATGTTGCATGCATACGCAGCAAGGAGTGTCTCCTATGTTGCATGCATGTGCAGCAAGGAGTGTCTCCTGTGTTGCATGCATGTGCAGCAAGGAGTGTCTCCTATGTTGCATGCATGCGCGGCAAGGAGTGTCTCCTATGTTGCGTGCATGCGCGGCAAGGAGTGTCTCCTATGTTGCATGCATGCGCAGCAAGGAGTGTCTCCTATGTTGCACGATCCTGCTCGCTTCCTGCTGGCTGCTGCGTTTGCCAAGGATTGTGGGCTGCATGCGGCCTGTTTGCTGCTGCGTTTTCGCTGTACATACAGACCGTCTGACTCGCCTGCTGCATGTGCTGCTGCGTCTTGTGCGCTGCAGGAGGAGGAGTTGGAAATTGTGTCTTTTGCTGCTTCACAGCTTCGCTCTTCTCTTCAATCCCCTTGGCACGTCGATCCAGGGTTAGCAGCAGATCCTGCTGCTGCAGCACCGGCAGGCAGCAGCTGCTGCAGCAGCAGCAGCACCCCCACTCTTACGCGACAGCAGCAGATGCAGCAAGTCAACACTACCAGAGCAGTCACAGCAGACTCTCACGCGCGGTACAGAGTCACTGGCGCTGCTGCAACGGCTGCTGCTGCTGCTGCTGCAGCAGCGGCTTTAGGAGAGGCGTGGTCGACCTATTTCGGCAGCAATGCAACGCGCTAGAGGCTTGTGGCTAGGGTTGGGGGGAGTCGTGCAGCAGTTCATAGTCTTGCACAAAGAAAATGCCAATACATACGTAGCGAAAGAGAAATAGAGAGAGAAATAGAGAGAGGAATAGAGACAGAGAGAGCAACGGCAACCAGGGCTTTCTCTTTCTCTCTCTTTTTCTTTGTTTCTCTTTTTCTTTGTTTCTCTTTTTTCTTTGTTTCTCTTTTTCTTTGTTTCTCTTTTTCTTTGTTTCTCTTTTTTTTTGTTTCTCTTTCTCTCTCGCGCTAGGCTCCCCCCCTTCTCCCTTCTCTTTCCCCCCTCCATCTCCGTGTGTGTGTGAAGGGTTTGTTGTTTGCAGCAGCTCTTGCGGTTTTTGTTTGTTTGGAGTGTCTGCGCAGTTCTTCTTCCGCTAGGAGGCGGCGTCCTGCTCATCAGCCGAGCAGCAGCAGCAGCAGCAGCAGCAGCAGCAGCTGGCAATCCGAATTGCAGCAATCAGAGCATCATCAAGGCTTCCCACAGTCCGCCTCGAAGCACCTCCTCGCCCCTGGATTGTATTCTTTGGAAATAGGAGAGCTAAGCAGTCTGGTATTTTCTGCTGTTGCTGGTATCATGCTCGCAAAGGATCAGGTAATATTTGTTGCAACGCGGGGATGTGGGCTGTTGAAAAGTTTCTGGGAAGGGACTGAGGCTGTTGCGATGCTGCGTCTGAGCGATTGAGAGGAGCACGCATCTCGCGCCTCTTCCAATCGCTTAGGCTTGGCGTGGCTCGTGTAATTCAGAATTCGAGACTTGCAATCGCTGCACGCAGGAGCGATTTGCCCGCGCAATATTCCGAACAACGCGAGGAAACGCATTTACACACTTCAAGAGAATCGACGAAGAAGAAGTTGCATCGCATGTATGTTGTGCACTGAGCTGAGAATGGCGGCTTTTTCTCTGGCGGGGGGGGGGAAGGGGCAATCAACAACGACTCGTAAGAGGGAGGCGTGTATTCCTATGTATATGTATATGCATGCCCGAGTCAGCGAATTTTTCGCACTTCAGATTTTTTACAAGACTCTGAGCCTTCGGTGAGAGCGAGTCTTTCACTGCATGACTGTGTTTTTTACAATTTTCGAGGATTTTCACCTCCTGCGTGTGTGTAGCCAAACGCAACGGAACCCAAGTCTTTGTTCGTCACTTACTTCCAGGGAGCAGCCACAGGATCGGCCTTCATGGAAAAGGTATAAACGCGTATATTTATCTCCCACAGACTGTGCATGCATCTTTACGCAGTGTCGCCGCATGTCTGTTTCTCCGTCCCTTCTTTTTGCCTATCCATCTCTCCTGTCTGTTTGTCTCTCTGCTCCCTTCTCGATCTGTATGGTGTGACGCTGTCTGTCTGTGTGTTGGACTTTCTGTTTGGCCTCCTCCTAACGTCTCTCATCGTATGTCTTCCGCTCTCAAATTCTCTTTCTCTACCTCTCCGTGTGCAATCGCACTCTCTTTTCTCGCTTCCAGGGGGGGAACTGCTTCTCTCAAGGTTCTGTTTCTCGCCTTCTAGCATGAATGCCCTCCGACTTCCTCTTTCTTTTTCTAGTCTTTCTCTTTCTTGAATTTTCTTTCTCTCTTTTTCTTTCTTTTTCCTTCTCTTTTCTTTCTCTTTTTCTCTCTATTTCTTTCTCTCTTTTTCTGTCTCTCATTCTCTCTCCCTGTTTCTTTCTCTCTTTTTCTGTCTCTCATTCTCTCTCTCTGTTTCTTTCTCTCTTTTTCTGTCTGTGTGTCTTCTGTCTAACTCTGTCTTCTCTACTCTGCCTGTATGGCTCCCCCCTCTCTCCCTCCACCTTCACAGCGCCATTCCGTCATGGGGAGACGCCCTGAACTGTTGTGGTGTACCTACAGTCTGCGGTTCGTGCTCGCTGTGCAGGTGAAGTGCGTCTGCTCGGCCATGGGAGCCCGTACATACACCTGGCCGCGCAGTGGGGAGGAGGCGCAGCAGCGACAGCAGCAGCTGCAGCAGTTGTTGCAGGATAAGGCAGCGGCAGCGGCAGCTTACGAGGAGTACTTTCTCAATGAGGTCGGCGTTTTCCTAGAGCCTGTGCCTGCCGTGAACATGCCGCTGATTGCTTCAGCTGCAGCTGCAGCAGCAGCCGCGGCAGCAGCAGAAGGCGACTTGCATGCAGCCGCAACAGCAGCAGCTGCTGCAGCTGCAGGCATAAGGCGACGCCCTCTGATCACGGAGCTGCAGAGGTTTGTCTTGCGCGAAAAGGCAGTCTACACGGCACTCAACTTGTTCGCCCTCTCAGATGCCACCCTACGAGCCGACTGTTGGTTTCAGGAGGCGCAGGAAGGGACCTTAAGACAAACTCTCGCGAAAGTTGCTGCAGAAAAGGTGAGGGCAAAGATTTAAAAGTCTTAAACGTGCACCTCGCTTCCTGGTTGCGTGATGCCCCTTCTCAATCTTGTGGCGGCTGCTGCGGACGGCACGCACACGCCCTTTTTGCATGCGAGAGGCAGTAAAATCGGCTGTTCATCATTTTTCTTCGCGCGCGTCTTTTGTCTGCAGAATACGTCTGCATTCTTGCTGGTGCATGCCGAGAGCCGCATCGGGGATGCTGAAGGGGGAGGGGGAGGGGGAGGATCCTCAGGAGGCTTTCTTCCGCCGACTGTCTTCAAGACAACTTGCTTCATGGCTCCCTTCCAAAGCCTTGTTGACACATATGGCATTGCTCGCTACAGGGAGGCTAATCCTGCCTTTTTTGCGGCTGCCATTTTTCCTTTTCTTTTTGGAGTTATGTTTGGTGATGTTGGTCATGGACTGCTGCTGCTTGTTGCGGCTGCTGCACTCTTCGTATTCAAGCGCAAAGAAACGGCTGTTTCGGATGAAATGGTTGCTATGCTGCTGAATGCCAGGTGAGGAGAGTAGCTGCTCGGGGGGAGAATAGAGGACGGCCTTGTACCTATCGCATGCCTCCCCTGACTTGCAGGAGGCTTTCTCGGCTTCTTCTTAGTTGATTTTTTCGAAATCTCTTCTCGAGGCTTTGCGCCATTGTTGGCTCTCCTGTGCTTTCCTCTTTCTCGTTCGCAGTATTTCTGTCCATTCGCCGACTGCGAGTGTTGTAACGACACACCTTGGTGGTGCCAATCACGCAGTAGAAGGCTCTATATACCTGTTTGTATATCTGTGTATGTGTTTCTTTGTGTATCTGTGTGTTGTGCATGTGTCTCTGTGTGTTGTGCATGTGTATCTATGTGTTGTGTATGTGTTTCTTTGTGTATTTGTTTGTTGTGCATGTGCATATGTGTGTATCTGTGTATGTGTTTCTGTGCGTATCTGTGTATGTGTCTCTGTGTGTATCTGTGTATGTGTTTCTGTGTGTATCTGTGTGTTGTACATGTGTTTCTGTGTGTATCTGTGTATGTGTTGCTGTGTGTTGTGTATGTGTACCTGTGTGTATGTGTTTTTGTGTGAATCTGTGTATCTGTATCTGTGTGTATCTGTGTATGTGTTTCTGTGTGTTGTATATGTGTATCTGTGTGTATCTGTGTATGTGTATCTGTATGTGTGGAATTTGACGCGTTGTGTGTTGGAATCGCTCGTTGGCGTGTTTGTTGCGTGGGGGGTTATGGCCGCCTCTTTCTGTGAGTGGAGTAGCCTTTGCCAGGGTGATTTCTGTGTGGATGTTCGCAGGTACATGATTCTTTTGATGGCGTTGCATTCGATATTTGCGGGATTCATGTACAACGAGATCTTCAGCATGGGGCTGAATGTCTTTGGATCTCGGTGGGAGAAAGTAGCGGTGCATGCAGACGGTTCGACGCCGTCAATAGTGCCCTCTATGGAAGGTCCCTACCCCTTTGGAGTGGATCCTAAGTGGAGGGGTGCCAGCAACGAGCTGCTCTTTCTGAACTCCCTGAAAATGAAGCTCGCGATTCTCGTGAGGAGGCTTGCTGCTGGTTGCGTTTCTTCTCTCCCCCCTTCTTCCCCCGCCACGCATGTTGTGCTGCTTCTGCCGCTTTTAGACGCAAGCCTTGCTCGGCTTCGCTGCCAGTCCTCTCTGTGCTTGCTGCTGCTTTGCGGTGTGGTGTGAGACGACATATTTTGGAGGCTTCTCCTTGCGCGCTTCGCCTCATCGAGTGTGTGGGGGCTGCTGGGGTGGTTTTATGCGGGGTGTTGCAGATTGGATTCTCCCACATGACTGTGGGGTTGTTCCTAGGTTTATCCAATGCGGTGTACTTCCGAGACTGGCCGTCTGTGATCCTTTCCGCCCTCCCGCAGTGCCTCTTCTTCTTTTCGCTCATAGGCTTTCTCTGTTTCTTGGTGATTCTCAAATGGATCTCCCCTTCAGGCTCCTACAACAAGCCGTCCCTCATTGCTGTCATGATCCAATTTGTTATGGGAGCTGGGGATAACAGCCAGGGCACCCCTGACTTGATGCTGTTCGATAGCCAGCCCATCGTGCAAGACGTAAGTCGCTAGTTTTACGGGGGAAAGGAAGGGGGGACGGTAGCAGTGGTGGTGGTAGTAGTGGTAGCAGTGGTAGTGGTAGTAGTGGTGCAAGGGGGAAGGTGTGGGGTTGCGGCCTAGCTCCTTCTCTTTCTCCTTCTCGCCCTCGCCCATGAGCTTCTGCCGTGAGGAAGGGAGTTTCAAAACGTTTGGAGGAGGGAGCCCTTTCTTTGTGGCAATCTCCGTTTATTCCCTTGAGACGCTTCATTTACACACGGAGATACCACCTACCTGTTTTAAAGACTTTTTTTGAACTCCGTAGAAAAGCACCCACACGTGCGTCTGCGTTGCTCTATCGGCCGCTGGTGAGGGGGTGCTATGTGTGTTGCATCCCCCCGCTGCGAAGATTTAATTCAATTCGCTTGAGCAGCAGCTGCTGGGGTTTGTGCTGTAGGTGCTGCGTGCGGTGCTGTTGGCGTGTATTCCTTTGATGTTTCTGGGAAAGCCGCTGTTCACGCTGTACGTACACCGCAAAAAGCGCCCGCCCTCCGGATTTGAACAACTGGACAGCAGCGAGCCGAGCTGTATCCAACTGCAGCAGCTGCAGGAGCAGCAGTATCGACGTCAGCAGTATGCTTCTCTGCTGCCGCTAGCAGGATCAGCGGTGGGCGTCGGCACGGGTTCGCGCGATCGAGAGGCAGAGGTTCCTGGTCATGCATCGACGCACGATGATGGCGAGGGTCTCTCGGAGTTATGGCTGCACACGCTTATTGAATCCATCGAATTCATATTAGGGACTATTAGCAACACGGCCTCCTATCTCAGGCTGTGGGCACTCTCCCTTGCGCACCAGCAGCTGTCGATCGTCTTCTTTGAAAAGACGGTTGGCGCTGCCTTTGAGCCGGGGCAGTCCGTCCCCCAAATGGCATTCAAGGTCAGCCAGCGACAAGCTGAGAGACGGCTAATTATGTGTGTATGTGTGTGTATATGTATGTGTGTGTATATGTATGTGTGTGTATATGTATATGTGTGTATATGGGTACGTGTGTGTATATGTGCGTATATGTGTATATGTGTGTGTTTGGGGGGGAACGGGGGGGGGGGGTGGGAAGAAAGAAATGCAAAACGAGGGAGTTAGCCAGCCTGTGCGGCGCCGCGAGTGCCTGCCCTTGCCTGTTCTGAGGTGACTCGACTGCGCAGCTGCGGAGTTTGTCTTTGCAGTTGATCGTGTTATTTCCCCTATTCTTCTGCGTGACAATCTTCGTCTTGATCGCCATGGAGGCCCTCGAGTGCTTCCTGCACGCCCTAAGGCTCCAGTGGTCAGCCAGGATTTACGATTTAGAATTTACGTCATTGCAGTGTCTGCGGAGCCTTGCGGATAAAGGTCTTTGCGTTCTTGTCTGGGGTTGTATTCTCAGGGTTGAGTTTCAGAACAAGTTCTACAAAGGCGATGGCGTTGCATTCCTTCCCCTCGACCTCAACGCATTGCCTGAGGATAGTAAGAGCTAGGCTCAACGCGTTGCCTCATGATAATGAAAGCGCTAAGCTCAACGTTTTGCCTGAGGATAGCAAGAGCTAAGCTCAACGCGTTGCCTGATATCAACGGGAGAGCTAACCGCACCGCTAGCGATCCCGTCCTAGTCGTAACGGTGATTATAGGTGTACCTACCTTTATAAATAAATGAAAAAGAAAGAAGTAAGCTAAAACAGCGGGCTACATGGCAAACTGGCTGCTTCTTCGCTTGTGGCCGCTAGCTAGCTTACGCGCTAGGTATCCAGGACCAATTTTAGGTGGTCCAGTGGGTCCACCTTCGCATCGTGCTTTGTGTATCGGCATGATTGCACAACCACTGGGAAGTTCTTCCATCTGTGTATTTTGGGGGGCAACTCGCCTAGTAGCGGCTAGTGTACTATGTGTTACCAGAGGAAACGAACTGGGAGGTGCGGGGTCGGTGGTGGGTGGTGCTGGCCAGCCTACTTCTGGTATGCTCTGCGCATATCGTTTCTCCCATCCAGTTCACAGACATCCATACTGGGCGTGGGGTTAGCATAGTGGCTGCCTCGCGATGCTACGTCTAAATCCATAGGAGAAATCATCATAGCTTCGTAGGTGGTGATGTGGTGGAGTGGCAACGCCTCAATGCATGGTGTGCTACCATTACCTGGTGATACCGCAAAAGCCCCAACTTCCGCGTGATGCCCACCGTTGGCTTTGGGTGTGCCATTCGTGCAGTCTCCTCACTCAGCCCCTTTCAGCCGGCTGTCGGTTTCCGTTATTAGCTTTCCGCCGTCGTGGCATGGCATGCATGGACTTGTTTGCTATATCTGTCTTCAAAACACTCAATCATGCTCATATTTAAGGCCCAAAATCTAAATGGAAAGCCCTAAACGCTGAAGTACGTTTTTTTCGCAAGGTATACTCTAGTGAATACAGTGCGCTTTCAGCAGGGCACCTTAGGAAGACCACCCCTAGACCCAGTTGTGGCAAGGGCGGAAAATGTACACCTGAGTTCCTACAACATTGCTACAATGTTTTTATTTTAGTATTTTGCTATGTATTCAAATTTTCGCATTGAATGATCGAAGTGTGTAGGTTCAGAAGCGGCGTCTCGCTGCTGCACTGATAGTGCCTTACTGCTGTCCTAGGGTTCGAGACACTCATTCTGAGGGCTTATTACATTTAAAAATGGAGGGGCTTGGGGCGAAGGAAATGGAGGCATTGGCAGAGCTGCTCTGCCCAGACACTGCAGACTCGGGGGACTTGGATGGCGCATCCCCTATCCCACGGCCACAGGCGTCGAGCGGTAAATACAGAAGCAATGCTAAGCCGAACGTCAAAGTAAAAGCAAAGGTCTGCAAGCTCACATGCCAGATCTCGGGGCAAATGCCCTAGCGGCGCGGTACAAATAGCGTTGGGTGTGAGGGAGGAGGGGTTTGTCTTGTTGCTGGATCCAAAAGAGGGTCGTTATGAAGTAAGGGCCTTGGATATTTGTCAGGTGGAGTTAACATGCAGAAAGGCGTAAATTAGAATGGCTACGCTTTTAAGGGTGTATGGCTCTGTAGATTGGGCGGAAGGAAGAGTTGGACATATGGAAACTGGACGAGTTAAATCAAGGTGCCACCTTCAGGCAGCTTAAAGACCACCGCACAGAACCGGAACACGAAGTAAAAAATGCCATAGACCTTAGTAGACGCAACAAATCCTCTCGCGAAGTCATATAGGATAGCCGAGGAAATGAGGGATTAGGGCATTTGTCCATGCGAAACTTTTATTGGCACCCTGGACCGCTTCTCTGCTGTCAGAATTCTAGGGCCCCTTGCAAATCTCAGCTCTCGTATTGGGTGCTCTTATGAATCCTAGACCCTTTACCCATCAATCGTTGCTGAGGCTGTCGCGCCAGGTCTTGTTTTCTCAAAGCGTCAGTCCAGAAGATGTGTACCTAGGACTTAGCGATCGAGATCCCACCACCGACCATTGCGAAACTCTACTGGTCAAGGTACGATATCAACCTGGATTCACGAACCTTGACTCGCGTGCTCCGTGAGACAAGGAAATGAGGCGCGGTCTTTTTTGCCTCTGCCTTTTGCTGCAGATTCATCTACCAGGGGCACCCTACGCCCAAATCTCTCTAGAGGCACGCTCAAACCCTCACTCTAGAGCTTTCCACTTACTCCTCAGATCTGCGAACAAAAGACAACGTAGCCCTTCCCTATTGCATTTTAGGAATTAGGGTTTGTGCAGACACTAGAGGACCGCGTGGTGGTGGACTCTCCTCTCCACAAGCTGAATTTGGCTCTTCCGTATAGTGGTAATCACCAAACAACCTTGAATAAGGCCATGAATGGCTATCTGACCCTCTAAACACTGGATATACGAGCACGGGAAGAACGAGAAATAAGCAGCAAGCAATCGACATGGGATCGAAAAAACGCTGTCTTTTGTCGCTACAGTAAACCCCGATGAAGGAACTGCGAAATGGATGGCGAGCACGTGCACTCTCCTCCTCCGAGTAAAACATCTTACTTCCTAATCCCTAGGCATTGATGTGTTATAGCTAGCCAGAAGAACTACGAGCATGCATGATTTAGGGCGTGTGCTGGCTCTTCAGCTGCCCATCCGGCGAAAAATCGAGTATGTACAGATCTAGGCAAGCCCCCTGCCTTCAGCGCCATGTACTTGACCAGCTGGTTGGCCACTTCTCCGTGAGGCTCTATAGGCCGCTCATCAGAGGACCTGCTTCACCAAAGGTGTTGAAGGAGGCAACTGCGTGTACTTCCACTGACTGCCAGATGGATAAGTGCCTGTGTTCTGCTAGCTATCTGGAATGCCAGGTGCGTAGTAGAAGGGGTGACTAGGAACCAGCTAGTGGGCGGGTGCAGGCCGCCAGCGAGGGAAGCTAGCCAAGGAGCAAGACAGTAGAGCTAACTGCAATAACGAATAACTCGCTAGAATTCAAAGACTTGGACACAACACCAACATCAAACGAAACAGAAAGAAAAGGACTTTGTTGGCAATCCCTACGCCGTCCGCCCTGAACCCCTGAGGGTTTGACAGTCTTGGGGATTTGTTTCATGAAAGGAAAGACCTGTGCGCTTACACTTATCTAGAGCTCTCGGTACTTCGTTAAGGGGCACAACCGAAGAACTATCCATTTTCGAGCCATAGCCATATCGCCCTATTCACATACAAAGGATATTTTTCACATACAAGTGCACATGTGCGGGTCAATAGCATATGCGTTGTGGACTACTTAGGAGTGCTGTATGAATGTATGTATGAAGGCCGGTATGTATATATGTATGCATATATGTGTGTATAAAAATGTATGCATATATGTGTGTATAAAAATGTATGCATATATGTGTGCATAAATATGTATGCGTGTGCCCCATATACATATGCAGCCCTGCATATATATATATATATATACGCTTGTTAGGAGAGTACATAAAATTACAAAGTGTAGCTGCACAGAGCAACCAACACTACAAAAGAGGCGTAACGAGATAGACCACAGAATATACGCTGGCTACACAATCTCCCTCCAATTGCGATCGTTGCCAAGGTGTTGGCACTGCTGCGCCTGCAGAGGCGATGCGCTGCACGCATGGCTCGCGTCTGCAGAAGGACCATGAACAGAGCAGCTGCATTCGAATTCCAGATTCTACGGTTTGCAGAACAAACTGAACTCGCAGTTTCTGTTGCACTGGTAGAGCGGCTTTGGTAAGCCGAAGAAGAGCAGCTACCATTTCGGCTTTGTGCGTTTCTCGGCACTCGTATCTTTGCCGTTTTAGCCTACAGCGTTTTTGCATTAATATACACGGAAAGTGTAGAATGGCACGAGAAGCAAGCATGCAGTGCAGGCAGGAACTGACAGGTTGCTGCTGCTGAGGAGAGGTGGTGATGGAGGGACAAATGCAGGCAGGCAGGCAAGCGAGGAAGCTGCATTGCACATTCCTGCTCGAAAAACCACATGTCGAATGCTCGTAGCAGATCGGGCACTAAGATACAGTAAGGCAAGGACGCTTCACAGCTCTCTGCACACCAGCCGAGATTGCTGGAACGCCTCTTTATGTCAGTCCCCCCGAGACACACAAGACACTCACGTCACATGCTAAACCGTCTTCGGTGCAGCAGAAAAGCGGAAGGCAGGGAGAACACAAATAGGAACCTGGACGTGCACAGTGAGGCACTTTTAAACCTCCTCCATACGACGAGACAGAGGCGTCGGTATAAATGCAACTTGAAGCACGGAGAAGCGCTGTGGCCGGTGTATGAAATGCATGCACGGCACTTCCATAAAATCCCTTCGGCAGCAACAGCCCCTGCTGCTGCTGTTGCTGCTGCTTGCACTCGCGCGCTGTTGGCTTTGCAGCAGCTGCGGATAGTGCTTTGGCGTTGCTCAAAATACAACCCTGGCAACAGCAGTCGCTATTGCAAAGGGTGCAGTAGTAGTAGTAGTACTAGTAGTAGTAGCAGTAGTAGTAGTGGTTGTACTAGTAGTAGTTGTTGTAGCAGTAGTAGCAGTAGTAGTTGTTGCAGTAGTTGTAGTAGTAGAGGTGGTAGTCACAGGAGTGGTGGTGTCAGTGGTGGTTCCCTTTGCTGCTGCACGGGCAGGAACACTGCGTTGGCATCATGAGAGTGCAGCGAAATAAAAGCCTGCATTCGTGTGCTGCATCCATGACGCATCAGCGACAACATCGATGGCCTAGGAGCTGCAGCAGCAACTCTTTGCTCAGCGGTCTTAAGACTTCCGGGTTGAATCGAAGCTGCAAACAGCAGAAACAGGAGAAGAAGACTGCGCTTTCCACACAGGCCTGCTGCAGTTCCTCGGAAATGAGGGCGAGAGGCAGTACAAAGCAACACGAAGAGGGATAAAGGGCGAGATAAAAGATCGCGCCAGATAGAGAGAGAGGGAGGTGAAGCGAAGTGTCTTCGGTTACCTCCCGACCATGCAGCGAAAGAAAATCTAGCGCTAGCTCCTTCAGTTCGAGCAACCCTAAATGCTCGGAAGCAGCAAGCAGCTCGACGGCAGACTCGATGCAGAGGCCTCCCCGCAGCTGGCGTATGCACAGCAGCTTGAGACGGTCCACGCAAACCTAAAAGGCGTAAATTTTCAGCATCGAACATGCATGTGCCTGTCACCATGAGGGGTGTCTGCCGCCAAGCGTGGAGATATTGGCATGTTGGAGGGGAGAAGACACTCCACAAACAAAAAAATAAAGCCTGCCCGACAGAACACGAGAGACAAGCCGGGGATAAGCGAAGGCTATAACACAGATCCTCCTCAATGACGCCCCCACACACAGACACACACACACAATCACATACATACACACAGAGACACACATACATACAGACACACCCCACTCACACAGACACACCCCACACACATAGACACACACACACACAGACACACCCCACACACATAGACACACACACACACAGAGACACACACCCCACACACACAGACACACCCCACACACATAGACACACCCCACTCACACAGACACACCCCACTCACACAGACGCACCCCACACACATAGACACACACACACACACAGAGACACACACCCCACACACATAGACACACACACACACAGAGACACACACCCCACACACATAGACACACACACACCCCGCACACACATCCCACACTCACACCCCCCACATACACCTGACACACAGCCGACCACCATGAGCTGTTCACCAGCCTCGAGCAGCAAGTGCGACCCCCTTGCAGCCGCTGCGGACAGAAGGATGAGCACGACAAGATAGCAGACACAGTCGCATGCAGGAAGTGCTGTGTATAGAGTTTACGCGCTCAGCAGCCATCATCAGTTCCACGAGAACTGGCCATGAGAGGCCCCTGGGGAGGAAATCCGTGTGCAAGTATTCGAGGAGTGCTACAAACACCTGAGGCAAGAACCACATAGCCTCTTCGTTTGCACAGCAGACATGTTGGCTGTAGTTCGTGTCTCCCCTGGAGCTCCTGCTGCGCCATCCCAGGCTCTCCCTTCCTCCCCCTGTCCCCTCCTCCTGTCTCCTCCTCCTTCTCCCCGCTCCATCACTCCTCAGCTACGCTAAAGCCTTACTTCGTGTCGAATGCCTTCAATGGGAATGGGCGTAGTCGCCCTGTCTCTAGCCTCCTTAAGACCACCAAAAAACAACGCGCGGAAGTGCTCAGACCTGCACAGCAAGCGCAGCAAGCACAGCATGACAGAAGCAGTCGAACTCTGCATTTCACGGTGTGTAGACGAGAGCATTCTATGGAGCAGACGAAAGCAAGTGAACCAGCCGCGAAGAAGTCAGGCCTCAAAAAGACTCTCTCTCTCTCTCGTGACTGGCAAGGATCAAGATAGCGGCACGCGTTGGGAAATCTAACCTGCATGCGAGGAGGGTTCTCGAGGAATACACCTTTCGACCCTCCACCAAAAACACAGCGTCGGCGAGAACACCTGGCACCTGTAGAGACAGCAAGTCGCTTAGCAAAGTTGAGGGGGGTGGCGAGAGAGGGTCTGTGCATACCACAAAAGACAGCAAACACATACATACATACATACATACATGTAGGGCAAGTGCGGAGGGACGCATACGCACACACACACACACACATATACATATATGTATATATATGTATACATATATATACATATCTATATGTACATATATGTATATGATGGGCAAAAGTGCAAGGGATATGGAATTCAGACGCAGACTCGACACAAAATGATCAGAGGAAAAGCGCCTAGGTCTATGGGGCAATGCATCCTCGAAGGGAGAGGAGATCTTCTAGTGGCTAGGATTCTGTGACTGCGTGTGTTTGAGAGGAGGGATAGAAATGTGGCTGTGTCTGCGGCACAGTGGTGCCTGTGCATGAGGAGAAGGAGGCCCCCCCCCGAGGTTTATGGGGAAGGAGAGCAACAATCGCAGCAGGAGTCAGAGACTGCAGACAGCTCGCATGCATCCGTAAAATTCACCAAGAGGAAAGTGATAAAAGTCGCTCAGGACGTCACGTCCGTCATATCCTCCAAAAACAACAAAATTGTTTTTGTAAATGACGCCAACCATGGAGCTGCGGCCAGAAGGCGCTGATCGTCCCCCCACTATGCACCTCCATTCAAAAGTCTCTGCAGCTCAGTGCAACGCATGTGCATGCAGCAAAGCCGAAAGTAAAGCCCCACACTCTCGGATCTCGGCCCTAAAGGCCGCTTCCTTTTTGCCCGCTACGCAGAGGGTCAGAAGGCGTGGCAAGCCTTCATCGTGGCAGATCTCGCTCCGTACGTGGAGCCTCAACCGAGAGCCACAAAAAGCATCTAAGAACATTGCACGCCAAGTCGCAAGGCGTGCTGCAGCCCCTTCGCAGAGCAGAGCGATTTCCCTTCATTTACAAGCCCCCACTGCGCGAATCGAAGGAGGCTGCGGAGGGAGCTGCGGCAGCACAGCCCACATTCGAGCGAACCTAAATCAAGTTCATGGAAATCGCTCAGTCGCTCCTGCCCAGAATAGCCTCCGAAGGCGAAGAGTTTCCCATCTTTTGCGCATGCAGCGTGAAAGTAGCGAGCGGTAGGACCTCCGCCGTGCTTGCCGCTGTTACAACACCTGCTGCCGCCGCCGTCGCTGTTGCTGCCGCTGCTGCCCTTGCTGCCGCCGTTGCTCTTGCTGCCTCCTCCTCCCCCTGCATAGGCTGTGTATGCGCGCATGCCGGTGCAGCACGCGAGGCTTCCTGCGTAGCAGCTGCAGCAAGCCTCCCTGTGGCTGTAGCCGTCACTGCGACTGCAGCTCACGGGGGAGGAGCAGCAGCTGCAGCTGCTGCTGGCGGGGGAGCGCCCCTGCTGCAAAGGCTGCAAAGCCGCAGCTTCTGCTGCAGCTGCAGCTGCAGAAGCTGCGGCTGCCGGCTCCTCTTCCTCACCGCTGATCCTTGCCACAGCAACGCCTTCCAGAGGCTCTTGCCAGCAGCAGTGCTGACCAGGGTTGGGGGTGCTGCTTCGAGGTCCACTGTAAGTTGTTATGACTGTCCACACCTCCGTATTCAAATCGAACCTGCAATACGAATCCACAGCAGCAAGAGCGCCGCCTCCCTGACGCCCTAGATACAGAACCGTGTCAAAGACACTGCCCATTGCACACTCACGCGCAACAGCAACAACCCCCCGGTCCTAGTGCACCAACACACACTGCTCCCACACCTACCTGAACAAGTCGCTCAGCCTCTCGACTCCGTTGTAGCCACCAAAGAGAAAAAGCCCCTGCTGTACACAAAATCAAACTCGAAACCTCCACCCCGTCAGTGGTTCTCCCTGCCCTTGCATACATACATGTATAATATCTATGTAGATACATATCTATATGGATATATATTTCATGTATAAGTAGATATACATATATATATGTAGATATATGTAGATACATACATATCTATGTACATACATATATCAGTACATGTGTATATATGTATATACATGTGTAAAATATAAATGTACATACATACCTAATAAATACATTTATATTCATGTAAGTAAATGTATATATACATATAAGTATACTTATACATACATATATATATATATAAATCCAGTTTCGCGCAACCCCACCTTCCCCCGGCAGCCCCTAGTGCTTCTCTAGGGGCCTTTTCAAGACACAATTCCATTGATGAAGTACCTCGTGAGTTGCAGCTGCAGGGCAGCTTCTCCCCGAAGGTATAAGCCCCCGTTGATGCACAGGCCGCCACTCGAGGCTTTGAGGGTTGAGCTGATTCAGATCGTTTAGCCAGCTGCAGCCGTCGTAACCTCCAAAAAGCAGGATGGACCCTTTCAAGGGATTCGCCGCTGCCACATACCTGCGCATTGCAGCAGCACGCCAAACAGAAGCAGAAGGGGAATTCTCTACAAAATCAGCAGCACAAGAGAAAGGGAGGCCACCAGCCTGGAAACGGCAGGGAAAGCAGGCGGATTTTCGGACGGTTGGCAGAAAAACTGCAGCATGGTGGCAGCTTTTCCAGAGAGGGGCATTATGCCCAGTCAAAACGCATGATTTTTTCATGGGAAAAGCCATCCTCCTACGGGATTCAGACACGTGCAAGGTGTACAGACACCGCACAGAAGGCAGGAAAAACACGTGCATGCATAAAACAAGCGAGATTCCGTCGAGTATACGGTTTAAGCGTAGGGTTTACTTTTTACCCAAATCGAGGAGACGGTTTCATTCCCCAATGCGGCAGTTCGGACCATTCTTCTTTCTCTGAAGCATCGCATGCATGCATGCACAAAGATTCACAAAAACCCTCATGCCGCCTGCCCCCCCTATGCCGCAGACTCTCCCTCCCGTAAAGAGCCGTATACGCTGAGCACGCACCGAGGTCGAATGTGTGCAGGTCGTTCAGCCACTGCGATCCAGAATAACCCCCAAAAATAAACATCTTGTTTCCCAAAACTACCGCGCCGTTGCTCTCCCTAGGACTCGGTGCTCCTGCAGCCGTCACCTCTCGCCACTCGGATGTTGCTGCACACAAACATGCCACCCGCTACAGCGCAGAGCCGTAGAATCGCGCCAAGCAGAAGCCCATTTCGGCTTCAAGAAAGAAAGTCTCGTTTTTGCCCGAAGAGATTTTAGGCACGATACAGTTTCCATCCAGTTCACACCCCCTTCGGCCTTGGGGGGCTTTTAGGGGACTCTGTCTGAGAGTTACAGCTCACTAAAGTCGAATTTGAAGAGGTTTCCCAGCCGTGACAGTCCACCGTACCCGCCAAACACAAACAAGCAGTTCTTGTACACGCAAGAAGCTGCACCGCTGCGACGCTCTGGGCGTATCGTGCCCACAACCTGCAAAGCAGCAACAGCAGCACCGGTTGTTGTTGCCGAATAATAGGGTCACTAGAGCAAACACACGCACTAGTGGATGCCAAAAGAGGCGAAAAAACATGACAAACGAAAGAACCCCATGTCGGAAGCAGCAAGCACATCTGAGGCGTGCAATGAAGCGGCTGCATCGCCGAGAACGTAAGGATCGGTATACCATCCTCCGATTAAACACACACACACACAAAAACAGCCGGAAGGGTGAAGGGGGGAAAGGGGGTCAAAATCGGAAGGATAGGGGTACCGTGAAAATTCCGACACACACTAGCGCTCGACACGCAGAAACACTTTTTAGACAGCAACACCCTTCATCGTATCCTTACTTTTATGGGTTCCCATCCCCTGCTACAGCACTCATGAGCATTAGAGGGGCGAAAGCGAGCAGATGGAGGCCCCCCTGCTCCTGCATCTGTTCCTTGCTGCTGCTGCTGCTGTTTCGGCTGCTGCTTCGACCTCTGTGAGTGTCTGTACGGGAGCATATCCATCGCAAGAGAGTCTGTGGTCTCCACGTGTTGCTGCTGCTCCGGCTGCAGGCGGTTGAGCCCCCCTTGCCGTTCGTCATCTTTCGAGAGCCGCAGCTGCTGCCGCCGCTTCAGCAGCAGCTGCTGATCTTCGCTGTTTCGCATTCGGAAGGGGCTGGCGCTGCTGTAGATACAGCGCCTACTTGAATGGTCCAGGTGCTCAGGCCTGCTGCTTCGGGTGCTGAATAGACTGCTGCCGCCGTTCTTGCTTTGGTGGGAGCAAAGAGAAGATAACTTCAAATTCTGTTGCTATTTCGAGTTCTGATTCTGTTACAACGGCTGTTGCCGCTGCCGTTGCTCTTGCACGTGCTGGTGCTGGTGCTGGTTCTGCTGCACCAGTGGGCACCCTTGAAGCAAACCGAGTTCTTCCTATCTCGCTGCCTTCCTACGGATCCGGCATTTCGCTTTTAGGGATTAAAGTTCAGCGCTGAAGGCATGATGGTCAGGGTGTCACGGGGTAAATAGCTATAGGAACAGCTCTGGATGACGGTGCCGGCCCATGGATTCTTCGACACCCCAAACCCTCCTGAATCCAAACCTCGAGCAGCATGCCCTAAACCCTTGTTCCTATTCAACAAAACAAGCGAAAAGCGATGTTCGCCCGGCGTGTCTTTAAAATGCCGGGTAGCGTCCAGGCTCTAGGGTCTAGGGCTGCTGGTACACGCAGCACCCTGGCTCTCTCTTGCTCAGGGGGCTTCGCCAACAACATGCTGGTGCAGAGGCATAGGAAATAGGGGTTAGCTTGTGCATCATGTTCTTGAATTAGACCTGCATTCGTAGATAAACCCTTGAGGTAAATCCCTGAATAGCAGCACTTAGTTCCTGCAGCATGATCGCTATCGCGGGGAAATGCGAGCTCGTCAAGTTTACAGTTCCTGTGGGAGTTTCGCATTCCAATAGAAATGGAGGTATGGAATGTAGGCTTTAGGATGGTTTAGCAGTGAGAGCCACTGGCGTTCCTAGCAGTTCGGCCTCCTCCAATCGCCGCTGCAGACGGCTCTGCTGGAGTGTCTATCAACCCTAGAAACCCTATTCCCAACATCCAAGAAGTGGGGTCTTGGTGTTGCCTTTGCTCTCGAAAGCCTGATTTCTGCTGTGCCTGTATCGTAAGACAAGCAACAACCGTAGAAACTCTTAAGGTGGGTTTTGCTCAGCATATCGGGGAGAAGCCAATTGAGCCTCAGTTGAATAGCAAATCGCACATCTTTGCCTTTTTTGTTTATGATGGCGTAAAGCATCTTTATTCCCTATTCTCCTAATTATTCGTTTCTATGCTGCTTCCACAAAGCTAAAGAAGGTAGAAACAGTGCACACCCAGTGCTACATCTACCTGTGACGGTCCGGTCTATCTTGAAGCCCTCCAACCGGCAAAGGAGGCGCCCTACCTCAGATGCGCGTTAAGCGCCTAGACCTCCCTATCACGTAATTCCATTACGTCGAGCAATCCGTTTGTAAGTTCAGTTAAGAGGGACTCTAAGTATTAGCCTTCGCCCGCAGAGATTGCACGTGGCAACGCGCTTCCTTTAACGCGTGTTGGCTCACGCGTACGATGCATACAGGTTGCTTTATTCTCAACCCCAAAAAAGTTGAACTGCGCTGAAGGTTTTTCAAGTATCAAAAGCCTAACACGATAGAAAACGCTAGTCCCCTGGAACGGTGGAAAAGCCACACTCGACTAATGGCGCAGTTTATCTTGTAAGCCTAACTCTACCCGCTAAACCCATGAGCGCTCCGCTTCCTTCTACGCGACAGACAATCTGCATGCCAAATCGAGAGCGCTTGTTCAAAAAATTCATGAGTAAAGACTTTCGGTAAGGTTGCTGAAGTTACACGAGGCTCATGTTATGCTTGGAAACATCGACAATTCGTTTTCCACACATCCAACAACGGCCATTTTTGTGAGCGCTGCACAGAAAAGCCCCAAAATCCACAACCTGAACTCAGCACTCCGTCCCGCGGCTCGCGCTTACGCGATAGTTGCATTCAAGTCGGCAGATCGGAGGCATTAAGCGAACACCTAAGGCCAGTTCAATTCCAAATCTCAAACGTAAACCCAACACTCACTAAGACTCTGAATCCTTACCACGGCGCGCAGTATTTCCCCTTCATGTGAAGTCCCGTTCTGCAAACCTTGCACTTGGATCCAACAATCACAACTCTGCGAAATGCCACCAAACCGCCGACCCCGCCATAAACGTTTACCGCTCTGTAGCCTTTCCTCCTGTTAGTCCCAAGCTGCACATAGACAAGGTGCCAAAAAACTTGAAACCCCAAGCCACTCATCTCTCACTTGTCCTTTTTCGTAGTTTTTTCAATGAGTTTGTTGACGCCGACTGCACGCTTTGAGCCTGAATTGCACACAGCAACCCCGCGTGTAAGACACCGCCGCTGGGGGCCCCCACCGTCTAAATTCCGCGGCACAGCTCTTCGTGGCAAGTTTTCTTATCATCCCCGCATCATATGCTCTTACCTTCCTTAACGTCCGGCGTCACGAGTCTGGTGAGCTTTGCCTCGCATTTCTCGCATGGCATTGCGAAGGACAAATAGAGCAGCCTAAATGCCAAACCCCTGAACTCGAAAGTCGAAGCACGAAAGCTCCAGATACAGGCCACGCCAGAAGCGTACAGCAGTGGCGCCAAGCAGGCGAAGCAGTGGGGGAGGGGTGGCGAAATGCTGAAGCGTGCGTTGCTCTTGATTTCCTAGGGAGCAGAGGCAGACAAATGGTTAGCGGATCCACGCGCGCGGCTTTTCAGCGTTCGTCCCTCAAGCAGTAGCCAAAATCTTAAATGTGGTAGACTCTATGCTGTAAGGCGCTTGGCGTAAGGCGCTTTGCCTGCGGTGCATGTTCGGTCCAGGCTTCCGCTGGAGTTCCCCGTGCGCCTAAAACACAACAAAGCCTGATGACTTTCTGCCTAAAAAGGGAGAATTCGACGTCCAAAGGATCGGGTCATGAAGAAGCTTTCAACAATTCAACAAAATTTCGATGCAGGAAGAAGACTAGAGTGAGCGAGAGGGCCCCAGCGGTGGAGGCTGGTGGTGCACTCAATATTTTACCGGTGCTGCTGCTGGTTGTAGGGCCCCTCGCGACTGCCTTTTCGTGAACCCCTCTTGTGTCTTTATTTCTTTATCAAAATTGGAGGGCTTCTATATTGTCATTCGTTTGCACGGCGCGAGTCTTCGCCTTCCGAAGGGCCATTCATTGCAACGCTCCAAGTGCGTCCTCAGTTAGTAGCGGCAGCCGACACGGTGTCGTCAGAGCAGCAGCATCATCAGTGAACAGGCAACGGGAGTGACACAGCAACGGCACTAGTCTCGACGGGTCGCTTTCGAGCTCTCTCTTAGTTCCTATCCGTCGAGGCTTCGTAAAGTGGCGTGGTCGCGCTTGGTACTCCTCTGCTTCAACCTGCCCATTCTCCTCCCTCGCTTTTCCTCGCTTTCCCCTCCCTCTCTCGAGGTGTCTGTTCACCAGGTGTCGCTGTTCAAGCCCCAGCGTGAGGATGCAGCGTGGCGGAACCCGTGGAGGCGCCTCCCCAGCGGCTCGCCGTCGGGTAGAGCGTCCAGGGTTGACAGCGGAAGAGGTCGAAGAGGTTCGAGAAGCCTTCTCTCTCTTCGACACCGATGGCAGCGGCACAGTCGACCCCAAGGAACTTAAGGCTGCGATGCAATCCTTAGGCTTTGAAGCGAAGAATCCGACTGTGTATCAAATGATTGCTGAGCTGGATCGGGATGGTGGCGGGCCTGTGGACTTTGAAGAATTTCTCGATGCCATCACTGCCAAACTTGTAAGCTCATCGTGCAGATTGAAGGAGATAGGGGGCAGGGGAAGGGGGGAGGAGAAAGGCGGAGGAAGGGGATTGCTGAAGAGCGCGAGTTAGTTGCAAAGCTGCGAGTGGAACGACAGCTTTGCTCCTCAGACGGCTTTTTTTCGAAGCGAAATTTCCCAGTCTTGCCTCAAGTGGTCGCTCGCGACTGTTGATTTCTTCGCTCTCCACGGGTGTAGTTAGTAGGGTCCAAGGTATGCCGCTTTGTGCAAGAGTTTGTTTTGTTCGTGCGTGCTGCAGGGAGACAAGGAGAGTCGCGAGGGCATTCAAAAGATTTTCAATTTGTTTGACGATGACAAAACGGGGTCCATTACTCTAAAGAACCTAAAGAGGGTAGCACGTGAACTGGGGGAGAGTCTCAGCGAAGAGGAGCTGAGAGAAATGGTGGAGCGTGCAGACTCGAATGGTGACGGCGAGATATCCTTCGAGGATTTTTACGCCATCATGACGAAAAAAGCCTTTCCTTAGACTCCTGCAGGAAGCGAGCTCCCGTTAAAGGGGCTGGCACGATCAGAGTGCGAGTTGATGATTTCGTAGAACGGTCAGAGAGTGCGGCTGTTGGGTTGCACAGAACGCGGCAAATCAACCAACAGGCCACATGAAAGTATCGTGGCGACGGCTTTGGCTTTGCAGGCAGGTGCAAGCTCTTGGACGGATGAACAAAGGGCTAAGCGCCGCGGGAACGAACGGCATGCTTCGTACACCCCAAATTTCGTGCTGAAAGGGTGCACGGCTTTTGGGGGAGGGGCCGTTAGCTCTAGACTACCCCATTCCTGGGTTCGTGGGGAGTAGCGGCGCGAGGGATCATAACCTTCTTCACGAGAACACTCCTGAAGGTTTTAAATTTGTTGCGCTTCGTGTGTTGCTCTGGTGGATAGAGCGTCGCTGCTCTTGAGCAGGACGCGGATTCGCGCAGTGGCAACTAAATAGGGAAAGAATACTTTTTGCTTGGCGTGGTTGGCTGCCCCCCTCCACTTTGTACGGCTCCACTGCTGCGTGTGCGCATCGCTCACGCTGGCTAGCCACGCCTAGCTAGACGCAGACGTGGCAGTAGAGGAGGCCGGATCCTCTTTTACTACACAGAATTAGCTAAAACTAGCTGACTGCCGCGCTAGCTCGACCGTTGCGAGAACCCTAGTACTCGCGGGAGACAGCTCCACAGGAAGTTTCTCATAACGAGCTAGCTAGCTGACATGCGCTTGAAGACGCCCGCGCTAAGTCTCACTCAAAGCGGGGTAAGGCGCATCGCCTACCTAGGGCCCTATGAATGTGCAATTTAAGGGTTCCAAAATCGAGAGGCTCCCGCTTCTCCTCCCCCCAAAAAATACCGTTGGGCAAGGAAGTGGAAGGGGGGAACACCTCCACCCTCCGAAATGCCAGAGAGGCTGACTGCGTTTTTCGCTTTGGCTAGTCGGATCCGCCAGAAGCGAAAAAAAGCAATCGCGAACTTACCCTGAAGTAGAGGCGTCCATGTTGGAGGGATTCGCCGTGAAGGCTGCGAACCAGCCGCATCATGAGGGGAGCACCAAAGGTTTCAAGCTTTGAATCTAGAAATGAGCGTACAGGCTTTCTTGTGCAGTGTGTTTGTGTGTGACTGGCGGCAAACTCCCACTGCTTTCGATAGGGGCAACAGGGCGCAAAGGGGTGTGTGTGCAGTGGTGGAGAGGCACGAACTCGAGAGCTTCAAGACTTCGAAGAGCCACTTACACTCCATTCCTTCGCTGCACTGTACATGGAGGCATCTGCCGTCAGGTAATGCTGCAAAAGAACGGCTGCCAATTCTCCGAGCGCACTGTGGGCAGGCCCTGGAATTCGCAAGGCACTCAGGAAGGGGGCAATGCACTATTTGAACAGTCGTTCGATTGCACTTCGCGTCAAGCAAGACGAGACGCAAGCAAGCACGCCGTGAGTGAAGCGCTAGGAGAGCACTTACAAGCAGGTGCAGCGGCTTTCTGATGATAGAGAGAGAGAGAGAGACGGATGACGCAGAGTAAAAACGTACAGAGTGCAACAGAGGCAAACAAAGCGTGAGTTCCTTATGAAGAGCAGACGCAGCAGCTATTTAAAGTGAGCTCTTGAGAGGGTGTTAGAAATAGAGAAATAGAGAGAGAGAAAGAGCAGATATCGTGATCATTTTACGTTTCCTGCGTAATCTCGATCCACTTGCTCTTCTCGTCGGCGGCCTGTCTGTACACTGTGAGGTACTCCGCACTGCAGAGTTTTTCTTGCACTGCTGCTGCGGCTGCTGCATCCTGCTGACGCTGCAGCGTCACCTTTAAGAAGGGAGCCAACTGCTGCAGCAATAAGTCACCAGGCAGGCGAGAGAGAACAGACCGCAGAGTGAGAGACGGTGCCCCTGCATGGCGTTGCAACAACAGCAGTGCGTTTTTCAAGTAAAAGTCTGCCTCTGCCGATCCTTCTGCTGCTGGTGACGGAGATGCTGCTGCTGCTGCTGCCGCTCCCACTGCTGCGTTGGCGGCCTCTTCGCGCCAACAATCCAGTAGGACCTACAGAGAGGCGCATGCAGCGTCTATATTACAAGCTTTAGAGCCTAAATAAAACAAAAATCCATGACATGTAGGGAAACGCACATAAGTCGAAGCGCTCGGGGGATGAGGGATTCGGGGTTATATACCTTGAGCAGCAAAAGCAGTAAGTCGCAGCTTCTCTCGTGCCCTGGAAGCGCATATATATATACATATTTATTTATTTATTTATTTATTTATTTATTTAGTTGATCGCACGTCAGCTCTAGAAAGGCCTCCTGAAAATCATGGCGTCACCAGCTATTTGCATCCATGCAGAAGGTGTCGAGTGTAAATCTGAGGAACATGCTCGTTTCGAAAAAGTGTTTGCTTTTTCCTGCCCCCCATCCTACCTCCGTAGACGTGCTGCTGTTGCTGCTGCTGCTGCTGCTCCTGCTGCTGCTCCTTTCGCTTCTGCTGCTGCAGCTTCTGTGCCTGTGCGATGGGAACTTTCCAGAGCTCTCCTGTCTGCTTCATCGTCTCGTATTCTGTTTTATCCAGCTGGAGCAGCAGCGGCCGTAGCTGCTGCTCAGCAGCAGCGCAGTAGGCTTCTGCGGCTGCAACGTCTCTCTTTTTCTTCACAAAGCAAAGCAAGGCCATGCTGCGCCCAGAGCAGGTGTCAGACATTCATAAAGGCGGCTTTTTTAAAGGGGGGAAGCCTCAAGAATAGGCAGCCTCCTACCAGCCAAGCAGATCTATCAGCAAGCGTTTGCGACTCGACAAATGCTAAGCAGCAAGTGTTAATCCAAAGTCTCACTCGTGCTCCCCAGCCTTCCCATGCAGAAGAGCCCTCTCCTCGATCAAGTCAGCATTCCCCCCTATCTGCAAACGTCTCAGCAGCACCCAAGATCCACCTGCAGACAGGAAGCTTTAGCAGCATCTGCGTGGCGAGAGGGGGGAGAAGAAATTTATATATGTATATATATATATATATATATACATATATATATATACATATATATATACATTTATATATATATATATATCAAGGGCTTTGGGAGCTGTAGGCCGCCACATCGCACCTTCTTTAGGAGAACATGCACATCGTATGTGCTCTGCTGATGCAAAAATCGTCTCAGCTGCTGGCGTTCTTCTGTTGCTGCTGCTGAGGATATCGCTGCTCCCGCCATCTCTGCTCCCTCTTGGGTTTCTGCAACATCCTTTCGAGCAAGCCTCGCTGCTGCGAGAGCTGCATGTGCAGCGCGCAGACACCCACATACGCTTCTTGAGGCATCTGAGTGTCTTGGCCTTCCTCTTGCGGCGACTCAAAAGGCAGATAGTTTCTAGCACGAACCGAGGACGAGAGCAAAGCAAGCGCAAGGAGATCAACCGAAAAACACTCAAAAAAAGCCTCAATTTCCCCCCACCTCTTTCCACATAAATCGACGCCAGCTCCGTCTCAATATCTGAATTCTGAAGAAGGCCTTGCAGCAGGAGGTGCTCCAAAAACGTCTCCCGCAACTGCTGCTGCTGCTGCTGAGGCAGCTGCCGCTCCAGCAGCTGCAACACCTCTGCAGGAGGCAACGGGCAGTATCCTTCTTGCATAAACAGTTCCATCGCTGCAAGCGCACGAAGCCTCAAAAAGCTACACCACGCCCTCGCCAGAAGCAGCACAGACGCCGAGGAGACACCCAAATCGCAAAAGGAGGGGAAGACGAAGGTTGGTCTGAATTCTAAAGTCATAACATTTGACACTTGAGCATCTCTTTCTATCTCGCTCTGTCTGTCTGTCTCTATCTATCTCTCTCTCTCTCTCTCTCTCTCTCTCTCTCTCTCTCTCTTTCTCTCTCTCTCTCTCTCTCTCTCTCTCTCTCCCTCTCTCTCTCTCTTTATCTCTTTCTTTCTCTTTCTCGTCAGCTCTCTCTCTCTCTCTCAAATGTCTATATGTTCTCGGGCATGGAAGGCAGGTGACATGGGGAAGCGATTAAAACGCGCCTCACGGGGGAGGGAAGGACTGGATGGCTGGAGGGAGGGAAGGAAGGAGAAGTCTTTTAGAGTCCTTTACTCCACGACAGTTGCCTGCTTTCCGCGTGCCTTCCTTGCGAGAGTGCTTTTGCCTGTCATTCGGAGGGAAATAGAGAAAGAGAGAGGGAGTTAGAGATAGAGAGAGAAACAGAGAAAGCGAGAGAAATAGAGAGAGAGAAACAGAGAAAGCGAGAGAAATAGAGAGAGAGAGAGGGAGTTAGAGGTAGAGAGAGAGAGAGAACGAAAGAAAGTGTTCTAATAGGCTGGTAATTAGACATATATGCATATAGATATATGCACATGTATACATCTATACATATACATATATATGTATATGTATATGTGCGTGTTTTTGCGTTGGATGTGTTTTAGGTTGTAAATCGAACGGGATACGTATTGTTGCTTCGACGTCACGGCAATGGGAGTCTGCAGTCGCTTCCTCCTTTTCAGCGAGTTGTGTTGTCGCATGACTTTGGGGCCTCTCGTTTGTCGGTGGGCGTTCCGTCTTCTCAGTTTTTTATGGTGAAGGATTTTGAGATGTATGCGCGGGAGGAGCCGTCGAGCCTGCGGCGGTGTCTCGGCGCTGCCTTCGGTGCAAGCAGCGACTCAACTGCGTGGTCTGGGGAGTTTCTGCTGAGTGACATGGGGACGTATCAGATCCTCGTGGAGAGGACTGAAGTCAATCCTCTGCTGCACTACTCGCTCTCCATGGGCATAGCGCCGGCTCCCTTCTCGCGAACGACAGTCGTGGAGATTCTGCCAGCCTACGTTGTCTCGAACGAGACGTCCAAGGCTCTGTGGTTCTGCGAAGCGGGGGGGAGCCAAGAGGCTCGCTGCCACCTGCTCGAGCCAGGGAGCCTCATGGAATTCCATCCGCAAGGCAAAAAGCCCGTCTCCATTGTGCTGACGGCCGTTCCTCAGAAAGGGCTTGTTCGAAGGGATGCTCGCGCTGATCTCTCCTGGGAAACTGGCGAGCCAGAACTGCCCCCCTCCGTTTCCAAGCAGCTGACTCCGTACTTCTTGCAGCAGCAGCAAGAGATGCAACAGCCTTCGACGCAGACAACGCAGCAGTCGGTGCAGCAACAGCACAGCGAGACCTCTGAGGTGTCTGGACGTTACTTTGGAGGCGCAGAGAGCTCTCAGAGAGGCGGCAGCCGAGCCTTGCAGAGCCTCCAGCAAGTGCCGTCTCCCCTGCAGCAGCAGCAGCAGCAATATCTCGCGAAGGGAGCGCTCGTGGGAGCAGGCGAGGGGGCTGCTGTCGCCAGCCTTCCGGGAGCAGCGCAGCTGAGGTGTCCACTCTTGCAAGGCTCTCCCGGAGAGATCGAGCTGCTGTCTGCTGAGTCACAGCGTGCTGCTGCGGAAGACGCTTGCAGGGAAGCTTGCAGGAAGGGCTCGAACTGCTCAGGCTCTGGCAACACGTCGCAGACGGCGGAAGACGCTGCTGCAGGGGGGGAGGGAAAAGCAGGAGCTGTCTGGTCGGGCCCTATAGAGATTGACAGCGCGCGACTTGTGCAGGTGCGGCATCAGCACGAGACGCAGCCAGCGACGCAAACGGCAGCGGGAACGACGGGGGAGCCTCCCTCGGAGGCTTTCTGTGGACGGTCTTTGGTTTTCCGCCCCAGCGCTTCTAACGCTGTCGGCAACTGCAACAGCGGCAGCAGCAGTTCCTTCTGTCTGACAGAAGTGGAAGTCTGCTTGTACGCGGGCTCGAAATTCGTCCGTCTGAGAGAACCCTCCATCCCAGACTACGTTCTTGTCAACAAAACCTCCTTCGTCCTCTTTGTTGGGCAGCATGGAGTCTCTGCCTACGAACCTGTCCTTCCGGTTCCGCGGCAGCACCTCAAGAAAAGCTACGAATTCCTAGGAAGGTAAGGCGCAAACAAGCGTCTTTTCTTCTTACGCCCAGATCCAATGCAAGACGGTTATCTAGATATACACAGATATATATATATATATATATATATATATATATATAGAGAGAGAGAGAGAGAGAGAGAGAGAGAGAAAGAGAAAGAAAGAGAGAGAGAAAGAGCGACGATTCTAGTTCAGGATGAGGCTTCTTTTTCATTTCTTCTCTACGAGTGTATGCACATACATATACATATACACGTGTATATCTATATACTGTGTAGCTTTTTAAATATTTGTACGCATAGATGCGTACAATGATCTCTCGATATATCCACAGATGCATATCTATACGTGTCTTTGTATGGGCGAGCATATTTATACACATCTAAATATATATGTTTGGATATGTAGATATATATGAAGATATATGTTTACATGTAACTGTACACAAATATGTATATAGACATATGCTCCATGGATTTATATATATTCATGTACACTGGATATATCTTTATGTATGCATATACATATATATATATATATGTATGTATATATGTGTCCATCTACGCCTCCTGGCCGTGTGTGCAGTGATAACGTCATGCGCCCAGGTGGGAGTCTTTATTGTGGAGTAAGGAGGGGTGTGCGTATATGCATATATGTACATATATATATACATACATATATACATACATATATACATATATATATACATACATATAAATATACACATATATATACATACATATATACATATATACATACATATATACATATATATATACATATATACATATATATATACATACATCTATACATATACATATGCATATATATGTATATGTATATGTATATACATATATATATATATATGCATATACATATACATATACATACATATATACATATATACGTATATACATATATACATATATATATATATACATACATATATACATACATATATATATACATATATACATACATATATACATACATATATACATATACATATACATATATATATATATATATATATATATGCATACATACATACATATACATATACATACATATCTACGGGGCTTACTTAGCCATTTGTCCTTAGGCGGGATTTAATTTGGGGGTGTTTTGGTGTGTATTTTGAGTGTGTAGCGTTGTGTTGGTAGAGAGGAGGTGAGTGTTTGCGTGGTCTGGTATTATTGGGTGCCTCCCTTGTGGGTGCAGGTATGGTCTGCCGTTTGCCTTTTACGATCCGACGAAAGAGAAGAAACTGGAGGTGTGGCGGATGTCGTCGGGGGGCCCCCCTCCCTCTGGCCATAGGCTGTCTGGGAGACTCTCTCATTTGCAGTCGCGACTGCGAAGCGGGAGTCGACACGGGATGCCCTCTAAGGTTCTGAAGTCGGGGAGCATGCTCCACGGAGGCGCTTCGGGGTGGGGTGCTAGCCAGACTTGCTTGGCTGGCGTGCAGGGAGTGTCGCACGGGGGGGGGTACAACCCCCCCCCCCCCTGCGAGCTCCCCCGGCGAATCGCTTAGGAGCCTCTGCGGGGGTGGGGCAGGAGGCGAGCTGCAGAGTAGACGCCGCCACGATGCGGCGCATTCGGCGGGAGTACGCGGAGACTATCAGTCTCAAGACTTCTCAAGGGCAGCCAGGCTTGATCCGCTTGGTGCTGCAGAGCAGCGCGGGGGGCCCCCTTCCTGGGGGGCCCCCCGCCTCGCCAGTTGAGCGCGTGGTCGTCTGCGTGCGGCGTCCGATCGTCAAGGGAAGCACCTACTTGGTATTCTTCGAGGCGAGTCGCGCGGCTCCAGAGGCAGCCGAACCGCCCCCCCTAGCGACTGCAGCCGCGCCAGCGAGAGCAACGGCGTGTGCGGTGACAAGGGGAGTCTTGCACGAAGGCTTGCAGCCGTTGGACAGACACAGGCCGCCTCTGCCCTGCCGCGCTCCCTTGCCGTCAGACTGTGCAGTGTCTGCCGTGCCGCAACAAGGCGAAAGGCAGCGACTTGCTGATGCGAGTCTTGGGCAGTCCAGTCCCCGCCAGACAGCGGCTTCTCGTTCGCGCCCCCTCTCCCCCCCCGCGTTGCTGTCTGCGAGAGCTGACGCCGTCTCTGGGCTTGCTGGCGCCTCGGCGCTAGCTGCGGCACCTTCTTCTCTGCCTCCTGGACTGCTCTCCTCTGCTTCGGGAGCAGGAGGGGTAGGAGGAATAGGGGTGCGAGGAATAGGGGTGGGAGGAACAGGAGTAGGAGCAGGAGTAGGAGCAGGATTAGGAGCAGGAGCAGGAGGTGCCCCCTTCCTGCATTGCAGCAGCAGCAACGCCTTTGGAGGACTGCGCCGTGGAATTCCTGGGGGGGGCACTTCTGTGGTGTCTGGAGATGCTTGTAAAGGGCAGATGGTGTCTGCATCTCCTGGCTTGTTCCCGTCGGGGGGGGGGGGGTCGCCTGCTCCCTCGCCAGAGGCGTTAGGGAGGAGTCGGGGGATGCCTGGGAGTGCCTTGGAGCAGGGAACGCTCGCCGTCGACGAGCGCTTGCGCTTGCAGAGACGCGCGCCTCCGGAGCAGCTCGCCTTGGGGGGAGGGGGGGCCCTCTTGCAGCGTCGCACCAAGAGGGGACGGCTGAACGACAGCTTCCGAGAGCTACTGGAGAGGAGGGGTGGACAGAGCAATGCTGCGGGCGAAAGCGACGAGGAGGAGGAGAGCGAGCACCCCCCCTTGTACAGCCAGGATCTCAGTGTGAACCTCGTCCTCGTGGGAGCTGGCTTGTCGCTGATCGACAGCAAACCCGCGGAGATTCTCTACGCCTCCGTGGAGCTGCTGCAGCTCTCCTTCAAGTCTACGCAGGAGGGGGAGAAGCTGCGGCTCAGCGTCGGATGGGTTCAGGTGGATAATCATGCTCCCATGGCGTATTATCCGACCATGCTCCGTCCCATTACAGACGCCCGCGCAGCAGACGTCAGTTCGAAGGGTGTTTTCTCGAAAGACGCTGCTTCTCAGCACCGTCAGCAGCAGCACCAACACCGTCAGCAGCAACATCAGCACCGTCAGCAGCAGCAGCAGCACCATCAGCAACATCATCAACACGGTCAGCAACACCAGCAACACCACCAGCATCAGCGCAGACTTTCGCTCCCGGAAAGTGCAGCAGCAGCAGCGGCGATGACGACGGCTCCTCAGCGTCCTTCCCTCCACAGCCAGCCGCGTGGCGAGGCTGTGGAGGGAAGGACGCCTCGCTCGTGGTATGGGAGCTCTATGAGGCATCGCAGAGTGAATTTCAAGTCTCCCCATATCCGTCGAGGGGGTGGTGTCGATGGAGGCGAAGCCGCAAGCTCCGCTGAAGATCCTGAGGAGCAAAGCGCTGCCGAGGGGGAGGAGATTCGGCGTCGGAGGGCGTCGCGTTCGGGCGTCTCCTCCAGAGACAAGCAAAAACAAGGCCCCTTCGCTTGCTTTCCCGCCGTGCAGGAGGCTGACGCAGCGCTGGGATTGCATTCGGAGGATGCAGCGGAAGGCTTGAAACTACTGGAGGAAGAAAACGCCGTGGGGCAGCTAATTCTGGAAAGAAGAAACACCGTTGACGGGAGGGGCCTTACGGTGATTCCACAATGCGTGTTGCGCTTAGCGCCGCTCTCCGTCAACATGGATTTCCAGCTGGCGTTCTCCCTTCTCCTCTTGTTAGACGATCTCTTGAGGACGGTCGACCTTGATCTCCTGCAACAAAGCGTGAAAGACGTTCGAACTTCCGAGACAGAACCGCACAGTCCGAGTTGGAGAGCAATGTTGGGTGTGTCTTTTCTTCAAGGGAGGCTTGAGAAAGAGAGGGAGAGAGAGGCAGACAGAGAGGGAGAGGGAGAGAGAGAGGGAGAGAGTCAGAGAGAGAGGGAGAGAGAGAAAAGGCTGGGAAGAAGGGGGGGACAGCCGAGGCGGGCTTAAAGGCTACCTGTAGTTCATGCAGTGCATGCATGGGAGGAAGGGAGGAAAGAAAGAAAGAATGCAGCCTTTGAGATAGGCCGCTTGCCGCGTGTATGCATGCGCGTTCTTTGGGCTTGCGCAGAGAGCGGGGCATGTATTATAGATATACAAATATAGATACATACACATATGCATATGTATATACATATATCATTGATCTGTGTGTACCGAGAAGGCGAGCTGGCACTGGCAGAAAATCTCGTGGAGATGTTTTTGCCGTGGTCTTCGGGATGCAGAGAGAGGGAGGGAGAAAGAGAGATAGAGAAACAGCGAGAGAGGGCATGAAAGTTGTGTCTGTTACGGCGGAGGGGGGGAGAAGGGGAGTGCGCGGGGTGGGGGAGCCGGGGTGTCTTAGGGGGGTTGGTGGACAGAGGTGATGGAGAGGCGCGCGAAAAGCGACCTGACAAGGAGACTTGTCTGCTTCCTAATGACGGCTTTTGCCTGCGTCTTGCAAGGCTTCAGTTAGTGCTGTCTTCGCATGTGGAGACTGCGCAGGGCCGGTGGAGGGGGCGATGGCGGAGTCGATGCGGGGGAGTGGAGACAGCGTAGGAAAGGTGTACCTCGGCGTTCTTGACGTTGGACGTGTGATGCTTGTCATCAACATCCGCAACAAGCGACAAGGAACCGATGAAGAGGAGCAGCCCCACAGCGAGCTGATTCGAGGCGTTCTTGCGATCATGAAATCCAGTCCCTACATCAGCGACGCGAATTTGGTGTTTGCATCCGAGGTTCACCAGAATCTGTGTGGACCCCTTGTGAGTCTCGTCTCGGATATCCTGCAAAAATACATCGGGCAGGCTATCAAGCAGATCTTTCAGCTCTTGGGAGCTGTCGATCTTCTCGGAAATCCCGTCATCATGTGCAAGCATTGGAAGTCAGGGGCCCGAGGATGTTTCTACGTGAGAAAAGCTCTGCGAGGGGGGTGGAGCAGATAGACGTCTGTGTGGAGGGAACAGTAGAAGCAGCGGCGTCTTAAACGGGGTGCCTACTGCTGCCGCTTCGAGAACGTGTGGTACATAAATGTACATAAATGTATATATGTGTATGTAAATGTATAGATGTGTATGTAAATGTATATATGTGTATGTAAATGTATATATGTGTATATAAATGTATATATGTGTACATATATGTATAAATATGTACATATATGTATAAATATGTATAAATATGTATATATATATATATATATATATATATATATATATTTATGGCGTTGTAGGGGGATAGGGTGTAGTCGGTATCCCACAGGATCGCGGCGGTCTGATCTTCTCCTTCTTCTTGTGCCTTTTATGTGTATGTCTGTTGATGCGTGTGTTTTTGTTTGCGTGTGTTTGCTTGCTTGCCTTGCTGTACCTTGCCGTGCAGGAGTTTCGCCGAGGCTTGGCCTTGTGGGGCACTCCTGGATTCGCCTTTATCTCCTTCGGAAGGGGATTTGCTCGCTGTGGTGCTGCCTTTGTGGCGGGGGTTTTAGACTCCTCTGGACGTTTTTTCGGCTCTTGGTTCCAGTGCTTTGAGGCATTTGCGAGGAATTCGGATGCCTATTCGGTAATGCAGGATGTGAGAGGGCAAGGCGGCGTCACTGACCAGCCAGGAAGCATTGCGGAGGGTCTTATGTAAGTCTGAGAGCTTTTGCACGAAAGGAGAGGCGTCGTTTGATATCCTCGATGCGCTGGGGGAGGTGCTCTCTGGGAAGGAGGCGCCGCGCGGCAGACAGAAAGCAAGGAGGAGGGAGCGAGACAGGGAAGGGGGGAGAAAAGGAGGGGTACAGTGGCTAGGAGGGAGCGAGACAGGGAAGGGGGGAGAAAAGTCTCTGGCACTGCGCATGCTCGTTTGTTTGTTTGTTGCTTTCGCGCTCTGCTTCCCCCCCTCCCCATCCTTTTACCCCTTCCTTACGGCTGCAGCACCTAGAGGCTCTTTCTGAGAAGAGTAGTCGTGCATGCGTGCACGCATGCACGCACGCACGACTACCGGTGCTGCTGCTCGTTTGTTTGATGCTTCTGTCTCCTTTTTGCCGCCTGGCGAGGCCACCTCTCTGGAGGCTTTTTTGAGGCTATTCAGCTGCTCGCATGTCTGATCCTTTTCAGGGGGCTGAGGGCGGGAAAGAGGGAGGCAAGGAGGCAGGGAAGGGTGTCACTGTTGCTGCCAGCGGCTTGCGATCCGCCGAAGAAGGTCGTCTGCTCTGCAGTGCGCCGACCGACGTCTCACTGGCGTGTGTGTTGCGTGTGTTGCCGGGGGGTTCCCTGCTCGCTGGTGTCGCAGATCTGGAGGCAAAGGCTTCGCCTTCACCTTCGCCTTGTCTCTTGCCAACTTTTGCGGCAAACCCTTCAAGGCAACGCAGCTGCATTTGCTTCAGCAAGCAGCAAACAGCCGTTCGGAGAAATTTCTTGCAGGGGCAAAAGGGCTTGCAATTGGCAGTGCCTCTGCCCTTGGCTCTCTGTGCTTTGGCGTTCCCTCTTCTCTTCTCCTGCTGCTCTCCTCCTCCTGCGTCGGCGCTCTCAATCAAATACAAGCCGTTCCGATGCTCGATTCCGTGAGCGTTCGCTTCACGTGCACGCGTCTGTTGCATGCGGTCGGTGGTGGTAGTCGCGGTGGTTCCGCTGCTGCTGCTACTTGGAGGCAATGCGTGCCCGTTGGAGCGCTTTTCTGCGGCTGCTGCTGGGACGCGCGTGCATGCATGCGTCTTTTTAAATTCGTTAATCTTTATGTATATTTATTTGCATGTGTACACATTCGCGCACACTTGTTTGCTCGTATCCATGTATGTCTATTTGAGGCGCCGCGAGTTGAGTAGGCCTTTTCCCCCTTGGCAGGCAGGTTCTTCCTCGTGCTTTTTCAAGCGCGGCAGATCTCCGAGACGCGTGTGCCTTTCCCGCGCCATCCGCCCACCCATCCATACATGTCTGTCGCTCTCCGTCGCTCTCCGTCTCGCCTCCTTGTTCCTCAGGTACGCCCTCGCCGCGTCTTCTGCATCGGCAGCTGGCGTCCAGAGAGCTACAGTTTCTCTCTGGCTACGGCGCAAAGCACAGTGCCTCGTGCCGCCCGCAGTCCGCCCCCGCAGCTTGTCTTTGCCATCCCCGTCTATCGGCAGCGCGGGGAGGGAGAGGCACGGCTGGCAAGCGAAGAGCGCGTGCAGCGTCTCGAGCAGCGGCTGCAGAAGCTGAGTCGCGTGCAGCACCACTCCCGACGTCGAAAGCCTCAAACTTGCTTGGCTGTTGGTCTGAGAAGGCTTGGGCTGCTCGAAGGCAAGCGCGTCATCTGGAGCTGCTTCAGGGGGGATGTGGCTCAAATTCAGATCGTGCAGACGTTTTCCGGGGAGCCTAACAACCCCACCACCAACTCGGCCTTCTTCCTCACCATTCTGCACTTTCGAGCGGCTGGCAAGCCGCCTCCCGATGAAGGTCTCTGCAGACACGTCAAGGAAGGCTTTAAACACAGAGCAGATCTCGTAGGCTCCTGTCGCCGACTTGCTTTGGTGCCGTTGGCAGCTGTTTTTTGTGTCGAAGAGTCGCGTTTGGTGCAGTCGGTCGTCCTAAAGCAGCTTGAGAGGAAGCCGAAAAAGGGCTCAAGCGCTGTCGCGGCTCTTGCTGCTGCCGAGCAGTCCCCTAATTAATGCGCCTCTCGAACAGTTGGTGGGGAGGGTAGGGAGGGAGGGTGCTTTTCTCTGATATTGCTTTCCTCTGATATTGCTTTCTTGTGAGCGTCTGCTGCCCCCGCCTTGTCGCAATTTAGGGAGATTCGACGGCACAGACCAAGGCGGCAAACAGCACGATCTCCGGCAGCAGCTACAGCAGCAGCAGCAGCAGCAGGAGCAGCAGCACGAGCAGCAGCAGCACCTACTCAGACGAGGACGAAGACACAGACGCCCTCGAGTTTGATTACTCGGAGACGTCGGAAGAAGCCTCCGAAATCTTCGAGGGGCCTCTCTTCAAGGCGCCTTCCTCCAAGGAGCAGAAAGGCGCAGCTCCTCGAGACGCCCCTCCTGCGCCGTCAGCGAGAGGCAAGGGGAACGGCCCACTCTTCAGCAGCACGCGCTACAGCAGCATTCTAAGAAAGGAGGCTGTCGAGCAACACACCCCTCTGCGCTCAAGGAGAGACGCCACGCTGCCTGCCTTTCAGCAGCAAACTCCTCAGACAGCAGCAGAGCACGCCGAAGCCGCAGACAGTCCAACTCAGCAGATGCGGCAACGGCAGCAACAGAAAATACAGCAACGGCAGCAACAGCAGATGCAGCAACGGCAGCAACAAGAACCCAACCGTGGACCCCTGCAGGTGCTCAAGAAGGCGAAAGTAGGGAAGTGGCTTTTAGGACGGCGCATGCCTTTAGAGACAGATCCACTAAAGCAAACATTCGTCTGCAGATGGGTAGAGTTCTCTTCGAAGGCGGCAGCGCTGCACGCTTTCGACCTCTTATCGCAGCTTCTCGATAGCCCCCCTGGGCAGGGACTGGCGGACGTGAGTCTCTACCCGCTTCTGTAATAAAAGGAGCATGCGGCACTTGCTAGCTAGCCAGCAGTCAGCTAGCGAGTTCAGAGGCTCGTTGGCACCAGGTGCCCGCTACTACCCGTCTGCTGGCTCCTTGTTCGCTAGCGAGCGACAGGAAAAAGGGTCGTGGCTTGCGCAACCGCATCGACCACTGCGCGCCTACTACGCTGTTTGCTGCCGCTTTCGCCGCTAGCTGCTACAGCCGTACAGCAGTCACGTTGTGGCCCCTTTCTAAAGCCTCCTCCTGTTAGGGGCGGAGGAGGTCGGAGCTCTAGCTGCCCGTTCAGCCCATCGCTTCCTTTTTTTCTCTGGGTTATAAATGGCTCGGAGCCTTCGGTTACTGCTCGAGTCTCCCCTTTTCTGCGATTACTTCAATGCCTCACACTGTAACGGCTCCTCTACGCTCTGCATTCTGCAGAGGCGGCACCAGGGGGCAGGGGGGAGTGGGGAACCCAAGTTTCAGGATACACGCTGCGCTTGCACAGACAAGGCCCTAACTGCACAGGCGTCGGATAGGCTTCACACGACGCACACGAGGGTGTGGCACAATCGCGATATCCGTGAAAAGGGAGCCTCGAGGGGGCATGGGTGCACAGGTTACCCTACGTGTAGACATCCCCTTAGCAATTAAAGGCCTTCCTAAGTCGCATGCGTCGGGATTCAACGTTCGCAGTGTTATTCAGTGGGAAAGGGGGAAGGCGGCGAATGAGCGGGGGGTTCCTGCGGTCGTTGCTGCCCCTAAGAGCTGCTTCTTACACAAATGCGTGTACTCGCCAATCCAGCGAGAACACAAAGCAAAAAAACATTTGTTCGTCGACCCAAAGTATTTATTGTCCTTAGAAGCATCTCCGTTCAACAGCTTTCCTCGCCAGGTGTTCAATGCGCCGAAGTCTTGGGGGGGGGGGGGGCCCCATTCGTTCCCGACGCGTCGAGAGCTTCAGAGGCTCTCGACGCGTTTTTTCTCTCGAGCGCTATATATCTATCTATCAAAGAAGCAATACCTACTTTTTTGCATGTAATTGACCCTTTTCGACTTGATCTCTGTTATTATCCTTCCCTCCACCGGAGGCAGGTGCAGGTCTGGGGGGCCCCATGGGGCCCCTTGTCGACCCTTGGCGCATAGCCGTTTCCACCCTGCAAACTCGGCAGGCGGGCTTTTTGAAGCTAGAGCTTCCCCCCCGTCCATTGTGCGCTGCTGTGGCTCTTCTTGAACCAAGGAGGGCCGGAAAGGAAGGGAGAAGGCGAGAGTAGCTGCTGCACCACCCAAGGAGAAGCGTGTCGATGCTCCTCCCGCCCCCCTTCCTCGCCTTCTTTGAAATGATGGCTTTCGGAGGAATGCGAATCCAGCCAAGGCGGGCTAGCTGTGCCTTTGCCGTCGGCTCCACGCCGCTGGTAATTCGACTGCGCACACGCCTCCAGACGGCAGTCCCCTTGCCCGCTGTATCGTCAGCAGCAGAGTGCCTCGCATGCACTTCCTGCCAAGTGTGCTTGCGCGTGGCTGTTGCGCGCGTTGCTGCCGCCTCTTCTCCGCCGCCGATCTCCGGAATTTCAAGAAGAAGAAGGTATTCCCTGCAAAGGCCTCCCCCAGAAAGCAGAAAGCCTCCTTCTTTGGCTGTTGCCACCAGGTGCTTGCACGCATGCAAAAGCGCGCCGCTAAATACACGCATGCGTTCTGGGGGGGATGTGCTGCCCTCGCGGCTGACCGTCCCTCCAGCCTTCGTTCTTCCCCAAGATCTCCCCATCAAGCAACAAGGCAAGAAAGAGGCCACCCCGCCGCAGCGCCTCAACAGATGATGAGTGGCAGCTTTCATAATCACTATTTTCAGAAGCAGCAGTGCCACGAGGGGGTCTTTCTCTCTCTAGCTGTGTGTGTGGTTGTATGTGTGTTTGTATGTGTTTGTATGTGTGTTTGTATGTGTGTTTGTATGTGTGTGTGTTTGTATGTGTGTGTATGTGTGTTTGTATGTGTGTGTGTGTGTATGCATGCTGCTACGACGTGGCTGGGTGCTGTGTTGGCTGTGCTGCAGTCCACCTTCTGCTTTCGAGGGAGTGGAGCTCCCCCGCGTACAGCAACGCCCTCTTGGCTGTAGCGAAGCGTAAGTTGTGTCTTTGGGCAAAGGAAGAAGAGGGGGTAGGCAGGTAGACGCAGTCGACCTCGCAAATCTGAGGGTGTGGCTGCCAGCACTCCTGGAGAGTCTCTAAGAAGAAGGAGGGGCCCCTTTCTTTGCTCAGGTGTGGCAAGTGCGACGATTTGGTCGCTGTGCATGCAGGAGGTGAAGAGATGGACGGGAAGGACTTACTGCGCTTTTGCCGGCTCATAGGAGCCAGACGCATGCGGCGTGCAGCAGTGGAAACAGCAGCCGCTCGCTTCCCCGCGACGGCGACAGCTACCCCACATGAAGCAGCGTCGTCCTTACAGCGGAGCCTAGAAGCTGCTGGCGGCATTTGCGCGGAGCAGCAGCAGCAGCTGCAGCAGCAGCAGCAGCAGCAGCAGCAGCAGCAGCAGCTTTCAATGTCTGCTTGCTGCACGAGCAGCAGTGCAGCAGCGGAGGAAGCCGCCGCTGAGCAGGCAGCGCTAGCCGAACTTATGCCGCGTGTGGCGTATCAGGTATATTTTTGACTCGTGCGCCTTCACAGGGGCCCGTTAAGCCTCAGCGACTCAAGCGTTTTCTTTCCTGCATGCGTGGGTGTCTCTGCTCTTGCTCAGTGGCTGCCTTTTCACGGAGTCGGCCCCCTATATGTATATGTATATGGATAGGCGTCTTTTCTCTTGAGCGTCGTTACATGGGGGCTTTCTTGGGATGGTGTGCATCTGTCTTTGGCATCACTGCAGGTGTCATCCTTGCCTCTGCGAGGGATCTTGGAAGTCTTACAAACAACGCAAAGCGATAGCCGCATGCTCGCCGCAGTTGTGCTTGCGCTGCGGGGGGGGAGCTCGGCTGCTGCAGCAGCCCCTCAAGACTTTGTTGCTTGCGCCAAGGCGCTGGCAGCTGCTGGCATTGGCGATCATCAGGCCTTCGGTAAGCCTTCGTTTGCGGTGTACAAGCGCGTGAAGAAGGGCTAAAAACGCCGTCCAAAAGTGCTGTCTCCATGGCAGCACAGGAGGCAGCAGCAGCGGCTTGAGCTGCTGCGTGGCTGAAACGCCGCCTTTGTCGTGCATTTGTGTCTGCAGAGGCACTCGACAAGCGATGTGCCGAGGCTTTCAGCCTGTGGCATCCCGGAGATGTGGGCACTCTCGTCGCTGCCGCAGCAGACATGGGTATAGCGCTGCCGAAGACACTGCAGCAAATCGCTGCGCATGCACAGTCTGTCACGACCAGTGAGTAGTAGGCCCCATGCTTTTTCGCGTCTCTCGCTCGCTGCTGTTGCGGTGCCGCCATACGCTTCGATTTTTTCTGCGTTTGCCTTTTTGGAGGTTTTCGGATTTCCAAAGACGCCAGGGAGTGCAAGTGGCTGTTACTTCTTTACACGAGCAGCAAGATGTTTTTCTTTGAGGGGGTGTTGAGTGGGAAGGGGGGGTTGTGGGGTGGAGTGGGTATGTGGGGGGGGGGCGGGGCGATCGGAGAAGCGCTATAGCAACCAAGCACCATCGAGGCATGTGCGCGGCATCGGTTACTGTACTTACTTGAGGGCCCTCATCAAGTGTCTCTACACTGCGGTCTCTCTTTTCGACTGCACCTGCTGCTGCTGCTGCAGGAGCTTCTCTCGGAGACATCGCGTTGCTGGTCATGGCGTGTTTCCGCCTGCAGCGCGTGCCGCATGCCCTCCGCTGTGGAGTTGCCATGCGACTGCATGCATCCGCAGACGATCTGCACCAGCAGGCTCAGCAGCAGCAGTACCTCCAGCAGACGCGGGAGCAGCTACACAAGGAAGTTGCTGCGCTGCCTGCCTCTGCTGCCGCCGACCTCTTGACTGCAGCGGCAGTTCTCAAACTGGGAATCCCGCCGGAGACTCTGGTGCGTGGCGAGGTCGCTGCATTTCCCCTGTTAGCACTGCGCCTTGAGAGCCGCTGTGGAAGCCATTCTGAGGAAAAGTCGCTGCTTCTGCTGCTGCGAGAAGGGCTCTACAGATAGCGGGAACGAATGGGGGTGCAGTTGGTACCTCTGTTAGCGTCACTGTTACGAGAGCGGTGGTCTAGGCACGCTGCACAGCTCACTGAGTGCTGCTGCCTCTCCGGTTTGATCGCGTGGTGCTCTCACTTGCCGCAGCGCCTTCTCCTGCTGCGATCTTCTCCCCACCGCCTCGAGCTTCCATGCCTGGCTCGGCTGCTAGGGGCCCTCTATCTTCAGGCGGCGCAGAAGCTCCCCGTCCCTCTGACTTTCTGGATGCTTGCGGCTGGTCGTGTCTTGGACCTTACTGGCTCCGTTGCCTTGCAGTTGCTGCACGAGTGGCACCGGCGGCAGCGCGGGGGGAGGAGAAGACTCCCTCCTGCCCCGGCAGCAGAGCCCACACCTCAACCCCCAGCAGTGCACCCCGCCAGCTGCTGCACTCTGCTGCACGCATTCGCTGCTGCCGAAGCAACAACAGCGACTGCCACAGGGGACGGCGGACTGGCAGCTCCTCTGACTGCTGTGCGGCAAGCTCTCCAAATGATATATGTGCTGCAAGAGAAGCAGCAGCAAGTCTGCCCGCAATCGCTTAAGGATTTCCTCAAGGCTCAGCAGCACTCCGCAGTCTCTCGGGGGATTTACTGGGGAAAGGCGCCAGTCGGTGCTCTCGTCTTCGGGGGGGTGGAAGGAGAAGAAGCAGCTGCAAGCTCACCAGCAGCAACAGACGCTGCTGCTCCCGCTGCTGCTGCTTGGGCTCCCCCTGATCGTGCACTTGGCACTTCCTCCAGGGCAGCCACCGATCCAGAAGTCTCTCTCGAGGCTCTCCTTGAAAAGCTTCTGGAAATGCGCAACGCCCTGCTGCACGCTGCTGCCAGTGAGACCGTAGCAGCGGCAGCGCTTGCAGGAAAAGCAGCAACGCCAGCGACAGCCGCAAGCCCTCTCCTGTCCACCTCTGCAGATCTCTGGCGCCGTTCCGCCAACGCAGAGACGCTGCTTGAAGTACTCAAAAAGCTGCAGCCCTCCTCGCAGACACAGCAGCACCATCCCCCGAACTTCTCGCTGCGCCAGCTCCTTGCCATTGTCTACGCTGTGGTCGGTGACAGCCGGTCCTTCTCTTTCTTGCCTCTCCCAATTCGGTAGAATCCTTGAACCGGATGCGCAAGCCCCCGCGTGCCTCATTTTGGTGCCTTTGCTTGCACACACGCGTAGCCGCTCAGCGCAGACGCCTGTTCTGCTTGATGCATGCAGGGCGTCTCTCCGCTGCTTGCACCTCTGCCAGAAGCATTCCCTTGCTCGCCTTTCTTTCGGTGTGTAGAAGAAGAAGCAGCCGCAGCAACGGCAACTGCAACGGCCGAAGCGGCATATCTTCAGGACGCGATTCTTAAGGCCATTGCGCAGGAGCTGGTGCAGCAGCTACAGCAGCAGCAAGTGCCGCCTCCGCGGAACGTCTCTGAGGCTTTACAGCACAGTGTACGACCTTTGCTGAGCACGCCGCTGCTGCTGCTTTCGCCAGGGGCTCCACTGAGACTGCTGCCGCTTTTGCCTCCGAGGCATGGAAATGTATACATATCCATATGTATGTGTGTACATTTACGTGTGTGTATACGTCCGTGTATGTGCGTCGATCCGCCTAGGTTGTTAGCAGTTACTGCGAGAGGATGTTTTCCATACCTCTACCCTCTGCTGGGGTAGGCCCCTCCCGGATTGAAGCTGAAGGCTCCTGCAGTCCACCTTTGGGGGGGCCCCCTGTCCTCCAGCTCAGAGGGGCAGTGGCTGAACGCGAGCTGTTTGCGGCATTGATGGAGCAGGGAGCAGACTTCCTCGTGAGTGTGCAGCCTGTGGAGTCGACGGCGTGCAGTGTATGAGAGACAGCGCACAGAAAGAGGAGAGCATGACTCCGGGAGAGCGGAATGCATGCAAGTACCTCCTTAATGATGCGACCGTCTGTACGTGTGGCCTTGCTGCGATTGAGACTCGTTTCAGGTCGGTTCCACTCTTACTCCCGCTGTCTCCGCAGCCGCAGTCGAGCCAGCGCGCAACACGGCATACTGCTACCTGCCGCCCTCCTCTTTGCACAGTTCAGAGAGGCAAGGCGAGCCAGACACTGACGTAGAATTCGAAGGAATCAGGGAGGAAGCTGGAAGGGGCATTCTAGAGGCTGACACCCTGCCCCTCTCGTGCACTTCAGAAATGCACAAGCTCAGTGTAGAAAGAGACAGCAGCGGCCTCTTGTGGGTTGGGGGCATGTGTGCGCTGCACCAAGACACTGCAGCGGCCCTTAGATCCTTGCAGTGGGGGGGTTGGAAGATTGTCTTACTCCCCCACCGTCTGTGGGAGGGGCCCCCACGGCATGTGCGGATAGAGGCCATATGCAGGGCACGCCAGACTGTCCTCATGGAAGGATGCCACTAGAATTCGCAGGCAGAGCTCCCTGAGGGCAGCAGCTTGCCTATCTGAGTAGGGTATCAGGCAGCTTCGAGGCACTTTATTCCTTCAGCGCCGGATGGCTAGAGGAGGCAGCAGTCAATGTTATTTCGACAAATTGGAGTAAGAGGAACGCGGGAGTGAGAGGGGGCAATAGCGGTCTTGGGGCAGTTAGCTACCACCACATGCATGCGAATGTCGGTAACAACTAAGGCTACTGAGCAACTTGCGCATAGAAGACATCTACAGGGACGCTTTCTAAGGAGCCTGTAGCTTGTTGCGTTGGGGCGGCATGAGAGGCCAGGGGATAGGTATCCCATAAGGTTGGTACAGTTAAGGACTTTTGAATGCTCACTCTGGGTGTTCGCGATTCTCCAAAGCTGGGGGATGGCGGGGACCTCCAAGAACGATACGATGCGCCACTTTGCGCGTACGATGTGCTGAATATCGTATACACGTCTTCAGCTCCTCAGAAACAGCGGCCGCCCGCAAGCCCCCCCATCGCACTCTCTCCGTATGTAGAGTGCGAGTCTAGGGCAAAGCCCCTTGAGGTCCAGCAAGGGCCGAGAATCACCAAAATGTGCAAACTTAACTAACTGGCATTTGAGCGGCTCCGTGATGAGAGATTCGATTCCAAGTCCCTTTAGAAACCAACAGTAAGGTCGAGGCGCTTTCATAGGGCGTGCTCTACTCGATTGTGTAAGCGCGGGCGGTTTCTTGTGTAGGGGAAGCAAGGATAGCCAGGATGTACGTATCAGAATGCTACTGACTGGGAAGGAATTCGTTGTCAGGAGCTTAGCGGGGGGCCCTAAACATGTTTTCTCTGTGCTTATCAAAATCTGTCAGCACGAACGATAGGGTGTGCACGCAGCTGACGCATGCGCAGCTCCTGTGCTACAGCTGAATATGCTGTAGAGTCATTTATTGCTAGCTGTCTAAGCGGATTACCGATTGTTACGTCAACCGTGTCAACACACAATCCATAATATTAATGGGACGCGTCGGGAGGTCGCTTGCACGCAATATTCGCTGTGTCTCCCGCTCCGCCCTCAGGATGTACGTGCAGCGCGTTTTCTGATTTACTTTCAATGCCTGAACTGTCATCCCTATAACACTTTTACCGAACGCCCTGCGTACACTCAGGAAGTTAAATCACCCTCCAAGCGATCGCGCGCTTAAGGCAGAAGTTACTGCTTTACATGTTTTAGAAAAAGGTGAAACTAATTGAGAGCTGGGGACTACTAAGCAGCATTGGCTTTTGTAATGAGGAAGTTCAGCCGTCGCCACGAGTGTCCGTACACCGCGCGAGTCGAGTCTGTGCTTTTTTCTTCCGAAAGCGCTGCTCAACGGCATTCAATCAATGAAATCATGATTTTTCTGACTCCCTATATTTTGTAGCACATATGCGTTCATGCGTGAAAGGAAGCTTTGTGCTGGAGGAAGAGCTGCGCCCGTAGTCCAACTCAGCGATAGAGGGCCCCTGACCGGCACGGCTACTGCTGCCGAAAGTGGCAAACTCCGCACGTTTTCATTAATTTGCATTGACAATTACACACTGCTATGTTCCTTTTCGTTTCTGCCTTCTTAGCTGCATGTACCCTTCATATCGTGCACAAGCGCACACTGGCAAGTGATCTCATCAGGGAGGGAGTTCACGGACGGCTCTACCTACCCATGAACTGCTTTCCGAACGCTCACAAGTGCACGAACTGGAATTGATGCAGACGTGAGCGTCCTAAGCGGAAGTGCATAGAGGTTCCTGGAAGCAAGAGACACTGCACTCTGAGGGGCTGTGATTTTCTCGAGGCACGCCAAATCGCTAGCCAAAGTACCGACAGCGTGAGGAGTCCCAAGGGCTTGTAGGAAAAGCCTAACCTGTGGGTGGTGCCATAAAGTGCTCTAGGCCTCTCTATATCAGCTGAGCTTCGGAATTGGCAATGCTCCTCCACTCCGTGGCGAGACACCTAGCGGCTACAACCACCTCTGCGGCAGCGTATTCAGCAACGGCGTTGAAAGCAGCACCAACCGCGTTAGCAGCAGCAACAACCAGGCACGCCTTGCTTCCAACTCTACCAGGTGCACCTCTAGGCCCCTGCATTGCTCCCGCATCCGTGCTCATAGGAAACTTAAGCGCCTCGTTCAAGCCCCTTAGGCCTCTTGGACAGGGCCAAAAGAGGCCTTTTTCTAATAATGTTCAGAGAAATCTTGCAGGTGGAAGCCTCGTGGTGGCGCGCGAGAGTGTTGCCACGCTAAGCGATCTTTTACAGCAGGAAGACTCTCTTGGAGGGCTGGTGGACAGCTACAATAACCGGTAAGCCGTCCGTGTCTATTCCCGACTTTCGCTGTATGCAAGCTACAACAACGCCAGGTAAGTCGTGACTTTTACTGCATGGCAGGTTCTCTTTTCTCGAGTACAAGCTTTCAGATGCTTGGTATCGGGGCGTTGCACACCCGCTTCGAAGAGTCTTTGTACCGACTGTACACTGCAGAAAGTCGCTCGAGTCTGTCATGTCTTCGCGCGAGCTGGAGCAGCGAGCAGAGGCTGCTTGCCGCTTGGAGCGGCAGATGGCCTTAAAACGAGGCCTTTCGCTTACAGCCCCTCGGCGACTCACCTACGTGAAGTTTCAAAGGCCAGTGCTCGCCAACCGAATTTCCTTTAGCGATACCCTCCCCCCCCTTCTACCAGCCCTTAGTACGAAGCCTCCAGAGCAAGCAAATACAAACACGGACAGCCTTCTGAAGCGTGTGCCACTCTCATGCGGTAAGACAATCACCAGACCGTAGGCAACCTGAGCGGAATATATATATATATATATATATGTATATATATATATATCGGACGAGAGATGTAATGCGGAGATTGACGTTCACCTGAGACTTGGCGCGTGCAGTGGCCAAGGATTATGCTGTTGGAACCTGCGTGATTGCGCAGCTGTAAGAGCCTTGCTGGCGAAGTCTGCAGCTCTCTACGTTGACTGGCATGATTTTTATAGCGCGTTAGAACCCTTAGTGCTAGGGCAGATGCAGGATGGATCTGCTGCAGATCCCGGCGAGCTTCAGAGCAGAAGCAACGCCAGAAAGGCGCTTGAGAGTACGTGCAAGCCGATGCGCATGAAGTTGAAGCTGGAAACGTGTGCTGTATCGTGCCTTTTTCTGCTGGCAGCGGGCAGCGTTAGCTGAAAAGCTGCGAACGTGTCACGAAGCGTGATCCCCTAGTGCGTGAGCTGTACGTCTGTAGCTTTTTGTGATGCAGAGGCCTTTGCTGCAGTGCAAGGCACACATGGCGGTTTCGCGGATATCTTCGAGTTGCTTTTGACGCTGTGCAACTTCTGTAGCGTGGAGGGGGATGAGCGGATCAGAGGTAGAATAGGCGGATTTATTGTGCATTGAGGAGCGATGCACAAGGCACACAGATAGATGTATACTAGCAGTGAAACGCGAGAGGTTGAGAGTTTGGACTCGGGAGCAGCGATGGCAGATAGCGGGGGCAAGAGAGAGGCCTCAAAGGCAGTGTGAGAGCAAGGGCTTCAAAGAAGATGCTACTGGGTGGCGTTTGGCAAATTAAACCGTGCTGTCTCCGCCATTCGCTCTCCGCACAGAACATGGCAACCACTGTAGGAGGCCTTAAGGCTTCAATATGATGGCATTGTGAAACACACGCACACAGACATACATACACACACATACACACATACATACATACACACACGCATACACACACAGACACACGTACACACACAATCAGTTTTGTGCGTCTCAGCGATCTTCGCTCTCTTCGACAGAGAAGAAAGCGGGTCTTTGCACTTCTTCGTGGTGGCTGCCGTCTTCCATCATCTCCACCGAAGTGCAATTTTAGTCTCTAAGCTCTTAATACACCCACCCTCTAGACTCCCGTGGCCTACACGACAGTACGGCACGAGGCAGCAAGGGCGTCAGTCAATACGACTTAGACTGCGGGTATAGGATGCCATGTGTGTTGTACAGTGTTGTTGACTCCCTTCATACTTGACAAGTTCCGCCGCGCGCAAATACCTTTCCGCACCGTAAGCTCTTCTGAGTCTGTGCTTTGGTCGCGGCAACTGGCTCCTGGCCACGTCAGGTTTGGCTATTCGCTGTGACGGCAGGGCACTTACACATGTTGTTGTATCATGCTGCACACATGCACATATAGGCATTGGGGTAGGCGCATGTGCATCACGCATGCGCCAACATGCTGAGTCTCAAATGGCTGGTGGCCCTTGCCTCTCTCTCTCCAGCATAGCCTGCCCCCTAGCCTGTTTGGGATGCAGGTCGATGATTTGGCTATTGCGAGTGCCGTGGAGATGTTTAAGGGCAAGTACCCGTTCCTAGGCGTTTCTCCAGAGTGCGGGAAGACGCTGCCAACAGCAACAGCAGTAGCAGCAGCAGAATGCGCGAAGAAGGAGCTATTCGTTGACGTGCAGGAGGAGCCCTGGACGAGCGCCTTTTGCCATGCTGGCCTTGCGCTCACATTTGACGATTTTGCTCGAGTGTAAGTTAGGGTATATACGGCGTGAGGCGAACACGGTGTGCAGTCTTTTGATATTTGCTGGATGGGCGTTTTCTTGGCCTTCAGGTGCTACAACACGCCAGAAAAGGCGTCGACCACCACCACATCCTTGTTGCGACTGCCCCTCATTCTTCTTCTACGGGATTTGCTCTGACAATCAGTCAGATATTAGTCTCATTTCGGCTAGCGAGCTGGCTGCCTGCCAGCTTTTTCCAACTTTTCAGCTATGACGCCCCATCCAAAGTCTCCTTTGGCAAACAATGAACTCCAGACTTAGTAGACTTCATAAAAAGCTACTGAGTGTTCCTCAAATGAACCCCACCTTGTACTATCGACGCCCCTCAGTTTTCTGCATTCGGGGAGAGGGACGGCGCGGGCGGCCGTTGCTTTACTCTTCCCCAGCATACACAAATTGTTGTCTACAGCGTCTAGCTCACACAGACACACACACACACACCACTTGCGCGTTGGTGTACGGAGCTGATTCTACTCTACAGCAAATTGGACGCGCGAAGAGACACACCGCCAAATAGTCAATTCTTGGCGAATTTCTACTTACACCAACGCAATGCAGTATAGAAAGCGCTTCAGTGTGCCTTAGCTCGCTACATCGGCTAGCCATCTGCCCAGCAGGGTTGCACGGTGCGCTTGTTCACCTTGTTTCCAAGGTGAACAAGCATCATCTACCGATAGGCACCCCAAGGTTGACTGCTGTCGTGTGGTGCAGTTTACTGTGTGCCACGTTGTCTACTCGTTAACACACTGCGAAAGAAATCAGCCTTCAACATTTAGATACTCTATTGATGTGCCTGCGGCCTGAGCAGAGAGCTTCATGTCCCCCCGTTCATAGAAAGGCAAAAGCAAACCGTTCATCTGACCGAACTAGATCAGGTATGTCGCTGAACATTGTGTTTGAACACTTGCTGCCTCAGCATTGTTGCTGCCATGATTGTTGGCACTGCTTTGGCTATCGCTGCTCAGATCTTTTGCAGTTACACGTATGTTGCCGTTTAGTCGGTGGCTCTCTGAGGCTCGTCGTGCTAGTGGGTGAGCGTGAGGGAGTGGTACCGGTGGCGTGCTTCTTTGTCTTGTCTGTACACTAACCGTAGTGTGAATCCAGGTAAATTTCCTGCAGCATTTTCTCGTGCTCAATCAAATCTTTTTGGTGTGAAGGGCTTCGTGTGCCGGCAGGTGGCCCTGCCCAACGACCGGGGGAGTGAGCGCGTGTGATTCAGGGTATCTCAGAGGGGTCAGGGAGATCTTTGTTCGTGTGTTAGCTGGCTCCTTTGTGTTACATGCAAATTTGCCTAAATACGCAATTAAGTGCGAAGATTTTGATTGAGCAGCCACCGTTGGTCTTGTGCCTTTGCGTAATCGTAATGGCCCGCGATTGCACCACTCCAGGTGTATGGACAACATTCATTGTGGCGGCTGCTGTCTCAGCAGTTTTCGGCGCGCGCTCTGCATCATCCACGCATTTACTCCCTTCGTTTCACAGACTCGCTCACTATCCTAAAGCCTCGCGCTTGCTTTCTAGGGAGGTCACCACACCGGCCAGTACGGCCCCTCCGCTCAACAGCAAAGCCTCGATTCCATCGCCTGTATCGAGGAACCCGTTCATCAACCAGCGCAGCTGGAGAGAACTCCCGCTTTCCTTGTCATTTTCGTCGCGGAGCCTTGCGGCGTCGGAAGGTTCCTCAGATTTCTCCGGATCTCAGGGGCTTCTCCCCCTAACGCAGAAGACAATGGCCTGGCGAAGTCACGGGGGTTCAAATGAAGAGCTGGTGTCCAACCTTAGGAGAAACGGAGTGTTTAGTGATCAAAGAGTATTCGAGACGATGCTCAAGGTGCGCTCTCTCCTGGTGTACGTGCACACCACAGCACACACAAACTGGAAGGAAAAGTGTAAAGGTTTCCGCGAGATTAATTCCCTCCCTTGTGATACATGACCTTGCCAGCACGATAGCTAGTTGCCAAAAGAGGAATTTCAGCGGCACTGACACCCGCCGCGTACGGTGATTCGACATGGATCGCAGTTGACTCTTTCCAGTTGCTTTCTTTCTCCCCTACTTGCCCTGCGAACCCTCGACCGCAAACACCCCCAAAGTTATCTCTCAAAACGCAATATGTGTCTCTTGTTTGAAGGTTGATCGTGGCTCTTTCGTGAGTATGGCCCCCTACATGGACTCGCCGCAGCCAATCGGCTACGATGCAACAATTTCTGCACCGCACATGCATGCGATGGCTCTGGAAGAGCTCAAGGATCAACTGGTCCCTGGAAACAGAGCACTCGATGTTGGTAAGCAGCTGGAGGGGACTGGGAGCCTGCAATGTTGTGAAGGTGCCTAAATACTCCTGCTGTAGCCTGCTGCTCAGAGGGCCTGGCGCTAGCTTCTCGACGTAGATACAGCTGGAATTCCGTGTTGGCATGCAGGGGCTGTGCATAAAAGTCGTCTGCGCATGCACCCTTGAGTGCATATGTAATGCATGCGTCATCGTCGTACCCCCCTATATGTACATGCCTCTGCTGATCTACCAAGACAGGGAGACCGAGAAGGAAACGAGGCAGCTGTCAGAAGTGTTGCCGTATCAAAGGCGATTGGTCAAAGCGGGCTTCAAGAGCGTGCCTTATAAGCAGAGGACCTGCACTTTTTAAAAGTCTCATCATCGCTTAATGGATAGCTCTGTATATATATACATATGTATGTACATATACATGGGAGGGGTAAGTATGGTGGCTCTGTGTGGCTTAGCGGTAAAGTATTGAGGGCACCTTTTTAGTACGTCTCTGTATGTCCTTAGGGCTGTAGAGCGTCTTCTAGCATGTGCAAATGCTTGGCGAGGATTGCTGTTCAGGTTCAGGAACTGGATACTTGACAGTATGCATGGCCCTCATGGTAGGGGCGGACAAGGCTGGAGGCGGCACTGCCGTAGGAATTGATTATATTCAGGGGCTTGTCGACCTTTCTCGCAAGTGCGTGTTTGCAAGCTCGCTCTCGTCCGTAGCGTGTTGTGTGTGCAGCTCTGTGGAATTCGGGGAGGGCGTGTGGCGCAATCGGTTGAGGAGTGGGGGTGATACGGGGAGGGGGGGAGTAGAAGAGATCCTTACGTGGGGTTTGTCCCTGTGTGTTTGCCAGGAACGTGGCTAGCGCGTTTCCTTCCTTGCTGCAAGGCTCCAACTTCGCGTTGGTGAAGGGTGACGGCTGGTCAGGAGGTCCTGCATCAGCGGCCCCTTACCACGCAATTCATGTGGGTGCAGCCGCAGCAGCGGTGCCTGCAGCGCTGCTGGAGCAGCTGGCTCCTGGAGGTCAGATGGTCATACCAGTGGAGTGCAGACGAGGCAAGATACGAATCGAGGGACGGGGAGAGAAGGAGGTTCGGGGGCATGGGTGTGGCTGGGAACCAGGACAGGCGCTTGTCGGTGTCGAAAAAAACAGCGCGGGAGAAGTCTCCCTGCGGTACATTACCAGTGTGATGTATGTGCCTCTCGTCAAGCAGCATTGAGCACCGACGGGCTGGCGCTGCTGTCGTTTTTTCTCTCTCTGTCGTTCCGTCTGCACGAGTAGATAGCGTTCCTCGTGGCCTGCCTGCACACAGCGAGGCCTCTTGCGTGTCTATGTACAACTTGAGCTGGAATGCTGGGGGGCGTGCATGTGTGTGTCGGAGCTCTCGCATGATGATGGCACCTGCCTGCGACTGGCAGACAATCTGGATCTGTCCGTCTCGGGTATAGACGGTTCTCTCCAAGCGCATCTATCGCAGGGCACCGCCGTAATTTCGGGTGCTCAGGTGTATGTGTATGTGTATCGCTGTAGATGCCTGCGTGTATGCACCCGCACACTTGCATGCATTCACGTCTATCGCCACGGCGACTGCAAGTGCAATCGTAACTTTATCGACGTGGGACTCTCAAGACTCCCACTCTCTGCATGGAAGGGCTCCAAGTGGCGCTGTCACACGTGTGCGCCACTTACGCATATCTTGTGAAGTGGAAGCGTTTTGAGGAGGGAACTCTTAGGGAGGCCTCCTTCTGGTGTGTGCGATCCTGATATAGTTTCCTGCTTGTCAGGCACCCTGCTATAGCCGACTCGCCGCTCACGAGCTACCGAGCGAACGGGTGTTGTGCAAGGGTCAGTATCTCTTATTCTTTCGCCCCCTCGCACACAGCTGTGGAGCATCGGGCAACCGGCCTAAACTCCCCGGCACCTCGCTCTGCTTATCAGCGAGCTCAACGGCAGGCGAACTGGTGTGCATGCGTCACGCTGTTGCTACGTCTAGTTAATTGCCGCGCAATAGAGCACGTATAGCTTCATTTCAAGCACCGCGTACGGATTACAACTGTGAGTTTAGATAGGTCTGGAGGGGCTTGCTAGGCATGAGACCAGGGACAGAGCGTCTAAGATCTCCGCGGCAAGAGATGCCGACGTAGGATCTCTCCAGGTGGGACGCTGTCTAACTACATGCAACTTCAGCCGCTCTCAACTAAAGAGCAGAATATGTGCCTTTGGGGGTGAACGGAGGACCCTGTTGGTCAACCTATCTGGTGAAACCGTGAGCTTCTTAGCCACAAGGTGGCTTGTCTGCTCCCTGATTCTTAACGGCTGCTGCAGCAAGCTTCTACGTTGGTGGAATAGAAGCGTTTGTCGCGGCCAGACGACCTGCGTGTGGAGGCCTTCAGAGCTGGTTGAAGCGGGGCTAGAGATTCGGTCGTGGCACATTTGAAATACAAATTGGCAGCTGGAAAACGAAACCGTTACGACGTGTCAGGTGGTTCCTGAACACTGAATCCATGCGTGATCCCAATGAAACGGTCCCTGGCTATGCTTTCTGACCCCTCGAATATTCAGTGAGGGCTTCCGCGGAGAGAGCGAAGACCGGCTGGCGCGAGTGCACGAAGCTTTTTTAGTGCATTCATGAAGGCCTGCTATTTGCATGCTGCCCTAAGTTGCTGTAATACTCTTAATCTTTCGTTAGGGCTTGCATTCCTCCGCGGAAAGCTGAGTTCAGTTTTCCGCAGAGCTGCCTATGAATTGTTGCAACTTCCTGGAGTTGTCTGTACACTCCGTTGGCCCGTAGGGTGGCCTGTACTGCATGTGTGCGTTTATCAGAGGTACTGTGTTGCTTAACCCGTAGCTCTCTGAGGCGACAAGTATCGAGCTTTCAGCCTCTTCATCGGGAAAGGAGATACTTGGCAAAATATTGTTATGGTGTTCCGTTCGACAGGCGCTTTCTTTCCCTTCTCACTGAAGGCCTCGCCCTACACAGGTACGACAAAATACAATGGAGGGGCAATTAGAGCGCGCGTTGCTGCACCCAGCTCCGAACACTGCACGTTTTCAAAATCGCAGTCACACATAGCACCATGTAGCGCACAGGCCCCCAAGGTGGTCTCCTTGTATCATATTTTGCTAGCCCAAAGCGGGACCCAGTGACACATACGAACATGTTAACCTGAAAGTCAGCTCTTAATTGATGAAGAGAAAATTAAAGAGGCAGATATTGGCTGAAAGTGGTGTTTCTCCCCACAACACAAACTCCAGCATTTAGAGCGAAAAGCGCATTGAAGGGAGTAAGTGAGGCGACCTTCATTGCTAACGCAGCAATCAGAACTTTAGAAGGACGACAGATTTTTGTCAGCCCCCTCGGAAGAATCCTCTCGCACGAGCGAGAGGGCCCGCCGAGGCGGGGTCAGTGCTTCCATATTTCGATTGCAGGAAAGCTGCGACTACCCATCAACTTAGCATTTTGCATTAAAACTCCATGATGAATAAATAAGCCTTTGAAACGCCACTAATTGTTGCCCACTCCCCCCGGCAGCGTCTACCAGTCGCAGGGGCCCCCCCGCCGCTTGGAGGGCCCTCCCGATGCCCTAAGTCTGTTTTCTCAGCCCACATTAAACTTCCAGAAGGAATCAGTCCAAGGGCCTGGCTTGCTTCTTTTTTTTCTTGTATTTGTTTTGTCTTCTATTCATTCCTCGCTGTGGGGGCGGGAGATTCAGATATCAGGGTTCTCTCCTTTTGAGGCATGGTCTGGGAAGGGATCCTTGAACGGTTCCCAGGGATTCTGTTGTCGTCTGTACGTGGACTGCGCAACGTAAGCAGTCAGAGCCTGCATGCACAAACTGTACATAGACTAAGCCAGCTTAGGAGTCGATCAACCACTTACGTACCAGGGAATCAGTCCCCTGGATCGCATGGCTGCCTTAAGTCCAGCTGGCCCTCTCTCTTAGAGTGTATTCGTGCTTGGGGTTAGCCTTCCCTTCGCCTTCCCCCGTTTCCTCCTCCCTCTGCGCCTTCTTGTGCGATTGCTCGTGTTTGCTGTACCTCCTTTGCTTGCTACGCCTCCTTGTTGTGCTTTGCGGCCAGCAGAATCCGTTGCCGTGTGTTGTGCTGTGCATATCTGGGCGCCTTTTCGCCATCTTCCTGCAGAATGAAGAAGAAGGTAGATCCCCGCGTGCGCCAGCTCGTAGAGAGTTGCGTGGATGCTCGCGAAAGGGCTTTCTTGGTGCTTGTAGGGGATAGAGGGCGAGAACAAGTGGTGTCTCTCCATTACCTCCTCTGCAAGCTGTGTCCTCGTAAGCCATCCGTCCTGTGGTGCTACAAGAAGGATCTCGGGTTCTCCTCTCACAGGAAGAAGCGGCAAAAGCAACTGCAGAAGAAGATCAGCAGGGGCGTCTACGATCCGAATGTCGATGATCCTTTTGAGCTCTTCGTATCGAGCACGGATATCCGCTACGTGTACTACAAAGACACGCAGCAGATCCTCGGCCAGACTTTCGGGATGTGCGTTCTCCAAGACTATGAGGCCTTGACGCCAAATAACCTGTGTCGCACCGTGGAGACTGTGCAGGGGGGGGGTCTTATCTGCCTCTTGCTGCATTCTTTCGCGTCGCTAAACCAGCTCTACGCACTTGCAATGGACATACACTCCAGATACAAGACGCAGGCGTTCTCAGAGGTACACCCACGCTACACAGAGCGCTTTCTTCTCTCTCTAGTGTCGTGCCGTCGCTGCCTCATCCTCGATGACGAGCTGAACATTCTGCCGATCAACGGAGGTCCCCATCTAGGGGCTGCTCCAGATCCCGAGATCCTGATGCAGCAGCAGGAAGAGCGGCAGCAGCTGCAACTCATCAAGGAGAAAGTGCAGCACGCGCCTCCCCTAGATGCCCTCGTGAGGCTATGCGCGACCACGGACCAGGCAAATGCCGTCCTAGCTTTTCTGGATTGCCTGTGCAGCTGTAGGAGCTTCCGGAGTCATGCTGAGACGGCTCCAGCAGGGAAAACGCCTTCCGCTGCCAATGCAGGAGGAAGTTACCAAACAGTAGCGCTCACTGCAGGAAGGGGTCGAGGGAAATCGGCGGCTCTCGGCCTGGCGATCGCGGCAGCAGTGTCTCTGGGTGTCAGCAGCATTTTTGTGTGTGCGCCTGCGGTCGAGAACGTACAAACGCTTTTCGAGTTTGTGCAGAAGGTGAGGGCAGTGCCAGTGGCGAGAAGGGAAGTGGTCTGGAGGGAGTGGTAGCAGGGCCTTACACACCTCGCTCGCTCTTTTTGGCATTTTCCCATGTGCCTTGCTCCTCGTTTCTCCGCTTTTCGGCTGGCCTCCCTCTTCGCAGGCAGATGAACCCCATGCGTCTCCCGAGTGTTTGCGCTGCATGCGTGGCGCTTCTCCGTGGTCGTGTGTGCTCGGCGCGCAGGGTTTGGTTGCAACTGGTCTGCGTGAACAGCTTGACTTTCAGGTGACCTTAGAGGTCGTGGGAGCAGCTGCACGAGTTTCTGCCGCCGCTGATGTGTCTGGGGGTGCTGCTTCGGGGTTGTATCAGCGGCAGACCGTGAAGGCTATCACGAAGGTGGACGTGTACAAGCAGCACAGACAGCGCATCCAGTTCGTGTTCCCCAGTGAGCACGAGGCCCTTAGGCAGGCCGAGCTCCTGGTTGTAGACGAGGCAGCCAGCATCCCCTTGCCGATCGTGAAGAAGCTGCTCGGTGAGTCTGCGGGTGGAAAGGGGTATTTCGGGGGTCCGTGGGTGTGGTGGTTGGCAGCGAGGACTCCATCGAGGCTGCCAGCTTGCATGCGTGGCGGCGGCTCCGTTTCGCGATCCAGGGGCTGCATGCAAAAAGACTTGAGCGGCAAGCACACCCACGCGCTGCAGGGGGGGAGCTGTGGAGTGGGGGTTCATCTTCAGGCCCTTATCTGGTGTTGCTCTCCTCGACGATCAACGGCTACGAGGGAACCGGACGTTCCTTGTCTCTTAAGCTGTTGAGCGACTTGCGACGGGGGTCTAAGGGGGCCCCCGGCCAGGAGGCGAGGGGCCCCCCTCCCCGCCAGCTGAAGGAGCTGAGTCTGCGCACGCCGATTCGATATGCGTCCGGAGACGCTGTAGAGCAGTGGCTGCACGACCTGCTCTGTCTGGACGCCACGACTGCTCCCCCGTTGGACCCAGAGGTAAACAAGCAACAGGCAGCAGGCTCTGCAACAGCCCGTGCGCAGCTGCCGCAGAATCCTCCGCGCACCGTGTGCAGTTGTGAAATGCCGCTGGCGCAGTCTTCGCCAGCAGCGTGCATGTCACCAGACACACACGCGCAACTGCTGTGCTGCTGAGACGCTTACCCACGCTCTCCACAGGGATGCCTGCAAATCTTTCCTTTCACACGCATACACACGCTCCACACACATACACACACATACACACATAGGCACACAGATACACACAGAGACACACTCCACACACAGATACACACAGAGACACACAGATACACACTCCACACACGCACACGGTGCATGGAGTACCTCCAGCTGTTTTCTGTGTGTGTTGGCGGGTTGCTGCAGAAGGGCCTGCCTTCCCCTAAGAGCTGCAGCCTTTACCTAGTGAATCGTGATGCCTTATTTTCGTATCACCCGGCGAGCGAGGCCTTTCTCCAGCGTCTTCAGGGCCTCTTTGTTTCTTCGCACTACAAGAACAGCCCGAATGATCTGCAGCTCCTGGCGGACGCCCCTGCACACCTCGTCTTTGCCTTTATGCAAACAGTTGACGACCAGCAGGATAGTTTACCGGATGTGTTTTGTGCCATTCAGGTAGGTAGGCGGCACACGAGGGAGGAGGCGGCGGAAGAGACTGGCAAAGTAAAGAGGGGAAAGGCGTTGCTTGCTGTCTCTTCCGCGTGTCGTGTGACTGAGGCGGTATCTGGCGGAGGGGCTCGTGTGTGTTGATGGCAGTTTTAAAGATGGCAGTGTGCTGCCCAGCTGTCTCCGCATCTCAGGGAGACGAGAGGGGCAGTGGGAACTCTAAGAAAATGGGCCGGGCGCAGATTTATATTTGGGCAGAACAAGGGCACGCAGGCAAGCGTTTCAGCTGCACACGCTTTCGAGAAGGAAGTGCGGCGCGTAGGGGTGTCTGTCTGGATGATGCGCGCCTACAGTTCCTTCTCAGGGGAGTCTAGACGTGTCGTGCTAGAGTGTGGTGACCAGCCTTGAGCGGGGAGTTGGGTGGGGAGAACGTGACGAGAGGGCTAGTTTCGCGCTCCTTGTTAGGCTCTGCACCCTGCTTTTGGGAAGGCGGCTTCTTCTGCTCGCGGTCTGTACGGAGATTGCGCTGGCTTAGGTCCAACGGGAAGCCGTGGAGCTTCAGAGCAAAACTGCGAAGGAACGCTGATGCGGTGTTTCACAGGTGGCAATAGAGGGGGCCCTGTCGCGAGGGGCCATACGAGAGGCCCTTGGACGAGGCCTTAGGCCTGCAGGCGATCTTCTTCCATGGACGCTTGCCCAGGCATTTGGGGACGAAGACGTTGGTATTCTCTCTGGGGTGTGCACTTCTCACGATCTAGCTCCCCGTTAGCTCGCGTCTCAATGTCTGAATAGAGTCTTCTTAGCGAAGGTGGCAGGCGTGAGTTTGAGGGCTGTCTCGACATGTCAGTTGGTTCCTAGAGCGCAGGGACGAGCAGAGGCTCGTCTCCTCTCTTGCCGGCAGCAAGACGGAGCGGCCTCACTGCGGCTGGACGGGAGATGTTTCGAGAAAACTGCAGCGCTTTCTCAGCTGCGTGCGGTGTCTGTTAGGCCCGAATCGTCAGGATTGCCGTGCATCCGAGTTTGCAGCGCATGGGATTTGGCTCGGCAGCGCTGCAGCAGCTGGTTGATTTCTTTGAAGGGCGAGGACTTGCTCTGCAGGAACCTCCGGAGTTCAGATCCTTCTTTCAAGGCCGGTCCGAAACGGAAAGGCAGCAGCGAGACAAGTCGAAGAAGGCGAAAGTTTCCAAAGTGGATGGAGACATTGAAGACCTTGACGCGGAAGTCGGTACGTCCGAGGGGGAGGAGTCGGCGGAGGACGAGGAGACGGATGCAGAGGCGGCAGAAGAGCGGAAGGCGGCAGGCAGGCTCAAGGGCGCCTCCGCAAAGGCCAAGAAGACTTCTAAGTCTGCGGGAGCTACTGCAGTGGCCTTTTCTGAAATCACCTCGGAGCAGTTTAAACCCCGAGTGACGCCTCCCCTGCTGTGCCCCTGCAGCCGCAGTCGTCCTCCTTTTTCCGTGGATTACTTCGGTACCGCGTTTGGACTTACTGATCAGCTGCTCCGCTTCTGGAGCCGTAGGGGCTTTGTCCCGGTGTATCTACGGCAGCAGCCGAACGACGTGACCGGTGAACACAGCTGCATCATGCTGAGGCCAGCAGCAGCTGCTCCTCCGGAAGGGTTTGGTGCTGCTGCAGCTGACGGCAGCACCAGGCGCGAGGAGAGCCATAAGAGAGGCCTCTTTGGAGGGCTCGACGCCGTGGCAGAGACAGTACGGCTCAACTGAAGACGCTGGTGGAAGGGCGTAGGGCTTTCCTGATTGTCGCAGGAAGTGCCAGACTTCAAGAGGGGAAGAGATAGATAGACAGAGAGATGGAGACATATATAGATAGAGGACACAGGGGGGGCGGTGAGGGCGCTCGGGGATGGAGCGAGGCGTGCAGAGAGCACGCAAGGTGGTAGGTTGGAAGAGGAGCACGAGAAGCAGGCGATTCTTATGTAATGTGTTGTTTGGATGTCGCAGAATCAAGCGGCAGACGGCCAGTGGGTACACCTCTTTGCTGTAGACTTTCGTCGGCGATTCGTTGAGCTGACGGGGGGCCCCTTTCGCCATATGCCGATTTCTTTGGCGCTCGCCACCGCTTCGGAAGGAGCCAAGGGACAGCAGCAAGAGGGCAAGTTGCCTCCTTTGAACGCGAAGACGGTGAGTACAGCGTGCTTGCTGTTTCGCGAATGTCGAGATGTTAGAACATCGGGTGCCCTGCAGAGGAAGGGGAGGGGGGGGAGGAGGGCGTGGGGATGGTGACCAACGCGAGGCTCTCGGAGCATGGCTTTACGAAGCTGTTGGGAGAAGCAGTTTAAGACACCGAGAGGCAGATACCCACTCGAGTCTATTAATGGACTTAATATATAAGGCGCTTGCGTTCCCTTCCACAAAGATGCAGCCCTGCAGTCAGGCATGCCCTTCGTCCTTTTGCTAGAGGGGTTACTGGGAGTCTCCTGCGTGTGTGTGAGCGTTTTCTTAGCTCATGGAATTCTTTACACTTCACGACTTGGGGCGTCTGCAGAAGTACTCTCAGCAGCTTGCCGACATATCTCTTGTTACCGACTTGGTCCCTCTGCTGTGCTCTCTCTATTTTGGGGGGAGGCTGAGGGATGTGCGCCTCTCCTTCCTCCAGGAGGCAGCACTTCTAGGCATGGGAGGACAGCGCAGGCAGCGTACGTTGGCACTGTGGGAGTATGGGGTCTTGCGCAGAGCCTTTAGGCTTCCCTGTATGGCTTCGAGGGGAATGTTGCATGCAGATGCCAGACACACGGCGTTAGAAACGCAATCAAAACATCTGCCCGAACATGCCAGCTAAACGGAGGCGCCGTGGCCAATGAAAAGACAGGCGGAGCGGCGGCAAAGGATGCATTCGCGCAGCGCTCAATCAGCCACAGCCGTGTGTGCATGCACCAGCAGGCAGTATGTAACCAGATTTTCTGCGAGACCGCAGCATTGTTGTTGTATGTCTTTGCCAAAGCCTGCAGTGCCACCTCCCCAACAGCCCTCTAAGCCTTCATGCGTCTGCACTGTCATCATTCTGCAGCGGATTCTCTTGCCGCTGAATTCTCAGTGCCGATTACCCAGATCCTGGCCCTTTTTAATAAGGCAATGGTTAAAATTCATCAGCATTTACGCGTAAGACTGTTGGCCAGCCAGCCCTATCACAAGATTGCTGCCGCGCCAGCTTGCAGTGCCGCGATTGCATGCGTTCTCGCAGTGTGCAGTGAGTGCCCGTGTCTCCCTGCCGCCTGTTTGCCTCTACTGGCGGGTTATGGCGGCATGCATACCCTGGCCCCTTCGCGCTGCGCATTGCACTTTTTGTCAGGGCTTGCTGGAAGCCGAAGAGGCTTTGGCTTTCGCCGCAGCGTCCACCAGGCGGGTGGCTGTAAAGCAGGGAGAAGCAGTGGGAGGAGTTGATGCCCAGGGTCCTCTGGCAGAGGAGCAGCAGGCGGATGCGGACAAAGTTCTGAAGCAGCAGAAGCAGCAGCTTAAGAAGATCAAAGAGGCGCTTGGCCATGATGCGCTAGAGGTAGGCTGACACAGGCGGGAGGGGGAGGCCGAGAGACGTGCTGGTGGCAGCGCCTCGACTGGATTCTTTTTCCGCCGAGAGTGCCGCTTGGCTCCCGTGATCTTGAAAAAGCGAGGGGATATCGCGTCTCGGGGGAGGGGAAGCAGTTTCGCCTGTATACGGCGCAGGCTAGGGCCGCTCTCAGAGAGGTAGTCGCAGGAATAGAGGCGACAGGCGGGTCAAGACGAAACCAGCAGGCTGATAAGCTGAGCTAGCCAAGAGACAAAGAGGAAAGGAGAAAAGAACACTGGCTAACAAATTGTCTCCTAATGTGCAATGCCTGCGTTGTGCACTCCACAGAAGTACAGCGTGAGTGAGATCAGCAAGGAGGATATCGTGGGGGTGACAGGAGGCCGCGAGGTCTCAGGTATGGCGTGCTGCCTTTTCTGTAAACGGAAAGGGCCTTTTGCATCGCCCTCTGGACTGGATATTCTTTGTTGAGCAACAAATCAATCTATCTGCATACGCTTGTTGCGTCTAGTTGCATAGCATTCAATATGGGCTAGACGCACTGGGTGTCCGTGAATTGTAGCCGTGTGATTTTAATTTAGTGGCCAGCCCGTGGTTTCCCATACACACATGGAAACGCGAGTACTGCGTATGGAGTAGGCCTACAAGGCAAGGGCATCATTCGGAAGGAACTGTTTTTCCGTTCTGATATTGCTGCAGGATCAATTTCTGTCCGTAAGGAGAGCAAAGTCCCGAGCGCGGAGGATCAGAAGGAGTCGAAAACACATAAAAGCAAGAAATTCAAGAATATGGCGTTCTAGTGTACAGACGCCCAAGAGAGGAATGTTTCCCTCACGCTTACAGCTGACTGTGTCGAGCTGTACTTACACTTGCAAGGTCTTGCCTATCTTTCCTTAGCGTGGCGCATGTGTCAGGCTAGACCTAGGCCTACATGCAGGGCTTTGAACGCATACGCATGCATGGGAGCAGTTACAAATGTACTGCATGCGTGAGGCAGCCCTTCATGTCGGATCCGAACGTTTCGTTGTGTTCGGGGCACACATGTACGCTTGCCTACCTTGGCAAGTGTTGTGGAGGATATCGGTCTTGCATGTCAGGCAAGTGAGTTCCTGCCGGTGCTGTCGAGCAGCCCAAAGCCGGTTGTACGTGATGGACTCCGGGCTTCTTGAGGAAGAAGTGGGGGAGTGCTGGTTTGCATGCAGTTCAGTAGAATTGGCGTATCGGATTTGGCAGAGAAGCGGGCAGAAGCCGAGAGGGCAGTGAGCAATAGGGACACAGGAAGTATGATTCTTTAGGCAGGGAAAATCAGGCGGAAGTGTCAGGCCTACAAATTCACATGGAGCCTCTAGGCTTCTGCTAAACACCCTTAAAGCACATTTGCGCTCTCTGACACTGATACTCGACGGGTGCAGCGGGAGAAGGAAAGGTTTCACATGCAGAAATCGGCAGGAACTCCCACATCGCTGGGCGACCGAATAAAGGGCCTCACTACCACCAACCCCCTATAAAGGGGAAATAAACCTAGAAAGGGGCCAGTCAGGCAGTGCCCTACGCAAAGAAGTTTCGGCAAGGGGATGTGTACCCATATCTACCCAGAGAGGGGTAATGACAGGCAATGCATGAACCCGTTAAAACTTGCGACAAAAACTGCGAGCTTACATCTTATTTTAAATGCCTGTATCGTGACGCACACTAGTGATACTGTATGCATGTGCGCCGGCAACGCAACGTGAAATGGGAAAAGCGATATTGATAACCGCCGGTGCTCCCGAAGCCCCTCTCGGCTAGGACCTTTTCGTGATTCGCTATTTGCGCACAAACCTTTTCGCTTCCTTTGCTTTCTTTATGCACCAGTAGCCTTTTCTGGATCTAGGAAACATGTAAGAAACGAGACGTGACGGACTTGGCTGCCCCGCACGCATCCTTGGCCTACTCATAGAATCTCAGGGGGCGAGTGTCTCTACCTCTCCTGGGATCTTTAGTCTTCGGAACCTTCAGACGGGCCGCTTTCTTCAAGACATAGGAATGCTAACTGAATGTCATTTAGTAATTCCTGACTTTGATTCTTGGGTGCGGTCCGCTTCGCTTAGCCTAAATGTGCCCCTCGCCATGAATGGGAGCGTTCGTAGCGAAGAAGGTGTGCGTTCTTTCAGATGTAGCGGGGGCTCTCGCCGTTATTTTCATCGTTTCTCGCAGTTTGTTCATGAATAGTTTCTCCAGGCGCCGTGTTTCCACTTCCATCAGGGCCTACAGGCCTCCTCCCGAGGGTTTGCATACAGCGCGAGCGTTGTCCTCCCCCCCGATTCCACATCCTCCTGCACGCGAGCTGTTATTCCCCCTACCCCGTGCTTTCTTGCGCTTTATTCACCTCCTCGCGCTTTCTTTCGCAAGCCAACCCGCACGGCCTGCATGCATGCGTGCAGAAAAGGGGGGCCCCTGCGCGTTTCCTTCCCGGCAACTCGTCCAGCATGGGGGCCCTGGACTTGAATGCGGCCTATGGGACCTTCTTCTGCACAGTGTTCGGCTTTGGCCTCTTTGTGGTGTACAGCGGGCGAAAAGAGTCTTGTTACCGCCTGCTCCACCCCGGCCCTACTTTCCTTTCCGCGCGCAATGAAGTTTCTTGGCTGTATCTGGGCCTCTCCCTCTACGCCTCCCTGATGGGTAACTGGGTATTGTATCTCCCTGCTGTGGGAGGGGCCCTGTATGGGTGGCCAGGCGCTGTTGGATATGCCATCAGCAGCGGTGCTCCCTACCTGCTGCTCGTCTGGCTGGCTCCCCTGGTTTGCAAGCGGGCGAAGGGAGGCTTCTGCAGCTGCGACTACGTGGCCCTCCGTTTCGGGTCGGTGGCGCAGCTAGCAGCTGCCTGCATCTCGCTTTCCATGATGTTTGTCACGCTGTCTACGGAGCTCACCACTGTGGGAATGTCCATGTCTGCCATCTCCAGCAACACCTTCCCCGTTCCCTGTGCCGTGATTCTCGTCGCCTTGGTGCCTCTGCTCTACGTCCTCGTGGGGGGCCTGAAATGCTGCATTGTCAGCGACGTCGTTCAGGCGCTCATTATCGTCTCCCTCTTCGTGCCCTTCACCGTGTACCTCGTCTGCACGGAGGGGGGGCCCCCCTCGGGGGGCCTCCCCATCTCGCAGTCTCTCGCTCTCGCACCCGCTGCCCTCTCCAGCGAGAAGTCGCTCATTGCCGGTGCCGTCATTGTGGCCTCTGTGTGGCCGGTGTATCTCTGCGATCAGGGAATCTGGCAACGCGTGTGGGCAGCTCGCTCTGCATCGGATATCCGCAAGGCGTTCTTGCTCGCGGGAGTTCTCTCGGGAGTCTCAGTGCTGCTGTTCGGCGTGGCTGGCATAGTTTGTCTCTCCCGCGAAGAGGCCCTAAACGGCGGCTCGCTGTTCAGCTACGCAGCGCAAAACTTGCCGACTCCCTGGCTTGTGGTGCTATGCGTGCTGGCTGTTGCCTGCGTCACCTCGAGTGTGGACACCTACCAAGCAGCAATCGTTTCCTTGATCGGAAACGACTTGGAGAAACGCAGTCTTTCTTTCAACTGGGCAAGACTGGCGATGGTGCTGATAAACATCCCCGCAGTCCTCCTAGCCCTCTATCAAGTGCCCCTGCTCTCGCTTTTCATGGTATCCAACTTTCTCTGCGCCGTCCTCGCCGGACCCTTCCTAGTGTCTGTACACCCCAAGATCACCAAGTGGGGCTTCCTGGGGGGCCTCGCGTGCTCCGTGGTGGGGTTGCTAGTATGTGGCGTGGGCGCCTCGGCAGCAGCACACGAGCCCTTTTCCCTCTCTTTCTTCATTCCAGATGACATTTCCTCCATGCCTTATCTTGTCAGCTTCCTGGTGACCCCTTTAGTCGGAGCTGCAGCGGCGGGTGCCATCAGCGCCGTCGAGGAACGCCTCATGCGACACGCAGATGCAGCGGCACACCCCTCACCTCCCCCAGCATCCGATATCGGCAAAGAAGGCCTAGAGGGTTCGCAGCACTCTGCAAGAGTGCCTCTGGACCCTCCCCCGACGACGGCTTCGCCAGTGTATCAGACTGCTACCAGCAATGACACCAACTGCAGTGCAAACGTGGCAATCGCTGCGGCCTCTTCCTCGAAAGTGAAGCTCGAAAGTAACGCAACAGCGTCTGAGCCGCCAGAGCCGCGGGGAGTCTATGAGTGAGGCGTGCGAATGTGCTCGGCATCAACTCGCTGTGTGTGTATGTATGTGTGGTGATGTGCTTCACATCCTCTTGCCAGGGAGATGCGCAAAGCAGCGCGCGCACGGCCTTCGGCACCTGCCAGCTGTAGGGCTGCCCCCTGGGCGATTTACCCCTCAAACCATCTGCCTCTCACCCCTCTGCAGCATTTGGCAGAAGAGCCCAGCACGTTGGGCAAGAGACATGATGCATGCATATACATAATGTATCTATATATATATATCTATCTATATGACTAAAAACTTTCGAGACCTCCACTGCTCCCTGGATACTTCTAGGGAGCTGCAAATGTCTATAGGGCTGCGCGTTGCCGTACGCATGCGCAATTCTATGGGGTCTACAGGAGTCTGTTTGCTGAAGATCCTGGGCGTCCTCACGGCTGCGGGGGAGAGAGGAGCCAGCAAGTATTCAGCAAGTGCTTTTTTTCGCTAACTCCGACCCTCCTGCCCCTTCCGCGGTCTGGAAGTGTGGCTTCGTTTCAAGCGGTGCGCGTTTCCGCGGCCCTCTGTTTCCAATGTAGTGTATGCTGGCGAACTGCTGCGTGTTTTGCTGACAACGAGCTTTTGCGCGACTGGGTACATCAGCGCGTAGAGGCGGGTTTTTGTGCAGGGCACCGAAGGAGAACGGCCTCTTGAGAGTTCACTATTATTGCTAGCTAGCAGGAATAGCGTCCCAGCCGTGCTCTATGAGCGCATAATTCTAGATAGGAGGTCGCTCGAAATTAGGCACACACCTAGGCAAGGCATATATATATATATATATATATATATATATATATATATATATATATAGCGAGCTGGGCGTGTTCACGAAAAACTTCTACAGAGGGGGACGTCCAGAAGGGAGAATTCCGAGGAGGCGCTTGGATTGAGGGCCTCGTTCAGCGACACTGCGTTCCCAGAGAAGGGACAGGAGCAGCACCCCGAGTAGACAGACAGACGCGGTCGAGAGCTTAGAGGCATTTGCAGCACAGGCTGTTTGTAAGCGATGCCAGACCGCCTTCCAGTGTCGTGCCTTCAGCATAGCTGCAGACGCGGTTCTTCGCGTATTGTATAGCCGGGAAAAGGCCTCAAAAACTAACGTAGCCGAGGCAGCTGCAGAGGCAAGTTGGAAGGAAGACAGGGTAGTCACTTGCCAACACGCTTTCCAAGTTTACGGAGTCCGTAGAGGACCTGCGGTGTCAGCAAAGACAGCTGTCCTCTGCGCATGTTTTTGCAAGCACGGCTCTATGCGAAGCAGGCAGTCGCACACGCCCCCCTTCCCTCCCTCCCGCCAGCCGCACAGCATCACCTCTAGCTCGCCTGGTAGCCTTACCGAGTTCACCAAACCTGCGGAGACGGCGTTTTTCATGCTGCACTTGAGCGTCGGCCATAGCATCAAGCGCTGCAGACCGAGGCGCAAGGCTTCCGCAGGCGGAGGCGTGCTGCTTGCGAGGGGAACGGACTGTCGAGACGAAGCTGGCGAGACAGGGATGCTCGCTGCAGTCGACAGGCGTCCCCTGCCCCCCCCCGCCCCCCCCAGAGCCTTAAAGAATAGGGAAGCGACGGCACTTGGCGGGGAACGCGCGGCTGCGAATATCGACACACGGAGGAAGAGGAACGATCGCTGGCGCTCGTTGAATTCAGGCCTTTCGCTTCGGCTCATGAGACACACCACGGGAAAAATACACGTCTCCGGTTGTGGGGTTGGTGGTGTGTTACTTACCCGCTTCAGCCCTTTGACGGATAGACAAAGGCAGCGGGCTGTAGAGCGCCTCAAGCGCCGCAGGTGATGCCTTGTCTTGCTGGACGTACAGAAAACTCCACAGCACCTTGCCAGCAGTCGCAGCCCCGTCGGTAGAACCCTAAACGGGGAAGGTGAAAAAAGGCACTACAGCGGGAAGCTGCGAAGCCTCAACGTCGCACCCACGCGATAAATAGCTCACCTGCACGCGCACGTTGCAGATTTTGAGATCCTGAGGCTTGCAGTCTTCGCCGAAGGGCAAGGGGCCCTCGCCGTGAACAGCCACGTGTTCCCCAGCTTCCAGGTGCACTGAGGGCAACCTCGAGAGCAGAGGGAGATAAATGGAGCAGAGCGCCTCTGTCTGGCTCCTCACCTGAAGCCGTAAACACACAAAAGAACGGCCGGCAGTAAATGTGTGCCTGACGCGCTAACGCCTCCCCGTCCTCCGTGGATCTCGCTCTGCGTCTGGTGCATTCGCGCAGGTGAAAGAAGGGTGTTCAAAGCCGGAAAGCATCGCATTCGATATACATATACAAATATATATGCTCCGCGGCCCCTCAAGACAGCAGCCCTCCGATCCCCTTCGATCCTCGTCGAGAAGTTCGGCAGTCGAGAGACAGAGACGTACGATAGCCTGCACCTTCTGGGGGTCCTCCGCAACGAGCATGCGAAAGTCTCCTACACAGCAGAAAGCCGACACGTCACGCACGAATATTGAACACTTCTACGTAGATCGAGGCCCCTCTGCCCCTCTCAAAGGCCGCCTCAGCAAAAGGCTTTTAATTTACGCTTCAGGCAGTGTGAGGAGAATCTGAGTGTTGCACAGCCTGAAGGGGCAGCAGCTGCGAGAGCCATTGGGGGCGTTCGATCAGCGAGACTGTCTTAGTTTTTGCACGGTGATATGGCTGTACAAACTTTAGACGGCGTTGTACAGGTAAGGGGCACTTTGCTGCTCCAAAGCCTTGGGTGGACCATTGCCTGCTCTGCGTCAGCCGACGCCTTGGCAAACAGGCGGGGGGGCGGAAGCGCAGGAGGCGTAGGGGAGAGGAGAAGAGAGTTTGTTCGCATGGGTCACCTTGGTACGACAAGGATACGATTTCCTCCAGAAGGCGCATAAGAGAAACTTCCTGGGGGAGAAGCAGCAGCGCCAGACGCAGCTGCAGCCAGGGAAGACACACATACACACATATACACACATACACATACATACACACATATACACACATATACACATATACACGTATACACACATATACACACATATACACACATACACATACATACACACATATACACACATACACATACATACACACATATACACACATATACACACATACACATACATACACACATAGATACACACACACGGTAGCTCGACGGCTATGCCAGCGAATGCGCAACAGCAGCAGCAGACAGCAGCTAGCAGCAGTTAACAGCAGCTCGTAGCAGCAGGCTCCCGCTGAGAGCAGTTGGCCTCAACTCTTTGGTGCTGGACTTCCGCTGCGGAGGCAGACAGAAGGGCGGAGGAAAACTAACCGCGTTCAGTCTGTTCAACAGGCAGGCCCCTTCCACCTGCGCTCGCCTTCCCTGGTCAGCACCCTTCCAGCAAAGGTTTACCTGTGCACAGAGATACTCCAGAAGCGACTGGCATTTCGTGGATGCGGCATACTTCGGCTAAGCCCTCCCTGCTATCGTCGCCAGAGTTGCACATACATGCTCCTGAAAAGGAACCCCACGGGAAGAGAGGGGACACCCCATGAGGATGACACGGAAAACGTGCATAGTGCATATGCAAGAATAACAAGCACGTCTACACCGCAAAGGGGTGCAGCAGTGCCACAGCAGCAGCCTAAGCAGCATCTCGACACAAGCAGGATGGAGGACGGCGGGGCCCTCTCGGCTTGGCAGCCTTTGTTGTGATGCGAAGCCTCCGTCTTAAGAGTAGCGTTTTTCATGCATACAGCACGCGTCTAGCAGCGGCACGAGTGGCAAAAGCTCCCAGAGGCCGATGAAGACTTCGCCAAAGGCACAAAGAGAATCGACAACTGACGATTTTTGAGAACGCTTCCAGGGGTGCTCGCGCGGCACGAGAGGCAAGGGGTATTTCTCGTTGACGGGCATAGTAGGCCACCCCGAGAAAGGGCCCCAGTGTTCGACACTCACGGGCTTTTGCATGCGTCCAGCGAAGTAAAAGTGCTTCCACAGACGCAGATCCTCGCAAAAGGCCTCAGTGGGCACCACGCCATACTTACAGAGCTGCAACAGGAGCAGAAAGGCTTAGGGGGCAGGCGAGGTGGGGGATGGGCGAAAAAAACAACGGACGCCTCAAACAGCCGACAATGAGGCCTAAGCAAGAGCAGCAGTAAGAAGAGCATCAGCAGCAACAAGAGCATCAGCAGTCACAAGAGCATCAGCAGCAACAAGAGCATCAGCAGTCACAAGAGCATCAGCAGCAACAAGAGCATCAGCAGCAACAAGAGCATCAGCAGCAACAAGAGCACTAGCAGCAACAAGAGCATCAGTAGCAACAAGAGCATCAGCAGCAACAAGAGCATCAGCAGCAACAAGAGCATCAGCAGCAACAAGAGCATCAGCAGCAACAAGAGCATCAGCAGTCACAAGAGCATCAGCAGCAACAAGCCATCCTAAAAGGACATACTTCATGAGGGTGGTTGTTGAGGGGCACTCTGCAGTTGTAGAGCACAGGAACCTCGGAGGCTTCTGTAAGGCGCATGGCGAACGCAGCTGCGACTCGTTTTCCCCCGCCAGTGTATCTGGCCACATGCCTGATAAAGGGGGCATAGTGTTCAGGTCTGTGGCTGAAGTTGTCTGCATGCCACTGCAGCAGCTGTTGCTGCGGTACAAGTAGGAGCATGTCATACAGGGGAGAGCTGTTGCGGGAGGAAGAAGAGAGCTCTCCTTCAGGCCGCTGCCCTCTCTTAGGTTCGCCATGGGAGTCTTGCTGTCTCCTTTCCAAAGGCCTTTGGGGAAAGAAGTTTGAGCCATAGAAGATGCAGGCTTCAATCGGCGGCAGTTCTGGGAGAAGAGCTGTGGAGGATTCCCCCCTAATACTAGTGGGAAAGTCGGGCACTTGGCCTCGCATTTCGTAAAGCACCACCCTTCTAGAAAGCGCAAGGAAAAGGATCTCTCGCTCCCGCGAGGAGATCAGACGTAGCTTCTGCAAACACAAGGGCCTTCAGGGGCCCCCTGGTGCCCTCGTGCGGCGTGGAAGCGCCGAGGGAACGAGCTCCTGCCTCCCGCCCCCAGTGTATGGACACCTCGCGAATGCGCGGGATCTCTCTATCTCGCTCGAAGGCTTCCTGGTGCAGCCACGGCACAGAGCACCTGTCGGCCTGTGCAAAGGCAAGGGGCTTTTCGCGCGTCCTCGAACGGCATGTGTACATACAGTGGCCGCCCCATTCCCGGTGCGCCTCGCGGGAGAGGGCCCTTGCGCCTGCTCAGGTGTATGTTATACCTGGTGGTGCGACATGGAGGCTCCTGCAAAGGCGTGGATTGTCGAGATCATGTCTTTTTGGCATGCATTCCATGTGGCTTCCTCTCGCTCCCTAATTTACAAGTCTCGACGCCCCCCTCTCTCCCGGGTACGGGGGAATGGGCAGCAGCACGGGGGGCCTCCCTCACAACTCGAGCCGAAAGAAGCAGCTGCCTTCCCCCGAAATGATGTATCAAAAGGGTAGAAGACGGCAATCCCGCATCTTTGATTCATAAATCAGCGCATTTGCGATAGAGGGGCAAGTTTCTGGACCCTGTTGCGCCCGTTCTCTCCCCTCCTCCACGTAATAGCTGCTCGCTCAAGCGTACTCACAGGCCCGACCGACAGCGCCGCTTTTCCCTACTCCCGCCTGTCTCCCACGCAGAATGCCTGCTGTCTCTTTCTGCGTGTTTTTGAAAGGCTTTTTCAGTGACTGCAGGAACTCAATCCACAGAGGAGCCCGCCTAAAGACGCAGCGCATACACACGCACAGACAGACACACACCAACGTCTCGGTGCCTCCCTCTGCCGCGGGTTGACCTCTTGATCTGCCATATGACCAGCGGCTCCTCCTCCTCAGCACTCCCTCAGGCCTCCTCAACCGCTGCTTTCTGACCATTTGATCACTTCACAAGCATCGCCACTCGCCACTTTCTGCCATCCTCGCGCTTGAAGCCCCCCTGTTGCTTAGCCCACGGCCAGGCAGTGCCGGCAGTCTGAGAGCTCCGAGCTGCCGTTGCAGGCGCGAAGAGGAAATCTCCTTTTGCGCCGTCTCTTTCCGCCGCTGCGCATGTACACTGGCAATAGCCAAACCCTATCCACTCGAAAATGACGACCTCCTCCCCCCCCTCCTCCGCTTTGCAATCCTTGCCAGAGGCACTACTCACCGTTGCCGAAAACAACCTGAACAGCACCCAGCCGCTCTTCTTTGGCCTTTCTGGCGCGCAGCTCTCCCGCATCGCCCGCGAAGTGTACGTCCACCTAAAAGCCTGCGGAAAGGATGCCATCGCAGAGCAGGCACAAACACTCACCGAGCCAGCCCTCCTCGCGCAGGCCGTCCAACACGTGCAAGAAAAAGTCGAGCAGAAACAGTCAGCGGAGACGCAGCCTCGCCAAAGGGTGCCTTGCCCCTGCTGCACACAACATTGCACCGCCTGTCAAGCCTCTCTCCCTGAACGTCCCCTTCAGCCGCAGCTTGTGCCGATGCTGCTTCAATCACTGCCTCCGCCGCATTGGCCTTTCCTGCACCCCCTTCAGCAGCAGCAGCAGCAGCAGCAGCCGTATGCACAGCACATCGCCCCTCAGCAGCACCAGTTGCCTCCCGCTCAACCTGCAGGCCCCGTTACGCCTCCTGAGTGTTGCCAGCCGCAACAACAGCAGTCTGAAGCGCTCACGCAGCAACAACAACATCAACTGCAACAGCTTCAACAGCAACAGCAACAGCAAGAGCAGCAACAGCAACAACAAGAGCAGCAACACCTGTCTCGTAAGGCTTGTATTGCGCGTCTGATTCTTGCAATTGTGGCTGCTAAGGTGGCACGTGACAGCCTCCAGTACTTACACCAGAGCAAAAGGCCTAAGACAACGGCAAACGATCCAGTAGCTCCCTCAGGCTTGGGAAGCGTGTCAGTAGAGAGTCTCGCAACGGCTCTTCACCCCCACAAGGGCTTTTTTGGTGGGCTGCCGCAGAATTTGCTGCTGTCACTGCAGCGAGTTGTGTCTGCTTCCATCGACGCCATAAATGGCGCCATGGCTGCGTCAGGATGTGGGAACGGGCTGTCTCCAGAAGCCCATCAGGAGAACTGTCAAGGCAGCTCAACGGAGCTCCCTCCGCTGTATCTAACTCCTGCACAACAAGGCCGCGTACAGCTGACACCCCACGAGAGGTCCGCTGGCGAACTGATCGAGAAGCTTCTCAAGATGGAGGGGGGAAGGAGCGCAGCCTCCCTCACCCTTGATGCAGCAGGAAGCAGCGCGGTTCAACCAAGGGAGCAGCAGCAGCTAGAGCAACAGCAACAACAGCAGCAGCTAGAGCAGCTAGAGCAGCAGCAACAGCAGCAGCAGCAACAGCAGCAGCAGCAACAGCAGCAGCAGCCAGAGCAGCAGCAACAGCAGCAGCAACGGCAGCAGCAGCAGCAGCAGCAACAGCAGCAGCTGATTGTGACCGGAACATCGAGTGATGCAGGCGGAGAGGATGCCCTCGAGGCGGAGTTCAGAGTGAGTTTTATTTCTAAAAGCAAGTTTCGAAGAGATGGCTTTCTCCTGCTGCGGCATTGCATGTCTCTCTCTACTACACGCTACGTGTTCCCGCCGACTTGATGCGAGTTGCAGATGTCTGTGATTTGGGCTGTGCGTATGTCGGCCTTCTTCGCCTCTCCCCTGAGGATCTCGTTCCTCGCCTTGTTTCCATGTGTTTTGCGATGAAATCACCGACAGCTTCGCTGCATACCTTTGCCTGAATCAACTGAAGAACCCTTTCCTTCTTTCCCCCTTTTCCTCCCGCAGGCTTTTCCTTTTGCCGGCGCAAGTTTTACGTGGCATTTATCTGCCTTTCCCCTTCAAGTGTCTGCGCATCACGTGGTGTATGTGCGTGTGTGTGTATATATCTATGTCTATGTCACTCAGGAATTTCTGCGTCGTGCAGAGTCCGGAGAGGAAGCCTCTCCCCCCCTCTCGATCCCGCAAAAGCTGCGCTTCTACGGGCTATTCAAGAGGATCACTGCTGGCAGATGCACTCAGAAACAACCGTCACAGTTCAACCTGAGGCAATACAAGAAATGGGTTCGGCACACACACACACACACACACACACACACACACACACACACACACACACACGCACACACACACACGCACACACACACACACACACCGTCCCCTCTGCTCGCGAAGGCGGCGACAAAAAACACACTGCCAGACGGCGAACTAGTAGTAGCTCTCACTGGCCGCGTCCCTTAGCTACAGCTAGCGAAGTGCTCTGTGGGGTGGATTCTCGTAGAAAGCGATAGAGCAGAACCTCTTGGGGGGAGGGGAATGAGAGGGGCAATTAACAAGGAAGGAGGGCGACGGACGGGGGCGGCCGTAACTTTTTGAAAAAGACAGCTGGAAAAGAGACTCTGCTCTCGAGATTCTACCATTTCCTTCTGGTGCGGCTTTTCCGTGCAGGAGGCTTGGAAGGCTTGCGACAAGCTCTCCGTTTCGGAAGCGAAGAAGGAGTATGTGCGGTTGGCGAGAGAACTTGAGAAACAGCAACAGGCGAGGCTGTGACTACATGCTCCATGTGCGCACTTCGTGCGTCCTGGCGCAAAGGCGCTAGTGGCTGCTCGGCTGCTTCCAGAGGGGAGAAGGGGTGTTGTACAACTACCCGTGTAATGTTCGGTGATTTACCTTCTACCGGAGGTGTGCTGCTTTTAGAGAAGTATCAGACACGCCGAAAAGAAAGGACGGGACGCCTGCCACGGCGCGTAGCGGCCTGTCCTATTGCACAGTGCATGCATGTATCCACTGTTTAGTGTAGACGAGCTGAGTCTCGCAGCGATTTTTAAAAGGCGAGCACCGACTTTCCCCCCGCTGTCGAGGCACCGCGACACCTTTCCAGCTCTGCAATATGCAGTCTGTCTCCTTCCCCGCAATTCCCACTCCCCTTCGTAGGGATTCGGGGTCTACTTTAGGTGTGTATGTACACCTGCGCATCGCCGTCTACCCCTCCCTGTTCTTTTTAGGGGTGGTACGCATCGCTGTAAGCCCGATGGCTACATGCGTCCCCATATGTATCTCTGTGTGCACACACATGTGTCTGTCGCACATGTTTGTAATGAATCTCGGCTAGCCTCAACTGTATCATCAGATTGCTGCGGAAAAGCTGCGCGCGTCCGAGCGCGGCGAGGAGGCACATGCAATAAAACACCTTGCTTTTGCGGCCTCCTATTTCCCGACTCTCCCCTGTCTGTTTGCCCGCTTTCTCTCGGATCTTTCATCTCTCGCTTCTCTCGCATCTGCCTGCCGCTCAGCGCATTATTCACTGCCTCAAAGAGGCGTCCTACGTAGCCGCCCTCTTTCGGCGTGCTGCTCCCAGTGCGGAACGGCGGCAAAAAGCACACGTTGAGTGCCGCCGAACGGCGTTTGTTAGCGTATGGACCGCTGGCCAGCATTGCTTGCCACACCAGGTTTGGGTAGGAAGTGTGAGTATATAGAGGACGCGGGAAGAGAGGAAGTGCAATGAGGCAAATGGGCAATTTCTGGAAGGCGTCGAGCTGCGTTACCTCCTCCCGTACAGGCGCATCGGGGTCGACGGTTGACAGGGTAGCAGCGCCAGAGTGTGCGCGAAGAACTTCGTAAAAGTATGTGAAATAGCGTTTCTGCCTTTCTGCTTACGAAAAAACGCAGCTTTTGCGTGTTTCGCTATCGCTGAGGAAGGGCTGCGTGGAAGTATCGAGGGTGCCGTGGCGGGAGGGACGGCGCACTCCTGCGAATGGACTACTCCCTGGGCGGGAATCTCAAGCGAGACAATAAATTGGAATTATTCAATGAACTCCGGTTGTGTATGTGTGGGGCTGTGGAAGTTGAGGCCGCGTCATTTCCTTTCAAGTGGACGATTGTCTGCGTCTCCTCCTTCTTTGCGCATGAGGACCTCCCGCTTGCGCGTGTTAAAACCAAAAGGGCGCTTCTTTGGCGGGCTTCCTCATCTAGAGCCTTCATTTATGCGCTTGAAAACGCATGCACCGTGATGGAATTGCTGAAAACTCCTGCAATTTGGCAGTACCAATGAGGGAAAGTGGAGGGGGCGTCATGAAGCCGATGACCGAGGCGTAAGAACGGAACCACACACAGGAGGGGCTGAACGATTGAAAATGCCGCATCTGCGTCTTTCTCGAATATCTTTTGGCGTTCAGAGTGATTGTGTTGCTGTTTTCTGAAGGAGGAGTTATTTCTTGGCAGTGTCCAGGCTCTGTCTATGTCTCTGTGTGTGTGTGTCTGTCTGTCTGTCTCTCTCTCGCTTTCTTTCTGCCACTCACGCATTCTTTCCCCCTCCCGCTGTCTGCTTGCTGGGCAAGAGGGGCCTCCTAAGGCTCTCTTGCCTCCCCTGTACCTCTTCCGCCTCTCGCCTTGCCCCCCCTGCCCTTCTCTCGGCGCAGCGGTGCTTCCCGGGGAGGAGCCGTGTGCAAGGCTTCCCGGCAGAGAGCACAAATGGCTTCGACAAGCCCCCCTTTCGAGCCACACAAGGAGCAGCTGCGGCAGCCTCAGCAGCAGCAACTGCCGCAGGAGGAGAAGGATGCAGAAGCTCACGTTCCTGTATTCGGCCATCACTTGGCGATTGTCGTTCCCCTGTCTTCTGTGCGTAGCTGTTTCGTTCGACTGAGCGGTCCCCCTTCAGCGTCCATTCTCTGGCAGGGGCAGCAGCGACACTTCTGCCGCGTGCTGCAGCTGCAGAAGCTCGAGCGGCATCACCAGCAGGGGGGTGTCACGGGAGCAGCTGCGTCTGTCCTCGCGAAGGCTGCGGCGTCTCTGGGGTCCCCTCAGCTGTATGTTGGCTGGCTGGGGGAAGGGCTGAGTGCCGAAGACGGCGCAGCTGTGCAAGAAGCGGCAGCCGCAGCGGCAGCAGCAGCGGCAGCAGCAGCGGACGTTGTCTTTGTCGGGATTTCCGCCGTTCTGTGCAGCCTGCTGAACCTGGGCAAGGGTGAGCGCGTGGCTGTCGCTGCAGTTGATGTGAACCGCCTCGAGAGACGGGCGCAGCAGCAGCACTACGCGAGCAGCCATTATTACCCCCTTGTCTCCAGCCTGGAGGTTATCCCGCTCACCAGCGACGACTGGGAAGCCGTCCAGCTGCACGCAGAGTCGCTCGAGGACGACATCTTGCAGCAAGTCGCTGTGCTGCTTCCAGGGAGACCTTTTCCCCTGTGGATTGGCAGCAGTCACAAACCCGCGCTCCTGCGTGCCTGCCTGCCGCATCAGCGAGTCGGCGAGGAGTCTCCGAGAAGGCATGCAGCAGGCAGCAGCGGCGTGCAGAAGCATGCGCCTTTTGTCCTGTTGAGCTCCGACACGGAGCTTTACGTGCGGCCCCTTGCGCAGGCAGCGTTCCGGCGAGCACCTCCCGTCACAGCCTTAGACGCGCTGGCTGATGGCTCTGCTGCGGATAGCAGCAGAAAGCGGAAGCACGACATTCTGAGGGTGCTGCCTAGCCTCGACGAGCTCGACGCGGACGGAAAAGGCCTGAGAGACCCCCTGTGCTGCTGCGGCTGCTGCTGCTGCTGCTGCTGCTGCTGCTGCCATGAAAACGCAAGGCCTCATCGACCTCATTCGCCCCCTGGGGGCAGCAGGCTTGCCTCCCTGCCATACCTCTGCTACATGCATCCTTCGCACGTCAAGGCATTGCAGCAGCGGCAGCAGTGGCTGCTGCCCGCCTTGCGGACTGCCCAGCCGTCGCTGGATGACGGAGGAGCACGTCCGGTCTCGCAGGGGCAGAGGGCGAGACTCCAGACCCTTCACTTGCAGCGTCTTGCAGCGGCGGAAGAAGTGGCAGTGGTGCGTGTTGGCGGCGCCCTTGGGGCAAGGACGGGGGGGGAAGCCTCTTCTGCAGACGATCTGCAGGATCGAGGCGGAAGCCATGCGATCCTGATGGGCGTGGCTGCTGCGCATGTGCCCCTCGGGTGCGTGCGACTGCCCCTCTACCTGCGGAGGCTTTATGGATGGTTCATCAGCAGTAGAGTCTCTGTTGCACCCTGCGTAGTGCCCCCGACCCTGCCTTCCTCGCTCCTGCTCACGCCGCTCACGTTCGCGCAGTCGGCTGCTTGCTTTCCTCCCGAGCATTCGGTTTCCGAGGAGGACGCAGGGGCAGGAAGGCCACACGATCCCTCGAAGAAAAACCGCCTCTCCAGCACTTCGCTTGGACGCCTTCTCAGGGCTGCACTGCTGCAAAGCGAAGACGGAAGATCTCGCCTTCTGGACGCCTTCCTTGATGGTCTCGACGTGCAGACGGCGGGAAGGGCGGAGGCTGCCTCGGTCTCACCATCAGTGCAGAAGGACCATCACCTCCCCCCCGCCGACGAAGTCTGCAACGCGCCTCCTTCGAAAACGCAGGATCTGCCAGAGGCCCCTGCTCCGGCTGCCTTCTGCTCCCTCCTGGGGCTTCCCCTCTGGAACGGCGCACTCGTGCGACTGGCGCTGCATTTAAGCTCCGATGAGGTGGCCAGGTTGTTGCATTCCCACAGCGCACTGCAGCAGCGGGAGCCAGAAAAGCCGCACGCGGAGCTAGCCGCTCGTGCCACGATTCCAGCGAAAGAACGCGCTGAGGACGGGGCGGAAACCTCCGAGGAGGCGTCCACGGAGAGCCGACCCTCAGCGTTTCTTTTGACACGGGAGCTCCGAGAGCTAGAGGACGGCCTTGGGGATTTGTATGTCGCCTCATCAGACACGGGGAGCGGCGGGGAAGGCGGCGCTGCCGAGGATCCACGCAGCAGCAGTCCCGAGCACCCCTGCGCACGGCCTTCCCTTCCAGCGGCTTCAGGGGGCAGCCCAGGTGCACAGCTCCAAGAGCCTCTGGAGTGGGCAAAAGTGGCGGCGCACTGCAGCGTCGTGGAAGAATCTGGCATCGAGACTTTCCGTGGGCTCCCCAGGGTGCGCGCTGCAGGCGGTTCCTACCGGAAAGTAGGGGCGTGGATCTCCTCAGAGTCTCCGGGAGAAACTGTCGCAGGCCCTCGCACGGCAGACGCGACGGGGGGGTGGTCTTCGCCTCCAGCTGCTGCTGAAGAGACACCCGCTGAGGGCTCCTCGCCGATGCATCACGTGGCGCTCGACGTTCTTGTGTCGTTCAGCTCGGCAGACACGCAAGAAGGATTGGCCACCTCGCCGAGTGCTCAGAGAAACGGTGCTGCCTCTGCACATATGAAGGCTGCTCCTCCCCACTTTAGCCGCTCACTGCCCCCCGTGTTCGCGCCTCTTTGCCACCACGGGGGGGACGGGCAGATGCGGGAAGAAGACGCAGGTCCCCATTCGGAGGATGACGCTTGCGTGTTGCTAAACGACGCTTTGCGAGGGCTTGTGCGGCAGGGGGCCCTACGGGCTGCGGTGACGGAGCCTTTGCGCGTCCTTGTGGGGTCGGCGGGATCGAGCGACTCTTGTGGGGACTTACGTCTCCCCCTGCGCCACGGAGGTGCATCCTGTGAAACCTTCGGCGAAGCGTTGCCGAGGCGCTTGAGGGGCGAGCATCAGACAAGCCGCTCGGTGCCGTCTCCAGCTGGGCCGAAAGCAAACGACGCTTCTGGACGAGACGGAACAGGAGCAGTGCGCCTAAAGTGTTCGCAGCTGGTAATCGACCCCGAGGCTTTCAGAGCTGCTCAGCGCCTCTGGTGGCTACTGCCACCGACCTTGTCAGCACGCCTTTCCGCTGCAGACGCATACACTCCCAGCGACTCCGCGAGTGGCTTTGAAGCCCGACTGCTTCGGCTGCTGCAGCAGGGCTGCGTAGAGACTCCCGCTGCGGAACTTCCCCTCTGCAGCTGTGGGGGGCAGCGGGGGTGTGCCACTCCCATTGATTTCCTTCTGCACCTCTCCAGTGTGGTTTCTCGGCCCCTGCTTGCCGACTTTCAAGGGCTAAAAGCCTTTGGGAACTGTCCGGATGCCCTTAAGCGCGCAGGCAAGGCTTTGCATGCTAATTCAGGGAGGTTCAGGCTGGGCAAGAGCATCCTGCTTTGCGCCTCGGAAGGCACTCTAGAGGAGGCGCCCGTAGACTGCAAACGCCTCCCGAGCACCCGGCCACTCAGACAGCCCCCCTCCCCTCTCCCTCAACGTCTAGCGAACACTGCAATCCCGTTTTTTGTGGGGGTTTATGAGAAGACTGTGCTGCTGCGCATTGCGGTGCCGTGTTGCACGCAGTCTACAGACGACTGGGGCAGCTGGCTAACCCCGACGAAGACAGGGGGGACGGAGCGTCGGATTCACGCGTGTCGCCTTCCTGCTCAAAAACCTTCCTTGAAACAGACGCTGCGGAGAGCAGGGCTAGCCGGGCCCTTAGCGCGCTTGGCAGTGCCACCTTGTTGGTAAGTAGAGCGGCAAGAGCGAGACATCTACCTACGTCAAGGCTTCCCGAATCCTTGAACGCACGGGAACTTGAAGCCCATTCTAGCGACAAAATGCGAAGGAAGCCTTTTTCTCGGACTGCAGGCATCCTTCTGAGCATCTTTCTCCCTCGTAGGTGCATGCATGCACCTCAAACAAAATCTCAAGGCTTTTCTTGTGTTGCGCAGGTGTGCGGCCCTCGAGGCAGCGGACGCTCTGCTCTTTGCAGAGCCATTTGCGTTGACGTGATGCGGCGGCTTGGTGTCTTCAGTAAGAGACACTTCTCTGGGGTATACGGGATGTAGGGCTTAACGGGTGGGGGAGTGGGCAGTCCTTAGGGCTGTGACGCGTGTCTGCTGTTTTGATGGAAAGGAGCCGTCTGCGGCGGGGGGAGGGGGAGGGGTGGCAAAAGGGGGTTTTGAGGCGAAGAGCAACAGAGAGACTGCGCCGGGTCTGCACGTGGAAAAGTCCTCTTGAAGCCCTTCTTAAGAGCGCTGCTGCCCTTTCCCCCCTTCTGACACTTGAGATCTTCGCACGCCAGTGGGAAATGCGTGTTTCTGTGCGGGGGCGTTTTGCAGCCATGATCGTGCACTGCCGCCTACTGGCTCGGGAGGCAATGCCGTCTGTCCTGATACGCCATGTGCTTTCTGCGGCATTCGAAGTCGCTGAGGCGAACAGCCCGTCGCTTCTGCTGCTGGAGGATTTGGTGAGCACCTTGCGTCGCTGGTCTATTCCCTGTGATCTCCAAGTGCAAGGCTCGGGAGAGGGGGGAATCCGGGGAATGAACTTAACGGCTTGCTCCTCAGGGTTTGGGCAGAGAGCGCAGCACCCCATATGCAGCTAAACCAAAACAGTGAGGGTGACGTTAGGCGAAGATGCGATGTCGGGAAGGCTGCAGCTTAAAACAGCTTGCACCCGGATGCCGCGTTAGAGAGCAGCCTAGCAGAAACTCTTCTGGTGTCAACTCAGGGGGCGTGCCTACGGCTTCAACGGTGGGAGTTTCATTTGCGCGGGGTGTAGAGGGAGGGGGGACCGGTTGAATGCCGCCCTGTAGTTCTTTTTTTGCTGACTATCTTCCTGACTCGCAGGATGTTTTGTGCTTATCGGGAGAGGATGGAGGAAACCTCCCGACTGTAGCCCACGCGCGAGGGACAGCTATTGCCGCATTCCTCTGTGATCTAATAAATGGGGTGTCTGAGGCAGCCTCTGCAGCTGGCAGTTGCCGGCTGGATGGCTTAGGAGGGCAGCATGGAGTGCGAACGTCTTCGCGCCGAGTCCTCACGCTCGCAACCTCCGTGAACCTCTCCTCCCTACACCCCCTCCTTGCGCGCCCCTCACTCTTTGGTTCCTCCAAAGTAGAAGTAAACTGCGACACTTGTAAGCAACGCCAGCAAATCTCGACAGACAGACAGAAGCTCGCTTGCCCTTCTGCCACGTCCCCTTTCTTTGTGTTTTCAAGCTTCTCTGCACACCCAGCGGAACGCCCTCAGGAGCGCAGCTTTGTGGAGGTGTCAGGCAGCAGAGTGGTGCTCGTCCTATACCCGCGGTGCTCTAGGGGGTGTCAGTTCCGTCCTGCTTTGTGCCAAGGAGACGGCGTACAAAACAGTGCTATTCCTGTGTCATCACGTGTTCTTAGAGCCATCTGTATCCCTGCACTGGGTGGCCTCTTGGCCGTCATGGTATGCCTGCGCGTGCGTGTGTGTGTATCTCGTACTGCTGCGCACAGCGATGGCTAGTGCCCGCCTAGAACTGTTGCGTGCCCTTGTAGGGCTCTCCGCAGCCACGACGGAACGTGGAATTCCCTTATCCCCTCCTCAAGCCGTTCATCCCGCCAGTAATCATCTCTTGCCCGTTGGCGACGCCCGAGCGGTGACCACTGACGCAGGGAGTCTTCGGGATATTGCAAATCAGCTGGAGGGATACAGCCTTGCAGACTTTCAGGTCCGATTTCAAACAACTAGCATTCTCTGTTCCACGACTGGCCAGTGACGGTTTAAGGAAAAAAGAAGAAGCCTGGGAAAGCCATCTTCGAGGACATGAGTGGCGACAATGCCCGCGTGCACTCTCTCCGCTTGATTTCCTGCTATTCGTGCAGGCTGTGGTGTCGCGCGCCGTTGGCGAGAGCCTTTTAGGATATCCTCTCAAAGTCTCAGAAGCCCTTACCTCGCCGTACGATGCGGAGAAGCCACCCCTCGCCTTTATCCAAGCGGCTCATCTCCGTAAAGCCCTTGCGGATGTGCGGCCTCGAGCGACACAGACGCACGCCTTTATTCAGTACGTTGCACGCAGCTTTACAGAGGCGGTGCTATTCTTACAGCTACGGGATAACACGGATGCTTTCTTAGAAACTTGCTTGCAGGGTGTCGTGTTTCAGTTGAAACGCATGCCGTCAGCATGACCTATTTCTCTTTCCCTCCTGCCTTCCCTGCCCCTTCTAGCGCATGTACCAAGTGCTCAAAGAAGCCTCAGATTTGCGGGTCAAGGCTATAGGCTGCCAGGATTTGTGCTTGTATTCCAGGCCCAATCTCCGCTACTGCCACGTTGGCGGTCTGCACAAGGTCAGCAGGGGGATTTTCCTCATGGGTGCATGGTGAAGAAGCCCTTCTCCTGTTTCGCCACTAGAACCTGTAGGCTGCTGCTGTCTGTGCGAGTGCTTCTTCCCCGGGAGCTGCTACGCCCGTGTTTATCCCTTGGCTTGGTTGCTGCAGCCGAAGGAAGACCTGCATGACCTCTTGACCCTACAGCGCAGGTACCCCTTGCTGTTGAGGGCGTCCGGCATTGCAGTTCACCAAGGAGTGCTGCTCATTGGTCCCCCCGGCTGCGGGAAAACGCATCTGGCTCTCGCCGCAGTGGGGGAGGCGGGCATTCGTTGTATCCAGTAAGCCGAAGAGGACGACTGAGTCAGCGAAATCAGTGGCAGTGGGGGCTATTTCGGGGGTTGGTGGACGGCTCCGCTTGAAAAGACATTTTCTACGAGCTCCTATCACAGCTGGCTTCACAGCAGCTGCAAGGCACCTATGCACCTGGGGTACTGATTGCCCATGCGTGTGGCAGGATCGGTGGCGGCTGCGATACAGTGTCACTGTGCGTCGTGAGGTGCATGCAGCATTAAAGGGCCCGAGTTGCTGGGCAAGTTCATTGGATCCAGCGAGGCAGCAGTGCGCGATGTCTTCCAGAGAGCCAAGGCTGCGAAACCTTGTGCCATTCTCTTTGACGAAATTGAGGCCCTGGCCACTAAGTATGCCTTCTGTGCCTATCGCCGTGCAACTGCTTGTTAGGCAGGGGTCTTAAGGCCTCTTAAAAAACTTCTGTTCGACAAATTCGCGGCTTTTCCGAGCCGCGCGCGCAATTCGTGGTCTGTAAACGGATTCTCCCATGTGCTTCAGACGGGGCGCAGACACCACAGGCGTCACAGACAGAGTGGTCAACCAGTTGCTGTGTTACCTCGACGGCATTGAAGCCCGTGAAGTGCGCTACCTTGCCCGCGTCATCCTTTCACCCGCCCCCCCGTACTCGCTGCTCGCTCGCTCTATGGAGCCTCGAGACACTTTAGGCCGAATGATCTTCGCTTCTGCGTTTTCTTAGTGCGCCACGTGAAACTCGTGTACTCGAGACTGCCGAACAACGACAGGGTGTTCCTGATCTGTCAACACGCAAGCGGTGTGCGCTTGTTGTGAGCACCTCAGTGCAGCTCTCTCTATCTCTCTGCATGCGGGCAGGACGTCTTTGTGATCGCAACCACTGCTCGACCCGACCTTGTAGACTCGGCGTTGCTAAGGCCTGGTCGATTCGACAAGGTAGGAGAAAAAGAAGTTTACAAGGGCTTCTTTCCCTCACAACCAACGGCTCGCCCTGTGCAATCCCATTCCCGGACGTGACACTCAGATCCTCCGGGGGGGGCATGCGCTGCTAAGAATGCGTTCGCAGCCCCGCGAAAGGCCGCTTGCTCTTTTTACCATCATCGCGGTAATTAGATTTTGCCCGCAGGGTAATGCGCTTGTTTCATTGCGTCTTTAGGTCTGCTTCTGCGGGCTTCCGCAATCGGATGCTGAACGGCAGGAGATTCTAGCCGTGGCTTTGAAGTCGCTCAACTCCAACATCGTCTTGGACACCACAAATCTTGCCAGCATGGTCCCCCCCGCCTTTACCCCCGCAGATATTCAGGTGCGCCGTCCGTTGGTCGCCGCCGTAGGGGGGTGTCGTAACGAACTACACATATACAAAACGTGGGCATGCATGCTGCAGTCCATTACTGACCTCTCACGGACTCAGCTTTCTTTCTCCTCAAGAAGGCAGCATGAGGCCACCAGGCTACACTCACCTCGCCAACATTCTTTTTGCATCGTATGCTTCTGCCCGTGCGCGTTGGTCAGGCAGCAGTGAAGCAGGCCCAACTCTACGCCGTCCAGGAGGCTCTCGCGGCCTGCACCGGCGGTATGCAGCGGTAGCACAGCTTTGGCGCACCATCCACTACAGACCTTTTTCGGTAGTAGCAGGGCTTATGTCTGTGTGCTTTAGTGGGAGGCCTGCGGATGGTTACTCTCCAAGATAGTGTCACTCCTGAGGCGTTTAACGAAAGCTGCACAAGGCCTGCACAGACATAACGTATAGGCGGACATCGGTACTGAGTAATCCCAGGCAGCCATGCCATATGCTTCTTCAGATGGGGATGCCCCTGATCATGCGGCAGTTACAAAGCGGCACCTTACGGCTGCGATAGAAAACGCCAAGCCTTCCCTCAGTATTCAGGTATTTGAGAGGCCCTGCGCAAGAATCGAGAATCGGTGCAGCGGACTTCTACAGCAGGGGGGGATACGAGATTTGGATCCTGTGGTTCCCAAGGCAATACCTCATAACTCAAAGATTTCTGCTTTAGAGTGCTGCATTCCTTCCCCTCATGTTCCGTGCTTCCCGCTTGGCTATCTTTTACTCGCGACCGTTTTCGCTGCTGCCCTCGACATTGAAGGTTGTTTTTCTATGTATTCTTTGATGTTTGAGGCCCTTGTTGTTGTATTTTGGGTTGTAGGCCCCTGTACGTCTGTCGCGTCGCCTCCGCAGGAACTGCAGCGCTACCACCGTTATTGTCTGCCAATTGTGAACAAGGCATGCCACGAGAGCATTCGAGTCCTCGAGAACGTACTTTTGCATTCGTCTCAAGAGAACCGAAGTAAGGGACATTCTGTTTTCAATATGGAGAAGCTCACAGACAAGAAAAAACCAACGGCTGAATCTCCAACGCTGGAGTGTGTCCAGAGTCCGATGCGACCGCCAGGCAGTACGCAGTGCTTGCACGAGAGCGAAAGCAACAGCGAAGCAGATCTTGAAGAGGCATTCAAAAGCGGTGAAGTTATCTTGAGCCCCACCTTACCGCCTTCACCTGGCTCTGCAACTGTATCACCCAGGATTGGAACCTTTAATGGCGACAGGCATGATCCATCTATTATCCCAGAATTAGATGCAAGTATGTGCAAAATCAAAGCTCTTGGGGATGGTAACAAACTGGAAAGGGGAGAAGCAGACAGGAGCTGTAATAATGGGCTACCCGCCGAGAAAAAGAGGAAGAGAAAGAAGCTACCGGCCCAACTGGCTGGAAATCGCGTGGCTTTGGCCTGATTGCCAGTCGCTGCAACAATAGGAGATACAAATCGTAAATACTGTTGCTAGTATGGTACTTCTGATGCCACAGAGGTGCCAACAGCGCGCCGAAAAGCTTGCAGCTGTTTTAGTCAGCAAAACAGCAAGCAAAGATGCTTGGCTGATTAGTTCCCTCTTTTTATACCTGTGCAATTCCAAGAGGGATCATTATTTGAAGTCTGAACATGACACACAGACTCACACCTCCATTTGGAGCATCAGCTGGGGACAGATGCCAGATGTTACGGGTAGAGGGATTTTTGAAGAAGGCAAGAATGAAGTCCTGACTATACTCTTTTTCTCTATGTGCGTCTTGAGCTAGGCGCAGCATGAGAGCCTTCCAATAATCAATTTGTAGATATTTGAATGGAGAAGAAGGATGTGGCAAAGTAGTTAGAGCACCGATGCTATGTTCCCCGTGCGTGATAGGGGAGCTTTGCCAGGCACAACAAATGCATTTCCTTCATCCAGTGTGAGGTGTTTAATCTTTCACTGACTTTACTCCGTCACTTCTGCCAACAGCTTTAAGTATGGCAGAGTCCTGCTGCTTGCGCATCCTGTTAAACTAACTCAAGTATAAGATCAAGCAGTACCCCAGGTTCCCGGATATTGTACGACACGTGCTGATGTTTTGACAATAATACAAGATCACAAGGTACTCTTACTATTTTTTTCTAGATCTATTCGAATCTGGCTTAGTTTACGTGAGCTTTAAAATGTACATTTGTCAATCGCGTGGTGCATCGGTCGTCCGCCCGTCTTCTCAGCTACCCACACGCTCACACATTGCAACAACACCTATTAATACGCGTTCGTTCTTGAATTCAAGGTGTATCAAAGATGTTTTCAACAGCTAGCCTGAATGGATTGCAGTGGTTGCCACTCGGCGCTATCAATGTAGCAGGGTCGGTGTTGCCTTCATTGGAAACAGGTACTGCATTCCATGCTGGAGTTTTCCTCATCCAGCCTTTTAAAAGCTTTGATATGTCCTACTAAATAGATTAGGGTTTGATATGAACTCTACGAAATGCCGCAAAATCGCGTGCGTTGGGCGCAGAGTTCTGTGGACCGCTCTCGGAAGGTCTTGCGGAGATGGGAAACGAACATCAGCATTCGACGATCTAGCAGACTGATGCCTGTATGATTCAGACTGGTTAGAATGGCCAAATACACAATGCCCGTAGGCTATTTGCTGGCATTATTAGAGCTATTCGACTTTCGGTTGCAGACACGGTGTGTGGTGGACACATAGGCGATGCGTGGACCGCAGAATCAGATAGGCGCAGATTACCGAGCCTCATATGTGCTGGTCCAATAAACAGTTGCTTGTGGCTTCCTAAACGTAAAATGCTTTGATTATTACTTTTCTCTGCAGGAGTATCGTGCCATTTTCTAGGCATTTGTTCTTCTCAGTCGTGTCAACCAGGTACTGCGTTATGCAGGACTAGGGGCACTCACTCTACGCTGTGGAGTATGCACGTCCCTTATTAAGGTATTCAGGTGCTCTTTGCTGCTTATTTCATTGTGTTACGTCCATAGCATACCAGATCTGGGGCTATGAGCCGTGCTTCAAAAATGAAATTCTTGCTTTTTGTCGCTGCTTTACTGCACGTGGCGCTGGTCACCGCTGGCCATGTTGTTAGCGTACAGGTTGAGGCAGCATCGTCTGAAATACCTGCGACAAGCTTTTCAGCAGACGAAACCGATTCAACAGCTGCCGAAACTGCAACGCAGAGGGGAGCTGCCTACGTGCCTTTCGCTGAACTTGCGCCAAGACAAAAAGTCATGGGGGTGATAAATACAATAGCCATTCTTCGGACCAAGGCTGCGCTCCTTGAGGATATGAAGTCAGCTTTTGAGCCGAGGTCCACCGGAGACCCTACAGGATTCCTGTATGACAGGCTGCTCCCAGGACCAGCACTCGCTTACGGCGACTGCCGCCTCGGAATCCTCCCCTTTTCTGTGTGCAGGCACTTGGGATTTCTCGCCACTGACCCGATGGTTGCACCGAGCTCCACTCAGAGCAAATTACTTAGGCTTACTGCTGCCAGTTGTCTGATCACTTCATTCTCAAACGGGCACCTCGACCTGCTCGCAGACCCGGACTTGAATGCAATTCTGGGGCAGGAGCTGCTCGCCTCAGCGACACAGGCCCTCGCATCCTTCTGGAACTGCCAGCTGATGACCCCGGCATTCGATATACGAGGGGCATCTCTGGGTTCCCTGAGGGACGCGCTGCGAGACGCGGATACATTTTTGTTCCAAGTTGCAATGCAGGCGAAGGAAATCATTCGTTTCTCCCGGCAAGAGTATAATGAAGTGGCCGCCTTTCTTGCCGCATTGTTCTCAGAGAGCGAATTAAGTGCCGCAGGTCACCGAGAAGAGAAGCCACAGCATACCGGGCGCGCAGTTCGCAGCATCGGGACACAGATCCCTGAACCTGCACGTTCCTTAAGCAGGCAGGAGGAAAGTGACATATTTGGAGGTTTTTTAAGTCGGCTTTTTACGTCCCAGCAATCGGAGAAACCACCTGAGTCTGTGGAAGTAACGCCCTTCATGCCAGTGTCGCCAACCGAGATCTTCGGCAGCACCCAGTTTGCAGGTCTGGCCGGCTCCCTCGGGAATAACCTGACCTCACTCGTGCACAGTACCGCACGCAGCGCTGCAAAACTCGTGAATGGCGAAGCTCCTCTGGATGACGCCGAAGTAGCTGCCTCCAACGAGGCCACTGGAAGGCGGGTCAACACTATCGTGGACATGCTACCTGAAAATGTGGATGGACAGTTCCGGTGAACCAACACAGTGAGGCAAAATGAGTCGTATGTACTTCATGCAGAGCTACAATCCGTCGATGCATCCATTCCATTTCCATGCGAACAATGGAAGCACATGGAAGCCAGTCATTCGTTGCACATCTCGACGGCTCTTGCTATCTGGGCTGAACAGGAATTGTGAGGTAATTAAACACTGAACTTTACTTATTTCGAAGCCGCAAACTCGCCATTGCCGTTGGCACGCTACTGGGGGGCGCCATCGTGTGAAAGCTGAGAATCGATATTGACCGAATAGTGTGTGTAGCGCCGCTACACTAGTTTTCAACATCAAGAAACAATCTACCGTTGCGCTAGTGAGAGAAAAACACGTGTGCTGTTCCGTTGCTAACAGCAGTACCACCGCTGCAAAGCATAGAAATCCCATTTCCAGGATTGTGGGTATGTACCCGCTCGCGTGCTTCAAGCCCGATGCGAAATGACGTTTTGAATGGCAGGCCACTATTAAACTCTCGCCCGCCAGTTATAAGTTGCAAAGTATGCTGCCATGTACAACCAAACTCGACGATGGAATGACCAGTTGCAATGAACAGAAAAGTTCATCATTGTGAGCCGCGCTGGATCCCACACAACGTACTGGGGTATCCTTTTCGTGGACCGCGGCACTGGCTGGAAACCTAACTGCTGATGCAGTCTGTCCTCACCAGACTTCTCCTCCGTACAATGTAGGCGGTATCTACTAGGCGGACTGATTATCCTACATCCTCATAGTTAGCTCCCGCTTTTATCGCTTCATGAGGTTCTATTTGCCCGGTTACTTCAGCATGGCAACTTCACTGTCCTTCATGAACTGATGATCCACGAGCGAAGCAGACGTCACTCAAAAGTTGTAGGTAGCCGCGTCACGCCACTGCACAAGCATTTCTACCAGTTGATCACGTTCCTTCTGATTCTTTGCCCGAAGTGGCAGCTCGATTCCAGCAGGGTTATCCTCGTTGGGCGGTCCAAAGACGCAGAGGCAAATCTTTGAGGTCACTGAAGCGGGAAACCACAGGCGAACACAACAGCTCCTGTGCCCTCCCTATCTCACTCATGTGGTGGTGTAGGTGCGAAACTGCCCTAGGTGCACACCAGGACTGACGAAGCCGAGCATGCAATGCATACCCGAGGAAGCACGTATCTGCACCTAATCGTGCAGAGAATCAAACAGCATCCGACGAATACCCCGAATCTACTTCCATAATGCAGCTGTATTAGCTATACATATTGCACTCTTCAACTGCGGGCACGGGCACTACCCTGCACGTGATGCGTAAAACCGCGAATCATGCCCACCCGTCCTAGACGACTTCTTGTTTGCCTTGACAAGCGCAGGGTGAGAGAGGCCTTTTGCCACATTTCGAATCCGAACAATCGGAACCCGATTATTCCAATCCGTTTCATTACCCACATTCCACTCAAAAGCGCTGCGAAAAGGGCACAGCACACACTAGTAGGACGAAAGTTTGAAACATGAAGACAAAAGAACAATCGGACAGGGGGTGCCGCTGCTGTGAATGCTCTTGTTTTGCACGAATCGTGCCTCACTTGAGGTCCTGAGAACTGCGCCATCTGATTTTATCTGCATCCTTGTCACCGATGTACACTTTGAGCTCCCCGCCTTTGCGTAGAGCATCCTTGACATGAACAGGAAGATCGTGGACGCCATTGGGATACGGATCGACATTCCACTGCGTTATATTCAAATCCAGTTCCGTGACTGTGGATGCAAACGCGTCCATCGGGTCCAGGCCTGAACTCGCAGAAACGCCATATGCACAGCACACCAAGAAAACATAACGCAGACGCACCGAACCTGAGCGGCGAATGGCGCGGCTGCTACAAAGAATTATTTGCATGAAAAAAAAACGCCTGTTGCAAAGCGCGTATGTGCCTACGTAGGCACATACGCGCTTTGCAACACAAGCACGACAGCCGCCTAATTTGGCCTGCGTATTGAAACACTTCGCAAAGATCCTGCTTCGAGCACCTGCGCTCTATGCACAACAGCAGTACGCACTTGAGCTCAGAGCCTCGAGCGTCTTCTGGCACTCATCGCGAATCGCCTTCTCCTCGGGCTTCTTGACTGGCAGCTTAGTGACACTCTGCGGCGGCATCATGCAGAGGGCGCAGCTTGTTAGACACCAGTAAAAGGGGGTGGGCGGTCATGCGGCATGGGAGAAGCCGCATTCGTTCTACACACAACAAGCTAGCAGCTTGTCTCAAGAGACGGAGATCTGCAGGCAGGCTCGGATGTCCTGCATGCAGAAGACCGCCCTGCCTGTCTGTCTGCCTCTTTTTGCTAGCTTGCATTCATTTGCACTGCCTGCCTCACCCCCTTGAATGCGAGCACCAGTTCCTTCGTCTTGATACTATCGTACATGTCTCCCGACGTCATTGCAATCGAGTTTACAATGATGCAAGAGAGCTGCGCAATAGACATCTCTCCGGCGAACGTGGTTAGAGCCTGCAGGATCACCAACTCTCCGCCGCTGCCAACAAACGAATCTTGACCCATCTGCTCCGAAACAAAGTGAGCAGCCACACCTGAGACGCAGCCACAGCACCGCAGGACGCCTCTATTCCGCGCAAAGACCATGATCTGCAAAGAAGCCGCTCTTTGCGGGCTACTCGAAGAAGGGGAGAAAGCTTTCAAGAGAAAGAGACTCGCGAAAAACGTCCCCCCTACCCACCCCCCAGGCCCCTCCACGCCGCAAAGGCATTTCTCGAGAGTGTATGCGTGTGTATGGAAGCTACAAACAAGGCTAAAAGAGACTTCTCAGGAGTCGTTTTCGATACGCCACATACCGAGGCATACGCGCTGCAGACGCAGCTGCTTCGCATGCGCCTCCGAGCCGGCACAAGCGCACACAGCTTGAATGATCGCGCCAATCATGACCTCGTCCATGCCCATGTGATACCAACCGCCTGAGAGGAAAAAGGACCAGGCCCCTAGCGTGATGGCGCAAAAATAGACGAAGGGTTAAAGGCGTTAGATGGACACGCTAAGAACTACAATGCCCACCCTCCTCCACGTCTAGCTCCCCCCCTCTCAGATTATATACGTCGAAATATACCCCCCAGTGACCACGCACCGTAGGCTGCGTTGGCAAGCTCCTCGGGATCCGGTTCTGCCCCTGGAATCTCGCCGTTCTCGTCAGGGATGGCCCCCGAATCTTGCGCAGCCTTCGCGGCTGCATCGTGCAGCGCCTGGACAGCTGCCGCACGCTCATCCTGGGAACGTGTCGTTAAAGCGAGGAGGCAAAGCAGCACACGGCACGCCTCCAGCATCACCATCGGCTGGTTAATCGACTTGCAAATCACGTTCGCCACAGTCGCAATGCCACCTGCACGAATATTTGGCGCGCAAAAATACGCACATATGCAATATGCAAGAATACACACAAAATACACGCAACATACAGCACACACAAATAATACACACGAATAACACACACAAAACACAAGACACATAAATAACACACAACCGCCTTCTCATCTAGGCGACCGGCCCGAAGCAGGGTCTTACACACGGCAATTTCGCTTAAAAAACCATCTATTTCTGCATATATATATTTTATCTACATTGATATTTCCCTTGACTGCTCCTGGATGCGTCTCTCTCCCTCGAGAAGAGTTTTTTTAACTGTCTACACAACACGCACCTGCGTTGCAATACTCGAAAGCGAGTTCTTGAGACCGGACGATACGCCGAGTGCAGCGCAAACCACCGACAACAAGGTCTGTTACCTCGTTGCCTTCAGCGTCAACCTCCACGCATCCCACCAGAATGGAAAACACGTCAGCCTCTACCATCCGCTGTACCGAAGACATGACGCTCGACTGGATACTCAGCAAGTGGATGCCTGCACATATTTACACAATGCACATATGTACACAATGCACACATGCACACAATGCACACATGTACAGAATTCACACATGTACAGAATGCACGCAAGTACACAATGCAGACATGTACAGAGTTCACACATGTACACAATGCACACATGTACACAATGCACACATGTACACAATGCACGTTTTAGACACATACACACACAAGCAATGCGGTACAACGTATACAAGCACACACACACACACACGCACACACACATACCCCAGAAGAAAAGCCCAGGAACACTGCGCCCCTAGAGTTCGATCCATTCCACAAAACTCAGAACCAGATGGCTACGCTGAGATACAGACAGACAGACGGACACTCGATCAGCGACACGAAAAGAGATGCCACCACCAGCAGAGGGAAAGGCGTTCGCTTTTTTGGGACGCGCGCTAGCCACGTCCAAAAAAACGTATGTGCGTCTGTTGCTGTCGCATACCCAACGTCAGCAGGCCGACGTCATAATCGAATTGATGAATAATGCGAATCGTTGTTTCAATACCGCCGTTTTCTGCAAACGTGACAGCGTTCTCGTTCAAACGACACAGGGAGGCCTCGATGTCCAGAAGTAGCAGGAGCGCCTTTGTCTCCTGGCGTCCTTGCTTTGCGACCTAAAACAATCAGTTACAGCGTCGCAGAGTGCATGCGTGTCACACATGAACCCCGTCTCCTTCCTACCCACAGCAGCATCCGCCTCCAGCACACCGCCTCACGAGCACAAACGGTTCGCCACACTCTCTGACGGTGCCTTGGCTTGCAGTCGAAAACTCTCGGGCTCAGCCGCAGCACCAGCAAAGTCGCCTGAAAGCCTACTTGCATGCACGGAAGCAGACAGACACCGAACTTCCGCATATTGTTCGGGTCATTTTCCATCACAAGATTCGCCAGCGTGCGGCACCCGGTTTCTAGCTGCGCGTCAGGGAATTCCTCCGTCAGATTGCTAAGCCACGCACTGTACGCGTTCTCAATTCCTGAAACAGGATAGCACAAACAACATTGTACGCCACAACGACCACCGCACACTCAGCACAGACGCGTCTCACTTATCTGCCTGCTCTCTCTCTTTCTCTGCAACCGCTCAAATGTATATAAGGATTTCGGACGGCCTCCGAAAGGCGTACCTGCATCCAAGAAGGGTTGAATGTTTGGAGTGTACAGCGACAAATTGCTAATCGCTTTGAAGAGCGATTCTAAGCAACGGATCGCGGCGCGTTCATTTGAACCATCGTAATTCGATAGACCCTATAATGTACACACACGCACATATGTATAAATATATATATACACCAGCACACATACGTACAAGTACACATCCATACACCATAATAGTGGCCACTTGGGAACGACTGCAACAGCAAGAGCAACAGCAGCCGCAAGCAGCGCTGCCGGAGACGAACGAAGCCGCACACTGGATGCTGTACAGCAAGCCTCATACAGAGAGGGCTTCTCACAAGCAAAAAACACACAGACAGAGTGAACAACCTCTTTGCATCACGTCCTACCTTCACAAGAGCAGCGGGAGCTCCGTTGGTTCCGAGGTGCTGCTTCATCGACTCGTTCTTGTACAGCAAGTTGCAGAGCAACACGGATGCAGCGTTGCAGACATCATATTCAGTGCAGCGCTCATTCAAGACGCGTACAGTGAGATCGGGACCTCCAAGCTTGTGAAACAATTCAGTATTCTTCTTATGACCGATGCAGATGTTGGCGAACGCCAGGCAGGTGTTTGTCACCACGGCTGTGGCCTGCGGATTTGGCAGAGAGCGAGAGAGCAGCTCGAAGCAGGCATTCACGCCATCCAGCTCGCCTATTTTCGTCTTGATTTCTGGCACAACTGCCAGAGATCCCAACAGGAAGAGCACATCAGGCAGCAGCGCGATGTCCGCGTTCAAGTCCTGAACGCGCATGCACAACACGTTTCAGCCCGCACATCCCCGCATAGCTTTCGACACGAGGACTGGCAGCTAGCCACCCCTCTCCCCCGCTTGTTGGCATGTCGCCGAGGCAGACGCGAAGCTATTTAAAAAAGCTGTCCCTCAGAAGATAGCCGGAATCGAATGAAGCCTTGTTCTGGCGTGAAAGGGGAAATCCCCCGTCTCCGTAGAAAGGGGTCTTGTCAGCCGCTACAGCGGCTGCAGATCTTACCTTGATGATGGCAATGAGCCGCTGCAGCACGTTGGCTTTGAGCAATTCATCAACATGCGCGTCCGAAACAACACGCCTCATGGCGCGGAACACATGTCTGAGCAGCGTGGTTGTGTAGAGGCCCTTGTCGAAGTCATTCCAGCAGCGAATAAGCTCGGAAACGGCGTGCGTCTTGTTGAAAAGATTGCGGTTGACGGCCACGCGTTCCACCAGCAGGAGTCTCGCGCACAAGTGCTCCTCCTTTCTCTCGTTTGTCATGTCAGTAACTTTGTTGACTCTGCTCAAGGCATCGCTAACAATAACCGGACTACCGGTGGTCCTCGCCGTATCCTGGGCGCACGCTGGGAATTTGCATCCTGCTGCCAGAGCCTTCACGCCGTAGAGAACGATTTCTTCGTCCTTCACACTCTTGATGACAGACAGCTCCATCTTGACGAAGTCTTGCTGCTGCAGCGGCTTGTAGTTCGGGGCGGAGGATGCAAAAATTTCCAAGGCCATGTTTCCATACTGGTGGTCGGCGCCAACTGGCGTATTCCAGTCAAGCTTCTCTCCGTTGTACATTTGCATGCGACCGAAGACGAACTCGAGTTCTTCCTGCAGAACTGCCACCTCGGAAATCGTCACGGATAGCGAAGATGCAACGCGATTATTCAGCAGGTCATACACGTCCTTGCAGGTCTTCTCGTGTGGCTGATCATCAGCCATGGCCTGGCGAATCATTGCAGCCTTCTTTCTGAGTTCGGCTGCCTCTTCGGTTCCTGTCGCATCACACAGCGCCTCCACGTAGCTTAGGGTGTCTTCGACGCCGTCGAGGCTGAGAAGCTGCCGTCCGTTGCCCTCCGCAGCGCAGAGCTGCATCATCAAATCGCAGTATGCATCAGAGCACTCCATGTCACCGGCAATCGTAGCTTGCGCCTCCCCCGCGGACAGCAGCGGGATCGCCTCCTTAATTGTACGCGCTGCCAAGTTGGCATCGCTCGCTGACATGGCAGCTAAGGCACGGCAAGAATCGCGGATCAGCGTGGGGTTGTCTGGATAGTCCTCGATGCCCTGAACAATAAGGTCGAATCCCTTGGACTGCTCTATATCGGCAACCATCGCAGCGGCTCCGGCGGCCATGAACACCCTGCACACTGCGGAAAACATAGCAATGCGCTCTTCCTCCGACAACTTCTTGCTCTCCTCCTCTGCCTGCATCCTGAGAACCAGCTTCTCGAGTGCCTTGTGCTGGCCAAGAGCATCCCCGTAAGACTGCGACAGAATCAAACGCTCTAGCAACGCTGCGTATGCGATCATGCGTTCCTCGCTGGCATTCGCTCCACACACCGCCTCGCACTCCCGCAAGGCAGAACCATCGGAAATCTGCGGAATCGGCGCAGCATTCGCCACGGCACCGTTGTACGCAAGCGCCCCCAACAAGTACATGCCCGACGTAACAACGGCATCGTTTTGCTGGTGCTGCTGCATCAGCAACAAGGTAAGGGCCACAATGTCGCCAGAGGCTCCCGTCATATCTGCACGAATCCACAAAAAATACATACACAAGCAAACGCAATGTGTCCCTGTCTGTCTCTGACTCTTTCTCTCACAGTGGCTCTAGCCCTCAGCGCCAGGCTACTCGTTAGGGATTGTTAACAGGGCTCTACAAGCGTTTGGTGCAATCGGATGCGTCTGCTTCAGCGTACACTGCGTAACGAGGGCCGTTCCGTTCGCATCTTCGGCCAAGTATCTGAGGAATTCCAGCATGCGCGCGGTCGTTTCCGCATCGTTTTTGTGGGCTTCCAGCAGCGTGTATGTCTGCGGCAAGATCGTAGGTGCAACCTCTTGGAGGGTGGGCATGCTGTACGGATTTGCAGCGCATGCAGCCAACGTCCTGTAGCCAGGAACCAAGAAGCCCTTGTTGCTGTCTACTTGTCCAGCCGCAATCATACCCCCCAGCTGATGCAGCAAGCCGCTGCTTGCCACTGCCCATGCTCCGAAAGAATCGTTGGGATCGTCGAAGCAGCGATCACACAGCCTACGCGCCACGGTGGCGACGTTCCCGTGCAGCCGCTGATCCTCGGGTGCCATCTGCAGCACTGTCGTGAGTGCAGTGAGGCATTTTTCGGAGTGTTGCAACGCATCTGCAGGGTCTTCCAGGGGGGCTGCCAAAAACATGGCCAGCTGTGAACTCAGTGCGTCTACGGTAGCCACGGTGTTCTCGTCGCCGCTCTCTGCTGTCGCAATAATCTGCAGCATGATGCTCTTGATCTGCTCGTCGGCACCCATCTTCGCGAAGAGCTCACCACCGACTTTTGTGATATTTTCGTTGTCGAAATGCAGCCGCATCACGTCCGCAACCTGGCCCATCGCCCCCAACTCCTTCAGCACTGGGCGGTCTTCCCGCGTGGTGATACGGTTCATCACGCTCAGCAACTGGAGGGCAGCCGCATCGCTGTTCTTCTGCTTGTCGATTGCCGTGGTCAGAACCATGCAAGGGACACGCACGTCGTTGCCGTAGAAGCGGCGCAAGTCATCGCTCATACCCAGAAGCGCCAAGGTAGTTGCCGCTTCGCGAACGATTTCCTCGTCGTCGCCGTAATTCTCGATAGCCGCGAAGAGCGCAACTACAGCACCCGCCTCCGAGATCCTGGCCGCCAACGAAGGATCGTTGCATCGCTCGACAAGCTCGCGCAGCGCCTGAATCGCCACAAGTCTGTTCTCTCTCCTGGGATCCTCGCTGATGATCCGCACAAGCCGATTGACGAGATTGTCAAAGTCAGGCTGCGCAAGAAGAGCTTCAACACGGGCAGGGGTCGTGGCCAGCCCCGCAAGGCACCCGCATGTTGCGGCGAGCACCGGCGCAGACTCCTGGTAACTGTCAATGCCAGAGCATAGCGTAGCCACCACGTTGAGCTCGAACGCGATATCCGCCGATTTCTTATCCGTCTTGACCATGAGACGCAATGCCTCAAGACAATGCAACGCCGCCTCCTCAGAAAAGCTGCTCCGTTCCGTCGCATTCAGAGTTGCGTACAAGTTCAGCACGCTTTCCACGTTGCCTGTCTTGATCGCGTGGAGACACCCAATCCGCACCGACGCCATCTGCTCAACGGCGTGCGCAATCTCTGACATTGTCGACACGTGCAAATCATTCCCAAGGATGTCGTAGTCGGTAGCCGCCAATGCCACGCTTTTGTTCGCCGACACATAGCCCGCAAACTGCTCCAAGTCGCTCCCAACTCCCAAACGAGCGGCTATCTTGGCACCTTCGGCCGATACCAGGAGCTCGTTCAGCTCCCCCAGGGCCTCGTGCATAGCAGCAACGTTGTTCCTCTGACAAAATAAACAGACATACACATGCATGCACGCACAACCGCATAATTCACGTGTGTGTTCCCCTCGCTCGATGTCGTGATTGGCATTCAATCAAAGGCCGAGGTGGCAGGCACCACACACATACACACACATACATACACGTACCACACATACACAGACATACACATGCAGGCATGTATGCAGGACCGTATACGACCCCAGCCAAACGTACAGCCATTCCATCCTTGCATTCTGCAATCCTCTCGGCTATCTCGCGCTCCAGGGCGTCGACAGGCATCAGCAATGCAAGAAGAGGGGCGATGGTTCTCTTGAGCTCCTTGCTCTTGGAATGTGTCCGCATCGCCACCTTCAAGGCAGACAGCACGTTGCACTTCTTCATGACTTCCGCTGATGCTGGATCAACCTTGGCACATGTTGCGAGCACCGTGAAGCCCGCAATCTGGGCATTGAGGTACATGGGTGTCTTGTTGAGATACTGGACCACCGCATTGACTGCGCCAGATCTCACGAGGACCGCCACGCCGCCTCCAGAATCGCACAAGGCAAGGTAGTTGAGGGCATCCAGACAGTTGATCTGTGAGTGTCTGCTGTCGGTGTACTTGCGCATAACCTTCATGATTGCCTCCACGGCACTCTCAATGCTTTCTCTGGCTATTCTGCCGGTGGCCGCAACGTCTCTAGCGCTCGCCGTGCAGTGCACCAGAATGTTGTCGTCAGGTTCCTCCAACTCCACAATCCGCTTCATTTGAGGAAGGCATGCAATATCGCACATGCTCACCAGCACCTGCGTCAGGTCTCCGTCCCCGCTGACTTTGATGATCTTCACAGTCTTCAGACCAGCGCGAATGACGCGCCCTTGGCCATCGAAACGGGATCCATCGATCCAGCTTTGAATTCCCTTCATGATCGTTTCCGCCGCATTTCTGGCTTCGAAAGACTGCCGCAGATGGCTCACTCGGCTGAGACCTGCAACAGCTGCAAGCGCGCGGTACGCCCTGTCGGGATCTCCCTTGGCTGTCTGCATAGCTGTGTCGAGACCACTGAGGTGGCGATTGCAATCGTTTTCCGTTGCAATCACCGCCAAGCAATTGATGCCCGAGTTCACCAGCGCCTCGTTCTGCTCGTGCTCAAGCATCGCCTCTAGCACTGCATCGACGCAGTCTGTGCTGGCCATGTAAGACTTGGCATCTGCCACCTTCGAAAGCTGCTCATACAGCTGCACAGCGCCCTGCACGATGGTTATGTCCTGGATGTTAGCCACAATCGACGCGTTGATGCCTTGAAAGCCGTTATACTCCAAAATGTTGTGAACGCTCGACAAGTTGCCAGCCAACCGATTAAGTGACAAGATCGCATTGGCCTGGAAGGCCGTATCCTTCAAGTGATAGCTGCAACACATGGCGCAGATCTCCACTGCCAAGTTCCCCACCATGTGCTGGTGCAGCTCAGCGTGCTGCGAACCTGTAAACCAACGCACAGTCGCACATAGTGTCGCATGACGCTCATCTGCTTGCGCCCTTCTCTCGAGAGAAGGTCATGAATTGTGGCAGGGAGAAAGGAGTGAGTGAGTACAGCGCCGCGAGAGCCTAAAAAGCAGCACTCTCAAGCAAGTTGTCAAAGAAACCCTCGACCGCACAGACAGACAGAGAGAAGAGGTAAATGGAGAAAGCTAGACAGACAGAGATATATGGCGAGGTAGACAGAGAAATAGGGATACATACAAGCAGAGGGAGCTAGAGAAAGACAGAGAAAGACATATAGATGGACAGCGCTACAAACAGTGAAACAGCGATATAGATACAGACAAACAGAAAAAGAAAGCGAAAGAAAGGCAAACAAACGAAAACTAAGCAGATATGCAGGCAGAGGCAAACAAACAAACAAGAGTGAGTGGTGCTCTAACCATTGGAGACAAGTTCCATTGCCAAAGGCGCGAAGTCTGCGTTCTCGACATGCTGATAGAGGAGGGGGAGGACTGTGGCGAATGTTTGGTATTGTACAATTTCGCTAGCTAGACTCTCGCGCGCAGCTAGGGGAGTCAGGGCCATGCACAAAGCCCCTAGACACTCTAGATTTTCTGTGCAATACGACACAGCTGTAGCGAGTGTGGCAACAGCGCCCGCCTGAACCATGGAATCGACGTTTGAAGGGTTGGAGGCAATGCGGGCAAGCATTTTCGCTGCGCCTCCAATCATTTTGTAGATCTTTTCGGGGTTCGATTCGAGTTGAGTCAGGCCGCTGTTAATCAATTCGCACAACATGGGGATACCCCCCGCGCGTACGATCTCATCCGTGAAAGAAGAAATGTAAGACATTGATCCAAGAGTCGTTAAAGCCTCGTCGTGCTCAGCGCTTCCTGGCGAGCTCGACTTGAGTGTAGAAAGACACTGCTGCAACTGTTCCGGTCCAACCATCGCTGCCAACGCTGCAGAACCTTTTGCAAAGGCACCCTTCTTGCTGCGATACTTATCCATCACACCAATACACTGCTCCAGCACATGGGCCTGCGCCTGCCCCTGTTCTGCCAAGTGCTTGCATGCGTCGAAGGTGGCCTCAACGCACTGCACGGAAGCCTCTGACATATCCCCACTCGCCAGGCAGAAAGCAAGAACTGCCTCCATCCCACCCGCTGCCGCTGCGCCCGCTGCGCCTGCCGGAGAATTCGTAGCAACTGCAAGAGCTGCTGCCACACGCGCTGCCGTTTTCACCTGCACCTTCTTTGTAAAGATGGCCAATAAACCAGGAGCCAAAGCGGCCCCGTCCAACGGACTCCCCGTCTTGTCCATATTCTCGACAAAGGTCATCGTGTCAGCCACAGTCGAAGAGTCGCTTGGAGAACTGGAGAAAACACCACACGCGTTTCAGTGTACTGTGTATACTGCACGGCATCGCGCTCGGTAAGGGAACTCTGTGGTCTCCCTGAACGTTCTTGGCCCCGAAACAGCAGCATGCAGGCACAAGCCAATGATTGCCCCTTCGTTTGGAGCGACGATGAACTCGACACAACGGTGCAGGACCAGCGAACAGCGAATCGATTGCAGTCAAGCCCCCCAATAAACGCCACCTAGCACGCAAAACCTTCGCGTAGTTTACCTGTTGACAATACCCAAGCAAATTGGTCCTCCATGAGCTGCCAGAAGTGCAATCCGGTTTGCATCCAAATCATCCTTGCAGGCATCAGACATTGCCCAGATGATTCGCGAGCAACAAGTCATCAGGTCTTCATCGTCTGGAAAAGTTTCCACTGCGGTTTGCATGGCGGGGAGAACTCCCCTATCCATGGCGTCTTGAGCATTTTCCCTGATTAAAGCGCCAAAGGAGCACCGCACTTCTGCTGGATTGCCACAGCCAGTAACAATCCACCAAAGGGAAAGACGGATTAGAGAGAGGCACACACACCTATTCACGAAGCCTACGTCTAAGGATTACCCGTGTACACCCACAATGGGAGGGCACATGAAGACTCACTGGTAGAGCTGATTGTTCGGGTTGCAAAAATCGGAAAGCGAGCGCAACCCGAACAAAAGCATGCGCTTGAACTTTTGATGTTGGATAATCCCCTGGACCGCAGTCGCCACGCCGGCGTCCGGGTTTCGCTTAACTGAAGACAACAGCATCAGCATGCATGCGACTTGCTGTGTCACGTCCTAAACTCGCTATGTGCGCATCGAAGTTCAACATTCCCATTGTATACACACACACACACCGCAACCCTGTCATATAAGTGGCGAGAAACGGGCGCTGCCAACGCATAGTGTGAAAAAATAATAGGGGGAGACACAACTGTCGTCTAGTACTGCTTATCAGAGCAACCCTTAAAATGCCTAGAGGATCCCTGCAGGAAAGTAGAGTTCAATGGGGTTCTACCATACTCTTCACCGACATACGGCACCCCAGTAATGCAATAAGGCATGAAGGAATGTTGAATCAAATTGCAAAATAGTTGCGAGTGAGAAACACGCATTTCGGACAACACTGATCATGGGGAAAACCTTGTGCTTGGGGACCCGTGATGACCACCCGAGGGCAACGGTAATGGATCTCGAACTGACGTTTTCCAGCCACCATCTTGGCAATGCATTAGGAGTAATTCCTCAGAGGCGAAGCTCGCTGAAACTTATCTCCTTGCGAAGGAGGCGGAAAACTGGCTGAAAGCAGGGTCTACGCAAAAACGGCGGTTCAGGAGGACGGCCCCGGTCCAATGAAAACGTCCAGGCCGCTTTAACTCTTCCAATTCTGTGACAAATACTCAGAAGGCGCAAATTTGTAGACAGGTGTAAAAGGAACACGCATATCCTGGGTGCCCTTGGGCTCTCCTCTCGCCGGCTCGCCACCGCTTCCTCTGCGACACACCGCCCTACAACAGTCGACACCATTTAACAGGGTGCTGGGAAGGGCATTCTGGCATGAATTATGCATATCCAGCGCCTCACCTAGGTCAAAATTGCCTTCTGATTAGCTTTTAAGGCGAAGTGTGTTTGCACGTGAATACCTCAATACACGACCAGCGGCCAGGGTGCAAGGATCCAGCCGCCGAGTGTCATGCGGACCCCTTGGTGGCCACTAACCTTATACTTCCTGGTATGCTATATGTGTGCACCGGATCATCAGATACAGTATATACACACTACACTACTCTGTATAAGGAAACATGACGAACTGTCAGCACGTGCACGAGTGCCTTGTCCAGGGCTGCTGGTGTGCTGCCGCACACCGATGGGCAGTGCTCTAGCATTCCGCAACCAACATTAAAATTTCGCGTGCTTTAGCCAATACAATGTTTCAAAGTGACGCGCTGTGGACTTTATTCGTTGTTTGCAAAGGTTTAGCAAATATCGCACCACGTGTTGGGATAGCAGGACAAGGCTACAACCGGGAAGGGCTAATGGGCTACCTGCCTAAAGCAGGAGCATGTATCCTTAGTTGATGACGGAACAGTATGGATTCAAAGAAATGAAGTAGCGCTCAGTTCTTGAGCGTCAAATAAAGGGCAAGAATTGTTTGATGTTAATTTGTGATGATATTGCGCACTGCAGAGAACTGTAGAGGTGCTCTGCCGAAGGGTGCGACACTGGCTCATCGCTGTGCAGCAGTGTATTTAGGAGCTGGGAATCTTGTGGGGGACAAAGTTCACGAGCAGCATTAGAGTGTACATCTTTGCCTGCATAGGTGGAGTGAGTTGGTGCATGTTGAAAATATTTCCCCGTTCTGCAGCTTGACCTCACGTGTCCCATCACGCACAGGTGGCAAGGCGCTCCCCTTGGAGAGAGGGAATACAAATATTCGATGGTCGGCTGTATGTTCGATGATATTGTAGTATGATTTCCTTACTATAAAGTGCCGCCATTCGATACACCATTACAACATGTGAAAGCCAGGCAGTTAGAGGACACACTGGGCGAAGATGCCAAGAAATACTACGCTGCCACCAAATGTTTAAATATTGGGGGGGATTTAGCAATGTCGCTCCTACATATTTACTCCCAGGCATACTTTCCCGTCATCAAGACCTTACAGTGTGGTGTTGGTGGTACTCTAATCAGTCGAGATGATAGAAGGCCTCAGTCACATGTTGCTGGAAGCGTCCACTATCTCTTCTCTTCTACAATTTCCCAGTCCTTATTACTCTAGTTCACTTGAAAATACTGGCTTACTGTTGAGAGCATGATACGGCGCGGTGCAGATGTTATCTACTCCGCTTCAGGAAGGTTTCGACAAGCATTGTGGTTTGTGCCAAGCTTCGGCGAATTGTCATGAACGTGTGCCAGGAAGTGCAAAAAGTGAAGCTATACACACTCCGACTATTCTTCCATTACTCATCCGATTGCTCATTAGGGTGTTGTCAGGAACAAAAGGGGTACTCTGATGGAATCTATTTCAGCTTTCTGCTAGGATCTGTCAAGTGTGTGCGGCCACCAAGGGGAAGGTCCTGGGAAGAATACGACCTATACATTGAGTGCTACATAACAAACTGCAAGCAGCCATGTGAAATTATTTTATGCCACAACCATGTAAATGCCGACTTTCACACTTCAAGCTGCGGAGCCTCTTCTGGAGGGCAGCTATCTGGACAACTATTCTTTCGGCAAATATGAAGCCCTCCTCTTCAATTTCGACCAATCTATTTTGTCCACATCCCCCTTGTGGAGATCATTAGAAGACAGTTTAACGCAGTAGCACCGCTTTATTGAAGTCTGCCTTCCTTCCCGTTCTTCAATTGCATGGGAAGGCAGAGTACAACGCGCTGTACAGTGGCTCTTGGCTGGTTCGATGCATGTAACTCCGCACTCATAGCGTAAAAGGACTTTGTGAAGCTCCATACGGTGAATGAGCCTCCAGGGCAGATGTTTTGCCTTGGCGGACGAACAGGAATTCTTCCTCTGCCCACACTTATTGTTAATATTTTCCTTTGGAGAAAAGCCGCGAAATCACGGTAGCAAACGAGAGACACTGCGCACATGCCCCTTGCAGCGCGTGCATAATACGCAAATCACAATATCCTAAACCCTGAAGCTTCCAAAGCTTTTGATGCGCCACGAGTGCTCCTGCTGCGACTGAACGTGCAACAGAATACACACCAAAGCGTGTGTAGCAGATTCGTCATACCTCACAGCAAAGGATGCACACGATAAAAAGGGTACCAACGAAAGTCTTCCAAAACCTAAGTGCTACAAACTTAAAGGCGCGTGTGCAGGTGGGATGGCAGACCACAACGACAAAACTCAAGGCCTAGTACGATATTTTGGAATTGTGTGAGGGTCCGGCGATAGTCTCTGTTTTATGCAAAGCTGCCTTTTGCTTAAGGGTGGTTTCATGCCTCATGTATGTTCCACGTAGATCCCTTCAGGCCCTGGCTAGGCCTCAATCGCATGGTTTACCGCAGTAAAAAGTGGTGACCTGCAAAACCGGCATTTGGTCTTGCTGACGAGGCGTGGGCTACTGCTGCATCGCTTCGGTGGGGACACTCAGACTAAGACCTCTCTCCACTGGTAGAGTTGTGGCTCCTGGGATGACTCCGACTGCTGTGGTCACTGGGTGTCAGCCTTCTAGAGAAGAGTACTGGGGTCCCTTCCATCATGGCAGTTCGACAGGACATGAGCAGGGTGTGAGCAAATTCAGAACGACAAAAACTCGAGACCCTTTTGTCGATGGACTGAAATGGGAAAGACGTGTAGCCGCAAAACGCCGAGCTAGGGGGAAACGCACCGTCAGAGAATACAGTGGGCGCATCGGTAATGCACGCTGCAAAGAAGACAGGAGCCCGAGTTGACTAGAAATAAAGAGTAGTAGCTCGAAAAATGTGCCGTTGTGCTCTTAAGAGAAGACACAGCAGAATTCGTGAATTCCGCCTTTTTTATGCTGTGAAAGTTCGGTGTGGTATGCAACGGATGTTTTGTGGACTATGTTAGAAATAGACTCTTGACCTTCGTCAAACATTCATTTAATGGGGGCTCGCTACAGTCAGATGTACAAGTAAAGCAATAGTAGATCTGATCCTTTTTTGGCAGGCCGGTTTCTCCGTTGTACGGAACCTTGAGTGTGTGCTGCACTCTAGGAATCTACTCGCATTTGTTCACCAGTGCCAGCGCCTGCCTGAGGGCACAGCTACAGTCGTCTATGCTGGCTCTCTGTCACTGTAGTGTGCAAAGCCTTGATGCATGCTGTTGCCTAAGCTCTATCCATTTCAGGGCTGTCTGGGTTGTCGTCGTTTTGGGTGGGGAGCGCGCCTTAATGGGGCCGGGTGTCCCAGCTACACTCCCGGATAAAAAGTGAGTTAAGGTTTTTGCAAAGTCTAGTTGGTTCAGGAGAACACTAAAAGTGAATGCCTTGTTTCGTGCATGCAGCCTCATCCGTAGCAGACTCAGAAACTGAGTGGAGCTGTTTCGCTACAGCACTACTTTCCTAAACTCACCAGAGGGGCCTTCAACAGGCAAGCAGGAAAACACTGAAAAAAAGCTTAACCCTAGTTCACCGAAGCTCTGTTCATTCCTCTCGTCCTTAACCCACGGTTGTCGACGGAATGCTGGCAGAGACGCAAGGTGCTGCACCTCCTTTGGAATCCAAACTTTCGCAGGCAGCTACACACTACTACGGTCTTCGGTAGTTTTGAGCACTCAATGCAAGATTAGTTTCTTTCTGATTATGACTCCCATACAACATTTACTGAAGGTTAAGACGTTCTTTCCCGTGTATATATTACCTATCACGGCTATCTAAGCAATATATGCTCTGTGCGGATACACAGACCTCTAGGAAGTTGCATTCATGAGCATCCTGGCTGCTGTTCTCCCCTCACGATAGGGACACCCTGAGGCTCGAGAAAAGGCATGTGCTCTTATGATAGCCAGTGAGAGCTGCCTCTTGATATTTTAGAGATTTGCTACTCAGAATCTTCCCCTTGGTGAGCTTGGAACGGGAGGTACACACAGAATGAACCGTGCTAAGCGACACATGGAATGCACAAACAACCATGCTACAGAAAAAGTGCTTTATGAAGCCTTAATTGCGATAGAGTATTTGGATAGGAAATGCGCTGGTGCCACTCGGTTCATGGAAGCCCTAGACAATCTAGCAACGAAAGTGACTTTCAGCGGAGAATTCTCCTAAGCGCGCAGCTGAAAAGGATGTGCTGTGACCGATATTTCATAGTAGGCCATAAACAATACAGGTATATCCGCCCACAGACAAATAAATGTGAGCACGAAGTACATTATCGAGTCGCACAAGCAGTGTTCTGTGCTTCACGAACATGCAATTGGCTGCTGCCTGTCTCTGGCCCACGGCAAGCCCTAAACAAGCCCTCACCAGTAATGTTATTTCAATAACCAATTTTTATTATCTTCGTAGAAGTTTTTCTGGGCTGGCTCTTTGCTTTAGTATGGCTTGCGCTCATGGGCGCGACTCTCAAGACCTCGTAAGCGTTTTGGTCATCCCAGTGGAGGGCGACAGACTGAATCTTGGCTTCCAGGTCAAACCAGGCAAAGTTTCTCTATGTCTTTGGACTATCTGTCGACCCCAAAAAAGCCTTAAGGGTACACTACCTCATGGACTAATTTGCGTAACACAACTCCCTGTCTTCTGGGCCTGCGTGGTGCCCCTTTGCCTCCATGCATTTGCACATCTGCCAGCGCAAGTATCCAGCCATTACAAGTCCCGTGCCATGAGTGCGCATAGATCAACTTCGTGCCATCTGCCAAGTCTTGTAATTCAGTTCCTTCCAATTGCCGCCGACTTACTGCCTGCCCTATCAACCAAGTCGACAGGTGGCGTGGTAGTAAACATACTCGTTGATCCTGACTGCTGCTCGCAGGACCATTGAACTGCCCTGTCAGCGTCAAGCCACAGAGAAACAGCAGCAATATCGACCAATTGTCGGTGCTGGCCCTATTGTGTGCGTCTGCGCAAGACATTGGATAGCTGCTGGTAGTTCTGGGCTTGTAACCCTTCTGTACGCAGAAGGGAAGAGACGGTAACACGAAAGCAAGTCCAAGAGGAATGCAAGGGTATATCATCTTACTGGAAACACGTAACTCAACCAGACATGATGATGGCACAGGACAGTGCGGACCAGATGAGTGGCTGCATTCGCCCAAAGATCCAGACAATGAGCGCTGAGGTCCGCGCAGATAACCCCTACTCGCGGCTTATGGCTCTACAGCGGTGAGCTTCTAAATACAGAAACTTTTGCATATGATTGTTTTGAGTATAGCTCAGATACACATGGGCGTTTCTGCAGCTGCAAGAACAGGACCATGCTTTTGGCTAGAATGGAGGTGTGCATCGTCGAATAGATGTATCTACATGCTTGCGCGTGCAGCGGGTTAGACTGAATATCAGAAAAGCAGTGCATATAACGGAGCGTTCCATGCCACGATTAATGTTCCTCCATATACGACTCTTTCATTGTCTTGGCCCTTTTTGTATTCCTTCTTTTCCCCATGCTGTGCAAATAATTCGCTGAAGCCACAAGTACTACAGACGTACTTGAATGCATATATATGTATGCGCCTTTACTTGTTTGTCATGTGTTGTCATTAACGCTTCTGTTCTGCTTTTCTTGACTCATCCATATTCTTCATTGCGCCTCGCTGTATTTAGGATGGGCGTTGTTCAAGACTACAAGGCCATAACAAAAAAGGCTGTTTTGTTGGTGGGCGTGGGCGGCGTGGGCTCAGTAGCTGCCGAAATGCTTGTTCGCTGCGGTGTGGGCAAGTTGATTCTTTTTGACTTCGACTGTGTCGAGCTTTCGAATATGAACCGCCTCTTCTTCACTCCCAAGGATGTTGGGCTCACCAAGGTCGAGGTAAGATAAACAGCGCACTTACAGGAGAAATAAGGGCCTTGGTCCGATTGTCTTTGAATACCTACTGTGTTGTCCGGTTTTTGGATTTGAACGGGTGGCACTTTGACTTCTCATCCCAAGGTGATCACCTCCATTTTCAATTCTCAGGCTGCACGGCGGACTCTCGCCTTCGTGAATCCGGACGTGGAGTTGGAGACTCACAACGCAAACATTTGCAAGGACTTCGACCTTTTCCTATCACGTATTTTGAACGGGAAGGGATCAATGGCCCAGCAACAACAAGGCGAGGGTGGCGAGGCAAACAGATCCGTACGAAGTCGTAAACTACACTGCCCAGGGAGCCATCCGGTTGACTTGGTGTTGAGCTGTGTTGACAACTATGCAGCTCGCATCACAATCAGCCAGGCCTGTAATGAAGCCGGTACGAGGGATTATCAGAGTACCCACTCGCGTTCCTGTAGCTGTGAAACCCACATTTCTCTGAGCACCACAAAACATAGCCTTCCGCCTGCTTGTCGCCCATCTCGCTCTTGAAAGCAGTTCACGATGTCCTCTGAACAGCAACTGTTTGGCACGTGACTGCACAATACGCCTGTGAATGGATACGTTTAAAACTGCCTGCATTCCTTCCCGTGCGGGTGTCCCAAAGGAGGCTACTAACCTGGTCCTCTGAGGACCGCTCAGCGCTTATATCTGTGGAAATTGGGTGTTTGCCTGTCCTCCTTGTTGTGCTTTTACATATCCTGTACTCCTGTCGTGGGTCCAATCTTCAAGTCTGCATGCACGATGCTGGATATGCCCATTTTCATGCTGGCCACTGCCCTACCCAGCGTTACCAGATGTGCATCTGCGTATAGGTCCGTATTCGAACTGCAGCACAGCTCCTTCGCTTTTTCTCATAATTACCCTTCAGGCATCCCATGGATGAACAGCGGCGTCAGTGAAAGTGCGACTAGCGGTCAAGTGCAGCTTTGTATCCCTGGGATTCTCGCATGTTTCCAGGTTGGTCAAATGGCGTGCGCATCTGCTGTGAAATACCGATATATGAAGACATTACGGAATAGCGCAGCATGCGGAGTGCGTAAGGGTGCATGATGCGGTTGGGCGCTACATGAGGGTGTGTTTATTGTGTACAGTGCGCCCCGCCTTACGTTGTGGCGACGAATGAAGACGAAAACGCGATAAAACGCGAAGGAGTTTGCGCAGCATCCTTACCGACGACTATGGGGGTCACTGCAGGTTAGTAGTGGCCCTGCGATGGAGACATAAAAAGGTTTATCCCTTTGTCGGGTCCTCTCGATCGACTGCATAGCCCCTTTTTGTCTGCCTCCTTTTCTCCTCGTCTATTGGCTTTCTATACATGTTGCATGCCGTCACACGATTTTTTTCTAGCCTCTGTAGCTACTTGTTGCAAGCGGCGCTCTGACTGGCAGTTGCACGGGAACAGCTTTTGTTTGCTTGCTGCTTGAACGTTCAGGATTTTTGGTGCAAAATGCTCTCAAGTTTCTCCTGGGGTTTGGCAGGCCTTCAACTTTTATTGGCTGGGAGTCTCTACACGATTTCTTTTCATCTATGCAGCTGCGGCCCAACGACCAGTGCGCTGACGTCTGGTGCTGCAAACGACAGGTCAGTGCCAACATGCATAGTGTTGATTTTTAAACCAGGCCGAGGACTTTGCATCCAACAGGAAGGAAACATTGGGATTTGGAAGCCCTGTGCGCATAGGATTGTTCCTACTGTAGTCCTTTTGTTGATGCGGAACAGAAAGAAGCAAACGAAAAGAGCCTCACAGTTGAGGATTACTTCCCCCCCGTGCAGAAGAGTAGTGCTCCAGACAAACCCCTACACGAGGAGAATCCTTTCGGAATAAGTCTGGTGGCAGATGGGGAGGACCAAAACCAAGAGCAAGCAACCCACAAAACAACAAGTTCAGAGAAGGCCACCGGGTGTCTTGAATCGGTCGATGATTTAGCGGCTAGGCTGAAGTCCTTGCAAAGCTGAGCTGGAACATCCTGTTGCATTCTCCATTTTGAGGGAGGCTGACTTGGCATTCGTTCAGTTGGAGGGCGCGAAGTTGCAGCAGTACGATTGGGGCCTCTAACCGTCTATCTACCCCTAAAACTCCTTGTTTGAACACGAATAAGCAATATGTTTACGAATATACACACATATTTGCCTACAAGAGAAAATATGGAGTATATATATGCGTGCTGGTAGAAAAGGGAAGCCTCTCTCAGAGTGTGGTTCAAATGTCATGACATGCCCTGCAGAGGGGTGCAGATGTCTGCGGTGTCTAATGCGTCGGTCAAACTAAAGGGACGCGGGCAGTGTGCGCAGGCCACTTGTGCTATGCCACAATTTTGCTGTGCTATGCAGTAGCACCCCACTTTGCGAATGAGCTTTTACCCTGCAAAGTGAGTACTGAAAAGCTACATTAAAGGGTGTTCCTGCTATCCGCAAAAGACCCGGTGAGAAAGAACGCCTCTTCCTCTGTTAAGTCACACTCCGATGCCCCCACTCTCCCACAGCACAGCCGGCGGCTCGTGTCTGGGAAACGGTGCAAAACAATTAAATCCAATACAGGATTAAAACATAATTGCTGGGGTCCAGTACGGCGTCATGATAAGTGCGCACCAGCGAGGACCGATGTGATCCCCCGGTGGCATCGAGTTTACTGATCCTTGACAATCGCGAGAATATCTTCTCCTCTAAATACAAACACCTCTTCGTCCTCCATCTGGATCTTCATGCCGCCGAACTCCGGCACCATCACGGTCTGTCCGACTTGCAACTTCGCCCAGTCCTCGCACACGGAATTGTTCCCTGACTGCTTGGGTGGCGACACGGCGACAACTTTGGCCATCTGGCAGCCAGACTGTTGAGTGGCGCTCGATGGGATGTAAATGCCGCCCTTAGAAAGCGTCGCAGGCTGCAGCTTCTCCACGACGCAGCGCCCGAAGAGTGGCATGATGCGCGACGCTAGGCCTGACTGAAACCAAGCCACAACGCACACATGCAGAAGCACATAGGCTACTGACTCCCGGTACATTCCCCTGAAATCGAACACGGAAAGTTGCGGTGAGACCCTGTAAGGGCGTCACTGTGCATGGCACCGACACACCTCTGAATTAACCCGTGAAGCGTGTGCGTAAGGAGTGGCCTTCCTTCTACACTACGACTGGCCAAGTGCGTTACACGGAGGCGAGAGAAGGCGAGAGATGTCACTGATGACTATGGTATCCCCGCTACATGGGAAATGGAATGCCCTGTGGGGAGTGCTTCTTTCAGCAAATTTGCGTTGAACCAGGCGTGCTTCAGAGCTTGAAGGCACAACCCATGATGAGGAGCATGAAGATGCAGGTTTTTAGAGCGCAATTCTCTAATGAGGGACTGAGAGGCAGAGACTGCACGTCAGGATAGAACACGAATGGGTGACAGTCAACGAACCATTTTGGCAGGGGGCAGGGAGCAGCGATAGGAGAGAACCACGCCTCAGGAGAGCGGAAGACACGTAGTGCATACATTTGAAGGCTTCCCACAAGTTTTTCGCACTTCATGTACACGAGGAAGAGGAGCGACCCTCTGCGGATGCTGCTGCTGCTGTTGCTACTGCTGTCGTGGGGCTGCGCGCAGCCCCGGCAACAGCTACACGCAGCTCAATCCGACAGACTCACGCTCTGAAAAGCAAAAAACGTCTCGGCAAAGGGAAACCTAAGATATCTCGTGTTTTTGTTCAGCCGGCACTTCCGCAGTACTGCGGCGTGTGCATTTTTGGCGTGGGGCAAGCTGACCCTTCCAGACCTCCAGTTGTTCTGATGAAACGGCCCAAACTGCATTTTTTGTTATTGGGCAAGTGAATTTAAGCTTACTCTTCTTGTACAGGTCTTCCAGCGAGAGGGGAGAGTCGGGAAGGAAAAGGCCGGTGCTGCGCTGGCGCTGGTCGCAGCGGCCAACACGGCAGGTGCGGAGTCTGTTGTATTTGGAAACCTCTTCGTCATTCCCCGGGAGAAAAGAGTTATCAGACCGCAGGTTTTAAAACCTGATGGTGGCTTTGGCTGCCGAAGGCAACCCTCGTGGGCCTCAGCAGATACACTGCGCCGCGTTGCATAGACCTACGGTGCACAAAAACACGGAGCGGCGCATTTTTGACTGCTGCATCGTTCCATAAGATCTCCGTCGCGTACTTCTGTGTCTATTTCAAGTTAGCTTTGCCTGTGGTCCCAGCAGCTCTCTGGGGCATCCTCGGAAGTGTGCCTCCGTGGGCCGCATTAGGCAGAGTGTCTGATCCCGCAAGCCTCACAAAAGCGGCGAGAATATCCGCTTCTTCGGCATCTCCCCCCTGCGTGGGGGTGTATTTGCAGTGACTTTCAGCTGCCGTGGTGGAAAGGCCCTTCGGTTCATTTGGAGGCTGTACACCCCACATCGGTGGCAGTGTGCAGTCCGTCCTCCGGATGGAGGAAAGCGGAGAGCTCTCTGCAGAGGGCTCTGCACACCATGGGCCTCTGTGGGTTAGGCGCCGCCTGCGGGAACAGCAGGCCGAGCAGTCCAATGCACAGGACATACAGAGCCTTTCTGACGAACGCGCTAGTGAGAATGCATGCTCTTCTCAGGCAGGGTGCTGCCCCTCCGTTGCTCATGCCTGCAACAGGCCTAAACGGGCGCACCAAGCTCTGCTAGCCTTCTTTGCGTTCTTTTGGTGCTTGCCCTTGTCTTACGATGCTGGGGAAAACGTGCTACTTGTTTGCTAGGGACGATCGACGCTGAGGGTGAAGCGCAGCATAAAACATGTCTGAGCGGCGGGGGGAGGGGGGCCTCCTTAAGCGTCTGGAAAGCGGAGCACTTTGGCCGTGCCCTGCATTGTCTGTATTTATGTATCTGTATATGTCTACGTATATGTACATGTTTACGTATATCTACATGTCTACGTATATGTATGTGTCTACGTACATGTATGTCTACGTATATGCATATGTCTACGTATATGTATGTGTCTACGTATATATATATATATATATATATATATATATATACATGTCTACGTATATCTACATGTCCACGTATATATATATATATGTCTACGTCTATGTATATGTCTACGTATATGTATATGTCTACGTATATGCATATGCATGTATATTCATATATATATGTGTATATGTGTACGTATGTCTGTATGTGTCTATGTGGATGCACAGAAGCGTTGCTGGAGTACAGAGCCCGGTGCACCTCTGCGCGTTTTTGGATTCAAAGTCAGTTGTTGGATTTGCGTGTTGGTGGACTTCCTCCTTCCAGCTCGTTGGGGGGGGCTAGTGGTGGTTCCCAGCCATCGTCTCCCGCAGCAGTGGCGGCTGCCGGAGGGGCTGTTTCGAGTGGTGTCTGCAGCAAAGGGTCGGATCCAGGAGTGGTCGGCGATCTCCCGAGCCTCATGCGGCGCTACCTGACGTGTCCTCTGCTCTCGAAACTGCTGCAACAGGATCCTCTCCTGAGCGGCAAGCTGGCCACCCTCGATCACGTGTTATGGCAGCGACGCTCCAAGCATGAGCCTCCGACTTCGGGGTGGATGGGGCATGACTCGGCCTGTCCGGATGGTTGTTCTCTCGGCTTGCCGTTGGCGAGTACTGAGGCTGTAGGCCCCTCCCCAGCTGGTGGTGGAGAAGCAGCGCAGGTTGGTACTGGTGCCAACGGCAGCTGCAGCAGTGCCTCCTCCCGAACGAGCACGGTGGATTCAATGCCAGCGAATGAAGGATGCTCCGCGGACTCACAGACAGCACCGAGTGTCGAAGATGAAAGCAGGCCTGTAACGGCGTGGGTGTCATGTGTACAATGTATGGAGCACTTTGCCTACATCGCGGCTTCCCTCTTAGTTTTCCTCAAACCGTCAGAACTGAGGGACCTTGCCGTGGAGAGGCACGCCGCGCAGTGCTGTGGCTTTGTCTTCTGTGGGAGGCGCAATGTCGCGACACCCGAAAAGTAAGCGTGCAGTGTTGATTGGACAGGATTTGGGGGTGTTGGAAGGGAGGGAACGAAGGGGCCTGGCAGTTCGCTGGCGCAGCGCTTGTTGCCTGGGGGGTTGGGGAGGCGCGGGGGGGCAGGGGGACGTTGTGGAGGTTTGTTTTTCGACGTTTGATCCCATCTTGCATTCTTTTGCGTTGCTGCTGCCTTGTGCTGCTTCTCAGACGACGCGCAGCCCTGTGGCGGTGGACTTTAGACTTTCGGGGGGGCAGCAAGGCGCTTTCGGAGGATGAGCTCGTGCAGTTTTGCTGCAGCCGCTGCTGTAACCGGCAGCAGCAGCTGCTGCGTCTTTTGGACGAAGAGCCTATGTACTCCAGGCCAGGCATCAAGGAGTGGATCGGGGATGCGCTGCAGCGGAAGGCTGCCTACATCCCGCATCCGCATGGCTTGTCGGAGTTGCACCCCGCCGAGGGGGAGATGCCGCCGTGTGCGACTGAGGAGCCTCAGGCGGGAGACTCCAAGCTGCCTGATGCCTCTGCAGCAACTGGCCTGCTTGACAGGCAGCTTGGTCGGAATGCGGGTGGTTCTGTAGGGGCTGCCATCGGGATGGAGGACCTCGTGGACGAAGGCGCGGGGAGCTTGGTGGAGCCGCTTCTGGAGCGGCAGACGTTCGGCATTTCTTCTTCCACCAAGCCGTCCAGCAGAGACTTTACCAAGCAGTTCGGCAGCTTGGAGTTGGACACGTTTCGCGTGCCTGTGACTGTCGAAGACGATGACGAGAGCAGCACAGATGAAACGCCTCCTAAAAGTGTAGACAGTCAGCAGGGGCGTGAGGCTTCCGCGCAGGAAGAGAAGGCTGCTGCTGCTGTAGCAGCGCGCGTTGGCGGTGCCTCGGCGAGCAGGGGCAGCGCAGTCACGAGCAGCCCCTCCTTCTTGATGCTGGACTATGGTTCTGCCTCGAGTACTCCTGAAGGTGCAAGTGCATGCGTCGATGAGGCCCTTCTTGGACGCAACGCATCGTGCAGTCCCAGTCGTACAGGAGCCACCGATCCCGCCGAGCCCGGACTTACCCCCACACTCCCTGTTGTGCAGAGGGAGGCAGTGGCTCCCTGCTTGGCGCGATGCTCGCGTGCGTGTTCGAGCAAACTTGAAGAGGCTCTAGTGGGATCAGAAAAGCAGCCGCAAGGGCACCGGCGTGAAGCGAGTCCGCCCAGCCTCCCCGCCACAGCAAACACACGGCCGACTGAGCACCCCTTAAGATCGCGCAGCACACGAGTGCGCTTTGCAGACGATGACGATGACGGCGCGGACGGAGCGCTGGATGGGGACTCGGCTGTGTGCTTCTTCAAGCACTTTTTGAATATGCAGGACGAGGACGACGGGCTGCGGTTTTACAGTAACACAGAACGCCATACTACAGAGCGCCAAGCGGCATTATCTGGTGCCCCTCCTGCTGGCAGTCATGCTCGCAGCGGGGGAGCAGGCGAGCTGCGAAGCATCCTGAAGCCCGCCACGGAGCCGCTAGACCCCACGCCATCCCCTGCGGATTCCGCTGCCGAGGTGCAGGTGGGTTACATGCGCCTCTCAGACGTCGTGATTGCATTCGACTTATTGTCATCCTGCTGCACCGATGCCTCCGCCAGATTTCTGCAGACTTACCATCGCCGCTTCTGCACGTGCGCGTGCGAGGGGGCCGCGCCTGCTGCTGAAGAGGCCGCTGCCAACCACTCGGAGAGCGAGGAGCCTCTGAATCGGGCAGCGGTTCCGGGAGAAGGGGGGTCGCGGAGCATGCACGCCAGAAAAGCCAACCCAGGGGATGAATCCGATAGCATGTCGTGCTTGGACGGGGAGTCAGGCGACGAGATTGAGCCAACCGAGCTGTGGAAAAGGCGACAGCAGCAGTTGCTCAAGGGGATTCTACGCAGTCTGCCGCCTTCGGCTAATGGCTTCATTCGTCTGGTCACAGAGCTCTGCGAAACCTTTCAGCCGCTTCAGGTACATCGCTATGCGACCCCCCACTTTCATCGTTTACTCCTGCGGTTGTGCGTGTATGCCCCTTCCCCCCTCCGTAAAGCGCATGTTAGCTGCAATCTAGTCGAGAGGCCACCACTAATGCTTGCTGTTACGCGCATAAACTTGACCGAGTGCAGTTTAGCGGGGACAAGGGGGGCTGAGCGACGGGATAGCCCATGCATGTGTTTCCTGCTGCAGCCGTTGCCCACTCTTCGGTGCTCCCTATGCAGCTGCTTGGCAGCAGTAATTCTGCTGCTGTTGCTGCTGTTGCGCGCTCGGCCTCTGACGTGTTGTTGCTGCTGCGAAGGCTGTCGTCCGTGGAACGGCAGCCACAGCCGCCATTCGCACTGCCAGCGGCGACCGCCCCCTAGCAGCCCGCACGCGAAGAGGGAAGGGTCTGAAACCGCTGATGTTGCTACATCCTTTTATTTCGATGACGCACTGACTATTGCAAGGGAAGAGGATGTAGGACTCGAATTGGTGGACTTCGTGCGATCTACCATACATCAGTCGGCGCCGTGTACCGGCCCCGTTCGCCCGATCTGTGGAGGCAGTGACGGCTCCAATGCAGCAGAGGCAGCTGAGGAGCCTGTTCACCATCCAGAGGAAAGTGCTATCCATGCGCTGCTGGAGTCCATTTTCTCTCGCATGTCACACCCAATCATACAATTGTGCGAGACAGCCCGCGCTTCTGTTCTGCCTGCCCAATAGAATGCTTCTGTGTAGGCTTTCTGGTGGTGAAAGACACTACATGGTTACTGCCTCGTGATGGAGAATATACGGCTCCACATGCCAGAGCAGATACTCTTACGATGGCTGTTTTTGAACTATGGTCGTGTACTGGACATACAAGGGGGAGCCTGTCGAGCCGGGTCCGGTCAGTAGGCTGGTTTCCGAATGCACAGTTGGATAGCTACCACCACAGACTCGAGCTGACCAAGAAAACTATATTTGGCCCTGGCGGTAATGACTTCTGATTTAATGGTTTAGGTGGTGACAGTGTCAACTGACAGGTTGGCAGTGTGACTACAAGGCTAGGTGCCCTAGGTCAGCACAACCCCTTCGACGCATTAAGGTAATCCGTATCGGTGGCGGCTTGTGGGTTGCACATTACGTCTCTGCATGACCGCCCAATTGTCACCCTTTGTACTCTTCCGGTCAGGCTGCCTGGCGCTTCTCAGGGGAGACGAAAGCGACAAAATGTCAGAAGGCCTATCATCTTCAGGTATGAAGGCTCTGAAAGGGCGCGATGGCTCGTGCTGCTAGGGAGCGCACATGTATCGGCAGAGTTTCCACGAGGTTCCACCAGCTTTAAGGAATTGTTCAGATGCATCAAGCGTCTTCAAAGAGGACGGAGCGCTGAATGCAAATTTGAACAATTGGTGCTGGGACTCAAATTTGATTCATGAACATCTTTTTGACGCCTAAATTATTTTGATGCTAAAACTAGGCCACCGGTATTACAAATGAGGAATCCTAAGCAGTGGCCGAGTACGCGCCCAACACAAACAGCACGCTTCGAAGCAATATAGTCACTATACTGTCCGAGCATGCTGAATTTTTATTTTGGAGGAGAGTATGTTAATGCGCGTTCGCCAAGCGATACCCGCCAGCTCTTCCAGCCTCCCCTGCCCCACAGTCACCCGGTGACCTCGGTCGCGCTGCCTGTGGCAGGAGACGAGCCGAGCCTTCGAGACCATTGGTTTCTTTGCCGTCCGACTGTCACCTTTGCAGGCCATTAATTTTGTCATGTAGGTCCGACAGATGTGGCTGTGCTTTAACGTGAATAGCACTGACTGTTCAAGCCACGAGCACAGGGCAGCCCACGTGCATCTATGGGAGAGGGAATGTGCACAAGTCATTCAAAGGTAACACGTATCACAAACACCCCATAGATGACATATTTGAAATGCCTAATACTTTTGGGGCATGAAAAGTTAGCGGAAAGCATTTTTTTCTCCAACGCTGAATCCCGCGGCCTCCACTATTGGCACCAGTCGTGGCAAGTAGGGGAGCCATGAAAAACTAGGAGCGTTTCCCCCTTTACAAAGCCTCTAAAAATTACAAGATCCTGCTCCTTTTTTAAAAATTAGAGTTCTTGCCAGCAGCCATCTTCCTCATGTGTTTGGCCGAGAACAGACACACACCAAACAGAAATTTGTTGACACTGTAGCCAGCTGTCGTAGGACTGGATTCTAAAATTTACCATGCGCCTGAGGTGGTAGAGAGACTACCTCTATGTGTACGAAAGTATTCAGATCTTGACTTTTTGTGGTTGGCTACTACCATGGGGAAGGCGTCGAATCGCCCAGCCGTCGAGCGACTTATTGAGCGCAATCGTCGCGACGAAAAGCGCAACGCAGAGCTGACGCAAGGCGTAGCTACGCACATTCAGATGATCAATGCCTACCGCAGTGATGCAAGGGTAGAGGCACTAAGGCGACGCAAGGCAGCAATCGCTGATTTTGAAGACTTCGCAACAGAATTGGCGTCCACTGTTCAAGAAAAAGAAGCACAACAAAAGATTAAAGGGGCGGAGTTGCAGCATCGCGTCACCAGTAGATTGGGAGAGCAACATCAAAAACTGACAAATATCGATCTGCAAAGGCAGAAAGTTTGTATGGAGAGCGAGGAGATCCGCAAACTCAAGGAACAACTGGCAACAGCGAAGGTAAACCGCGAAAGAGCTGCTCAGCTACTTGAACGACAAGTTAGGGAGTAAGCAAATATACGAGTTTACGGAAAGACACATTGCATCTATTTTTTTTATTGAGCCAGTCCTGGCAGAAGGACATACCATTCTCGGAGGTCTCACACAGTCTGGTCTCTTTATTTAAGTCTGTGGCCTGTCACCACATTCAGCTAAATTTGTAAGCATAAGTATACAGTGGCATAACCAGTCACCAGAGTTGTCAGATGTGAAGAATACATGTCTGCTTGCCAGAGCTTACGCTCTGTTCATCGCAAAACTGAAGTAGTCGCAGTTACACTGACAGCCTCCTGATCTTGAGACACTGGAGAGAAGGCTCAGCTCTCTTAAGTACATTTATTTAGCGAATTGAGGAGCATGGTACTAAACTTTAGCTGAGTACACTGATGCCTAAATGACACCGAACAGAACGGGTATTACTTGAAAATCGAAAGCACTGAAAACTTCACACTAACGGAAAGTCGAATCGTCTGCAAAATGGCGGAAGAACCTTCGTGTCCTACTCCAGCATGACGCTTGACGGGGTTTGCGGTGCAGAGTCGATGCTGCCATGGTGGATGCACGGCTGAACTTGGCTATGGAAGAGGAGCGGCTGGCTGAGTGTGAAAAAGCCAGGCGCAGGGAGCTTGAACGCAACTTACAGATGCGTCGTGTTGGGGAAGACTTGGCTGATCAGATCACTGCAAGGCGACGTATGAAACAAGAAGAAACTGCAAAGAAATACGCTAGTGAACAGGAACAAGTATGTCCAAAATATATTAATATGGGACTACGGGATTGACCCACCACTAATGTGCCTGTTTTCGAGAGAAAATCTGGTTCAAGAGACACCCTTTGGACATTGAAGAAGCAGCGCCTTGATTGCTAACTTATCAATTGTGTTTGATCGCGAACTTCAAGGTTGGAGCAGTTGTTGCAAAGCTTTTAGAGGAAATGGAGGATGAGAGACGGCAGTTGGCAGAACGCCGACAGATGCACGCGATTTTAGTTCAAGAAGTGACAAAAGAGAGGGAGAGGCAAAAGCAGCGGCTTCGTGAAGAGAAGCTTAGAGAAGAAAGCGAAATCAGGGTAAGGCTAGAAGCCTTTCAGCAGGAAAGTAACCTAGTACTCTTGGGGGTGATTTCTAGGCTCCATGTGTGCAAAGTAAAAACTTGTCCATACATCCACTTGCGTGTATACCACTATTCCGTATGTGCCCAGGAATACCTTGAAATGCAACGTAAACGCACGGAAGACCTGGCCCGGGAGAAGGAACTAGTGCGGAGAGAGAAGGCAAGAGTTTTGAATGAACTACTACAGAGCCAGTTGCAAAAACAGAAAGAAGAGACAGACTATGCTCAGCTTGTAGCAGAGTTGTACACATACGAGCGCGATGAGCAGGAACGGCAGAAGGAAGAAGCCCAGAAGCAAAAACGGTAAGCAGGTAGACTTTTGGCGGCTGTAGAAAGTCTATACGTATTCATTCGCATATTGACGTGTACGAAGTAAGTCGTAGAATAAAAGCATAGACCCGGAATTGCACTTTCGGCAACAATGAAGAGCGAATCCGACGCAGTGGGTAGCCTGGCTACACTGCTCCGTGCGTGAATGTGGGGCGTCGAGGTCTCTGCGAACAGACAAGAAGAGAAGGCACTACTGTTAGCTGCATTTAAGGAACAGATGGAGGAGAAGGAAAGACAACGCCAAGTTCAACTGGCTGTAGAAGGGAAATTCCGGCAAGAGCTTCTTGCGAAGTTTGCTAGAGAAGTCGCGCTTGAGCAGATGACCCAGCAGAGGCGCAAGCTCGCTATTTTGGAGCACAACAAGCAGGTACTGACGTCTCCATACTTAACGTTGAGTGGCGCCTAGTCGGATAACTTAAATGTAGCCACTAAAACTGCGATGAGAACAACTTGGTCAATCCAAGTTAATGAATTCATCACCACAGTGCACAAGGTACAGCCATTCATATGCATTCCTGAAGTCCTACGTAGATACACGGAATTCACTCGTAGGTCACTCCATGAAAAAATCTGTTGTCAGCGCTCTGCAAGAGAGCTTGAACCTAGTATTCCACTGAATGCTCCGTATGGTGCAAAAATCGGGTGTGCACCAGGTGGAAGCCATAATCCAAGAGCGTCGACGTCAAATGGCGAAGGAGCGTGAGAGGGAATTGGAAGAGCACCGCAAAAGTGCCGAACTGGAAAATGAGAAACGAATGATCATTCAGCAAGAGAGGGAGAGACTGCTACGCGAGCACGCAGAGCTCGCCGATTTCTTGCCAAAGAATACTCTGCAAGGCAAACGAGAACAAAATATAGTTAGAGACGCAAAACACCAACATCCTGCAAGCATTCCCCTAGATAAACTGACCACACTCCCCAGAACGATACGACCACTGAGCGTTGGGGACTCCCCTGAAATGTAAACTTACTTTGTTGAAAATTTTACTCTTGGCTTTGCTAGCCACTTGAACTGTACTACGCAAAATGCTTAGAGCAGTCTCTTTGTTGGAAGCGCGTTCCAGGCCCAACCAATGAAGAGGTGATATATCCAACTATTGCTTCTGGTTGACGCTAGCGCGAAACTTTGAGGGCTTACGCGAATCTCGTTGGAAATGGGGGAAATTCGCACTGGCTAGCAACGTAAACGATGCTAACTCTGGCGTGTTGGTGCGTGCAAGCACACACCAACACTGTCAGCAAAAACTGTGCTAGAAAATATGCCAGGTCTTGCGGATAGCCTGTCAACTGCAGAGTGGCGGCACTGTGCCGAGGAAGCCTTACTCTACGCGGGACCGCGTACTAGGTGATCAACGAACAGCAGACGCCTAACACGCTTGCCATGACTTTTGTATACTGTGTGGCCATTCATCGAGCTGCTAACCTGAAAACGGCGTAAGGTTGGTTGCCAAGCAAAGTGATAAACTAAGTCACAACATTAGTACATTGCGCAGTTACAGTAGCGGCACCACCGCAAGAGGTTAGCTCGAGAAGAAACTGCGGCTGCGAATTCATGTGGACACCGGATATGCATTGTGCCACAAGGGGCTCCACAGGAATGCAGCTCAAGCGGTGGGTCCGGGCAGCTAGTTAGCTAGCTGGCTAGCTAATCCACTTTTGCACCTGGGTCATGAGACTGTTATTGAAACTGCTCCAATCAAGGGACAGCTGGGAGGCGCTGCTGGATCGCTCGTCAGCGGTGGTTTTCTCGGGGGTCTTGCCGTTTTCACGCTGTGTTTTCCTGTCACACTTGCCTTTTTTGGCGGGTGCGTGACGCGTCTTTTGACGGGGGTGATGCGACGCGGAGTGCAGCACGTCAACATCAGGCAGCGTACCGCTCGTCGTGGAACGGCGGTAGTAGGGAGTTTCAGATTCGCTGCAGTCAAGCGCTTTTCCGCAAAGCGATTCTCTGGAACCGCGGGCAGCACCGTTAAGTCCAGTTGAACAGGCAGCCAGACTTTTGCGTTGTCGTACGGATTCGACGTCAGGTGCATTCGGAAAAGACAGCTTGTTCATGAGCGGGGTAACGGTCCGCCGAGGGCCGTACAGAGCACAGTCGTATCCTGCGATTGTGGCTGAGGAGTGCGTGTTTCTGACCCCTACCTCGCTCCTCCGGCGGTCTGGAAATGAGGCGTCATCAGGAGTCTCCGTGTCTCTGCCTTGCACGCCATAATAACGCCTTGCCCCCGTGGCCAGGGCGTTCAGCGATACCGTGTGTCGGTGAGTGGTTGTGCCGCGCGCCGAGGTGGAGGTGACCCCGAGGAAGTCCGCCGATGGGGGCACCGCACCTCCTTTGTCCCTCCGCTTCGTTTGTTCTAGCGTGAGCGTGTTTCCACGCTCCCAAGGCCACCTTTGGGTGGCCGTTGTAGCGTGAGAAGTCGTGGATGCGAGCGACCGCGCCGACGGTAGAGGCGCGCGCAGCTGAGCGTCTCGAGAGGGCATTACGCCTTCAGGCAGCGGAGTTAATGGAGAACGCGTGGGCCCTTGCTCGCTGGTGTGGCTGCCGCCTCCCAGACCCCGGTCGCTGTCTATGGGCGTCTGCCGCAAGGCCGTGACCTTCTCAGCCCGCGAGACGGGATGGCAAGCAGACGGCGACGGTCCCCAGCTCATTTCCCCCCAAGTCTCTTGAAATTGGCGGTGCCCCTTCGACGGACTCGGCAGAGATAGGGCAGGGGCATCCTCTACCCGGGGAAGTTCTGAAAAAACTGAAGATCTGGAAAGCCCCTTCACGCCAACGCAGCCAGAGAGCAGCCCCTCCGCCGCCGCATGTGGACGAGCAGCGCTCGGCGCGGCACCGCAGCAAGCGTGCAGGTCTCTTGACCCTGGTACCTGCTCCTTGGAGGCTTTAGGGCTCCACAAAGAGCCTGCAGAGCTATTGATGCGCTGGTTTGTGCTCGCAGAAAGCACAGGATCTGCGTGACCAGAAGGCATAGCCAAGTGCTGATGTGCACCAACATGACGCGCTGACGGCAGATGAGGCAGCCGAGAGGCGCTGTATTGCCGCGGTGCCGTCTCTGTGCTCGAGGCTGCTGTCTTTTGTGCGGCCGCCCCCCAGCGGTCACCCCTCAGCACGAACATTTGCTGGTCGATGGGGGGGAACCCGCCGTCCGAACCCCAGTGCCAAGTACGCTGTGCTGGCCTAACAGCGCACCCGGCAGGCGTCGGCGACTGGCTGATAATGGTACTGCTGGTGGTTGTCGACACCTCTTCACCCGAGCAGCTGGGGAAAGACAAGTTGAAACAGTGACTCCCGCATCGTGATGCATCCAGAGTGACGCATTCCTCGTCACCTGGCGCTCTCAGCCCTTTTCCCGGGCAGTTCCTCGTGTGTGAGCAGCGCAACTCTTGCTGACCACTCGTATGCTCTTCTGGTAGCCCTGCGCCTCCGCGCGCCTCCACGTGTTTGTGCATCCAGGCGTCAGCCTCCAGAGCACCCCGTGCTTTGTCAGTCTTTCCGCCGGCCGCTAACTGCGAGTCGAGGACCCTGCCTTCACCAGCACCACCCCCTGGCAATGCTGGGAGTCTGCTGCACGCAAGCGAGCACCCGAAAAGGCGGCTGCTTTCGCTGTCCTGCAGGGATCCTGCCTGTTGGAGAGGCTCCTCAGCAAAAGTGCTCCTCGACCTTCCAGACTCAAACGCAACCTGGGTGCAGTCCAGACTGCCATCCAGCGCGTTCCGCAGAGCCGTCGCGCTCCCTTCTAGAGGGGAATGAGCAGGAAAGGCCACCAAACTTGAGGAACTCACCCCTGCAGACTCCAAGCTTAGCCTGCGAGGAGAACTCTTCAACTCTTCGAACCGCTGCTTCAGCTGAATTTCAAGTTCCTGCTGAAGAAGCTTGCGTTGAGATTCGTGGAAGTCGTGCTCCCGCTGCTCCTGCCGCCGCTGTAGCTCTTCCAGTTTCGCCTGCAGAGTTTCAATCATCTTCTTCTGCTGTTGCGCTCCGGACTCGCGCTGCTCTTCTTTGGTTCTTTGTAGCCGTTCCAGCTGCTCCTGCAGCATATCGATTCGCTGCTGCTGCGCCCTCTGGAGGTCTTCATGGTGGGCCTGCTGCCGCTGTATCATGAGTTGCTGCTGCTGGAGAGAGGCATCGACAACGCCTGCAGCGGCAGCCAGCAAGGCTGCCGCGGAGGCTGTCTGCTCGTCCTGTCGCTCCTGATGCAGGCCATTGCAGCCGACTTGCAAGTGCGGCATGGAGACTGCGCGCTCACTTTCTGAGAGCCTCTGGCTGCTGGGAGTGCCCGGATCATCCCCCGACTCCTCTTGACTTCTGCTGTCTGCAGTTGTCCCTCTCTTCGCTAGCGCGTTTTCTGGACCTTCTTCCGCAGAGGCTTCCGCCTTTCCCGCGTCTGCGTCCGTTATCGACAGCTGCGCAATCAACGGAGACCGCGGGGTGCTGCTGCTGCGCCCCCCACACTGAGCAGTCTTGGAAGAAGACCCCTGTCCATCACAACACCCGTGGCTAACATTCTGCGTTCTTGCACCTTCTTTGCTCTGCTCGCAAGGATTAGGCGTAAGGGGCTGGCAACCTCCCAACGCCCTACTGGAGGAAGACCCCATCCGAAATGGCGATTCCGCACTGCTGCTGCGGCTTCGCGGGCTGCGCTTAACGCTTGCCTCATCCCCTCTGCGGCACGCCTCCGCTGTCCCGAGCGCTGTAGGCTTCGAGTCCTCAGGCTTCCTCCGACGGGGAGATGCTGCTCCACCGCTGCTTTCCACCTCTGACGCCAAACGCAGAGACGCACCCGAGCCGCAGGTGACTGCGGACCCTCCAAGCTTCCCTTGGAAACCCTCAGCGCTGGAAGCGTCTGTCGCCCTAGCTAGCTGGACGCGGGAAAGCAACGCAGCGCCTCCTCTCTCTGAGGAACAAGAAGCAGAAGTCTCATCAGGATGCGGTGCTTCGCGAGACGGGATCTCCACGCGTCCCATAGACACAGTCCTCCGAGCTCTTAAAAGGCCCTCCCTGGGAGTCGTTTCGCTTGCAGATGTCGCCGGTCCTGCTGCTCCTGCTGGAGGACTGAACTGCGCACGCGCTGAAGAGGCAGCCGCTGCCTCGTCCGGCAGCTCCTCGCTGCTTTGGCTGCTGCGCTGCAAATAGCGGAAGCTGCCCGCATCCTTGGAGGACATGCTTGCGGCTACCGCGGCAAGGGCTCGCATAGGGTGCTTCCGTTTCTCTTCCGCAAGGAGCGCCTTTCGGCCGGTGCCTGCGTCAGCCGCGTCCTTTGAGTGCGCCTTGCGCTCCATGGCGTTCCCGGGGAGGGCACCGCATGCGCCGAACATGTTGAAAACGCTGCTGAGTGCTGTCGAGTCAACAGCCCCTCGCCGGTTCAGTACTTCGCTCCCTTTGTGGCCCGCTCTGGCGCTGCGCACGCGTCCGTGACCAGAGCGCCCAGAGTGATGTACTGGCGCATCTCCTGCAGGATGGAGGCCGAGGAACGAGCCATCCGAACGGGCAGACCCCAGCGAATCGTCTAGCGGAGGCCTACCAGGTGACGCGTCCCTGATGAGCGCTGAACGCGCCGTTGTCTCCAGCCTGGGCGAAGTGCAAGCCACCAACGGCGTACCGCTAGAGGGCTTTGGTTCGCACGCGCTGCTGCCGCTTGTCGCCCGGGACAGGCATCGCCTCCCTCCCAGCGCGACGTCAAGACCAGTCAAACTGCTCGCTTTCCCAATAGGCGTCATGGGTGGGGAAGCCTCTACGCCTGCCGGTGGCTGCGTGGCGTCCGCGTTCCTCGGCCTTCCTGCAGAGACGCCTGAGGACCGTCGCAGCTTGGTCAGTCTGCCACGCGTCGCACTGGAAGCTCCGGAAGAGTTGGCCACAGCGTCTCGCCGGCTGTCAGCCGCGCCCGGAGACCCCGCGAGACGCTCCCGCACGATCCTTCTGAGAAGCACGCATGCAGCAAAAACAACAGAATGCAATACATTCATTTTGAAAGCTGCGTGTCTTGCGTGCAAGGCGCTCCAGGAGACTCTGGAGAATCGAACAGCGCTCAGTAAACGCCACCAGCAATTGCAGCACGCGAAGCGCGTTGCCGACTGAGCGGGGGGGAGGGGGGGAGGAAGGGTGCTTCTGAGAAAGTAAGAAAGGGGCCGTGAACATAAACGCCCGGCTTACACATGTGCGACTTCCCCTGCTCCCGCGTCTTCCGACTGCAACAAATCCAGAGGATCTGAGCCAACACACCGGCAGGAAACCATGCACCCACCACGCCTATTCCCCGAAACCACGTATTCATGAAAGATATATACATTTATAGATACACATATTCATGCACACATACATACGTACATACATACATACACACATATATACGCAAAGATGAGCCTCAATAAAGCGGCAGATGCTTATAGTTTTACCAAAGATATCTTCTGCTTCGGGAAGACTGGCAGAAGACGTGGGTTCCTTCGACACGGCGTCTGTGGTCGATGGCTCGGAACGCAAAGATGTACAAGACGGCACGTGGCCCTGCGCACGAAACCGCAAAAAAAGACGCACATCGCTGTACAACGTACAGAGGGTGATGGAGGTCTGTGAATACTGACTTGAAGGGTGCAACAGAATGCCGATTTCCCCATTGACTCGGCCTTAAGTAGCCGCATGAAGGGCTGCTCGGAGTTGCCTTGCCCCAAAAAAGTCCCTCAACACAGATTCTCTCGTGTCTTGCCCTTCAAAAGAACATGCAAGCACCGGCCGCTTACAGAGACTGCCCGCACGCCCTCGTCGCTCCAACGCGGTCCGGCAGAAAGGTCTCTAGCCACAGCGTGCGTGGTCAATTCGCTCTGCGGCGTCTCCTGATCTCTGGGCGGCCTCTCCCCTGTTAGCGGCTTTGAGAGACTTCGCTCGCTGCCTGTTTGGCTGCGCTCTACTGTGAGAAATTCGCCGTGCGAATCGGCCGTGTGCTCTGCTTGCCGCGGCTCTGCGAGCGCTTCGTCTAGCTTGTCAAGGGCATGGATCGCTTCGGGCTTCTCAGAAGCTCGGTCTTCGCCTGTGGGGTTTGGCGCTTTCTCCGTGCCGGAAGTCAAGGCGTCCTCAAGAGGAGGTACACCTGCCGAGGCAGCGGTGGTCAGCCCCAACAACTCCAATTCAGCGCCCAAAGTAGGCAAGGCACGCAGGGGCGCGTGTGATTGCTGGACAAGCTGCCGCCTCTGAGCATAAGGCGCTGAAGATTCCCCCAAAGCTGCAGCCAGCTCGTATCGCGGGTGTAATCCACGGCGTTGCTCCATCCGCCTACACGCGCGTACAGACACAGGGAGAGGCACACACATATTTATCCACCTCCCCGAGGATTCCCGCAAGCTCTTGAATCAGCCGTGTAGGACAGCGCGGCAGGCAAGCAAGCGATGCTCAGAAGGCCGCCCTCCAGCCTTAAGGGCCTGCCTGCTGCTGGTGAGGCGCTGAGCAGAGAGACAGACGCGCCCCCATGAGCTGCCAAGTCTGTGCACGCCCATATGCGAGACTGACAATTCATCGTTGAAGGCCTCCAGCTCCTTGATGTGAGCCAAAGCAGCCTTCAGACCCGTCTTGAGCTTCGCAGCCTCTGCACTCGGCTGCGGCAGCCCGACGCGATCAACCGGGCTGCTGCCTTCCGCCTCCGACTCTTTTGTTTCCTGAAGAACGTGCATCAGCGAGTTGCGGACGCCGCGAACCTGCTGCAGCAAGCGCTGCTGCTGCTTGGTCCTCACCTCCAGGATGGTCACCTAAAATACGCCACATCCCAGTCGAACCCAAGCCGCAAACATTTGTCGTGGGAAGAAATGACTGGTGCACCTACCAACAACAAAAAAGGGGGGGCGGGTGAGGGGTAAGAGGCCCCCCATGCCGGCAAGAAACACTCACATCTGCCATCGAAGATGACAGAAAAGACAAAAGAACTCGAGGCGCATGCATCAACCATCTTTCACCCCGCCGCGCTAAAAAACACACGCACCCACCTGCTGGACCTTCTCCTCCAGCCGACCCTGAAGCTGCAGTATCAGGGCATCGTTCTCCTCCGCCTCCGTCTCCTGCCGTTGCTTATCATCCTCAAGCTCTTTGATTCTTTGCCTGAGGGCCGCAGCACTTGTGTGGGCATCTCCCTGGAACTTCTGGCGCGCGGCATCCGCTGCTGCAGCCGCATCCTCTGCCAGACGCAGCTTGTCTTCCAACTCCGCCTTCTCTCCTGCCCGAAAACAAGAGCCCCGCAACACCATAGCGCACCTAAACTAAAATAGAACGCGCATCGCAAGCCCTGAAGTGGATCCAGAGAAGAAGACGCTGCGATCGCTACACGCGATGAGCGTTGTGTGTCACGGTAGAGAGGCTACATGGGCGTTTGGCTGGCTTCCTGTGAAGAAGCAGCGAAGGGACAGATGCTTCTAGCTCACGTGTTAGAGATTCAACATTTTCGCGGTATTCCTCCGCCAAGGCCTCTTGCTGCTTATTGACAGCCTCCAAATGACAGGTGTACTCTGCGTCCTAAATCCCATAACAGAACGAGTTACACAGCAGCACGCACAAGCGCTTCTGGAGTGTATGTGTTTCCGGCGGCTGCGCAGAAAAGACGGCTCCTCAGTTCTTGCGCTAGTGCGTGTGTATGGATATATCTCCATGAGTACGTGGAAAATGTATGTGTGCGAGCATATGTGGAAAATGTATGTGTGCGAGCATATGTGGAAGCGTGTTCGGTGTCCGCGTTAGCTCCCCCCTTGCCCAGAATCAGCATGCGCGCAATGAAGCTAGCGCCTCTCTCCTCACTTGTGCAGAGATCTTCGCGGAAATGGCGTCTTTCTCCCGCATAATGCGTTGTACGTCTTCCTCTTTATCTGCTCGCAACACACAGAGCGGCTTGTAAAAGCGGTTGCTGGTCACACTTCAGGATGACAGACACGAACATTTCCTCTCCCCCTTCCTGCCCGCTTGCTTCTTTCGTGCAAAGGTAATGAAGGTGCAAGGCCGCGAGCTCCGTTGGGCAGGTAAAGACCATTGTGTGAGCCGCTTACCACGCAGCAGACGCAAAAGACGTTCCTTCTCGGCGCGCTCCGAAGACAGCTCACTTCGCAGCTGCTCAATCTGTCCTCTCTCGTGTAGCTGGTAATCCTGCTGCAGCTGAAGCTGACTGTGCTGCTGCTCGAGGTCGCTCAACCGCTTCACGAGCTGCTGCTTTTCTGTCCGCGTGCGCCGAAGCGCCAAGGCTGCCTCGTGTATCTCCTGAGACCAGAAGAGAACATGCAAAAGGCAACGCACGGTTTGCAGTCCAACCAGCAGCAAACCGCCTTTCTGTCCTGCAAAAGACCTCCTGCGCAAACGCTTGAGGCGCCACAGTGGCCCCCAAAGTGGCTACTGCAGGTGCACCTCAACGGGCTTATAGAGGGGTTGAAAGGCGGGGGGAGAACTGGGTTTGCTGTCATATGAGAGGGGCTTTTGCGGGTGTCTTCCTTTCGCCTTCCTGATCTCATGGCGCGCAGAAAAAGCTTACGTCATTGCGCTTGTCTCGATCCACACATAAGCGGTCCAGACAGTCCACAGCAGCTGCGTTCGCGTAGCGCAAGCGCTGCACATCCTTCCTGGACAAAGTTCCCCCCTCCACCAGTTGTCCAGCAATCAGCAATAAGTGCTGCAACTGCGAAACTACACAAGGACAGCCAGAAGCAGCAGAGACCTTTCGCGTGCTCCTCATAAAACTCTTGAAATGGCCAGAGGGCTCTTCCCATTTGCCGGATGCGCCTACGTGCGGGTGGTGAAAGGCTTTGCAGTCCACACCAAAGAAAGTCTTGTAGGCGGTGTGTACATATATATATTTGTCTGTATCTGTATGAATGTATGTATGCATATGTATGCATGCATGTATATGTATGTATCTATGCATGTATATGTATGTGTGTATATGTAGGTATTTATATGTGTTGCGCTGACTGGGGTCTTCTGAATCGGTGTGAATGCTCTTGAGGAAAGCCGCAATATCCATTTGAGACGGTTTCGACAGCGTATCGGCGTCACTAAGGGCCTCCACAGCATCTTGCTGGTGCTCCTCCTCGCTAATGGCTGGTGCTCTCTGGGAAAAGGCTTCGCGAGAATCGCCAGCAATCCTCTGGGGCGTCGCGAGTGGCCCTGCAAGCTCATCCGCTTCCTTGCTCAGTTGCCCCTCTCCTGGCGATGACAAAGTGTTGCTGTTGTTACCCTGCCTGTGCACGCCGGTCTTAGTGGGGCAGCTCTCCCCTGCAGCCAAGCATGCCTGCGGCTGCTGCTTGGAGGCCTCCGCACACCGGTCAACAACTCTTTCGCTAGAGCTCGCCGTTGGGGCTTTCTCTGCTGCATAGTCGCTCTCCGACGCTAAGCTGCTAGCGCCGCTTGCGGTCAGCCGCGTTACCGGTGCAGGCGCCTCCTCCGCTTGGGCAGCTGGCTTGTGTGCCTCGTGGAGAGCCTGCTCCGACAGCGGGGGATCTGTCGATACCTCGTGGATGTACGCCTTGAGAAACCCGAAGACCATCATGGAGAGCTCCGTAACAGAAAGTACTGAAGAAGGATCCAAAAGTGCCGTTTCCTTGTACACTTCGTCCCAAAATAAGCTGGAGGCGCATGGCGCGTTGACTGAGCGGCTGTTTCTCGAATCCTTTGGTCCGTAGGAGGCGATAAGCTGCGTGTGGTGCAAGGCAACAGATTTGTTTGTGTGCTCGATGATGCTGAGCACCTCGTCTCGCGAAAGCAGCACGCTGCTCGAGGGTCCTTGATTCTTGGACATGGCCTCCTCGAGAAGCCCGTCTCTGCGCATGCAGCCACAGTTGCAGCGCAGCTCCTTGCCACGGTGCAGAATAAATGTACTTAAGACGCGGAGGAGAAGCCCGTCATCCAAACAAAGGCAAACATCCGGCGCGGCGGCTCGCGCTCATTTTGCCCGAGCAGGCACAATGAGAGTGACGGAGAGAAAGAACGAGAGAGTGCGTGAGTGAGTGGGAAACAGAAAGAGGGAGAGAGAAAGATTGAGAGTGAGTGACAGAAACACAGATGACAGAGCCTTTACAGAAACCCTGCAGACGAAGGAGAAGCACGCAGGATCACGCGAGACCGGTGAGCGAGCTATCCCCGTGTGCTGTCGTTTTTATACCTGAAGACCTGCAGTCCATACACCTTCTCATCGACCTGACCCCCAGCCGAGTCTCGGATACCCAGAAGTTCCAATAAATGTTCCATTCCTAAGGGAATACGCACATGCAGCACAAGGCTTCTACCTCATTTCTGACAAAAAACTCACGAACGCCAGGCGCTCTAGGAAGCCTCCTGCGAAAAGAGGTCAACCAAAGAACGGTAAAGAAAAGAGTTACGCCAAGCAAACAGCTACACGGTCCTCGAGGAAGGCGGCACTCTTCTTCGGCCATGTAGGCCTGTATGCTACGACGTTGCACAAGAGCTACAGAAGGCGCAACCCCCATAAAAGCCCCCGCAACCACGAACCTGCCCAAAAGCTGAGGAAATTTATTTCGCCGTTATTATCCGCCTCAAAGCATTTCTTGATCAAATCTTCGATCTCCTCCTTGTCCATCGGTGCTGCCTGTAGTGCAGCGAAAACGCAAGCTGCTAGCAATAAAAGAAGTAAGAGATCGCAAGCGTCCACGCCGGTAACAAGGCACTGTCAGAGAGCGCCCGCGCACTGCATGGGGCAACACACGCGGTGATCAAAGAGGAAGGGGGAAGTGGGGATTCGGAAGAGGGGGACTTAAGGCCAACCATCAAGAGGTGCTGCATGAGCAGCTGCTTCTCGGCTTCTATGCGGACTAGAGGCCAGCCGCTGCCGCGGCAGCTGATGAACAATTCGATCACCGCGTGTATTTCGTCCATCTTAGCGGTTAGATGGCAGCGTTTGATGGCGTGCGCGACTCAGTTTAACGCCCCTTTTCATGAGCTTGTCCTCCTGACAACCATGAAGCATCAACCGGGAAGCAGCGGGGGTCCACGTTGCTAGCGGCTAGGGTGCTCGCAATGAGAGAGGGCGCACCAATGAACATTTCATTGCACTGCCCTAGGCCTCCGGGACCGCCGTCAGCCAAATGCACCTTCGTGTGGCCCCCTTCACGAAGACTGCGGCGGTGTTGCGGAGAGAGTAGCGCTAGGGGCCTCTTCTCAACGACAGCAGTTGCGGGCTGAAGGCCCCCGATGCAACTATAGGCTTCGACGCCTCTGCCGCGTCCTTACCCAAGAGCTGCCTGCGCTGTATTTGCGCGCTGCGAGCAAGCAAGGTTCTGCAGCGAGAAGCTCTGAGGCGGTCGCCAAGCGCACGAACCCTCTACCCCCTATGGCTGTTATGCCTCCTGCTCTGACTGCATGAACCGTGAGTATGTCGCCGGAAGTGCAGTCTCAGGAGGTCAGAGCAGGTAAATGAAATAAGCATTTTGGGATATTTTAAACAACGGCGGAAGGTGTATCCCAACAGGTTAAGGTAGCCATTCATTGGCGGCAAGGGCCCCCCTTTAAGGACTGCCTACCTACGCAGGCAAGAGACCGCTGCTGCCTCCCAGGGAGACACAGGCCTGGCAGACTGCAGCGCACACAAGTTTTAGAGCGGTTCTGCAGCTTCCAATGAGTTAGAAACCATCAAGCAACAAAGAAAAACAGCACCAGGGAGATACAAGGCAGCTGCTACAGCATGTATGGCCTGCCGTGGCTGCTGCTCGATGTGGCGGCCATCACCGCCGTTCAGAGGCTGTGACCGTGCAACTGACCATTTCCCGCTGCTCTTGGTGCATTTTCTGTTTAGAATGCTGATGACGCATCATTTTCGTCAGTGTATCAGCAGTTGGCTTGAATAAAAACCGCTGGAGACACTAGGTGCAGAAATCTCTGGGCTCAACTCGCAGCGGTACCACTGCTTTAAAGGGGCCCGCCCGCCCTGTTGCCCCCTAACAGGTAAGTATATTCGCGTCTATGGCCGAATAATCTGGGTATCCTTCGCGTTAAATTGGTGACAATAAAGCTGAAACTGACTCACCCCCTGTATCTGCTTCTGTAGGGGAAGCATGTATAGCCCTGAACCCTGATCAGTTCTCCAAAAACAGGCAAGGTGCGCCCAACTCACAAAACTTTTGTCGAGCAACGGTGCACTGCACCCCACACGATATACCTTCAGCCTCAAAATTCCAGGCTTCACAGAATAAAACTCATCTGCGTGCCAGAGTTGCCGCCAGCTGGAGCCACACCGTAGATCGTGTGACATCGCAGCACGGCCTTTCAAGGCTCGCTGCCACACTCAGGAGCAGCCTCAAGGTGCATTCCCCTCCGTGCGAGTGCAGTAAGAGGCCTCCGAATCATTCATATGAGATCGTTTAGAGTCTCTAATTGGCGAGCCTGCATGCAGGGACACATCCATACAGTTGCTAGGAGACAGGGGCTCACATCTTAGGTCTGTAACCCCCCTGAACAGGGATTCGTGGTATCATTTGCGGTCGCTCGCTTTGGTTGAAAGCTACCCATTACACAAGAGCTAGCGTAGATGCTTGGCTACACAAATCGTGGCTGAGGTGGGCGACTTCATATTGCATAACGCTGCTATGTACAGAGGGGAAAACGGGCTGACACGGTTGCATAACCCGTTTGTGTTCTTCTCGCTAGCGTCTTTATTGTATGTGCGTCATTCGATCTGAAGGGAGCAACTCTGCTGCACATCCCAGTTGATCCTGTCTAGTTTCATGGAGTGTTCGATCCGGACAAGGCTCCATTTCCCCCGTAGTACCTGCAGACGCACTCAGGTCGTGCTGCATGCTATCACCAACGTGCGCGGTAGCGCCGCTATCTCATAGCGTAGTAGTTGGCCCTAAAAAAACGAATACAGCAACGTTCGAAGAGGCGGCATTCCTATAGGATGGCCCCGCCTAATCGTATAAGGTACGTAGCAGTATACACCCCCAAAACAATACTCCGCCGAGCCTTCAGCACACATCCGGAAAGCCTGAAGCTACGCTGAAGGTCGGCTTGTGAGCAGCTTGCGCTGCGGAAGGAAGAATATGCGGCCAGCTTGGCCGAAGAGGAGGCCCGCATGCACTACAGCTATCGCCACTATCAGCATGAGGCTCCAGAAGGGTAGCATGTCCAGCGCGCACAAGGTCGCTGTGAAGCTTAACGGCCGGGATGCCACTAAGTATCCCCCAGGGAAGCCTGCAGGGCTTGCAGCAGTCTCAGCGCAGACAGCCGGGAAGGCAGAAGGGTCCGCGGCTCGAGAGGCAGAGTGCGGAGACAGGCGGTGCGGCAGCAGGTACAGCAGGACGATGGCACTCAGCAAAGGGAAGAGGCCCAGCAGGTCAAGAGTCAAGGCTAAAGCGAACAAAAACCTGCATGCCTCCACGACCAGCACGGACTTGCCCTCTGCGGGCGAGACATCATTGTCCTCGTCTGTCAGGGTCAACTTCTCGAAGTCACCCCACAGAGACGACGGGGAGGAAGTGGCGTGGCTGCTCAGGGTGGAGCCGAAGGCAGAGCCCTTTACGAGATAGCCTTCTGTTTTAACAGACGTGTCGTGCTTCCACGCCTCAAGTTTACACCGACTCACGGCAACGGCGCACATCATGGGGGGTTCCGGAGGGACATAACCGCTGCAGCAATCTGAGAGGCCCTCCGCGCCGTCTCCGCTTCCTCCATCGCCATCAATCGCACTCGGATCAGCGGCCTTACGCGATCGTTCCGCGCGCTCTACATGCACGTGCTCCGGAAACACCCAGAACACTTCTTTAGGCCTGTCTTCCCCCTGTTTGGAATCTGCCATTTCAGCCTTTTCCCTAATACTCGGCCGAAGAAGAGAGCTCGCGGTATCTCCTTCGCTAACCGGCGAAGAATCTAAGAAGCCCACCGAAAAGGCACTAACGCTATCTTCTTCTAGGGCGTTCTCAACCCACATAGGGTTGCTTCCAAAGCACGTGTCCTGATACGTGAGCAGCTTTTCAAACTCGCGGCACCAGGCAGCGAAAAACATCTGCGCGCGCATCATCAAAATCCGCATCCAAAAGCGGGCCGGTTAAATCCACGCGCTTCTACGTCGCCTCTTTCGGCGAGTTCCTGTAGCATCTCGCATGCGATTGGCTGGGCTTAAGCAGCGAATACCGCACTTGCTTACTGTGCCTGACACGCGCTAGAGAATTCCTTACCTCGCGCAGATGCGGCATCTCCACCATATCCTTGAACCGATAGTGTAGCGCGGTCTGAAGCTGCTGGTCTGTAGCTACGTCTCTGAAAGTGCAGTTTGCGTTGCAGTGCTCCGCCGCGCTGACAAGCTGCGAGGACTGCTGGCAGTCCGTGGAAGGCCCGTGCCCCTCTTGCTGCTTGTGGTGGTGTGGCTGGATAGGAATGGCATAATGCTGAAGCGTCGAAGGGCTGGGTGTGGAATGCAAATCGAAGAGGTCCTCTGCAGGCATGCACGCGAGCGCGCGTGGATCGGCGCGGGGGTATAGCGTAACATCCTCGGGCTTCCACAGCTCCTCGGGGTTTTTCCTGTGCGTCGCCTTCTTTCCTTCGTCCTGCTGAAATAGAGAGTCAAAGCTGCTCCATTTGATGCTGGTATCTGATACTTGCCTGTAGCCGCAGTGGCTGGAAATGGCTGAATAGCTTAAAGCGGATCCAGCTTCTTCTGGGTGCCCCTCGCACGTAGGCTGTGCGCTTTCTGAAGTGAGCTCATATGCCTTTTTTTCTGCAGTCTTACTTCGTGCACCTTCAACCTCAGCATACCGAAGACCAACTAGGCGCTCATACCATGAGTATATACACTGCTTCCTCTTCAGGATCATGGCATTGTAGGCTGGTGGATCGAGCTGGGATGGCAGTGCTCTTTGCTTTCGGCTCTTGAGGACTCGAAAGGCCAAGGAAGAATATTGAGTGCGCCTCCGTGCTAGCGCCTCGGAGCTCCCGCCGTCGCCTCCTCCTCCTCCCCGCTGCAGTTGTGGATCGGCGAACAGAAGCTTGAGGCCCCTACATGCAGAACTGGTCTTAGCGGAGCCCGCAGCGTCGCGCGGCGTCTTGAGCTGGGAGTATAAGCGGCAGGACCTTGCGCTTTTTTCTTGCGCCTGCTGGGGGTTGGAAAGGCCTAGCCTGGGAGTGCGCATTCCGTCGAAAAAGATAAAGCACGGACTCGTCGGAGAGCTTTGCGGCGAATCCGCAGACTGCTGCCCAGCGTGTTGCCTGATCCACCGATAGGGGCTAGCGCGGACCAGGAGAGACACCACGCTTTCCGACAGCGTGATTGCAGCATCCGTCTTCCTTCTCGAGCCAGCGGTCTCGCTTGCAGCACCTGCCGATTCTTCTTCATGGGTAGAAGAAGGCGCCACGTCCACTCCTTCGCTGGAAACTCCGTAGGCGAAGGCGAGGAGGGCAGGGGCCTCCTCCAATGCGCTTCCGTTCGGTCGCGTGCCGGAGGCGGAGAGAGCCGCCAACCGGGATTCAGACAGCGAGCTCCCTTGAAGTCGCGTCGACAAGGACCTCTCTTTCGATTTTTCGCCAGTAATGGGCTCAGAGGACTGCAATGTTCCCGCCCTCCTCAGAGCGGCAGCAGCTTGAAGCGCGTCGCTGCTGCCGGTGAAGCGCCAGCCAGCCTCGGGAAGCCCTTCCCGAGCTTTGCCCTCAGATGCCGCCTGCTCTTCTGCCTGCATCAGGCTGTGCATATCCAAGGCGAAAACGGACTTGCGGGATGCGGAGGCAAAGGGCAGCGTCCCATGCGTTAGCCGACAGTGGACGTCTCTGCATCCCTCCGCGTGCTGCCGGTGCAGTTGGATGGCGCCTTTCAGCGAGGGGCAGGGATGAAGCTGCTGGGGGATTCTGCCTTCAAGGGTTGCAGTGGCGTAGTGTGCATAAAAGCGCTTTCTTGGCAAGGGCAGCTCCCAAGGCGTTCTCCTACGCCCAGCACCTGACGCCGCTGCAGCGTGAGCCTCCTCTGAGGCTGCCTCCGGAGCTTCGCTGCACAGGCTTCTGCGCGGCTCGTTATGGCAGCCAGTGCTGGAGGACACCCCGTCGACTCCCTCCTCGCCTATCACCCGGAGACGGCCTTCTCCCACCTGGGAACCTGAGGACGTTTCGAGGAGCGCAAGTGGAGATGGAGACGCAGCATCGTCCTCCGACGCATGGCCTTCCGGTCCTGTTTCATCAAGCCTCTTGAGTTCTGCTTTCCTGCTCGCTGCCCCTGCCACACTGGGGGAGAGCGCTTCAGCAGGTCGAATTTTCTCCGCCTCCCTTGCCGGGAGCTTCACGGCAGTTCCATGGGTTAGACAGTCCAGGTACCGCAGAAGGATGCTTGGATGCACCAAGAAGAGCTTGAGCATGACGACGCCGATCGATCCGCATGCCCACAAGGCTGTAGCAGCACCGAGTGCCGCTGCAGCCACCAAGAGGACTTGCAAGATCAGGAGGACGCAGCAGGCCGCCGCTGCGGGCACCAAGGCGCACATTGCAGCAGCGAGGTGCACGCCTTTCGTTGAGCCTCGAGGAACAAGCCGGTTCTGCAGGCGAACAAATAGGTCTGCGGCAAAGAGACACCGGAGGCTGCAGCGCCGCAGTAGGCCCCTTGCTGGCTTCGAGCTGGCGCCACCGCTGTCGGAGTTCGCGGCGAGGTGAACGATGCGCGCGGCCTGTGAGGCTGCCCAAGAGATGGTGGACCTCAGATGACGGCTGCAACAAATGCCGAAGCCTGCACTAGGAACAACAACGGAGAGGATTAAGAGAGCTACCGCTGCATAGGGCGTAGCTCCCAGCTGCTGCTCAAAGCCTTGCGCTGCCGCAGCCAGAAACACCGCCAGCGAAATCCTGGACGCGTAGTCGTACAGCGACAGGCAAACAACGCAGGGCCCCAGAGTCCAGCAGAGCAATCGCCGATAGGCCTGCACGGCGAGCAACTTCGACTTATCCCGCAACTTCTCGACACGGAGAGGAGAAGACGTGGGGAAAACTGTCTCCTTCGCAGGGTCTGTCGGGACGCCCAGTGAAAGCGGCTGGTCGTCATCGCCGTCAGCGTTCTTCTGCTCCGCTTCCGGATCTTCACTCGGGAGCGCGAAGAGCGCGCTATGACTCAGGGGCCTCGAGGCTACACCACGCATGCGCAACAGAGGCAGAAGAAGCGTTTGATGCGAAAACAGGACAGCCACACCACGCCCATTTTTCTGCATGCAGAAAAAAGCCCGCAATCCCCAAATAACGCACCTTCCAGGAGCTTCGCCAAAGCTGTGTGGCCAAAAACACAGGCGACATCTAGGGCTGTCAAAGACCTCTGCAACGCAGGGCAGTGTAAGGCCGCACGGAACCAATAGCCGGAAACCAATAGCTACTGCCTGCTAGGCTGCACTCCTCGCACCATCTCCAGGGAGCACTTGAAGTCTAGGAACAGATGCGTCTTTCTCTATGTGCGCTTTTCTACTGAGACAGGACGCCGAATGCCGATGCAGTTAATACGGAGACACACCGCAGGCACCCCAAACTACGGGCTGGGATGCTTCAGGGAAGTCTCCAGAAGAGCAAAGTGCATGGAGCGACCTACGAAATCACGGTCTTCAAGACTGCCACCGGCCATCAAGAGTCTCTCAACAATTTGCTTGCTACCCCTTCTACAGGCCCAATGCATCGGAGTCCAGCCAGTAGCATCCACACCCCGAGGATCGGCGCCTTGCTGCAGCAGGAATTCCACAGTCTCGAGGTGCCCAGCTTCGGTGGCGTAGTGCAGGGGCGTCATGTACCCGAAGCCTGGTCCGAGGATGTCGAGAGCTGAAAACTGCTTCAGAAGCCTTCTAATCAGCTCCGTTTGACCCAACGAAGCCAAGATGTGCAGAACCGTGTTGCCCTTCTGCAAACACCACCCACTACAGACAAGGATCGAAGAGGATCCGCGCAAAACCTGCTGCACCCGCCGCGCCATTCAGCGAGCGCGAAGTTTGCCAGTCCGTTAGCAGCAATAAGCGGAAAACAGCAACAGGGCAGAGAGGTATACGTGTTTTCAAGATCCTCTCGTGCTAATAATGCGCACCGCATCTGCCACCTCGACATCAGCCCCGTTGTCGAGGAGCGCCATCATCACAGCCACATGCCGCGGCGAGTCAGCGGACTTCAGCCTACACCGTTTGCAAACACCAAAAGCTTGCTGACAAGGAATTCTGGTTGGTGCGTACTGCCTGCAGTTTGCTTTTCGGATGCTGGGCGGGGTGGGAGTAAGGGCAGCGAGGCGGCCTAGTGGCCTAGAGACTCACGCAGCTAACATCAGCGGGGTCCACGCATTAGAGGCCTCAAGAGGATCCACTGCCGCTTCGTTCTGCGCCAAATACAATACAACACAGCCGACACAGCTCAAAGAAAAGATGCAACGGATGCAGCAAGGTCTGTGTGTTCCAGAAACCCGCACACGCAGTGGAAGGAGACACCCAGAGATGTAGAAATGTGCCATGTGTTGGAATCCTTCATTTTTACAAAAACTATGGGGCTCATGGCCTAGCTTGGCTGAGACGTGCCTGCAGAAGGAGCTTCACTATCTCGGTGTGTCCATTTCTGGCAGCCAAATGGAGGGGGGAGCGGTGACTATCTGCATTGCAGGCAAAGTTTGGGGTTGCCCCAGATTCCAGCAGCTCCTTCACTTCGTTGACGTTTCCATCTTTGCACGCCTTGCAGAGCTTGATGGTCAGCATCGTCGCGTGCTATAGGAATGCACGCGTAAGCGTACAGGAGCGGGAAAATTCATGGAGAAGCTAATAATCAGTGTTGCTGAAAAACTATGCAAAAAGGCCTTCGGGCAGCCCGATGGGCCTTTATGAAGAGTGGTCCACTTCAGAGAACCCTCGATGCTGGAATCCGAGCGAATGCTTGATGCATGCGAATTCCTGGTGCTTCATCGTGTGCTTTTAGCAGCAGGAGGGGTTGAGCTTCCGTGGAAGCCCGTTTGAAAAAGGAGGTGGGCTAGAGGAAATCTTCTTGAAGCTCGATTAATCTGGCGTCTTTTAATTTTGCATCGTTCCTGCATCCAGAAAAGTGGTGATTACAAGCCTGCGTCCCCCCGGGGTGTCCACCACCACCGAAGCCGCTTTTGGAATTGCTCGAAAAAAGCAATCCCTGTAGATATTCTTGGCAAGCTTATCATGCATGTGACAAAATAGCATTTAAACAGGGGTAGAGTCAACGAAATTGTGCAAGACTGGGATGCTCTCTAGGTCGTACTGGTCTTGTTCAAGGTCGGTGGTGGGCGCAAGGCCGCCAGCAGTTTGCGATCGCGTTCCGATTCAAATTTACTCGTGAGGTGATGTAGTTGAAACTTTCATTGGTGGAAAAAGGTTTTGAGCTATTGGTCACCAGAATTGACGTGGTGATGAAGCAGAAGCATGCGAGGGGCCCTCACGCTCTGTCGGCTGCGGCAGCTGGGCATTGCAATGGGCTGCCGAAACGGGCTTGAACTAGACATGAGCCTGCGCGATCAAATTTGCCGAAACTGCCCCGAGACGGAATTCCCTGACGCTGTGCTGTTCGCAAAAATTTGATGCTTGTGTCGAGATCTCAGTTCATCCATGCGGTCGCTGTCTGCTGGTACTGCGGAGGGAACCCGCGAGTCCGTTGGCCCTCTACGCTGCATGCTGCATTTCCCCTCCTGAAATCAAAGTAGCCTCCTTAATCCAGCAACGAGCATTCGTTCTGGAAAACGCACGAGCCCAGGGGAGTGGCGCCGCAGGAGGGCAACGCGAGAAAGCATGGGTCAATGCGTGCCGCTCCGGCCTGGCAGCTTCCTGTAGTGGAAGATGAACGATGGAAACCGGTGAGCCTGCCTTTCTTCTCCCTGAGTTTCTGCTGGTTTTCTTGCGGTATTCACGACAGCGCTGAGGGCAGTCCAATTGCTGCTTGCTCTTAGCCTTCTTAGTCTCGAACAATTCCTACCTGATGGCTGCTGGCGCAGGGAGAAGGCGAAAGCGACAGCCGCAGCCTTGCTCAAGGATGAGAGCTTTGTTATCAAGTATCCAGCCCTAGCTCGGGCCCTCAAAGAGTCTGTGGAGCCGTCCGAAGAACCTGGAGGCAGCAGCTCACCGACTGCCGCCGCTGTGCATGCAGAACCCTCCCCAGCTGCAGAGCCATCTCTGCAGCGATCCGGCAATGGCATGCATGCGACCGCTCAGCAGCTGAATGGAAGCGGCTTTTCTCCCTTGGCAAGTCCAGAAGTGTCTTCCACTGTACTCCTACCCGGCCCCGCGGCACAGAAGCCACAGTTGCCCCTCAATCCCACGTCCTCTTCTCCTGCAGCCTCGCCGCCTCTGAGCGGCAGCACCTCGAAATTTCCAGAGCCGACGCAGCAGGCGTCATCACCTGTGCACCTCGCGCAGAGTCACCCCTCGAGAGATCCGCAGGGAGGAGAGGCGGCAGAGACACGGACGGGCCATGTCACGGACGATGCCCTCCCCGCGGCAGCCTCTGGCATCGCCTCCCCCACAGGAGAACCCGCAGAGAAAGTTTTACACCCTCCTGTGCACTATATGAAGCGGTAGGGCTTCTGGAGGAAGGGGGGAGGGGGCCTGCTGGCAACATGCAGCGTGTAGGTACACCGCAAAACAGGGAGGTTAAGGCGGGGCTTGCACGACGACAGGGAGACGTCAGAGCTTGGGTTGATGGCTTTTCGTGCAGGCTGGAGGAGCTGCAACAAGGCTACGTGCAAATCATGCAGCATCGCAACAGCGTGTCACTGCAGTATGAGCTGCTGAGAAAAACCGGCCGCCCCCTTACGGGCGCACGGCTCCCAAGCGCCGTGGCGCTCAGTTCGTCGCCTCCTTTCATGCTGCCCAGCACCTCTGCTCGACCCCTCGTGAAGTCTGTAGCAGATGCGTGGCCGCCAGGCACGATAGAGCAGCAGCAACAGCAACAAGCTCTCCTGCAGCTTCAGCGCATGGGAGCAACTCCGAGCGCTGTCCACCCCTGCATGCCACAAGCGGTCCCCTGGATAGTCAGCGCCGCGACGCACTCCCCCGAGGCAGTCGCTTCCGCCGCAGAGGCGGTCGCTGGCCATGATGGCAGCCTTGCAGAGCGGAGTGCTGCGATTCATCAGCTTCGCCAGCAGCTGCATCCTCACGAAAAGCCTCGTCCAACAATCGACCCTGCAGTCCTCTACGAGAAAGCAGGCATAGACCTAGCCGTGCAGCACCTCAAGGATCGCGCCGAGCGCATGCACGCTCAGAGCCGCGAAATTACGCGGGCTTTAGCGCACAAGAAGCAGCAGGCGGAGCTTGAGGCGCTCAGGGAGAAGAATGCTCACCCCCTGCTGGCCGACGTTACTGCCGAGCAGCAGCGCATAATTGAAGAGCAGCTGCGCTGCATAGACGAGGCACGCTCCCCCTCGTCTAGGCCCCCATCGTTCCGCTGTGCTGCCCTCCTTTCTGACGCGTTTTAGCCTCAAAGTCTCCCCAATGCTTTTCCTTCCCTCCCCCCTGCTGTGAGCATATTAGGGAGGCTCTGAGGCTGTCCATCTTGCTGCTCTGCTGACCCTTCCCGCGGTGCAGGCACGCGATGGAATTGCAGTGGCGCAGGCCGAAGCTGCGCGCATCGAGCTGAGGAGCCGCGATGCCCTTTACCACGCGGCATACGCTGAGGAGTAAGAGACTCTTTCGCACGCAGCGGGCGGAGTAGTTCGGCTGCCTCAATGGCGTCTTTTGTTTGTAGCGCAGTCGTGAAGTAGGCACGTCTCTTGAGCCGCTGGCCAGCTTCGCCTCTTGGGGTCTCTCGCTGCATGCGATGCTAGGCCTTCCGCAAAGCTGTGTTTACCGTATGCGGACCAGTGCAGATGCCGAGCTGGTGCGGCTGCATGCGGAGCGCATGAAGGACATCACCCGCATTCAAGAGACTAACCCTCTTCCTCAGCAGTGCCATGTTACACGGGCAGTTGCTGAGGGTCTGGAAGATCCTCTGGAAATCATGGCCCAGCGCAACGTCGACTTCAGAGTGGTGAATGGCCGTTTTTTGGGGTGCTTGCACGTGGGGAGGAGTTCGTCAACTGGTTGAAGGGCTGCCTGCCCCCCTGCACAGAGGCAGGACGGTAGCGTCACTATGCAATCGGCGGCTTGTGAAAGCGCGACGCACGTTGGCAAGTGCCTGCTCCGCTCGATGCGGCATCGTTCTTGGACCGTGTAGGCTGCGTGCGGGTGTTATTGTGTGTGCAGCAAAGACTCTCGGCTGCGGCTGCTCAGCTTGCCGTGTCTCGCATGCTCCGTAACTTAGGCTACAGTCAAGAGAGAGAAGATGCCGTGCCTGTGCGGCGCGGAGAAGGCCCCGCCGTCTATAAATCCAAGTGTGAAGGATTGGGGGCTGGGGGGAAATCCTACGGAGGGGAGACAGGGGAGAAGGGGGGGACACGAAGGGAAGGAACGGGGCAGGGTGGGCTGGTTTGAAAAGTGGCGTTCGAAGCCGCGGCGCTTTTTCGGGAGCACCATGGCTGCATTCATTATGAAGCGAACCTCCAGAGAGGCCTGGATGAGAGACAAAGCTGTTGTCGCAAGGCGAAAGCAGCAGCACAAGCTGCTGTTGCTGTCTCTCTCTGGATGAATGGCTGTGTCGGTTCTCTGCGCCCCGCTTCGGACTCGCCTCACAAGAAGGCACGTTCAGACAGACACCTTGTCATGCACTTGCGTGTTTTGATACTTTCGGCGCGGTGTGGCTTCCTCAGGTTCCCGAAGGCCTACCCCGAGCTTGGATATGCAAACGCTTTGCCCGTGAGTCAGCAGGGAAGGCGCGAGCTGTTTCGCAAGGCGCAGCAGAAGGACGGCAAAGTGCCCACGTTTGCAGACTTCGTGGAGGAGGAGACGCAAAGAGAGGCAGTCGGAGAACTGGATGTGTTTTCGGGGCCTGGGAAGCAGCTCATGCTCGCGCAGCAGGAGAAGCGGAAAGAAGACGACGACTGGGCAAGGCTGTGCTTGAGCAAGCTGCACTCGAAGAATATGGCCCTGGAAGAGGCAAAGAGCGCGAGACAGGAAGCGGAGGAAGCCCAACGATCTCTGGAAAGAATGCGCCGTCGCCAAGAGGAACTGGAGGCTGAGCGGGATGCCATGGCTCAGCTAGCTCGAAGACGCGAGAAGGAAGCAGCCCAGGCCCGCGAGGAAGCCGAGCGGCAAGCAGCCGCAGCATCTGCATTAGTACGCAAAGCTCCAAGTCGCTCTCCTACGCTGACTGTGGAAGCAGCAGCCAGAGCTGGGGATCCTGCGCGACGAGGGGCCTCTGCTGCGCTGAGCAGATCTCGCACTGTTTCGCTGTCTCGAGCGTCTTTGTCCCAGGCGGCACGGATTGACGAAAAGCGTCTCCTGGAAGCAGAGAACCTGCAAAACTGTGAAAAGACGATTCAAGACTCTTTTGAGGTGCTGCCCCCGAAGCGTCTGCACGCCGCCATCCCGCAGCAGAGCAGACGCAAGGGCGAGATCTTGAACAACGGTGAGCGAAAGGGCATGCTGCACCTAGCCTCTTTCTCCTTCACGCGCAGCCACCCTTGCCACGATTCAAGCTTCGAAGCGGTATCCTCTGAAGCTGCTCTGGCAAGACACACGACTCCTTCTCGGCGGGAAGCAGTGCGAGGGCCCCTTGTGGCTAGCACGAGCTGTAACGGCACCGGAGAGGATGCTGTCTGCGCTAGAAGGGGCTGCTGCCACCCCTGAACAGGACGCAACAGGAAGAAGCAAACGATGAAGCCTACATGGGCCTGATGCCCTCTGTGTGTTTGTGCATGCGACTTGTGAGCCGACTCGCCGCAGCACTGGCCGAGCGCCTGCCGCCGTATCGATGCGAGGAATTCGTTTTTCTGACTCCTCCAGTGGAAACGACACCTGAGAAGCTCAAACTCTTGTACACACAAATGAAGAAGGTCTTCTCCTCTGGAGAGGTAGGAAGGCTGCCTCAGGCACTCTGGAAAACGTTGAGGGTTGCGGGGGTTCCCATGGCGCGTGGCTGTCACGGGCTGTTTTTTCGCGTTATCGTCGAGCTCAAGCGACAGAAGGATCGTTGTGGCCCTCTAGATGAGGTTCTCTTGCGCATATGTCAGCGCTGCCACCAATCCCGAGCACGCCTTGTGGTGTGCTTTGAGCCACGCAGCTTGGGAGCAGTGAGCACGTGCAGATGATCTACGATTTCTCAGTTGGCTGTTGTCAGGAGTTCGTTCGCAAGGACCCTGCCTCGCAGGTACTGTGTTCTAAGAGAACGGCCCCCGGGGAGCTGCCATTTAGACTCAAGATGTATTTGCCTAACTGGCTGCAAGGCAGGCAGCCACACTACTCTCTCGGCTCGGACTTGCACCGATGCCCCTTTACAATCGGCTAGGACGGCTGCCTGGAATCAGCCTCTTATGTGCGCTGCGTCGCGTGGCGTTCGTTTGCAGGAGTATGCCAATGCGCTGGTACAAGCTCTGCCCTACTACCCCTACCAAATCGATATTCAACGGGCCGGGATCATTGCGCTCCTCAACATCTTTGAATGTAAACAAACAAACCCCTGCTTTCTGCCCTCGGTGTTATGCGGCTAAGGGTGGTGCCCCTGAAAACTCTTTTCTATGCTGCTGTCGACGTGCATGCGTATGCGGATGCACTTGAACGCCGCTGTGGTAGAATTGCGCCTTGCTACGCATGAGGCCCTCCACATAAGGGACCACCCTTCCAGAAAGTATTTATGTAAAGAACCTCGAGGCTAAGGGCTATGGCCTTCTCTTTTCTGCTGCGTTTTTCCATGCCTGCGCGTGTTTTCCCGCTGCGCCTCCGGCCGGCCCTTGAGCACCGCTGTAAAATCCTAATCCAGGACGTCTTGTGAGGCATGCAACGCGATGTCTGTCCTTGCGTGCCGGTGTCTCAGCTTCTAAATTCCAGGAGCATCTCGCACCGCCGCTCTTTGAGGTGTTGACAACCCTCATGGCGATCGACGACAAGGAGCTTCGCGCAGATGTCATTGCAGTGATGGCCGCCGTCATTCGACCCAAGGCAAGCAAGGCCCCATTCGAAGCGCTTTGAACCCTCGAAAAAAAGCATGCGCGCTCAGAACCTTCCCGTTTTTTTCTCGTGTTCAGAGCTACATTTATATCTGTATATACAAACATATACGCAGTTGCAGACTCGTGGAGCGTGCGCTGCGATGGCGAAGGGTTGTTGACGGGGCCTAGCTGCCCGCTGCGGGGGTTGTTTTGGCCGTTTTGCGACTGCATGCAATCCGGCTTACTGTCAGCTGCCTTTGCGACACGGCGCTTGCAGGTCGTCATCAACACCGACCTCGTGGACTTGTTGCTGCAGCAAGTCAATGAGTCGTCCAACAGCGAAGTTGTCGCCTTCTGCATCCACATTTTAATCGTTGCTCGCTCTCCCCACAGAAAAACCGCCCAGTATTCTGCCTTCCTCGCAGTGCTCAGCAAGTGGAAACACGAGCCAGCAGTGCTGACAAGGTGAGCAAGATCTTAATGCACCCGCACGTCGCTGGAGCAGACCGCGGCTACCAAACAATTCCCCAACTTCCAATTCCCCCCACTACCTCAGAACGACCTCCCGCCTCTGCGCTAGGCGCTGGCAAAGCCGCAAATTTTTCGCCAAACGCGCCATCCTTCCACGTGTTGCATGCAAAGATTTCTGCCGATCCAGAATCTCTCGTGCGGCTGCACGCGAATTGCGCTTCCGCGAACGTACAGGGCCTGCCTAGCAATTGACGCTGCAGCACAAAGGGCCCAGCTGGAAGGACTAGCGTCGCACGAAAGAAAGAAGCTTTTAGGCGCTGGTCAGCGTTTGGAGGAAGGTGCGCAATGGGGAGGGGGACAGGGGGGTGGAAGCCAACAAAGCTGCGAAGGGCCCATGCAAACTTCCCAGCTGCGTATGTCTATATAGATATATATAGAGAGAGATATATTGCGTTTTCGCGTTGCCTGCCTCGTGGCTTCGTCCACGTACCGGTTGCTGCTCTGTTGTACATCGGTGCTGCGCTCGCGTCCTATAGAGGAAGATACGCGCAAAAACAAAAAAGCGGCTGTTTAGGGGTGTCAGCAGCAGCACTCTTGTTTTCGTGTAGAGCCCTTCGCCGTTGTTTGTTCGCGTTGGGTGCCTGCCTGGAGCTGCCTTAGCGCCGCGAAGGCGAAGACTAAAGAGTCTTTTTGGGTGCTGTTTCGACAGGCTACAACGACTTGCGGCGGCCTCCCAGCTACAACGAGGTCGTGCAGATCTTAGAGTCGAAAACTCCCAAGTGGATGCCAGATGATGCCAGCGACGTTGACAAGGTGCGTACTGGGAGGCGTCCGATTTCAAAAAACTTTCAGCCGCCGCTGCCAGCCTTTACACCGACAGAAGTGCATGAAAAAGGCCTCCTGGCCCCAGAGTCGACAAAACCTCACGAGAGCTTCGGTGTGCGCATTCCTAGTCTCCGCGGCTGCATTTTTTTCCCGCACTGGGCGACGTTGGTGCTTTTGCAGGTCCTGAATGTCATGAAGCTCAATGCGAACTCTCGAAAATTGCAAGGAGCAGCGTGTCAAGCGATCGCCTCGCTCGCGCGAGCTTCCCTTGAACACTGCCAGCATGTGGCACACACGGTGAGGAGCTGCGCTTCACGACACCCCCCGGCCCTGCAAGAAAGGCGGCGACGCCTCGTTTCTTTTTTTTGCGCTTTAAACGGAGGCTTTATGTGTCCCTGCATTGCGCGTAGAGAGGCAGGGGCCAAGGGTTCAGCCTCTGCATCTACATGCGAGCTCCAAGTCTATCCTACCATTCCTCTACATGCTTAATAGGAGGTTCCACATGCATGCAAATGCATTTGCATGCATGTGGAACCTTTTAACAAGCCGTCCTTTTCGCTCCTTTCGCACATCGCACTCCCTTAGAACCTGCGAGTGTTGCACCGGGCATGCAGAGAGGCCTTCCTGCTCCTGCGCACACTGGCCTCACGCGAACCACAGCACCTACAATGCTTGTCTTTTGTTTCTGAAATTTCAGGCATTTCCTGTGCTGCTCTCGGCCGTCTCCACGCACCCAGAAAGCCAAAGCGTTGCCAGCGGCTTTGCAAACAGTATCGCAATCGTCGGTGGCGTCAAAGCCTGCAGGTGCGTGTCTGCGGAGTGTTACCGTGGTCTGTCCATTCATCTCTCCTCTTTCTTGCTGCAGTGCCACAGGAGCCTGTGCAAAAGCTCGAAGAGAATGCCAGAGGAGAAAAGTGAACCAGCGGCAGCGCGCATCCCAAAAGGGAACCTAGCCTTGGCGTGCAGCCGCTGCCGCTGCTCTATGCCACCCCAGGGAAACTTCTTATCTGGCAGCCATACACCCATGACGTCGAAATTCGCTGCTGCATCGATCAAAGCAGTACCTCGATCGGCGCGATGCCCCTCTAGATTCCTCACGCGCACCATTTTTCCTCTGCTCCCACCCGAACAAACACACCGCTTGCACATCCGTGCCTTTCTTCTGTGCTTCTGTCCCTCCGGTGCAGGAACTGCCTCACTCAAGAGATGATGGAAGAAGTCAACAGGTGTATTCAGCGCCACAGATGTGTTCCAGAGGTCGTCAGCGCCTGTTGCGCTGCACTGACGATCCTCGAAGATTTCTACACTCCCCAGAGCGAAGTAGGAAATGCTCTTTTTGCATTTGTCGGGTTTCCGGAAGTTCGATTACCTGCACAGGCGGCCTAAGGTGCAAGGGGTCACGTTTTCCTAGTCCCCTTTTCGTGCATCCTGACCACTTGCTGGGCAGGCACGGCGGCACGCGGGCTGCTGTTGGAGGATGTGGAGGAAGTTCCTCTCGGGAGGAAAGCACGGCTTGGCTTTTTGAACAGCACTGTGACTTGGTGTTTGTTGACGCTGCGCAGGTCTTCGGCCGTGTGACACTGCACGCTATCATCAGCGCCTTGCAAGACAGCAAAGGCTCAGTTGTCTTGTGCGCTCACATCAATGAATTTATCGCGACCTTCAGTTACCATGTTACGACTCTGGTGAGTTGCTAGGGTGTTGTAGAGAGGGATGGGGCTGCTGCCAAGCACCAGCTGCAGCAGGCTGCTGCAGGCTCACCTCGCACCTCTTCGACTCCAAACACACCAAAACGAAGACACGTGGCAGGATCAGAGTGGCCAAGCCTCAGGTTCCTGTCAGACGCTGGCTTCTGCTGCTGCCTTAGGGCAAGCGTGGCGAATCCGCATAAGAGCTCTAGATCCGTGTCCTCTGCTTGCCTGTCTCTGTCTGTTTGCTTGCTTGTTTCTTTGTCTGTCTGTGTATGTGCGAAAAACGGGGTGTGGTGCCTCCGTGAGGCTATGCGTATTGAAACAGGCGGATGCGAGGAGGAGGGCCGTTGAGCTGGGTGTCATCGAGGCCATCGTTAAGAGCATGACAGCGTGCTCCACAGATCCGCTGGTCAGCACGTTAGAACTTGGTAGAAGCTGGGGAGGCAGGGGAAGAGCCAAGGTGGCTGAGCAGCAGGCCCCCTGTTTTGCAGCGGGAAGGGAGGGACTGGCCTGCTGGCTACTATATCCAACCGGTGCCTCGTATAACGCTGCGGCACACTGCGCTCGTGCAGATGTGTGCCTTTGGCTGTCGGGCAATCTCTCGCCTTGTTTACAAAGAGCCTGACGACTCGAAGATCTACACGGAGCTTCTCAAGATGCGCGCCATGACCACGCTTCTCTTTGTCATGTTCAAGCACGGCAAGGAACCCTGTCTCGCCGAGGACGCCCTCAGGTGTATAGCGAACTGCGCTTCCAACGAGCGATGTGCCGCGGCCATCCTCGAACGCGGTGTCAATGTAATCTGCAAGGTACACGACGCTTCCAACCACAGCCTAACGAGACAAGCATCCCTCCATGTGTGGCTCATGGCTGACTTCTCCGTTGCTTCTCGAGTGCTGACCAGGGGGGTGGAAAGGGGGTGAGAAGGCGTTGCATCTAAGCAGTGCCTCACGCCTTCCGCTTTTCGTGATCTCCCATGCCGCTCGTGTGCTCCGGCTGCAGCGCCCTCTTATGAGCTGCAGCGGCCACCGTCAGTTCGCGCCTTAGGAACCAGAAGGCCCTTTCTTCAGCCCATTTTGGGGGGGGAGGCGGGGAGGGAGCGGTGAAGGGGGGAAAGGTTCTCGTGATGTATCCTTGCGAGTGGCATGCTTGGCTCTGCATCAGGTGCTCTTTGCTGCGAGGGCTCTCATGAGCGTCGATCTCTGGGCCTTCTTACCCACGCGCACTGGAGCCGGAACCCCACATGCCTTTCATTTTCGATCTCGTCTGACTGTGTTTCGCTGCAGGTGGTGTCTGAACACTCCGACAACATGGAAGTTGTAGCCCAGGGCTGCCGCTGCCTTTGGCTGCTCTCGTCTCAGCCGGGACTGCAGCAGATGACGCTGAATCGCGGCGTGCTCTTGATAGAGCACGCAGCGGCCAAATACTCCTCCTCAGGTGACTCCAAGCGGCTCGTGATGGAGTTCCTGCTGCGCATTCTCAAGGGGGAAGGCGTTTCGCGCCAGACCGTTGACCCTCTCTGGGATGCCGGGCTGGACTTTGTACGGAGCTCCGATCAAGTTCCCCCGCCCAGCATAGACAGGGCAGCCGGCAGACAGCATGCGCGGCAGCCAGCCATGGGAGCTTTAGCCAGGCAAATGACAGCAGCTGCCCATGCTCCGCCTAGCCCTAGGGGAATCGGCCCGTTTCATATGTAACCCAATAATTTTTTCGTGGCACTCATATCACGCCCTGGCAGCCCTGCATACCTGCGAGGGTGACGTTTCCCATGTACCTACACAGCGCTTAACGGCTTAGTCTAAAGCCTAGCACAGATACGCGCACGCACACCACACAATAAAAGTGCAGCGGCTACACACACGCGGTGTCTCAACATCGACACGAAGGTGCGCTGCGCCACGCACACAGCGATAGTCACTTCCAGGGAAAATGCGCTTTTACGGAAGCACGAGGTAGAGCGCCTCGTGCAGCCTTGATAGATACTGAAGTCTGCAATCGGTGCACGGCGCCGGGAGCAGTCAGTCTGGCACATTGTTCGCAGACATTGCAGTGTCTCGGACCTTAAAAAACTGCGCAGCCTGTACAAAACTTATTGAGAGGATCTCTTCTTTCAATAATAGGAGCACTACCGGCCGCTATTTCCGAGCCGTTTTCATTCCCTAGAGGAACCGCTTTTGTCCCCCCGCACAACTCTATCTCCTAAACCCCACATCTGCTAGCAGCAGGCACGCACTCGTGTTGCACTCAAAATGGCAGGTCTTTGGGGCAAAGCTCTGAGCCGCAGGTGTACACTGCGTAACTGCCCGAGTCCCTTGGGATCACTATTGGCATCACTCGGCCTCCACAGTCAAGCCGCCACCAGCTACAAATTGGCGAAACTCGAGAAGACGTCACGTGCGCTGCACAGCATCCACGAGACCTCTTCCCAAAGCACGGATGCCTCCCATGAGCATAACGGGGCTGACAATCGCCATGAAGGAGCGTTCTCCTACTACTGGCGAGGAACCTGCTTCTGATGGCTTCCCTTTCTCTGCAGCCGCCTCCACACAAGCCCCTTGAGAGTCCCAGGAAGGGGACACAAGAAGGCTCGGAGAACTGGCCGTGGGCTGCAAGGCTCTGCAGAGTAACGTTCCAGGGGGAATCTTGAGGGCTGCTATCGCCGGAAGGCCTCCTCCCAGTTGCTGCGCTTGCACGAAGTCCAGTCCCAGAATAAAAGTATTCGGAAAGGCCTGGAAGAGTTTTCGGAGGAAGCGCAGCATTAAATAGCGGCGTGCGCACGCCTTTGTACCCACAGCTCTTCGGAAGAGATCGTCGAGGACCGCGCAGGTTTCTGGGGAAGTAGCCGAAAGGCTTAGACCCCCTGCTTCAAGGTACATCGCAATGTCTGCATCGGCTTCTTGCTGCAGAAGGCTGGCGAGGAGAGGGTTTTTTGGGGACGACGGTGATTCCCCATTGAACTGCAAATTTGCAAAGCGTCGCTTCTTCTGCGGCGCAGGGGCGGTCTCCCTCCCTGCGGGGGCCAAAGCCAGAGGGTCTCGAAACCTTAGGATAAGGTCAAACTGACTCAAATCCGCGGCAAAGAGGCCGTTCCACGTTGGATCCTGCAAGCGTCTCCCAGAAACAAGGCTCAGAGCCAGTATCCTTTGGTAGCCATCTCTGCAAACGCCACCCAAAATCCACAGCAGAAACAAGTCCTCGCAAACCCGCCAGGTGCAGATGTCATGCATGACTCTCTGTCGGCTCCCCAGACATATAAGTAAGACCGGAGATCTAATGGTCTATCCACCCCCATGCTTCAGGAACGACGAAGGCGCAACCCATCTCGCCTTCTCTATTCCTTCATCTACCCTGCAGACCCAATGGAACGCACCGGGCACATCCAAGTAAGCGGCGGAAACACGGGGGCTCTGGCCGCGGGATGATGAAGCCATGGGGATCTAGTAGGGATTGCACTGCGGGAAATTGATGGAAGCTGCGTAACCAGAAACACATGCAGCAGACATGGCACCTGCATGAGCTACCCCATGCTCCTTTTGTTGATTTTACCTCGATCGTCCGGCCTCTGAATTCTGCCAGACCCCTAGAAGCTCGTCCTAAGCACGCGTTCTTCAATGCAACAGATAGCCAAAACCAGAACCACCACCAAAAGACTGCTTGCACAGAGGGACGCCCCGCCGAAGCAGCATACCGAGAAAACTGCTCCGTCGGCTCCTTCCCTAGTTGCCCGTATATTTTCCGCCCACTCGCTGACTGCAGTCATTCTCTACCATAGTCAACGTAGCCAGCTGCAGAGGGCAGCGGGCCCTACGGCAGGAGGCGGCATCGGCCACTTACTGCTCAAAAGACACTTGCATTTTCTGGCGCTGCTCCTCTGCTAACGGGGCGGTGGCATCGAAAGTCACCACCAGCGCATTCCGATCCCAGTCAAAGGTGCTCACAAAATGAAGAAAACTGAGCACGAGAGAGGCAGCATGCGGAACAAAAACTCGCGTCACACAAAGTCCTGCGCAGCTAGCTGCCAACCTGCTGCAGCGAAAACGGCCCCAGCAGCATCTCAACCGCAACAACAAAAGCTGCACGGACTAAGGCATTTATAGCCAACTCGAAAAAATTATATTCCCCACGAAAACGGCCGTGAAACGCCTTGCTTTGCTGCGTCGCCTTTCTGTATTGCTTACCGCAAGAACGCCACATGCGGGCTTTGTGGCGCATCCCCGTACCCAGCGCTCAGGAAGTCTACGAAGAGGAAGACCATCACATGCTCCGCAAAGTGTACCGCCCCCACAACCAGCTGAGAGCTAAGCCATGAGACGGCCAGGCGCACCGCTCCTGCGGAAAAGCAGAGCAGTACCCAATCTGGTATCCTTGCTAGAGTTGCCGCACAGAGGCCAACAGGTGCAGCCGTTGTTTCCGTGCACCCCCAGTGCACAAGGCGGAAAGAACCTGAGTATCGAGCCGTCGGTGGGACGATAAACGGATGGAAATTCGAGGAAAAGTACTCGCGCTTCCAACTTCTGAAGAGCTCCGGCCTGCGGCAGCACTAGTGCATACATACCTGCAAAGGCCGTGTGCTTGAGTGTCACGCTATGCAGAAGAGCCGACACCTGAGGCCCCCACCAGAGGGTGCGTAGCTGCATCAGAGAATCCTGGTGCATCGGCGGACTAGCTGCGTATAATAGCGCGACGTCCTCTTGCAACAGGAGTTCACATGCCATCTTAGCGTCCCCCCTCTCCTCGCGGATGGTGCCACTGCCGCCAGTTGTGCTCATTCGGCCGGAGCCTCCAGTTGCACCCAAAGACTTCGCTAGCTGCGATGTGATGGGCTTAAGGGAGAAGTCCGTAAAGATGTTGGCTTCCTCCATTACTTCGTTGGGATGGAAAATCCGAATTCTAAAGATGAATCCCTGGAAGTGAACATCTAGGTGCGAATCCATCACGTCGCTGGAGACGGAGTAATCCCGCAACAGCTCTTCACTGCAGCGCAGGCACCCCAGCAAATGGTATCCGATGAAGCCTCTTCGGTACCCACAGTGGCCAATACGTCCTTGCCCCCCCCCCAATTCCCCTTCCCGCCAAAGCATCCCTCACGCGCAGCCCCTCCTCGCAAACCGCCGCGCTATTCCGCTTTCCCCCCATGTGGCGCAGTTGGGTGTAGAAGCCAAGCACAGCGCTAGGCGTCTGGCCGAAAAATGCAAGACCAGCTAAAGGGCCACCGCACTGTCTCAAACACGGCTGCGCAGCCTAAAAGGCAGGCCCCTGTGCTGTGCAACATGCGCTGGAGTGTTCAGCCGCTAGGGAAGTAAGGGCGTAGCAAAGTCACGAACTACCACAATCGCGTTGTTGCAAGGGGCGCAAAGGCTGGGGGGACTTAGTGTCGTGAATCGGCATACTGCATGGCAACAAGGAAGGCCGTCTTGAGCCGACAAACTGCCAGGCGCTCTACTGGCCACTTGCCCGAATCTTCAAACTGCACCACCACGGAGTGCACGGTGGGTGTAGCACCTGCTTGGCAAGCGCAACTCGCACAGAACCCAGAGCGACAGCCTTTAGAGGAGGGCAACAGAAACGAGACATTCGTCTGGCTATGCCAAGGCTGCGCGGTAGTAGGAAAGCCTTCTAAAGGGCACTGCTAGAGGCTGCAACGCCCTCCAGTGAAGGCACAGCCAGCCTGTGGGACCTCCCGCAAAACACTTGGGCGGACTGCTTACCCTGTGCCTGCTCAGGTTCCCAAATGTTTGTCGCCACGACTTCGGTGTGTCGCAAGGCAGCGTCTGAGTGCCAGACTTGCTTGATGGTCAGCGGGACAGAGCTCAGAGCACACAGCACGTTCTTTAGCTCGGCAAACGCCTGTGTGCGAAGGACAACATTTAGAGGAGCATGCACTTCAAGTAGGCACAACGCAAGCGCACGCGCCAAGCACACCCTTCGCCGGCTGGACGCGCAGCAACAAGCGCAACCCCGAGCGCCAGCACCGGGAGATTCCACAGCCCTCCAGTGGTCAGCAGCGATGCTCGAGGACGCTAACACGAGCACAACAGCACCAGCGGCCTTCGCAGCCCTCAACGCATACGCTGGCAGGCGCAACTCGGGAGGACGCACTCGGATGAGAGCCTTCTGCCTTTCAGACAAAGGCCCGACAGCACCCAGAGGGCTGCAGTCTATTTCCAGATTCGGGTACGGCACTGCCTGCCTCGTGGTCTTTGTCTTTGTCTCTGCCTTTGGCCAGGAAGCCGAATACGAACAGAGAGCTTCTGCGTGGTGCTGCAACACAGTGCGCGCGATCTGTGCACATGGAGACTGCGACCATGCAGTTTTGGCCGATGCCAGCTCCAGAGCCACACGGCCCTCCGAGGCCTTAAAAGCTTCCCACAAGACACAATGCAGCATACGCCCATCCTGAAACCGCCGGACGTCGCAACGGGAGCCCCAGAATTGCCTGCACCGCCACACACACCACACCAACGGCAAAGATCAGGAGGCATCACGAGCTGGGAGTGCGAGGGGATTCGTGCAGCCCTCTCGTGATCGCCCGAGGTCATTCTAGCGGCAGCAAAAGCACACGCAGCGCCCAGCCTTCATGCCATGCAGTTGGAGGGGTCTGCCGCTGCCAAGCCCTCCGCTCCTGGCAATCATCAAGGCAGTCTCTGCCCCTTCCTCGATGAGTGCCTCGTCGAGGAAGGAGGGCCCCCTTAGGGGCCCCTAGAAGTCCCCGCGGGGGCACAGCATTTCGCCTTAGCTGTGGCACTCTCAGCTGCTGTCTGGGGCGTCGTTTAGGCGCTAAATACACTGCGTCTAAATTCTCCTACTTGAAGCTTTCGGTGGATACGGCGCGTGGAGTCCTTGACACCACCTCCGAGGTATCCACGACCTGAGGCCCCCTGTCCAGCAACCGCGCTGAAGCCTTTCCGTTCAGTGTTACGCTAACCAACAGGCCCACGGGGCAAGTGTCTGCCGAGTCTCCTGCAGACGCACCGCAGCAACGCACGACAGCCTGCCCTTGAAAAGAACAGCTTTTCTGCAGCACAGCAGCAGCATAGCCTCCATCGACCGACTGCCCGGTGGCCGAAAGTGATTGCTATTTCGCAAAGACACGGCACACCGTAAGGCGAACCCTCCCTGAAGTAAACCGAATACATAGAAGTGGCCGCGGCACCCGCGCACACGCTTTTCGTGGCGCACGCCAGCGTTGCCAGAAGCTCAAGCGGCTGCCCAACCCCCTCAAGGGAGACGCCAGCTCTGTGCGCATGCGCTTTTTCTGCACCTCACGCAGTTACGGCTACTGCGCCCCAAGCCCGAATCCATCCCAAGGAGATGTGCGATACACTGCAGCGCGGCGCGCGTGCAGCAGCAGCCATCGGCGCATGCGACTTCCTCGCGAGTCCAGAGAGGCCTTTCTTCTCACCCGTCTGCAAAGATTCCTTCGTAGAGCTGGCCGGTGGGAAGCGGACGCGGACAGTCTGCAGCCGGTCGCTCAGCCCTCGCAACAACAACCGGCCGATAGTTGCAGCTCCCAGAAACGCCACGCCTGTCTCCCACTTAGGGGGATCGATGTGTGCGGCCTTCTCGGTGGGCATCCCTTCATCCTCCACGGACCCCCCTTGGCCGTGGTAACGCTGATTCGGCACTGCAGGCTCGTAGTTGGCCACTGGAAAAGACGTTTCCAGGTGATAGGCTTCGCCACGGGGCGGCAGCGACGGCAGTCTAACCCACATGTCCGACTTGAGCAACAGCTCTTCCTGCTGATCTCCAAACAGCGCCATGAAAGGATCCTCCAGGGATTGCAGCGCGGCCAAGCTGCTGCGCGCCTCCTGCTGCAGCTCCTGAAAAACACATCGCCCTCTAGCCGCGCAAATCCAAGTTTCCAGCAAAAGAGACGCAGCTGTGCCGGCCACCCACATAAAAAGGCTGCGGGGAGCACCCTCCCGGACGCAAGGCTTTACAAAGCACCTTGGCGTCATATATATATAGAGCCTCAGCCCTTTCTGCACTCCCCACAGCTCCCCTCGTCCCTCCGACCATCCCAAAAGGCGTCGCGTTTCTGGGAACTCTCGCGCCACAACAGGCGCTAGCCCCAGAGGCCCCGTGTGCGCCAAAAGTCCTTTGCAGAATGCATGCCAGGCTTCGCGGAAAGCTGCCTCCAGGGCATGGGCTCTACAGCTGCGTGACACGTTCCCCCACTTGCAGCAACAGCTCTAGCTCACCTGTATGTGCAGCTGCGCGCGCCACAAGATGTTGAACGCCTTATCCTGAGAATCAAAGAGAATAGCGTCTTCCACAAACCCAACACACAGTTCCAGACGGGCCGATTGCTGCGTGGCTACAGGGGCATCCTCCGCGTTCGCTAAGCCTGCCGTGGCGTCCGCAGCATCGTTTCTAGCCTGCACAGCGGCTTCCAGTTGCGCTCTCGCGGCCTCTGACAGCTCAGCCTTGGGGGTCGCTGCTTCCTCGCCAAAGCAGTAATAGTGCTCTCTAAAGTCGGCCGAGGCCAGGAACGACAGCGCCATGCGAAGGAGCTGCACCGGAGACGCCACCCGCGCTGCACCCCCAGACGCCCGGCAAATATGTCCGAGTACCAGAGACAGCGTGAAGCCGCAGACGCCTGAAGCACGCACCAACCACCTTACATTGAGCATGCAGAACACACTCAGCAGCTTGCAAGAGGGAAGCACAGACTCCATGATGCATCAGACACACGCAGATGCCAAGGCTGGCGGCAGACGTCGCGCCCGTTGCTCACTCGAGCGGTACGCGTGCGGAAGCATGCATGCAATAACGTTTGCGTGAGCGTCGCTCGTGAAAGCTGCATTGAGGTTGGCCTTCGACATTGGGGATGATGCAGTCGTACCTGAGGCGGGATTGAAGGGAGGCGCTCCTGAGGCCAGCAGAGCTCGCCGCTTAGCCCATGCCTTTAGGAGGAGAACCGCATCAGCAAAGGCAGTAAATTCCGCGGTGCAATCTCGAAGCATCTTTGCGTGGCAGAGCAGCCTGCCGCAAGCGCCCACAACAGCAACAGCACCCTTACCCACTCATAGTCTCCCCGTCTCTACGAGGGAAGGCCTGCTTCAACAAAACGCTTGCGCCTCCCCGCGAGCATACCCTGGAAGTACGTGGCTCCCTGCCACGCCACCAAAGTACCCCCTCTGAGCAGACGCACCGAGTATCTTCCAGAACGAGGGCGTTGTAATACGGCGTCGGGGGAAGCGCCTTCACTTGAGCTTCTGTAAGCGTTTCTTCCGCCCCTGCAGAAGGCCCCTTGAGGCTCCGCGTGGCAATTGTTCTGTGCCGCACGGCATTCGCGCCAGGCCTTAGGAATTTCTCTTTAAACAGCCCGCCGGGGCAGCAGGGAAACATGCGAATTTCCCAGGTCTGCAGCTGCCGCAGCAGACGCTTTGAAACTCTTTCGCAGGCATCCTCTGCAGCGCCCGCCTCCGGGCTGTTGTTGCTGCCTGCGTCGTAGGGGACGAATCTGAGGCTGATGAAGGACTTCGTGGCATCAAAACGCCACGGCAAAACAGCTGCCTCCACCCGCAGCGCGTTCCTGCAAGCTTTCGCCCAACACCATCGCTCGGAAAGGTCTGTGGACGACGACGCCAGTTCGGCTACCAGTTGTGCGTGAACTGCATCAACGTAGGCTGCGCGCTTCGCAAGGTACCTGCGATTGCAAACGCAACTAAAAGCTGCCGCTCACTGGACCTTTGGCGCGTGACAGGGAACGTGGCCTACACGAGAAGTTGACAGATGCAAGAAAGGGGACCTGAGCGCTAAAGCGACAAGCTGCGCCTACCTGTAATTCAGGTAATCTCGCCTGTCCAGGGCGGCCTCGGGTAGCTCGAATGCCAAGTCCACGTTTCGCGAAAATCCGGGTGGACCTAGTCCTGCTCCACAGCTGCCTATAAGCTCGACCTTGGAGGGCCTAGTGGCTTCCCATACTGTTGCTGTTGCGTTCGCGTTGCCAGGCAACCGCCCAAAGAGACTAGTGGCCCTCTGAGAACGAAGTTTCCCTGCGAGAGCTTCCGCTGTCGCCGATCCCTCAACTAACGAGACACGTACCGGGCGGAACGACTGGAGCAGGAAGTGTTTCAAGAAAGCAATGAATTCAGAGAGGACGGCTGCAGAGGAGCTTCCTTCGGCCGATTCTGCCCTTGGACAGGGGCAGCGGACAGTGCTAAGTAGCTCTTGCAGCTCCAGCTCTAGCAGACTCAAGTGCGCGTCAGCGGCGCTAGGCCCTGAAGAATGAGCAGTGCCCTTCTCTCGAGAAGCCCGTACGGAGGTCCTCCGTCGGCTGGCTGCCAGCTTTCCCATGCTGTGGCGGCAATTACGGGACAGAGCGCATGCGGAAGGTGGCCAGTGGAAGAATCGACGGAAGTCGGGAGAGGACGCAACAGCGGCCGCAACTCCCGCCTTCGTCAGAGAAACGCGCCGTTAATCCGAGGAAGTCCACATTCAGAGCTGCTGCTGGCAGCCGCAGGCTTGTGAAAGTAGAGGCAATGTCACCCATACACTGTGCCAGTTCCAAAATAGCCCCGCCTACCGCAAGTAAGGGCATGAGACACAACAAGTAACCAAAAAAATATTCACTCTATATATTGCGCGTGGAAAAGCTCGATTCAAGATCAGCTGTGGGGCGGTACCCCGTTTGCATGCCTCAGGGTCTGGAGTCCCTTACACAGTTTGACGGCCCTTCACTGATTAGAACATAACCCAAATTGTACGTTCTTTCTCAATCGCACTCTATTTTGTGAGATAGGATCTGAAGGCCACTAAATGGAACCATTTCCTCATAGGAGCAGGGGCCGGGTCGGCCTCACACCGGTTTTGTGGTTCGAGCCACTGCACGTGGGATAGTTGACAGCACTGAAGACCTTCAACAGACCACAAGAGAGTAATTTCAATGATTACGCATGTTTAGAGATTTTTTGATTCATTAAGCAAACAAAGTCTTTTAGGGATGGGCATTTCAAGGTCGATTGTCTGCTGCGCCTTCATGTGCAGGAAGGTTAACTAGCAATCGACTAATGCTCACATATTAGGCTGCATATATGGTAGCTTGCGCTTCTACTGTGTGCTTTGTGTCGCTTTTATACGCTGACATTCTGTTGGCAGGTCTAGCTCCCAGCTATTGGGGTCTGTGATACGAGCGCTAACGATTATCGCGCCCTTCCTCTATGGATCAAAACCCAATGATTCATGGAAAAGGCGGAATGCTTATCCTCTCCCCCGTCAGATGGGAGCACTCACTTCAGATTATCCTGGCTCTTAAGGTAGAGGGGTAGCGGGCCAATTTACACTGAAAGACTTTTCACTATACCAGCTACATTTAAATAAGAACTACCGAGAGTTGCCTAGCAGATTGTTCTGTCCAAAATCTCATTTACTGAAGAACACATTAGGCTGGAAGCAAGGAAATGCACCGTTGTGTTTGCGTGCGCTAGATGAGACGCGTAACTAGCTGTGAATGCACTAAGTGCTTAAAGGGTACAGCAAAGCCCACCCCACCTCGCCCTCTTTCTCGTGTTAGAAAGTCTGAGGGACGCGGGAATCCGAAGGCTTTTCATAAAAAACGATCAAGAACTTTCTGTAAAAAATTGTATTAATCCGAGAGCGCACTGTCTCTCTACGGAAACCTTACAGGAAGCGTTACATGTGGGCTTTTCCTGTATCGCTCAAACAGTACACAATCTAGTCTCATCTTCTTTAAATGCTCAACGGTGGTATAAGCATCAGGCTCTCGCAAGGAGATTTGCAGGCTGAAGGGCCAGTAAAAGTATTTGAACTGGTATTACCATATGTTGATGAAAGGAAACGCCTCTCCCACCTGCTCTGGCACCCCGAGGCGTCGAAGACTACGGCGAACGGAGACAGTCGGGGTGCAGATAAATACACCTCCAACGCAGCTCATGCACTAGCAATAATGCCTCATATAGGGACTAGGTAGAGAGAGACAACACCAAACCGAATACAATCTAAATAGAAAGCTAAAAGCGTTTCTGTCAGGAGGGCTCCCGCCTGTCCCTGCTGCGCTCCCCCCAGGGTTTTGCCTAGAGGGGCAGAGATGCAGACAGGGTGCGCGTCACTACACCCCGAAACACTCCGAGCATTCACAGGTAGTTGTACATGGCATCTAACGCACAACAAAAAACACTGGCTCTATTTTGAGCTAACAGTACTCTGCAATAATTAAGACATACGAGCAGCCAAACAAGCAAGTCAACTCCTTACTTATTCCTAATTACATATAGGTAGTGTACTACGAAGCTTCGAAAAGTATATCAGTCCCCTAGATCTTCCCGCTTCCCAAATAAAGCGCTCTCTGGGGAGACGTACCTATCAGGGAAAATTAACCACGAGAACTACAGCACAAGAGTTCCTACCTGTTCGCCCCTTCCCTGGCAGACAATAGGAAGAACCGCAGTGCGATTAAGAACTGTAAAGCAGCTCCCGCCCCTTTCTTCAAAAAGACAAGGAAAGAAAGGTACACGCATTAGTCAGCAACGCAGAAAGGTCCCAGCCTAAATGGACACATTCAGCAGGAATGCTGAAATATATACGCCCCCACTATAAGACGACACATAGCAAGTAAAATGTATAGAAGGATCCAAGCTACACACTAGTTCAGCACTGCCCAACCGCATCATGGATCAATTTTTGCATTAATACAGCCGGTGCATGCAGCATGGCCGAATCAACGCCTCAAAAGCGGCATATACGTGTAAGTGCCTGTACACAAATTTGGGCTTATGAAGCGTCTTAGCAATATTAGTCAAAAAAAATGCAATACCAATAGATGAAGCCAGAAATCCAGCGATGCTCGAGGCCAACAGATCGATGAGCGTCGTGTCGTTTTACACGACCACTCAGGAGAAAAAGGAAATCAATTCGGTTAGTTGATTTTCTTTACAACCTATAGCCGCAATAAATCGAATAAAAGTTTGTTTGGTGAGCTCTGTGTATCTATTTATGACAGCGTAGCTCGCAGTGTTGTATTCCGCTCAATGCATGGGCAAGTGATCAAGGAATGGCAGAAACATTGATAAACTCAAAAAACAATCCGTAATTATACTTCTAAGATCCTCGTGGAGCTTTTTAACATTACTCTAAAATAGTTGAACGGCCCTCTGAGCCTTGACATAGCTGGAACAATGGGAAGAAGGGGGCACATTTGCTTAGTGTGTCGACAACGATGCAAATGCTATCCTGACCCTTGACTTCCGGCAATTCGATTAAAAATGGTTCATAAGGAAATTGATCCAAATCCTCTGAGAAACAAGATGGATTTGCAAAGCTCTAGGTTTATGGAGATTTTTCAGCCTCAGCTGCCGACTATCAGAGCGTGACAGTAAAAACTGAAGTCGCAGGATGCACACTAGGCTGCCAGAAGGACTGAGAGAAGTTTCCCATGGTAGTATGAATTATACTATAGCTCTAAAGAAAACAATCATGTGTTTTTCGCAAAACCGCAGTGCGTAGCGAAGTCGGGATGTACAAGCAACCGAGTACACGTTGTGTTGTGAACCACAGCAGGCTATCTTCAACGTGGAATTTATTATGCATTTTGGCAGGAGTTACGGATGCATGAGTGTCAAAGCATAAGCTTTGCCTAATTTCGATATACAGCGTGAATCATCACGAATAACAGCGGTGGAGCTGCACACACGTGAAGCGGTGGGACGTCGCGACAGCGCTTCGCGTACTACTGTGGTATTACTCGTAGTGCTGTTCACTATAGTGGCGTACTGCAAAAGGCAGAAAGCCGGGCAAAACTTTCCACAAGGCGTATTATAGATTGATCTTGGTCCGGGCTGCAAACTTACACCCAAATAAGTACGGCCGACAATTTTCCACACCCCATCACACTGCAGAGAGCTGCTTTTCCCTTCCTGGATACCGCTGCTTGGTTTTGGTGGAGCGCTAAATATAGAAGGCAATTATTTTGGTGCTGGGAAGAAACCGTATTCTGCTGCAAGAGAATAAAGCTAACTGGTACGTCACTAGTATCAGTTGTTATGAATAAATGACAGCTGAAATCGTGCAGCGCAAGTGGCGGAGGAAGTGTTAGGCGACCACTATGCGCCCTTGCTGCGGCACCAGCCTGCTCTCTTTAAGTCAAAAGCTACGTTTTCTTTCTTAGATCAGTCTGACAAGCAGCATTTCAACATACGCCAGGAATAAACCTTCGGCGATAAAATGCATCGTAATAAAATTTGGCTACGTCCTTGCGGGGGCTTAGAGGCAAAACTCACGCCTTTGTAGCTTCTTTTTTTGCCAGCACTGGTTATATTCCACCATCCGAAACAAAAGCTCCCCAAACTCGCACTTGTTCTTTTAAAACCCAAATACTTATACGCCTTCACAAACCACTGTTTGTAGCAGCTGAGGCGCACACCGCAGGTGTTTTCGGTGCCCTTGAACGTTTCGGTTGAATCCCGAAAGCCTTAATTACAGGTCGCCATAAAGCCTTCCTGCATAAGCTTATTAAATTTCCAATTGAATTGACGCTGAATTCTAGCTAAGGCATTAACAGGAAAAATAGCCGATAGGTATACCTGAGACTGCGTGTGCGAGTGAGGAACGCTTTTTGTATTGCCTGCCATATAGGTGGACAAGAATTTGCTTAGTTTGTTAATTTCGATGCCGCGCACGCTGTGATTCCTGTACGCTGTTGAATGATTCGCTAACGATAGGCATCGGAGACTCTTCTGCAAGAACAACCTTGTTCAGGAGCTTGAAGTTGACAAGCGCCAGCCGCCCCCTTTCTTTTTCTGGCAGCGCCCCTGGGTTGTGCCCAAAGGCGCTGCTGCTTCCTAGGCTTTGCCTCCTTTCAATAAATCCTGTGCCTGGTGCTCAATATTGCTTTTATGATATGGCCTTTTGAAATGCTAGGAAGCATAGTTTGGAGCTGACCCGGGGATTTCCAGTGTACGACGCTTTGTAAAACCAGTAGGTGGCCAGCAAGTTTCTTACTCGTCGATATTTAGCTGCTATTTACCCATTCTTGCTGTTTCATGGCTGACTATTCGGTCGATTTCCTGATAGCTATTTACATAGCCCCCCAAACGAAAGGCGTACTCAAAATCGCGTTTTCTTACTGTTTTGCTGGGCCACCAGCATGAAGACTGCTGGATCTTTCTGTGGCATCAACTTTGCCTATCACATGCGGAACGGGCGTTGTTGAGGAACCGTGAGTTGCCTCTTCCTGGGCTTTCCGGTCCGCTCGCCTTCACAGCGCGCAGGTGTGACCGCATGCGCGCCTGCCATTGCATGAACCACGGAATACCTAGGATTACATCGTGATGCTCCAACATAGAAGTCGCACAGTATACTGATAGGACTCGACTTCGAAATGAAGGAGCACTGAGCTGCCGTTGCTTTGCCAATCCTTGAGCTTTGCAACCCCCCAACAAGCCTGAGACTTGGTTTGCGCTAAGGAGTGAGCAGGCATATTGCGCTGCTGTGCCGTCTCCTAGGACAACAGATTAACTTCTTTTCCAGTGTGACCCCTTTCTGCGAGCTTGCAGATGCAAGCATTGTATCTTGGTCAGTCCATAAATGCGGGGTGATCTTCTGTGTCCCCCTTCACTGCTCCACAACCTGCGTGGGTGAGCTTCTGATTCCCTGATGTGACTTTTGTTCGCCAATCTGCCTGCTTTCGCTGAGCCAAGTCTTGTTGATTATGTTCTTTGAATTTTGCATGCCTTGCACTTTTGAATTATGTGACGTACTCGATAATATAAGCAAGCATGTTGTTTGGAGGCTGTCTTGCGCTACCTGAACGCGCGACTTCCTTAGGGTTTTCTTTCCTGATTTGTTTGTACTATAGGCTACGGTTGGTTGACAGCCCCAAAATACAGACGTTATAAATCCTAACTTTTCCTTCGTACACAGACAAAGGCATACATGATGCGCTCATTTGCTTCTGAAGCCTTAACTAGTCCATGACTTGTCGATGGGCCCCCAGGCTGATGTGCAATCATTACGCCGTTACCGTTCTTGCGACCATCTGACGTGACCTTTCAGGTAGACCCTACATATGTCACTGATAAACCAGATGTCCGTCTAATTTGTGGTTTTGGGGTCAAAGCTTTGTCGTGATCGATATACCGATCTACTAATAGATTCCCCTGCTTGAGCGTTTTGCTTTCCAAAAGCTTGTGGTCGAGCCGGTCTCACCATAAACCGACGACTCGGGCTGTGTCGAGGCTTGAACTGTAGTATCCCTGCGGAAGACGACATCCTTCACATGAGTGAAGCCGTTATTAGAGTGATTCTCGGTCCAGTAAACGTGCCGCAAGGAGACTCGTTTTTCATTATCTGGGGGTGCAAAGCAAGGCACTTTTCTAAGTCTGATGAGCTCTTCAAGCAAATTACCGACCATACGGCTGTAATACTTTTATAGTGGGCCTAGCATCGACAACACGCCAGAATTATTTTATCAGCTGAAAAATCATGCAGTTTGACGCGAAGCTACCGCGTTCACACCCGCTTGCAGCCCGTCCTTGGCCCCCTACAGCCGTTGTGCCAGCGCCATCTTCCACCGCCAGGGGTGTTTCACCTTAGCGTGATGCCCAAGAAAATCATAATGTCGAGTACCGAATAACTTGTCATAAACCAAGCAACTGTTGTACAACACTCACAGCCAATGGACGAGCAGGGGACAACTGCATCAAGCCATGCAGTACTACAGAGTGTAACATTGCGTAGAAGATATCCGTAGGGAAGCAGTTAACTCCAGCCTCAATCCAAACTTGGTGGAAAGTTATTGTGCATCTTTTATTGTAGTCCCGTCGTCCCCTGCTCCTGCCCCCTAGGGTTTCAAAATGCGGGGGGAGGGACAGCCAGGGTGCGTGTAACCGCATTCTTAATACACCGAGCATTCACTGCTGGTAGCACAAGGCATCTAGCGCACCCAGAGACCATAATATCGAGCAACGCTGTCTTGCAATAAATAAGCTGTTCGGACACAAAAACCGACTAATCATTCCCTTCCTAGTTCTTAGTCAGTGAGGCAGAGAGTGCTAAAGGATACCTCAGCCTGCTACACCACAAGTCGCATCTTGCTTAAAACACAATATGACAAATCAATGGGTAGTCATGGGATTGTTAGTAGATGTTGCTGAACTGGCTAGTGCAAGAAACGATGACAAACAGTGCCATCATCCCAACCTAATGACAGGGAACTTAGCAACAGCCACTTTAAACAGGTTGAAAGTTGGTAAAGCACTCTGATCTGCTCTGTCCTTTTAGTCCCTTCCTCTCATCATCTCAGGACTACACCTACAAACGCGATTCCAACCAAAACCGAACTAAATCAGACCTTCAGATTGCTGCTGCTAGAACCAAAACAAACTCACTGAATTAGAAGAAGGCACTTTGCCAGTACGATCCAAGACAAGGGGGACCCTTCCAAGCACTCGAGAGCGAAACGCGTTCCTGCAACGTACAAAAATTGGCATAAGAGTCATAAATGTAAGCCGTAATTCATTTAGTCTAGCACTATTGAATTGAAACACTCGATAAATCATTAAAATACAACAACGGCATGCAAAAGTCAGCCTCTAGCATTGCCACCCACCCCATGCGAGCACCGTCAAACACCACCATGAAATCAGCAGCACTAAAACTATAATGCCAGGCAATTTCGCCTCCTCATACCTAATTCCCGTCATTTCACAGTCTCAGCTCATTTAGGTCCTTCACGTAACCCTGAAAGAGAAACACTACTTAGGATTTTCTTTATTTGAACGGTGGACAAGGCCAACGACTTCGTGCAGAAAGCATGTAATTCTATTAGGATCTGCCACAGCTCCATCTGAAGCTAGAGGTTGCGGCTTAGAATCAAGGGTTTAGGGCCGGCTCTGCTAAAAATAAGGCGTTCACATGTGTTTTACTTCCTTCTGATTGCCGTCTGCTCCACGAGCCAACCCCCTTATACCCACCATCTGATTTTCCTGTTTTCCTTCAAGCAGGAGTCGTCTCCGCTTCTCTATACTTTCCATGGGCGTGGAAGGACGGAGAGCACCGGCTTCTGACGATGGCAACCACCGCCCCCCCTCTTGATGCCAGTCAGCTGCGCCTCCTGGTAGTGCCTAGCCCGCTGTCCCCCCAAAAGCCTTCTAAAAGGGGAGAAATTCTGCAGAGCAAGAGTGACTGGCCCATCTTTAGACCTATTGCGCTCCCTCATCCGTCCTCCCCCAACGTAATAGTAGACTTCTTTGTAGCGGGAAAGGACATTTATGAGATGAACAAGAGCTGCCGCAGCGTGGGTGTATGCTCTGCTCTTCTCCCTCCACAGCTGGTTCTCAGTGACGGATCGCTGCTCCTAGCAACGCCGGTAGATCCACTCCTGTTGCTGCTGCCACACCTTATGCAGCAGGCTGCAGCTTCTTTCGTCCCCCTTTTGGAGGCGGTTGCTCCCCCAAAAGTGGATGTCGAAGTTCGCCGCAATCTTCAAGCCCTTGCAGGGCATTCCGCAGTTCTACGGCGTTTGCACTGGGTAAGCGACCTTCGGATGCTCTCTGCTGCGAAGCCAGCTCATGGTGAGACGACAGGGGCGGCTGATTGTGCAGCAGACACCAGCAAGCCACCAGAGAGCCCTGCTTCTGTCCTGGCAGAGAGCGCTCCTGCCAGCATTGAAGAGGGAGATGCACGGGGATCCGCCGCCCTCGGTGGTTCTTTGTTTGTCCGATTCAACAACGATAAGACCCTGACATTCTTGCTGCGGAAGCATGGGAAACTGGTTACAGCGATTGCCAGGCAGCGGTCATCTGTACCTTTAGGGGCCTCCGAGGCAGACCAAGGCGGGGGCCCTCCGGTGTCCACATCCGACGCGAGTCTCCAGGCCTTTGCCTTGTCTCTGTTTTCCGCGTATCTGCCAAAGACGCTGACCACTGCCCTCGAGGTACGGCTGCGCAAGGAAGGACTGCTAAGGGAAGAAAAGCCTTGTTTGGCTACCTCTAGGGCTAAGGCCCCTCAGAACCCCCCAAGCTGTGGCGCTAAAGTCGCCAAGCCAGCGGCCAGAGCAGCAGGTGCTGCTGCTGCAGCGGAAAAGATGGCAGGTACTCGGCAAAAGAGAGTCGCAGGGGCGGCTGCACCAGCAGCCAACAAAAAGGCTCCAGGAAGGAAGCGCGTGTAGATGGCGTCGGCTGCTGGCTCAGGGGCGGAGAGAGACGACCATAGGAGCTGCACGCCAACAGGGCCGCAGCACTCCGCAAGGCGAGTCGTCATGGAGAGCGACTCGCCTCACGCTTATTGTCTTTTTGCTCCCAGAGTGGGGAAGAGCTACAGGGTAGAAGTTGAGAGGCGGCCGGAAGGGTCTGCATAAAACGCTAGAGTCCACAGTTTCTCCTTGAACTGTTTGAGTTCTTAGAAGCTTCCCTGTAGTGCGAAGCAGCTCATCATCATGCGCAAATTGAGCAGCACGGTATTGCGCGGAAAACATTTGCCGAATTCTACAACGTTGCGTATCCTTCGACGAAGGCGCATTTTCCTCTAGAGGTGACAGCTGCTGCACCCTCGAGGGCCTCGCTCGATAGTTATGTACCGCAAAGATATGCAGAACTGCTGCTGCAACTGTGTAATACCTTGCAAGGAATCGCAAAAGGGTGCATGGGAAGCTAGCCGACAGTTACGCATCAGTCATCAACTCCGTCAGTTTGCCCCTCAAATTCCTCCCTCGGGGCTGCGGTAATGTGCTTTCTGGTCCTCTTGGACCTGCAGGAAGCGATGGCCCCTACGCCTTGGCAATAAGCTGTCTACCATGCTACAAATCACAGAAAGATGCCTGTTGGTAGGTTGCTTCGGGATGCTGCAATCCTACCGTCCTGCCTACCCTTCTCTATGTGAAAGGGAGGCCTGCGAGCCACTAGTCTTTCTGGACCCGTTGTCCGCGCTATAAGGCTCGTAAAGCCTTCCAGTTCGTTTCTGGATGTTTCAGTAAACCTAGTGCGGAGTGCCGGAAGGACTCGACGGGTAACGGGTGCCTCTTGAAGGGTTTCAGTATTTAGGAGGCGCGACATCTTACGCTAAGGGGAAAAAGCTCGTCGTGGTTACGGCCTACTGGTCGGCGTCTCTGCACGCCTTCGCCAGTAGTTTGTATTACCAGGGGAAACTGCTTCCCCTTTCGCTGTAAAGAAGATTCATAAGTGCGCGTCCAGGTACCAGGGCCGGGACGGCTGCTGCACGCCATAGGGAATATTTCACTGTTTTGCCTTCCTCTGGCCTAAAGCGCAATTAACGCTCTCTCCCTCTATTGTTTTCTGCCTTCACCTGCGTCTGCAAGCGGGGAGATGGTCAAAAACTGCCCCAGGTTTCCCCGTACCCCCAGTTGCATGCCTGCCGCCGCCATGCAGTACAGTACTGCCCAACATTCTGGAATCCCTACCCAGCGCGGTTGGCAACACGACCGAATGGTCCTACGATATGGTCTCCGCGAACTGCCGTCAGGCTATGAAGCGTGAACCTTGAAAATGAGTATCGCAAACACGATATCCTCCTGGACAATAGAGAACTTAAAAGCCCTGACGTCCGCCAAATGCAGCCCCTGGTTGCGTGGGGTTTTGGGAAGCCACCAGGCCGGTACCACCCTGCGCGCTCATGCCAAAGAGCTTCCCGATGCTTCGGCGTTGGTTTGCTTTGGACTCTTGCGCCTTCTTTGCAGCATCGAAGCGGCGGCCAACGCCGCCGTCCTCTCCGCCCCCAAAGCGGGCAATGCTGCTGCGCACGTCATCGGGGCTTAAGGAGCAGTGCTTCAGGAAGTTCACCAGATCCAGCAATTCTGTGTCACTGACCATCTCAGCCGCTGCAACAGCGGAGCGCACACAGCAGATTGGAAGCTGTACACGCCAGGACTCGGTTTCCTCCCCTGAGGGTTGCCTTAGCTACAAAATCTGCGTAAAAGGCCCCGTTTGCAGTGAGTGGGAGACGTTCGAGGGGCCCTGCACGCTGCTCTTCCGAGACAAAAAGCGAACGCTTAGCAACCATGCAGCAACAGGCACTATGCGCGTTGGCCACCGGTGACAGCGAACGAAACGCAGGGGCAACATGAAGAGCAGGCGAGGAAAAGCCATAGGGTCGTCATCGAGAACGAAGGCAGAGAAACACAAGGGTGACAGCACAGAGGTAGAGAGAGGATAGTTGCAGCATGACATGCGCATAGTTCCAAAAGCCTTCACTATGGCAAATACCTACCCGTTCCCCCAAAGGGAGGTACTTTGATAAAGTTTGCCCTAAAGCGTTCATCGAGGCCTTCGTCAGTACACGAGACATATATAACACGGTCAGGACGCCTGCCCAGACGCGAGAAGTCCTATGGAGGATCCCAGCATACACAAACACATGACGACAACAACGGTGGAAAAGACATAGTAGTAAAGGCCGAAAGACCTTGCATGCCAGTCCAGGTTGCGCAACCCGCCCTTCGGATTCGCGTAGAGTCTTCCCTCCCGTGGCGTGCTCGCTCTACGGATCTGCCATTTTCCCCCAAAAGAAGGCGCGAGAAGCTGCAGACTTGAGCAATTTTTGCACGCTGTGTCTATATGAGCACGGCTGCCCAGCAGAAAAGCGTGGAGGGCTGGGTGGAAAGGAGGGCAGAGCAGCCCCTAGAATATCGCCCTCAACTCTGCGACGCCTCTGCAGTGGGTATCATGTGAAGAATTACGCGTACGCTTTCCCTTTGCGCGTGGCTATGTGAAAGTGCATGCGGATACATGCCTTCTCGGTCACACCCTTTCGCCCTAGGTCCTAGATGAAGGCGGCGCTCATCCTGTTTCCGCCACCCCCGTGCATGCGCGGGCAGAAGCGCTCTGGCCTCACCTTAATTCTACGTCCGTTTCTCCGCGTCATATGGTCCACGTTGAGACACGCGGTAACAGGTAGTCCCCACTGCTGCAGCGCCGTCTGAACCACGGGGGGCTGGTCGGCATTCCAAACGACCACTTCAAAGAAGTGAGACAGTTGGCTCACCAGCAAATCGCTGTACGGGCGCTTTCGGAGTTTGTATCCTCCCGTCCTCTGAAAATGCGCAGCAGCGCAGACACCGCAGCAGCCTGGCCTTGTGGGAATGCGAATGGCGCGCAAAACAAGACGCCTGCAAGCCCCCAGACCCAGATCTTTCCTGCCGTACGTCGTGTCCAATTTTCGCCAAAACACCTTCAAAATCCAGCACCAGCGTTGGAAGGAACTCGGGATAGTTGAGGTCTTTAAAATCCGGCAGCAGAGGCTCCTGGTCTTCTGGGAAGGCCCCCGAAATCGCCTGAGAGGATAACCGTCAGCCGCAAAACGACTTAGATGCAACCGATTCAAGATATACCACGAGGACGCAACGAGACTGCCCACGCAGCAGCACCATGCGAAAGCAGCAAAGAACGGCAAAGGAATAACAACGCCATGACACGAGGCGCAAACAGGTACCCCGTCCGCAGCCGCCGTCGCCGTCCCCCCTTCCCCTCGTATTCGATCGAAGAGCAAATGGGGGCACCCGTAATCGAGAGACAGCCGTGTATGAGCCACGACTGTCGAGAGCACGAAAAGTCATAATGACGACAGCAGGGCAGCGAGAGGCATATACAGGGGCAGTGATACGAATCCTTTGGCAATCGGGGCATGAGGAGGCTGACGCACGTCTTCAACCGCATTAAGGATCTGTTCGTGTGTTCGTGTCATTTGACTGTCCATCTTCGTCCACATCTCCCTTAGGAATTCTGAACGCAAGCAAGCGAAATGAGTAAGAAGCAGATAGGCGCCAAGCGAGCAATGCAGGCGAAACACTGCAATGCCTTCACATAAGCAGCGGCGAACGTGCACGGACAAGCACGAAGAGATGAAGCGATGAATGAAACTCACGGACGTCGAGAATCCCCGCAGCTAAAGGAGCAAAGCACACATCAAGCAACTGGATTAGGCCAAAAGGACGGTGCATGCGGCATGATTCCGACAGAAGAAGGAGCATATACACGTACAAACATGCATCGAAGAAAGAGCAGAAGCCCTTAGGCAAGCAAACCGCACATGGAGCACCATACAAGTACCGGAACGAAGCACATGCTTGCCAGAATAGACTCAAAGATGAGAGGAGAGAAATGGAAAGAAAGAGAGACAGACAGACAGAGCGAGAGAGAGAGAGAGCAAGAGAGAATCAGAGGCCCTCAGCAACGCTCAGGTTCATGCCACAGCCTCTGACGCCGTCGGCTGTGTAGTCTACCCTACCTGAAGTGCTCAAGTTGTGCTGCCGCATGTAGGAAGCCGACCAGACACCCCAGCCGACGCATATTGCCCCTACGACCAGAGCTCCCATGGAGGCGCTGCTTTTCTTGGAAGAGGCGGAATTTTCCGAAGCCTCCGTTTCTGCTGAGTTTGATTTTTGGCTCGCAGTGCTTGCCTCAAGAACTTTCGCTGCGCCTTCGCCCTCGACCCCCTTCTGCAGCTTTGGGCGAAGCAACCCCTCTGCCAATCTCATGGGCTCCTCTACCACAGGGTCGCTCGAAGCCACGAGGGCCCCTGCCTGTTTGGCTGCTGCAGCCACCGCTGCAGGAGTCGCAGCGGCCACAGAGAGAGGTACCACTGCAGCGGCAGAGGCAAACAGCCGAGAAGCAGAACATGTTGCTCCTGGGTAAGGGGCTTCTCGGTGGCCTCTCAAGTTGGGGTTCCTCCCCTGCCTCGAAGACACTAGACCTGTGGGAGAGACTGGTGAGGCTTTTTGAGCATTCGCTGCAGACCTCGCATCGAGCCTGGGGGCCCCCACGACGAAGCATGCGCCTTTCCCCTCGAAAATCGACAGACTTTGCCAGACAGAGTGCTTCTCTGTCGGGCTTTGCTGCCGCTGGCGCCGCAGCACCCTCAGCCACGCGACAGCAACGCGGCTTCCGCCGGAGGCGACGCTCTTCGTACTGCAGCAGTGCATGTTGAGGGCCCTAAATGCGTCTGACTGGGCTTGCCCCTCTCTATAGACATACTTTCTGGAGCGCGCCAGAAGAAGACCCTAAGAAGGCGGCAAAGGACGGCGCAGCAGCACGTCTAGCACCGGCAGACCCTGGAGGGCCCCTATATGCCCTTCCTGCCGCTGCGCTTCGTGGTACGAACTACGCTTCCCCGCAATAAACCAACGCGTAGAGCAGCGGCAATCCTGCATTTATTCTCTATAGCTCAGCCCCTAAGGAGGAGGCTGCGTGAAGGGCCAGGCAAGGGCCCTGCTGCGGGCCTGTAGTGGGGCCCTCCCTCGCTCCAAAGCGCAGCCTCCATTAGGGCTACAATTAAAAGCGCATTTGTGTTGTTCCCTTAACCGCTTGTCATTTGTCTAAGGCATGCTGGAATTGCTTTTGCTTCGGTGTCTTCACAGCTGGCTCCAACCCCCCTTCATTGCCTCCCCCCCGCCCCCCACCATTGCGTGATGCGCTTGGCTCGCAGCATCGAGAGCGTTCTGTTTGAAGTACGGTGCCCGAGAACGGACCTTTCCGGTGGTTGACTTTGGCTGCTTTTAGTTTAGGGGGATTATTTAGAGAGCTAAGGGGGCAGAGGGCTCACAGTCCTGCTGCCCGCTGCCTAGAGTGTGACTCTCTCAAAAACTTAGTTAGGATTGCGCTTGACGAGTGCCCCATTGCGAGAGTTCGCCGTGTCCTGAGGACACTACGCGACAGGGAGGGGGGTTGGGGCTAGAAAAAGAAACCCACAATCGTAAGACATTTAACGCTTAAAACGTGGCCACATGCACGAGTGGATGCCCACCGACCGGCCCGCCTGCGTTGCCGCCGAGGCAGACAGGCACAAGAGCTGCGTCCGCAATAGTTTTTACGGCTCGCACTCAGCTACTACAAGAGTAGCTGGTGTCCTTCCTTCAATCGCACTCATCCTACATGGCTATAACTGCCAGCTAGTGACAGACTGTTCTGGACCTTTTGTCCCAGCTGCATTTCGTTGCATGCAGCGTCAGATTGAGACTACTAATCTACGGTCCTTTGCGAATGTACACACATATAAATGGGCTTAGGCATATATACAAAGGTATCGAGCCCTTCCTTCATAAGAGATATGTAAGGGATAGATACCACCCCAAGCAGTCCGCGAAGGAAGGAAGATACGTTGGCTGGGGTGCGTGTATCGCTTTGTTTATCGCTATCGGGTGGCTGAGTATGGAGCCTGTGCCTTCTACAGGCCTTTTGTTTCGGCTCCAACTGCCTCTTCGCGGGCCCCCCCGGAGTTGGAACAAGTGCTACTCTGCGCAGCAGCCTGTTGCGGGATTTCCTTACGAAGACTTAGCTGCCTGTACAGCCCGGGCTGGACAAACTGCGGGAGCTGTAGCCCCGAGGCCGCTTGCTCTGCTGCTGCAGATACACCTTGAGACTCTCCCTCGACAGGTTGCCCCCCTGCCTCCTTGGGGCCCTCCACGGAGGGGGCCCCCAGGTTCTGGGGACAAGCGGCGAACTGCCACAGGTTGAGATGAAAGTCGTACAGCTGCCCCACGCGATGTACCACTGCGAATACACCCCGAAACACACGTAGACTAATGGCATGAAAATACACATTAACTCTTTTTATGCATATACACACACACATGCACGCATGTATGCATGCATATAGACTGGCGTGAATGTGCGCACAGACGTAGCCGAGAAACACGTACAAAGTTCCATTGGCTTGTTCAGTGCATCACCCGCGAGCTTGCGGTGGGTGGACATCTCGTGCACTAGCATCCGTTTCGCAAGAAGAAAAAACACAGGCGGGAGTTGAGCCTCTTCGCAAAAGGCGAGCTCCTGAGCAGCAAGCGAGCACCAAGTATGCACAGTGCCGTACTTCCCCACGATGCCTGTTCGCATCACAGCTCTACTACGTGCAGAAACAGAGAGAGAGAGGGATACAGATAGAGTGAGGGATACAGACAGAGAGAGGGATACAGAAAGCGAGAGAGAGAGAGAGCGAGAAAGAGAGAGGAAGAGAGAGAGGGATACAGAGAGAGAGATACAGAGAGAGGGATACAGAGAGGGAGAGAAAGAGAGAAAGAGAGAGATCATGAGGCCCACCTCCGGCTTTAGGAGCTTCGCCCCAGGAAAATTCCTTATAGGTGTTAGAGGTGCTGCGCTGGGAGATCCCGCTGGGCCTGAGCCTCCAGAGGCTGAGGCGTTTGCCAGTGCCCCTCCACCCCTCTGTCCAGCTCTCCCTTTGTTTGCGCCTGCTAGTGGCGTCTTCGCAGTCGGTGTTGCTGCAGTTGCTACTGCCGTGGCTGTTGCCGCTGCTGCATGGATCGACCCTGGCGCTGCCGCGGACAGACACAACTCGGGAGCTCGCGTCCGCAGCTGCTCCCGCCACGCCTTTTCTTCTTCATAGGCCTGCAGCGCTCACAGGAGAACTGGGATGTCTGCACACAAGCCTGAAACTCCAAACTCTCCAGCTCGGCAACGTGCAGGCGCAGCCAAGACGCACGCCAGTGCCACCCGGGAAGCTACGCAATTCTAGGGGAAAACCATGTTTTCTACATGCAGCTGACAGCACTAGAGGGCCGTCTAACAGCACTAGAGGGCTGCTAGGAATAACTAGAGAGCCGCCTAACAGCTCTAGAGGGCCGTCTAACAACACTAGAGGGCTGCTGGGAAGAAGCTTCGCTCCTGGCTTCACGTAAGACGCCACTGTAATGCCCTCCACTGATCCAGAGCACCTCCGAATATCCCCCTTTATATGTCTGTCTCTAGCCGCCCTCCCCCGTCGCTCGTGTGCGCCTCCCGTCCCCCCCACCTCCTCCTCCAGCCCTTCGGCGTATCCAGCCCACCTCCACTTCCTTCGCAGTCTTAAGGCCCAGGCTGCGCCACTCATGCAGCAGTGCCAGACGGTGCCGCACGCGGCGTTCTTCGATCAAAAGCTGCACCAAGCGCTCTTGCTGCTCGTCCGACTGGAAACGGGCTAGCGGCCTGCGCCACACACAGGCGGGCATTTCGACGAATCGCCACGCAGTACACACGAGAAGCGAGGAGGACAGAAGGGCCCCTCACCCTTTCCCCGCGCTGGCAGGGAGCAGCCTGAAAGAAGACGCTAGCCGACACAGGCTGGCTGCTGCTGGCTGCCCCGAGGGGTGCGAAGGGTGGCGGAGGGAGCACACGGCGAGGCATCTGGAAGTTCCCCCCTGAATCGTGTTGCCGTTACGGTTGGCAGTGCCCCACTCCCCTTACTTGAAGAGGTTGTGGAGATCGCGTTCTTCCTTGGTCCGCTTCTTGTCTCGCAGATGCATGGACTTGACGTCCAGGAGGCCTCTGAACAGCAATGCATGACAGACACCATGAGAAGAGGCAACGCAAGTCGGCGCGGGGGAGGGGGGGAGGGAAGCACATGGAAGCCCCTCCGAGGTAGTGCGCATACCCGTCTAGGAGTCCCCCCTTTGCTAGTTAGACAGCTAGCAACGCTTCTGGCGGTTGCATGCGGCCAGACTTCTGCACGCGGTGGTCTTAATTTGCACCAAAGAGCACCACACGCAGCAGCTGAGAGGGCCCCCCAAAACTGCGAGACAGCCCTCGGCGTACCAACGCGAAGGAGCCCAGCAACACAGCAGCACGAGAAACTCTGGGAAGCTAGCTACCTGCTAATGATGGTATTCTTCCTATAAATGCGCTCATCCAGCTTCGAGTTGTAGATTTCGATGATCTGCAGCTTCAGCTGCCGCTCCTGCACCGCCTCTCCCTCTAGAGTCGCAAAAACACCAGGAAGGGAGCAGGGCCCGTCGCGCTCAGGCGCATGCCCTTGGATCCCATGCTTCTCCCCAGGCGAATTTCGCAAGGCCTTCCCCTTTCTTCTCCTGTTGGGTGCATTGCCCCCTTCGGTGGTGTTCGCCTCCCCTTCCCCCCCCTGCTGCGTGCCCCTCTCACCCTTGAACTCCATGTCTGCAAGGATAAGCTCCGCGTCGTTGTCGAATTCCACATCAAAGTCGCCACGCAGCGGCCAATAGCCAACGATGGAGTGCGAGGGCTTAGGACTCTTCCGAGACAGCGGCGAGGGGCTGGCGCCTCCACCTGAAGACTCTGCTGCAGAATGTACCAAAAACACACAGACTCACAGACCACATGATACCCCACGACGGCGTGCAAGTGTGTGGCTGTGTAGGTGTGGTGTGGGCACGCATTTACACACAATCACAGACGCACGCAGATGAACACGTTGTATGCATTCACACACATTTACATACCCCTACACAAACATGCACACAGCGACACCCATCTACACAAACATGCACGCAGTGACACCCACTTACACAAACATCTACACACCTTCACACACATATACACACCTTCACACACATTTACACACCTTCACAGACATCTACACACAATTACACACAGAGACACATTTACACATCAATACACTAGCATGCACACACGCGAGCATACCGCCACCTGCTGCACGCACCAGAGGACCATAAAGAACCCCCCATTTGGAAGCAGCCGTCCTTACGGAGCCGTGATATGTGGAAAGAGACGAGAGGTCATTGACGCTGGAGGATGAGAAAAGGGGCAGAACGCAGAACAATCCAGCGGCACACACGAACACAGCGGCAGCAACAACCGCATTCACAAACGGCTGCTGTGCTCCCACCCCCCGCACATTCATCCTGTCTCACCAGGCTCCGCCTTTGTCAGCTTTTCTGCCTCCCTCCTTGCCTTGGCCTCCTCCGGGGTGAGCGCCCCTCCGTCTGGTCCGTGAACAAGTGACGACAAATCCGGGAGAGGAGACGCCGCAGAATTAAGATACACGCCCATGTAGTGCTTCTCGCACTGCTCGGGTGTCTTAGGCTCCAACGAGGCATGACAAACCAACTCAGCGACCTCCTACTCAACAGCGCGATGCATAAGACATATGCACAAACAGGGATTCACAGTCCTTTTCAGAACCTGAAGCTGCGCTGCGAGAAGCGGAGCCAGTTGTTTTAGGCCTCGACTATGGACTGCAGCAGCAGCTCCTAGCACAGCCAAGCTTCTAAAGAAGCATCCAGAGTAGGTTCGCACTACTCCCACACCTGGCGTTGACCTCTCCGTCGCGTTCTTCAGCCCCTCCCCTCATGCCCCAGACTTGACTAGACTAGGCCTTTTTGCCCGTACCAAGAACCACCTCTAAAGCTATTCAGGATTCTGCATGCGTCGTCCGCATGTGTCTGCCCCTCTGGTCTGCCCTCAAGGCCTCGTCTTTCGAATTGCCTGATCAAGAATGAACCTTAGACCCCGTAGCGACACTCCCCCGTTCTCTCCTGGATCCCCTCTCTGTTTCTGTCTGACTCTGTCCCTTCCCAGAGTTCTACCCGTTTCTTGCAAGCTCCTGCCCCTCATTGGCGCTTCTAGCTACCTCAGTGCACCTTCCCCATGTATACACACACACGCATGCAGCATGCGCCCCCTGAAACATGAAGCCCTGTGCACCTCCCCCTACACCTGTGGTCGCACTCACCACCCAGTTGCCGAAGCCATATTTGCTGACGCCATCCACGAGCAAAATCTCCTCCTCTGCCGTCCACTCCAAGGTGAACACTGGGAACTTGTTGCGGCCCACGGGTATATACGCATGCGAATTCTTGTGTTGCTGCTGCTTGGTGCTGCTGCTGCCGTTGCTGGGGGTGGTGCGGCCGCTACAGAAGCACGAGAGGCAAAGATCAAAGTCCTTGCATTCTGCGCAACGAATCCTGAATGCGCCACTGATGTCTGCTCCGCAAACATCACAGTGAAACTGCGCATGCAACGAGAGGAGCGACCCCAGGGCCCCCGCCGCTAACTCGGCGGGGGCCGATAGAGGAGAGCTGCCCGACAACCCCCCAACTTCCTCTGATGTCTGAGCCCCCCCTGGTTGCTGCTGCTGCTCCTCCGGCTGCTGCTGTGGGGGAGCTGAAGACGAGGAAGAAGACTCAGTGTCCGCGGGAGGGAGAGAGGCGGCGCAGGCATCGTCCGCCCGTAGTCGTTTTGGACTGCAGCCGCCAGCACAAAGCATACGCATGAACGTGGGCAAAGATGCATACACAAAGCCTAAGTGTTTGTTCGGCTGCTGAAGCTGCATGCGCGTACTCCGTTGGACACCAGCCCCAGACACGCCTGGTCTCACTGGGGACCCACCTCCGCTCCTCCGTCTCCCGCTGCATCTCCCTAAATACAGAATTGAACCAAAGGCACCTGAAAAGCTTCAGGTGTATGTACACCTGAGCCACTGTGCTGAGTTGTGTTCTAAGGGTCGAGAGCCACGTTCTGCCCAGGGACTAAAAAAAGGAAGGGCGAGTGCCGCGGACAGCAGTAGGTGCAGGGGCCTTCGGCTTATCTATTCGCGTGCACAGAGTCGAGCAGCAGACCCCTTTGCAGCTCAAGCACTGGAGGTAAGCAGCAGCAGCTGGCAGCTGTGTGCGACCCCCGCGGCCGAATCCCGCATTCGCGAGGCCAACGACAAAACAAAGAACAAATAAAGAAAGGGAAAAGCCTGACTTGGATAACGAAACAGGAAACGCATCTGTACGAAACAACCTGGGACCGCAGCCGCTGCATGCACGCTCGCGCGTTGGGGCTTGTAATATTTGAGGCCTTGGGAGATCTGCGTGAATACGACTACTGAATAAAAGTAACTGAGCATTTTCATCCTCCTGTGCGACCAGCGGTAAGCGTTTTCTGTAATGCACAGGCACCTTTGCAGTAGTCACAGCCTGTCTCTCCCCCTTTATCAAGAGCAACTGCGTTAGACAAACTAGAAGTGCCCTATCTATCAGCTCAGTTTCGCTTCCTTGAAAGGCCTTGGCCCCGGAAGGAAAGGATACTGAAACTCTTTTATTGTAGCTGTTCCAGTCATATATCGTCAAGCTACAGCCTCTCAAAGGGTGTCCCACAATTTGGCGAGTTTGCAACTAACGAAATAGTTCAGCTCCCCAACAGAAGTATCAGTGCCACATCCAGCTGTCTATTAGTCTTTGGACTACAAAATGTAGCGGGCTAAGTTACCCTGAAGCACAGTCTACTACACTACTTATTTTCAACGAAGAACTAGCAAAATTTGGCTAACTGGTTGCTGTGTTCGTGTATCTTATTCATTGGGGAGCACCTAAGGCTTGAAAAAAGAAGACACAGAGTCGTGTGGGTGTACGCTAGATGCTACGTAGTACCAGCTGGGAATGCTCACAGTGCTGAGGGTGGAGCAACGCGCACCCTACCTGTTCCTCTTTCCCCATGTCAGGACCTCTGAGGTACACAGGCTGGGCTGAAAGGGGTTCTTTTGGGAAACTCTCAGTAAATATTCTTCAGACTTTGTATGAGTCTGGAGTTCAGTTTCTCTTTACGGGGAACATAGATGGAACGTCACACCGAGATGTCGAACCTGCTTGCAATCCAGCGGTCCTTCGTCTCCTGAGAAAATACACTTTGTAGGCTGTAGACTTGTAAAAGTTAGGTATAGGTCTGTTTCAGGGCCACATGCAAGCTCTGCTTATCGTTTTGACCTATTCAGGGACTACGAGTCCCCACATGACAGCCCTCAAGGAAGCCTTCCTTTCATTGCATTCCTGTTGCATGTCTCTTTCTACGACTCTCCTTGCTTCTTTTGTTCTTGCTCATGCAACCACTCTGTCTAAAAATGGTATTAACGGCTATCCACTGGGATAGCATGCATCAGGCGAACGCCGTGATAGGGCCGTCTGGATTACAGAGGTTCGGCAAGCATATGAGGCCGCTGAGCGTCCCTCTCCATGACACTTTTAGGATGAAAAAAGGTTTAATGCAAGTAAGGGATGAAATATCCAAAACGTACCAGACTATGGTGCTTGTAGCTCTCCGCATAGTGTGTCAACAAGGAGACGACCCTCAACCCCAAAGACCCCCAGAACTTAAAAGCGTATCCCTATCTGTTATCTCCCAGAGGTATTTACATCTGCTTGCTCCTGCCTCCTAAATCGTTTGTCTGACAGGGGAGCGTACAACCGAAATGCAAGTGGCTGGACAATGTGGGCACCATGGGTATGCACCTACTGTCACCCACAACCACTGGACGCACAGGAGCACAGGGTGTTCTCTTTTTGAGAAATATCCAAATGTACAACAAATACTGGATAAGAACAGATGAAGCAAGCAGCTATTACTATCAGCAGAGAACAACAGTACCCATAGCCTGTAGGGTTAAGTGTGGCACGCTGCCCACCTTTCTTCTACGCTGTCTCATTTCCTCCCTACGAGGCATTGTGCAGATGCACGCCCATGTATTATGAGCACTTGGCATGCCGCTTGATAGCTCTCATATGCAACAAAGGCTAAGGCAACGGATCCCGCTGTGAGCGTGTGGTGTTGAAGAGTTTGAAGGAACAAGTCCTACGGGTCCTTCGCGTCGCTCGACACCGAAAAACGGCTGGTGGATATGATGGACTCAGTCTAGAGTATAAGATTCAGCGCACGCAAAAAGGCACTCTTCTGAGGACGCTCTGTCGAATGCCTCCCGCTTCCTGAAAAAGAATGCAAAGATGCAGTAATATGTAAGGTCCTCAGCGGCCCAATCGGTCAATAACAACCGGATTTGTTTCCCTCAAAAACACTTAAAGCAGAGTCTGCATGGTGGCATGTACTGCACTACAACAACTGTCTTCTTTTAAGGCCACCTCCGCCTCACCGGGGGCTTCGTCCAACGCGATCCTGGGACGCTGGTGGACACAGCATGTGGCATGGTGACCTGCAGGGCCCTCTCAGCACCAACTTTTCTCGAACGCTCTGTGCAAGAGCCCATTGAATTATCCATGCATGTTGAATAGTCTCCTTTTGGGGCAGCTTGCTTCCTGGGTGTCTTCGTGAGCTGCATCAATAAGGTAGCCTAAATGTCAGAGCGCTGCGCCTCAGCCCATGTAAAACAAAGTCGACAACGTGAGACATTTCGGGGATTACAGGTCTGGGGCAGCAGTCAGCAATAGCTGAGTCTAGTCTTTCATGAGGAGGAAAACGATTCAAGATGCCTCGTTGCTGGCGTATCCTGATATAGCTGGTGCATTAGGAGTTTTTTGATTTTCGTGCCGCGGCGGTGTGCTTGCTACGCGCACACAACAATCAACGCATAAGTAGTACCACCACGGAACGTTAAATGGAGTAAGCAAAGGCTTTGCCGGTGGATGGTGCTCTGCCTACGAAAACGTTGGGGACATCGCAGAATGAACAGTTGCAAGCTTCAGTGCCCACTAAAACAAAGAACTTTGCTACAACGCAGGCTAGTACTTACTACCCGCAGTCACGATCATGGGAAAGACTCCCGCTTAACAACCAGAGATGATCAGGCAAATGGCAGTTGCATGCTTGAAAAAGACCGCGTTTGCGATGAACTATCCGCACCCTTTCGCGGAAGTCCTTCCCGAGTTGTTCAAAGAACGAAATGTCAACAGGACCTGTCCATCTACCATCTTCTCACTTTACCCGCGTCTCGTGCTACAGCAGATGCAGCAGCAAATCGTTTTCTAGCCAACTACAAAAGCCGAATACGTTTGTTATGGGAATGCTGGTTAAGAGCGCACTAACAGCAATAGCCGGTGGATCCCTGACCCCCAAAGTAGCAAGCAAGGCTAACTAAACCGAGCCAAAAATTTTCCGGAGCCAAGAGACAGGTACTAAATTCGCACAGGATTCTGAATTTTTAGTGCCTCCTGTGCTGATTCGTGGAGTCATGAGCAGAGACTCCTTGCGCAAGAGGAAAAGAAGGCGCTGGCCCCATTGATCCAAGGAAACACCAGCATACCCCTCTTTTGCTCTACGCATTGAGGTGGAGTTCTTGGGTGATGCTTTGGAGAACACCCAGTGGCGCGCGGCGCTCCATTCAGAGCCTCTCTAAAGAAACACTTTGCATCAATCCCAGCACCAAACTCGAAGTTGAACAGTGTCTCTTCAAGCTTCCTCATCTCTCTGTGCTCGCTCCTTAGGGTTCGGGAGGAGGGGAGCGGGACAGGCAGGGCAAGTGTTCCTGCTTTCTCAAAAGGCTCAGAGTCTTAAAATCTAGTCGGACATAGCAGCTGATGCACAGACACCAACCAGTAACTCATTTCGTATTGAGCGAACTCTACTTCGTTTCAATTAACACTTACAACAGCCAAATCGAAAAGCCAATCGTTGACCAGCTCCTAATAATACATGGCCGTTGTAATAGAGTGTGCCGGCGTGCAATACAGCCCAATACAGTGACGCTACATGCACAAACAGGCAAGTGGACTTAGCGCCTATGAAATTAAAAAATGTAAGTGTCTAGAGACACAAAAGCACGGATCTTCTGGGGCCAATCCGTCTCTTCGCGGGATACCGCCGATGGTTTTGGCAATTTACATCAAGTGCTGGGCTCCGTACATTCAGCAAGTTCGTCAGCGGCCACCGGTTCAGAAGGGTAATCATTAGATGACGTAGCATCACAACCACTCCGAAAAGAGTTTCAAGCTCCCAATCTACATGACCACGCAGTGGACCGATAAAGCACTCCGCGATAGACAAGAGGCACCAGGAAACACCCTATTCTGTTTTTCTCATAGCCACTTCATTGCTGGCAATGCAAAGCAGGTCCTCCCGTTACAGCCTCACCGAGCTTCATGTCCGACAAGCTAATATTGAAGATTCACCGACGCAGGGCGAAGAGTCAATGCCATACCCTTGCTTGGTGGCCACATCCAATATTAAGTATGCCGCAGTAGTTCCCCCCAATGGCAACGTGGCGATTTATCATGGACCTACAAAGTCGGTCGTAGACGTTTCTAGACATAACGAAGGACCACCCCCAAGATAGAACAATACACCACAACAAGGTTCGTGACCTGCAGAACGCCAGCAGGAGAGCCTCTACACAGGCACCCACTCAGACGTACCACAAACCGCTTGTTGCCCCTTCAAGCTAAAGAGAAACAATGAACGCAATGTTCGTCCTTTGAATATCACAGCTCTACCGTGTTTTCCTGCACTGCGGTGTCTTGCTCTGCGCGGAGGTATGTGTTTTCCTGCACTGCAGTGTGTCGTTCTGCGCAAAGGAGGCATTACTGGGATGTTTAATATCTCGCACGGCCGCTCGATGAGTTCGTCGAGAGGGGCCCCCCTTGTGTGCTGTGGAAGCGGGTCTCGAGGGCTGCTGTGGCAGCCATCGCTTTCCCAGCTCCTGGGATTTCTCCGATCTTTCTCGGATTCGTGTAAATATATGAATATGTAGCATGAATAAATTTGTGTTTATCGGATGTCTTTTGAAGGCAAGCCTTTAATTCTTCTGTCTTCGAGTCGTGGGCTTGCCCCGGCAGCCCTGTTCAATTTTCACGGCCTCTCCGCACATATGAGGGCCCGTAATGTATCTGTCTCACGTCTTAAGAAGTCACAACTGTGCCTTCTAATTTGCCAAGGGGGCGGCGGACCGCTTGCCCCCTCAGCAGTTGGCGTGGTGATGGCCTTGCCGCAGAAGCTTTAACAGCACAAGGTACTGCCGCGCCGAAACCACCTGGATGACGGTAAACGCAGTCTTCAGTGTGTCTTTAGCGCAGGTGAAGGACGTCTCTGCCCTTTTGTAGCAGTCACGCACCGCAAAACCACTAACACCAGCGTTGACTGACACCTTGAAGGCGCGTATTAGAGGCGAACCTAGGGAGACCCTAGTTATCTAGAGACTGTCGCAAAACCGTATGGGCAGGCCCTGCGCGAGGCTGGGGAAATGGAGATTCTTTCTCGTCATCTGTAATAAGATCCGAAGGGAGGGGTTCTCGCTCTCAGTCACTCCGGGTGCAGCACGCCTCCGGAAGGCGCAATAGTATCACCGGCTAGTCCTCTACAATGCGGTTCTTCCACACGATCGCACCAAGATGGGACTGGAAGGCCGTCTGCGTGGCAGCGTGCTTCGCGCTGTCAGGATTTGCCTTTGCATTGGTCATCTTAACCTGCATCATACCGGTGCACAAACCCAATTCCGTGTTTGGAGGCACCTACTTTGCAGCCAGCTTTGGCATCGCTCTGCCTATAGAGAGTGAGAAAGAGGGGCCCTATCACACCTCTTGCTTACCGCAACCCTTGCTCGGTCTCGTTTCTCTTGGTAGTGAGTGCCGCTCGTGCGCCTCCCCGCTTGCCTCCGTCCTAGTGGGTGCACCTTCACGCGCAGACGTAAGACAGTCGCCTTCGCCCCGCCACGCGCAAGCTTCTTCCTTGTGTGTGGACTGTGTGTCTCTCATCACGTGGCGGCGTCTGTGTGTGCAGGAGTACACTACGGCCTCGTGCAGATATTTCCTCTCCTGGGCCTGGACATGGCGCTTGTAGACTCTCCAGACACTGGAGGCGACGGAGCTTTGGCAGCAGCTGCAAAGGAGGCCCCTCCAGATCACGACATAGGGGCGCCCTTCCCTCTGACCCCACGCAAGCTCCCTTTGTACCATGAACTCCCTAGAATCGGCTTCTCGGCAGAGAGCGCAGCAGCTATCGCTGCTGCCGCGCGGTCCCAAGCGGCAGGCAGTCATGCTGCACGTGCCTCTGGTGTGACAGGTTCGCCTTCCCTCGAGACAGGTCGAGACAGCTTGACTGCAGATGCTACGGGAACCCCAGGAGAGGTGGTAACAGAATCTGCTGCTGCGGGGCCCTCTTCCTCCTCCGCGGCGTCTCCCTGGCCCTTGGGTGGGGGCGTTCATTTGCTGCTGGCAGTTCATGGTCATCGTGGATCGTGGACGGCGTTTTTTCCCGTTTCTGAGGCAGTTTTAGTCTCCGGGAGTTGGGGAGGAAGCAAGCTGTACAGACACCCCCCCCAGGCTCTTCCGCTGCCTCTCGAGGCGCAGCCTCAGGCGCAGCGTCCCAGCAGGTGGCATGTCTTCTCCTTGGATTTCAACGAAGAAGCGACAGCGCTACACCCAGCGCTAGTTGACCAGCAGGTTCTTCATTTTGCCTCCCTTGCTTTCGGCGCTGCTGACTCTTCTCCCTACCCGGCGAGGGACGCACTTTTTCTCGCACGGTTCCAGCGCACCCGCCTCAGCAACTGTTTTGTGCCGTGCGTCGCAGGCTGAGTTCATTTTCTCCTCTCTGCAACGTCTGCTGGACGTTTACAAGGCGGCGGGCAAGCAGGTGGTGCATGTGGCGCTGTTGGCGCACTCTATGGGGGGCCTCTCTCTTCTGAGGGCTGTCTCTATCCAGCAACGCGCCCGCCGTGGGGGATCTCCGGTCGATTTGCAGGCGCTTTCGATGCTGTCGCTACTTTTTGTCAACTCGCCTGTGGGCGGCCACCAGCTAGCGCAGCAGATGGCGAGCTTTTCCTGGCTGTACGCACAGGTGCAACGGGATGTTGCGCGCGTCTTCGCGACAGAGCGGCGTGGATTTATCGCGCAAGACCAGGAAGATAAGCGGCAGGCATTGCTTCTGCCAAGGACGATTGGCGTGTATACTGTGGCTTCTGGCTTTCACGATAACTTGGTTCACGAATCTGTGGCAGGCTTTCCGCGGGAGAGCCCAGAAGTGTCTCCGGCGTTCCTATGGGCACGCTCGACCCTCAGAGTGTCTAAGCTGCGCCTCACTTCTCAGCGGCGACAGCTGCTGCAGCAAGAGCAGCGGAGGGGATTCCAGCGCCTCAACAACAGACAGGAGGATCAGACAGAGTCCACGGCATTCTCCAGCAGCGGCCGCCCCGGAGACACTGTCGAAAAGCTCGGCTGTTCAGGCTTGCAGGGTGCAGCCAAATGCGGCCTGCTAGCCAAGAATGTTTACTACAGGCACGTCTCGCTGCCTCTCACAGGGGGCGTTCACGCAGCCTCCTGCCACAAGTGTCCCCTCGTTTCGATGCCCGAGATGCGGATCCTCGTGCAACTGCTGCAGGCACAGGCATCCCTGGCCGAGCAGCTCACTCCAACAGTTGCCATTCTCCAGACATTTCTCGAGAAGCAACGCGAGTACGAGCAGCGACGGCAGCCGCAGGAAGACCTTTTTACGCCTCCGGATCAGCGAGCGAGACTTCTGGAAGAACAGATAACGGCTTTAGGCGCAGCCCTAGATTCGGGAGCTGCGGTGCTTCGCTTTTTACGCCTGCAGCTGCCGCCTTTACTGCAATCGGGATTGCAGCTGCTTCATCCCCTCTGGAGGCTCACGGAGCGGCAAGATGCGCTTGCTCTAGTGCTCTCGGCTGTAGAGACTGAAGTCAGGTACCAACTGCACTTTCCAACTCGTTCGGAAGAGGGTCGCCTCTCGAGGCTTCTAGCGTCTCCCTCACCCGATGCAGCAGAAGCGCTCACTCGCCTTGGCCTTTGCAGCGCCTGCAGCAGACACGCAACCTGCAGCTTTCCAGAAACAATGCTTGCCATTCTCTTCAGGACAGGCACTCGCAAGGCACTGCCCAAAGAGCGGCACAAGGGAGCACCTGTGGCAGGAACAGGAGGGCCTCGCGAAGATGAAGAGGAGCTTTGTTGGGATGCAGCAACCGAGCTGTTGCTGCTGCCAACCCGAATACAGGCGGCGCTGCCGCTGCTGCAGCAGCATGTGCTGCGGCTGAAGCTAGGACTCACAGGGGAGGACGAAACACCCCTGCAAACAGCGGCAGAGGAGGCCAATCAAGAGGGGCTGTTGGTGAAGCCCTCCAACGCATTCACAAGAGCCAAGCTTCTCGGAATGCTCCCAGTGTCGCCAGAAAGTGTGCTGCCTCTCCCGGTAGAAACGCAGCGACTGCTGCGTGAGGCGATGAAAGACTCCGCCTGCAGCAGCGGCTGCAGCAGCACCGTCAGCCCAAGCGGAGGAGATACCAGAACCCCCTGCAGGGGAAACTCCCTGCAGGAGGCTTTGCGGGAGGGGTGCAGCAAGTCGTGGGGTCCCTTCACCGTTTATCCCCTTAATCTGCAGCCCTCTCTGCTTTGGCCTGATCTCGGGGGAGTGCTGTCTTCCTCATCGAACGCCAGGGTAGGGGGAGGCGAAAGACAAGGAGGGCCAAGGCTTCCAAGAATCAATCCCCTCCCCCTCCCTCTGCTGTCTTTGCAGCCCGATGAACCGCTGGCTTCCACTCGATACTTCTACAACACGTTTTTTGATGGTCGTGGTATCAGGCCTTGCGACCTGCGATTCCTTGCCCAGCCGCTGCCACAGCAGCAACAGCCACAGCTGAATCCTCGGGGCGCCAAGTATCAGCAGCAGCACCTGCATGCAGCTTTGCTTTCTCACATTGCGGCTCTAGCAGCTGCAAGGGCAGCGGCGGCTGACAGGGCTGGCACTCCAGAAGAGAAAGCAGCAGCAGCAGCAACAGCCAATGCTGCAGCGACTGCCGCTGCTGCCGCCGCCGCGCAAACCTCGGGAAGACGGACTTCCTACCTTCCCAGGGGACTGATGCTGCTTGCAGTGGAGCATCCAGCCTCTGCAAAGCTGAAGGTGCTTAGGCAGGTGCAGCAGCAGCGCTCACGGAACGCAGCTCTCAATGCAGAGGCAGCGCCAGACACAGCCGCTGTCGCTGCAGGCGTTGGACTGGAAGAGTGCAGCCACCCAGAGCTGCTGCAGCGTGTGCTACATAAGATTGACGCTGAGACGGCAGCGGCAAGTATGGCGCAGTCTGCAGCAGCAGCAAAAGAAGCGGCAGCTGCAGCAGACGCCAAGGCTGACACGGCAGACATTGGCTCATTTTGTTTCTTTGTCTTGCAACCCGATGTGCAAACGGGGTATCCCCTCCGCAGCTGCGGCTGGATGTTCAACGGTGGAGGGTCAGTCCTCACCTCTCTCGCAGCGTCTTCCAAGCAGCAGCAGCAGCAGCAGCAGCAGCAGCAGCAGCAGCAGCACTCCCGACACGAAGAAGAGCCAATAAAGCGACCACAGCTTCCCAGTGCGTTTTTACTAGGCGTCGATGTGAGCGCCTTAGGGTTTCTCGAGGCTCCCCAAGATGCTGGTAGCTTCACTGCGTGGGCTGCTGCTTCTGAGCAGCAGCGGCACGAAATGCCAGAAGAATTTGCATCAGCACCTACAATGCAGTTTGAGAGCAGCTGGATTGAGTGGATTGCACGCATTGGGCTGCCGTTCCGCATTCTTTTGTCCTCCATAACTCCCATGAGGGTCAGCGTTCCCATGTCTGCTCACACCCTCACCATGGATTACAGCAGCGCCAGTTTCGGAAGCTCAGTGGAGACAGCAGCAGCGAGAGCTGCTGCCGCGTCTACTGCTGCGAATGCGGGGAGGCTGGGCATGCCGCAGTTGGTGTGGCTACCGTATGTTGAACGCTGGGCGCATTTCACGCCTTACGACATTACGGTGAGCGTCCGTCGTGTGAGTCAGCAGCAGCAGCAGCAGAAAAAGGACACCAGCAGCAGCAGCAGCAGTACAGCACCAGCATGGCTACCCAGAGTGACTGCACCAAACTTTGTGTGGCTGATGACGTGGCCGTACCGCTCAGACAGGGGCATCGCCGTCCGACGTGTGGCGGTAAGAAAGGCGGAGGCTGCCTCTCAAGCGGCACACGCTACCCTTGCCGCTGCTGCTGCGGAGCACCGGAGCAAGGCGGCAGCAAAGGCAGCAGGAGCGGCAGAAACGACTCCACCAACAGGCGGGCCTGCCGGCGAGGAGGATCCTGAGAAGGCTTTTCATCCAGCTGCGAAGGAGTCTGGACTGCTGCTCCTACAGCAGCTTCGGAATACCCCATCAATTGACTCGCCGCGTTTGCAGGGTCTTTTGGCTGTTGCTGGCACCCAGCGTGCCTCAAGGCGGCGGAAGCCACAAGAATCGCATTGGTTTCTACGATGGTTGAAGTCGCTCTTTCAACTGCAGGATATGGAAGCCTCTCTGAGCGTACTGGCCATACGCGTGCCTGCCGCCTCTTCTGCCACGAGAGGCCTCCTCCCTCCCCCTGCATTGCCTCTAAGGACGCCTGCACGCCGCTCCAAGCCATACATCCTGCCCACGCCGTCACAGCCGATGGACGCTGGTGGCAGCGATTCTGCACACCCCGCGGAGGATGCACAAGTGGCAGCGACGCTGGCACCACTGTTGACGGTCCAGCAGCGCCTGAGGGAGGCGGAGCTGCGGCTCAAGGAAGCGGAGCGCCTCGTTGTGTCAAGGCTGCAAACGCATTTACCCCTGCTGATGCTTCAAGATCCCCAGCCACAGATCCCGGCAAGTGCATACACCGCAGGCAACGGGGGCGGCACCAGCCCTGGCAACGGGGAGTCTCTGGAGTTTGTAATCGAGGCCAGGGTGAATTGGCTGGCCTTGTGGCGTGCCCTTTTCTTACAGTACTTCTCGCACTTCCTTGCTGGCATTTCTGCCTCTAGTTCGTTGCTTTCGGGGTTCACCAGCCTCTTCGTGTACTGCAAATACCGCCTTCTCCAGCGGCAGCACGAGGGGTCAGTCGCTGTCAGATCACCGACTTCTCTGCTTGTTGTCGGCTTACGGCATCCACTGCTGCAGTGGCTGTGGAGTCTTTGGCTGCGGCTCCGAGTGGGCGCGTGGCAGGGGGCCTTGAGAGCAACGGTAAAGGCGGCTGCTGCGGCTGATTCTCTGCAGCAGCCGGCTACATATCCCCTAGGAGTCTTCTGGGGGAGTCAGGCGAGTTGGTGCCTGTATCTGCTTTTCTTGGCTCTGAACGCTTTTTTGTGCAGCCTTGGCCTTTCCGGGAGGCTGCACCAGCTGCCGCTCCTGGGGGCCTGGCTTTTTGCAGCTGCACCACCTACCGCCTTCTTTCCTCTTCCCTTACCAGCAATGCTGGAGGTGCTCCTGCTGTGGTGCTCCTCCGTCGTACTGCTGCTGGCTGTTCGGCTTTTCTTGCTTCTGCTGCTTTGCAAGCAGCACGCTTCCCTGCCCCGCTGCTGTGCGAGGCAGAGAGCAGGAACACTGATGGCACTGGCGGCGTCAATCGCCGCTAAGCACGCGCGCCAGATTCTTCTCAGAAGCCGCCTTCGCTTGCCGCGCTGTTGCAGAATGCTCCGGAGCAGCTTGTTGCATATTCGAGCGAAGCAGTTCTTCACCTCCGCGATATGGCCCAGAGGATCCTCAGCGGTCTTTCCTGCACGTGCCGATGCGGCTGACGAGGCAGTCAAAGACGCCGCAGAGCCAACTGCGACTGCGCTGGGCGTGTCTTTCCCTGCATCGGCTGCAACTTCAGCGGTAGCAACTGCACCAGTAAGGGCACTGGCACGGGAAGCAGCGGGCGCAGTCCGTCCAGCAGGGAAAGCACCACTCGAAGGTGGTCACGCCGCTGAGGCTGGGAGCTCAAGCTCTTCTGAGGGAAGCCCTGAGTGCACCAACAGCAGCATGCACGAAGCCGGCAGTTCTCTGTTGCGGCTTCCCTCAACAGGCAGGAGCTGCTTCAGCAGCGACACCAGCAGCTCTCACTGCCACGACGTTTCAAGAGCCTCTTCTCCGATGCGCCGGAGCTGCCGCACAGAAACGGACGGCGTTGTAAAGGACTCTGCAAGAGAAGCGTGGTTCGCGGGAAGAAGCCGGAGCGTGCCTGCCTCTTCTTCCCGTGCTTTTAGGCCACATCAAGTCGCCTTTTTTCTTTACCCAGCGCTGCTCGTGCCTGCTGCGCTGTGCCCCCATCGACTTGTTGCGTTGCTCTTGCCCCTTCTTTTCTTGCTCTTCTTCGTCGAGGGCAGCATCAGCGGATCGCGTCGATCCTGCAGCTGCAGGCGCAAAGCGTTGGGGAATGTGCCTTGTTGCGTTGTGCGCTGGGTAAGAGTGGAGTGCTTCGAAGGTTCCCTCCTTGCTGTGTACGTGCAGCCCCTCTGGCTGCTGCTCCAGCTGGCGCTCTGCGTAGGCTACACGGTCGTCCGAGACCTCAATCTGCACATATACGCTGAAGATGGCAAGAGCCTTGTAAGCCAACACGTTCAGTAAACTTCAAAGCTCTCCAAGTTGCAACTTTAGTGCGCCCTCCAGCCCTCCAGGTGCACCGACGGGGGAGCCAGAGGAAACAACGTAGGCCTCGGGAGGGTAAACGGGCTCTTTGTATTGCCTCTCTGGCTACGACGGAGCCTCGCTTTCTGAAGGACGACATGAGTGTTCCTTGCGAAGCGATGCCTGCATGGCTGTGTTCAAGCCACCCGAGGGGCCCCTCTGCCGCTCGCCTGCAGCGGCATTGTCTGTACACAAGAGGAGGGCTAGCTACGGGAGGGGCATAAAGAAGATTTGTTGTCGCGACACTTCTCGCTTCGCATCGAGAAAGAAAAGCCTTCGCAAAACATCGGCTTCTCTGTCACGGTCTCCCGGTGCTGCGTAGCACGATGGACAGCCTTTCTTTGGTTTTGTCCAAGCACTTTGTAGTGCACATTTGCCTCTAGAAAAGTTCTGGATCTGTCTGCTTCTGGCTGCTGCTGCTGATGTGTATGTGTGCAGATCGCTGCTGCAGACGGCACGATATCGCATTTGCTGGCCTCTTCGCGCCTCGTGCCCCCTCTCCTTATGGATGCGGCTTTGCCCGTCCTAAGCGTATGGGCAGCAGGGGCCCTTCCTGAATTTCTGCAGCAGTTTCTGCCCTCCAGCCTGCCAAAGAGAGGCTCATGGGGTCTCACAACTACCCAGGACAGCTTCGCGCTGGCTTATTTCTGCTGCCTGGTGCCTATTTGCCTCTTCGTGAGGCAGCGGATCTTGCGGGTTGTTGCCGCTCGATCTAGCAAGCGGACGAGGCCCTACGCCGAAGTTCGCCTTCAAAACGAACCCACAAGCAGCAGCAGCGGCGCTGAAGAAGCATCTTCAGGCAAACAACAACAGCGTTGCTGTAGCCGGAGCGTTGGAGGCGGATCCATGCGACATTTGGCCGTGTTTGCAGCCCTGCAAGTAAGCAGCGTCGCGCTCTGCTTACGATAAAATTTTAGGGCCATTAGCTGAAGTAACCCCCACAAACGGCCAACACCATTTTAACAGACGGATCTGGCAGCTCAGGGGGAGGAGGAGCGTTTTTCCACGCAAAATTAGGCCGCCTGCTTTTGGGGAGTCCTTTCCACGATTGCTACTGCATGCGTTCGATGTGTGTGCCCTGGTGCAGCTGACCCTTGCAGTGGTCTTCGTAGGGTTGACGGCTTCAACTCCCATACACACTGTCTTTCTCCTGGCGGGAAGTGTCGTCTTGCAGATCTTCATTTGCCCCTTCTAGCCTGATCCTTTGCTCCTCCCCCCCTACGCAAACGCGTGCGTCGACAGCAGACCTTTTCGCCGCTGCCCCCTCCCTCAACAAATCTGGCATCTGTGAATCATTTGTAGAGTGCAGCGAATATCCCTTTTGTGCAGACTATACAAGGATTTTCCGCCAGTGGGCGGACTTCCCTGTATTCTGCACAAGAGAAGGATTCATCAGCGAGGGAACCTCCCTATCGGCCCCGCAATGCATACTATTTTTCAAGCCCGTTCCCTGGTTTGCATTTTGTCGTGCTCCTTTTCTGCCAAACGAGGTGCGATCTGCAGCACTTGCGTTGTAGCTTCGCAGTAGTGCCATCTTGCCATAAAGTGTGCTTCTATCAGTGGTGACGGCGGCCGGAGTAACCCCTCAGAGGGAGAATGCGGCCCTGAGGCTTCTACTCAGGGGGGAATTTCCATGATTTGAAATGCCGACGCCTTTTGATTTTTTTGCGCTAGCCCGTGTACACCAGGCGCAAGCAGCAGACGCAGTGTCGATCTCTGCCGAGAAAGAAACAAGCAAAATCCAGCCCTCGCCAGAGCTAAGAACCCGCTCAGCAGCTGAGGCTGCTGCCCGCGACACAGGTCTGCCCTGTGTGCTCGCTCTGTTGCTCGCATGCGGGCGACGTTGATGCTTGTGTCACACTTTTACAGCGACGCCTTCTCTACTACGTGGCGTATCCAACAACAGCAAAGCCCAAACCCTTCACAGTTGTGTGTGCGACAGCAGCAGCATCCGCTGCCGCTTCAACTACGAGCAAGCAATGTAGCCAATAAGCTTTCCCCTTTAAGGAGGTTCCCGGCTTCTCCAGGCCCTCTGACGGCCAAGAAAGCGTGCCGTCGCCTGGAGCAGAAGCGTTTTATTTGCGCTGCTCCAGATGCAGCCCCTATATGGCTGCTGCTGTAGCCTCAAAGTGTAGCTGCTGCACCGGCAAAGGCAAGATATAAGCAGCACCTGCATGCTTGACCCGAACGGCACTGCACTGCTCTCAAAAAGCCACTGTTCGGATTTTCTGTTTTCCCTGCCTCCCCGCTCAGCAAGAGGATGATACATACGGCCTGTGTAACAACTCCTGGCGCACGGTGCCTTCCTAGAGCTAAACTGTCAGGCGCCTTTCAGAACGATAATCACGGTGACTTTGTCCATGCGCTCCAGTTGCAAATAAGAGGGAGGCCCCTTCTAGGCCGCGCTGCCCCCACTTGAGAGTCGCCGCTCCCACAGTGTCTCGCAAGGCGGTTGGGGAGGGGGGTCTGCCTCGAGAACTTTTTCTGCACTCACGGTGCCCCGCCTCCTCTCCGCGGTAAATTTCCGCGTCTGTTTGCGGCGCTTGATGCACCGTGTAAGAGGAAGTCTTCGGCGTAGCTAGGCCTAAGACAAAACGAAGGCTGCTCCTGGAGGCTTCCCCTGCTTTGAGGGACGCTTTCTCCAGCCAGCCCAATACGCCGCATCGCGCCAAGCGGGACTATCACGGGCAACACCCCTCGCCTCCTAGGAGGTGCTCCTCCGCTTCCTTCCCTTGAGGCTTTTTCTGCCGTGTTACTGGTGGAGGCAAGCGAAAAATCCTCAGCGGAGTGCCCGTCGTGCCGAGTGTGCCTCCTCCCTCTTCCCTCTACCTGCAGCAGAGACACGCCAGCAGGCGATATCATAGACGAGGGACAAGGGCTGAGCCATTTGCGGATTCGCAGGCAGCCGTAGAAAGTGGGAGGAGAGAGGGGAAGAAGGAAAAGGTTCTCGGAGGAGGTTCAAATCCGCGCAGGGTGCTTGCTGGGCGTGCTGTCTCCTCTTCCCACCTGCTGCGACATCCCTTCGGAGGCTTCGAGGGCAGCGACAGCACTTGATTCTCTTGATGCCTCCTCTGCCCCCTCCTGCCCCAGAGAAGCAGGAGCGTCGTGGCTTGCGTACAGCGCATCCACACGGCGCTGGAAGAATGAAGCCGTCCGCCTGGCTACCTACAGCAGCAGCAGACCGAAGAAAGAATACACACACCCCGGGGGAATGGTGTGCGCGAACTCAAGCCCCTGAATAGCGGCGAAAACGGTCTAGACGCAGACAACATACATAGGCTCAACATGACAATAAAATCAACAAGTGCCACTTCGGCGTAGACGCGCACCGTTGCAACACACCCTTGGCTGCTGCATCAAAGACTAGCCTTCCCCAAAACTGCTCGACCTATACGATACCCTACATGGCCACGCATGCAAATACATAGGTAGGTGTGCAGAAGCGCGCGACGTTTGCGCATGCTTTACAAGCGAAACTGGGGCAGACAGCGTGACTCAGATGCGGCTAATTTGGCAGCGGACTCCACACGCAGGCGGTGAGCATTACCTCTGTCGGGGAGGGCGTTGGCCGTTTACGCTCTACGTCTGAGCGCAAAGACACCTCAGAAGACGAAAGGCAACCACCATGCTACATGCTGGCGAGCACGAAGACTGCGCGCAGCCTGCAGCACACCCTCAATCAAGGTCCCTGAGCTCCACAAACACAGCATCAGGGGGGAACAAAGGGGGGGAGGGGGGCGATGCCTAACCAGCTGCCTCTTCCCTTCGCCTCCGCGTGTGCAGCTGAGAATCGAGATGCTCTCTACTACGCCGTCGGACTGCTGGGGGGGCCCTGTTGAGATCCCCTGCCCGCTGCATGCTTCCCGCGCGCTCCTCTTGGCGGTCTGAGTGCTCTGCCGCCTGTCTCCGGCGGGTGACGGCTGTTGCAGCACCTGTTGTTGCGGCTGGTGCCGCTTCTGCTGCTGCTGCTGCTGCTGCTGCATGCCCAGCAGCCCCTGTGCGGCTGCTACGGCGCAGAGAGGAGACGGTGCGGCCCCACGATTCCAGAACGCGGCGCACAAGCTGCAGCAGGAGCAATAAGGACAGGCCCCTCGAAACAACCGAAATAAAGGCCACGAAAAGTCACTCCTACTGCATACTAGGTCCAACTTGGGTATGCCAGTGCAGCACAGAACCAAGCGATTTCGCCACAAATGCTCACATACCCCTGCCACTCCAGGTGATGACGCGCTGCCCCCCTCTGCTGCGGCCCTGCGTATTCGTGGGGACCTCTGGTGCAAGCGTCGCCGCAGGAACTGCAGCCTTCGCTGCTGCTGCTGCTGCTGCTGCTGCTGCTGCGCCTCGATGTCGGACCCTTCGGAGGATGCCTCCCCCGAAGAGACAGTCTCTATGGACACAGCAGACTCGGAGGAGGACGGCAGATCTTTCTGAAAGACGTGGATGCAACGTTGCTGCAGCAGCAGTACAGGGCGCCACACGCAGATAGGAAAGATTTAGGAAAGCGCAGCACACGAAACGGGAAAGCCTGCAATCTCCCTGGCGTTCCCCATACAAACGTTCGGAGGATGCCCAACAGCAAAACACCGAAAGCTAGGCGCTACTTCTGACAATGACCAAGAGACGTACGACATCCAGAAGCTCCCGAGTGGTGCCATTGTATGCAGCGATGTAGGAGAACACGGCCTTGCACAGCGGGCAGGACGTCTCACGTTGAGCCCATACCTGCAAAAAAGCCAAATCAAGAACCGCCTCATGCATCGCTGCAGTGGTGGCGTTGCAACGAAGGGCCACAGCGGAGCGGCGCACTACTCCGACCCCCAAGATGCCTCAACAACCTCCGCAAGAACTGTACCTGGATGCATCTTAGGTGAAAGCAGTGGCTGCATGCGTCAATTCGCGCCAGCGGAGGGGGTGTGAACGCCTTCTTCTCGGAGACACCTTGAGCGGCAGCCTTTGCAGTTTTCTGACTTCGCGTAGCTGCACAGCCGGCCTTAAGGTCCCCCGCAAGCTCCTCTTCTCCCGCGCTCCTTGCCAGACTCACCCCCTCCTCACCGCCTCCCTTCGGCAGCAGCTCGTCTAAACAGCAGCCTGTCGCAGCAGCAAAGCAGACAGGCACGCAGAAGAAGAAAGCGCGAAGCTGAGGGAGCAGACAAAGCAACACCGGCTCACAGGGGCCTCTCCTCGACAGCACAGAGAGAAGAGGCACTCCACGCGCCTATGGACCCCCCCAATTTTGCAAGTCGCATGCTACTCGCGCCACCTCTACGACTCCGACTCCACTAAGCAAAAATGAAGCTGCCTCGGTTGGTTGCCACTGCGGCTTGCCTACCGCATTGCTGCTGCTGTAGCTCCTCATCTGTCGCAGAGAAGCCACTGAACTTGCATCGAAGGGCCTCCGCCCCTCGCAGCCGCCGCTCCCTTCGCGGCACTGTCGGGTCCAGCTGGCACGAAGCTTGATTGCTGTTTTCTGCAGCTGTTGCTGCTGCTGCGTCTGCGTCTGCTGCTGCTGCATGCACTGCTGCAGCTGCGTTCTGCCTCGACGCCCTACGCGCCGCTCGACCAGAGGAACGGGCAGCAGCAGCAGCAGCAGCAGCAGGCAAAGTTGCGGCTTCGGCTGCGGCAGCCGATGCTGTTTCTGGTGCAACTGGGACAGACACAGCCTCCCGCAAGCTGAGCAGCGGCCGTTCACTTCTCAGCACGCGCTGGCGGGGGGCAGCAGGTGCAGCTGCATCTGTTGCAGCCGCTGCTGCATTGGCAGAGGCGGCTGCAGCAGCACCCGCACGGGAGTGTCCATTCCTCGACAGCAGCGACTCCTGTTGCGGAGGTGAGGCCCTTACTGGAGCTCTCCTAAGCGGCCGCCCCCTACGCGCTGTTTTCGTAGGGCCCCTCGCACGCGCCTCCTCAGAGGTCCTGCGCCCAGGGGGCCCCCCCCCCCCCTCATTGCTGGTGACTCTGCAGCAGGATCTGGAAGGACCCCTCAGCCGCGATGGCCTCTGACCATCGGCGGCGCCTCGCTGGCTTCCAGCACCAGCGTGTCGAGACACTGCGGGCATTCTGCTGCTGCCGATGCCAGCGCTCCTGGGAAGCCGCGACTCCCCACGCGCCTCAGGCCCCTCCCGTCGGTGTCTGGACCTCCAGTGGCCTTATGAGCTCTTGCAAAGAGACCGCAGCAGTCTGGCTGTGCGTCGTATAGCCATAGAGCGACTGTAGAACGCAAGGCAGGCACGAAAAGCGAGGCTGAGCGGCGTAGCTGCCACGCCAGGAGGCTTGTGTCTTCCACAGACTTACAGCGCCTAGGGAGCTCAAACACCACCAAGGGACTCCGGGAAAAAGCCAAGCGACGGGGGACGGCACCCCAGAGTGGAGGACGGCGCAAAAGCAGACGGGGGGAAGCCACTCCGCCGAGGCAACGGGGGAGCACTCTGTGCAGCTAAAGAGTCTTCGTTTGGCGCTGCGCAACGATGAGGTGCAAAGAAAGGATAGCGGGGAGTAAACAACGGCACTAGAAGGCTGTGGCTTCCGTCGGTCATTCGGCTGCCTCTAGTGGCCGCCGTATCGCAGCCACGAAGCCGCCACACCACTACACGGAACGGGAGGCACGGATATGGAGGAAGGAGAGGAGCCACACAGTCGTGGGCTCCTACAAAAAACGCTGTAAGAAACGAATCTGGTCCAAGAAGCCAAGGGAAGCCGAGAAAATGCTTAAGCAATCCTGCTGAGGCACTACCCGAAGCCCCCGTGACAGCCAGTTGGGCCTAGACAGCACAACACGCCCACACGCCTTGCGCGTTTCTGCCCAATACACGCCCCGCTCGACAGAAACCCCGCCTTTTAGCACACTTGTGTAAAATATATGGCGGTGCAGGCTACGCAAAACAGCTGCCAGGGGTACCCCTGCAAGGATGGGGGGCCCCTGGAGGTCACTGGGGGGCCCCTGTCTTCCTTCAAAGGATAAAGGATGCGCTCAAGCCCTCTATGCGTTTGTCCCCGACAGGCACTAGCGCGCGCGAGGAGGTTTCTCAAGGGCACAGCAGTCAAGACAGGAAAGGCGACTGAACCCCGTGAGCATGCGCAACGGGCGAATCTCGGAGCCCAACTCCCACAGGCCCCAAGGTGTGCCTTTTTACTTGCTTTGTGGCCCTAGTGTGTAATACTGCACCTGAATGCTCGAACTTAGTTGCCACAGCCACAGATGTGTGCACCCTCCTGCGGTTGCAAGGGAGACTATGGGCCGAACCGCCCTGAGTGCACACACCACGCTTGCCTGAAGCACAGCACTCCTCCTCCCGCTGCTACCGCTGCTGCGATGAAGCCGTGCGCCTTCTGCTCAACAGGCGCCGCGATTCTGTAGTGCTCAACACAACGGCCTCTCGGAAATGGAGCGCCTGGCGACGTACCCCGTTGTTCACTCCAGCAGAGACGCCAGTGTGTTTAGTGCGCAGAATGGGGCACCACACTTATAGATGCGACTACTTATAAACATCTGCTAACAGCGACCCTCCCTTCTCCTGGCAACTGTGCGGAACTGTGGGGAGGTTCTGAATGCCACGAAGGCCATGTAGTTTTCCTGGGGGGCCCAGGAGGTCTGCCCTGAACTGCGCGCTGTTCTACGCTACGCTAGACGCCCATTTGACCCAGAAGGATAAAAGGCAGACCCCTCAAAATGTTATTAATAAGCCCATGAGAGAGGCCCAGAGGGAAGCAACAGAGACAGTGTGTATAGAGTGCGTCAACCGAAAAAAAAGAGCTTTATGACAGAAAAGAGGAACACGGGCGGTGAGGGGCAGGAAGAGGAAAAGGATGAGGCCCTGAGGAAGGGAGTGCAGAGACCGTTACAGCGTCGGATATTTTAATCCACACGTGTCGGGTAACGTGGGTCTATCCTTGTGTCCTCCTGTCAAAATCCTCTTTCTTTGCCTGTAAAGGACCTGTGCCCCCCACCGCATGGCCTTTTGTGCACCGCCCCTCCTAGATCTCCGTAGAGAGACCCTTCATCACTCCACTCTCGACTCAGTACAAACTCTCTAGAGAGTTGTTGAGGGTCTTTTTAAAAAGAAAGTCCCACGTGTCTAGCTCGGCAACCCACCCTCTCCCTCCATGCCTGTTCCTGTCCTCCCCGTGTTTACGCCTCCTATTCGCTCTTGGCTCTTTGTGCTGCGGCATTTTGTTCTGCTCGCTGAAGAGTAAAAAACATATGCCTCAATTCGGGGCCCAGACAGCCGGTGAGGCCCTCTCCGCACCTGAGTTCGCAAGGTAAAGGAGGGTCCGCACACACTGAGAAGCGCCAAATGGCAGCGCTGGTGCAAGGGCTGCCGACGCACATACGTCGAACCGAACTGGAGGCCCTCGAAAGGGCCCTTGCTGGTGCTTCCGTGCTGCGGCTTGCCAAATACTATGAAAGAGGAGACAGGAATGTGAAAAAACGCATGGGGAGCTTCACTACGGTGAATAGTGGGCAGAGAGAGGGAGGGGGGCTAAAAAAAGAGGGAAGAGGCGCTTCTTAGTGATGAATGAACCCCATCTCGAGCAACTCCTTGGCAGCTTGTTGCCCTTGCATCTACCGAGCTCTACTATTTGCTTCACTCTCCGGAGCTTCACCAGCGTACCGATGCTCGAAGTGAACTTCGACGGTCGCTGAGCCCCCCGCGTATTCCTCAGACGGGACTGATGCACCGTGCTGATCTCTTCGAAGGGCCTTGTGCTGCCCGCGCTGCGCATCCTCGCTGATAGGCGCCCAAGGGAGGCTATCACCACGACCTAAAGACACTCCTGTTGGATGCGTGCCTTGTTCATCTTGCCCGTCTTCCGCCTGCTTATGCTGCCTTGCATGCGTGCGGGAAGAACCAGGAGGCCCATCTTCAAGAGGCTTCTCATCGGGCGCCATACCACGTATTAGCAGCAAAGAAGCAGCTGCCACCAACACAGCTGCAGCTGCTGATCCTCGTGTCCTCCATAGCATCAGAGGAGGAAGGGGAGGCTCTCGCCTGAAAGGCTACAATGCTGACTGCTTGCGCGCAAGTCCTAACGCTTGTGCCCTATCCCACACGCTACACTCGCCTCGATACAGATTTCAGTGCTTCCAAAGATAGCAAAAGGGTCGAGACCTCTGTTCAAGCGCGTGGATTCAGTGGCGCCCTCCCCTTCCTCCACCCCCTAAAATGCCGCAGTGCAACGAAGTGGACAGAAATACAGTTGCTGCTGAGTGTTTACAGCAGCATAGAAGGCCAAGCACAAAACAGAGGGGAAAAGAACCAGATAAAAGCATGGAAGGAGGGCCATATCGCTGTGTGCCGCCTGTCGGCTGCGGCGTCCACGCAGCCCCGGCTGTATGGGCCTGTGCATGATCCGTTGGTCAGTCAGCGATACTCGTTGCCAGCTCCCACTGTTCCTTCTCTTTGCCATTTGTTGAAGGGAAATACCGTTCGTAATTAGCCAACCTACACACGTGCCCGCTTTCACCCGTGCTCATCAGGGCAGCTTATTTCTCCTGGCACTCCCCCTCGCTTTGTCTTTTGTGTGCATCTTCTGATACACATATTTCTAGGGTCAACAGATCTTACTCTTCTGAAGGCTTGGCTGTCGTTCTCAATGCCGTCAGCTACTCTTACGGGGGCTTCAGGGCCTCTGCTCTGCGCTGATCTGCCCCCCCTGGAAGTGGGCAAGGGCCGAAAAGTGCACATACAAGACCTTGTGGCTCTCTGCCGTTCAGCAGCAGTTGCCATTCTCGACGTCTACACACGACCGGAGGAGGAGTGGGAGCTAGAACACAAGGAAGGGCACGAACCCCTTACAAAAGCGGATTTAGATGCAAATGCGGTAAGGATATCTTTACTGTACTCTAGATCCTATTGTGCCCTTTGGAACCTATTTGGATGCAGAATACAATTCAGGCTCAGGACTATGTGAGGACGACTGCAGTGTGTACAGACCTTGAGTGGAGGGGTAGAGCAAAACTGCAGAAATACATAACGGAATGATGTAATGAGGCGCTGCTTAGTCTGATCTGCCTCTCTCTTCACTCCCCCTTCGTGCTAATGACCCTTTTCAGATATTGACAGACGGACTGCGCAGGCTGTGCCCGGACTGTCTGCTAGTTTCTGAGGAAAGCGCTCTAGCCTCTCATGAGGATCGGCAGGCCGCTGAATTCGTATGGCTAGTGGACCCCCTAGATGGTACAAAAGAATTCCTTAAACGCAGTGGCGAATTCACTATCAACCTGGGTCTCTGCCGATATGGCGATCCTGTTTTCGGGATTGTAGCAGTTCCAGTAGAAGACCGGATCTACTTGGGTGGAGTTGTTGTTGGGGGTGCCTGGGAGATGGAAGGCAGCAACCAAACGCTAACTCCAATGCGCTGCAGTACTTTTAAGTGGGCGGACAAGGGCCTTAGAGTCACAGCTTCATCCTCTCACAATTCACCAGGTACTCGGGCATTCGCTGCGAGGCTCAATGAGCCCAAACTCATCAGAGCCGGGTCAGTATGCATTAATGGCACTTATGCAATATAAGCAATTATGCTATAAGCTTTAGCATTCAGGTCGCATTGCGTGGTCCTTTCCCTCAGCCCTCCTCTCTCTGCGGATACCGGTCGTTTCTGCTTTCGATTTCCCCCTTTGCTCTCCTAACCCTCCATCGAGCTTGCTGTCTTCATGCATAAACCGTTCTCCTAGGTTGCACCCGGTGCCTCACTACTTCGATCTTGCTGCCTCTGCCTTCGCGTGCTCTACCTGTCTATCAAGCGTTCTGTGCCTTGCAGCCTGCCTCATATGATACCGGGCCCATGGAAGGCTGTCTTATGCATCCCCTTAAGGCCCCAGTATTGGGGCGGTGTTGGTAGTTGTTGACCTATATTAACCCCATTAAGCGGCTCATGAGAATATTCATGTCTGGGATTTTTCACTCGGCAGGATTTCATGCCAGTAGAGCGATGTTTGTCTATGAATGCAGTTCTTCGCTAAAGTTCGTCCGGCTGGCCCGGGGAGATGCTGAGGTTTACCCTCGCTTTGCTCTCTGCAGTGAATGGGATACTTGCGCACCCCACGCTTTGCTTAGGGCGGCGGGAGGAGAGATCTGGCGGTGGAGCGACGCGGCTACTGGGGGCCCCCAGGGGCCCCTCGAATACAACAAACCGTCGCTGCTCAGCCCTTTCTTTGTGGCTGTGGCTCGCCTTCAGGACGGAGAAGACACTGCGCCGCCAGCTGCTCCTTCCTCTTACCAGAAAACAATAGCCGAAACCATTGGCTGCTAAGCACTGCCTTGATCCTTTGGCGCCTTGGTTGCTTCATGGTGATCTCCTTGCGGATTAGCTTACTGCTACTTTCGAGTATCAAACCCCACCCACTAGCAGCCAGGCTGTCTTAGCGTGTAGCAAAAAATACTGGTCTGTTAACGGTATCAGGAAATTTCTTGTATGCAATGAGCCCAGAGGCCCTTATTTTCCACTATAAAGTAAATCTGATTTCCTCTTTACGCCAGATACCTGCACATAAACAACGTGTAGCTGTAACCAGAGGGCACAATCGTGTCCCTCGATACCCTACCTCATGCCTCTCTCCATCCGGCCCCGATATTCTACACTGCATGGCCACTACACGCCTCGAAAAGCCTCGCGAAACTGTACCCATAAGGCAATCGAGGCAATTTGTGCAGCAGATGAGCGAGGTGGCTTACTTCTTGAAGTCACCTGCTGCAGCAGAACCAGGCGCTGCAGTGTACGAGATCGGCTGGTCTCATGGGAGAATGGTATCATAACATGTAGGGCCCCTGGATTTGTGCTTGTGTTATGTTTCTCCACCCAGGAGGGCTCATATCAATACGTCCTTGGCTTTACACACGGTACACTGAAACAAGCCTGCGCAAGCTCCCCTTACTGAGCGGTCAAGGGAGGGTCCTCCAGCACGAGCCCTGGTGAGTGCCACTAGAATCTGGCCGTTGGTGCAGGCCCTGCTACTATGGCGCGGCTCTTTTGTCAAAGAAAAGAAGTCTGTTGTATGATGGTACTCATATAGCCAATTGTTTCCCATTAGCCTGCCAATATAAGAAATTGCATCATTCGTCCTGCGTGAAAAGCAGCGCGATATGGCAGCAGATTCAGCTTCTCATGGAGTAGACTCAAGGGGGGCATTTGGGGCGTCCACCACAAGGGGGCTGTTTGTAGCGTCCAGCAACCCTGGGATGACAAAACTAGGCGAGCACAAGCAGAGGGGGAGAGACAGTTGCAGAGCTGTCAGCCTGGGCGGGAAGCAAAATGGAGTGGAGTTGGGCCCATTACTTCAGGACAACTATCGTTCATGCGTACTAGACAGAAACAATATGCTTTCACCAGAAATTAGAGGAAACTAGCTTGGGCCTTCCCAGTCTTACGTGGGAGATGAGGAGGGAAGCAGAGAGAAACGGCTGTCAGCAAGAGAGACATTTGCGATACTTCTGTCAAGGCAAAATGCAGGACTCGCACTATTCCCTGTGCTGCCGAGCTGACCTTCCCCTTGGCTTTCGCTAACCCGTCATGCTTTGAGCATCGGACTTATATGTGCATACCATACAGCGTCATCTTATTAGACGCTATATATTGACTACTCCCTTTTGCTAGCTCGTTGGCTGACCGTGCACCTTGTTTCATCTACCCTATCCCGCTTCTCATGATGCTATTTAGTCTGCGTTGTCGTACCCTTACTCCGCGTAGCCTTGGCCCTTGAGTGTATACTCTTCCTCTACTCTTTCCTGCAGAGGAGGTGGCTTCCTCTTTGTGTCTCTATTGCTGTCGCTCTTACCGTTGCCTTTGGAGTTCTCCTTCCTTGTTTGCTGCCTCTCTTCCTCTCCTGACGCCTCCTTTAACGTGGTAGGGTTGCCCTTAGGGGTTTTATTTTGCCTGCTCACAAAGGGGCTTCCGTGACGATCTTTAGATCCTCGCATGTTCTGCTCAGGAGAAAGAGTATGCGAGTGGAACGCATCCTGTGCAGCAAAGTTGAGGAATGCGGAGTGCTTCTGCGTTTCCTGGACGCATACAGTTCGATATTTTTGAGCCAACAGCTGTGGCCGAGAATTTCAAGTATGCAGCCTCGTCTTGAGGCTTTTACCATGGGGTATAATGCAGGCGTTTATGCACTAAGCTCGAGAGTAAATGCAAGAGCATGCAGTGAGATTGTTGAGTTCCATGGATGTATTTCTCAGCTGAGCTTCTGCTGCTCGTCAGCCCCCAACCTCTCCCGCAGCACCCGTCACTGCGTTACCAATTGCTGCCACCCTTTGCCTTCTGTTGGTAATGTCTCCTCGCGGTTATGGCGAACCCAGAGACTCTCTGCTCGGACCTCCAGATCCTGCAAAGAGACCTTTCTGTGCTGCTGCACCCAGGGTGTTTTGTCGTGCACGAGAAGAGTACCGAGGCCTCTCTTGTGTACATGTTTCTGCTCTTCGGTCATCAGAGAGTAGGCTGGAGTGCACTTTTTATACTGCTGCACCTGAAAGGAGAGATGTTTGTGCATAATTATCTCCGGCAATCGTTCCCGCAGCTCAAAGAGAGCAGCGGAGAGGAGTACAGAATCCGAACAATGTGGCAGCACGCAGCTTCAAAAGTACATAATCCAATATCAGCTACATATACTTTGTCAAAGGGGGTTGCAAGCATGAAGAAAGCAAATGCAATTGGTTTCAACAAACCTATTTCAGTAGTCAGGTGTTTAATTTTCCGCTTCATCTTCGGCACTAGCCAAAGAGTCCGTCCTGTTTTCATTTACCTCTGAGTTGTCCACTGCAACAAACGTAAGAGCAGCTCGTTCACACTTCATCGCAGGTGTGCATAGCGGAGGCCTCAAGCATTCAGAGGTTTTCCAGCGAGCTGAAGCTGTGGTCCCTCGCAGTGCCTGAATACTTCAAAACAAAGCCATGCAATCCAAGACCACCAATATCGTTAGCAGCAGCGGCGGCAATGGCGAGAAGAACGGGAGGACCCCTTCTGATGGGGTAACACGGGAAGTGATTCGGCTGCTACACACATCATTGTTGCTGGCTTGTTCACGTCTATAGCCTCGCTTCTGGCTCTTCTAGGCAACACAACCAGAAGACTACTCATTTTGCAAACATGTAGAAAACGTAATTCTAGCTTCGTGCACCTGGACCTTGAGAATGCATTAAAACAACAAAAAAAATCCTCAAGAAGAAAGGTAAGAAGGAACGAACGACAGGCGGGCACTCTCAAGGCTAGCTTTTCATCACGAGGAAATATAATCGGCTAGCACTGCATTGCAGCCTTTTGTGAAGCCTCTCTCTAATGCAAGAGCCACCGCCATATTTATATATGCAAATGCGACCATTATCTTTGATACTGGGATACTGATGCTCTTTCCGGTAATGCGTGTTAAACAGCTCTGGCAGAGCTACCAGACTTGTCAAAGTGGAGATTGGCAGAGAACGTAGAGAACCAAAAATTGATGCGATAGCCACTTTGAACTCTAGTGTGTCCACCACAAATAAACTACAGCGGTATGTTTCAAATAAAGTAAAATCGTTTCACGTTTATTTTCAATATGCAAGAGTATGAGATCATTGGTCAAGGTGTTTGCTTATTGGGATTTTGCATTTACGTTTAGAAGCACTTCATTTGCAGTGTAGACATAGGTCAGTGGTGGCCCTATGTTTGGTAGTGGTTCTATGGCTCAGATATAACCTACAAAACTATCTTACAGAATTGCTGGCAAACAACCTTTGCTTGGAATTTCGCAAGTAAAATTCGGCGGCCGCTGCGCCTATCTTTAGCTCGTTGTTAAGATGCTGTAGTTCACGAAGCTGCACCTCAGCGATTGCTGCCGTTTGTATTTCAACAATCTGTAGTTCGTTATTATCCGTCTGATCTGAATGTTTCTTATATCGTATTTGAAACAGAGGATAGCGTAACGACAGTCAATCCATCGCTGAATCAGATATAGCCACTGTATATGGTACAAAATTGGCCTTTTGCTGAAGCACACTAAATCACTTTTCACTGTATGAGAATAGCCATCCATGCACTATGCTTGCTGCAGCGTAATCTTAATCCTGTCCACTACGCTGCTATGTGCAGCTGGGTGCGAGCGCTCAGGATGCTTGGAGGGCGCAACTTTTTCCACTTCTGCCGCTCCGTCTTTAATTAAGGCAACAGCCCTGGGTGGCTAAGTCAAAGAAAAGGAGAACGATCCTTTGGGAAGCAGCACTTTAGAGCTATCTCTTCAGCTATAGCAGGGCATTAGTGAGGCGAGCTAGGCTACACTGGAACACTTTCTACTAAGATGGATATGTATAACTAGAAATAAGTAAAGAATTTTAAAATTGGTCTGTTCGTTTATTAATCTATTTTGGCAGAGTACAGTTGGATCGAACCACGAAGAAACAGTATTGTGAATATGCTCGGAGTGGTAAAAGAGTGTAGCAAGGCGCACCCTTACTGTCAATCCTTCATTACAGCGTTACGCTGAGCGACGCCGACGAGTAAGTAAATGTTCTTTCGCAGAACACTTTAAAACTTTCTAGAGTTTTCATTGACTCCAAAGTGAAGTGGCTATCTTCAAAGGCCTTTAAAGATAAGTTACAGTTGGGGTTATGGCCATTGGAGCGGTGCCATAGTCGGTGAATGCCCAGCGCACAGCGGATGGAAAGGAAAGAGAAACATTGAGCACCATCAACAAGAATCATCAAAGCATGGCCCCAAGAAAAGCCACTTGAAGTTCCTGTGTGATTTGTGTGGGCCCTCATAGCCAAAACGAACATTGGTCAAAAGCTCGATGCGGAGCGATTCTAGACCGTAAAGAATTCAAGCCTACTGCCAACCCGGAATTTCGCACTGTTTGACTGTAAAACGTGACTGAATTTCGGGAGCTGCGCGGGATATCACATAAAATAGGAACCGTGGGGCATACCATCTACAACCCTCTCTACACCTCCAGTCAACAAAAAGACTCGTATGCAGAAGTTACTGCCTCATATAGAATGTATCTGCTCTCTTCACACAGCACAAAAATCGTTCAACAACCTACATAGGGAGAGCAGTGCCACAATGTTACAAGTTCTTAGCTTGTTTAAATGCGTTTGTGAGCCCTTCTGCAGGCTGCCCTTATCGCTAGGCATGCATTTCCCTCTTTAGAAACACTCTGACCGGATATTCGTCTCTGTACCAAGTGATAGCGGTACTTCAAGAAATGTTGTGCAGTGCACCTTCGAGTGTTGCCTGAATTGCACGCAGGTAAATTACTCGCAAGATCCATTTCTGTTACAGTCGGAATACATGCTTCCAACGGCGAACAATCATGAATTTATAGTCTAATGGTCAACCCTGTCATTAAAATTTATGCGCTGGTTGTTAGCGTCTTCTTGCGGAGAGCACGGGAGATCTGAGAACATGAGGGGGTCCTGGGTGAAAACACATCTATATTCGTGAGAATTCTACCAAGAAAGAGCTATAATGATAATGTTGATTCTTAAAGAAAAATAATTGTTAACCAGGGGCTACGCACAATCGAGCAACCGTTCTTGCATGCGCGCTTCAGCCCCAGGCGATGCATGGTGCTACAAGCAATTAAGCTTCAAATTAGAGATTCTGGAGCGTCGCCACACCCAGGAAGGCTTCAGATTGGTAATAATTAGTCAAGGTCTATCATCTTAACACCCAAGAAGACGCACTGGAACGGACGGATAGACCTGTAGCCTCCTTGTCATGGCAGGGCCCCCAAGTGCCCCTCTCCGTTATCATAGTTTCCAGCTTCGCCCCGGAAATGAGTACCGTGCACACAGCAAATCCAGAACCTCCCTCTGCACCCAGGGGAAATGACGCTTCAATAACCATGTACCCCTCCTCTCGTCAGCTTCACCCTCCGTCCGCAAACGCGCCCTCTCCCCCATCTCATCCTTTGTCTCATTTATGTGAACCAGCTTCCTCGATCTCCCCTAGTTCAAATGCCAATCAGGGCGAAAGTGATCCAGCAGCCCTTGCCTTGCTCCCAGGCATGCTCCTTGGTGTAGAGGGGAAGCTAAGGAAGGCTATCTCCATGATAACCGATACTTTAGGACCCGTGACTCTCCCATGCCTCTTTGTGGGCGGGGGTGTCCTGGGAGCCGCCGTAGCAACAGCCTCATTTAGAACTCGCATGCGCAAATTGGGGGCTGCCGTACCAACGACCGCCCGGGCAACTGGTGTAAAAACGCTTCCTGCCGGAGGCGCAGCCGGCCACAGGGCCCCTCTAAAAGGCAACACTGCACAGCAGACAGCGGCGACATCTTCTCCTGCGGCCACAGGAGAACCGCAGCTTCAAGCCTCCTCCATCCTTGCCGCCGAACTGGCCAGACACAGAAAAAGAAAATCCTGGGAGCTCGACGATGAAGACGAAGAGGACTGGGAGAACCCCAGAGCTGGAGAACAGCGCCAGACGCTCCGTTCCGCGGCAGATCTGTTCACCGCTAGAGAACTCGCAACCCTCTTTCTGTTGCCGGCATGCTTCATTGGCTCCGTCCTTGGGGGCGGCTGGATCTTCTTCAAATATCAATGCGGTATTCACGATGTAAGTCTGACCTAGCCTCTGCCTGCTGCAGATAAAAGGTTTCAGCTCGTTTTTGGTGGGGTCTATAAGGCAGTGACTTTTAGATTCGACCCCTGAAAGCACGGCAGAAGCTCATTCAGGAACGGGCAAGGCCAGCCTCTATGCAGACTGCTTCTGCTTACTCCTCTACAGGCCTTCGTAAGTACATCGCAACTCATGGAAGCGGCGAATGCAGTGTGCGTTCTGTCTGTCTTGTGTTGTCGCAACTGCAGGCGCAGCATTTCATGCTTCTGATGAAATGGCTCTCCGGCAAGGGCCCATACCCGGACGCCGCGGGGCCCCACGCTGCTGGGCCTGCCACTTTGCAGCCCGATAGCCATTCACGACAGTAGCAGCAGTGAGTCTACTGGTTCGGGTTGAAAATGCATATAGCACAAAGTCACTACAGATTTTTTCGCATGCGAGAAGTACCCGACGGGGCACCGGACGAAGAGGCAAACAACGACTAGAGGACAAAAGAAACGGTCCATCTTATCGGATGCAAAGAACAGCATTCGCGGAGCACCAAAGCGCAGACAACACCCTCCAATGCCCGCGCGACTTGAGTACCCCTCAGCCAGTCCACAGGCTTACAGAGCCAGCTGCAGCGGCCACTGCTGGTGGTACTAGTGCGGACAAGCACTGTGCTGTGGGGTCTAGGCTATGCAACAGGTGCAACACTACGGTTCTGCCCGTCCTAGCGTGCTGGTAGTGCTGGCTGCAGGCGCCTCTTCATTATTATGTTCCTTAGTAGTGATATCGTTCGCTTCCAGATCCTGACTCTTCACATTGTCTTCCTTTTCCTTCTCCGCGGCCCCTTCCGTGGCTGCCGCTGCTTCTGCTGCAGCGGCCCGCCTCTTCTGCAGCTGCTGCTGTGCTGCTTCATATGCGGCAGCAGCAGCGTCGTACCGCTGCTGCATAAAGGCCTCATAGGCCTCGGGCTTTACGGGTGGGTTCCGCGACACCTCAGCCATGCACTTGGACAGCGAAAAGTCCTGAAACATGTGTGCGCAGATAGCGATAGCGCTGCCATAAGCTCAATAAGTAGGCATTCGGACAAGAACACACAAAAAGCTAGAGCCACATGACTAATAAAAAAGCTACGTACTGCCCTTCCAATACTTCACACTTCTCAGTGGTTCCATGTAATCCACTCCACCATCTGGGAGCCAAACAGCCATAACCGTTCATGCACCGTCTCTGCATACCTCGGAATCTTCTTCCTGTGTTTTGTTGTTCTTCCGCAGCACGAAGAAGCACTTGACCTTCTCTCCGGCCTTATTGGTTTTTTCATGAAAGTCAACTTTGACACCGCACGGGGTTTTATCGGCTCCCCCCTTCTTCACGTACGCGTTTGGGTGGTACTCGAGCAACGCCAACACAGCCTTTTCGGCAACTGAGTCCGGCTTGAGGGTCTTCCCCGCCTCAGTCTTGTCTAGCAAGTCGTTCATGCATTTATGTAGATGATCTACGCTATTAAACGGCGTACCCGCCACTAGAAGAGGCAGCCCTGCCAGCTGACGACGAAACTGCTGCAGTTCCTTCTCCCGACTCATGCGCACACGCGGTGGCAGCTAAAGGCAAGCACGACAAACAACCGCTCATACGGAGAAGGAAAATAATAGCGAAACCCTCACACACTAAGCCACACTCGCATCGTATCTCAATCTCTAGTAGAGGTGATATTCAGGGGGTCATATTCCAAAACGATTCTGCTGCCCTAAGCCTCGAGTCCTGACTAAGAAATAACAACCGAATGGCGAGGTTAGAAGGAAAGCGCACAAGGAGAACAGAGGCAGTAAATAAGTACGTGGGGAGTCGAATAATGAAGCACCTTACATCAGAATTGCAGCAGGCTCGAACACTGCTTGGGCTCATGAGGGAAAGCAAAGCCTCGCTTCCCTCCACTTGCAGCTTCAATGGCTCCTTAAGAAGCTCGCGGTCTCCCTTAAAGCTACCAAGCCAAACGGCGCACTGCCGTTTGTTGTCAACGCGAGACACGTAACGGATCTGTACCTGAAACACACGCCATCAGTTCAGACGACGAAAAAAGCCTCTGTACATACAAGAAGGCCCAATTCCATAATTCGACACCCGCACGCACCCCACGCCTTTGCACCATTAGCCAAACGCGTTACAAAGGGTCGTACCTTCTCTGGAAGATGTTCTCTGATGGCATCCTTAATTGACTGCCACTTGGGTGCTTCAGCTGGTAAGTTGCTGAGCCGCGCGAGGCACCTGGTGAAGCACGGTAAAAAGATGTCCAACGGCTGGAGTGAGCCCTAGCGAACGCAGACTTTGCGTGTGCGTCAGATCTGTGAGCCGTATGAACAACTGCAAAGCTTAACTCACCCAACAGCATGTGGATCTCTACCAAGAGTATTGTCATCCCTTCTCTTCTCGGCCTTCTTCTCCTTCCTACGAAGAATGGGAAGGGGTCCCTTGCGAACAATCCATGCGTTTCCCGCTTCATCAGTGCTTACGGTGACTTCTGTGCTGCCTTTTAAGGCCTCCAACACCTCGGTCGCTGTTGCCTTCAAGGCCTGGATGCGAGGACTGCTAAGCACAAAGCTTATGTTCAGAGCCACCTAATGAACAGGACACGACGAATACGGAGAGGGACATGGGGAATCAGTTTGGGGCCGACAGCTGTGCCTACATTCACACAACACAGGGCAAGACGAAGCTCGAAACATGGCCTCTCGACTGACTCCTTTGCCTTCTTTCTCAGCTTCCTGGATCTTCCCATGGAAAAAGGCATCGGTTGAAAGGTTCTGGTCAGACAGATAGTACTCCACTTGTCGCTTTAAAGCGGCCTCCAGTTCCTCTTTGCTCATTTCTCCTCTTGCCTTCGGTGCCTCAAGAGTAGAGGCGCCTGGGCCTGTGCGCTGACGCTTGTTGGGGCGGCCCTTCTCCGTCTTCTCGGCACTCCCCGCGCCTTCTCCATCGCCTTCCTGTTTAGGGAGCGTCCTCTTTCCAGCCTCATCATCCGCATGGGTTCCTTGCTGCTCGTGGACCGTTGAAGCAGTGACAGCTGCTGCTGCAGGAGCACTGCTGCCTTCTTCAGCAGCCATTTTGAAAGAAGTGAAACCAAAAGCAAAACGCAAACGTGGGTAAATGGAAGAAAAACTATTCCCACGGATTCGCGAGTGATGTTTCCTAGAGTGCTGCAAGGCGAGGCCCCATGCTGTGGGGCAGTGAAATAAGGCCGTCGACGAAGAGACGGTAGCCTCGAGGCTTCACAAGGGGCCTCCTCCTCTCTTCCCTACATTGCGCATCAGGTTCTGTCTGCAAAGCAAATGTTTGAGCCGTCTTTTTGGCTGGACACTGCTGAAGCCGCAGCTTGTCAAGAGCCCAACACTTTTGAACCGCCAACGGGTGCATGGACATGACTCGTTGTAGCGACCGAGACCAAACGAACTGCTGCATTGAATGCTTTTGCCTTTAGGCACCTGTAACGGTTTGCTAAGCGAGCGCAGCTGCTCCCTGTATGTGTTCAGATCTGCCTCATGCAAGGAGTACGTACTTACCAGGTGGCCTCCGCAGCATCGCGTAGGTCCCCGTGCAACTTCGCTTTCTGCCCCTGTAAAACGCTTAGCTTGCTCTCCCTGGGCGTTTTAAATTGCACTGTCAGTTAGAGGGGTTTGATAAGTCTTAACGCCGATTGTATTACTTGTAACACTTATTCTGGGCCCTGCAGAGCACCAGTTCGGCTATCATGTAGGGCGCCGTGTCTTGGAGCACGTGTACAACTTCCGCTAAGACAGAGCCTATAAATGCCGATTAAGTGGCCACCAAAGGGTCCGCGAGGTATTGTATCAGGCCATTTTTATTGGTTGTGGTGCGGGGTTAGGTGTCAGGGGTATCAAGAGCGTACTCAATAAAACAGGACCGTAAAAGGATATCCAGTGGTTCCTTGTGAAAGGCAGGGAGACCTTCGCTAAGAGCACACAGGTCTTGGACGTATGAGGATGGGTGGCCGTGCTCTAATGTCTAGTCTTAGAGACGTAAATTGTACGTGAAGGTACAAGGGTTTGTGCTCATGGGATATCTCCTAGCAGAGTTGGCCGGCTTTAAAGGGGCACAAGCTTATTGCTCATGCCCCTGTGTTCATGGCTTAACGACTAAAACCTAGACATCTTGAAGATACGGCGGCAAGCACACACTGTAGCGGGCCGAAAGCTACATTTCGGGCAATTTCTCCTGCGCGAGTCAAATTTGATGAACAATTAGCACAGAACTGGCTCTTTGAGTTTATTGCCTGTATGCCATATTGGTTGGAATGTGCAAGTAGCTTAATGCGGTAGAATACAATATGGTTTGCCTAAGTGATCTTGCGTGGAAGTAACTGTGAATGCCCAATGGATTAGAGGCTATAGCAACGTGCACACTAGCTGCCCATTCTACAACCTCCCAAGATCCTGAGAGAAGGGAGCAGAAAGAGCTAGCTTGTTTTGGAGGATACCTTTTTGCTTTGTATCAAGCTTTATATTGCGTTTGGAGGCAAGTGGTTCCTGTGGCAACTACGAGTAGAGCATCACACCCAGTCTGCATGTTTCATTGAAAAATGCACTTGTGACCGCTACGCTAGCACACGAAGTTCCTCAGTCTAGTTACAATTTTTTCCTTTCGTCTATATAGAGCAGTATAGATCTCAAGGCGGAACTTTGCAGGGCCACCAGGATAGTGAGCTAGAATCATGCGTGGCATGAATGCCGAATGATCATATTGAGAGAAAATGCAACGAACGGTAGTCGCTGCTACTCTCTGCGTACAAAAAGCCTCCCTACAGGCGATAACGCCCCAAGCACGTGTCAAACATGTCTACTTAGCAGGGTGGATCCTCGTCTGGACCCCTCAAATCAGGCAACATACCTTACTTACCAGTACTAGCAAGGTGCACACTAATCATATTAATAATAATGTAATTGACTTTATAGTAAGGCGTTGCAGTCGGAACCTGCTATTTAATAATATTTCTCTCGATACAAAACGCATTCATGAATGAAATTGCAGTAGTTTTGTGTAGAGTTACTCTAGCATAATTTGTAATATTAGATTTAGTGATGGTTTTACCCTAAGATGCTCTAATTTTCGTGTATTCTTAGTAAGAGCAAAAATGAAGTGCTATTAATTCATAAATATCAAACTTTAACGAAAAGAGAAAAAAAATTTATAGCCTGATCACTGTGTTCACGCTGTTAGCCCAACGTACGTCCCGTTCACTGACTCGTGTTTATTTTGATGTAGCGAAATTTATTTGAGAACTGGAATAAGAGTAGAAAGCTACATCCTTTTCCATATGTACGTGCTATTCTTAAGGGTGAAGAAACTTGACCCGTCGAAGCTTTTGAGCCCTACGAGTCTCATGTCAATGCATCCCTGTTTAGAAAAATGATATTTTCAAAACTCCAGAGGTAGGACGAAGCTTCAAGTAGGGTCCGTGGTATTCCCTGACGGCTTCTACCCCTGTCGCGCTAAGATATATAATGTTCATGCTTGCGTTCATAAGGTGATGCTGACCACAAAAATTTGGATGGCCATAAGGATAAGCATCGAGGCTGCCATCAGCCGGATGGAGAAGCAACCCGATTGGTGGGCTGCAGATGAAGAGAAGCACCCTAATGGTGGCTCACATTTGTGTAGAGAAAGTCACCTGCCCGCAGAACTAACTACCTTTCAAGCTTTCATTCTAACAACAAGGCCTGGTACACGATTTCTGTTTGATTTCAATTAGTGTAGTATAGAAGTGTTCAGTGTACCTGAGACTGATATACATGTGGAAATATGGGACAAGGTCAGCAAATCCTTTTTAGGCAACTTGCAGGATTCTTCAATTTATTCGATCAACTACATACCGGCAAGTAAACATTATCTGCTATGTGTTAAATCTCATTTCGGCAAGCCATGTAGGCTCATAAGGAGGCCGCCCAAACCAGGCAATCGCTGGATGCATAACTTCAACGTACGTGGAGGAGTAGTCTTTCAGAGAGAAAGCAAGAAGTATGCTTCTGATAAGGTAGGGGTCACGTCCACTGATTTGGGCATATGTCTATCTCAAGAACCTTCCTACATAGTGTAAGAAACAAGTGACGGGGCCGAAGCTGGATGGAAAGTAGCTTGGAAGTGGTTTGGGTACGTGCATGACACAGCCTGCGCAGACACCGAACCGTTACAAGCATTCGGTGAAATGCCAATAGGTGTTTCGCTCGACTTCAGTAGTAATATTTATATCCCTTACCTGTATAAAAGTTCCCGGCGGCCTGTTGTGAAGGAGGAAAGGGTTGACAGTCTTTCCGCCTGCTTTGTCAGCAGAGCACTACAGAGAGCTGCATGCGCACCCCAGCCAATAAGGCCACGTACTACATTCCTGCTGCGTACCTGCACGCGTGCTCCATATTGGCTATCATGCGCTGGAGCACTTCAAAAAACGCGGCATCTTATGGTGAAGTTCACCTTAAGAACTCTAATTAAGTTTATGGTGTGAACTTGGGCTAGTGCTCTTTTTATGTAAATCCTTGAAGCAACGCCATGCAGCTGGGTAGTTGCCATTGGACTCGATCTTTCTAGTGAATGCCAGCTTCACAGAACTACCTTCCTTGCTCCTTGGCTTCACCACACAGCATTCCGGAATTAGGCCACAAAGGGCAGCGGCGCGGATTTTGCCGAGCCATCTGAGCACTCCAAGCATCTGTACCCAGTAACCTGATGTACATGCGCACAACGTTCATCCTTCTTACAGAGGGTCTAATCTAATCATTGGAATCGGATAGACCAACGGCGAGGTCAGTCAGTCGCTTCTTTTTGATGCGAATCGCAGGAGTACCGCACTATTAGAATTTTTGCCATGCGGCTGTATAGCGCGCTAGGCTGTACTCCCGGAGCAAAGGTAGCTAGTTTGTGGGGAAGGCCCCTTAGTTGAGAATTTAGGAAAAGGTGTGCCACATGGGCAATACCTGACAAGCGAAAATGGACAACGCCGAACTTCATTTTTTTCGGGTGTTGAAAAGAGGATAATAACCATGAAGGAAAGCTAGTATGGGATGTGACTAAGTGGGCAAGCCCTATGAAGAGGCTGACCCAAGTGGCGCAACGAAACGATGATCTGAGCGAATGAGTGAAATTACGAGGTGCAGGAGCCTCTTCCTAGGCCACAGGGCCAGGGCGCCGATACTCCTGAGACAGAGGAATACTACAGCTCCGTGGCGCATGACGATCTATCGCATGCACCAGTTTAGTTGTTCACTACTTTGACAACTTCAAAAATCTTGTGCCTTTCCTACACACTAACTGTTGTGGGCTAAAGGCTACAGTCAGGCACTTTCTACTACACTGTTATACTTAGTCAAGAATTAGTAAAGGATCGACGAATAATTGGTTTGAGTGTCCGTACAACTTTTTGCTGCAGAGTCTAGTTAGTTTGCCTAAACGATGAGAAACAGTGAATAAAGCCCTTTGTTCTAGATGCTATTTCTAAGTATCGGCGAATGCCCAGAGTGTAAAGAGCATACAGAAAAAAGCATCCCAGCTCTTCGGCTGTCTCCCCTCAAGCCAGAGCCCTGAAGGGTGAGGGCGGCAGGTACAGGAAGTCACTTCGTGATGGTTTCAATAAGTTGGAGATTTGGGAGGCAAGCAGTTCCTTATGAAGTGCAGCGTTGCATCCACGATCTTGGATCATCCTATTAACTATCCTTCCACTTGAATGCCACAGGCATACCCTTCTAGTTATAAATCCAATGCATAACTTCAGGCTTTCCACATCGCCTCTACTTAAACGCATTCTACTATGCTGGATACGTTCAAATAAGAACAAACCAATCGGTGTGTCTTTTCCTGTATCTTGCTTATTAAAAAGATATGCATGCTCTGTACAAGAAAAAGTGTGTTTGTGCTCGGCGCTATGTGAAATTAGCTGTGAACGCTCTGATTGCTCAGAGGATGCAGCGACGCACATCCTAGCTTTCCAGCTCCCCAAGTGTCGGAAACCCCAGGGGACACGGAAGGGAGACCGCGGGAATCACGTTGAGAAGTCCTTAAATAGGTTTTTGTGAAGTTTTCATTAAATTTCAAGTGTGTCTGGTCTGTGTCCTTTCAGGCCCCCATTGGCCGTCCGAATCCCCCAATGTTCCGGCTCTAAGGGAGAGAGGCAGTTTAAATGCGCGTTTCCGCACGCCCTGTTAGCACTTTGAGCATCGTCCTCACTGAGTTTCTCTGCGGCTTCGTGCACAAGCACGCAGTGTGTACCGTCCACTGGTCTTAAGTAAACTAGCCCTACTTTCCAAGGCTGGAAGAGTTATTTACAAATTGACTAAAAGGTTTAATTACTTGTGTTGGCCCGTCAAATATTGTTATCCGGGCAGAAGAATGCACCGCAGCTTCGCTTCTTACACTCCAGACTAGAAGGAAGGGGAGCCTAGCCCCGCGGATCTGCGGAGGACGCAGCTAGAGAGGGCGCTGCCGTTGCAGCACTCCACTGGTTACGGGAATATGCAATGGTATACCCGCGGAAGTACTTTTTAGGGTGCTTTCCCAAGCAAGCAGTGCACAAAAGGTCTCCCAAGCCTCAAGAACCCGCTTTCACCCCATGTAGTATTCGCCCCCTTGAAACACTCCTTCTGACAGCTAAAATTTAAAATAAGGTATGGCACTCCTATATAAAGGAAGGAGTGGCCGCTGCACTTGGGGCTGGGAGAGGAGAATTTCAGCTCCGAAACTAAGGCTCACTGGATCGTACACTAAGCAGTCAGTGTATTGCCCTTTTTGTACTTTTATGATATACAAATGAAATGTCAAATTTCATATATAGAAGGCGCCAGATGTATTGGGCTCGTTCCTAAATTTGTTCATTTCTTGGATTTCTTTTAGTACGCGGAGCCCTCGCGGCTTCGGGGAAGGCACAACAGGGACTGGCTAGAATTGTGCTAAACTGCGAACAAGCTCCACCTAGAGTTGTTTCTCGCCTTTAGCGCCATCGTTTTACTGCCCTCTGGCTGGTATTTCGCCTTATGGTTCCTTGCTCCCGTGTTCTCTCCGCAAATAATCTCGTTGTACGGCATCGCTCGCCCCCCCGTGTGGCTGGCCTGTAGGTACAGCTAGCGCAGCTGGGTGGTTCCAGCTGTTTGGTTCTGGGATTCATATCTGTGTATTGCATAAAGGAAAGACCACAGCGCAATGTGTTATGGGGAGGGGGCTTAGCAGTTGGCAGCTCTCCCCCCCCTCCCCCCCTGTTGCCAGCTCCAGGGAGTATTTTTGAATGCCTTGTACTCTATTAAAAGGCGATCCTGTGCTTCGATGCCTCCGTAGTTTTCTTCCCTCCGCTGATTGCTCGATCTGCATTTTGCTGTATTGCACGCTGGTGACCTGTGCCTTGAATCCCCGGAGTCCAGATGTGGCTCTCCAGGCACCAAGCAGCGGTATTCTGCGTCACACTTTGCTACAGACCTCTCCTGGGTGTGAGCTCTCAAGAGGCTCCGCCTAGTAATGTAGTACATGGCTCCGATAAGCCACTGGGGCAGGAAGTTGAGGCACCCGCCACCAAGTTGCCGCAGCCATCGCCCATCAGTCTGCCCCTAGAAGCTGCCCCCGTGGATCGGAAGCAGCTGTCTGATGGCTGCAGGAGTCCGTGGTCAGAGGGTCCAGATGAAAAAACAGGAGCTGTGGACAAACTGCCAGAGGCACTTGTTCCGGGTCCCAGGCTGCGCAGGCTAAAAGCCAGGACAAGGATGAAATGAAACATGCCTCGTATGATTCGCCCCGAATGGGGAAGTTTGCTAGGGTAAGCCAAGGTGTACCTTGCGTCCATCGCGTAGAAGGGGCTCTTCCCATTTGCAATTCTGGGGCCAGAAGAGCCACACGGCAGTCAAAGTGCTCCTTGGCGTATAGCTCTACTTGTCTTGTCTTTTTATGATTGTGCAGGGATTCCTCTGTGTAACCCGCCCGTGCAACGTGTCCCTTGCGACTCTTGCGTGCTTGCAGGGCTCTTGGCTCTGCTGTGGCTGGCCTTGCTCTTTGGCGAAAGACGAGCGAGCTCTACCACAGCCCCCGTCAGGCGCTGCGGAAGGCGAAAGTGCGGCTTTTAGGTGAGAACAGGCACAGAAATGAACCTTTGACATGGTAGATGCTGCTGCCAAAAGATTCAGGCCCACCCCAGCTGCGTTGGCACATGCGACTTCCTTCGCCTCCGTTGCACGAGGGCAAAAACCAATCAGACAACACGGCCAGATTACTTACGAAGATGGGCCCTGGGGGAGTTCTCTTCACAGCTGGGAGGGGCAGAACACCGTAGCGAGGTACACGAATGACAATGCCTTCTTGGATGAGCTTAATCCTGCAAGCACGCGTGTGAGTGTGCATACGTGTCCGTGTGCATGTTTATGTGTGTGTTATATTGTTGTTTCCTTCTTGGCCTCTCGCGTTTCCGGTGATGTTCATGCCAGACGCCGCCGTCTTGGGACAAATATGTGCGGGATTTGCCGGCCTTAGACGAGGCAGAGTTCCCTGAGATACAACCATTGCTTAGGCGGCTCAAAAAGAAGCCCGTTTCGCTGTTGTCGATCCCAGGTCCCTCCGCGCGTCTGGCCGCCTTCCTGGGGCTATCGGACGCACAGAAGGCTGAGGGCATAGTTGTAAAAGGGAAAGTCCACTGCGGGTTGTAGCCCGAAGGAGGTGGCCTCGGAGATGTTTGCACACGAAAAGCTGGCGAGGGGACTTCCCCTCGCTCTGCCCTCTTTGGGGGCGTACGGGGATTTCGACTCTAGTACCCCTTATCTCATAACCCCGCGAGGGAGAGCCGACGTTGCTCTCTACACTCGGAGGATGCTAGAAAAGGTAAACGAGCAATCGGCATTTGCGTAGATGATCTACGGCCTCTGGGGTATGCACAAGAGGGGCTGAGTTCACAGGGATATTAAGGGCTGCAACTTTTTCGTCAGTCAGGACGGACATGCCCTTCTAGCAGACTTTGAGGGATTTTGGCGCAACGGAGTGCCTGCAACAATGTACGGCGACGAGGTTGAGATCATCTTCACGCAGCACTACATCACACCAGAGCTTACGTTTGATGGTGAATACCAGGTGTTCGATTACAAGACGGACGTCTATGCTCTAGGCGTCACCTTTAAAGAGATGCTGGAGTGGACATCCGACTTGCCCCTTCCCCGCAGGGAGGAAGCGGAAGATCTTGTCAGGCACATGCTGGAGCCAGATGCTGAAAAGCGCTACGATCTGAAGCAGTGCGCGGACGACCCTTAACTCAGTAACCTGGACTTCGCCCAGGTAGAGCAGCGTAAATTCAGCAAAGCTTTTGAAGGCAACTACATAACCCCCTACAAGCTCTTATAGAGGCTAAACATGCTCTTAGGAGGACAAGGGGGAGGGTAAGGCGAAGGGAAAGGCGGAGGGCCCGATGCGGGGGATTGGCCGCAACCGGAGTAGGATGCCAACGAGGACGGCGTTAGGGGGAGGTGAGGGGGAGGTTTCCAGCTGCCCCCATATCTACATATGGCGATCTCTCCCCCTTCGGCTCCCTCGTCTTCTTAGTAAATGCGCACAACTGGTGCCGAACGCCTTCCGCTTATATGTGCTTGCTCCTTCGCTCCCGTCATCGCAGCCGGAAGGAACTAAACGGAACGAGATGGAAAGCCAGCGTAGGAAGGCATATGGACACATCGATGTTCATTGCCTTTACCAATGTATATATACACGTGCGTACAGGACACAGCAGGGGTTCAGAGGGAGGCAGGCCGTAAGGGGGCAGGAATAGTTCTCCTCCCCTCTAGTGTCGGGGGCTTGTTCCTCGTTTGGAGGAGCTGTACTATATCTAATGCTCCAAATGCACTTTCTCGATGTCCCTTGTTGTCCTCGTGACACTGCCATCTGACGCAGCGGCAGATTGCGTTAGAGCATCCGGAGGAGAACGGGAAAGCAGACCCGTCTGCTCACCAGCGTTCATGAGGGGCCGAGGCAGAAATGCCTCGAGGACGCGCACCAATTCTGAGGGGCTGCATTATCTACTGCAGACTCTTGAAGCCGCCCCACAAGGCATTGTAGAGGCCGTGGCGACTCCGTTCAGAGCCCGGGCCGGCGAGGCCCCTCCATTACTATTTGGTGGAATCATGCTCCGAGCTAACTACACGTATGCTACGCAGCAGCTGTACTGGCCTTCCTTCGTGCCAGGTATCGTTTAGTTGCCGAAACAATGTACCAGCCTAGTCGCGGGTTCTCAGGTTCTCAGTGTAGACAGCTGAAACAAGTAGGCAAGCGCTTCAGCTGCGTTCAGACGTGAGCGGCCCCCGTAACTACATGGCGCAACCCCCCGTCCAGCGCTTTGTATGGGTGTGAATTTACCTGAGCTAGCGGCAAGGGTAGCGAGGACCTTCCGCATTCTGCAGAGAAGTCCCTGTTTTACCGCGCTTGCGGTTGCCCTTGGTAGGAGGTACAGACATTTCAAAGGCAGTAGCAATACTTTAGGAACGGCAGCTGGGGCTACGTAGCCTTATCAAGCGAAATCAAAGTGAGCCACCTTCAGCTGCAGCAGCAATTGCGGCCTAAGCACGGCGCGAACGGTGCGCTGCTGTTGCTTCCCTTGCTAGAGCACTGGAGGCGCTCCTGTGGCGACTTCCGCATCGTAAAGAACGCCTTGGTGACTGTTGCGTTTCCTGCTGCTGCTCTTGCTTGCCTCCTTCTTGGTGCAGCAAATGTTGCAGCAAGTGCTGCAGCAGAACCGCTACGACTTCGACATTAACGGAGTTTCCAACGAGGGCTGCCCGCTTCCTGAAGGAAAGCACTTTGGGGAACCCGAAGGTCTCTGGGAAACCGTGCAGGCGCAGCAGTTCGCGGCTAGAAAAGAATCGCACGGAGTCTTCAGGGAGCAGCCGGCGGAAACGGGTTGAATTTGGAGTGGATGCGGATAAATCTGTTGCCACTGCTTCTCCCGTGGGTGGTGTTGATGCTGCTGCTGCTGCAACTGAGGAGGCTGCAGTGGTGGGTGCTGCTGGCGTTGACATTTCCGCTGCTGCGGCGTCTGCATCTGCAGACTGCTGAAGGTGACTCCGAATAAGAAGTAGAGGCCCCCCCCTATGGAGGTTTTGCCCGTAGCCTTTTGTAAACGTCCCGCACACAGTGCAGCTGGGAGTGACTAGCTCCAGTCGAAATCCATTGCGTCCCTGGTCCTGCTCTTCTCCATTTCTCGCTTCCGTTTGAGCCTCTCGCTTCGCCTGAAAAGATTTGTCTGCTGCGTCTGAATACGCCTTCCTGTCGACAGCGTTCTCGACTTTCTGGGGACCCCCCTTGCCGTCGTCTTTTCCCGCGTTTTCCTGTCGTGCTGCTTCTGTCCCCGAACTCTCTTCTCCGTCCGTCGGTTCCCTGAACCTTGCAAGTCTCCAGGGAGGCACTTCAAGTTGCGGTTTCTCGTCTTCTGGGATATCTTCCTCGAGGAACTCTTTGATGGGGAGCGCTAAAGAAGAGCGAGGGGCCCCGTTTGCTATGGGCGGCACTTCCAGACTTACGAAAGGCAAGGCCCCTACCGGTCCAAAATCAGCAGTATACTCAGTTGCTAAAGGCCCTTCGCGCTGTCTCCACTCTGGCTGCCTCGACGGCTCCATGAAATCCTGCTGCATAGGCTCTGAAAGCGGCGCTGCTCCCCTCCTTGCGAGGCAGTAGAATCGGACTCGTGTGTTGGGAAAGCCAATCTGTGTGGGGGAGAGAAGGAACTGCTCCAAAGTGTAATGCTGCATTGCTAGAGTCTGTTGGAGCTCAGCGCAGCACACTGAGCTCTCAAACCCCGGCACATTCTCCAGGAAGAGAAATCGGGGAGGCGAGGTACACTGCCGCAGCAGCTGCAACAAGTGCAACAGGCCCACCGCCCTCCCATCTCTCGAATCCAAGCCCTTGCCTCCTCGAGTATACGGCTGACAAGGCGGGGAAAGCAACCAAAGATCTGCCTTGCCATCCACTTGCTGCAGCGCCAAATGCTCTACTGACACGCACTTTGGCAACGCTGAAAAATTGTGCGCGTAGACTGCATTCGCAGTCGTGCTTATATCGTAGGCAGCTACAAACTCCACGGGATGGAGGCTTGAATCCCCCTGAGTTAAAGTTCGCAAGGCCGCTTCTAAACCCAAGCGCAGGCCGCCAATTCCACTAAAAAACTCAATAACGCGCAGCGGAACACCATCAGGGCTATTCGGGGGCCCCCTGGGAGACACCTTTCCGGTGAGGCGGCACTCTGAGGGAGGTGAAGGGGGCCCCTCACTAGAGCTCTTGCCAGGGGTGTTCTGCGCAGAGGCCCTGCCCGGGGGTGGGGGCCGAAGAGGCCCCGAACGCCCTGAGGAAGAAGGAAGGGCAGAATGAGGCATGAATCGAAAGGTAAGGACACAGGTGGAGCCAGGCAAACACGACAAAGTCGATGTGAATTGGAGGTCTAGGCTTGAAATTCGGGGTTTTCACGGTTTTGCAACTCTGAAAGACGTGATGCACAGGAGTCGTCCATAAAGTCGATGATGATTCGTGGCACTCGTGCTCCGATCCTTCTACCCCAAATCCTAAACCTTGGATGCACCGCTTCGAGCCCATTTGCAAAAATGCCTAATTTGAAACCGCGGTTTCCTGTTTACCACATTATCGTGTCGTAGGCCCACTGGATCCCTCCTGGGGCCCTCCTCACGAAGGGTCCGCCTGACTAGTGTCGAGAGGGCCCCCTACCTGCCACATTTTTTCGGCCTTCGTTTTACGCTCCTCGCTTTGTTTGGTTTGAAGGTATAGCTAAGAATGCCGAGGAGACCAGTTACGACCTCTATCCGCGTAGACAACCTCCGGGGCCTCATGAACCTACCAGTACAAAATTCCGCAACCAGCCTTTTGAACCTAGGGGCACTCCTCCACTCGGTGCATGAGGAAAGCGCGACAGTTACGACCCAAAGGAGTCTTGGAAGAGCCCTGTCCATCTCCTCTGTACACACTACATTCGAGTAGGGACCTCCGTTTGTTAGACGTCCAAACGACAGCCTCCCTGTAAGGCACATGCACAAAACCGCAAGACACGAGACATGCACTGGCAGACACTAGCAATTTGGTCTTTAGGCTAATGTTTCAGGGCAATAAAAGATACTCGGCTCCAGGCTAAAGCCTCGCTGCCTTCTTTGCTTTCCGGTGTCAAGTCCTAGTGTGTTCTATGGACCATTCGCCCCTGACCGAGATCTCGCGATGAAAACTGTCATTACTTGTCGAGGAGAGAAGCGACCTGTAAGAGTCGCACGGGAAGTTCTCTCTTCGGCCCGTAACGCTTCCCTGTACTGTAGGGAGCCAAGGCATTCTGAGGGAACCAGGAGTTTCTGAGGCAGCAAGAAGAACTGTGCTGCATCGTGAGGAGTCAGGACACTCTTAAAAAAAGAAACGGAGGAAGCCTATGGAGGGCCTTATACATAGAGCTACGCAAAAGGCATACCCCTGTGTCCGTGGGATCGCTGCGCCCTGTCGCAGGTGCACGACTGAAAACGTTTAGGGGGCCTCAGGGGACTACTATGATGGAAAAATAGCACCACGGGGGGATTTTGTGTGTGTGTGTGTATTTGTGTGTGTTTGTGTGAGTGTGTGTCAGGCCTGTGAATAAAAGGTGGGAAACACACCTACTGGCGACACTCCCTTTTAGGGGGCGTCATGCTAGCACCATGATAAACACGGGCATCGGGCAGCTACCTCAGGACACAAAAGGCCTGTGCTTTATCGCTAGGTTCAGTCAAGCTAAGCTCGCCTCAAAAGAAGAAATAATTGATGTCACCTGGAGGGAAAATACGGGAGAGATTTCCTAAAGCAGAAAATGACAGTGGACGACTGAGCTAAAGAAGCGTATGACTGAGGTAAAGCACCAGTCGCATTCTGATGGCCCGCTGTTGCCTACCGCGAACAGATGCCTTCTGGCCATTGCTGCAGCTTACTAGGCTTTATCCAGATTCCCCCGAGGTTGCGGGCTACGCATAAATAAACCGCAGGTTCTTGTGGAGGCTCTGCACTGTTTGTTTTGTCCTATACTGTAGAGTCCCAATTTTATGGACCTCATGTTTAAGCCTGATAATTCTGCTCCTAAAAGAAAGAGGGCTACGCCTTGTTGCATTAGAGCGTCCCTTTGGAAGAGCACAGTTGATGGAACGCTCGCAAGGGCGTGCACAACACCCCTATTTGGACAAGCCACCTGACGAAAACAGCCGAGCAAAATAGGAGCATCTTCATCATTGTCCCTTGCATACCACGTTGCCTTAGGAAAAGATACGCTGTGCGTCGCTCCCTCGCAGCAGTTTACAGAGCAGCAAAGGGCCGATCGATGCCACTTCGCCCAGTAACAGCAGGAATGGACAAATATCAGGGAAGGGCTAGCGGAGGTGTTAATTATAACGAGCTACCATCAGGCTGATTATCTGCTGGTCGGCCAACGCATCGTATTAAATTAATTCCCGGGTTATTCCTAACTAGTGTTACGCCGCATCGAAAGGTCCCTTAGAACGAAGGGGCGATTGAGGGGCAGATGGCTTATCTGTTGAAAACAGTCAAAGTGCAGGAATCGATTAGCTGTGTTGGGCACAACCCGGTATTGGCGCCGAAAAATGACGGAACGTGACACATGCGCCCCAATTCCCTGACCAAGATCACTATGGTGCAAAATTTCCCTATGTTTTACACTGAATATGAATACTGGCGAATGGCTGAACACATAACTCGGCTCAACATTGTATTTGACATTGGACTTCAAAGACACCTTCTCTCAAATCGCCCTTCACCCTAATGACAGGCTCAAAACGGCGTGTCACACTCGCACGCGCAAAGTCGAGTAGACCTGGATGTTATTTGGAGTTGCTGATACCCCAGCTGCACTGCGACGGCAAGTTGATAAGGATTTTAGTAAGCCTTTCAAGGAAATGTGGATAGCTGTCTTCATGATGTACCCTTTAGTATTAAGCCGAAAAGTTCAGGAGCACCTATGGCAAATTCCAGTGCACACTGTAGCTGATGCGAGCCAAGCAGTGGCATCTGAAGGCATTCTAGTGCTCGTATTTTATGAGACGGATTATGTTTCCGGGGTTCTGTCTTTTGGTTGGAGGGATCCACCTGCCTCTGACAGGAAGTGAAGCAATCATAGCGGGGCTTCTACGTCCATGGACCAGCATTGAGGTCGCGATTTACTGCGGCGTTTCATCCTACCACAAAGCTTCATTCTGGATTAATTATGATCGCTTCTTTTTCGACTCAATGACCGGAGAACCAAGTTAGAAACCTGGTCAGAGGGGGCTGATGCCACCGCAAAGCCCGTTATTCGCGGCCTTACAGCTCCTCCAGCATTTGTGCTGCCCAATCGCTAGCGTCACTTCTTCCTAGCAGCAGCTGGTGATGTAGCGGTTGGCGCCACTTTTTCCTAGCAGGCTGCGCATTCTCCAAAACACCAAAGTATTCCTTTTTCCCCCATTGAAAAAAAGCCGAGCAGCGGCATCCAGCGGTGAAAAAAGCTCTATGCGTTGTAGCAAATCAAAAAGGCACTTATTAGATGGGCGTTCTTCTACTTTGCAGATCGGCCAGCGGACTCGAATGTACCTTTAACGTAGTTTTCTGAAAATTGATATTTCTAGAGGTGTTCGCTGATTTGAGGTCCCTCCTGTAGTACTACTTTATAGTGTATGCGGGTACTACCAGCGTGGCCACTGATCTCCTGACGGCCCAGCGATTTACTAGTGTGAAGAGTAACCGCCCTTATTTGTGATGGCGTTAGGAGCCTATCGACATTGTGTGAGTCTAATGCTTTTGAGGGATGCACCCGCCACTGCGGCCCAAAACTAGAATGGCAGATGGATTAAGGAGTACCACGTAGAGTATGACGCAACGTTTTTTTCGTTCCACCGTGCCATTTTGCGCAAATTACATTATTGTCTTCTTTTGGACCATGGTGAGACTTACACCACAGTAGGATTTCCCAGAGTCTGTCTGGTGGCCTATGATGCGCCCCGCGGCAGAGGTGTGCGCAGTGTCGCCGGTACTTTGTTAGCGGCTAAAACCGCTATTTGAACCCAACTGTTTTTTAAGTCGTCCTGCTTCTCAAAGGATTTGGACTTGCATCACAATGGACAGTATTTTGGCTTGCCGACGGTCAAGGGTAAGCCGGGCATCTACGTTCTCGACAGACTTTGCAAAAAATGCGCAATTGAGCTCTTGTTCTAGCCCTGTCATGGCTCTGAAAGCCCCTCAATTATTCTTAGCTCTGTTTGAGGGCTCTTCCTCAGAAACAGATTTACGGACAGATATCGTTCGTTTGTTGGTGCTCGTTGGCGTGCCCCCATGACGCGCCTACATGCTAACGATAGTATGACCACTGCTAAGCACCCTGAGGAAGTGCGGACAAACAGAGCGCCCTAACCTCACTTTTCTGCGGTACTTGTGGCTCTATGCTCACAAAATTCAATTGCTTGGATTTATTTTCGTATGTTTCTGGGTGGATTTATAATACAAGAGATACTCGCCTACTAGTTGCTCTGCAGCACCACTATACACACTGGGAAGCTTTTATTCAATTTATTCCTGGACTTGGTGGTCCGGCAATAGTGCCCATCCTTGGCAGCAAATGTTCTCAGAGCAAAGCTGGATAGTGTACCAATTCCAGGAGAATCAGTCACCAGATCTTGATAAGCAGCGAAGTCTTAGTCCTGGTTGACCGGCAGACTTTACGTGGCGCACCAGAAGTTAAAACGGACAGATATGTTTGCCGCCAGGTAGGTAGGACCAGGTACAGTCCTCTCACGAATTAATGCTTGTTTTTTCTCTATTGGTATCCCTGTAGGTTGGCGGTGCCACATACCTATTAAACTTGAATTCCCAAGGAAACTTCTAAGCTTTCCAAAGTATTCACGGACTTGTCCGCACTGGCATATAACCCGTGTGGAGGTAAAGGATATATAGTTCTGCGTAGAAGTGCCGGATTCTAGGATTATTGAGCGCCGAAGAGATGCGGGGGCACCTTCTGGTAAAAAGGGACAGATAACGACGTCCTCAGTGATTGATGGTTAAGCAGATGTGGGCTTTATTGCCCGCAGGTGAATTTGCTGCTTAATCTTATCGGAAGCATTTGCCACATGTACGGCAGCCCTCATCTTGTTTCTTGGTAATTGTCCTTCACCATCGTGTGCTCTGCTTAGAATGGCTACCTCCATCTTGAAGAGTGTTTCGATCATTGTTCTGTAGCCATTCTATGAACTGGATTGTGCAGAGGCAATCTCCGGTAAGTTGTTCGTGCATTCTCCCGTATGCCTCTGTTGATGCTTTGACATGTACTATGCTGCATGCATCTGTGGTTTATGCATGCAGAAATTGCCCTAAGAGCCCTAGAGACACTGCTGAAAATGGTGAATAATTTTGATTATCTCCACACATTTACATGTCTTCTATGCTCCCGCAGCAGGCGGCACACACATTTTAGCGCTCCAAGGAGAGTGAGCCCGTACGCTTGCGGTATCATCTTGGTTTCTTTTCGCGTCCTTTACTGGCTATTGTGGCTTTTTTCTGATGTGCTTCTCTCCAGCGGCTGACACATACAGCTGAGTTGCTTTCGCGTTTCTTCCCGCCTAGGGAATGGTGACAGGGGGAAATTTTTCTAGCTGTGGGTCTCGGCGTACAGGCATTTAACATGGGTGTGTGCTTTGAAATTATCTGAGGAAGATAGGACGAGCCAGACCACCCAAGGATAATTTCTACTAAACTACACGCTTTTGACAAAAAATTGGTTAAAAGCTTACTGATTTATTTATTTGCTGGGATATATTGCTGAAGAGTGGTGTTAGCCTGATCTAACAAGAGAGCATTGTGTGAGAGTGTGCTAGATGCTACGTGGGACTAGCTGTGCGTACTTGGAATACTCAGAGGGAGCATCTATCGCCCCCGCGCATTTCTTTCTTCCTCGATTGAGGAGCTTTAAAGGGTAGTGCCTGGGCAGGGCAAGTCTAAATTAGAAAGCACTCAATAACTCTCCACGAGGTGTGCACTGAATTTGGAGTGGAGTGCATCCCTATATGACAGATGGAACGCTGCGCATTGCATCCAGCGCACTCGCTCAGAACATTGCTTCTTATCGTATTAACCAATAGGTACTCCTCAAATCAACGAGACATACGAAGTGTCAAATCTATTAGATGTGAATGCTCAAGAAATGCGTAACTATATGCAACCAGTTAGTAGAAAGGGACAAAATGCAGCTTGCCCCGCTACATTGACGAATACAGTTCCTTGTGGGCGATCTGTAGGCTCTCTGCATATTCATGTAGGGGCTGTTTTTCACATTGATGCATAAGATGTACGCAATAAGCTGTGAACTTACTTTTATTGTTGCTGCTTATTCATAATCAACATCTGCTGGTATGGTGCTAAAGTATAGACCTCACGAATGTATGAAGCCCTCCACCACACTGGTTCCTTTCTTTTTCGCTTTACTTACACCATCTTAGTTTAAAAATCGAAAGTTCAACATTGCAATTTGTGCAGCAGCGGGAGCGAGTACCGCTTCTCAGAGGGCTGCTTGAGGTGTACGTGCAACTCCCCCTTCCCAGCAAGTGTAAACCCTAGATCTCACCGCCTTCTTCCCAAGCCCGCAAGTCTGTTTTCGCCCAAAGACCTAAATTCTGAGCGTCATAACTACACGAAAAATGACCCAAGCCCGTGGATTCTCTTGGGGCTGCAGTGGTGTGCGGGCGGCGGCAGGCCCCTCGGATCTGGTGGCATGCACAAGCGATCCGAAATATGAAAATCTGGCCCCTACACCGTAGACCTTGTTTTGTGACGTTGGTTTTACCTCGCCTCCATCCCTTCCATTCGCATTCGGGGTCTTTTTTGGCCTCCTTTTTCTCTCCGCTGCGCAGGAACCTCTCAATAGCTGCAGCACCAGCATGTCTGCACTATTCCCCCGTGTGACCCGTCTGGGCCCCCTCATGAGATATTCCGGTGCCCTACGTACGGCTGTACGGCCTTTTGCGAGCTACCAGGGGCAGAAGGTCACATCAGATCAACTCCTCAAGAAGAATGATGACTGGCTCATTGAGGAAACGAACTTCTGCCTGGGGCGCGTTGCTGTACGTACACCCGCATATACTGCTGCATTTGCTGCTGCCGGTGGTCATCTGTATGTAGCTACTCCTGCTGCTCCTCCCCGCATCGTTGGCTTGAGTGTTTCCCGTAATGCCGCTGTTGTGCAGCGGAGCATATGCAGCCTTGACATGCGGCTTTGCATCACTCTGTTTCAAGAGAAACACGGTCATCTATCTGGCATATATCTGCCGGTGTTGCTTTTAGTTGGTGCCACTGGCTTTGAGGCTGCAGGTGCTGCAGTTCTGTGTACATGCGCTTGCTCCTCAGCACGTGGATCAGCTACGCATTGTGCTGCGTCTTTGCCATTTACAGCTTTCTGTTGTTGCATAATGCGTTGTGGAAGATGAGTTGGCCACAGAGTATCAGGCATCAGTGCCACCAAAGGCGTGCCCATGACCATTGCTGCTGTGCTATTACCCGTGTGCTGCAGCCCATTCGGTTCAAAGAGACAGATGACTTCGCACATCGTGTGCTACACCTGATGGATGCACAGCTCGGGAAGATGCATACCCGCTTGAGAGATGGCACTTGCATTCCCGTCATGGGTCTCTATATCCCTTGTATCATGGATAAGCCAACGCCCCTTCATCAGTGCCTGGTGAACAGCAACTACATTTCACCCTGCGTGCCCTACATGTGCCTGACCCCTTTATGCAATGCTGACTTCGTTGAGTGGCTCATGGCGGGACAGGATCTTCCGTGTTCAGCCATCCTCTGTCGGTGGACCTGAATGTATTTCGGTGACCACAGAGCTCTGCGTTGCTGAGCCTATCAATTCCCGTTGCTGCATCCTCATTTTCTCGGCCATCTTTTTGCTGCTGGTGCCTGCCATGTGCTGACTTTTGGTGCTGCAGGAAACGCCTCTTCTCAAGTACACGTGGGATGAGACGTACACTGAGGCGTACGACAACTAGGACCACGAGGCAGCGTGGCAACCGGGGCGTCCTCCTGCCCAACTAGTCGCTGAAGGCCCCTACCACCCTCTCTAATAGCGCGAGGCTTGCCTGCCAGCTAGCTGTATTCATGTAGCCAGGTGCATAGACGCGCCGCTTCCAGGACACTGCCAGGCTTTCCAGGCGCTGCCGCTTCTTTAAATATGCAACAAGCAATGAGGGGTGCTCTTGCTATTTTGTGCCTCTGTTGATCGCGTAGCTTCCTATACTTCCATAATGTTGTCGACTGCCTAAGATGAGAGGGGCCGCGTGTATGTGCGCGGCCCTCACGCAGGAAGAGATAGCTAACTGGGAGGCTAGTTGAGCGCCGTCCAGCAAAGGCGGTGTGCCTACGAATTCTATAATTAAACGCACCCCACATTCAGGGAAGAAGAGGGCACTAAGCGACAGCAGTGTCTGCAGGGACGAGCACGAGGACGGCGACCTTGCGAGTCCACTAGGTTGTCAAGCTAGTCTTGCTTGCAGCTAGTCCGCTGAACGCGCATGCGTCACTGATTGCGCAGACGCCTGAGCAACGCCTGGGCTTGAGAAAGCGGCGTTGGGTGTATTGATGGCAGCTGCTGCCGCCGCTGCGGCTGGTGCACTTCAGCCTCCTGCTCTTCGTCGCTGGGTTCTGTTGGGGCGTCGCTCCAGGCCTCTTCCGTAGGCGCGTCACTATCAGCAACACCAGCAGGATCTACTCTTGTCGTTGCTCGTGCTCCCTGTCTGGGGGCTACTTCTTCATCGGCCTCAGAGTCGCTAATGAAGCTGCTGCTGCTGCTGCGGGATAGGCGGTTCGTGCTGCTGCTGCGGGCGGCGGAGGAAGAACCTGTGCCCTGCTGCTGTCCAAGGGGAAGTCTGCTGCTGCTGCTGCTGCTGCTGTAGCCCCTTACTTCGGCCGTTGCTGCTGCTGCTGCGCTTTTACCGCGAGAACATGCTGCTGCCGCTGTTGCCACAGCACCGGAGCGGGGCCTTGGAGGCGTAGGCCACGCCAGTCTGCTGCTGCTGTGAGTCCTAGGAGCAGCAGCAATCGCAGGGGGAGCGGCAGCAATCGCAGGGGGAGCAGCAGCAGTCGCTGCGCCTCGCTGCAGCGGTGGGCCCCCCAAAGAATCGGCAACGGCTCCAGGAGCGCGAGGAAAGCGGGGCTGCTGCTGCTGCTGCGCTTGCTGTGTTACTGCGCGTTGTTGCTGCTGTAGTTGAAGCAGCTGCGGCATTGCCAAAGCGGCGCTGGGCTGCTGCTGTTGCTGCTGCTGCTTCTGTTGCTGCCCGAAAGAAGGGACTCTTGGCGTATCCGCTGGCCTCTCCCTAGGAATTGTTGGCAGTGAGGCTGCCTCTGCTGCCTTGCTTGCCGTTGCTTCTGCTGGTGGCAGTGGCTGCATCAGGTTGCGAGGAGTTACGCGGCCGAAGTTTGAGTAAGGCTTTCGTCCCACAGCCTTCGCCGCGGCGAGTGCCTCTGCAACAGGCGTGGGAGACGTGCTGGCTGCAGCAGCAGAAAGGGCCCTCTGGAGCTCGCAACGAGGAGTAGTGCCGAGGGGTGAAGATACACCTGAAGGCCCCTGCTTTTCGTCATCCGCAGCAATGGCCACCTCCAGCCGCTGTAGCAAGTGTGCAGCGGCAGACCCTGTCGTCCCCTGAACCAACCGGTACAGTCGCCCTGCAACAATCCGAAATAACAGACACACAGCTGCGCGCATGTCACGCTGCGGGTGCTGGTGGTACTGCTTCTTTGTGGCGGCTTCAAAATGCAAGCGGTGGGCGCTCGTGTACCTGCGAACTCTCTTTGGCTGGCGACAAAGGCTGCATGCGCCGTTCCCACCATGGACCCGAAGCCGGCAGCTTCCACCGCGCACTGGAAGCTCTGCAGCCGAATTTCTCTGCGTCTCTGCTGCTGTAGCCGCTGCTGCTGGTGCTGCTGCTCTGCAGCGGCAGCTGCTGCTGCCTCCGACCTGCCCCCAGCCTCGCTGGCTGCTGCAGCGGCAGCAGCTGCTGCTGCCGTAGCGGCCTCTGCGGCGGCTCTGCCTTCGGCACCCATCAGCGTAGCGCTAGCTGCAGCAGACGGGCTGTCCGCCGCAGCAGCAAGCAGCTGCGGCCTTGTGGCGAGCGAAGTTAACTTCAGCGTGTGTGTGGCGAAGGTGAGAACAACGGCGAGCGCCTTGTTGAGGCTTTGCAGCGTTGTGGGGCTTTCCAGGAAGCAGGCGCTGCTGATGCTGCGCATGCACTTTAGGTGCTGCTGCTGCAGCAGCTCCGCGCTAGGGCTCCCGCGGCAGCAAAAGGTCAAAAGCCGACCGAACTCAACGTCCACCACCTGCACAAGAAACGGGGTAGTGCCACCTACTCCCTTCGTGAGCCGTTCTGACAAAGAAACGCCTAGGGGCCAGACGTACACAGCTGCTTGCACCTTTCTGGGGGTTACGAACGCATTCACGTCAGTGGCTTCGGGCTAGTGACACACATCGTTGGAGATGTAGGAGAGCAGACATGTGACAAAGTACGCCATCTGCCCCCTCGCCTTGAGCGCCGCACGGAAGTGAGGTCCTGCGTCTCGAAGGCCAAATAGATCCTGAGGCGCAGAGTGCAGCCAGCAGAAAACAAAGGTGCAGACACAGGCAGCAGAGGAACTGCTGTGTGGTCCTAAAAAGCGACGAATGAGGTGCTAAGAAGAAGGTTTTAATCGGGCTAGCCGATAAAGGCGGCCACACAGCTAGGTCAGTGATATGTATATATATATATATATATATATATATATATATATATATATATATATATATATATATATGCATGGCGCTGTGGCGCTTCTGCTGCTGGAATGATTTGGAGGAACACAGACGAAGTTTCGACGCCTTAGCACATAAGTGCGATTTCTGCAATGGCAGGCAAGACCAGCGAACCTTTGTCTTGAGGAGGTCGCGCCAAACGAGGGCCAGCTGACGGCTTGCCAAATGCAGCTGCAGCAGCTGTCTGTACACAAGCTGGTAGATGGCGATAGTTTCTCGGGAAAAGAGCAGACGTAGGGGGCCTCGACAGTTTAAAGTCAGGCAGAGACGACGGTATATATCTGCGTCAACGGCACACAGCCCGACGGGAGATGCATGCCAACTTCAACCATGTTCAACATCTGCTGTCTTGCCTTAAAACACCCTTTGGCCGCATCTTACCCGTGGGTCCAAAGTCTAGGGGATGCTGCAGGAGCTGCTGTTGAGATCCTCTTGGAGCAGCGAGAAGCTGAGCATACAGCTGGGGCTTTGTTGCGGCTCTATGGAGCAGTTGTGTTGCCTCAGAAAGACTTGCAATTGGGTGCAGAGAAAGCGACAAGTCGTCGCACAGCCTGCAGCAGCCATACGGGGAGCAAGAAAAAAGTGGCTACTTGCGCGTGGCAAGAAGACTTCGAGGAGCAGCAGCAGGGAAACGCCCACGCGAACAGACTGCTACCGCTAAGAGCCACACACAGGAGCAGCAGCAGGAGCAGCAGACCTTGCTGCGCTGCATACCATTCGTATTCGGGCACGCTTCGGATCGCAGCGTCCATCCGACCCTCCAGCAGATGTAGCTGCTGCAGCAGCTGCTGTTGCTGTTGGTGCTGCTGCTGCATCTCTAGGCTTCTCCCACCGCTGCCAGCAGCTACAGGCTGTGGGTGCAGCTGTTCAAGCGTGGAATCGCACGATCCTAGGAAGGCAGCAAAAACGTCTCCCCGTCCTCCAAGGCAGAGAGCCCTAAGGCCCTTGAGCACACCCACAAATCCCTGTGCGCCTGCCGGCATCTCGGCTGCTGCTGCATCGGGATCTCCCAGGACGAAGGGAGAGCGCAGCAGTGCGTACACTGCAGCAGATGCTTCCCCTGCTGCCGCCGGCAGAGCGGCAGACAACGCCTCTGGCTGCAGGAGAGCAGATGAGCTGCTCTCGCCTCCTGCAGCAGCGAAGAAGCGACTCAAGTCTGGGCAGGGCTGCAGCCACAGCACAGCACAAAGCAGCACAAACAGCGGCACTTGCAGTCATGCAGCACCCGGAAGACATGAGAGAGTCGCACTCGCAGGAACGAAAGACGCGCGAACGGCGCCACGGGCGAAGCCCTCCTTGTCGTGCAGCCACTGGGCACGCCAAGATCCGACTCCCCAGAGAGACAGCAACGTTGCCACACCTTCCGACAGTCCCTAAGGAGCCGCAGGCTTCTTCCAACTTGAAGGATCTGAGGCGCAAAGGCCCTTAGCACTGCGGGGACTGCCGACCACTCCACTGTGAAGCGTTCCTGCCACTCCCACGGCCAGCACGCCAAGCCGCCTGCAGCAGGCACCGAAGACAGCGCAAAAGAGACGGCTGCAGAAGTACGGCAATAAAGCCCGCATACGCCAGTGGGGGACTGGAAGCTCTTGAGGCAAAGCAGCAGCGCCAACGGCAGCAAGAGCAGCCAAAACACTCCGCTTAGCGCACCGCTGTTGCCCGCGCCATCTTCCGAAAGGGGATCTCGAGTCTGCTCTGTCCAGTCCCTGAGCACGGAAAAGCCTTAACCCCACACTTTCTGAGCCCCCTGCTCGCAATCCAGCCCGTGGACCTCTGATGCTGGGCAGACAGAGCTCTCAAAAGCGACTCCGACGAAGCACTCACCGAATAAAATACTCCTTGTACGGATCGTGCAGCTCCCCGCGCAGAAGCCAGCGACGGAGGAAGCGCACAAGAGGACTCATGGCTTGCTGCAGCAGCAGCAGCAGCAAGTGCCTCGCGGGATCTGCTGCAGGCAAGCGGTCCGCTGCTGCTTCCACTGCATTCAACAAGGCGCCCCCCCTCAGCCCCCAGCAGCACCGCACTGTCTCCGCTGCTGCTGCAGCAACAGCTGCAGCAGGAGCAGCAGCAGCACGAAGCCCGTGGAGGGACAAAGCGCCTTGACGGACTGCCGTCTCCCACGCGCAAACTCTGAAGCCAAGCTCGCTCAATACATCCCCGATTCCTGAAAAAAACGCAGATCCCACTGCTCCGATTTCCTCGGTCCGACAGCCTGCCACTTGCTGCGCATGCAGCAACAAGCGAATATCTGCAGCGGCAGCTGCGAGCTGCCGCAGCAGACACTGCAGGCCACCCGAGGAACCCCCCGCTTCCTGCTGGAGCAACGGGTGCAGCCACACAGAGAAGCGTGGCAGGGCAGGAAGGCAGCATCTGCTGCTGTCAAAGCTGTACGCATGCACTTCTAGCTGCTGCTGCTGCTGTTGCTGCTGTTGCTGCTGCTGCTGTTGTGGCTCGTCCGTAGGGTACCTCCTCAGCAACAACAGGGCGTCTTGCTGCTGCTGCAGCGCGACAGACTGATGCTGGGCCTCGTCGGCTGGCTGCTGCACTACGCGCAGCAACACCCCATCGACACCTAGCAGCAGCGACAACAACTCCTCGAGCAGCAGCCGCTCCCTTGTTGCATGCGGCAGTAAAGGCCAGTCCGCGGCTAGCTGCTGAGGCAGCCAATTCACTGCCGCAACCACCGCAGCCTCTGGAACGCTGCTTCTATTGTTGTCGGCTCTGCCTGGGGGCTGCTGTAGCAGTAGAAGATCCTGCTGATCCTCCATTGGCAAGGGGGGGGGTGGGGGGACTGCAGCAGCGGCAGCAGCAAGCCCGTGCTGCTCCAAAAGCGCAGCTATGCTGCAGCCACCCCACACTTCAGCTGCTGCTGCGGTGGCATCCCATGGATGCGGGGACAGAAGCGCAGCGGGAAGCCGCATGATGGAGGGAGGACAATGCCGTATGCCGGCCCGCTCCATTCGCCATCCGCAGTGTACGTACACCCCAGGTGCCGCTGTTTGCTGCGCGACGGGCGGTGAATCGAATGCGAGCGAAGCCACCAAACAAACGCGGCGCTGCAGCTGCTGCTGCGGGAGCGGAAGCGGATGCTGCTTCAGCAGGAGCTGCAACGACAGGAATTCTTGGGTACCTTGATTTCGTAGAACCAGCTCCTCTTCCTGTTGCAGGAGCACCTCTCCCATCTCCTGCTCAGGGCAGTGTTGCTGCTGCTGCTGCTGCAGCCGCTCGGGGATCAGCTGGCTTGGCAGCAGACACGGACGGAGCAACTGCCATCGCAGGCGCGAGTCGGCTGCTGCAGCAGCAGCGGCCGCTGCTGCTGCAGCAGCCGATCCAGGGGAGACGGGGGAGATCTGTCTTGCCACTACGGGTGTCGCCGCTCCCCATTCCTGTCTCTTGGGAGGCCTCGTCGCTATTGTTGCTGTTGCTGCTGCTGGTGCGGCGGAGTGGACGACCTTTGGGAGCTCCGCGCGGGTGCCTCCTGCCCCGAGGAGCCAAAGCGCCGCTGCCGTGTCTCCTTGTGGAGACCCCACAAATCCCAGCAGGATCTCCGTCCCATGGGCGCAACAAGCTGGGGTGTACGTGCTGCCGCTGAGGCAGGGTTTGTGGGGGAGCGCTGGGTAGGTGGGAAGCAGCAGTAGAGTGCTGCAGGGGCTGTTGGGGAAGGGGGGATTTGCTGAGACGACGCAGGGGGCCTCTGCTCCTGCTGCTGCCGTCCCTGCTGTACGAGGGTGACGCACACCAACGGCGCCGGCTGTTGTTGGCGCTGCGGCTCCGGCCCCACAATCCACTGTCAAATACTGGCACCCTCCTCTCTGGCCGGAGGATAAACCCACGGAGCAGTAGAGCTCCAGGGGAGAGGCGAGCGGCTGGCGCGGCATCTGCTGCTAAAACGTGTGCCCTGTTGCGGTGGGCGGTAAGCCACGAGGGCTGCGGCTGGAAGGCTTGCTGCTGCTGCTCGCCTCACAGCAGCGCCAGCTGCTGTGGTCGCCGCTACTCGTGGCTACTGCTGAATGCAGCGATCGAGGGAGCTCCGTACACACATTCACCAAAATGCATGCGCAGGGGAAGGAAGGGCCCCCTTGGGGGCTGTCCGGGCGCCCTGCGCGGCGAACGCGGGCCCTACAAGAAAAGGCAGAAATTCTCAATTTATAGCCTGCAAAGGGGCAAAGAGACATTAGAGACACCAGTGTTTCTTTTTTTGCATCCTCATCCGCTGCATGCAGCCGCGAGAGGGGGGCCCCAGGCGGTCGGGTTGTGGAGGTGGGGTGTTCTCCTGGTGGGGTCGCTGTTGCTGCTGCCTTTGAGCCCATTTCTGCCCTTTCACTTCCCCGATTAAGGCTCTCCTGGGCTTTTTGTTTAAATCGCAAAGACGGTGTTTTGGCCTAAATAATTTTCAGCGCCTCTACGGCACAAGTTACCGCAAATGGAACACTCTTCCTGAGCCAGTCCTCGGAAAACTGTTTGGCCCCTATTTATTTTCATTAGTTTATTCCCTACGGTAACTTCATTTAGGAATAAAATATCCATGTAGAGGTGTTGGCCTCCGTATCTGTGCAGAGAATTGCACATATACATGCCTGCCCGGATATCTTTGTACAGAAAGTTTCATGAAGGGATTCCACGTTCCCTCTTGTTTCTGCGGATAGCTGCATGCTTCCATGTGTAGTTAGGTAGTTAGCGTAGCGCGTCGCTGGGACTAATCATGCCTAAATGGCCCTCTGTGCCCCCCTTTAATCCATGTCGTACATGAGTGCTGAGGTACCTATACGGAAGTAAAGGTGGGCGCATTCCCCGAGGCAGAGGGTAAAACAAATCACAGCATAAGGACTTAATGGGCGAAGTGTCTGCTGAAATACCGGAGCAGCAATGTCACGGCTCCTGATCATTCAAAACGCAACAGCCCTAGGGCAAGCACCCCACTAGCGTTTGTCTAAGGCCTCATGACCTCCCGGCACGAGCACGCAGCTCTGCACACTGCTCCATCCCTTCATATTCATCATACAAGAGTGTGCTAGAGACTGCAAAAGTCGCTGCAGCGGCAGATCCACTTTGTAGTCATTCTTCAGTAACGCAGGAAGAACACCCGACCGCGCACAAGCTGTTCCCGCTGCTTTGGCTGCCATAGCAGCAGCGCAAAGTGGCAGGACGTGGGTGCAGCTTTAGTTGGTTTAGTCTGAGTCTCCTACATTTTTGCTTCTTTTCTTTTTCCTCTTTTTGGATTTATGTTTGCTGTGCTTCTTTCGGAAGGCGCTAGATGCTTCTGCGTCGTCGCTGTCGTCATGCACTAAGTCCTCTGCTGCTTCTCCTCGGTTCGCTGCCCCTGCAGTTGGCGATGCAGCCTCCATGTCATCGCCAACCGCCAAATCACGTTGCCGCTTCGCTGGAGAAAGCAACTGCTCGTCCCCAGTGGCTGTACCATCAGCCTCTGCAGAGGCTGCAGGCAAAGAAGACGCAGCGACCCCAACATCGCCGTCCGCAGCTGCTGGGGAGGTTTGTGTTGCACCCTCTCTCTCCTCTGCTACAGTTGCAGAGCCGAACCCCTCCTCCTGTGCAGCGTCAATTGCTGCTGCAAGCATCAACCGCTTTTTCTTGTGGGGCCTTGCTGCATCGCTCTCCCCGTCTTGCTGCTGCTGCTGCTGTTGCCGCTCGTGCTCCGTTGCTGCCTCGTCATCGTCCGTGTATCTACTCCGCTTTTTTCTCTTTTGTTTCTTCTTCTTCTTGCTGCTGCTGTCTTTGCGGCGCTTCGGGGTGTCCTCCTCGGCCGCACTGCGTGCGCCTTCCGCGGAGTCATCGATAAAACCATCCCCATCCTTCTGCTTCCGCTTCTGTTGTTGCTGCTGTGGCTGCGGACTACGCTGATATGGTTGTTGCTGCTGCGGCTTCGCATTATCTGGCGCTGGCCGCAAAGGCAGAGACGCCGCAATCTCCCGTGCTTCCTCTGCCAACTGCTCTTGTACCAGCCGTTCCTGCTGCAACAGCATCTCTTGCTGCAAACGTTTCTGCTCCTCTTGCTGCTGCTGCAGGAGCAACTGCTGCTGCAGCCTCTGCTCCTGCAGCTCGCGCTGCTGAGCAATCCACCGCAGCTCCAGTATGGGGGCCATACGGTTAATGTGGTGTAGCACTCGGTCACGAGACAGTTGCTGTGCCCCCACTTGCGCATGCGCTGCTGGAATGTCTTCTATTCCTTCTGGAGGCACAACAACGACTGAGAGCGAAGCCTCTGCCGTTCCTGCGGCTGCTGCCGTCGAAGGTGGGGAGAGCAGCCTGCCGTCACTGCCCCAACACAGCGGCACGCCAGCTCTTGCAGCGGCCGCTGTAGCAGCAGCCACGAGAGATTGAGGACCTTCAGCTCCAGCCAAAATCGAAAGAGGAAGAAATTCTGCGCGCATCCAAAGGCACACATCTGATGCCAGGCATCCTATCAGCCGTGCGTCTCACGCAGACTGCTGCCTTCTAGGCCCTCAAGCGGGGCGAAACCGCTCGATAAGAAGCCTCCTGGTGCCGGCCTGTCCTAGCAAAAAGAAGGCAGTGTTTCACGGGCAAAGGTTCCACCCTACCCAGTTTGGCTTGCAGCCTGAGCGGGGGGCTGTGAGCGCTCCCTCTGCCGTCGAAGAGGGCCTTGATGATCTGCGTGCGCTGCATGCATAAGAGCAGCGTCTCCGCCACATGCTTCACTTGGTGTATGAACACGGCTGACTCTAGCTGGCCCCGCAGACTGAGTGCGCGTGACTGGTAAGCGTCGCACAGGAACCCCTGCGGAAGCGGACAGACCAGATCGTGAGGGTTCAAACATACACACACACACAGCGCCGGACTTGTTGGCAGTAGGGCTGCATGCGTGGGGTGGCGGGTAAGGTGAGCACGGAAAGCAACGCAAGCCAGTCGGGGGATGACGGGAAAAGAGGAGAAGACAGAGGTAATACAGCTTTGCTAAAGGGGTGCTCAGATAGCGGATGCTTCAGATCTCAAAGAGTTTGGAGCCTACGATGTTGTATGCGAAGCGAACATCCCGGGGCCATCGCCGCATGGCGATTTGCATCATCTCGATCCCGGCAGAAAAGTACTGCAGCACCCACCGCATCGAGGGGGCCTAGGCAATTGGAACTAGTGCCGAGTGCCACAGAAGACAGCTTTGAGGAACCTTTCTCCCTCGAAATTGCGGCCTCTGTTGCGAAAAACGTGTACCAGAGCGTTTTAAAACTGCCCCAAACCTACGCCGCAGTCATGGAAGAGTCGGCCGACGGCAAGGTAAGTGTTCCTGTCGGTGGGGACTGCGTCGATCGCCGCTAAATAGTAGAATAGGGCCTGAAAGAAGCAGCGCATGCCCGACAGAGCTGCATCCGCTTGCACTCTGAGTCTACGCGGGAAGCGCAGAGACAGCAGCGGCAGTGGCAGCGGCAGCAGCCCTCTAGCAACGGGGGTTGCGGTCCAGGGATGGCTAGCTCGAAGCAACAGGTCGACTGTTCTTCGTCGCTGCACTCTCCCCCTTGGCAGCACAAGAACAACAGCACGCGTATCAGGAACCCTAGGAGCGACAGTAGAGCTCTTGCCCTGTTGAGTTTGTTCGCATCCGCCTTGGAGACATCTGATCCAAGGACGAGGTCAGTCCTGGCAGAAAAGGCCGTCGCTGAGAGAAGGAATCCCAAGTTATAAAGGACTGCGCCACGTAGGTGACGGTGGGGGTTTGTCTCGAGAACTCGACGGAAGGCGCTCAGCGCAGGACGCTGCACACAGCCAGGCAGGCATAAATGGGCAGCTACACTAGGCCGAGGATGAAGGGCAGAGGCAGAAGCCGGCAGCGTAGCACGGGCAAGCCAAGCGAAGACGAAGAGGAGGGCTGGCGAGGAGGGTGGGAGGAGGGGTGGCGAGAAGGCCCAAAGGAGATGCATGCGTGTGGCACTCGAAGAAAAGGCAAAATGCACCGACGCGAAGGGGTACAGCAGCAGGAGACGAGAACAGGCAGAGACGGGCTGGACAGGATCCGTGAGGAAGCAAGCAAGAGACGAAGGGGTTAGCGACGAACCGTAAGCCCCTGCTGCGCCATCCAGACACCCAGCCCCAAGGCCGCATGCGCGTTGCCTGTGAAAGGTGGCTGCAGAGCGAGGCAGCAGCTGTATCGAAACTCCGCGTGGGCCTCATTTGCTCTGCAGCAACGGCGAACAGGGCAAGCACAACGGAGCCAACACTAGGAGCAACGCCTGCAATACTGCGCCTTCTCGCCGGTGCAGCAGATGCAGGCAGACTGCGGAGATCCAAACTCGTCATTTTTTAGCTAGTGTCAGTACAACTCTTCTGGTCCTGCTCGTGCTGCCGTGGTAGGGTGGCCCCCACTGGGGTGGCAGGCAAGGAGCAAAAAACGTCCAGCAGAAGCAAGTGCATGGGAAGCAACACGACAGCAGCGCGACAGGAAACACGCATGCACATCGATCGATTCGCCTGTACAAGAACCGTACAGGAGAGGGCATACTTGGGGTGCCCGGCTGAAGTGAGCTTCTTCGCTCTCGCGAAATGCAGTGCCGCAATCAACGTTAGGGCCATGGGATCCCTGTATCTCTTGCTGCTGCCACTCTTCTTCTTCTTCTTGGAGCTGAGTGCGCCGCTGCTCTTGTCCGCGGCTGCCGAAGAATCTCCTACTTCTAAAGCCCGCTGTGCGAACGCGAGCGCCTTTTCGTGGCAGCCCACTTTCTGCAGGAAAGATGCGGCATACAGGCAAGCCAGCGCGACGTCTGCCCTGCTGCTGCTGCTGCTGCTAGATTTGCGGATGAACGCATCCGCAGCAAAGTTGGCACCGTAGAGCGACCGACGCTGCAATGCAAGGAGCATGCGGAAGAGCTGCTGCTGCAGCTGCAGGTGGCTCCGCAGAGGAGGCGGCAGCAGCGTTCCCAGTCGAGCTAGCAAGAAACGCAAAGTGCTCGCTCTTAGGGGGAAAACTTCCTCTGCAGCCCAGCCGGGTATTTCCCATATTTCGTCCGCTGCCGCTTCTGGAGTCTCTGTGCTTGCTGCTGGCTGCTGCGATCCTGCGGCTGCAGCAGATCCCGAAGCTTGTTGTTGCTGCTGCTGCTGCAAAGGAGGTGCTGCTCCATCGGCTGCTGGAGCCGCAAGGAAGCGAAGTAGCAGAGAGAGCTGGGAATGCGCGCCAAGGGCAGAGAGACAAAGACAAAGATTGAAACAGCATAAGGATGCTAAGACACAAACGCGAGCATCCGCACTCCTGTTGCTGCTGTTGCTGCTGTTACTGCTGTTGCTCGTGTCGCCTGCAGTGGTATGCGGAGCTGCAGCCTCCCCCGCGTCTACTGAGGTAGGCCATGGCTTCTGCTGCTGCTTGCTAGTGCTGCTGCAGCTGCAAAGGTGCAACAAAAGCGCCGCGAAAACTCTTTGGGCATCGGCAGGGCGGTGCGCTGCGAGAAGCAAACATCCAAAGTTGTGAAGGGCCTCCTGTGGGGCCCCCTCCGCTTTGAGAAAGGCCTGCACTTTGTCCTTCAGGGAGAACCCCTGCTGTGGCTGTTGCTGCCCGTGCTGATGCAGATGCACTGCATCGAGCAGAGCGAAATACGCGTTGAGCGCCTGCACCAGCTGATCCTGCTGCGGCTGCCCCCCCCCACTCCCCATGAGCAGCACCTCGCAGCAGCGGCAAATGCCGAGCAGCAAGTCCAGGCTGTTTGGAGCCGCTGCTGCGGCACGCCGAAGCAGCACCAAGGCTTCTGCATGCAGCTGCAAGTGTCGCGCCGCACGTACACCCGACTGGGCGGGATCCACGACCACCTGCTGCTGCTGCTGCTGTGGCTGCTGCTGCCCCTGCTGCTGCTGCCCCAGCTTCCTCTCGCCTCCCACGCGCTGTGAAGGCTGCTGCTTTCCTACCCCGTCCAGCTGCATGCAAGGGCTGTCGCCTTGTCCGTCCCGCTGCTGCTGCTGCAGCGTAGCGGCAAGGTACTCATCCGCAAGCGTCTCCGCCTCTGCCAGGAGAGCGAACCCGCGCAAGGCTCCAACTTCGCTGCATGCAGGAAGGACTCTGGCGACAGCGCCTAGCGCCAGCTGCGCCTCTCTGCCTCTGCACAGGGCCACTGCACACTGTGCAGCGTGGAAGGCAGCCGCTGCATGCAGCCCCGTTTGCCTGCATGCAGCGGCGAAGTCCGCCAGGGCGGCCGCAGGCTCGCCGCGCTGCTCCCGCAGCAAGCCCCACAGATACCGCCTCTCCGCCTCCAAGTGGGAGCAGTAGGCTGGGATCCTGAGCTCCTGCAGCAGCTGCTCCGCCGCAGGCAGCTGCCGCAGCAGCAGCAGCCGCCCACACAGCTGCAGCAGAACCGCGGGGTCGCTTGGGTTCGCTTCGTGCGCCTGCAGCAGCAGCTCGTTCTGCTCTTGCAGGACCGCCGCTGTGCTGCTGTCTCCTTGCAGCAGCGCCACAGCAGCAAGAGCTCCGCTGCAGCGAGGGCTGAGGGAAGCAGCGCGGCGAAATGCCCGTAAGGCCTCCTGGCGCCTCCCGAGTTTCAGGAGACAGTGCCCCACAGCCATCCGCAGCTCCGCGTGGAATTCGATCTCCGTGCAGCCCACATACGGCTTTTCTTGCTGCGCTTCCCGCCGCTTGTCTTGCTGCTCCTTCGGAGGAGGCAGGTAGGCCACGAGTCGGGTGTACAGCAGGAGGGCGTCCGTCCAGCGACGCTGCAGCACGGCGCAAGACGCCAACCCCAAGTACGCAGCAGGGTGCCTGGGGCAGTGTGCTGCAACCTGCTGGAACGTCTCCTCCGCGCGCTGCAACTCGGCTGCGCGCCGCTGCTGCTGCAGCTGTCGCTGCTGCTGCAGCACCTGCAACAGCTGCTGCGCCTGCCCCGAGCCACCCCCCGCAGCAGCGGCTGCAGCGGCAGCCGCAGCAGTGGCGTCTCCTCCTGGACCCTGCAGTACGGCAGACACCAGGGCCGTCATGCCTCCCATCAGGAGGCACAGCAGATCGGGATCTTTGCGCTGCAGCAGCTGGATGTCGAGGAATCGAGCGGAGCAATTGAGGATCCTCGTGACGCCAGAGCCTCGGGCAGCATCCGCAAGGCCCGCAGCAGCGACGCCCTTGTCTCGCCACTCGGACGCCTTCAGCAGCAACAAGCGCTGCAGTGCAGCCTCCGACGCGTAAAGACCCCTGAACAGAAAGTAGCTGCTGAGGGAGGCGGCAATCCGCACGCGCCAGTCCCCTGTCCATCCTCCCCTCTGCGGCAAAGCAGGCCCCTGAGAGAACCCCTCCTGCTGCTGGGAGGGCTCTAGCGGCACAGGGGGAGGTGGAGGGAGATGAGGGACAAGGCAGCAGGCAGCAGCGTCTCTCGCTGCTGCCTGCTGCAACAAGGCCAAGTCCATTTCTTGGAGGGGCCGGCTGCAGACGTCGCAGTTGGCATATAAGACAGTGTTGCTGCAATAGTCCGCATCCTTGAGGAGCTCCTCATACGCTTCGTAGGCCCCCAGGCGATAGTAGCTCAGCGCGCAACCCAACCACCCCTCCAGCCTACAAAGTTCCCTCTTCAGCATATCCCGAATAAAGGCCAAGTCGCTGACGCGCAGCACGCCACCAGCTGCGCCATCCTGAGCGTCGGCAACTGGCAATTCAGATGGCGGAAAAGCAGGGGCAGGGCCTCCCCCCGAGTGGACCTCGCCATCTATGGGCAGATGGACAAGGGTGTTCGTATCCTTGATCGGAATATACATGGTCGCCGCTACAGGGTCCAGCGGGGACTACCGCGCTGGCTTGCCTCGCGTGGGGGAAGGGGGGAGAGGGGTGCCCTTAGGGGCCCCCAGAGACCAAAGCGGATATCAGTGGACGCTCAGCCTCAAAGCAGACAAGAACAAAGGGGCCCCTACGTTTGCAAGCAGAGGGAGGGATCCTCGGGGGGGCCGATCCCTCGCAGTGCAGCCCAAGAGGCAGTGTATTGCCCGCATGCGACGGCCGCGCTACTAGGGACTAGAGTGCTTAATTCGTGGTACAGGCTTCAAAACGAATAAAACATGGGGAGGGGAGAGGGAAGCATGAAAACCACGGACTACGGTTTAGGGCTTAGTGCTCAGAGTTACAGGCAGTCCCACTGCATGCACTTGGCTGGCGGTAACACGCAGCCCCCCCCAAAACATTGACGTACAACTAAGTTCTGGAACTTTGGGCTTAAACGGCATTGATAATGACTTTAGAGAGGCTGAGGCTCCACTGGAAATGGCGGCCTTCTTTGCCCTTGCATGGGAGACTTCGAGGCCCCTGAGACACCCGAAAGGGCCACAGGGAGCACCCTGGGGCCCATATGCTTGCAGTAGCCTTGATGAAATGATGTGTGTATATATAAAGGCGAAGTTACTATGCTATGTGTAGACTCTGAGCTTCCTCTAGAGTTGTTCGAAGCTCCGCGGCCTTGAAATGATACGCTAAACCCCTTTCTTTTACTGCCCTGATACATGCCGGTTTTTCACTTCCCTTTGCACGTCTGTTCGGGATTCGCGCTGCCAAAAGCATAGGCTGAGACATATGCATGACGAGGAAACAGTCCTTATGCGCATTGAATGTCCTCACGGCAGCTTGTTTGGAGCAATACTGTTGTACGGGGCCAGGCTACACTTTAACGCTTCCCACTACCCTAGCTATGCTCGTTAAAATTTGGTTCAGTATTAGCTTATCGGTTTGTATGCTTGTTACTTTTGATATGATGTAGAGTTCTGTCAGCTTTACACAACAAGGAGCAATGCTGAATGACTGTGCGCTAGATGCTGTGCGGAACTAGCTGTGTTTGCTCAGAGCCCATACCTTTTGATTGATGTACCTCAGAAAACACAATCTGTGAACTGTACAGAGAAAGCTGTTTCTGCGCGAAAGACGCTTTTCCGCCGCCTTACAACTCCTCCTTTATTCGCGGTGTGTGATGATCTGTGCAATTTTTCTTTACAATTACTGCTAGTGACGTATCGAGACGCGAATTTCTGTCCCAACACTAGACGGGATTTCCAAAACACCAGATTTTTACCTGCTCTTATTATCCTTTCACCGAAGGCCCTGATCTCCAGTGCGAAGAATGTAGCATTGTCCGGTGTGGTGGTGCATGCGAAAATCTTTGCAGTAGTTTGATTGGGGTTCTTTTACGGCCCATACGGACTGTCAGTCTTTATTGCACCTTAGGAAGAATTTTCACGAGTGATAGTCCTCGAGTTCTTCGCTAACTTAAGCACTTTCTGAAAGACGACTTTACAAAAGAGCATAGTATGGACAGCGTAAATATGCTTGCTGACACCCTCCTGCGACTCCCCAAAGGGGTGCAACCGCTCTTGTCCGTTATAATTCACGAGGTCAATTAAAACTGCACGTGTCTCATGCTGTCAACACCGGTGCATCAGCTACTTATGCGAATATCGGGAACAGCTGGTGGGTAAACACACCACCATGTTGGGTACGGCCTGCTGTGGTCTAAGGCAAAGCAGAGACCCTCCTGCTTGGAGATGCCAACTTCGCTCGGCAGTGCTGTTTTGCTCAAAGAACATAATCATGTTCTTTTGGACTGTGGTGGGACGTACCCTACGGTGGGCAGCTTCCGAAGTCTATCTTGTAGCGTGGGATGCGTCCTGCGGTAGTAAGCCTGGCATTTACGTTGTTAACTACCGCAGCAACTATGCGCAATTAATGTTTCGTTCCACCTGTGTCACAGCTCCGAAGTTCGCGAAGTTCTTCCTAGCTCGTGTTTGAGAACTTCGCGGTTTCCCTAGAAAACCAATTACGGATAGGAATTGGACCTTCGCTAGTGCTTGTTAGGGCGTCTTCGTGACTCGCATACACATTGACGGTTGTATGACCACTGCAAAGCACCCTGAGGCAGTTGGACGAACAGAGCGCATGAACCTTACTTTTCTACGGTACATGTTACTCTAGACTCAAAAAATCCTATTGTTTTACTGCATTTTCTTCCGTTTGACGAGTAGCTCCATAATGCAAGAGAACACTCTACCAGGTCTGTGATCAGCAACCACCCTTAGTATTGGAGAGATTCAGCTGCGTAGTTCATGCGGGTGCATGCCTAAGGCTCAAGATAGACAGATACGGAATCAAGATAAGTAGCGGTCGCCCGAGTCATTTGATCCTGAAAATTCAGTCTTTGTGGGTCCGCAAGCTTTACAAGGTGAACCAGAAGGTAAGCAGCCAAAATTGTTTGCCGCGAGGTGGCTAGGACCACTTGCGGTTCTCTCACTACTCAATGCTCATCGTTACTGTATTGATGAGCTTCAAAATGACATAAACTATCAGATTTCTATTTCCTGAAAAACGTTGTAAGCTTCCCAAAGTATTCACAGTTTTTGTCGCGCACGCAGGTGACATGCTGAGATGAAGGATGCCCAGTTTGGCGTAGAAATGCCGGATTCTAGGATCATCAAGCGCAGAAGACAAAATAGGCGGAGGTTTTTTCGTGGGCTAAGTTGGGGAACGGCAGACTAAGTGGCTCCGCGATAAGGCGTTGTAGACATCGTCATGTGTGGGAGAATTTGCTGCTCAGTTTGGTTAACAGCGTAGCTGCCATGGACTGTATTACTCGCGCTTGTTCAGTATTGCTTTTTCCCATCACGTACTCCACTTCAAATAGATGCTTTTTCTTACTGGAAAGCCTTTGATTTGTGTGGGTTAGGCATTTTCTCAGCTTATACTTATGCGCAGGCACTCCCAGGTTACTGGCGGTACATTTCTCCTAATGTCTCTTCCGGAGCTCTGTTATCGCCTATACTGCACGCGACGGCTTTATGTGCATGCAGACATTGCTCTACGAGATACCCAGGGAATCCTAAATCAGTGTATCCTAGCTATTATAACGCATTTTGCTGTTCTTCCGTTTTCTGATAGCAGTAGGCTCACACATTTCAGCGCCTTGACAGCAGCGAGTCATCACGCCGCTGCGGTCGTGCTGGTTGGGCCCTTTGTTTGTAGCTAGCTACTGTCTACAACTCGCTGCCTTGCACGCAATTTCTCTCGGCGTATACATAATAGGCACAGGGGAGTGTTAGAAAACGGAGTGCTGGTGTGGCGAGCCTATATACACAGAAAACACTATCCATAATGCTCGTTACCTGTAGTTAAGAACTAGTGAAGAACTGACAATAAGTTTTTTTGTTTGTATATCTTGTCTATTCCAGCGCATTCTTATCTCAGTACAGCAAGGCGCAGTGCTGTGTGCGTGTGCGCTAGATTGTTATGTGGAATAAACTGTGAGGCTCAGTGCGCGCAGAGGGCGCATGTAGCGCTTGACTTGCCTTTCCCAAAGGGACAAGCGCGTGGAGAGGCAGAAAATGTTTCGTCATGACACTAAAATGTCTAATATTAAGTCTTATTGAGTCTGATTAATCCTTAGGAAGAGTCCAAGTGGAGTTTCACAGCAGTATTGAGTAAGTAGCTGGATCAGAGCCAGCGGACACAGGAGTGACTCATTCAGATGCGCAAGGAGCCCAGGAGGCAGCCGCCAAGGCAGTTCCCCATGCTTTGATATTCTGTTACGCCGTTCTACTACCCTTGAGGCTGCTATTGGGATTAGCAATATTTCGACCGCCACTGGAATTTTGACTGCTGTCACTGCTGCTTCACTGCTAAAGCTGCTGGTACTACTCTTAGTGCTGTTGCTGGCACAAAACCGCGGCAAGCTCTTCAGGACTTCGTGTCTTTCTACTGCTTTTGGTTCAGCATCCAAGTCTCACAAACTGTTGTTGCTACTGCGACTCCAAGTTGTTCGTCTGCAGCCATAACTGAAAATGTGCCACTTAGGGATCTATGTCCATCTCCAAAAAAGTGCTTTATTAGAAGGTATTTCTGCTGCTGAATTGATCGCTGTCATGGCCGGTGCAGCAGCACGAGGCGCACACATCCTATCCAGTGCCAGGTCACCTGGCTGCTGCACGCGAGCAGCGGCAGCCGCAGCCACTGCAGCAGCGCCTGCTAACAGTGCTTACAGCTCCGCGTTGTCTAAGCCCAGGTGCTTGTTTTTTTGAACATGAAAACTTATAGCTGTGGACCGGCGACTCTCTGTAGATCTCCTAGCCTCCCTGCCAAACCTTTGGCAGCTGTCGCCGCCGTCCTGCCGCTTGCAGCAAGCCTTCTTTGTAGTACGATCCCTGCTGCGGCAGTAAGTGAATCTGCCGCAGCTGGTATATCTTAGGGGCGTTGGATATTTTTCACAGTCAGCGTCTCTTTCATGCCCCTTGTGACGGCTGCATTACTCCCTTCGTAAGGGACACCCTTGCATGCATTGTGACGGTTGCTGTGGGTCCTGCTGCTGCAGCACCAGCACAAAACAAACGTATTTGTGGGTCTCCACTTAAATGGCATGACTGTGATGCCTTCGGGGTGGCCCTCTTAGCAAGGCAGCAGCAGCTCCTGCTGCTGCCGCTATCTACAAGTAGCACCAGCGGTAGAAGCACCGGCAGGAGTGGCAGCAGCAAAAGCGACATCAGCAGCAGGTCTGCATGCTCGAGGATGCAACAGAGAACTGGAGCTTCAAAGGTTCTTAGCGCCGTACAAAGATGCGGCAAAAGCCGGTGGGCGGCAGTGCTATTTCTGGTACTGGTGCTGCAGCAGCAGCACCATCACGGATTCGCAGAGCAGCAGCAGCAAACACAGCTAGTGGTACAGGATATTGCGGGGATTAGTGGAAACGCAGCAGAGGATCCGAGCGAAGGCATCCTCGTGTTCGGGAGGACTGATGAGCCTATCGGCAACAGCAGCAACATCAGCAGCGGCATCAGCAGCAACAACAGCAGCGGTAACAGCAACAAGAGCGACAACAGTGAAGGCCATAACACGGCAGGAGAGGCGCTTTCGCAGCTCTCTGGAGAGGCGAAAGTGGCAGGAGGAGGTACAGCGCATGCAACATCTGCAGTGGCACCACCAACAGGGTCTGAAGGAGTAGCAGTATCCCATGAGTCATCCGTAGTAGGCATGCCTTCCTCTGGAACGGCGGCTGCAGCCGCGGCTGCAGGCGGCGACCTTGGCGCTTACAGCTCAGGATCCCTCCCTGCAGCTCTTCCCAAGGTGATGAGGGTTCGGCTTTTTGGTTCAATGTTTTCATACGCTTACTACTTTTTGGATGTCATGGTTGGTACTCCTCCGCAGCGAGAGAGCGTCATTCTTGATACTGGAAGCTCGCTTCTCGCCTTTCCGTGCAGTGGTAAGCGCCGGGATAGATGGACTCGATTCTGCGAAGGAGTGGAGGGATGCTGGGGGCAAGGCGATGGTTGGGGTGGTAAGGATTAGGAGCGGGTGGGTTATCTGGGGTTCGAATTTGCAGTGTATGTACACTGCGTCTTGCGCGGCCGTATCGCGCATGTCGCTGCTTCTGGTTGGGCCCTTTCTGCATGGAGCGTGCTGCTGCAGGCTGCGAGTACTGCGGCACACATTTGGACTCCCTGTTTAATCCTGCTCTTTCTTCCACCGGGATGTGGGTAGATTGCAGAGACACTCTAAAGTGCTTCGGAACGTGCGGCGGCAGGCAGCGGCTGGGTGCCCCTGCCGGCAGCAACAGCTGCGGCTATACACAAACGTACAGTGAGGGCAGCAGCATTTCAGGCATCTACTTCTCGGACAAGGTTTCTATTGGAGCAGCGGACCAACACAATCCCAGTATTCGATACGACTTCATTGGTGCGTGCTGAATGCTAAACGGTCGACCCTTCTGGATCGAGCCGCGGACGCGTGCCGACTTGCCTTGGGGGTCGTTCGCTCTGCGCAACGAATTCATGGCAGTTCTGCCGAGAGGCCCCCGTTCCCCTTCGCCCCCCTTCCTTTCGTCCCCTTTCTCACCCACAGCAAGCCGAAGACGCCGTGTCATATGGCTCGCATACTCGCGGCGATCCGACCGTCCTGCGGCTCGGAACGGCGGGGAATGGGGTGGTGGCCACGAAGGAAACACAAGACGCCACTGCTAGAGAGGGGCATGGACTGCTGCCTTTCCAATAGCCTCTTGGAATGTTTTTGCCTTTTTGCTGCGGGGCGTCTGCGCAGGCTGCCACGTGCGGGAAACCTCCCTGTTTGTTACGCAAAAGGCCTCTGGAATATTCGGAGTTTCGTTTCCCAAGGGTTTCAGACAGCCAACGCTCATCGACGTCATCTTTCAACAGGGCCTGGTCAGGGACAAACTGTTTTCTATATGCATATCTGGTACGCACCGGAGAGGTGCAGCCACGCAGTTAGGTTTTGAGCCTCCACGCGCGCTTAAAAGTGTGGCGGCTCCTGCATCGCTTTGCGAGGACAAAACTTGGGGTTGGAATGTGTGAGCGACGCTGTGTGGCTTAGAGGACGGCGGCTTGTTGACAGTCGGAGGCATAGAGCCAGGTCTTGTTGACTACAACGTTACCTTGGGATCTTCGCGTGTGTCACCGTCTTCCAGGAGTTCTGAGTCGCTTGTAGAGGGAGATAAGGCTGTTGAGGACACTGGGAGGGCCCCCGAAGAGGCCCTGAAGGGGGCCCCCCCTTTGGGGACAAGCCCTGACCCAATGCCACTGATAGCTTGGACGTCGTTTACCTCGCGTGCGGCTTACCGAGTGCAGATCGCGCAAATGGAGGCGGACGGAGTGGTCCTTGGCAGGGGGGAAAGCTCTTTCGGCAAGACGCTCGTTGATTCAGGTAGGGTTTTTTTAGGGCTTTGAACTTGGGGTATAATATTCATTCCTGATGCTAGCCGTGTGCGGCCTTGTCTTTCTTTTTTCTTTGAGGATCGTGGTCCATTTTCTTCTGGTTTGGTGTCTAGGCACGACGTATTCCTACTTCCCGCCGGCTGTGTTTGCTGCATGGAGACAAGTTTTGAACAAGTACTGCAGCCCTGCCCTCTTCTGCCAGCGGGAGAAGGATGGTCGGCCTTGCTGGCGAGCTACCTCTGACTCATTCCTTGCGTCACAGCTCCCCGTAATCAAGCTTACATTTCAAGAGGGGCAGTCCATATCCTGGGCCCCCCAGAGCTACTTGTACAGGCGCACCGGAGGGTAATCCAAAGAACCTCAAACCCCAAGTTGTAAACCCTAACGGATGCGCGTACGATGCGAGAAATTAAAGAAAAGCCGCAGCTGAAGGCACAGCCAGGGCGTGCGGCTGGTCTTTTGGGATTGGGGGTTTAGGGCTTTTAGGGAATGTGCAGCTGTGGCGGGGGAGGAGTTGAGCTTTTCTGGGATTGAAGGGTTGAGGTATATACATACATATACATATGGTTTTGGTGCGAATTCTAAGGTTTTGGTGCGATGGCCTTGACGACAACCACGCGCAGGAGAGTGTTTTAGGCCTGTCCTTTTTTAAGCACAAACAAATAATTTTTGACCGCGAAGAGCATCGTTTAGGAGCCATCAACGCAAGATGCCCCAACTACTTCCTGGAGGAGAGGCCTCAACCCCCAGATGGTGGTAGGCGACTAAACCTGCCTCGAGCACAGCTTAGAAACCCCAGTACATATGCGGCCCTAGAGCGCTGCGAGCCAGTACCGACGGACCGCAAAGCGACATTTGGAAGAGTTAGCCGCACCGACTGCCTCTCGTTGGAGCCATGCACCGGTTCCACATGCCCGCATCTGCGCTTGTTTGAGGCAAGGAACTTGGGGTTTGCAGCGCAGGGTTTCCATACGGTATGCCGGTGTTGCCGCAGGGACGGAAAATGTGGAGAAGGTGCCGCTTGTTCCGGAAAGCTTTAGCGTACGTGAACACAACACCCTCAGGTTGCGTTGTGTGTGCCCTGTTCATAACAGGTTTAAAGAGTGGGGTTGTGGGATTTGAGAGTTTAGGCTCTGCGTCTCGGGTTCTGGGTGCAGGTGCCGGAAGAGTCATATCCCCGCAAGAGTCCTCAGGTTGTTGCTGGCAGTTGGGACACACAAGCTGAAACCGGTAAGAGCTTCCAACCTCGAATTGAGGCCACTATTATGAGCTGTGTACACGAGCGATATGCAAGCGGCCTCGTTAACGCCTACAGGGGTTTCATTGCTCCCGATGGAATGGGCTCCCTGATCGCTACATTGGCCGTTCAGGGTTTGCTGGTTGTTTCTCTGCCTGCGTTGGTGCTCAGCGTCTTTTATTTTTTGGCTGCTCGTGTGTTTTGGAACTCTGTTCCTCGCGGCATACGCTTTGTGCCGCTGCCGCAGGGGCCCCTCTCCTGCTGAGGAGGGGCCCCTCAGGGCCTCCCCTACGAGCGGGGCCTTCCTGGAAGCTCAGAGGAGGGCGCACGAAGCTCGGTTGGCGGTTTGGGAAGCCGCAGGGGGCAGCAGTGATGAAGAATCGACACAGATACAAGAAAAAATACGTGAGCCTCCATAGGCAGATGCATTGCAATGTCTGCTTAAGGGCTAGTGAAGGTTTAGGGTGTCTGCCGAACCATTGCGGTTTTGGACTGTCGGCTGGTTATTGGAATATGGTTTCTTCATGGTGCTTGGCTTCAGGCATCACACCTGAGCCGCTGCAGGATGGAATGCTGTCTATTTTGGAAACCCCCCGGGGGGATTTCCAACATGGGACGACTCTGGGAGATTCTAGTGTATCTCCAACCAAAATGGGCCCCCCGGAGAGACCCTCTACATGCGCGCTTCATACAAAGGAGGATACAGCCGGCTAGCTGGCCGACTAGGTGGCACAGCTAGCCATGTGCATGAATGGCCGTCAGCCATTAAGAGGCAAACTGCTTAGTTCTCCAGTTGTAGCTAATCTATGCATTGAACAGTGCAAGCACTCCGTTGATACTGCCATGTGAAGCTCCACATAAACTGCAGCTCCCAAGGCTGCTCCTGCGCAGTAACAGGAGCGGCACCGGTTACAGTGGCTGTCGCAGCTGCTGCTGGGATGACACTACCGTTGGGATAATTCCGTGGATGGTTTTGCACAGCCTTTCAGGTCCGCATAGCGTCCGTTGTGGGTATCTAGCAGCCAGATGGCTCCTTACGCAAGCTAGCTCTGAGACGGGCACGTCGTCTACTAGCTTGCTGCGTAGTTAGCCAAACCATGGAGTCAGAGCCCATAGAATTTCATTTCCAATGGCCATAGCAAAGGGAATCAGATTTTAAAGAGTCATCTAGACGGCATCAGTGGAAGCGGGAGCAGCTTCTGCTGCTTCTGCATACGGTTTAGGGAGGTTTCTTCGCGCTGAAGGCACAGATACTCCCACTTCTGCTCACAAGTTCTTCCTAGGATATGAAGGCCCACGTTTAAAGCATTTGAGGCTTTTGCAGTTGCAATATATTTTACTCAAGTTGTTGCTCGCATTTTGGTTCCTGAAGGCGCTGCACGTTTGCAGCCCGTTAACACCCCACAGCAGCCCCTCTAAGCTGCCCTATGTATACACCAACATGCATACCAGTAGGAACATAGGGCTTGTGAATTAACAGGAGCACAAGCAGAGTCGAAAATACAAGCAGAGGCTGAAATGTAGCAGCAACGCAAACCCACCATACATGCAAAGAGCGCCTCCTAAAAGTTGCAGGATTAGGCCCCGCAGGAAGCAGCCATGGCAGCAAGTGTAGCGGAAAGAAGCGTCAACATTTTTACTTTACTTGATTGAATCTGTACGTATATGAGCCTTCACACAAGCTGATCTCCCATGTGACTAAGCTTCCAGAAGCCTCTAATATGCTTGGTGTCCCTTGAGGATCGAAGGGAACTAATCCCCTCTCTGTCCGCTGCCACGTCATAAACTGCAGCACACGGGCACCACCTTCAAGTTATGGCAGAGCCGTTCAATTGAGAGTGAGCTACGCTCTTTCTGTTAGTGCTGTGACTGCCGCTGTTGTTGCCGGTCCGGCTCCTCCGGCTTCTAATGTTGTTCCTTCAAAAACGATATTGCATGTAAGTTTTGTCTCAGAGAAAGTAGAAGGGCTTGCAGACTTACGAGGGCTTCACGGCGAAAACACATGCCATACTCTTGCGAATGCCTTAAGCGAAGCTGCAAGCATAATGCTTTCCTGCGCTACAAAAGCCCAAGGGTATGACTAAAGGGGGCTGATATATGGGAGGCGTATAGGGAGTCGCACTGCTACAGAAGCCTCTGAGAAAACTAGGGCTACAGTCAGTGAGAGGGGTCTGCGGCGGCCGCATGGTGCTGTGGGTGTCCACCAGTGGGTTGCTGTAGCGCAGCTACAGCTGGCACTGCAGAAGGCATATTCTTCCGCAGCGTCCGCAACAACTTCTTCCTTCGCACACACTGCGAAGCTCTCCTATGAATCGTATCGAGTTTTTAGAAAAAGGGGATCACGTCTACAAAGGCATCTTGCGGGCGTCTTCCCTCTAGTATATTTCTTCGTGAAACAGCTACCCCACGTCAGTGACACCAACGGCACAGGGGCTAGGTAAGGATTTCCAGAATGGAAAGGTGATTCTATGGTCCCTCCTTGATGCCCGGCCAACAAAAGCCGATGATTTGGAAACATTCAGACGGACTGAAGCTGTCTGAGAGACGCAACTATATCCCTTTCGCCAGTTCATCTGATGGAAGCACACATCGCAACGCTTCAGGACGTTGACTTCAAGGTTTGAATGCGAAAGCATATGCGGCTGAGGCTAGGACTTGGAGGTTGCCGTTCACCAGCCAGCGTTCAGGCTCTAGGGTGACGGCGTTGGATCTTGTAAGATCGACACTCTGGTTTTTCTGCAGTTAATGTGGCCGCTGCTGAGGAGCGATAGATGAAAGCCTTAAGGACGATGACGAACGCGGGTGGCAAGCCCTTGGTGAATCCGCCTCCCTTCTCTCTTGGAGAGGAGGTTACGGAGGTAAGGCTTCCTGTATGCTGCCCGTATTCCGCTCTACCCGGACTTGCTGTCGCCAAGCAAGTGAAGCTGCACGCCTATAACTGAGCACAAGAAGAAAGCGACAGTACATGCTTGTTAGATCTGCCTTGGAAGAAAGAGGGGCGGGGTCTGCATCTTGCGGGGGTCATGCTACTTGTGTCGTTATTGTTCCAATTTCACCGACTGTTGTTGTGACTGCTGTCGACACTGCAGCCAAAAGATTGAGGAGACCTTGCAAACTGGACTTATTTTCAAGCTATGGTCCTTCTAATCCAACCTCAGCAATAAGAGTGTTTTTTTGCGGTAGTGAAACAGCGGGTTTTTCCCCAAACAGTTTGTGGTATCTTGCTCGAGCCTTACAAGTGACCTTGCAGAAACCATAGGCATATTCGCCCCCAAAGTTGCCCCGCAAGCCAAGTCCTTTTGTTTTATCCTCTCACAATACCACTGTGCATGCAAAATTGGTCCAAGATGGCTCTTCATATAATCAAATCCCGGATTGTCGACAAGGGCTAAGAGGGGGGCTGCAGGCTTGGGAGTGGCGGGGGCTACCCCAACGGAGTGGTGACCCAGAGCAGTTCCATCGCGTGTACACAGACTTGCCCTGCCTCGTTCAATGTATTAATACTTGTAATGATGCATTAATGGAGGGCTGACAAGCTGCAGAACCCCTTATTTCGTGAGCTAGTAGCTTTTCCAGTCTATGGCTTGGGGTTTTGCGTAGAGGGACCTCATTCAAGGCCGTATGCAGCTGCCGCTGCGAGGCGGCCAAAATATCACAAAACATGGGACAATTGATACCTTCAGCACGGAAAACAGAAAGTCTTCAGAGGCAAAAGTGGTGCGGGCCTTTCACCGGATGTTACGGCACTGCCACTCAGAGACTTAGGAGTCCAAAAGCATTGACAGGGACAGTCCTATTCCTGCAGTCCATTTAGAACGTTTCCCGAGTCAGGTTTTAAAGGGGCTTAGAACACCTCCGAGCCCGGCTTTGTCTTTCGCTAGTTGCCTTCCTAAGGGTATGCAGGAATAAATAGCGACTCCTCAAGGAATTTCGACAAGGCGGAATACGCTGACTGCAATGGCCACACTGGGTCCTAGATTACCTCCGGCCGCCTCCCCGGCTACCGACACGCTCACTCCAAGACCGCCGTAAAGCCTAAACTTTGAGACCCTATGTTGTGACACAAAACGACATGTCGTAACCCCTGTGCCCTACAATAGGGCTTCCTAAGGGGTAGCATTGGTTATATCTTAAGGGTGCAGTGTGTCCTTCGCTCCGTAGGGTGAGGTCGTGCAACATGATGTTCGACAAGCGGATCTTACGGGGTGTTCCCTTTAAGCTGCTAAAGGTGTGCACTCACTCCAGGAAGCCCAGCAGACAGTTGCCTGTACACTGCATATATGCTCGCTACAATATAGGAGAACCCGCTTGCATAAAATACAATATGCCGCACAGTGTAGCCATAAGTCAGGTATGCGCTTGGCAATCATAAAAACCATTGCTTAGACCTCCACCGAAGATCGATCTAGGGCATTGAATTTAGTGTTTGCCGTTGAGGACTTGTCTTTAGTGGACTCTTCTTCGTTTCCAATCAGTGTGACAAATGCATTTATACATCCGTGCAAGGCGTAGGGAACGATCCGTCTTTTTCTGGCTTTATGTCTACGGTTGGCATCACAATGTGGCCTCTGTGGCTTTGTAGGAGCAGGAAAGCCCCCTTGCCTCATCCTCATCTGTTTTCTCGCGCGATAAGCTCATGCGGGCTCAGCGCACTTCAGCGCAGGCTTCGCTTTTGAAGCAAAAGCAAAAACATCAGCGGCAGCCGCAACAACGAACAATGCGGGGCGCAACAGTTGTGCCCTCTTTTCCCGTGGATGGTGGGAAGGAGATAGGCTTGCAGACCGATCCGCACATCGTGACGCTTACAGCAGTAACGAAGGAGGCAGATGCATCAGCACAAACAGACGCAATACGGGATCGCCCTATGTCTCCTCTTCTCGCCCTTAGAGCTGAACTTGTAGACGCTCACACTCAAATACAGGACGGCGAGCTATTCAACTTTGACGAGTAATTCTAAGCCACAGTTTCGTGAACAATGCTCCGTCAGCTTGATGCCACAAAAAGAAAAAGAGTTCGGCAACATGCAGGAATTGGGGTTGAGGGTTAGAGGGACTGGAGTAGAGGGCATGTATGCAGGGAAGTGGTGCCAGTGCTGGAGGTCCTAATTGGGCGTGTGATAGAGCAGAGCCTTAGCGAGGTAAATCCTTGACCACTAATCCTAAGCCTCAAAAGCAAGGCTGTGCACGGTCTCGACAACAGATTAGGATTTTATATGTAGTGTTAATGGTTCAACGAAGTCTCAAGAGAGCACGGGAAAGATGGGGGCAAGGCAAGGGGCAGCAATAATTTAGGCTCAGCAAGCTGAAAAAAATATAAAGCAATACTGACATGGATCAACAGGGGGAAAAGGAGTACTATGAGCAAGCATTGCTAGTATTAGAGCATCAGTAACAGAATGGGCACAGACAAAAGGACACCACAACAACGGAAAGTGTACGGTAATTTGTATGAGAGATACGGAGATTCAGAGCACACAATCACAGGGAACATTTCTCGAATCATGCTCTTGTAAAATCAGGTAGTGCAAGAAGAGGAGCTAACTGCCATCCAGCAACAGCGTGAGGCCTTCGAACGAGAGAGATTGCAGCAAATAATCGCCGTTCAGGCCCTGGAGGCAGCGACGCAAAGACGCCAGCAAGAAGCCGTGCATACAAGCCCTAAACCCTAAACGCTGAAATCAAAGTGCTAGCTGGACTCTGCATTTCCCCTTTACCCGTTCTCATCTGTACTAGAATTACGTTTTGTGGGTCTGTCGCTGTGTTACTACCTTCCGGCGAAGGCCAGGCGAGTGGCAGAAGCAGCTGCGCACGTCAAATTGGAGCAGTTTGCAGCACAGAAGAGAGACGCCGTGGCCTTTGCAAAAAAATTGCTTAAGGGCTCAGATGCGGCACTGCTAGAGGAGTTGAGGGAGGAAGGGCTCTTTCTCGCTCCTAGCACGGTGAGCTGCCGGTGTGAAGGCATATTTCAGACTGACATGTGCGGCTACTATATTTGGCGAGCTGGAACAGCCGACCGTAAAGTACAAACACTGGCATGGAGAGTCACAGCACACAGCAGAATATACGCCCTATGTATGTTATGTATTTGTAATATACGGAATTTGAGCACGCCACATTCAAGTGAAGATGCACCTTCTGAGGCGCTGTTGCATCTGCTTGGTCACTGTGTTCTTCTGGCTGTTGCGTTATTCTCGTTTCTGTTCTGTTGACATGTATCTGCTATCCCTTCCATTGATTTCTCGTTACTCTTATATTCCATCCCTTTCCTACCGTCCAATTATATATTTCCTTGCATGGCTAACTATTCGCTCACTGAGGGCCTCTCTGGTCACTTGCGTGTTTGCTCACCGAAGGCCGCAGTGGAGATATCCGCCTGGCCACAGATCCTACCGAAGGCAATCCATCTGGTACACACTCTCAATCTAAGCCCCAGGCAGAATGTTTGTTTACCTTGATACATTGCTGGTGTCAAAAGCACAGTGGGTGCTCATTAACATGATGCATAAGGTTTGGAGACTGCCTTATCGTCTTCAGGCCATGCATCAGACTGAAAGAAACTTCCAAGTCGTTGCAGGTTTCTGGGGCCCTAAACCTAAAACTCTTGACCCTAGAGCTTTAAAACCAACCCGCAACATTGCTTTCTTAGTCTTTTGCTGCGCGTCTACACGGCTATTAACGGCCCTGAGCTGTCAATAGCAAGAACACTCCTTAAACCCAAAGCCGTGTATCTTAGGCACTTTGAATGGGTGTGCTTTACAGGCGTTGCTAATGCCGCGTTATCCCCTGTGGTCGCTGTGATGAGCGACCTCGTTACAGCGTACACATTGCACCGTGAACCTCAAGCCCCACGCCCGAAGCCTAGCATGGAACCCTAATTCCTAAATACAAAGCTCCAGCTGTAAACCTGAGATTGCGTGCTACATTGTGCGATGCAGACGGCAGAGGCAGGCTTTAGCACATGCAGAAAAGAAAAAAAAACAAGTTGAAGCTTTTGACAACCGCGTAAGGTGCTGTGATAGCAGCACAATGGGTAGAGATGCATGTGCACTGATCAGCAACTGCAGAAGGAAGAATGATTAAGTGGCGCCGAGGAAGATAGCCAGGAAGTGCAGGACCATTGCTGTTTGCTGGTCTTTGTTTGCTACAGATTGCACAGCGGCGCCGGGAGGCTGAGGAGCGGCGGCTGATGAAAGGAGTGGACACCTTAGAGGCGACACGAGAAATGGAACGGATGGAGAAAGAAAGAGAAGCGCTTGTAGGCCGAGCTTTAGATGCGCTGCCGTCTGTGTATTGATGCTCGCCCATAAGCCGCACTTTACCTCAGGAAAATATATCGGCCCACAAAACTTTGGGACTTTTTGTGCTCGCTGCAATTTGCACTAAGTGCGGAAAAAACGGCAACACAAATATACGACCTTCATTGATCTGTATTATTAACATGTGGCTGTTGAAGGTGTAGACAAAGAAGTAAAGTGCCAGATTGTGTGTGCTCACTTCTCAGGAGAACGCGATGTTGGCCAACGAGGACCATAATGTGTTGCTTCTGCCAAATGATGAGGAAGAAGAGCTTCATACCGAACAAGCTTCGCAAGAGGCACAGCAGACAGAAGAACACTCAAAACTTGAAGAATAACTGCAATCATTCAGCTCTAAACCGTCAGCCTGGACCTCTAGGGTCTTATTCATACCGTACTAACTTTTCCAGCAAGCAGGTGCATGGCATCTTTCATCAGATCTGCACATATACGTGAGAATCGACGCAGACTCACCTGCCGCGTAAATTCATCGGATAATGTCCAGAGAGCATGACATTCCCAATGCTGAGAATGCAGTAGGAGTCCTGGCTGAGGCCCCACCTTCCCGCATGGGTTGTACCTGTGTGCTCACATCAGTGGATTAACAGCAACCACATGTGTAGCTCTGCTGATGAGCAATAGAATAAAGTGAATAAATGCTCAGCATCATAGAAAAGGAATGCCTGTATCTTTCTGGTTAAGCAAATGATCTCTGGAAGCCATTTGCTGCGAATTCGGGCCTCTTCACGAAGGCCACATTGGGTTAAGTAATATCACTAGGGTTTGCGAAGAGCTTAGAGTAAGAAGGATTACTTAAAGTGGTCGTAATATAGCTTATTGGACGCACAGGACGCGCGTCATATACGGGCAGAGCCTACCGGGGTGCAAACAGATGTCACTGGAATGCTGACAGAACACGTGTACAAGTACGCCTGAAAATCCATTGCCACCGCTGACAGAAACACAGAATCTGAGATGCCTGAAGAATGTGTCGTTACACCTAGATACCTTAACAGGTCCAAGAATTAGAGGTACGCTGCCTTGGTTGGCCACGCAGCCCGATTACGAAGACTACCCATATTACTCTTTAGACGAACCGAGTTACTGGTACTACCAGGATTCTTCTGGTTATTGGGACCCCAGAGTCCCTACGATGGCAAAAAGATGCCTTGTGAGCAACCTTCAAATGCAATGCAGGCGATAGTTCACACAACTTCTGGCCAGCTATGCAAGGAGCATCGGCTAGAAAGCAAACCCCTTAGGTTTTGTGGGCCCTTACACCGACACAGTGTGCCGCCGTGGGTGTTTGTAGCAATAGAAACACAGCGATCGCAGCCGTCTACCTTGCCATTCTATCACGCAGATGCAGCACCACTACCCCTTTCTGAAACAGCATAAACACCAGCAGCTCATTCTCTGGACTGCACAGTGATGGGCAGGAGTGGCAGTAGTTGGTTGCACGCCCTAGTATACCGCCACCGCCTCCTTATAAACTTTACGTATGCATGTTCTATCGCCACTCCTAGAGAAGAGAGCATCGTCTTTATTGCAGTCACTTGTGCCTGTAATGGATACCCATGGCATCCTTGTCAGTGGGCCCTTTGCCCCACCCGTTGACTCAAAATTCAAATATGTATTGATCGCCTCTTGTTTTAGTCCTCTCGTAAGTTTCATATCGCATCCTTCGGTTTAGGAATACCAATGTTCGTGAGGAGTTCTGAAAGCATACCAAGCCGTGGCTGTTCTCCTTCGATTCACCTCTGCCAGGATGCCTGGGGGGTACAACGCTAGTTTTGAGCCAATGACTGAATATCTAAGCCTCACAAAAAATTGAAAAGCCAAAGACTGGCGTTGATGCGAACTCGGTGGGGTATCAACTAAAGCATTCTAATGGCACACAGATGCGAAAGCAGTAGAGAAGGGTGCTCGTACATCGGGGTGTCTCAAGTGTAAACCAAAAGTACGTGCTGTGGGATATTGACTTAAGAAGGCTAAGAAAGAAGATCGCAGTCATGCCCAGTGCAGTAATCTTTTAACTCGTACATACGACCTAAAAAAATCTGGAGTTTTTGCATCAAGTGCACCTGCATCTGCTCTTAGAACTGTTGCACAATGGATGGAAAGGGAAGAAGGCCATCCTTCCTGTCCTGTTCAAGTTGCTGCTGCAGGAGTCTGATTTTCTCCATGTTCCTCTGTGAGTCCCCCTTCTTCTTGCTGTTCGGCGCGTGAAGCACCCGGTTTGCGTCCAGGTCAGCAGCCAACGACAGCAGCCAGCGACATGAGTTTATCTGCAGCAGAAGCAAGGGAAGCTGAAAACGCCACAGGCGTGAAAACAAGAGAAAAGTAACAGCTTCTTCAGATGCTGCACTGTGCGCGGGGAGGCACACCCTTTGATACGCCAACAAGAGCAAACACAGCGTGGTACAAGTCAGCAACAGTTTCAGCACCAACTCACGATGCTAATGATGTGGGCCTCCATGAGGAAGGTGTCCACTGTCAGCGACGCCAAATGGCCATCCTCATTCACCTAAACACAGACCGTACGCCATGAGCTATGGGCGCACTAGGTTGCCGAACAAAACACAAAAGGATGGGTGGGAAGGCACCGAAGAACAATACAGCGCGAAAGCTTTGAGACTTGGAATGTCGTGAGGGTTTGAATTTCTGGAGATAGTTGGGTGTCCGTGGGGGGCATACAAGCGCTGCGTCCATGAGGCCGTAGAGGGAAGAAGTGAGGCGCTGTAGGCAGAGATCCAGCCCTCTGTGCTGCGCATCTGTGACCTCTGACATGGCAGAGGCTTTTGATTTGGGGTGTTGCCGCTATGGTAGCTGTTGCTGCTGATGTCGAGCTCGTGCAACAGATGTCGAAGGTCCAAATGATGCAGTTCGACACTTGTTCTCTGTCTTAGAGAGTCGCCTGGCACCTCTGTAGTAGGTGCTCTTGCAGCAACAGTGATAGCTGCCGCCGCTCCACTAAAAACAGAGGGTTCCTATTCCTTCAGCCTCTTGCCTCCGATGCGACTGAAGGGTATCTGACAGTTCGGGTCCTCGGGGAATTGGTGATCACCGTTTTACGGATTAACCCGGGCTGCCATTTCGCTGCATGCGCGCGCTGGAGAGTGAGACACGAAATCTATACCATAGACGTTGGAGCGCATTATGAGACTCAATAAGAGAGCAGCTTGAGCTTAGATATTGACTGTTCAGGTGCTGCTCTCGGTTTCAGCTCGCAAGGGTATAGGTTTCCGGGGCAGAGCATGAGTGCATGCCGAGCAAATTGGCCGAAGAACACAGTGCTTGGGTTTTGGAACATAAGTCTAGCTCCCCCATGACATATGGGATATTATATTTTCATGGATTTGCGTAGCTTGCTAGAGTGTGTAGGGTTTGGCGTTTGGCAGCAGTGCTGTCTCGACAGTTGGCTGGCTAGAGCCGCGGGGCTGCCCCTCCCTGTCGTGTTGCATGTGGGGTTTTGCCGTGCAGGCTCAGTAGGCACTACACTCTTTTTGAGCCCCTTTTCCCCAGTGTCTTTTTGTTTTTCGCGAGGTTTTTGCGCAAAGCACCAATACCTGAAAATGGCTGGCAGGAACGAGCGCACCTACATCATGGTGAAACCCGACGGGGTGCAGCGCGGGTTGGTCCCAGAAGTTTTTAGCCGCTTCCAGCAGAAGGGATATCAGTTGGTGGCTTTGAAGATGAAACAGCCGACGACGCAACTGCTCGAGCAGCACTATGCCGACCTTAAGGGCAAGCCGTTCTTCCCCGGACTTGTCAACTACATGGCCAGCGGCCCTGTTGTCTGCATGGTATGGAAGGGTACAGACGTTGTGAAGCAGGGCAGGAAGCTCCTCGGCGAGACACGGCCTCTTGAGAGTAACCCCGGTAAGCTATGTTCACGCACAGCGACTGCTCTTTCAAGGGATGCATGTTTGGAAGACCAGCGCTGGCGCTCCCCGAAAGAGCCGCCTTTGGGGTTCTTTGTCTTAGTGCGGTACTGTGTGTGGCTTAAGCTGTCTAAGGCCGGGGTGGGAATAAATGCGCTGAACTGCCTTGCGCGTAGAGAATATTGACCTCGCTTCGGGTCCGCACAGGGACGACGTTTGGGGGTTCAGGGTGGTGGGTTTGCGTCTCAGGGACTCTGCGTGGTGACTTCTGTATCGACGTTGGTCGCAATATTGTGCACGGATCGGATTCCGTGGAGTCAGCGGAGAAGGAGATCGCCCTGTGGTTTTCCCAGGACGAGATCTGCGAGTGGACACCCGCGGGCAACAGCTGGATTTACGAGTAAAGTTTAGGGTTTGAGGTTCAGGCTCCAGGCTTGGGGTGCGAGGCAGAGAAAACTGATCGGCTGCAATCCAGGCAGGCGAAGATCCGGCGCCCGTAGACCAACCCGTTGTCTTCACCCGCAATTTTGTGGAAAGGGGTTTACGGATTACAGCGGGTATGGGCACCCTCACCGCTTAGTGATTTGCCGGAAAACAACCAGCTGTTTTATTTAGAGTTACTTCAAGGCGTTTGAGTGGTCTGAAGACTCAGAGCGATCTGTGTGTTGGTTGGCTGATGCAGCAGAGAGGGTGGTAGCCTTGCACTCTGTCGGTGAATGATGGTGGCATATCGGGTTTTAGGGTTAGGTTTATGGTTTAAGGATACGAAAAGCCAATTTTAGTGTAGTACTTGGGGGGGGAGGCATTTGGTGGGCTCTATGGTGTCCTCTTAATCTTTCGCATTGCCTTGTTTGTTCACCATGAACGAGACAAACAAAGTGCACCAGGCGGGGACACAAGGCGCGGCCCGAAAGAGAGGCATTAAGGCCATACACAGTGATAGAGACAGGCAGCAGGGATGGAACTATGGAGGGTGAAATAATGCGATGATAGAGCAAGAAGAAAGTGAGGGCAGATTGGCTTAGGTACACTGTAGCGCCCCATATATGATATCCGTCACTTAACTACAGATCGAATGCAAAGACGTAGATTTTTTGACCTTCCGAAAGACCGCCGCCTACTCCTTGCCCTACTTCCGCAGGATTTTTGCACAAAGGGGGAGGAAGTGGTATTGTGGGTGTTATTGCATTTTGTAGGCTCTCGGAGCATTCGCAGCTAGTTGTATGTGGAATTGAGCGTATGCGCACTCCCTACATTACTGCGCGAAGTTCGCAACAAATAGCACGTAAGAAAAGTGAAGCTAAGTAGTGAATTGTTTGCAAACAATTCACTTAAATGTAAATCAAAATGTGATAGAAGGGGCTAAAGGTCGCGTAGCTCACTACATATATGGGCAGGAGGGGAAGGTTCAGGTAGCCGTGCGAAGGCGGCGCAGAGTGCCACAAGTGAGGCACACAAGAGGATGGAATGCAAACCACGCAAAAGGGTGGCGAGGAAATAGGAAGAGAAGAATTGTTTGCTCTTGTGGGATACTTCGAGGTGCGGTGAATTCCCAATCGCAGAAGCACCGGATTACTCGCTACGTGATGCCTGGACTTCGACACTTGTCAGTGGCTCGAGATTTAGTCTACTAGGCCCAGTAGCTAGCGGCAGTGAAACGAAAAGCAGATCTAGGCTTTTATAAAAAGGAAGGGCCCAACTGGTGTTGTCCAGGCGTTAGCTCAGATCATCCAGTCCTTAGGACGGTTCGTCCGTGTGTTCACTTAAACGCATGAAGCTACACCAGCCTTTGCAACGGCGTATCTGACCGTGCATCTGTACTGTTAACCACGTGTCAACGTGCATGGGGTCTGTTCAAAAGAGGCAGAGTTTTGATGATCGCAGCGAGGCTTGAGAGGGTGCATGCTCCCTGCGTGATTTTTGGGGATGGTACCAGGGCTTCTAACCCTCTTTATGCCTTCGCAGTAGAGCTGGCTGACCGCTTGTGGCTCGAATTTACAAAGTGATGCAACGTTTCATAGGCAGCTAGCCGCACTTGACTTCGACATTGGCGTGCCGGTGGATCCTGAGACAGCGGCCCGCTGTCCTACAAATCCATTTGTCAAAGCCAAAAGTTCATGCTCTATACTAAAGCCAGCAAAATCCCCATGTACACTACTTTTTTTCAGTGCGACTGCTACAGCGGCTGAACTGTGTCTCGGTGGTGCAGCAGCTGTGTGAGGAGTCGCGTGGGCAGCATCGATTGCATCGTTTGGCTCGCTGCGTGTCGGCAGCGGCTGATGGCTCTGCTACTCTGTCTGTTTGCTCGTAATGCTTCTTCTTATTACACCCTGGAACCTCTACGCCCACTAAAAGGGGCTTTAGAGACAAAAGCTAAGTTTGAGGGATTGAGAGCCGCTCCACCTCGCGCTGGCCTCTCCTCTCGGCCGCGCAGGTCAGCCGAGAGCGCCCATGCGCCAAAATTCTTCGTGGCATTTACTACCTCCTCTTCCTTTTCCTAGCACAATTTTTTGCTGCTTAGTACAGCATTGACACACAAGAGAGGCCTACCTGCTCTGTCTCAATCCCTTTCAGTTAGAAGCCTTGTCGTGCTAGCTGGGGCCGGTGCGCACAGTGTCTCTGCATCCCCAGCGCTACCCAAACACTCGACCCTAAAACCTCAGTATTTGTCCAATATGGAGCCATTCGGGATCGACAGCGGGGACGTCCCTCCGCTGTCTCAGCAGAGTAGCCTCCGCACGTTGGCCGACCGCTTTGCATCGAGGGCTTCCCAGCCATTAACTGCCTCGTTTTCCCAACAGATGAGCTTTCCGGAGGGTGCCCCCGAGGACATCGGCAAGCAGCTCACTCGTCAGCTGACTCAAATGATGAACAGTGGGGCGGCCAATGCTTACACCGACGAGAGCCCTCGAGGAGAAGAGCATTCTCCCCTTGTTTATTACCTGGGAGCACGGCTCCTCCGTTCTGGATTGCTAACACAGGTCACCGCTCTGTCCCTCCAGATCCTTTTCTTTCTCCTTTTTGGGGGAAATGGATGGTTCAATGCCAACATCTTTGCTGCCCCGGACGCCCTCAAAGGCGCTTCCGTGTATGTCCACCTTAGCGCCTTCCTAGAAGTCGCTTTCCTATTGGGCGTCATTCAAGTTGCGGCTTTCCAGGTCCTTGTCGCAGACAGCAGCAAGTGAGTAGTCCTTGGCCCTGTGACCAAGGGTTAGGTTACCACACAAATACCACCCAGATCAGCAACTGCACCAACAACAGCTCCCAGCTTCCTCTCCCGTTTGTTTTCGTTGGCACGTGAATACACATTCTGAGGCAGTGATGCGTTTTTGCGATACGTTAAGCCACGCGGCCTTTGCTGTCCTCTTCTAAGTCGTTTGCCCTGCCCCCATCCTCTCGCCTTCTCTGCCGCCCTCCCGGCGGGTTGACGAAATGCCTTCGTGCTTACCGTGTGGCTGTCCAGATGCCACCGTTTAGTATCTTTCCTCCAGCACTGATCCTTCTTGGCTGCCTTTTTCATGGTGGCGAGTGAGCTGTGCGCAAATGCGTTTGATGCTGATAGGTGGACTGTTGGCTTCCGTTCTGGATCAAAGATACTGGCATGTGCTGTATCATTGGACGTGGCGTCCGCAGCTCTGCGTGTGGCCTCCTCGTTACACTTCTGCCGCTTTGTTTCTGCCCGTTGGCTAGGCCGAAACATGCAGCTTAGAGGCGAGTGGACCCTATCATACCTAGGCGGAACGTTGCAGGGACTCTCTCTCTTCTCGTATGGCCTTGGATTCGCCGCACTAGAGCTCTACCACGACAAAGGCACGAAGGACGAGTACGCCTGGGGAATGCTTTTCCTATATCCCCTTGCAGCCATCGCAAGTAAGCCCCAGCCCTTATACTGCTAGCTCTTAAACACAGCACATGACACTTGATGGGACCTACATATTGTAGGCTTCTGCTCAGAAATTCAAACAGCGAGACCCATACGTTGCCCCGGAATAAGTGCCACTCACCCTGGTTGCATAATCACGCGAACTAGAAGTGGATATCCAGTGGGATGCAGGTATCACTGTCTTGCAGCGCTCCAAGCGTGTCGTGTCCCTTCAGAGGTTTCAAAGACTCTTCTGTGTGTGGGCTTTTTATTGTCTTGCGCACACCGCAGAACTGAGCAGCATCTACCTCTCCGTGACCTCATTGTCGCCGCTGCTGCAGCTAGCTGCGCTTGTTCTGGCGTATGTGTGGGCCGACACCTTCGAACCGCAGCTCGAGCGCTGGAGTCCAGAGCTACATACGCGCCGCCTAGACGAGAACATCCTCCCAAACCCCCGAGAGGGGGCACCAGGAGGCCCAATTACTGAAGGAGAAACCTACACCTACACAGCCGTCCCTACGATGACAGAAAATGCAGCCTCGGGCGCACCCATGGGGGCCCACAGCAGAGACATCACCTCCAGAACTAGGCCCTTCGAGACTTTGAACACCTTAACATCCTCAGGCAGCGTCCTTGACGGTCTCCCCACTACCTATGACTACGATGTACTGCAGCAACAAGTTAGGAGCCACATGGAGCAGCAGCAGCAACAACAATGAAGACGACGCGCGGGATACACAGACATCGCGCGCTGCAACAGGCACTGTGGCAGTCGCAGCAGACACTGTAGCACCAGCATCGCTTTAGAGCACAGGACAGAGAAGGCTCCCGACGTGCCGGCCACTTTTTCTGACGCTTCCTTTCCTGTTAGCACAGGTTCTAGGCGCCAGGGAGAACTGCAAAAAATTGCGTTTTAAGTAAGCGGGCGAAACGGATGAGCTGAAGCCGAGGTGTGCCTGCAACTCGTGGCAGTAACCGGCAGCACAACTTCTTGTCTCACGCTGCTACTGCAGCGTTTGACGGAGCTGCGGCGACTGCGGCTATTAAAAATTGACACAAAGGGAGATGAATTTGAAAGACGTTTGTTATATATACATATATATCCGCTTTAGGGCTTGAGGAGAAATTTTAGAGACCCGCAGCCAGCACAGCATGTTTCCTGCACCACACAGACAATCATTCAAAGACAGCAGCTTGGCAGCGCGAGACTAGCTGTTTCGCCGTAGTCTTTGTTCCCTCGGCAGAAACCAAGTCAACCTGCATGCCAGGGCTTTCAGCCAAGAAGCTCACTCACAGATTGTGGGTTCTGCGTGCATGGGTAGCTTACGCGGGTAAGGAAACGGTTTTCTCTGCCTTTCGCGACGAAGAGCTGCGCCCCGCACTCGGCGCACTCAATCTTGCGGGGGCCCTGTATGTGTTGCTCGGGATTCTGCTGCTGCTTTTGCAATAAATCCCTGATGGCCTCTCCATGCAGGCCAGTACGGGCTCGAGGCTTCCGCTTGGACGCCCCTGAGCATGCACCCTCGATAAGAAAACACCTGGAAAAGTAGCAAGGGAGGGAGCAACAGAGACACGTGTGCAGCAATGTGCCTAGGAGCCCAACGGACCTTTTGTTTCGCGGCCTGCAGCTTCCTGCAGTAGCGGTGGTTCACACTGGACAGAAGTGCTTGCTTTTCTTGAGCCGAAAAAAGAACTCAGTAGCCTGCCCAAGACACTCTGCTGCGGCTGCTGCTGCTCCTCGCGTTTCTGTTGCGGTGGTGCCTCGCTTTTGTCATGGCGCAGTTTGCTTGGCCTTGGCTGCTGTCTTTTGGGCTTCTGCGGGGTCGGCTGCTGCTGATGCGATGGAGCCTCATTCAAGCCTATGGAGTGGAGTAGAGACGTAGTTTCCTCGGATGCAGCAGTTGCGCCTGCCCCAGCGGCAGTAGCTGCTCGGGTAGCATCAGGGGTTCCTGCCGCGAGCCTGCCTTCTTTGGGGCACTTCTGCTGCTGCCCTTGCTGCCCCTGTTGCTGTAGCTGCCAGGGTGGATTCTTACGGAGCACGCTGCTGCTGCTGAGGCTGTCTTGGTTGTGGCTGCTGCTCGTTCTGCTGCGGAGTGTTGCCTGCAGTGGCGGCAAGGTGGAGGAGGCCGTGTCTGGGGGCTGAAACTGCGTGAGGAGTCGTGGCTGCTGACGCACTAGACCACAGCAGCGGTGATGTGCGCATGCAAACAGCAAAAGCACAAACAGTGAGAAGCTGGCATGCCTACCCATCCTGTTCACAGCCTTGTTCTCGCCGCTGAAGGTAGCAGCAGCGCCTGTATCTGCACGCAGCCACGTGTGCGGCGGCAGTAGTAACAGCAGCTGCAGTATGCTGGTTGGAAGAAAGGGCAGATGGGGGCAGAGGCAAGCCTTGGCCAGCCCACGTCCCCCGAGCGTCGGCCGCAATACCGAGCTACCGCTGATACTGCCACCACTGTCTTCCGTGAGTTAAAGTAATGATTGTGCTGATCCAGCAATAGGGAAATGTGTTAGGTGGGGGAGGCCTCCGTGTCTTTAGCATCGGAGTACCCTGGGGCTGCCGAACGGGAAGACAAACCTACGGCCTCAGAGCGCAAGCGCCATGTCCTACGCCCTAAATCCTCCAGCTAGAACACACATTAAATGAGTTTCTACATGACTACAACATAGCGCGTCTTTATTAAAGGGCAGGAAAATTTAGCGCTCTCAGCTGTAGCTGCTCTCGTGGTTGTTGCTGATGGACCCGGCAACAGTTGCAGTGACCTCCTACAGCTGGCGGCACCAGCAGCAACAGATTCCTGTAAATGTTTTTATCTCTCTCTCGGCATTCCTCTTGTCTCTCTGTACAGTAGGTTGTAGCTGAAGAGCAGCAGCAACCAGCCGTGGCCAGCAGCTGTCCGCAGCATCCGGCGGCGGCACGTTCAAGCAAGCGGCTGTCGCGGCAAATTGGTGAAGCATTACGACCTTTGGGCTCAAAAAGCGGTAGAAAGCGTAGTACTGGGGGCTCCAGCTGCAGAGAGGGTACGATCAATCAGCTAAAGCAGCAGCAGCAGAAACAGCAACAACAAACTTCGGCAGTCCCGTGGCGTAAGAGAGGCAGCGACCTCAACACACAGAATTATAGCGCCCCGAGCCGCACACCCTACTCGTCCTAGGCATCCCCATTACCCTAGCAGAGTACTTGTGGAGGAACGGCCGAGCCCACCAGCTGAAGGCTTTGTGCTGTAGGGATTAGCGACTTAGGGTGTAGGATTTTTCTGCATCGGCATTTCCCCGCACTTGATCAACGGGTTAAGATGGTGCGCATCCCATTCCTTCCACCTTCATCCCCCAGCCCGAACCGAATCATAACAGGAGTCATGCGTGGCTCCACTAATTCATAACACTTTCTGTGTGGCTGCTTTCAGTGGGACCTCGGCCGCAGCATGGCAGGTTTTTGGGGTGGTGGTGGGGAGGAGTCTGGGGGCAGCTTTACTGCGAATTATACGGCGTACCCCGTTTCCTTCGCTGCCAAGGATCACCTGGAAAGCGGCAACAAGAGTAAGAAAAACGAAGCGTACAGTACGGGTGTATTCATCGCGGAAGGCACGAGAAGCACGCTTCTGCGCCAGCTTGATATCTTTCTTTCTTGAACAGTAGGGCTTGTGGATAATGCAACGCGTTTTTGCGCAGTCCTTCTGCCTCCTTCGGCCCTCCATGCTCTCGCGCGCCTGCACATCTCGTGGCCAATGCACTTCCGCATCAGCAACACCGCAAAGGCGAGAAACCCTAAGCCACGAGCCTTGCACTGCCTCACAGAGAGCCTTAGTCAGCGGGGGTCTCTGCATATACGCAAGTCCGGCTTGGTGCATGTCCGACAGATCTTAGGTGAACGGTTGTTCGCAGCAATTTGGGATCAACGGGAAGGAGGCCGGAGTCTTTTATGGATGCTTTGCAGGATCGCCTAACGCACTGCGGCGTCTTGGAGTTCGTTTCGGAGGAAGGAACATGTTACATGCCTTACTGGGTAAAACCGACACTCAGTGCACTGCATGGAGAGCAATGGCTTATGTATAGTGTTTACAGCGTGAATTCCCGGCTTTCCTTGTGCGCGGGAGTCTAGCCCGAGAGCTTGCCGAGTTTGTGGCCTAGGTTTTTTGCGACCAGTCTTTTTGAACTCAAGATTTACGGTTCGCCGCATGGGGATGACATATTGGGGGTGGGAGTCGGTGGTTTGTTTCGATTGTGGCTTGGGGTGCAGATGATGCAGAACCTGGAGCTTGAGGAAGGAGGCCTCGTCACCGTGACCAACGTGTCTCTTCCCAAAGGGACCTTCGTGCAGCTTCAGCCCCTTGAGACGGAATTCCTAGATATTAGCAACCCGAAGGCCCTGTAAAACATCGACCCGAGCTTTCGTACTTCACGCAACACTCTGTGTAGCAGCCTGTGTCTGAAAATCTCGTGTCGTATTGACACTTTTCACTCAGCTCAGAATGCGTGCAAGAAAACGCACCAAAGGTTTGGGTTTCATGCTCCAGGCTGGAAATGGCTTTGCGAGGATACGCGGCGCTGACAAAGGGCGAAGTGGTGTCACTCCCCTTCCTAGACCACGTCTACCACCTCCTTGTGGCGGTAAGTTCTGCTTCCCAGAATAAACACAGGGACTATGAGCTGCTTGGCGCGTGCATGTGCCTTAAAGTTCGTCCCGAGCCTCGACACATACGGCCCCAGTAAAAAAGCCTTCACTCTAGATCTTTACCGTAGTCCGACGGCCGACGTCTGTGCCTTGTGGGCTGACTGCAATCGCCATTTAGTTTAGCGTGGCACACAGTATCGTTAGCTGTCTTTCACCCCCAAAATCTTACTTGGGAGATGTGCCATCATAGGATCTACGGCCGGCCCCCGCCGTATCGATTGTGGAAACGGACATAGAAGTAGAGTTCAAGGCCCCCGAAGCTTCAGCCCTTCCCACACCTCATCCGGACGCCCCTGGAGGTAATGCAAACGGTTGGCTGCAGAAACAGACCGTTTGTCACGCTCAGACTCATCTGCCATACAAAGAAATGTCTGCTTATCGTGCCATTTGCTGCCACAGCGGTTTCTGAGGGTGGATACGTGAGCAGCGACGAAGCCTCAGACGATACAGGCGAACCCAATAGCGTGAGCCATATGTCTAGCTTTAAGATTCAAGGGTAAGGAGTAGGAGGCGGGGTTGCTGCTCCCCGACGTTTCGTACGGACGATTCTAGGGCTTGAGGTCTGCTTGTTTGCGCTGCAGCGGTTCGGAGGAGAAGGCCGCCGCTTGGATGGGCGGGCCCCCCGCAGCAGTAGCAGCAGCAGCAAAGTAACAGCAGAGGCCAAGACCCTTAGACGCAAACCATGGCTGGAGAAGCTTCCAAACGGCATCCGGGTACGCCAGTAACCTTGGCGTTTCTATCCCAGCCGGGCAGCGCAGTTGTGCCGGCAAGCTACTTTTATATCGTTTGCCCAGATGTTGGACGTTTTCACCTGCAACCGTAAGCTCTGGGATATCTTTCTCTGCATTTGCTGTGCTGCAGCGCGAGTGCGCAGCCTACGAGGCCCTTGTACGGTCGGGTAAGATCCCTGGTGTTGTGGGGAAGGTGTCTGCGGCTGCTGGAGTAACAGCGGCAGCCGCAGCAGCGAAGCAACGCCAAAACTCGGGAGCAGCGGGCAGCTTCCAGCTCTTCGGAGGTGCTGGGAATAGCCTGGAGTAGAACAGCCGCAGTTGCTACTGCTCTAGCTTTACGTTGGGTACAGCTCTTAGAATACCCTGAGCTTCATGGTGGGCTTTTAGGGGCTTGCAGGACTGCTGATTTGCCTGCGGTCGGCGGCGCTACGTGGCGGTTCGAGAACCTGCAAATGCCCGAAAACCCCGAACCTAAAGCTCTAGGCTGCCCTTATCGATTTGCTTTGTAATATCTAGCAGGAGCGCGTGATCGTAGGATCCTGAGTATGGGGTGTTCTATAACATTCGTAGCCAAGGCGTGAGTTAGGGACCCCGTGTATGGTGCGTCCGTGAAGCCAGGGCCCTCGTGGATCCTAGAAGAGAGTTGCAGAGCCTTATATTCCCCGTAGTAATGCAAATAGGAGGGCACTGCGGGGTCATCATGGCTTGCCAACCAGACACTGGAGCCTTGATGGACCTAAAGGGGCTGAAAGGGTTCATAAAGGAGTATATAAAGGAGTACAGCGAGAATAGGGGACTTCTAGGAATTCTACTAGGTGCCTAGGCCACACATGACGGGGAGGCAGTGCGGCTCGCATCCACTGGCGCGGCCTGTAACGGGGATCCTGGGGCCAAGAGTTACACCACAGAAGCCCCAGCATTCACGGGATCGACGATCATGGAGTAGCTCTTGGCAGAGGCCTGCATGATCATTGCCGAGGAATTTCGTTGAAGGATTATATAGCAGATGCTGAGCGAAACGGTTTTGGCCGGGGCCTTTCTTCCACTAGGTACAGTCTTGCCTGGGACTTGGGAGGCAAGGCCTAGCCTTCATGGCAGCCCCATATCGATTATTGCGTTCCGCACTTACTTCTCCTTGTAATAGTGCTAGATTCTGGCTGAGGAAGAGCTCAACTGGCTGCGGCCAGTCCGAATCTTCAAGAGCTTCGTTCTCGTAAAGCAATCTTTCTCCCTTGTGTTGGCAAGGGTCCTAACATTGCTGCGCGATGTGTTGGCAGCTGCACTGCTCGCTGAGCAGTGACATCAAATAAAGCTGCGGTTTGCGTGGTTGTTTGCTTCCGGGGCCTGGAAGATGGCGGCGGTTCAACTGCTTCGAGGTCATACTGACGCGGTGGTGTCTCTGGACCTGTACACGCCCTTCCCAGGGTCACCTTTCTGCTGCGCTTGTTGCTGCTGCAATGGTTATATAGTCACCCCTTTTCCACATCCGCCCGATAAAAGACCGCCTAGCAGCAACAGGAGCTGCAGCAGCAAGCATGTGAAGCGCACCAACAGCGCCTCGGCCTCCGAGGACGATGGTTCTTCTGCGCGCAGTGCATGCAGCTCCAGCACCATCAGTAGCAGCAGCTGTTTGGTGCTGAGCAGCAGCGATGACAGAACTGTAAGGGTCTGGGATGTGAGGCAGCAGCAGGCAGCCGTCAGGGTCTCTCTGGATCCATGGGGAAGCCCAGGCGACGTAGGCGTAGCCCGCTTTTATCCCGGAGGGAATGGGGTTATTGCTGCAGCATGCGGTAACAAGCTGCTCACTTTCGATCTGAGGCACCCTCTGCGGCCACTCATGCAGCAGAAACAACGGGAGGAGCAGCAGAAACCAGGACAACAGCTCGTCACAAGCAGTGATACGGAGTTGAATCCGAGCGTTGTTGATATGAAAGCCATGTCGTGCGTGGATTCGGCAGTGGTAGGAGAGGAGGTTGATGAAGATGATGACTGGGTGATTAATGACTTTGACATCTGGGTGCCCCCAGCTGCAATTCAACAGCAGCTGCAGCAATGCAGTAGCACTGCCAAGGGCTCCAACAGCGGCAAGAAAGCAGCAGGAGAAATAACAGCTTCGGACGAATCCCTTGATGATGTGCTAATTGCTATACCTACTGATGGGGGCAAGGTGGTGGTGTTACACCAGCGCAAGCTACAAGCGCCGCTGCTACTGTCTCTCCCGGCATCCCCTCAACATGGTAGCATATGTGGAATCGCGCGGTTCAGGAAGCATGCCGTGATGGACCTGCTGAGTGGCGGGTTCGCATCCTATTTGCTTGCTACGCAGCTGCTCATGTGTCGAGATTTCGTGGCGTTGGACTTCCCTAAACTGTCATGTTTTTCCACTCGATCTGCTGTTTGTCGTGGTAACGAGACAGCATTGGCGTTCCCGGGGGTATTTTGCTGTTGGTGGCGTTCTATATAGTGCAGGAAGCGTAGGGTGCCTGTCTGATGATTTGCGCTTTCAGGTACGACTGCCAGCTGAAGGATTGGGACTTGTTGCACCGAAAGGCCCGCGGGTGCGTTGACACTCAGAAGCTGACACCAGATGGGGAGGAGCAGCCTGCCCTCTCAGGCTGCAAGCGACAGCAGCAGCGACGGAAGCTCCAGGGACAGCAGCAAATTTTCAACCCCCCTTTCGTGACTGCCCTGGAAGTGGATGCACCGGGGGATCGGGTCTTTATGGGGCTTGGTGATGGCGCAATCAGTATGCTGCAGTACGCAGGTAGGCCTCGCTCCGATATTGTGGCTTTTTGCGCTGGTGTTGCCGCCCGCAGCATTTTGCTTGTCGCTTCGTGTGCCTCGTGGCCTGCTCAGAATCTACGAGGAATGCCCGCCTAGTGCTTCCTCCCGTGTGGCGGGTGGAGGCACATGGAGCTGCGGTTACGCAGCTGCGCCTCCTATCGCTTCAGCAGCAGCAGCAGCAGCATCAGCCTAGGGAGCTGCTGCTCAGCTGTAGTGACGACAGGCGACTGTGCCTTTTCTCACTCGATGAAGAAAAGCCATCGCTGCTGGTGTCGCACCAGCTACGGGAGAAACCCAACGCTTTGAGGGCTTGTCAGCTATGCTGCTGCGGCTGCACAAGCACTCGATGCATCAATCGCAGTAGCGGGGACATGCTGGAGACTGTACGGGCTTATGTGGGGGATGTTAGCCCGGACATTAAAATAATAGACTTGCGCCTCTAAGTGTTGTCCTCTAGAAGGGTATTTTGTCATCGCTTCTCATTCAGACAAGGCTAGCCTAGTGGGATTCCGTAGGCGCCCTTCTATTCCTCAGATCCTTTTGAGGCTCGCTATCGTGTCTAGTCAGGCGTATCCGGCGAAGGAAACATGCAATGATTTTAAGGCAGAAAAATATTGGGGGAAGGATCACGCATGGAGGGAGGCAGATGGACTCCCGCTGCTGCTGACGGGTTGAACCCCGTAGCTTGCGATAGACTCCCCCAAAGGCACAGCGTTCCCTGCTGCTGCCGTTGCTGCCATAGAGACTGCTATCGCAGCGTGGATGAGAGGCGAGGGCCAGCGCACTGCAAAGGATGTACAACTCCTCGGGGGCATCTTGCCCGCTCACGCAGGTACCTAAAGTCTGGTGGTGCCCCCAGCTAAGTTCTCACACCCCGGTACGCCGCCGTGGACTTCTAGGAATTGGATTCTAAGGATTATTTTTATCCCTTGCTTACGATGGCGGCATACTGCCAACGCTTTTAGGGGCGAAGGTTCCCTAGCGCGGAGGAGGAGCTCCGTTTGTCTTGCTGGGACTATTTTCTAGCGCCCATCGGGTCCACTGGGAGGCCCTCATGTCCAACTAAGGCTGTGCAAGGGACGTAGGCGTCTGATCCTGTCTAAGGTCAGGACGTTCCTGAAAAAAAAGGGCCTCCTCTTGGTCTCCAATGTGGTTCAATGTGATGTACACATCCGTCCCTATTCCAAAGTGTGACTGAGGAGGCACGAAGCGGTCAGCGACAGGAAACACACAAAACCAATCATGGGGCACCAATGACATCAACATACAGTATGGAAGAGTCAGAACGGGGGACTGTCCCCTTGTTTGATAAAGCTGACCTGCACGTGAATATCCCCCCCAAAATACCGTGCAAAGGCACGTGAGAGAGGCAGTCCAAATCCTGCGAAAGACATAGTGGCACTGACAAGTATATATGATGCTTTTCGAGCTGCCGCTAAAAGAAGAACGAGCTTTGGCCGCTCGTCCCCCGTTTTCTACTCCGCTGGCTAGCGCCTGCCATTGCGCCTTAAAACTCTGAGCGTGCGGAGAGCACTCCAAACAGCCTTTCCGCAGAAAGCTGGATACACTATCATGGAGGAAACATCGCAAGCAGCGAGCTACCCTGGGGCATGCAGTCAGCGACCCTCTTGCACATACGCAGCTCCAGTAGGCTCCGTACCGTATCCGGCCATGTCTGGCCTGATGAAGTTGGGAGAGAGGGACTGGCTGTTCTCTGATATCCTCGTATTGCTCTCGTCCACTGTACTGTATCTGCATCCCAGTGCACACAGGCACATGTGACCGCGAAGTCGCAGCATGCTTTAATACAGCAACCACATAGCGCACATGCTACAGATTTGTACTAATGGAAGTACTCTCTTAGCTGAAGCTGTCTGCGCGCAGCCTACAGGTAAGTGTTGATCTGGGGCTTTATAATTTTACCCGAAGCTCCACATGGCCTGCAGCTTGTGAGGAGGGACCCCACCGCCTGCGGAGGAGCAGTCATGAAGACAGCACTCGGGCTTAGAGGGTCGGAGGATAGGGACTGCAGCTGGCAGAGGGATAGACGGCCGAAGGGCCACGCACACCGAGATAAAGGCACCGGCCGATGTGCACCAGAAAGTGAGCTAGAGCGATGGGCAATAAGGAGCAGTGAACACTGCCTGAGCGGTGAAACTATGGAGCATCGAACTGAAAGGAGATGCGTAGGTACCCGCATAAACACGGGCCACATGAATGGCAAGCTATGTACAAAAAGAGCCGAGCAGGAGCGACGGGACCTCCAGGGCGAGTGACGGAAAAGCGAGACAGAGGCAGTGGAGGAAACAAGAACAGGATGAAAATGACAGACGAGGAGAATGACACATCGAGGATACGCTCAGGTCCTGGTGAGGGGAGGGAAATGCCAGACCTTTGTCTGAGACCTTGATGACGACTTCCCGTTTGCCCTTGTAAACTTCCACGCGCACCTCAGGCAGGTCTTCGTCGCCTGATATGAGGCCAGCTGAATGCGAACGCAGGAAGTTTCAAGCACGAGCACTTCTGAAGTGAATGGTAGAACTGATAGTCGTCCAGAGAGCACAGAGAGACAGGTCCACATGACCAGAGAGGGGGCAAGGCTGTCTTGCGTGTCGCGCTTCTAGGTAGAGCATAGCTGCGTGCACGGTGGGATGCCTGCCCGCAGTTGCACGCATGTAGCCTGCAGAAGCTTCAAGAAGGCGAACGCCTCGGGGTTCTGACCCTTGCATGTGGAGTCAAGCATCGAGTTGCCCAGGGTATAGAACTCTACAGTGGCCCTCAGAGCGTTTTTGAGGACTTCAGTGATAATCAACGCCAAGTGCTCTGGGATCGTCGCAAATTCTGTCTCCAAGTTCCCTACAAGATAAAGACAAACGAGAGTTCCTCACGGTTCCGCAGTATGAGCATTTTCGGGAGACGACATAGGGGCAAAGGCGCGGGCTGCGGCTCCGAGAACCTACCTGCCACAACGACAAGGGGAGCAATGCCATATGAGTATCGGCAGGAATCTCTGACGTCCTTTGCTCTCGCAGTTATCAGCTCGGCAGGTTTGCAGGAAGTGTTTACTATCCCGCACCAACCTGGCTGCGCAGGGAGTAAAGGGGGCACAAATGCAGCACTCTGAGCCAGGCGGATATGGAACACTTCGACTGTTAGACACAGCAGACGCAGCAGCAAACGATCTGCAGCACACGCTGCAAGAATCTATTCGGAACAAATTGAAGGAACAGTAAGCCCGTCAAAGCAGCGCGAAAAACAGCAACGCAGATTTAAAGAAGTGGCTTGGTTGGACCTTGGGGTTTTGCATGGCGACCAAGTTGTCAATCATGATGCGCCTGCCAATGCGAAAGTAGAAAAAGCGCTCCAGGAACGAGTCAAGAATGACGTCGGTGCAGACTCGGCGAATCCGCTGCACTCCCTGGCCCATTAGATCCACACTGCTGTCGTGGTGCCGCCTCTCACCCTCTAACAACCTGCAATCAAGGGGAGCACCGCAGGCATTCGCCAAAGAAGCAGAACCTGTCTACGCGCAATACCCTCTACCTTGCCCGAGAAGGTAAGAGCAATACCATTATCAAGCTTTAGGACTACAAATATACGGGTCGTGGAATGGAAGGAAGTTTGAGAAGGTAGTACTTGCTGGCGTGGGATTTGGGGTTTGCAATGGTTTGCCCCGATTCACTGAACTCACTCTACGAAGGATGCAAGCTGTTCTACTTCAGTAATAGGAGGAATACCCTGTATTCGCTGGAATGTAAGGACATAAAGGCTGTAGACTTCCTTGATGGGAGGGCAGGAGATTGCGCAGAAAGGTAGTCGGTGGAAGTCGTACAGGCGATGCGCTAGCCGTACGGGCAGCTCAGATTGCACCCACTGTGCCCTGAAAGCAGCAGAGGAAAGTATGGCACTCCAACCGAAATCTATTACATGCATCAGGGAGATAAATGCGTTCATACAGGCCCACGTCTCCGCAAGCCTCTCTACAACCGGCGAAGTGTACACCACAGGCATACAGCACTGCCTAGTTACCCAGAAACGCATTGGGATCTAAGGATCCGGGAATCGTTCTAGAGACCTAGCTGTCTCAGAGCAGTGGAAAGCAGTAAACAGCAAACAACGCTCAGACAAGCAGAGTTCAGCCAAAAGGGAGAATACAAGAAGCTGGGGCAGATTTGAAGCCGTAGAGTCCCTGAAGCAGCCCAATAGGTAAATGTCCTGGCCAGATGTGTAGAAGCCATGTATGGCACACATGTTTATATGCGCCTGAGGAGCATCAAAGCTCTCTCTTACGTCCGGATCCGCGCTTCTGAAGAATTGCTCTGCAAGTTGACAAGCCTCTTGAGAGTCATCGGCCTAATAGCCTTTTGGCTCATCTTTTCCACCTCTTCAATGGTACTCCACAGATCAACTTCCTTGATTTTACTGGTGCTGGAAGTGGTGCTTCCGCCACTAATGCTCATTTTAGTGCTCGCCTCAACGGGGGCTGGATCATCGGCAGCACCTTTGCTGACACCTCGATCAGGCCAGTTTATGGAAGCAACATATCGCGAAGACATCCATTGGTATCTGCCGCTTCCTTGTTGCGTTGTCGGTCTTCCCGTAACCACCGCTGAGAACCAATAGCTCTGGGAGTTCCGGGGAGCCCTGATGTCACTGAGCCACACACAGGGGGACCTCCAGCCGCTGGTCTGCCGCAGCCTAAAGCGCTGCATCCTGAAGGTCGAGAAGGTGATGAAATGAACCAATCGCGGAGGGTGTAGCGTCAGTGGAGCATTGCGTTTTTGGACTGTCCAAGTTAACTGGCATAGGGAGAAGCGGCTGCACTGGGGGAACCCCCATTAAAAGCCAAAATTCTAAAGTTCTTTTTCTCCAGTGTGCTATAATTATGGAAGGTCTCATACATTATGAGCACCCATCATAGCAACAACAGCTGATCTTGATGGTTAGCGACTGCTCCTGGCGTCTACAGGATAACCAGCCCCTCAGTGACCCCGCGGTGTGTAGTGGTGGAAAACACTGCAGAGTGCCATTGCCCTTCTTTGAAGGTAAATGGCCTTTGTCTTTAAAAAGTATTTAGACTAGTAGCTGAAAACATCGCAGAATACTACGGTTTTATACCGACATCGAGTCTTTCACGTACTGTACATGCATCTTTACCTGACGAGCTGTCGGCGGCCCTTCAAGCATTATCAAGTGGGTGTTCTGGTTGTAAAGCTTTGCAAGCAAGGTCCACCCCACAAAAAGGATAGGAGGTTTGAAAGCTAAGCTACTTCGGCCACGAAATATACGGACTTCTGTTAGATCACACCTGAGGGAGATGGCGCGTCTGCTCCAGGGTGGAACCAGCCACTACGGATGTATGTCCTGCAGCCGCTGAATTATTTGTGCACCCCCATTCCAACACACTGATATTAAGCGCGTTAGCCCAGCGAGCACAGATTTAACGGAGCACTGCTCCCTGCTGTCCACGCATAGCCCCTCCAGGAGAAATGGTCCAGCACGAGCCAAGTTGGAATGATGACAATCCGGGCTTAGTAACTGTCATTCTACACTCTAAGCTGATTGGGGGTTTGACCTCAACATCCTTCCATGAAATGCAGCACTCTACAAAGTACCAGTTGCTCCCCTCCTACACGCCGAAAAACAGTTTTGAGGGCAGATACGGAACCACCCTAGCTGCACTTTGTTGCGGGCGAAGCATGCAAATTCACACTCACAAAACAGTGTAAAATAGGGGAAACAGATCGCCTTTTTCATTCAGGATAAAGCAGAGTCTACAACCTTAGAACCTGCTTAGATACAACCACTGTGGACAGGCGAGACCAACGGTGGGATTTTCTTGAACGCAGTTTGTGACTGCAAATGAGGCATGACACCAGTCGTCCTATTTGTATACTGGACCCTTTAGAGTGACCGCTGACAACTTTCCCAATGAGCGGCACATTCTCGTGCATTTCTCAGGTCATTGAAATTTTGCTGTTGTAGAGTTGCAACAGCATACAGTGCAGCACCAAGAAATGAATGAGGGTTATACAAGCATCTCACAACTCGCAGTTCCGCAGAAACCATAACGTCTGCACAGCTAACCCGCGGCACTCCTTGTTCTACTGCTGACCACGGAGAGGAAACGTTGGGCTTAGACTTTGTAATAAATTACGAGAGTCTAACTAGCTGTTTGTCGATAAAATGCGGTAACGCCAACACACAGAAGCAATACTCGAGACGTATACCCCTCAAGTAGAATGGCATGCTGGTGAACAATGAAAGAATCGTTAATGTTGGGGTAACTCGGCCTACAGGCTGAGAGCCAGAAGAAGAGCATCTTTCGTAGGGTGGAACAACTCGCGCGAATCACAGGGACGGCAAGACTTTGATAGCAAAAACAGCGCCCTGGGGCACATAATGGACGCTGCATTCCCCAGAATTTCTCTTGCCTGCCCTCCATAGCTTCAGCGTGTGCAGCCAAACTACAAAGAGAATCACTGCCGGGATGTTCAATGCGCTTTCATTAGTAGCATGAAGCTGTTGAGTATGCGAAGTTAATGGTATTTCTCCTTCGGACTATACAACTACTGCGAGACAATGTAACACTTTGCATCGTTTCCGCGCGTTCTGCTTTCATTCAGTGGAAGAGCACTGAAAGTGGTGGTCAAAGATTGTAAGAGCTTCCCGTCCTAGGGCAGATTTTCCAGAATGTACACCTAACTATCCGTTCCGAGGTTCCCTAGGATCTCACGTATATAAGTAAAAAAAAGAATTCCCGGTGCTGCTCGCGCACAACCTACCTGGGTGCTGCGTCGGGCTGTAGTCAATGAAACTCAAACATCAGCGTAAGGTTGGATTTCGGAACCGTGATCTAGACAGTGTGGACAGCTAAGCAGCAAGTGCAAGACTTCAAATTGCATGCTTGCTATGGCTGCAATTCCCAAGTCTTTGTGGTAAAAGCTGCAAGATATAAAGCTCTACACCTTCGGCGTGTTGGGCATAAGGAACCTAGGGTTTAGGGTCTTAAAGACCGTGACCTCACAAGTTCTCTATTGATTGATTGCCGCCAGGTTTACAGCAGTACTGACTTCAGTCGTTTGGGATTCGAGGTTTTGGAGTAAAGTCTGCAAGGCTTATGGAGAGATTAAAAGCTCGCCTACAAGTCTATCACTGTGATTCGTCTAGACCTCGAACTGCAAGTTGTTCAGCTTTTTCTCCAATGCAGTGCTTACCAGCAGTCATTAATGACACAGAGAACCTATTCTAAGGTCCGTTGTGCTGGACAAAGCTGGATGTGGGTGCCATGGAGCACGGCTCTCAAATTTGAAGGCCTGCTCCTTCATCACCGTAACACCTACCTTCCTAATAAGGTGACGATCCTCGGGCTCTGTTTTTTTGCTTCGTTCTCCACTGCAGCGAAAAGCGCAAGCAAGCACCCGCATTGCATAACTTGCATGTGGTTTCTTCTCGCGATAGCAAAACCTAGTGCGATGTGGAACAGTCTATCGAAAGGTTTGCAGTGAAACTTGTCCTGGCTGCTTTGGTAACTGCCTCATGTACCATCGCAGCTTCTGGTGTTGTTAGTGTGGAACTGCTGCCGTATAGCCTCCGAATGCATTGCTGAGACTCAACCATTTCAAAGGCGCTATCTTTAGCTCCATTCGGCCTAAAAGGACAATTTCACAGTCCCTGAGAACTCTCAATATGCACATGGCAATGCTGACCCCGATGAGTATCAAGCAGCAATATCCAAATAAATCAGAGCAAGTGTGACTAAAGGGACGATGACAAAGTAAAGCACATGCCTATGAGCCACAAACTTAGCAATGCCATATGGAACCGATGCAACCAAGCACTAAGAAAGTTCATAAAGAGCCGAATTAAAAGACGAAAGTGAAGGCTTGGAAAAAACAGAACCAGCTTCTGACGATTCTCCGCCACAAAATGGAAAGAATCCCATGCAGTCCTAAAGGTAACGACACGTGCACTACACTGTTGAAACGAAGACAGACCTTCGTCTTTAGACATCTAATTTCGCACAGTTTCCAGTGTGATCGACACAGACACCTGATTCAGAAACAGATACAGTAGCGGAAGCTATGTGAGATGCCTTCTGACACTGCCAGCACTGCGCAGTGCCTCACAGGACCTCCATGTAGCAAACGCTGTTCCCGCCAGCCGCACCTCGTAAACCCCTATCTGAACCACACGGCGCAAATTGCAAAAATAATAAAAGCAGAACATCTGAACTTGCCGCGGCTTCAGCAAAATAGCCTTGGACGTGCTGCAGCAACTCTAGCTCTCTGCACACATATTCAGCAGCCTCTCCATGGCCACTATTTCTTCCCCAGCTGTATCTGAAGGACTGCGGACCATAGATGCCCATCATACCTCAGGTTCTAAGTTCGTCAGGGGGCTAGCCAGTATAACTAAGGCCTCATTCTTTGAAGAAATTAGAGCCTCTGAGAGCGGCACAACGCACAAACAATAAATGCGGAGCCCCATATTGGGATCAGAAAAGGTAAAGGGACCGCAACTCAAAGATGCGAGTGAAGAGCCAAAAGAAAGACGGGGCGTCCAGTACATGGACTGGTTTAACCCTAAGCAAATGATGTCTACAAGGCTCAAATTAGGGCTGCCTCGTGGAATACCGTCAAGTAGTTTCCTTTCCAAAACATTTTGAGCCACCTTGACACAGCGAGATATCTCCAGCTTGCCGGCCAAGCGCTGTACACGACCAAATGGGAAATATGGTGTAGAGGAGTTTGCAGAGTTATGGGAGTGTTTCAAGAACTGCTGCATCTCGTATCCGGAGCTGTGTCATCTACGTCATGAACTTTCCAGCCTGTGTAGCTTATGACTCTACGATTTTGCAGCTTCGGAGGCTTTCTAAGTGCAATGCCTACGCGATAACCTCCAAGTTCATTCCCTTATGCTCCAGTATTCGCCGTTCTTCGTTTCCCAAGGGGCACTGTGTGCTCTGCTGTCCCTTTTTTGAGTAGCTCGGTTTGGTGTTGTAGAAGTTCGTATATCTAGGCCTCTCTCTATAAAGTTATACCTGCTCCTGAATTTTGCTTTCTACCTCTACCACTACTATTTCTACGCTGTATATCTTACTTTTACATATGCAAGCCATCGTCCGACCACTGCTTTTAATCAGCTTTGCCTGTCGCTGACTTCCAGTTCTGTCTCGTTCTGCCACTACCCACTCGGAGCAATTTACATCCGCTCTGAGTAGCCGCCTCGCTAGACTGCCTTGTCCCTCATTAACTATGATTAAATCTAGCTCCACACTCGCTTACAAACCTGCTGAGATCTGTTTTGTATCTCAATACACAGTTCGCTCTGCGCAGCGGGCGGGCTCAGCTTGTCTATGCATACACTTTATGCATACATAAAT